TATATTATCAGTATCTAATCCTAAGTATAATTCCTATATATTAGATAATAAGTTTGGCGGAATCAGTAGCAGAAATATTATATAAAATATTAATTATAAAATAAGCTTTTTTAATAAAATAAATAATAATTATTTTATTAAATTATTTATTTTAGCTAATATATTTATTCTCCTGCCTGTAGTCCAGTAAAAATCAGAATATACTAAAATAAATAATATTTTAAATATTAGGAATATCTACTTTTATTTTAAACATATTAATAACTATAATTACTTATATCTAATTAATAGTAAATTATTCCAGGATAAAGCCTTTATTAACCTGTATATTATAAAATATCTTATATACTAGTACCCGGGCTACAGTAACTACCTGGCTAATTATAAATTTATATATAATTATTTTTTTATTTTGGGCCTGCTAGATCTGTATTATAAGAAATATTAAAACTATTATATTAGTTATTTAGCCGGAATCTATTCACGCGGGAATTACGGGCTATTATATCTAGTATATAATATTAAACTGGCTGGTACGGTCCCGGAATAAATATATTAACTTATATATATATTTTATATATTATTATAACACAGGCTCCAGCCAGGGTAGCAGTATAATTATTAGTAGTATTATTTATATACGGGCGTGGTTTAACTGCTTTAATTATTATAATTCTGGCTAGAAATCCTACTATTTATTTAGTATTATATAATATTTATTAATTATAATCTAGTTTAGCTGCTATATTTACTATAATTAATTAATAAATATTTAAAAATCCTTTATAATAGCTGACTTAAGTATAATTAGTATAATTATAGTCTTATCTAGGGGCCGCCGGTTTTTTTATATTATATATAAAAGTCTAAATATCTAGTATTATTATATTATATCCCTGTAAAATATTATTAATAAAACTATTATAATTATTATTCCTCTAGGCGTGATAAATATTAGTAATATAAATAATATATTTTTTCCCCTGCTAATAAATATTATTATAATTATTAGGCTTAGTTTATCTTAGATTATTTAAATAGCCGGATTTTAGACCCTCTATAATATAATATACATCTGTTTACTTATTATATATAATATTTAACCCGGGTTAGTTATATATAGTTTATATTATCAGGCGAGCTAGTTTTTCTTTGCCTCTGCCTTTTATAAAAACTATTTTTATAGGAGTTTAGTGCTAGCCAGTATAGATAATAGGTGTGTTATTAATATAAATATTAAAAACTAGTATTAGTCTGTGTTAAAAAACTAAAATAATTATTATTAATATATTATTATATCTGTCTGTTTTAGGATCTTATGTATATATATAATATTAGCCAGATAAAATAAATATACTGCTTATAAATTTATAATATAGCCTATTTATTATTCTGGGTTTATTCTATTTTTTATATTAGGGTTAAGTACTACTGCTGTCCCCTCTTATGCCTTTTATATATTATATATAAATATACTAGATAGCCGCAGAAACTATTAGTTAATCCTAATAATAATTTTGCGGTATATTTAGAGATAGACTGGTATGTATAACTATATTTATATTTTATGCTTAAATATTTTCTGTAACTGCTTTAAAAATTATTAGTATTAGGTTCTGGGATTAAGGCCCTAGATAAATATATCCTCCTAGTAGAAAAAATACGCGGGTAAATTAAATAATAATTTTTATTATATTTATTATACCTTTAGCTATTATATAAATAATAAAATAAATTATAAATATTATATTAATAGCTTCCTGACTTTCTGCGGCAGATATTAGTAGATAGATTAGTTTAATATTATTACTAGTATAAAATCTTTTATAATATATATTAATTATTACTACCAGCCTATCTTTAATATATATATTATACTATTAGTTAGTTATTATATTAATATACTAGATACTTAGCAGCTCGGATATCTGTGCTAGCTACCTACTGCTTATCTATATTAATATAGCTAGTTTTTTTTTAAAGTAAGCTATTTACTAAAAGTACTATATCACAGCCGGAGGATATAATTAATATTAATATTATTATATAATTAAGTACGCCTGTAGTACTAGCTCGGCTTATATTTAATTATAGATTTATTATTATTTATTAACTAACTACTACGTGCGCCTGTTTTTTAGAAAGCTCTATCCTACTATTTATTATATAAAATTATTATAAATAATATATTATAAAATAGCCGGGATCTTCTATATCTATTAAACCTCTAATATATTATATAGGATCTACTATATGGCCCTGATTAGCCTATATATAAATCTGTGAAAATTGCTAATAGTAAACTATAAATACTAGTATTTAATTTTCTTACTCTTATATTAGGTAATATGCCCGGCTATTATAATATTATAATAAATTTTTAATTTATATATTTATTAGTCTAGTAATATTTATATTAGCCCGGCTATACCCTGTATTATAAATATTTATATTATTTATTTAATTTACTCTTAAAATAACTTGCCTGTATAATAAATCCAGGAAGCTATTAATAACTGGGGCTCCTAGCTACTAGCCTGTATAAATAATATAAAAAATAATAAGGGGGGTAATAATACTTTAATACTTAGTTTATAGATAGTTTTTTTATTTATATTATTATATTTTTTATCTAGTACTAGATTTTTAAGTATATTATCCGCACTAGCTAGTACCTACTGTATACAGCTAATCTGTTATAATTAAATTTAAATAATTATTTTAAAATCTAGATCTAGTTATAGCGCCTTTTGTATTATTATAAACTGTATTATTTTAATTACTTATGATAAAATTAAAGAGTAGTTTTTAGTATTTTATTACTAGTTATAGCTCCAGCCCTGTATTATTATAATATATATAAATATATTTTTATATTTATATCTCTGTTATTTCTGGTTTAGTAGCTTAATATAAAACTTTAGATATTATTATTTTAACAGGCTTATTATTTACTTAATTATTAAATTAATTTTAATATTTTTGTTTTATAACTCGGGCTCGGGTTTAGATTTAAGCTCAGGCTATATAGCTAATACCTATAGCTGCTGCCATTACTTGTGTTACTAGGGAATTATTTTATATAAAAAATTAGTTTACTTGTGGGGGGCCTATGTGCGGGTAATAAATATAAGGATTTATTATTATAGTTAAATATATTTAGTAATATTATTAGTATTTATATATATTTATAACAGCTAGTACAGGGGCGCGGCTCTAGTATTAGATTAAATTATAATAAATTAAATTAAAAAACTATTATATTAGACTGTTTGCTGGCACTTGTGTATAAGTTATTTTATTATTATTTATAATTAATATATTTCCTGTTTAACCAGATCATCAGGCGTTATAATATTCTTTTTAGTCTTAGATATAATAATACTGTGTGTTAAATTATAAGAGATAATATTTTTTAAATATATAATCTACCCGGTTATCCGGAGCTATAAATTTATATTAATAATTTTATATATTTAAATAATTTTTTATATTTTATAGATAGTCTAAATCTTAATTTATATAATTTTAATTTTTTATAATGCCTGCTTAATCGTGTTAGAATTATTAGGGGGGAAATCCTTATTATAAATAATAAAAATATTTTAGGAATTATGCCGGGTGAGAAATATATACTAGTATAAAACTAAGATATATATTTATATGAGCTAGGAATTAGCTTGTTTTTGTTTAGTCTAGGAAATCCGGTTATATCTGGGATACTAGGACTATTAATATATCTTATATTAGTATTTATATATAGTTTTAATATTTTAGGTTATATATTAGCACTAGGGGCTTTATTAATATAATAATTTATTAGTATAAATTAGTAATCTAGTAATAGGCTATTCTAGCTACTGCGGCTAATTAATTATAATAAGCTTATAAATAAGATTAAATTATTATATAATTATTTTACTGATCTAGATAATATCTTAGTATATTATTAATAAATAAGTTTTATTTTTTAAATAGCGCTGAACTTTCTTAGATTATATTTTATACTGGTATATTTTGCAGATAATTACTAGTAATATTTTTACTTATATAAAAATTTAATATTTTATAATAGCTGGGTTAACTAGTATAAATAAAGAATAATAAGCTTAATATAAAATAAGGATTAAAAATAAATTAGTTCTTATAACAGGGTATCTGGGGGGACAAATATATATATATAAATTTATAAATAAATTATTATCTTAATTAGTACCCTAATAAAATAATCCTTTACTAAAAACTAGCTTTTATAAATATAATTTATGATAGATTAGCCTTATTTTTTAAATAATTATAAATAAATACTAGGTTAATATTATATCCAATTTTGAAAGAAATCGGAGTATAGAAATTAAATAAAAACTATATAATAAATTAAAAAAAAACTATATTATATTATTAATTAAATAGCCAATTATAGGCTGTTCTGCTTAATATTCTAAATCTAAATCACATATTTTTCTCTAGGGCCTGTGGGATAAAGGGGTACTTATTTCTAAAAAGTACTTTAAAGGATACTCTAAGGAGTACTAGTTTTAAGAGGCCTTAAAAGAGCAGAGGTAAGATAGTTAATTATTTATTTTCTGTTATTTTCTTGGCATACCCTAATAAAAAATTAATAATTTAACCTATATACTTTACATACTTATTTTTAGCTGATTTTAATAAATAATTATTTTAAAATTTATATAGTTATAATTTATTATTTAATTTATTTCTTATTTAATTTTAAGCCTAATCAGGCTAGTTAATCTAAATAGGATACACCCGCGAAATTATATAAGATACACCCCCGGGTAGGGTTTGGGCCGGCTAATCAGCGCGCCCGCTACAGATCCGCACCGATGGGACGGGGGTGCATCCCATTTGGCCCGGTGGGATAGGGCGTGTCGATTCTTGTGGCAGCTGAAGGTGAAGGAAATGATATCACTTGGTAGAGACAAATTCTAAGTACAGAAACATAATGAATTCCCCGGGGAAAATGTGGCCGACTAAATCTAAAGCTGCCGGATGGATCGAAAGAACTCAGCAACTCGGAAAAAGGATTCCTTCGGCGCCCACGCAGGTATAGCCCTCGACTTGCCATCCTGATCAGGGAAATGTTTGACCAATGAAAAACACATCATGTCAAGGTCACTGGGCCCTTCTCCCTTTGGCATGCAAGGGAACGAGAAGACGTAGACGAAGACTGCGTGGACGTCCGCGCCGGAGAGCAGGTCAAGCTGTCTGCTCAGATAGTCTGCCTGTTCGCGCTCGCTCCGGGTTGGGACAATGTCGCCTTCAAAAATGCCGCTACCATCTGGATTCGTGCCCTTCAGAAGCATGAAACCGCCATCCCCGCGGCCCGCTGCTCCCTCGTATGCACAGCACCCGACTTCCATAACAGCCAGGGGCTTTCCGAACCGATAGCGCTGGAGACCTGAAATATACTTCTCCTCAGTCTCGCCTCGGCGATAGTAATCGATTCCAACGATGTCGAAGATGTCCCAGTCTACCAGCTCCCAGGTACCAGCGGAATACGTCAATAGCCCGGAGAACTCCTTGCGAACCACGCCAGCAAAAGAGCGCAGGACTTCATTCAGTTCGACAGACTTCTCTCGCAATGCCCGCGGAACATCGTCCGACGCATGGCCGCCCGACAAATGAGAACCAAGCCACATTGCACGCTCATTCCACGATTCTCCCGGGAAGATTCCTTTGCTAAATATCGTGTATTCACATCCGGCAACAAAAATCAGATTTACCCCGTCTTGATATAGTCGCTCGGCTGTCTTTGCGGCTTCTTTAAGATAGTCACGCGTTTCGTCGACGCCCTCGCCCATCTTCCACGGGTTGAAAAACACCGCCAGTCCCACCGAGTGAGCGGCCCGTGTGGCCGTTTCAAGTCGACTGATCTCCTCTCCCTCGATTCGCACCGCGTTGGCGTGTATCTCGTTGGCAATGACGCGCATGTCGTATTCTACCCGAGGGGGGTCAAATGGCTCGACTGAAAACCCGTGGTCCCCAAACTTCAGGCCAACATCATAGACAACGCCACAGTATTTCATGATCTGTTCTTTCGCCTGATTTGATCCTGTACGTACCGGAAGTCGTCAGCATTCAACTCGTTTGAAATTCGTACAATCCAAATGCAGGAGGGGTTCTCCTTAGGGGAAAGTCACTTAGTGAAATGAAGCAAATGGGGGGCGGGGGTGTTATCAAGTTCTCCCTGGAGTATAGAACTTAATTAGCGAAAAGACAGGACTGGGAGCCTTTAATAGCAGATACGACCCGAGGGATGATAGGAGTAGAGCGGGCGTCGGAATTCAGCCGTCCGCAGTCCGCAGTCAATCACTACGCGGGCAGCGGAGTCTTGGCGCTCCGTCAGGCCGCATGAACTGGGCTTTTCCATTCACGTAGGCGTGTTTACGTTGATCTGTTGATTCAGATAGAATATTATCCTAGACATTCGGTGGACCATCCATCTGATAATACCACCACCTAGGTGTTCACATTGCCCACTGAGGACTCAAACCTAAAGCTTTGGTTCTCTGATCAGCAGATTACCGGATTTAAAAAACGGTTTCACTGGGACTCCGTACATTGAACACAGTCAACACTCCAGAGGATTAGGATTTACTATATTCCATCTGCTCTGGGTGACCAGTACCATAACTTAGTAAGAGTACGACTGAGAAGACTCCGATTGCAATTCAGGATCCGCAAAACAGCCACTTATACGAAGACATATTCACGGACACTGAAGTCCCTATTGTCGAAGATAGCTATCATCCAACAGCCTCAACATTTCGTGATTTCCCTGAAACCAATTTCCAAGTTCCAGTGCCGTCTCATCGATCTCCGCGGTAAATGTACCGCTAGATCCCGGGACATCGTCGAAGCCCTGATTCACGTAGTGCGACGCGGCTCCATCTATCGTAGGTATAGGCATTGCATCGGCAGTTCCTATATGAGTGGAATGTAAAAGCGAATCCGAAGCTTGAGGGAGAAATGGAACTCCTATGGTGGTGAGCATTTGGTTGAAATCCCAACTAGCGATTTGTGGCTCGACTTCACTGGTTTTCAATTCAATGTAAGTCTGCGCAACATCGTACAGAGCCCGGAATAGACGGATTTGTTTGCTGTGTGTCTGATAGAATGCCGATTCAGGTATCGACTCGAGGGTTTCAACAACGCTTTTTAGTAAATGAAGGTCACTCTGGTCGAATGTCTGAGCTATATGGCAGAAGAGGACAATGAAGGGAAAGAATGGAAATAGAAGAAAGGACCTGATTTGGTATGCTTAGCAAATACTGTGTTGATGTGCGAGCCAAGTCAAATTTAATCCAAAACTCTGCTCCAGGGAAGGTTACTGTACCAATTGATATACATCTCAAGCGGGTGCCCTTTCACATGCGAGCTGGTGATGATAGATATGCTGCGTTGGTGCTCCTCGAGCGCTGCTCTAGCAGTATCCACACATTCATTGCAAAATGCTATATCAGATGACTTATCAGGAGGTATGCCACGATATAACAGCGTAAGAAGCGACAGCTCGTTGATTCTGGCAGCACACTGGAAAAGCTCATGTAGAGTGGACCCTAAAGCATGGCGTCTGGCTTCACTGTATCTCGTCTTCGAATAGGTCAATTCCGATGAATGAAGATCATGAGACAGTACAAAGGCTATCGAATAGTCGCATTCGATGGTATAAGACGTATCCCCTTACCTCGATCTCATCCTCATGTTCCAGAATGTTTCGTAGTTCACTAGCAAGCTTCTCTGCACGGCGGGTTCTGATTTCAATCGGTTGAGAGAGAGCCCCAAGGCTGTAGATCTCATTGTATGCTCTCCCCTGTAAGGCGGCTACGTGGATGTGTTTGGTGAGTGTGATATTGAACGGAAAGTCTGCTGTTGTGTTTGGAGCAACGCTCAACTGGGGCAGAGCGATATCATCCACGTGGAAGGTAGACGGTCTGCCCAATTGTAAAGATAAGTTCCGCTCTAAAGTGAAGATGGTCCACAGTAATTTGGCTTTGCGCTGCTTCAAATCTGGAGAGTCAGCACTTAGCACATGCGGTCGGTGAAAGCCTAAGGCCTGACATAAATGTGCCGCGTTGGTGGTAAAATTCCAGGCTGCTGATATTTTGCCGGTTCGAAAACAATATGATGCCTGGAGTGAGGTTAGATCGTGTCCTGTGTATTCAAACATTTTTGGTACTGTATACCGCGATGCTCATGGCTAGGACGGAGTCAAAGTTGATCGGGGTGTGGAATGGTAAATGATATAAGTCGGTCTCCAACGCCTCCCGAGAGAGAGCTGCCTGATTCCAAAATCTTTCACGCGTTTGCGCATCGGCAGTGTCCAAAGCACACTCACAAAAAAGCCAAAATATGCCACCCAGCACAATGATCCTCTCAGTGTTAGAGCTGGGGCCGGGTGAGTAAACTTTGACCAGGTATTCAGTGAACTGAGAAAGGGAAACAAATTCACTAAGCCAAAAGAATTGTACACGCTGACATTCTGGGTGATTTTTGACACATTAGTATTGATCACTTGTAGAGTATCGCCGGGGATAATACCCTTGGCCTTTTGCAGGCATTCAAGGCTGATCTCGACTGGGGGCATTCGCAGACCACCAAGGCTAGTCCCCTGGGGCATTGTCCTGGCATACGGATACACATTGTGCAATGTGGTCTTTTGTTGGCGTTGAGAATCAATGACCCCATGCAATGCGCCCAGAGACAACTCCATTTTCCGGACAAGCTCCCTTGGGCCGTTAGACTCGCCAAAAAGGGCTCTCAGAAACTGGCTTGCGAACACAGCATGACTCAGAAGGGAGGGTTGGTTCTCGGGTTCGACGTTAGAAGATGTTGCTTCCTCATTATGGCCACCGCTCAAACGCGGGTGGGCTTCTTGAGATAAATTATCCACTTTCACTCTGAGTTCATCGAGAACTTCGAATATACGATCTATTTTCTGTTCACTTTGAACCTAGCGTCAAATTTTGCTCCTAAAGGCAACGTGTAACATGAGAAAAGAAAACAACGGAGATCATAACAGCGGGTCCAGCGGCTTACTGTTTAGCTGACATATGTATACGCTGTCGCTTCTCTCTATGGTGCCCGATAGCCGGATAAGAGCAGTCTGATCTTGATCGGGCACAGTTTGAGCACGTAATGGCGCGGTTACATCGGATCTGTCACCCATAAGTTCTGTTTGGCCAGAGGTATCTGCGAGCATAAGTGACATACCTTGCGTCGCCGACAGCGATTGCACTACTGCTTGTTAGTGTAAATCATTCTAAAATGGCATGTAGGATACGTGCTTACAGCTTGCTTTCGGTCCAATGTCTCGTCGTACGCGGTCTGGTTCTCGGAGTCTCCGGCTAGCTCGTTATCCAATTCCGAATCTTCCGGTGCTGAATCGGCAACTCGACGTTTGGAGCGAATCAGAGAGTCCATCATCCTCAATCACTGTGGGATATTTTCCTCTTCTCAAGTACCGAAATTCTTCATGGATGATTTGGTTTGAAGCGGCATCAGAAGGTGAAGAGCGCCCGGAGCTGCAGATGTGGAACTCCGCGCGGGTTCGGGTTCTTGGCGCTCCGTCTCCGTCATCCACGCTGGACTGCAGGTAAAACTCTGCAACTTTGCTACATATGGAACGAAGTAATCTGTGTTATATACATAAGTCGACATATGTAATGATAATAGGGATTAGGTAGACGTAAACTCTGAACGCGCATGTGGATAGCAGCCATACCCCACTCATTCTCCTGGTCCGCCGGTCCAGTCAGCCCCAATATCCCCAATGTCTCCAACGCCTCTCACTAGGTTATTCAAGAAGGCCAAGTCCATATTGTCAAACGAATACTCTAGAGCCCTTCCTGTCAGATCTGGACTCTCGGGCTGTTCCAAAGAATCTTCGGAGATAACTGTGGAGAGCAGCGGTGCAAAAATAGCCGCACTGTTAGCACTACTGGGCCATAGCGATGGCGGAGTGGACACGGGAAGTGCTGGCTGTGTTTGCATCTCTCTTTCAACAACCACTTCTGGTCGGGGTTTTCGATAGTTTGCTTTCGGAGAATACTGGGCTGTAGTCCTATTGCCTTGCTGGGTTCTGCTTGTCGTTTTAATGACGCCAAAGTAAGGGATATAAGCGACTCTGCCGTCGTGAGTGGACTCGTCAGTGGCCGGAGTCTCAAACCCGGATGCCTGCACGCTGAGACTAAGGGCGCTTTGAAGATCGCCGTCCGCCGCTTTGGCCTCAATGGCAAGCAAGTGGCGAAGAAGGCCGGCACTCCGCGCACTCAGGGGATCTTCGTTCACCCGATCCAGGCCCTCCATATCTTCCTGCGCCTTTTCGATCATAGCGCGGTCACCCGGATATTGGACCACCAGGAAGTTGTCGGTCGGTGGAGAGCGATGGCTCTCCAAGTGTGCCAGCAGCAGCGTGATGGCAGCCATCAGCGCGGTGAAGTCAATGGTCCGACAACTGAATGCCACCCGATTCCAGCGGCGCAGCATGATGAAACGGGACAGGATCTCCCGCGAGGCGTTGACACAGATAAGTCTCGAGTATTCACGGCGATCTTCGACCGCGTGCCGCAGCATGTAGGGGAGATGAAGCTGGTTGAGTAGGTTGTAGTGGCACAGTTGTTCCGACAACTGCCGCATCTCCCAGAACAGCGCTTGGGGGTTGCTCGTCTGACTGCCGAGATTGGGCATCAGCCACCATTGGTTAGGCACGGTGCGGGCCGCTCGCTGCAGTTCTTGTTCGATGGCCTGTGTCGAGGCGTATTGCCAGCTCTCAGGACTGGTCTCGTTGCGCTCCAAGATCCGGGAGGCGATTACACAGTGAATACGCTCCAGGCAGCCGGCGGGCGAGAGTTGGGTGGGTGTCGCGTCGCTCGCCATGCTGCGGTCGAGCGTCCCTTGCGGCATGCCGAGGATAAGACACATCTGGCGATCATAGAAGACTATGCGGAACCACATGAAGTGCGGATCGGCCTTGGAATCCGGATCCAGGGCCTGGTAGTGCACGCTGCCCGATCGGTGAAAGCCCATCGATTGTGCAATAACCATGGCTCTGCGAGCAGTCATCCAGCTGCGGCGCAGGAATCCACAGTCGGCTTGATAGAGACTCTCGATCATAACACACTCCAAGTATTCGATGCTGCCCACAAAAGCGTCCTTGCTTGTCACAAGGCTGGTGGCGGTCTCAGCCAATCGATCCCGCATGTCCTGCAACGGTTCTGAGAGGCTACGGATCTCCTCGTGGCCATCGGGTTGAAGATGTTGCAAGAAGCTGGCGAGATAGAGCATATGCCGGGCGATTAGAACCGGATGTGCCTGTCGCCCCGGAACCTCCAGCAGACGGTGTTGGGATCGGAGGCCATCTTGTTCGAGCATGGCAGGCGGGGTGGTCAGGACTTCATGGAATGGAATGCAATAGCGACCGCTCACTTGACTTATCCGATGAACATCCTGCTGCGAGGGTAAGGCCTCCCAAAGAGTGCGAGACAGGCTGCCATGTGGCCCGGCTTCGGGACGCGCAGCCACCGTAGATGGCGGCCCATGAGCGGCGTCATCCCATCCAGTGAACGGCCGACGCGAGGAGTGAGTTTCAATAGCCCCCCTGGAGGAGAAAGGTGGGTGTTCATCGGCACCGACCGGCTGAGGTTCTGAGGATGCAGGGGTGGGAATGCCGGCGTCAGCGTGCGTCAAAAACCGATCCAATTGCGCTTCCACCCGGCGCAGTCGTTCCCTTAGCTGACCGGGGCTATCCAGGGGGGCCGATGCTTCCTCCGGGAGCTCTTGGCTCACGCATTTCGTGCCACGGCGGTGACAGCCAATACAGATCGCGTCGTCCGGGCGCTCGAGGACGCATTTCATCTTGCGCCGCTTACATTCCCAGCAACTGTGGGTTCCGCGGCGCACTTTCTTACGCTTCGCGGCAGGCGAATTGTCCGGCTCGGCGGCGGAGTGCCGGCGAGTTGCAGTGCCCATGGTCATAATGAATATCAATCGGGGGTGGTCGGAAGAACAAGGATACTCCAAAGAAAGGAGAGGGAGAATGAGGAGAAGTAGAAGGATTCGCCCGTAAACGCGGCGGACGAGACCACGCATTTGTCAGCCGCTCAGACTTGCCCTAATTTCCTGTTGGCTTCGTCCGCCGCGACGCCGGTCGAGCTGATGTGCTCGTCCTTTTCATATCGTCTAAATATGATGCGCAGGCGTCTCGATTCCCTGGCGATCCTAATGCAATGACAACATCAACATGCCACGGCAGACCCCCGACCCCGACTCGAGCCAGATCGATGCCCCTCTCCCAACTGGCGCTCCCAACCCCGAGGCACCCTCACCTTGCTTAGATGATGTGGAAACGAAAGGCCATGATGGCGTTAGGAGTTCCTCTGAGGACGGTAACAGCGGTGATCACAAGCTCGAATACGCGACCCCCGTCCGCTTGATCATCATCATGTGTACTTTGAATCTGAGCACTCTCATCGCGGCGTTGGATCTCGTGGGTGGCATTCCCATGTGCCCTTTCATGCCCTTTCAATGCAACTGACGCCGTCATGTTCACAGGGTATTGTTGCCACCGCAATTCCTCAGATCACCAGCGAATTTCACGCGCTGGACCACATCGGCTGGTACAGCGGCGCATGTTTCCTTCTCGTCGCCACAACATCCGCCCCCTGGGGCAAGATGTACAAATTTTTCTCAGCGCAGTACACCTACATCACGGCGCTTGCCCTGTATCTAGTCGGAAGCATCGTGGCGGCGGCCGCCCCGAATAGCATTGCGCTCATCGTTGGCCGCGCCATCCAGGGATGGGGATGTGCCGGCACGCTCGGTGGCTCCATCTTGATCATCAACTTCACGGCCGAACCCAAGGCCCGTCCCATGCTGATTGGCCTGTGGATGGGCGTGTTTATGATTGCTACTACCATTGGGCCTCTCATGGGCGGGGTGTTTACCAGCGAAATCACCTGGCGCTGGTGTTTCTGGATTAACCTGCCGGTGGGTGGCACGGCCATCGTGCTGCAGTTCCTCTTCTTGCGAATGCCAAAACATGTCAAACCAACTTCTGCCGCGTGGAAGGAAATCCTCCGCCACCTAGATCTCCCCGGTTGGACCTTGTTGCTCACTTCGGTTGTCTGCTTCCTCCTGGCCATGGAATGGGGGGGCCTGGGCAAACCATGGAGTAGCGGCTCAGTGATTGCAACCTTGGTCGTTTGGATCCTGTTGACCATTGCCTTTTTCGTTATTGAGTGGTTTCAGGGTGACTATGCTATTATGCCCCTGCGAATGCTCAAGCCCCGTATGACATGGTCGAATCTCCTGTATGCGTGGATGTGAGTCAACCTCCATGGTGTTTGCAATGTTTCAGGCTGGACCCAACAGACTAACTTTCTCAGCGCGAACCTGGCCAACTTCCAAATTTTATTTTACCTCCCCATCTATTTCCAGTCGATTCACGGGATGTCTGCCATCAAAAGTGGCGTTAACAGCATTCCATTCATGGCTTTCTATACCTGTGGAGCCCTGCTTAGTGGGGTTCTGGTTGGCAAGACACGCCACTTGCAGCCATTCCAGCTGGTTAGCGGCCTAATTGCCATCCTGGGCGCCGCACTAATCTACCGCATCGGAGCTGACGCATCCAAGGCGTGGTATATTGGCGCCCAGATTCCTTTTGGTTTCGGAATCGGTCTTGGAAACCAGGTTCCCATCACCGCGCTGCAGGGCTTCGCCAAGCCGGAAACTGTGGCGGCAACCATGGGGGTTGCTTTTAGTAAGTTCATCAACTCGACGATGCTTGCCTGTCTGCTAATCCCTTGGGCCAGTGTGTCAATCCATCAGCGGTGCCTACTTTGTTGCGGCCGGGAATTCACTCTTCAACAACTACCTGCTGAAACGACTGGCCACCACTGCCCCTCATCTGAATCCGCAGACGATTCTTGCCATCGGGGTGTCCGAGCTCCAGAATGCCTTCAAGGGTGAGGAGCTGGCCTTGGTCCGCGATGCATATATGGTTGGGATCAGGAATGTCTTTGCCTTCGCTTTGGCCGGTGCAGCACTGACGGTTGTGTTGGCGTTGTTGGTTCCCTTCAAGAAACTGCCTTCTCATGACGATAAGAGGGCAGAGGATAAGGCTGCAGCTCGGGTGGTTGAATCGCAAAAATTGCAGGCCTAAGGGGAGAATTGGCCTACGGTGATATACATAATCTGCGCCGGGCTGAGTGGCTATCCTCGTCGGTTCAGAGGGTAATAGTATGTACTTTAGACCATTCCATGATAACCCGAATTACCAGGGATGAATTTCCTGAGGTACTGGGAAATATATATTGTAGCAACACGGGAAGAGAGCGTGTACAACGAAGCTGATTCCAATATGAAGCACAACAGTATATTTATCGTAACAGTCTCTATCTGATTTATCTGAACGACACGAAACACATCAAACAAACAAGAAAGAGTCAAAGTCAGGCCAAAAAAACAATCGGTGCGGTCTTATTACTGTATGTAGGGCAAATCCGAATCAGAATTAATAGTGCTAAATTACCTCGTGACACTCATTCAGTCCATAAAATATCCTTGCGCGTATCAGCCTTGGTCCCGGGGTTTACCAGACTTCTGGTCCCCTAGTAAATGGGCTTCCAGGCAACCCGGCGGAGGGAGGGAGTGATCGACGGCTGCGCACTACCGCTTCCCACGGAGCTGCTGACGGGCGACGTGTGGGAAGGGTAGGTGCCGTTGCCGATGGGGCGGGTGTGCGTAAAAGTGGGCTTCGCCGTAGTGGTAGCCGACTCCGTGCCCGAAAGGACAGTCGTCGTCGCGGTCGAATGGCCCGGCTTCTCACCCGTGGGCTCTGCGGTGGGCTCCCCGGACGGGGGAATGACAATGGTCTTGGTGTGTCCCTCGGTGTTGGTGTAGGTGACGGTCTCGCAGCGCGCACAGGGCTTGCCAGGATGGAGGGTGGGAACCGAACCGGAGCCCTCCTTGACCGTCTCGGTCACCGTCACCGTCACGGGCGCCGGGCAGTTCGACGCGCCCGGTCCGCCGGGGTGCGCCGTGGGAACGGTGGTCTCGGCGGTGCCGGGGAGGTTGGTGACGGTGGTCTGCGGGGTGGAGCCGACGGTGGTGGTGAAGCAGGTGGTGGTTTCATACAGCGAGGTGCTGAGCCAGGTGCTGTAGTAGGTGGTGCCATCCCGAGTGCTGACGGCGGTCGAGCAGGGCTCGAAGGTCGTCCGGGTGATGGTGGAGGTGATGGTGGACACGGAGCCGGTTTCGGTGACCGTGGCTCCCGTGCTCTGGGGGTTGCCAGTGGTGGGAGGGTAGTGGGTGGTGACGGTGCCGTTCTTGCTCGGGGTAGGAACCAGAGTAGAGAACGAGCTGGAAGGGGTCACCGTGCCGTTGGCAATGGGAGTGTGGCGACCGGGGAGAGCGAGGGCAGAGCCCGCCAGGGATGCCAGCAGAGTCACGGAGAAGTACATGGTGGGCAGAAGGCAATCGGTGCAGTTGGGGGTAGAAAGCGAGTGACGGTGGATTGCCCGGGCAAAGTAACGATAGACTGGTGTAGAACGATCAGACTGGGGACCAGAACAAATGGCGAAGAACCACGAGACCTTTTATAAGCGTTCGGATCTGGCGGCACTCGACCTGGGCACCATACAATCCTCTCACTCTCGCTCTCACTCAGCGCGAGAGACCATACTCCGGACTGGATGTGGAACCACCCCGGTCCCCAAGCACGACTAGAGCCCGACCGTTCAGGGTCCGCCGCAAGATAGTTCCAGCCTTTGCCAGGCTATTGATAGTAGCGGGAGAAACCCTGCCATCCATCGCTCGAGTCAGGGTCCACCCCGATGAGTCGCAACTAATCCGCTTATCTCCCGCCGACGATCAGGATCATGGCTGTCATGGACAACGGACAACGGACAACGGACAGCGGCCATGAGAGACATGTACGAAGTCAAGCAGGGCGTCTGATCTCTCGACATCCGAGAATAGAAGTGGGAGAGTGGGTAAAAATAGCTCGCCAGTCGATACGATGCCGTGATTCGGGAGGCTCGCACGGATAACCGGCGAGACATGGTCCGGAGGAGCCGAGAGTTCCTCTCCGTCTCTCGCTCTCTCGCTCGCTCGCTCGCTCTCTCCAGGTTGGCGGGTCATAGGGCGAGATCAGCAATGACGGCGTCCTCGAGTTGCGTGACCCACCCCCGTATCCGCCTTTGAGGTCGGGCTCAAGGCCGTCTGCAACTCGGATCGTTCGTCCTTTCAGCCCAGCAGCGGAAGTCTGGTGCAGGACCCGGCTGCCGAGTCACCTTGCTGGAATGCAAGACCGTGTCGCAGTCCGTCGTATCCCTCAGGGTCTGGCAGGTCGCGTGTGCGCTGTGGCGGCGTGGATGTTAGGCGACCACCTCGCGATAAGGCCGGCCGAAGTGTGGCTGAGACACGATGGGTCCGTGGGATGAGCGAAGGGCATTCTGATTAGCTCGGTCTCGGGCATGTCTGACTTATGACGGACAGCCTTGATAAAATAGATTAATCCGGCTTTTGGTGTTGGCATGACAAACCCACGTCTGCCGGTCGGGCTGGTCTGTCCGGGTCTGTTGGGATCTGTCAAGAGGATGGAAGAAAATGAGAGAAAAACAGAGAAAAAAAGAGAAAAAAAAAAAAAAAAAAAAACAAACAGAGGCCGTGCTGAGTCATCCGTTGCTCGACCAGCGTCAAACTCTGCCTCCTACGAAAGTCATTCATTATGCACGCCTCCTGCATTGCGCGACAAGCCGGTCGGCGATCAGGGTCTCCCCGGCTACGTCAGTCTTGTCTGGTCGGGCGGAGGGATCTCTATTGTCGGGGAGCTATTGCACATACATTGCGTCCTGTACAAAATCCCCCTCGAGCCGAAGACGATGATCCGACTTAGACCCCCGTGGGCGCATGGGAATGCGGTTCTTCGTGCTCCGCCTCGGTGTTCGAACTTCCATCGTACTCTTCCTCGTCCACCCACTCCCCGTCGATCTCGCCGTCATGGAAATCCGTCACGATAACCCCATCTCCGTCGTCCTCGTCTTCGTCGTCCTCGCCCAAATCGCCGCCGATCATACTGACCAGCTGCAGCAGCCCGGCCTGCGAACGCCAAAATTCATCGGCCGGCGGATGCTGCCGCTCGGAATGGAACGACCCGTCGTCCGTCGGCGCCGCGTCCGGCGTCGCGTCGTCCGACCGCTTGTCCGAGAGGTCGGGGGCCAGACTGACGATACGAATCGCCTTGGTCGGGAAGATGCGGCCGCGGCCTTGGCGCTGTTGCGGTTGCACGTCGCCGGGGACGTTGGGCAGGGACTGGCGCCAACCCAGAGTCTGTAGAGGGGGACGTGAGTCGGGAATGCGTTTACATTGTGAGGGTTCTGGTCGCAACCAGGGACGCGGAAACAGGGGGGCAGGGGCAGCACGTACCGTATAGGTGGCCATGATGGCGTCGTCGTACAAGGCCATAAAGCTGACGGGGACGGCCAATTGAGGCATGGAGCTCGTCAGCAGCGAGTACGAGGCCCGAGCCGGTCGATCGACATCTTGCACGCGGTTCTCGTCATCGAGCGCAACGACGTAGATGCGATCCTGAATCTCGAACATGATGCGGTGGTTGCGCACCGATAACCAACCTCCAAGATCGAAACTGGACCCGTCCGTCTCGCACTCCAGCAGAGCACTGTGGGCGGCCAGGCTATCGGGACCGTAGAGTGCCTTTCGGAAGTCCGAGCAGACGAAGACTCGGCCGGCACGCGAGAAGCCAACGAAGAGATCGCCGTGCAGCATACCAGCGCCCCATTCGTCTTCCGCGTGCCACACGTGCTCCGGGTCGGACGGCGGCGAGAGCGGCCCCTTGGCCAGATGGATCGGCACCAGGCAGTCATTGCGAGGCTCCCAGGGCCGGAACAATTCATGCGTCGGGCCGTGTCGCACGGCAGCCTCCAGCGCGGCGCTTGGAGAGGGAGCGGGGGCCGCCGGGGGCCGGATGTGGTACTTCTCGGTGCAATGCGTGGGCTGCAGCGCGCCCAAGAATTCCCCGGAGGTCTTATTGTAGGCATGGTATCCGCGCGGGCCCATGGAGTAGATGACCACGTCTGCGCTCTGGTCCAGGTGGCCGACGGCGTCATTTTCGATCCGTAGGTGCGTCGTTCGTGTCGGCGGTCGCTGCGTCATGTCGTAGACAAAGCCCTGTCCCTGGGTGGACACCACGCACAGGGTCCAATGTGACAACTGAAACCCTCGCGTCTGGCAATCGTGATCCAGAATGGCGATGCGGCGGAACTCCGCGCGCGCGGCTCCTTCGTGGTCCGCCTGCCAGACCTCCACGGCATCGCCTTCGCGATCGAACACGGCCATACCGTCCTGGTACTCGAGATGCGCGAAGGGGCGCACGGCGTCCTCTTCACGGTCCAGCGTGGAGGGGAGTCGCCAGAGCATGTTGCCCGTGTCCATATCGGTGACGTTCAACCCGCCGGCCTGCGAGGTCGAGATGAAGAAGCGACGCTTGAAGTCGGCCCGGAATCGCCACACGGGATCGTTTCCCACCTGCAGCACCGACTCGCGGCTGACGGGATGCGACCGATCCCAGTTGCGAGCCAGCAGCGTCTGACGCTTGCACAGGTCCTTCCATGACGCCGTCCCGTCGAACAGTTTGGCGAAACTGGTGCTGCCGGACAAAAAGGCAAAGTCACGGGCGCCTCCGGTCGGCTGTTTGGTTTTGGATTCGGCGCTGTAGATGGCATCCTGGTGAGTGCCGTCGATGAATTGGTGCCATGCCTTGGAGACGGTCGTCAGGCAGGCCAGCGCGGAGATGGGGGTGAATTCGAGGATGCGGAGGACGATCTCGGGAGGCAGGAGGGCGAGGGGGTCTGCCCCGGGCAATGGGGCAGTCATTGTCAGTTTGGGGACAATGGCCGAGTGGTGAAGTCGGTCCGAAGAATGACAGGCAAGGATGAAGAGGAAAGGGAAGGAAAAGGACTACGGAGTTACTGTGGGCGGGGAGAAAAATGTCGCGGGCCATATACTGCCGCGCCCCACCGCCCGGGTCTGCGATGATGTCATCGCGCTGACCGCACGTGACACTGCTCTTTCCGATCGTTCGGGGGACACGAAGGCTCAAATGTTGATCAACGGCTATGTGGTTTGCTAAGCTAGGACTCACTTTGGCCGGTCATTGTACCAGACATGGCCACATGGAAAGCGTCTATGTGGAACGCCCGTTCAATCCTACAGTCGGTGCTGTCGAACACTCAGTCCAACAAGGGAGCCCACGATGGAGAAGACCAAAGAGATGACTGTATACAAGTCAATACAAGGAACCGTTCTCTCATTAGCCAGTCGTTTGGGAAGCGACTAACGTACCGTAAGTATTCTTGAGCCCAGTCACGAAACAGCCTACCACAATGTCTCGTGCTTTTCCGTCGAGGCGAGCAATAAAGTCGGTGTCTGAAGTGGCGCGGCGGATGATCTGGTCGACTTAGCAACAAATCAAACCACTTGCCGGGGGTATACTCACCTCGGCTGCCCCGTCACCGCGCAAGTGATGCTGCAGCTGCGATTTGAACCCATGTCCGAGCACGGTGTTGGTCATGGTCACGCCGGTGGTCATGGCGAGACTGACCAGAAGCATGTAGCCGCTCGTCGCCATTGCTACCTCCTGAGGCTGCAGGAGAGCTGTCATGCTGACGAATGCCGCCGCGGATGCGATGCCCGTTCCCAGTCCACCAGGGGTGATATAAAGCGATTCCCACGCCCCCGTGGCTCCGTTCCATCGCACCAGGAGGAGCACGTGCGAGATAGACGCCACCAATCCGGCGACGACCAGCAGGGTCTTGTATCGACCGGTTCGTCGGATGAATGCGCCGGCCAGCAAGCCCCCGAACGTGTTGCCCACCACCGCGGGGACCATGTGACCGCCCGCGACGGTGGCCGAGGCCCGCTGGGTGACTTGGAAATAGAGCGGCACGGAGAATAACATGCCCAGCTGCGACGCGATCTGCAGAAACCCGATGAGATAGCTGGACGCCACGTTGGGGCGGCGCAGGATGTCGAGATGGAAAATGGGCTCCGAGGCCACGCGCATCTCGACCCACACAAACGTCGCCAGGGCGCTCAGTCCGGCACTGCCGAGCACCATCGTGGTCCACGAGGCCCAGGGGAACGCATGCCCGCCGCGGTCGAGAAGGACGATGACGGCCACGATCGAAATGGCGAGTAGGGCAGTCCCCAGAAAGTCCACCCGGCGAATCGACCCTTTCGACGATTTCCGATCCGACAGCTTCAGTTTCGCCAGGACCAAACCCGCGGCCAGCACGATAAAGGGAGGCTGAAGCAGGAAGAGCCTGAGTCATTCAATAGTCAGCGTCCAGGTCTAGCCCGGGGATTTAAGGAGGTGACTACCAGCGCCATCCAACCGCATCGGTCAGCCACCCTCCGACGGGACCACCCAGGCTGCGACCGAGAGTCATGAAGATGTTGATGTAGGCTCTCCACGAAGCGACCTCCCGCCGGGGCACCGTGTCTGTCCGCTTCGTTAACACGGGCACTCCCTCTCCGGACAGCGTTCAACCCGGCATACCTGTGATGATGATCGATCCTAAGGTCATGATGCCGGCACCCCCAATCCCGCTCACGGCGCGACCGACGATGACTGTCCAGAGATCTCGTCCCATTCCACTATGTTCCCGTTGGCCATCTTCCCGCCATGACCGATTGGAGTTACTTACGACGCCAGGCAGCCCGTGGCAAATAGAGCGTACGCGGCAAGAAGGAGAGGCCGTCGGCCGTAGATGTCACTCAACTTCCCATACTAGAACTCCTGTCAGCCTTGCCGCCTGCGGTCCGCGCGGGAAGCCTTCGGTCTCACCATAGGTTGTGCGGCGCACACCCCCAGCGTGTAGGCAGTAGAGAGCCAACTAGCGTCTTGCAGTCGATTGAACTCGGAGGAGATCTTGCCGGTCGTGGCCATGACCAAGGTGCTGTCTGCGTTGGATATAAACTCCCCTGCGGCATGTTAGTTCAAAGGGCGGGGTCAATGGATTGCAGACCTCGACTCACCAACTAGCAGAACGGCCACGATGGTCCGGATAGAGCCTTGGTCGACGGCTGGCGGAGAGGCTGTCGCGCTCTCCTCGTCGCCGGCAACATCCCCAGACGGCTGGCCTGTGGCCTTGGCGATACTTTGATAGGAGGCTCCCCCATTGCGATTCTCTGGGGCGGATGGGTTCAACGGCGAGGTTTCATCCACGTCTGCAACCATGATTGCGCGATCTCCAAATGATTGAATCGGAAATCAGAACACTCCGCATCGAACCTCTTTAATAGAGGCTGGTCATCCCCTTGTACCGGGCCATCTTTGATCCCAGATTGACGCTAGACAAACCATCCGTATCGATGCTCTTTGACTGGATGGCTCAGTGTCCGGCTCCTCCTCAAGAGATGAAAGTCCCCACCCCGTCGATGCTTTGACGCCAATTAACGAGAGGGGAGCTGTGGTGCTCATCGGGATAGGGAAGCACGTCATTCTGGCATTTAGTGTGCACTCGGTAGTCAGTTCCGTAATCTTTCATCATTCCTAAAAAGCCGAGCCGAGCCGAGCATGAACGCAATGTCTATCCATCGTCAGACATCCAACACTGGCGTTGCGTGGCCAAGGGTGCCCGACAAGGGACCAATTCCAGGGCGCGTGAAGGGGTGTTTTGTTTGGGTCCGTCGGGAGTCCCGCCAGCCGGACTGCCGCTGCCCACGTGACCACGCCGTATATATATTCGGTTAGATGGAGTCTGAGTCCAGTGGCCATTACTAAATACTCTGACAGTAATTGTTTAGTCCCCTCTAAGTACTGGGAGGATACAAGAAAAAAAAAACTTTATCCTCGTCATGCATAGCACCAGTCGGCTAACTAAATTATACGTATGGAAGACCCGACTCGGAGAGACCGTAATTCCCATGATCCAGGCCTACGTCACGAATGCTATGACCCTCACCCAATAACATGAGGTTGTCCCAGTATCGATCGTAGAAATCTACGACGTCCGTGGAACCGGCAAAGGGCGTCGCGCCGGTCTGGTTCGATGCGTCCTGCCCCAGATAAAACGTCGCGTCCATAAGGTCGACATCCAAGGGACTGGTCTCATGGCTGTCGAGCAAGAGCTCCTGGTGGTCCTGGTCACTGGGTGTGAATGTGTGCCCGGGAGCGAAACAACCGAAGTTGCCGGTCGCTGGAGATTCTCCCTGTCTCGGAGTGGACCCGTGCTGCAGGTGGGTAGTGGCAATCTTCAACATGATCTGGAGCGCCTCGGCCGTCTTGAGAGCTTCTTTGGACTGGTGCCGTACATAGTTCCAGATGTTATAGGACCGTGCCAGGTCCTGGGAGAGCCGCATCCGCTCCGCGAGAATGGACTGCCGCTGGTCGGAGGATAGATTCTGCTTGAGGTCGTGTCGGGACTGGCAGGCAATCTCCAGCGACACGAGCATGGCGGCGGAACGAAAGTGCATAAGGACGACGGGCGAAAAGAAGAAGGAGGCGTAGCCCAGCTGGCCGCCGGGAGCGCTGGCGTCGAAGATGTCGGACTGATGCTGCAGCACGCGTCGCGCGGCATCCAGACACTCGCGGCGCGAATAAGCGTACTTGGGGTCCAGGCGATGCTGGGCCAGATATCGCCGGTGCAGATCGCACCGCGCCTTCTGGTACATCAGATCGATATTGTAGCGATCCATGATGGTCGTGGGGGCGTCGGCAATCGAGTCCCCCAGCGGTTGGAATCGCAGCGGCGCGGGTACGGTCGCCCGCAGCTGTCGCAGAGTCGCGTCCAGGCGCCGGACCTCGTCGTAGGGGACGCCCCGGACGGAACAGACCTTGCCAATGATCTCGGCGCCGACAAACATGATCCGGTTCAGGGTGGCTGGGAAGAGAATATGTGTTTTCTCGGTCGGGAGGCGGGCCAGGGGCAGCGTCGTCATGGACGGATCCAGGTCGTCATCGGTCAGATTGCGCGGCTCGTCGGTATCGGACGACGACTGGATGGTCGTCGGCGGCAGACCGGCCTGCAGGGAGATGTAGTGATCGAGAAGCGAGAGATACATCCACACGCGACGGCGCATCTCGCCGTCGAACACCGAGATTCCGGGGTAATGCTTCGGGTCGCGATGATAGCCGGCGTGCATGGCCAGCCGGCTGGCCAGCCCCAGCAGCACGGACGGACCGACATGGGTGTCCGTGCTGCGGAGGATCTCGCTCGCGACGTTAAGCACGAGCGCTTCGATCTTGTACCGCCCGGGGTCCGTATACCCCGACATGGTGAGGCAGTGTGCTGCTCGGCGATGATACTCGTCGAAGGCCTCGGCCAGATCGCCGTCGGCGCGACCGGACGTGGAGAAGAGATGCAGGCCGGCGGAGGCCCCGAGGATACTATACAAGAACGCTAGCCAGTTGAGCGATGCCGCCTCCGGGTTCTTCCAGAAGGCAGCGTACTGGAGGGCGACACGGTAAGTACTCGAGAGCAGACGGGGAGGGGGTTAGGGCTGCACCGACCTCTCTGGCGAATGTCGGGATGTGCATCACCACTGTCCGCCGGTCAGCGACCACGTCTAATTTCCGGCACAAGGGCTGGACCATGCCTACCGAGAGGAGCCTCTTTCGAGTTCAAATAGAAGGAAACCAGACGGTCGGCGACAGACCGAGCCGGCAACGCCGCGAGCAAATCGGCCTGGGTGCAGGAGATGGCATTCCCGAACAGAAGAACTGGCCCCGAGACGGCGGTCTCCCCTTCAGCGTCGTCTTCGGGGGAGGTGTCTTCACTCACCTGGAGATACTCTTTCACCTCCGCGATCTGCATGTCGGGTCAGTCAGGGACCTCGAGGGGAGGGTGGACCGGTTGGATCTACTTGCCTCGTCCAGCACCGCCTGCCAGTGGGTCGGGTCGCGATAGCTCGTGCCCTGCTCGTTGCTGATCAGCATAGTTCCGGGGTAGCTGGTCTGTGGCGCCGATTGATCTTCTGCGTGCTGCGGTGGTTGGACATCTGCCGGGGTGGGCTGCACTGGTGGAACCGTCGGGCTGCTGGTTAATGACGGCACATCGACGGCCGATAGCTGCCGGATGCGGGCTTCGAGACTCTGGATATGATTCTGGATGCCCTGCGTTTCCTTCCTGGACATCGGCCCCACGTACTGGCACATGTGGGAGCGACAATGCTTGATGCAGCTGTCGCAAGGAAGCAGGCGGTTGCACTTGAGTCTGCACGGGGGCGTTAGTCACGTCCGAGGCCAGACAGAGAGACGAGCACGGACTTTTTCTGGCGACAGGGAACGCATGAGAGCTTGGGGCGCGGCTTTCGCTTTTTGGCCGACAGGGCTGTCGGATTTACATGGTGGTGGGCGTCCATGTCCAGATGCGCGGAGGTCCAGAATAATAATATGTCCGGCGGGGCGAAGATGGAAGATGGAAGATGCCTCGTCATCGGCACTAGGCCCCTTCCAGCCCTAGCGCCGGACATGGTCGACTTAGCGCCGGATTTGTTGATGCAGTCCGGAGTATTTAGACGCTGCATCTCACAGTATGGACGTCCATCATCACTATACTTGTCCCTGCAAACCACCCCAGACCATGGATCCAACCGGCCTGCTGCCGCATAACAATCCACTTTACGATGAAGACTCGGCCACGGATAGCTCCGCCGTGGTAACTATATCCAGCTCACCAGTATCACGGATGGCGGACATCACGGTCATGGGTGGCTCCCTGCCTCAATCCCCGGAGCTCTGGGCCGACTTCATGTATTCCGACTACCCCTACCATGCCGCCACCGCGTGCGGCCTTTCGCCGCTCACCTCGTCACCACACGATGCCCTGACCGACCAGAGGCCGGATGACCCGTTGGCAGTCGGACTGGACCCATTGCTGGTGCCCGTAACGAGTCTGCCTGATCTCGATCTCTCGGCCGGGGGGCTGATCCCCTCCATGATGGCGCCGATGCTACCGCCGGAGATCAATGATTCGCATTCCTCATTCTCGCAATCGGCCGCTTTTCCGTCATCAAAAGCTCGGCGACGGGGCTGGCTGAGTCCCGGCGCGGAAGAGTCTGGCGGGGATGATCGCTCCCTCTCGCCCGCCGGAGAGGAAGGACGACTGCAGGAGAGGCGACGCCGCAATAAACTGGCGTCGCGAAGGCTGCGGCAGAAGCACCTGGACCATGTGGCCGATTTGGAGTCCCGGTTAGAGGCGATGACGCAGGAGCGCGACGGGTTGCGACTGCGCGTGGCAAAGTGGGAAGGGGAAGCGATGGCTCTGAGGAAGTTGCTGGAGAATCGAACGAATGGCTGAGGACGTCAGGGCATATGACTGACACGAAGCCGTCAAATGTACCCTAATGTGAATGTATCGGACAATCCAGGACCATCCGGTGAATGTAAATGGCTTCAAGTTATTAGCGGGTTGATGGGAAAGAGGTTCGAGGCGGATGAGCGTGTCAGGCCCCCAGGCAGAAAGGCCCCCAGGCAGCCACGGCGGGCCCGTGACTTCCATCGTTCATCATCATCATCATTCTCCATCCTCCACTAATCTGTTCCCCCCCACAGCTTCCGCAGAACCCGTCTTGATTACCTATTCCTACTTGGCCATACCCGTCCGTCCATATGGAAGATGATCTGATGGTCCATACCGCAGGTGCGTGCTGCCGACTACGTAAGAATTGACCTACGCGATCTGAACCCTAGTGTGCGAGTCATATTCTAGTATGTACAACACTACCACAACTCACCCAACTGAGCTGCGAGCTGACGTGAAGATTGACCAGGGCAAGCTGGGGACACTGGGCCTTCAATCCATTGTCAAGAACGCGTGAGGGAAATATACATCCGCGCATCTCGACAATCCATCGCCCGACACATGGTCCAAATACTCAGAACTATGCTTTTCGCGCATCAAATTGTCTTCCCGCATAGTAGCGATAAGTCTTGACTGTTAAAACTCGGAGCTTCTTGCCGTAAACCAGGAAGATGGCGGTCCCCAGAATGATGGCGGTCAGCAAGACTCCGATGGTCACGAACACATTCTGGGCGCCAACGTCCTCGATCCACGGGTCCAGGGCGAAGATGAAGATGGTCGAGACGAGATTGCGTGTGAACGTCACGCCAACCAGAGAGTCGCCCACGATCTATCATATGTGAGTGAGTAGCCATAGAGAATTTCCGGCAGTAGACAAGCGCAAGCCTACCTCAGTATAGGCATCCGTGATATACGTCAGAGTTATGCTCGCTGTCGGAGCAATTCCCGCTAGACACAGACCATACCCAACGGCCAATAACGGCCACGGCAGTCCATGCTCCAATCCAATGCCGAACAGAAAGATGCCAGTAGGGATGCAAGGAAGAAAGGCAAGGATGATCCACAGTCGCATCTCCGGCTCGTAAACCCCCTTATTCCGTCTGGCCAGGAACAGAATCAGCCAGTCGCTCAGCGGCCCGGAGACTAGGGAACCGATGGTACTGCCAATCCATGGCGCCAGGTTCATCATGCCGATTTGCTGGGCATTGAAATTATACGGGTCGCGGGTCATTTTGGTCGAGAGGGTAGTGCCGATGACGTCCGATGCAGCCATCATGCCGCCATATACCAGTGACGTGAAGAACACCGCAGGGATACTGAAGAGAATCAGAAACGGCTGGTAGCTGTGCCGGGCAAAGGGCCGCATCGAGCCTGGTGACGATATCCACGGCCGCAGTCGCTGCCAGTAGGTCCGTAGGGGGATATTGGGGTCAATGGAAGGTCGTGGTGACGGGGTGGGAAGATCAAGCTCCGATGCCTCTTCTTTGGCGTTGGTCTGATCTTTCTCCTTTTCGTTCTTGTTCGCCAAAGTGGCCCCCGGTGAAGGATCACCGGAGACCGGGGAGACTCCATCGATGGCAACATGGCAAAATTTGGTCTCCTCGTAGAGAAAGACCATGGCAAAGAAGGTGATGGCAAAGAAAATAGCCGTCCACCACCAGACCCAGCGCCATCCCTGCCCGACGGTGATGCTTCCAGCCACTACCGGCGTGAGTTTGGCCCCGATGTATGTCGTCCACACGAAGAGGCCGTTCATAGTTCCTCTTTCATGCACGAAGAAGACATCGGCGACCGTGAGCTGCACGATCACCTCGAACAAGGCGCCCAGGAAGCAACTGAAGGCGTTGATCAGAAGGAGATCGACGGCCGTCTGCAATTTTGCCGACCAGATGGAAATGCCAAATTGTAGCAGCGTACTAACCAGGTAGACCGGTCGACGCCCAAATTTCAGCGCAAACGGCATCAGGACGAAGGCGCCAACAGCCAGCATACCGCACCCGATGGCATAGCTGTTATTCAAAGTTGCGTCGCTGAATCCGAGCTGCTCTTGCATAGGTCCCCAGGTGGGAGTGGCCGCGTTGATTCTGCCGAAGCCGTGCTGTCAGCATATACTGACTGTCTTCCAGATCTGGGCGACTTACAGTGCATTCACCATCACGACGTACAGCGTCACTAAACCGAAATTGAGATACTTCCGCCATCGTGGCCAGTTCTATGCGGGGTGAGAGGGTGATCCGACTCGAGACTAGGGTGATGGAAACCTACCAATGGATCATTTGGGTTGCTCGAGGGTCGTGGCTCTAGCAGGATCTCGCCATGCGAGTTTTGGCTTCGAAGATCTGTCATACAGACGAGTTAGCGTCGTTGTCTCTGCCTGTAGCGAACCACCTACCCTGCAGTAGAATCGTTCCCGGAGGCCGGGCCGTGGTGTCGCGTGATGCATTCATTCTGCTTCCAGGATGAACGAGGCTTTAGCCGGTTGTTTCCTTCCACGCGTTGACTCTTTTATATTTTATACTCTATGGTGGTTATCAACTACCGGCGGCATTTGCCGTCTCCGGCACTACTGGAGTCTGGGGTAAGTGAACTTGTATTTGTGGGCACACTAGCATTTTATCTCGAATTATCAATGGAATCCACGAAGTGAGATCGCCACAGAGCCACTATCTTAGAGCGGCTTTCTCCGCCAACCATCGGGCGGTATTTTCCGCTCCTTATCGCCCTGGCTCAATCCTTGCGGCCACTAGTGAGCCTTTAGTCCGACTGGCTCTGCGACACGGCGCAATCTCGACGCAAACCACTCCCAACATTGAGTGCTGAAAGCAAAATGCCACCTGCTAGACGCGGTGACGTACATGCTCGAGGGAGAGCCGCTATCACGGCCTGCATTCGATGTCGGCAAAAGAAAAAGCGCTGTGATCAAAGGTTGCCCGTAGGTGCATTCCAGACGATGTTAATGAGCGAGCACCGCGGCTAACGGATTCAAAGAAGTGTTGCTTGTGTGATGCAGCGGGTGAGGAATGTCTGGCATATGACATTGCTACCAAGAGGAGAGTACCCCGAAGGTCAGAGAGGCAATCATCCGCTGGTGGCGATGAGTCTGCTAACATCGTCACTGTGCAGCTATACACACAGTCTGGAGCAGCGCGTGGCATATCTCGAATCCAAGCTCCGCCAACAGAAGGGTGACGATCAAGAGCTTGCCACTCCCCAGTCCCCTCGTGCGGTGGTTGACTCGCTTCCAAATACACCCTCACTTGAATCGGCTGTTCTCGGCCGCGATGTCAGCGCTGCGGTGGCGAGTGTTCGCGGTCTCACCCAGCGTGGCCCCGAGCCCGAGCCAACCTATGCTCAGCTTTTTCTGGACGAGCTGATGCGCTCTCGAATGACATCTCCGTCCCCGAAATGCCCCTCTGCAACTAGTGATCTTGCAGATGAGTCCTCGCGCGTATTGAACAATCTCGACACCAGACCGGTGTCGCTGCCAACCAGGGAGGCCGCGCAGACTTTGGTGAAGGTATACTTCCAGACCACGAGCATTGGCATGCCGCTGTTACATCAACCGACGTTCGAGGAAAAGCTGGCGCGACTCTATGAGCTGCCTCGAACGGTGAATTTCGCAGAAGTCCACACCGCCCAAGAGTCTCGAATGGCGGTCTTTTTCGTCTTCGAGGTGTTCGCCGTTGCAATTCTGTCAATGCAGAAACAAGACCCGTCGCGGATTCCGATCTGGATGGCGGACCGATATCATCAAACCGCCGTGCGAGCCTTGAGGGAAGCCGGTATTCCCAACAGTGTCGAAGGAGTGCAGGCATTATTGGCCATCGGACAGTATTCCTATCATCACCCAACCCTCTGGGCTGTCTGGAAGACTGTCGGGTCTGCTCTACGTCTATCCATCGAGCTTGGCCTGCATGAAGATTGCCCAAACGGAGATCTCGACCCGCTGACGCTGGATGCTAGGAGAAGAACGTTTTGGGTGGCGTATGCGATGGACCGGAACATCTCGATCGTCTTGTCTATGCCATCCTGCGTGTCTGATGGTGCAATCTCAGCGAAGGTAATCCCGACTTCTGCCTCCTGCGTGATCTGTAGTGCTGAACATCGCCCAGTTCCCAAGCGAGGTCGAAGATGTATGCATTACTCGAGATGGGATCGCGACTACCATTGCCCACTCATCCCCAAGCAAGCGCATTAGCCTTCATCTCTTTCGATACCGCCAGATACAGTCGGAAATGCGGACCGCGCTATATGAAAGACCCCCTCCGCAATGTGCGCCCGTTGATTTGAGTCGGTGGCAGCGACAGATGCATCGTCAGATTGACCTCTGGTATCAAACCACCCCAGCGGATGAGAATTTCAATGACATAGAGAAGGGAGTAGTGAAAACCCTCGAGGTCACGTATCATACAGCACTCTTGTTTCTCTACCGTCCCTCTCCCAACATTCCTTCTCCCTCCTCCGCTCAACTCCTAGCCATGTCGCATGCGGCCGCGGACATGATCCAACTCTACCGCCAGTTCTTCCGCGAACGCCTGTTGACAATATACTGGCTGGCCGTGGAGAACGTGTACTCGGCAGGCATTTCCCTGTTATTTGGATACGCACACTCAGGACAGGTCCGGGAGCAAATGACGCTCCGCTTCCTCGAGGCCCGCGTTCATACCTGCTCGTGCGTTCTCTGGGGGATGGTCGAACACTTCCCTGCATTCCAGGGGAAGCGAGATGCATTTGACCTGGCAGCCTCTAAGGTCCTCGACAATCTGAGGTCATCGAGGCAAGAAGGTACAGTCACGGCCGGCGAAACTTCCTTTGGGAACGCGGAGGGCCCGGTGTCAGTTCCACGACAGCAAGCATCAGACTGTGTCGGAGATCGGACTGCGTCGGGGCAGGACGAGCAGGCATTGGTATCCCATCCTGTCCCAGCAGACCAGTCTAGCCTGTACACTGACTTCGCGGGATTCCCCTTCGTGAGCTTTGACGATAGCCTCTCATTTCTCTGGGAGACCACCGCGACCAATACTGGGTACGCTCCGTCAGCCTGGATATAGTTAGATAAATCTCAGAATCCTCACTCCATATTAGATGATCTCGACCATCTGGGGAGCAGTAGTTTACTGGATGAGCTGCACGAAACTCTGGACTAAATTGATGCCAATTAGGCCCAGTCAAGGCTGGACCAGTCAATAGTCACCATTTAGACCCACCATGCCCATCGTCACCAGCAGATGCCCTGTTATTGGCTTCATCTTTAGCGTAACAGCTCCGCCGGGCCTCGCGGAGAATCCCGCGCCCACGGGCTTTGCCGACTGATCTGCGATGTTTCCTGCGACTGTCGTGGCTATCTTTACCGGTATATAATTCTCCTCTTTCCGACATTGTATAACCGGGAAAATAGGTCAGGACGTGCTTCGTCAAGAACCTCGCAGACATGAAGCCCTCACTCCCAGTCCCAAATTCCAGCCTCTCCATCTGGCATCGCACCACGCGCGCATTCCCTCACCTGCATGCCAACCGTCTTGCCGACGTTCCATCGAGAGCCAAGTATCTTGTTATCGGGTCTGGCATCTCTGGTGCCCTGACGGCGTATAAATTAATCGAAGCTGGCGCACAAGCCGATGAGATCCTGATTCTGGAAGCTCGAGAAGCGGTGTCCGGGGCCACTGGGCGTAATGCTGGCCACATTCGACCGGGTATGATGATCTCTGCTGGTGGTAAATCCCTTTTCTAATACCATTTTGCAGATGCCTTTCGCGGCTTTCTTGATTACGCCGCAGTGCATGGATCCGAGCAAGCCCGAAAGATCTTGGAGAACGAGCGAGTCGTATTAGCACGAGTCCGTGAATTTGTCAGTGCCAACAATGTCGACTGTGACTTCAAGTACACCACCACCTTTGAGGTTTGTCTCTCGGAGGAAATAGTCAATCGTTCGGCGAAGGCTCTGGCAGCATATGAGGCTGCCGGGGCCGATATCTCGCACATCAAGTTCTTTGAAGGCGAGGAGGCCAAAGAAAGGACTAGAGTTCGCACTGCGTTGTCTGCTTATGAGTCACCAGCTGCATCAAACCATCCAGGTAAGCTATGTCAGTGGATCCTATCCGATGTGATCAAAAAGGGAGTCAACCTGTGGACGCATTGTCCCGCCACGCAAATCGTGAAGAGCCGAAGATCCACGACACATCGATGGGATGTACACACTCCGCGAGGCATCGTCGCGGCCGAGACCGTAATTCACTGCACCAATGCCTACGCAGCGTATCTGGTGCCCGAGCTAGACCAGTTCATCAGTCCTCGCCGGGCACAAGCCCACGCGTTCATACCTCGGCGTTTGCTCTCTGGCAGCGAGACATTGCAGCATACAATGGCCCTGCGATACGGTCCGGAACAGTTCTTCTCCGTCAATTCCTTGCTCAACGGCACAATCCTACTCGGTGGGACGGGCACCAGGACAGGCTCTCCCGGCCAGGACGGTCAGCCCATCGATTTGGCCACCTTCGACGACACCGGATATAGTAGGCATATTGCTGGAAATAGTACGAGAGAGTTTTTCGAGCTGTCACAGGAATCCCAGACCAAGCCGCTCCGTCATGGTGAGGGATTGGACCACGTCTGGACGGGGATCATCGGCGTGACACCGGATCGGATTCCCCTGGTTGGGTCGATTGAGGGCCTTGAGGGCCAGTGGGTCTGTGCGGGTTTCAACGGTCACGGTAGGCACCCTTATATTCGCCCATTGTCCTTGCATATTCTGACATATATCTAGGTATGGCGGGTATCTTCACATGTGCTCCTGGCCTGGTGAAGCTGATCAATGGGGGCTCGTGGGAGGAGACTGGACTGCCCGAGTGCTTTCAGTATAGCAAAGCAAGGATCGGCAAGTCCACCCAGCGTCAGGTTAAAAGCTCACTATGAGCAACGAACGATGCTTCTCATTCTCGTATATCAGCTGTTGATAAATTTCCATAACAAATTTCTCCAAAGATCATCAGAAACATGACCGGTTTCTCCATTATGATTATGCGTGGAAATTGGAAATAGGGTTTCCATCTATTAGAATAACACGATCCGGTAGCAAGGCAGAGGTCATCTAAACACAATATGGACTCGGGATGATGATGGCAATGACTTCCATGCTGTTTGCTCTTCCTCGAGATCCACAGTTTCTCTGGCGTTGCTCCGCCTCTGAGTAGTTGCATTGACTCCTGGGAAATTCTGTTTCAATTTTTCAATCACTCAGACCTATCGCATTTGTCCGTAGTAAAAGTAAAAAGAAAGAATAAGGCCTGGAATCTGCCCATTATCGAAGACGGCGCGTAGGCATAAACATTGAATCTTGCGAAGACAGCATCAATCTGGATCCTGACTCGGGCTATCGAAGAATTTCACTCTTATTCCCTTACTCTCTGCCGATACCTCACCAATGAAACAGTCCCTGGTAATCTCCACATCTCGTCGCGTCGTGTTGTGGAGATCCAGGTTTGAAATCCTAAACAAATACCCTAGACATAGATAGAGCTCCGCATGAGCAAAGCTACACCCCAATAGGATAGGTTAATGAGGGCTTTCTTCAAAGCTTTCCGTGGAATAGAAATCAACATACTTCAATCCAACACACATCCGACTACCTCGCCCAAAAGGCACGTAGGCGTTTTGCATCCATTCCAAGCCGTTACTTGGTGTGTCTATCCAACGTTGCGGCTGGAATTCCGAGGGGCCGTCGAATATCGATGGATCGAGCAGGACATCCCGCAGCGTCATACCGATGGGGGTCTCAAAGCTATTGTTAGTGCGTTTTGCTTGATAGGGGTTTAGAGAACTAACTCCGGATGGAATAATCCAGTTCCGATAAGCCAAAGGCTCGTCCGGACAAACAAGCGGTAGCCTTGACGCTACTAATGCGGTGATACGGAGAGACTCCCTAATGACGGCAGTCTGTTCATGTCAGGACTTTTTCTTTACAACGGTGCATATCTTTTAAAGATGGAAACATTGAACCATACCAGCCATGGAAGCTTCTCCAAGCGTGCCAGAGGTACTCTTGTATTCGGGTCTGGGATAGCCTCAGTAAGCTCTCGCTGAAGCTCCGGCAGAACTGTGCGTCGATTGGCGAGGACATGGTACAACGCGTTGGTCAACATCCGAGCCGTGGTCTCGCCGGCAGCAACTACGACTACGAATCCCTCTTGGGCGATTCGCTGCGCGTATTTGTCATCTGTCGGTATTGACTTGCTTGAGAGGATGCTATCAAAAAGATCGAGTTGATGATCAGATGTCTTGAGTTTCGTATGATCGCGCGACCTTCGAGTGGCCTGCCGTGCCTTTTTCTCCATTGTCTGTTCATCGAGGTAAGTATTTTGTCACTCGGTAAGTCATTATAAAAGAGCATCAATTGCTCACCACTCTAAATTCTGCAATACCGGCCACGCTCGGGAAGAATTTGCGTAGGAGATCTAATGGTAACTTTAGTGCGATGGGAAGAATCCATGTAAACTACTTGACCCAGGGTGTAAGAAGCGCAACTGTATAGATAGTTTTCTTCCAATCATTTGCCTTGCGTTCTGATTGTAACAAGCATAATTCAACGTCGGCAAATGTGTGCTCGCAGACGGTGTCCGTAGCAAAAGCCAGGAAGTTGGTCCGCATTTCGGTGTGGCCATAATGTGAAACTTGATATTGGACAGTTTTACAGAGCTCTTTCACCTTGTTGTATATCAGAGGCTCAACAGATGTCGTCATGGCTTTGGAAAAGAATGGACTAATAGCCGCACGTCTTCGTCTGTGAGTTTCATGCTCCACAGTTCCGAATACTGCGTGAAATTCCACCACCAGACCATCATCAGCGCTTGATATCTCTGGGCTCTAGGGGGATCAAGAAGAGTCTTACTCGCATCTGGTGTACCTGTCATGTGCGCAGCAGCTTTGTATTTATTTCTCTTGCCCTGATCTAATTAGCTTGAAAGGCCAATGGAATAACGACAATTCAAAGGCATGATATACCGTTGCAGGACCACAGTAGAGTGTATCAAACCAACTCGAATCCTTCACATGGAGCTCATCGGGGTTGATGCGCACAATAGGTCCTTAATAGCGTCAGAGCCACCATCGCTAGAACAGGAAAGAAGACGTGGTTGAGGCACACAGCTTACCATATATATCATGCATTCGGTTGATCTCGTGCATGAACTGGCCGCCAGGGCCCTTCATGAGATCAAAGTACGCTTCATACCATTTCGAGGCGGCTGCCAGCTTTGGGCCAGGGAATTTTGCCAAAGGATGGAGAAACAGCCGGTAGGCGACAGTACAGGCTGCGTATAAAATAGTTATGCTGGCAATGATAATTCCGTAGAGCATCTTCCTTTAGCCAGCCTCCGTTTCTGGTTCTTAGTGGCTTTTCTATCTATCAAGCTGGCTGGCGCAGGAGATTTATAGGGGGGCAGTCCACTCCAAGGAATATCAAAATAGCAACAGCCCGCATGCCAAGGCTTTCACTTGCGAGTTCCTTAGAGTCTACGTGTTTTACAGTGGCTATGTCGCGGGTCACATCGACAGGTCTTGTCAAAGCATGGAGCCTCTCTCCTTCTGGCCACTTCAAAACTGTTGGTATAGTAAATGATTAGCAATCAAGATTCTCCAGCGCCGTAGCCGCCACACAGGACGTGAATTCTGGAATGAATCAGTTGGTTGCTTGCATGGGACTAGACAATACGAGTCGGTCATTTGTGCGTCGTTATTCCGTCAAATCCACGATCAGGGTGGGAAGATGTGGACATGTTGGACCCGCAATGCATTGGCCGTGATCGCCAAGGCAATCGTCATCTTGGACGTTGATATCCCCAATAAATATCAACGTCTGTTCGATTTGTTGGTATTTGACCAGGATGTCCCTCTTTTGTTTGCTTCTTTCATAACGACGTACTACGCCGCTCTGCATAGTGGTATGATTCCAACTCTTGGCTGGCCAATCCGCGACACGATATTTACTTGGCAGTCCAAGCATCTCCAGGGCCTGGGTCCATTCGGTAAGAGTGGGCTGTATGTAGGGAAATGACCATAAGACGTTATAATTGTGGCCGAGAGGGACCAGAGGTGAGTTCTATCGGTGACAGCGGGCGGTATGTAGGGAAATGGCCACAAGGCGTTATAATCGTGGCCGAGAGCGACCAGAGGTAAGAAAGATCCTCCGATCGCCAATGGTATCTCAAATCCTACGAACCAGCGGCGTTGGATGCCACCGCCCCTGCAGGCCATCCCGCGGTGCACCGGCGTACCCCGGTCTTTGGCGTGAGCTTGGGGTGGATCTGCCCGATCGCTTACGCATCTCTGATAGGATGTCATGGAATGATGACTGCAAATTCCCCAAATAGGCCGCACGACGCGGGCCATATATGAATGCTCTGTCATATTGCGAGCCCCAGTCCCAACATTCTGGAATTGGAATAAGCCGCATTAGACCTTCATGGCCTTGGCAGATAGTTCAACGTGGTCAGCGGATACTGGCCCTTTGCATGGATATATGCATCAGGGTATGTCCAACTCGTTGAGCCGCCTTTATTTGGGCCATCCGAAAGTTTTCTGTGGAGTAAGCCGTTCTAATTTCCTTATGAGGGCACAAGGCCGGGATGCTCTACTCTTGCACCAGTGACCTGTCCGCATCCCTATAGTAGACTTTGGCCTGTTATCCATGTCTCTTGTGGTGCGGGGATTGACACGGGGCTGAATAGTGACATGGGGCTCCTAATCTTCCATGAAGCCTTCGAGGCTGACACCCGTCCTGGGATGTTGAGCCGATTCATTATCAATTCTGCCATGACGGAAGTAAAAGCGGCAGACGAGAATCAAGGTGCCCGAAAGATTCCCTCAACCTTTATTTTTCATTTTTCAATTCTCTTGCCGCAGGAATAACGCCGCCATGGGATTCGTGTACTCACTGATCTGGCAAAGCCCCCGTCAGCGTCTACTACAATCGTTACGTGGACGCACCTTCACTATTCCAGATCTCCCAAGCGCCTTCGCCCACTGGCCTCAGGGTGTTCATCCAGAGATGCCCCGTCTCGCTGGTGAGGTTGATCGAACTATAATCAGATTCTACCACGAACCCAGAATCTTTCGTAAGATGAAAGAGGCGGATGCTGCTTCCTTTGGAGCGATGTGGTGGCCGTATGCTTCATTTGACAGACTCTGCATTGCAACCTATCTATCAATGTGGGTGAGTGCTTCATTGGTCAAAGCCCTGGATGTTACCTACTCGCTAACGCCTTGTAGCTCTTTGCCTGGGATGATGGTAAGCATGGTTCAATTTATGGCTAGGTTCAGGCCAGCGTGGTTGATCGCTAAAACGATGCTAGAAACGGACTCAACGGAGATTTCCCATCTTGTTCATCAGACCGACAAGGCAGCTCGCTTCCGCGAGCAGACGAGGGAATTTATTCATGCTTGCCTTTCCTGCGATAAGGAAGGTCCCTCAGAGCTCCCCGTCGATGGGCTGAACAACCCCTTCATTGCGTCTTTCCAGGTAGTCGGCGAGGCCATAACGCGGTCCTGTAACGAGGGTGAGCTCCTTTGTTGTCCTCGTGAAGCTGTTCTCTCGTTCTGAACTAGTAATAGATCAGGTTAACCGATTTCGCTTGGAACTGGACAAGTACATTGATATGGCAGGTCTCGAGCAGAACATCCAAATGACCAACCACCTTCCCACGGTTGATGAATATTGGAACCGTAGAAAGGGGTCGAGTGCAGTCGGGGTTTGCCTTGCCATTACAGAGTGAGTTGCTCATTCCCTTGCCGGGTGCTTTTGATGAAGCTGACTAGTTGCTGTCACAAGATACTGCTATGCGATGGAAATTCCCCCAAATATTATGGGCGGAGCAGACATGCGTAGGCTATGGGATCTAATCAATATCATCGTCTCTTCGTAAGTGCTGAACCATTTATGCGTGTTTTGTGCTCTAACATTCTTCTGTCGTTAGAACAAATGATATTTTGTCACTCAAGAAGGAAATTGTGAGTCACCAATACACAAATGCGCGGGATATCGAATCCATGATACTAATGACAACAGGCGCAAGGCCAAACCGACTCACTCGTTCCTATACTGTACCTTCAGTATGGATCATTACAAACGGCCGTTGATGAGGCCGCAGACATGATATTCTCCTCCGCGAAAGAGTTTGATCAGCTGGCAGAGAAACTCTTGAGCAGTCAACCAGAAGACGACGCTCAAGACAACTTGCGAAAGTTCATTGACGGCTGTAGATACTGCTGTTCAGCCAATCTAAACTGGAGGTATGGGTTCCGTCCTAACGAGCATACCAAGCTGATTTGAGGTGCAGCCTTCGATCCAAACGGTTCAAGCTTAACGCCCAGTCTCTCCAAAGCGGTTTTGAAGTCACACTTTCAACCAATTAATTGAAGCAGTTAGGAATGTGTTAGCAATGAGACAATCACTGGCATCCAAAATGCAGGGTCCCATGACTGTGACACAGGGTGCAAATGACAAAGTGAAGGGGAAATCCATGAAAACATGCACAAATGGGCTTAAAGACTATATTCAACAAGCAGCCAAGGATCAAGCATTCCTTTCCATGGGGTTAATCTTTCCGGACTGTCGCTTTATTCTCTTTACTATTTCTTCCACGTCCTCCCATATCCGCTGTCGATTCTGTAGACCTTTGAGCTGCGACCAGTTCCGCTTGATCTCCGTATACAACTGGTACCAGTTCGTTCTGTCCCTCGGCAGTATATTTTGCTGTATCACGCTTGCTGGCAAAGGCAACAGATAGTCCATGGCCTCGTGAGGGTTTCCATCCCGATATTCTTCCTTCAGGACGCTATCATAATGCTCTCTTCGCTGGAAAAGGAGTCGCGCCCCGTTTGCCGTCACGGATGTCCATATTGATGGACGGTGCACGCATTCCTTCCCATCCCAGGCCTCCCAGAGCCAAGGCATTTCGTCTCGGATAAGATGGTACCATAGACTTATGGGCAGTTGTTCGTAGGCTCGGGAGGCAAGCCGTAGATTTGCAATATCACGAGATGTGATATATTCCAGGATGAGAAGACGAATGTCCATCGGCAAGGTTGTTAGAGGGTCAACCGGAGTGTCTCGGGGGTAGCCGGGGCGGCAGGAGAGGTCAAAGGCTCCCTGCTGTGGACTAAGATTCCCTTCGAGGGCGACCGCGGCGTCAAGAAGGGGGGATAAACGGGGGACGAAGAGTGGGTTGGCAGCCAAATATTCATTTCCAGGATCATGACGCCAGAACTGTTCTTGGGCGCTGGCAGCGTCACCCGTCCGGGGGAATGCGTAGAAGTCATCCCACGAAAATTCTGCATTTCGCCACTCCATGAGGCCGGAAATGTTGACGCGGCCGAAGTGGATTTTGGATTGACGGCAGAAGATATCGAAGCACCATGGGTGAAACGGCATTGCGTACTCATTTGCCTCGGTGTACTCTGGCTGCGCGATATCAGTCTTGATACATTTTATGCCTCCGGGGAACTTCTCAACTCACATCAAAATTCACATTCTCGCATCGCGGGCTGCCAATGCCCCCTCGAACAGGATGCACTTCGTTATAGCCATCATCTCGTGATGCCATTCCGTCACATAGACCCGAAAGAAACCAATCCTCCGGGAGCTCCCAGTCCTCGTCCAGTCGACCGGGTTGCCAGTGTGCGCCCGAGGAAATCTTGTGGATCAGAAACTGGGCGGTTCGACACCCTTGCATCTCCTCCAGGGATATAGCATGGCCGGAGTAGGCATTCGCCTCGAGGCAGTTCGGGCCGGCTATGTGCTCCAGATCTTCGGGTTCGTAGTGTGCTTGCCAGTGCTCCGAGGCAATTGGGAAGACAACTTCGTCACGACGATCCAACGGAAGCCAAGTCGGCTCTCCGGGCACACTGTCCTGAGGAATCACTCCTGTGAAGAGCCAATCCTGATAACACCGACTTTCGACGTCCTCGTCCCATTCGTCAAGGCCCGCTTCATCGGGGCTGACGACAGATCCGGGGTCTGATTCATACTCATCAGCGCTCGCAGCTTCGTTTTCTGGTGGGATATAATCCGGGTCATCGATGGTACTGTCCTCTTCCTTTGGACGAAAAACGACGACCTGACAGCCATTGCGAGCACATTCTTCCAAGTCCACCTCGTCGACGCCGAGATCGGGCTGGGATCCAGTATAATCCCATTTGGCCAGCTGGGGCTCTCCCGGAATGCGACTGCGCGCAATGTTGAAACTGACACCACAAAGATGGCAATAGATCTGCGCACAACGGTTAGCGACGGTATTTCGAGCGAGATCGATTCTGGTGCCGCGCCTCAGAGTACCCTGGTCTCAGTTAGCACATTGATTCCCGGGTAACGACAATCGGAGAACTGACCCATATCTTCCAGAGCAGAAAGAGCACGCCTCGAATGCGAACAGTCAAAGCGCCATGAGGATGGACACGGAGTATAAATACTCCATTGAGTTCCCACTCCTGCTCGTATCGGCCCGCAAGCGCAAGGCCACCGCGTCTCGACCTTCCGGAGGCCTTTTTTCGCGGAGGGAAATCCATCACTCCCGCTGCTGCCTAGGTGCCTTGCTTTTCGGGCCACATCGATGAGTCATCCCGTCGGGTCGGGCTATTGATTCTCCGCTATGATGTCACCTTGTCCCGGGGCAATTCGTGATGAAATCGGATTGCTCTCTATTTCTATTCAACGGTAAAATGAGGTTCTACGACACTCTGCTCTTTGAAAGCTTTCAGCAGAACCGCAGAATTCCGAGGCGTGGACAGGTTGAAGTCTTCTGACCGGAACAGTCTTGGTTCGCTCCCGTTGAAATATATAGTTCTACTTCACCATAGTATGGTCTTAACTAACATTCATCGACAGAGTACACGGCCTAGGGAAAGTGTGTTGATGGCATAAAAGTCATTTCAATACTACACACTCGGGGATAACGCAATGAAGCAACGCAGAAAAGGATCGAAAGCTATGTCGTCCAGACAGCAAGGCCGCAAGGCAGCAGGGCCACCTACCTACGGTTATGTACCTTCCTAAATGGGTCATGGTGCTAACCGTACTAGGAAGCTGCGCGTCAGTCACGGGACCCCCACCGATCAACAATCAACAATCAACGATCGACTCGAGGATCTTCCACATTTCCAGCAACAACCCATGGATAGAGAGACTGGCTATTAATGTCTAGCAACATGAGGAGCCCTCTTCTTAGCACAAATGCCCCTCCTGAGAGCAACCAACGCTCGTAAAGCCTCTAGCACCGCGTCCACAGTCACCACCATTGCATTCGTCGAATCAGTCGTCGCCAGTAGCGCGGCGCGAAAGATGTTCTCGCTCAGCGTGTTCACGTCGCGGGCATTGCCCCAGTCCTCCATTTCCGACAAGCACGCGAACAGATCGCATATCTCCCGATGGGTTTCGTATTCGGGGATTCCGAGAAGGGTCGTGTCGAGACCCTGCCGTGCCAGATTTTGCACCAGGAGCTGAGCGCACTGGACCCCCGTCAGACTGTCAAATGTCATGACCCGCTTGAACCGACTGCGAAGGCCCGGATTGGATGCGATCAGCGAATCCATCTGCTTGCTGTACCCGGCGAGGATGATGACGATATTTTGCTGGAACCGCGGGTTGGTCAAGGCCCCGACAATTTCCCCAACCGCATCCTGCGAGAAGCTACGCGACCCCTCGAGCAATCGGTAGGCCTCGTCGATGAAGAGGACTTTTCCTAGCGCCTTATCGAATAGGTCCAGAACCTTGGGCCCGGTTTGTCCCACGTACTGCCCGATCAGATCGGTAACGGAAGATTCGACCACTTCGGCCGTTGCCAGCAGACCCATGTGGTAGAAGATCTGTCCCATGCGCCGCGCCGTCGTGGTTTTGCCAGTCCCTGTACTTGTATCAGCAGATCGTTCTTGACGTTGACATGACCTGGCATCCATGCTTACCCGGAGGCCCCCGAAAGATGTAGTTAAAGGGAATCAAGTCACGCGCATTCAACCCTCGCAGGGCGGCTTTCTTTGCGATTCGAGTATCCTGAAGGATCTGGTTGACAATAGAGTCGCAGCCCACCACCCCCTGGAATAGCCGTCGGCATTCGTCTTCGGCATCAACCACGCGGTCCCAGTCCTTCGAGAAGTCTTCGGGGGCAAGAGATTCAGATTCTACCGTGGGATCCGACAGTCGTCGTTGTTCAAAGGATAAGTGAGCCTTTTCCACGATCTGCTCGACAAAGGCAGCGTTCCCAAAGCGCGGTGATACCATCGCATGGCGCAGCACGCCGATAGCCGCGGTTTTTGCGTCCGGAGAATAACGCAGTTGGGCCTGCTGAAGCTTCAGCTCCAATAACCGGACGAGGTCGGGTAGCGGGAATCCCTTGAACCGGAATGCCGAAGACAGTGGGAAACGGCGCGATAGACCCGGATTGCCCTGGCGAAACATCTCTTCCAACTGATCCTCGTAGCCAACAAGCAGAACGCATTGGTCTGCGTCGCCACTTCCCGAGACGCAACTGACAATCGTATCGATGGCGGCTTGATGGAAGCTATGGCTATTGGTCCTGGATCCACCCCAAAGTGCATACGCGTCATCGATAATCAGGACCTTGCCTTGCGCTGAATTAATGACTTTCCGTATAGTTCTTTCCGTCGCTCCCACATGATGCCCCAACAGGGCAACGGCGGCCGTTTCGATCACTAGTTAGAAGAGCGACTGGTTAGCCCGGGGAAATTAACATCCATGACACAATTCCTCGAAAAACCCACCGGCCCCGTTGCTGAGCAAGCCTAGGTCGGCCAGGATTCGACCATATAGACGAGCTACGGTCGATTTTCCCGTGCCGGGAGGACCCAGAAAGACCGAATTTAAGGAGATAGAGAAGACGGGCGAGCCCTTTTTTCGCTCAGCATTGATTTGCGCCCGCTGATGGAGTAGGCGGACCCGTTGTTTCACGTCTTCCAAGCCCACCATCTGTTCCAGCTCCCTCCACGCTTCGCTCTTCTCTAAGGCTGATGGGGATTTGGATGACTGCCGGTCGTTAGAAATGTTTTGGGTAAGATCGGGGAGCACGCGAATACAGGGAAAGCCCCCCTCGACTAGCTTCTTCCATAAGCTCAGGGGGCCCGATGCACCACTCCATCCAAGGACCTCGGAGCCGTCTGCCTCGGAGGATTGTTCCTCAGTCATTAAGACTAGTCTAGCGGTCTGTTTTGGCAAAGCAGCGAGCATAACGGCTTCGTCGATGCAATTGGCTCCTTCAACAAGGACGGTTTCCGCCGTGAGACATGATAATTGAGGCAAACATAGGGGAATGTCGGGGCCCGAGCAAAGGAGAACACGTTTTTCGGCGAAGCCTGCCATCTGCATGCCATGCTCAATGAGAGAATGATCCAAGTCTCTTTGACAAGTGTCGTATTTCCGGATTAACGCTCTAAGTCTCGTGGTGAGGAGCTGCCTGATGTCCACCTCCCATTTCTTGCACATTTTCAGTCGAGATTCCGTATTCTCCTGCCAGATTGCCCGGTACTGCGGTGATGGTACATATGGAAGCTCCCAAATCGACTTTGCAGAGCGCCAAAGTGCAGCCGAATCATGGGAAGTGTGTGAGTCCGAAAATGCTCGGAAATAATGCACATACTCTGCGGAATGCTCCAGGTAGTCCATCAATTCCGCTGAATGATCGAGGGGCTTTCGCATGGTTTCCACGCAGCGGGCTATTTCTTGTTCGATGTTGTGGGATTCAATTCTGAAGCCATCGATTTTGTGGCGGGCCAGTAGAAGCGCCACGTCGTCTTTCCAAGCGTCTTTCTTCCACAGCGACTTGACTTGGTAGGTCTTTTGCGGCCACACCCTTCGGATACTGAACTCCGGGATATCCATGGAGGTGAGACCGGATCGGATCCACTCTAGTCTTTTTTCAGATGGGCAGATGACGAGAATCGTATGGTCGGTGCAGACGTAGAACGATCGGGTTAGGAACTGTGTGACCGGAAAGGAATGATTTCCTGCGAAAGAAGGAGTTGTCAGCTGGAGCAAGTCTACAATGGGGCTGGTGCATACTGTTTGACTCGAATAGTGAGACACGTTGACTGAACGCAGGGTAGAAACACTTAATGTACGGCAGCCAGTCTTCCACCGTTTCCACATCAACCTTCTTTGGCAAAAACAGTGCCCGGTGTACTGCCTCCGGAGTTTCCTGGCAGAGTGTATTCACGAAGGCTTTGATCCTTATGGGCATCGCTGAATGTAAGCTCGCTTGGCTCAACAGAATTAACTCTTCCCACAAAGGCATTTCTTGTCGTCGTTGCAGGGACTCAAGGACAGGAATCAGCTGCGCCGCGGGAGTTTTCAAGGGAAATAGACGTATATTCTGAGCGACCGGGCTGCCCGCTAACAATTCCACTATGAAATCCATATTCGAAGGAAAGTTGGGTTGAATGGCGATATGTTGGAAGTTCGGTGTCTCGCAGTTTGGCAACATCGAACCAAACGTCAGAACCCGGTCATCTGCGATCAGACAGCACAAAGGACCCTCGTGAACTTCGTTGTTGTCCTTGAGAGGGTCCGTTCTCTGCCAGTATAGCTGGACCCAGTTCTGTATGCGACTGGGGTCACCGTTCTCGATTCGGGCGTGGTCACCGATATTGTCAGGATGATTGCAACTACCAGAGGATGATAGACTGTGAGAGCTAAACAGACTCGAGCTCGAAGCGATACGGCAGGGCTTAGGATAAGTTCCAAAGATACAGGCGCAGTCGAGATCCGATCGGATGGCGAAATGCAGGACTTGGCGCAAGCGAAAGAAATGGGCCTGCAGCACGGATGAAACAGGATTCTCGAGCGGAGTCGATGCAGTCATCGGGGCGGAATTGGACGGATCGAAAGCGCGGTTGATCTCCTCGGGCCCTGGCAAAGCAGAGACATGTCGAAAGACGTGGTTGTCATTCGGGGTGGGTAGGATATTTTGAGGCAAATATTGCATTGTTGCTTCATCCTGCGAGGACAACGCCGTTCTACCTGTAGTCATTTTTGCAGGTTGTTCGGTAGTTGTATGTTATGCGGGAACTATTGGAGATATGGGAATAGGAGTGCACAAAGAATGGCAGGCGTCGAGGTGTGTGCCTGGAACAAAATGGATCAAAAGTGAATAACTAGGCTGCTTGGTGCAGAATGAATCTTGCCACTCATGAAGCTGGAGGTTCCTTAACATTTGCACACGTCATGCTGACAAGAGTGCACGAACAGATGATGGATGAGACACGTCCATATGACATATGAATATTCTGGAACAAGTCTACCCACATAAATAACATGACAAACAAGATAGCAGAAAGGCATTTCTAGTCGCCGCATTGTCGTCAAGGCTTCATTCCGGATCATAGTCCACTTCGTCTTGATATTCCCGGTAGAAGTTTTCCCACTCCGGGTACTTGAGCTGCTCTAAGATTCGCTTACGCGCAAGCCAGCGCTCTGGAGTGGCGGAGCGACGGCGGAGGAGGTTAGATATGTAGAGTAGCTTGGGACATGCATCCAGTAGACTGTCTATCGCGGCTGCGTCCACTCCAGGGTATTGGACCGACGGCGCATCGTCACCCGGCCGACGAGGCCATTTAAGGAGATGAAGGATCTTCAGCCGCGATGCCGACGCACAAACCGACAAGACCTCGTCGGTATACAGAGCAGAGAAGTAATTGAGGGATAGAAAGGTCAGTGTAGACGCGTGTCGTCGAATAACGGCGACAATCAATTGCTCCGTGACGTCGGAGGACCTATCAATGTGATTTAGGGCAAGATAGCGCAGGGACGCCATGCTGGGAGAAGCTAGCGCTTGCAGACAGGAAGAAGTGGTTTGGTAGAATATGCCAATATCTAGCTTTTCAAGCAGAGGCCAGTGCGGTAGAACGCGCGGAAGAACGGATGCCGAGATATTAGGCGATTCCTCGATCCAGAGGCCACAGAAGGCGAGCCTGCGTAGGTTGGGTGAGAAATGTGAAAGGTCGATGATATCTTCCGGACAGAAGGCAGGACTTGGGATCGAAACCTCCTGCAGCTGTGGACATCTCTTGGCAATCTGTTCCAAGGCACCGTGATGGCCATCTGTGTCGATCGAGATGGAGGTGAGGCGGGAGATGTGCTTGAGCGACGGCCCAGTGAGCCACTCACGACCCTCCAGAGTGAGATGATCGAGGCTGGCAAATGTTGTGGCACAGCGTCTTTCAATCTCCTCGCCAGTATCGCACCACCCCAGATCAGTTCCGCTACGAAAGCACAGCGATCGCAGTCGCGGGAGGCTCTCGCACATTTGACAAAACGCTTCCGCGTCGTGGTGCGAGAACCAGTCATCAGACACTGGAAGATCGCGGCTGACTCGTTGTAAGGACAGCGACTTTACGCCGGAGCAACCGCGTAAGATCGAGACGATCAGATCGTTGTTGACGCCATACAGGTTCCACAAGAGGCTGAGCTTCTTGACCGTGGCCGCAATGTCAGGGCGCAGGGCGACCGCATACCGGAAGCGAAGCTGGCGTTGAATCGTGTCCAAGTCGCGAGGGTTCTTCCAGAGAACAGGCTGGGCCAGAGATCGCAACCCCGGACTAGATAAACAAAGAGAAAGAAGGGTAGTGTGCCGACTGACCGGGTCCCAATCCAACACATGATCCAGTATTGTCAGCCACAGTTCGGGCAGCAGTCCAGGGGGCTTCAAAGAACGATCTCTGACTGCAGCTGCGCCGTAGTGAGCAGGCAGCTCTGCAGACAGCCATTCGTCGGGGCCATCGTAAATGCTGAGAGCGGCGTTGGCAAGAGATACTGCATGGTCGTCGCGAGGAATGCGCTGAGCGATTACCCGGAGTCGCGCCGTGTGTTGCGCTTGCTGGGGGATCACCTCGTTGTAGGCCACCTGGAACAGATAAGAGAAGATGGTTTTTGTGTCCACATCGTCGGATGGGGACGAATCTGACGATGAAGCCATTGCGGGGCGAGTCCCCACGCGGTGGGAGGGAGATGTGAAGTCGAAAGTCAACAACTGCTCAGGAGTGCCAGAAGACTAGTGGCTTGGCAGTGCATCTTCATTCAACATTCACTGAACATTCACTCTTTCACTCTTTCACTCTGACCGTCAGTCTACCAGCTGCCCGCCTCTCTGATTCGTCGCCCTACAGCCCTACGAGAGCTTAGCGCGTGTCCACTGGGAGACTCGCATTGGCCTCTCACGCCGAGATCGACTGGAGGGGGTGCAGCGACTATGGATCCTATCCGCCAATCGTCGTCTCTAGGCTACAGAGATAACAGTGTGCCGTGTGATGAACTCGACAGCTGAACCCCGCCGGCGCTGTCTCGCTCGAGGCATGCCAAATCAAGCATCAAGGCTTAGCGCTGGGCATGCAGGGGTCTCGTTCGCAGCTGCAACGCTCTGCAATCCCTGGTCCTGGTTTGCTCAAGGCATCAGCGTTTTTCTTGCCTGCTGGGGAAGAGATAAATCCCAGCGTCGCATCCGAAGTTCTGTCCTGTGGTTTCTTCTATCCATGACCCCCACGAACTCTGCGCCCTCATACCAGTGTACAACTCACCACGATGGGCCTCACTAAGATCCTCCTCAAAGCCATCATCATCCCCGTGGTGGTGGTGCTGTTGATGGGTGTCCTTGTCTGGTTCCTCATCAAGCGCCATCGCGACCGAAAGCGCGAGGAAAAGGCCATCGAGGGCCAGCAGTTCCAGCAGTTCCAACCACCCCCTATAACCCAATGGGCCACCGGACCTCATCCTGCTTCGCCAGTGTCTGCCATGCACAAGCCGGAGCCGGTCTTCTACCCTGTGCAGCAGCCGGTTGATCCTCGAGGTCAGGTTTAGGACAAGAGACGAGATCATTCCGTGGTTAGACATTCGTCCGTTGATCCCCAATGTAGGAAGATACATGTTAATGCGTTCTATCGTTGGTTCCGCAGAGCCTCTCAAGCTATATGCACCTCCACCATGAAAAGGGCCATCCCCAGTCAGTGAGGGATACGTTCCCCGAAGATATAGTGCCGGAAAAGCGCTTCGTTCCTTCTTTCAAGCCCGTTTTGCCCATTGCTTTGCTTGATTCATATACCAAAACGTTCGTTCGTCTTGTCAGCTTGATTGATTCAGGCAGTTCAATAAAGTCTGTGTATCTATGTATGACTCTGAGTTGGCTTAATTCGCTATTTGCTTTCCCATACCGAAAGATTCAGGTTCGATATGTGTAAACGGGTGGAATTATCCCGGAAAGTCTATGACGAGCACAGCGTAATTGCCTTCGATACTTCGAACCATCAGACCTCTTCCAGTATCCAGGTAGGTCTCACGCACAATCTTCTTCCTGACTCTGTGGGACTGCCCCCTGCTCCCGGCGATCCTTCCGCCACACCAACCACCACGAAGCCAAAATCCCGGAGATGGCGGCGCAAAGAAAACAAAGGCAGATCACGTAAGACACGCGATACGTCGGTCCAAACACCGTACTGTAGATATGAGGACCTGCGATCCCACTGAACTGTGCTAGTGCATTGGTATACCCGATGCCGATGCCCGAGGCCACCGTGCCGTCAAGGGCTCGAATGCGCTCCGGCCAAATGACGGGATAGGCAGACCCGGCACATGCGGTCGCGACAATGAGCGCGTGGTATTTGACGATGGAGTTAGACACGGTGACGAGGACGATGTAACAGATGATAATGGTGCTCTCGACTATGCTTTCTGTTAGTATGTGTCTTGTTGACTGAGTCGGAAGGACATCAAAAAGGCTGTGACATACTGGCAACCGCAGTGGTCCACGGCCTGATCAACCCTTTGTGCAATAGAACCCCCAAGATGTTTAGTAAGATAAAACATGCGACATAGGGAGGCTAGAATCGATATTAACTGGCGATCATTCTCTAAGGGTGCATGGGTAGAAACTCACGATGTTCATCAACTGTGAATAGGCCGTCGTCGTAAACCCAAGCTCGTAGATCACGGTCGGCAAGGCATAATGAACGCCAAAACCACCGATCCCATGTCCAATCCAGTATACCGAGAAGGTATAAAGAGTGGGACTCGAGAAGAGATCCTTCACACCTTGCCAGTCCCAGCTTTTGTCCTTCCCCGACGGCGCAGAATGCGACAACCGACCACTCAAATACTCCCGTTCTTCCTCGGTCAGCATCCTAGCAGTCTCAGGATAGTCGGGCAAGCAGAATAGAACGATGACGGACAGTGCGAGGGCTGGAAGACCCTCCAGAATGAAGAGCCATCGCCAGCCCGACAGCCCGCTCACCCCGTTCATGAAGCTGATCGCATACGCAAGCAGACCACTCAGCGCGCTGGATACTTGACCCAAAGAATAAAACAGGGAGATCCTCCAGAGCATCTCACTCGGCTTATACCAGAATGCCATGTGATAAAGCACCGACGGATAAAATCCCGCCTCTGCCATTCCAATTGCGAATCGTACGCACATCATCCCCGAGAAGTTCTGAGCCGCCCCGACGGAGCATGCGCAGATGCCCCAGGAGAGGATCAGAACGAACATCCAGCGGGAAGGAGTGAAGGTTTTGAGGAAAATGGTGTTCGACGGTTCGAAGAAGAGATAACTGTAGGAGAAGATCGAGAGCGTCCAGGACCATTGCGACGGACTGAAGCCGAGCTCCTTTTTGATTCCGCTCCCTTCTTCAAGGTTGATGATGGCCGCGTTGGAGTAGTTGCCAGAGTCGATGACGCGGAAGATGTACACAACCGAGTAGAACCCCACGAGCCAAAAGTCAATCTTTCGCATAGCCTTTGTGTGAAGCTCATCGCTGTACTTGTGATCCCCAACTTCACCGTTGGCTTCTATGGGTGGTGAGGATGGGGCAGTAGTAGTCACTATGTGCTCCTCTCCCTTGCCGGTTGCCATTGTTGCTGATCGGGTTGACCTGAGAGCTATGGGATGCCAATTGCGAGACGGTCTGTGTGGGCTGTCTTGCAAATCTTGAGACATGCACTTTCTCAACTACGACAATTTATCGATTCTCACCTCCTCCCACCAATGCTGTGCCAATGTTTGACATACTCTGATGTCATGATAGTTTCAATCACGACATGAACTCCCGGCTGCACAAATCCCGAAATCCACCAAGATCGACACCTGTCAAGCACGAAATGCACGAGGTACAGCCTCTAATAGGGTACAGAAGAGTGACATACAGCGAGTGCTTATCGGAGCCCCTGTCTGACTTGGGAACAGAGTGTATGCCAAGCACAACTATGCAAGTCTCGATCCTGCACAGTTCCACTCCCCATTCATATGCCGTGAGGACACACCAATAGCATGCAATCGGCCTTTTTCGGTTGTCTGAGAGTCAGTTATGATGTGCATCTTATCGATGCCACCGACAGGCATTGTCACTCGCGGAGCATAACGCAATTTCGGGGAAGAATGATATACGTCCCAACCCCGCATCGTTGGTCTCTGCGGCATCAACCTTCCCATTGAAATTGTTTGGTACCGAGGGATTTCTGTCTGGCAGCAGAGGAAATTTAAAGCGCCTTGATGCAGCCAGTGAGTAGCCCTCGTACCACTAATCCCTTCCTTATCCTCCCCAACCAGCACCATGGCACCGTCCGCTGTGGAGCAGGAAAGTTCTGTGTCGGTCGAAAGGGTTTTGGTAAAGCCATGGGCCCGACCGGAACCGACAAAGGAAGACCTTGACTGGGCTCCTCTGGTGCAAATCGATCTGTCCCGGTTTGACGAGCCCGGCGGAAAAGAAGAACTAGCCAAGCAGCTCTATGACGCCGTCACACGGGTCGGGTTTTGGGTCGTGGTTGGCCATGGAATCGATGATGAGCGTGTGCTACGTCAGTTCAGCTTGGGTAATGCCTTCTTCAAGGAGTCCATCGAGGAAAAGCGCAGTTTCCCCTGCAACTTCGCCGACGGCGAGTATTTTGGGTATCGTGAGAATGAACGGTGGATTGGAGACACGGGAGTCAAAGATAATGTAGAAATGGTTAGTAGTAACTCCTTTTTGTACTTGGCCAAGAGTAACCGCCTCTCCTATACAGCTTAACATTCCCAAGGCGATTCCTGCCTGGGAAGACGTCCCCAAGCATCGCATCGTGCGCCAGAACTATGAGGAGATCGCAAGCTTCCATCGGGATCTCTTTGACAAGGTCCTTCGCAAGCTGTTTATTTTGATTTCAATCATTCTAGAATTGCCCGAAGACTACCTCGCCGACGCACACGGTTATGACGAGCGTTCGGACGATCACTTGCGCTATATGATCTATAACACGCGCACTCGGGAGGAATGGGCCAAGGCACAGGGCTATACCAAAGGTGGCCACACGGACTTTGGCAGTCTGACGCTGCTATTCTCCCAGCATGTGGCTGGCCTGCAGATCCGAACTCTTGAGGGTAAATGGAAATATGTGAAGCCCGTGGACGGAGGGATTACGTGCAATACTGCCGACACCTTGTCGTTCCTGACGAATGGTGAGTTTCCTCGAGAAGAGGGAGTCAAGTTCTCTGGGAGATAACAGACTCACGAAATCAATAGGTTTTCTGAAATCCACCATCCATCGCGTTGTCACGCCGCCGGCGGATCAAATCCACATTCCCCGTCTGGGATTGCTCTACTTCTGCCGACCCGGGGATAATACAGTGATGAAGACTGTTCCATCGCCACTGCTGGAGCGTCTTGGGTTGCTGACCGAGGAGGATAAAACCGACCAGCCAGTGGCCACGGGCACAGAATATGTGCGCGCTCGAGTTCGCGATGTGCATCATAAGAAGGTGATTGATCGCCGGGAGAACACTTCGTTCGAGTTTAAAGGGTTGAAGGTCGCGAATTATTATAGCTAGTCCATATCATTCATCTGCTGATCATGACTTCGGGTTCAGAGTCTCTAGTTTGAGATATGTCTGCTTCGTTAGGCTTGATTGATATTGAATATTTTGATTCTCGACTTCTGCCCATTTTCATCCACTACCTAGTACTCCATGCCTTTCAAATACTTCTGCCTCAGGCTCTGGCCACTGATGCCTGACTGCTGCTGCCTGAAATGCCAGGCAGCCTTCCGCCGACCGGGGCGCCTTCCTCTTTGGGACTGTTTGGCAACAAAGCAAACCGGGCACGTGCTAGAAGTCGTCGTCGTCTTCTTCTTCTTCGTCTTCGTCGCGAGGGAAATCGACCATCTCGCCCAACTCCTCCGACGTGACCAGCAGATCCGATGAATCCCCATCGTCGCCTTGCTCGGCCACCTGGAACTCGCGCGCTTCGGGGTCGGCGTCACGGAATCTCGCTTTCTCCACGGCCCCCGCGCTGAAGACGTGTGACTGAGGCAGGATGGCTGCCAGCTTGCGATACTTGAAATACAGTCCCCCAAAGAAGACCACCTTTCTCTCGTCTAGCCGGTCGGCCTTCGCCGTCACCCACCCACTGTCCCCGTTCGACGTGTACCACGAAGTCGACGGCGCCACCTCGCCGATCTCAATCACTCCGGCGCGGAAGCCGATCGCGATCTCCTTTTCCGTCTCCGACCAGGCATTGATCATGGCATGCTTGGTCGTGTAGGCGGACGTGACGATGATCAGCCCGCGATCCCGCACGTCCGGCCACTTGCGAAGGATCGTTTCCGAGTTGGCTTTGCACCACTGCCGAAAGGGCGTCGTGCCGTAGATGAACTCCTTCACCACGGGTCCCTCGGTGATCAAGATCGCCCCAAAGCCGTCTCGCGTGCTGTATTTGTACAGTGCCCCAATATCCGCCGGGATCCCCGCCGGCAGCAGTCCCGCTCCCGCGTCAAAATCCACCTTTCTCTGGTTCATGCGGCCAGACATCTTCGGACCCCATGCTCGCTCATCTGGCGGAGCTCGGTGGAAGTGCGCGAACGGCGTGAGCCCGTTGCGAGCGAGCGACGACGCGTCGCCGAGGTGGACTGGGGCTCCGTCGACCCCCAACAGTGGCGTCCATTGCCCCAGTTCGGTGAGATAGCCACAGAAGCCGGGTTGAAGGGTGGTGGACGACTCCGGTTCGTATAGCGCGTACCCATACGGGTGCTTCAGCATCGATTGCTGGTAGGTGGTGCCTAGCGATGGCATTCTTGGGGGTGCGAACTGCGGACAAGATAAGAAGAGCTACCTCTGAGAACACGTTCCTAGCGTATGATAATCGTTAGTATGAGTTCTTCCAGCGTTCCTGGGGGCTTGCTACGAGAAAGTCGATAAGAATCAAGAAGGCAACGATGGATTGGGTTTGTTGCGGGTGGAATGATCGTCCTGCTCGTCAGGAGAGTCTTCCGGGTGGCCGGATACGCGATGCGAGGCTGCATGAAAAGCGACGGCGTTGATTGGAAGCGAGCCGTCGGCCATTTTGACCTAATTCTCTGGGCCCCTTCAGTTGAAAATGCCCCGCCTCGAGATGAGGCCTGCTGACGCTCCTTGGCCGTCGCGTTCAGCCTTTGGTCGGCCTTCGCCACAGCGGAAGAACGGGCAATTTGAGTGTTGATTTGCTGCCGTTGCTCGTATCCCTGTCGCTGTCGCCTACATTGACTTGTTCTGTCCGATCCCTCCGGGTGATCATAAAATGGGATGCTTGATGCACCATCTCTGCAAGTCATATAAATCAACCCTTCTTACCTCGTGACGTCCGGACAACAAATCCCGCCATTGCGACCTTTGAGCCGCAGGCAATCCAAACATGGCCGAATCTCCCCAACCAGCGACCATTCCTCAGAAGAATATCGACGAGGCCAAGGCTGCCTTTGCTCGCGATCGGCCACTTGTAGATGATCTCCGACCGGGAGCCTTCTTTGACGACCCGAATTACCTCGACACCCTGTCTCGCGACGCCAAAGCTCTAATCTGCGCCGTCCAGCATTTTGGTGACAATCCGGACAGACCGGGCCTATGTCATATCCAGTCAGTGCAGGCGTTTGTGCGATATGTTCAGACTAATGACCCGGATCAACTGACCATGGCGTTTGCCATGGAAGCTATGTCTCTCCGTTATGTCCCACCTGGCCACCCGGGTCGTGGAAAGTCTAACAATCATATGGGATGTCTTTACCAGCAAAAGTGGGAGAATTATAAGATCGCCTCCGATCTCGACGACACAATTCGACACTATAAAATTGCAGTGGACACTGCTAACGAGACCAACGAGACAATCAGCGACTGGTCCTGTGATGTGGCGACTCTTGTTACGACTCGCTGGAAACTCACCAAGCAGCCTAGTGACCGGCAGGATGCACTCAAGTACTTTGACAAGGCCATCGAATTAGTCGGTGATTCGCCGAAGCGAGCGATCCATCTTTCCAACAAAGGCGAAACGATCCGTCTCACCTTGCACGGCAACGATCAGGAGAAAGAAGCACTGCTTGCAGAATCGATCGGGTACCATGAGCAGGCCCTTGAGCTATGTGGACGCTTTTTGGCTCTATCTGAAAAACCCCAAATTCCTTACTCCATGATCCACCGCAACAGTGCCCAAGCACACCACGTGAAATTTATTCTATTGAAACAACCGGGGGATGCAGAAAAGGCTGTCTCCCTGCTGGAAAAGGCAGTCAATTTCGAGACAGTGGGAACCGCCTCCTGGGAACGCTATATGAATGAGCTGGCCGGCGTGTACAATTCCAGAGCTCAGACCCCGGGTAACGCGGAACATCAGGAAAAAGCATCCAAACTGTGGCACAAAATCATTGAACATCGGCCCAATACCGTGGTCGCAAGGGTTAATCTTGCAGAGATCTACCGGTCCATTGCAGCGGACTACTTGGGTGACCCTCGCACTGAAGAGACAATCAACAAGGCCACGTCTCTGGCCTCAATGGCAGTCGACATGTCGACATTGCATCAGTCAAAGCCGGGACTGGCTCTGGCTCGCTATAGCTCTGTGCTCTACACGAACTACGAGCTCTTCGGTAACATAGAAGACATCAATCGGGCAATAGAGCTTGCTCAGAGGGCAACAGAGGATAAGAACAGCGACGACCTCTGGGATCACTACCGCCTATTGAGTCAAACTTTGATCACTCGATTTGAAAGTCTCCGTCGGCTAGAGGACCTGCGAGACGCCATGGTGGCGATCAACGAGGCCATAAAAGCGTGCAACCCCGAAGACTTCGAACAGAAGGCGGGCTGTCAATGGGTCTTGGGCAAGCTGACGCGGCTAACCTACGACACGATGCCCAACGTTCAACTGCTCCGTCAGGCTATTCAGGTCTTCGCGCTCACCAGTCATCTAATGTCCAAGAAATCTGTCACAAGATGCCTGGCCTTGAATGACTTAGGGAATGCCTGGGCGCAGCTGTTCAGTCATGAGGCACTGCCTGAGCAGCTGGAGAAAGCCATCGAAGCATATCGATCGTCTCTCTCTGGGCTGCATGATATTCTCAGCACGGATAAGCATCCCGATATCCTCATGCTGAACGCCGCCCTCGGAACTGTCATGATACAGCGCTTCAAGACTTGGAGGGCTCAGACCGACATCGACTCGGCCGTCACGTACTTCCGTCGCAGCCTTCTAGGTGTCCATGAAAGCCATCCACGGTACCCTATACGTGTAGGCAACCTCTCATATGCACTGCAACTCCGATTCCAGGCCAACGGAGTCAATGGAAGCCTGGATGATTTGAAGGAAACTCAACGATTACTCCGAAATGCACTTGAGTCGCCCAGGTTGAGCAGCCCGGATCTTAAGAATGGGCTACTAAACCATCTTGCCAACGCTTTTCAGTGCTCCTTCACCGTCAGCAAACAACCGACCGATTTGGAAAATGCGATGAACTATTACAACGAAGCCATATCGATCGAGGGGGTTACGCCGGCAGCCCGTACCACGGCAATGCTCAATAAAGCTGAAGTGCAGAGGCTAACAGCTGTGGCCAGCGAGTTACTGTCTGACTTTGAAGCCAGCAACCGGACTTTAGAAGAGGCCCAGCTGGTCCTCAGCAAAGATGACCCACATTTCTGGACGATTATCCTACAGCAAGCTAACTTGTTGTACGGAATTTACAAAGATAATGGGAGCTCGGACATCAAAGACTACGGAGTTCGAGCCCTTGCAAAATATAAAGAGCTTCTTGAGATACCCAGCTTGCCACCAGTCTCCCGTATCAGCGTGGCGTCTCTCGCTGCAAGCCTCACTTCTGAGCTCTTCAACGACCAAGCAAAAGCCCGGGATTACATTCTAATCAGTCTTGACATGCTCCCCGAAGCAATACTTATGCATGAATCCAGACTGGAGCAATTGAAGTTTGTCCGAACTTGCCATTATGTTCCAAGCAGCGTCGCCGCGTTGTCTCTCAGTGCAGGGGATCCCCCAAGCACTGTTATACAACGTCTTGAGGCCGGAAGAGCCTTCATCTGGGACCGCATCGAGAATGAAACAACCCCGCTTGACGCTCTGGAGTCTCAGCATAGTGAGTTGGCTGGCAAGTTCCGAACAATACAACAACGGGTATTCCAACAGGGCCGCCCGTCTGGGAAGAAAACATCGCTGAATCTCACCTCGGTCGTTCCGGGAGATGTCAGCAGGCTTCAACGCCAACACGATGCCGATGCCTATCGTCAGGTACTCCAGGAGATTCGAGCCCTCCCGGGACACGCCTCCTTTTTGAAAGCACCGGAAGCTCCAGGAGACCTTCAAAGCTATGCTACGGACGCCCCTATTGTCTTCATCAATGCAAGCCTGTACCGTAGCGATGCCTTGATTATCACTAGAGAGAGCGTTGATCATTTGCCACTCCCTGCTTTCAACATGGAGCGTGTCAGGCTGAATGCAGCACGCTTTATGTATGCCCTCGACAAGCTTTCCAGAGCTGAGGAGCAGGCAGCCGCTTTGACGGAGTACCAGGAAGTCATGAAATGGCTTTGGGCTTCTGCTGCCAAGCCAGTTCTCGACAGCATTGACTGGCAGAAATACGAAGCTGGGCCTTCTGGGAAACCACGAATCATATGGGTATCGACCGGGTGGATCAGCGTACTCCCGATGCACGCTGCGGGCGATTACGAGAGTGCCACGGAAAGCGAAGAGCCTACCTGTGTGCATGACATGGTCGTCTCGTCGTACACTACGTCTCTCAAGGCTCTTGAATCTAACAGACAGAGTGCCCGACGAATCAACGCCGAGCCAAAGACCAGCTCCCGGCAAGCGATGATTGCAGCCATGGCAACAACGCCAGGCTTGGGTCCAGAGAATGACCTGGAGGTTGAACCTGAAATCAGTTCATTCGAAAGGTCACTGAGCCCTACATTCAACGCCAACTTGCTGAGACAGCCGGACTCAAAATCTGTTATCGATGCCCTGTCCACGGCAACCATAGCCCATTTTGCCTGCCACGGTCGCGCCGATAAAGAGGACCCTTCACGAAGCGCAATCATGCTACAGGACAACCAGGCGAAAGTCCCGCCCTTCTCCGTGCGAACTCTTCTGAAACTCGAGCTCAAGACGTGTGGGCTTGTCTATCTATCTGCCTGCGAATCCGGCGCTAGCAAGGACCTCTCACTGCGTGACGAGGGCATCCATATTGCGGGCGGGTTCCATATTGCCGGTGTGCCGCATGTCATTTCCACACTATGGAAAGTGTCGGACAGTGTTTCTGCCCAACTGTCTGGGTTGTTTTATGAACAGCTCAAGGATGTAGTCGGAGAGTTTAATTTGGCCAGAGCACCACATGCTCTTCACATGGCACTCGAAGAGATGAAACGGCAGGGTGTGCATCCGATGTTGCTGGGCCCTTTTATTCATTCTGGTCCTTGAGATGTTTTTCGCAATATAGCGTTGTCAGTGTTCGCTTGGAGATAATGCTCGCTTTTCCTTGAAAGTAGTCTTGCAAGTCGTTGTATCAATTAGCAGATGTCAGTCTCACACAAAGACAGTTAAACTACATGAAGCCAAAAATATACAAGTAGTGAAAAAGCAAATCAAGCCGCCCAGTCAGAGATAATCATACCTCGTTGCATCATCGCCGATTAAATCGATTAAACCATGGCAGTAGCCAACATCAACATAATCCCCAGCTGATCCGCATCCGTATGCCAAAGATCCAGTTTCTGAGCGTTCAGCCCATCCCCGGGGTTCCGCTGCGCTTCAATCAACTCTCCAAAATACGCGAGTCGAGGCCGTCGATAATTCACTTGGCTAGCCCGATATTCGGTCTCCCAGGCCTCATGGCAGTTGGCAGTCCATAGTGAATGTCCCGATGGCAATGGCAAAGCGCGATAGACCTCGGTTGTGTCGCAGGGGATGCCGGTTTTGACGCAGATGACGCGACTGATGATAAACCAGAGAGAGGCGACTCTGTTTTCATCAGTAATTATGTTGTCGTTCTCCAAAAGCAACAAAAGCTTACCTTCGCCGCGATTCCGAGAAGATCCAATCTTCCCAGGTGTGATTGGGATTCGCTTGCTCGTCAAGCGCAAAAGGCTGGGCACATATTTTGCGAAATTGCTCGCAGAGAAGCTAGAATGGTTGGCTTAATACTCGATGCCACATGAGGCACAGGGTTCTGATTTACCTGAAAGGATAGAAGCATGTGCAGGTCGTGCTCAGAATGTCGCAAAGCATCGTCGGCAATGCGCATGATGAGGTAGATTATGTACACTTGGATGGCAGCTAGTAGCTCCTCTCTGCTGAATGTTTCCATCTGGTCAAAGCTATCAGTATAGTCCCTGAATCCACGTCTTTTCCAGCAAATGTTTCTTACCTCACTGAGCAACCTGCGTTGTTCCATGCGAATCGTCTTCCAGACAAATGGCTTCGTCTCTTCTGTTCGAGGGACGAACATCTGCGCAATACTCATGCAATTGGCCAGCGGGGGTTGGAGAACTGGGGAGTGGTTTTCTGTACATCGTTTGTAATACGACGGATGAATAAACGGCGGAAAGGTGGCTTTTTGAACCATGAGTTGAGGAAACGGACGCAGCATCTGGATGATGTAATTGGCGTTGCATTGCGCTACCGGGCTGCTCATCGGCAAAGGCGTGAGGAAGCCGGATGTTTCGAGAGTCGTCAGTGCCGGTGGGATGGTGATTGTTGAAAGAAAGTCGGTTTTATAGTTAGGGGGTGTTTCTCCTGTCGCGTAGAGTTCTCCCAGCGAGGCCATCGCCTGCGCATCGGACACCTGCGGTTCATCTGAGATATAGGAGCTGCTGGTGGTCGTGGTCCTGGTCGCAGGGGCAGAGGTCGTGTCGCACACCGGGGCTGACGTTGACGTCGATTGATTCATTTGCAGAAGATCTATATTAAGATCCCACGATAGTTCGTCTCCTGTTAGCTCCAGGCTGGTGGTCAGGATATCGCTCCGGGGAGGTGTCGGGCTCGTTGTGTCCACCGGTGTTGGAGGAGCGGGTTTCGCTTTCATAGCAGCGGGTGGCAAAGTGCCATTTTGGCGGCCGTTCGGATGATCATACACACATTCGAGTCCCTTGTGTCGGCAGCGCGAACACTGCGGTTGAAAGCTGCAACGCGCTTTGGCGGCGCTGCAGGCCTGGCACGACTGATGTCGGACTCGCGGGCGGTCTCGCGAACGGCGACAGTAGCTTACATGGCGATTCCGCGAGGCCTCGTGGGTGAAGGGCTTCTGGCAGAGGTTGCAGAAGAACATTCTAATCTGCGCGTCCATCGGTGCAGCAGGGGTCTGCGACAAAGTCATGCATTGTTTTCCTTCTTCTTCGTTTCCTGCGTCAACACGAGGGGGGACGAGGATGACAAATGCGCGCTGATAAGGCGGCGACTCTAGGGTTTCATTGGTCACGCCATCCCTGTCGCCGGCCATTTTCGCCGCTGCATCTCTTTGTCTCTCTCTCTCTCTCTCTCTCATCGGCCAGTTTCCAGGTTCAATTTGGCCTGTCTTCCTGACAAATGTTCCCGGCCATTTTCAGGACTGGCAGGTCGGCTGCTGGCTGACAAACCCCGATTCTGCAGTCTCTTAGTCAGGGGCCAGCGGGCCAGCGTATACCTGCCTAGATATTAAGTGTGAGTCGAACGGCCTCAGTCTAGCTCTACTAGCCAGCCACCTTGTTCATCAGACTCAATCATTGCTGACTCCGCATCATGGACGAAAAAGACTCTTCTTCTACGCAGACTCCTCCATCTGAGGAGCCTCAGTCGCCGCCCGCTGAGCCCAAGGAGGAAAGCGTGCGAACCATCCATGGCTTTAAGGTATATTTTCTTTCGGCATATGATGTGTCAATCTCTAATCAAAGACCTTCTACCAGTGGTTTCTGGTTTGTATATCCCTCTATGTCGGATCCTTGATCTACGGCTTGGACACGACAATTGCGGCCGATATTCAAGCTGCTATCATCAAACGATTCGACAATGTCGACCAGCTGACTTGGGTCGGTACCGGGTTCCCCCTGGGTTCTGTATGTGCCATTTTGCCAGCGTACGTACTTCCAACTGAATAGCCTGCCTGGGGCTTCCGATCGACTCATGGATGGTATGTTTAGTGCCGCCTTCTATGCCGTCTTTGACCTCAAGATGCTTTTCATTGCCAGCGTCGTTCTTTTCGAAGTCGGCTCTGTCCTCTGCGGAGCTGCCCCCGACATGAATGCGCTGATTGTAGGACGTGTCCTTGCTGGTTTGGGCGGATCGGGCGTTTACATTGGGTAGGACAACCCACATCCATGACGGGAAACCTGCCACTGATTCACTATCAAGTATCCTCAACTATTTCTCCCTTTGCACAACCAATCAAGAACGCGGTCGATATGTGTCAGGTATCGGTCTCGTTTGGGGTGTCGGTGCTATTTTGGGCCCTGTTGTTGGAGGTTCCTTTTCGGACAGTTCGGCCACCTGGCGTTGGTCTTTCTACATCAATCTGTGGGTTCTTCAAATCACCACTGTGGGAATTCGGTAGCTAACAGGACTCACTTAGGGTCATTGCCGCTATTTGCGCTCCGGTCTATTTGTTTTACTTACCCTCAGTTAAACCGCCCGCAGCTTCCAATGAATCCATCCTTCGAAGACTAGGAGCTATGGACTGGATGGGATTCATACTGAGCTCCGGTGCAATGGTGTGTTTTGTCATGGTTCTGACATTTGATGGAGCCGGATGGGCCTGGGACGATGGTCGATCAATTGCAACCTGGGTGGTTTTTGGAGTCCTTTTGATTGCGACCACGGTGCAGCAGAAGTTTAAGCTGTTGACAGACGATGAACACCGTATGACGCCTCCCGGACACATTCTCACGAATCGCTCGCAGATTCTTTTCAACATCCAGACCGCGGCCACTGTGGCAAACATTTATGTTCCACTCTATTATATCCCTTTGTACTTTCAGTTCGTGCAGGGAGACACTGCAGTAAAGGCTGCAGTCCGTCTGTTGCCTTTCATTTTACTGCTGGTTTGCACTAACATGGCATCTGGTGCCCTTTTGCCACGCATTGGCTACTAGTGAGTTTCTCCTCGAATCAAAGTTGATTTAGCTAACCAACATGCCACCTAGCTGGGCCATCTACGTCGTTACCGGTGTCCTGATGACGGTCGGTGGTGCTCTCATGTACACCGTGAACATCGATACCAACCCCGGCAATGTTTATGGATACAGCGTTCTTCTTGCCATAGGAAGTGGTCTGACCTTCCAAGCCGGCTATACACTCGCCGGTATCAAGGTTTCCTTGAAAGGCTGGTCAGGCAAAGACATTCAGATGGCCGTGTCCCTCCAAAACATCTCCCAGGTCGGCGGCACGCTTCTTTGTCTGTTGATATCCGGACAGATCTTCCAAAGTCTTGCCTTCAGCAACCTAAAGGCTGTTCTAGAGCCCGCAGGATACAGCGACGCTGACATTCGTACTGTTGTGGCTGGTACTCAGAGTTCTATTTTCGAACATCTCAGTTCCGAGCTGGCCCGTGAAAGCACCGAGGCAATTACTCGGGCGATGAGCCGCGTCTACACTATCAGTATTGCGGCCGGTGGATTGTCACTTATTGCTGCGTTGCTGATGAAGAAGGAGCGGCTATTTGGCAAGAAATGATTTTCAAGGTCGCCGTCATCGTCAAGTATTATCTCTAATCCCCTTTAAACTTCCCAGGTGGTGGTCGGCTATAATCAACAGTCTGGGCCTATGCCTTCCAGCTGGATAGCGCGATGTTTTCGAATAGATTAGGTACGCAGGTTGATATTAGAACAACGTCGTTCTGTTGTTTTATTTATTTATTTTCTTTTCTTTTTTTTTTTTTTTTTTTTTTTTTTTTTTTTTTCTCTCTCTCTCTGTCGGTGACTTTTGCAAAATTGGAAGGAAGGGGTTGTAGGAACAAATGTACGCAGGGTGTTCTCCAGATACTTCGAATTTTCGCGGTCTGAAAGAAATATATATACTTTACAGGACACTTTGGCTCTCGTTTCTTCTTCTACCCGTCTATTCCAGAAAGAGTGCGTAGCAAACGGCTAGGGAGCAGTTCGGAGCTTGAAAATGCGCCAAGTCGAGGTAAACTTGCTTCCCCAGTTACAAAGATAAATATTTCCTCGACCAGTTCTCTACTCGGCAACAGTATTATTTCTTTTTCTTTTTTCTTTCCCCCCCCTTTTTCTCCTCTGGAGGCGGATATTCGCCTAGACAAAGCCTACAGGATCGTTTGCTTTAACCTACATTTCTGTATTTGTCTTTTTGTTAACATCGAAATTCTATCAGATGACTTTGTCTTTAGGCAGCGATCAGGCAACACTAATAGCCTGATAATTCAGGCAGCACAGTTCTGTGGGTCTACTGCTGCCTGAGGCACCACAGCGGATGCGAAGCGAAATCCCGACTTTCTCTAGAGAGACGCCCCTTGAATTTTTGAATTGAAACACAAGCATAGCACTACTCATCTAGGATAACCAACTGATACCCCTCCACTTCACCGCCAACACGAGCACCTCACATCAACCGAAAATAGCTCATCAATTTACCTTGCGCATCACATAATCACTTAAACGCTTGACCCTTCAAGCCCCATTTGACTCGGGACACTCCTCCATGTCCCACAATGAACAGCTGGTCATAATCCGGTCCACCGAAGTCAATCGACGCGGTAGTGTAGTTCGTCTGGATCCGAAGGATGGGGATTCCCTTGGGAGTTAGGACATCAATGCCATGACCCGTCGAGGTGACGAGGTACCCATTCTCAGCGACCTTGAGGCCATCGGGCACAAAGTCCACGGCCAGGTAAATGGCCCTCTTGTTCGAAATGACCGTCTGGGTTTCATCGACATCATACGCATAGATCGTCCGTTTTCCAGTGGTGTTGTACGTCAGATATTGCACCTCTTCGTTGGGGACGGTGGGGTCAGTGTTGGCCCAGTCAGCGTTGCTGTCAGTCAGATACAGGGTCTTGAAGTCCGGAGAAAAAGAGACTCCATTCGGGGCGCCCAGCGAGTCCTCAACAAGGGAGGTACTTCCGGTCTCCGGATCGAAGCGGTAAGTGGCGGCTTCCAACTGTTGCCATTCGGTGTTGAGGCCGACATTCCGGCCATATTGGAGGTCGGTGATCCAGATACCGCCTTTCTCGTCGATGTCGAGGTCATCGGCCTGCTGCAATTAGCGTCTCTCCAAGTCATGCTCATTCCAGGCAGTGATTGCCTACCGTGTTGAAGAAGTATCCGTAGTAGTTGTTGACGATCACCTCGGACTTCTTGGTGACCGGGTCGAAGCTCACAACGCCCGGACGGTAAGTCAGTCCATCCAGCGAGGTGTTGCCTCCCGCGGCGGAATAGTAGATCAGGCCATTACGATAACGAGCACCTGCCGGGGCATAGATAGGGGGATCGGCGACGACCCGGCCCAGGGTTGGAGGATCGGTTGACAGATCCAGAACCTGTTGGGACAATCCGTCGACTCCCGTAGCGAGGTCTGAGAAATAGAACTCGTTGGTATTTGGAGCGTACCTGTTGGTTCGATTAGCAAGACCTTGTAGTCAGGAAAATGGGAGACTATACGCACACGGGAGCTTCATGGCCACCTTTAGTGATCTCAAACAGAAACTCGAGCTGGTCCTCGGTGCCGAGGAACTCGGCAGCCAGCTTCTCGTTGAAGATGACAAAGTCGGCTTTTTTAATGTCCTCCCAAGCCGGATCACTCGGAATGACGGTGTCCGTCAGCTTGTCCGGGTTGGCAAGCTCATTGTTCGCTGGTCGACGAAAGTCGGGGTTCATGACACTGGCGTAGCGATCGAGGCAGAGCACACGAGGATAGTCGTATCCCTCGCATTTCTTAACCACCGACCTGGAGGAATTGCTCGCGCGAGGAAGAATGGCTGCTGCGGAAGCATGAGCCACGCAGATAGCGAGAGCCAGAAAAGACCGAGACTTGGATAAAGCAGTCATGCTGACTCTGATCAGGTAAGACGGGAGGATTGAAGGATTTTCTTACTGTCTGCTTCGTGACGATATCTCTGGCCGTGAGAATCGCTTTTATAGACATGATTTCGACCTTCTAAATGCTGAAGAACACCTACGACCGACAGAGCAACAAAAGCTGTATAGTTGATGCATACAGACCGAGGCGGCCAAGCATGTCCTGACGTTGACAGCAGAACTAAAGCGCATCAGGCAAGACTTCTGCACGGGCGGCGGACCGAGCCCCCGAATGGAACCATCCCAGCCCTAATGTCGGTCACTCGCCGGATGAGGCTTTTTCTCTCGATCCGCCAAAATGGCCGAGTGCAGTGGAGTTGAATCCTTCAGGATGGACGGGTGAGGGTGAGATCTCTCTCGGACATCGCAGAAGAACAGGAAAAGCACCGGTTCCTGACCAAATAAATACGAGGGATCGCCCAGCCCTAACGGGATTTGATCGCCGCAACGGACCAAACGGATTCATTCACTGATTCATATGTTTGCTGAGAGCTCGTCATGCGGGGACTATTGGGCTTCGTGGCTTCCTTCTATCCTCTCCTCGTAAGAGGTCAGGTCTTTTCGAGCTGGGATGTCTCTAACGGGACCACTACGCTGCTGGGGAACGCCTTTGGCGTGTCCGGCGTGGAGGCAGAGTATGACTACATTGTAGGTCGAACTCCCAGCTTGACTTTGTGCAGCTCTCTAACACAATGGCAGGTTGTCGGTGCAGGTACTGCTGGTGGCGCCGTAGCTGCTAGACTGGCTCTTGCCGGATACTCCGTCGGTCTCGTCGAGGCTGGTTCGTTCTATGACCTGGACAATGGCAACAAGACCACTATCCCGGGCTATGACCAAACTACCCATCCCAATGACCCCTTGGATTCCTTGGTTGACTATGACTTTGTCACCGAGCCGGAGCCGGTAAGTCAACGCCGTCGAGGTATGAATGATGCCGTTCTAACCAAACTAGGGTTTGAACGGACGTAAGCTGCATTATTCGGCTGGAAGGACTTTCGGTGGAGGGTAGGTTGTCCCCAGAAGATAGTCGTTCATCGTGTGCAATGCACTGACCGCTCTATCACAGCTCAGCCGTGAACCTCATGGGCTACCAACGCTTCACCGTCGGCACCTTCGATCGATGGGCCGAGATAATTGGCGACGATTCCTGGAAATGGGACGGAGTGTTCCCCTTCTACAAGAAGAGCACCAACTTCACTCCTCCCAACTACGACAAGATCGATCCCCGGTTCAACATCAGCTATGACGCAGGGGCATTTGATGTCGATGCCGATGCCCCTCTGCAGATTTCGTACGGCAACAACTATCAGGACTATGGTCCTGGTGTCGGTGAGGGATTTGAGAATATGGGCTTGGATCATATTCCGGGGCTGAACAGCGGCTACCTCATCGGATATGGTACCATGAGCGCAACTGTTGACCCGAAGGCGGCAACCAGGGATACTTCAGCAACGTCGTTCATCAAGAAGGCCATCGACGAAGGGACAAATCTAAAGATCTACCAGACCACTACCGCTAAGCGCATCCTCTTCGATGAGAACAAAAAGGCCACCGGTGTGGAGGTTGAGGCCGTCGGACCGAGGCCTTTCACCTATAAGCTGAATGCGACCAAGGAAGTGATTGTCTCGGCTGGAGCGGTATGTTACCATGTCCCGAAGAAAAAACGAAAGCATATCAAGGGAGGTAGCTCACATAGGCTGGCAGTTCCGATCTCCCCAACTGCTCTTGGTGTCTGGCATTGGACCGGAGAAAATTCTGAAGGAACATAACATCTCGACCGTTGCTATCTCGGAAGGTGTTGGTCAAAACACTGAGGTAAGATCCAGATCAAGCGCAGAAGGATACAGAATCATCACCTAAACCCGGCGTCCAGGACCAAGTCTGGCTCGGCTTCTCATGGGGAGTCAGCGTCAACACCAAGACCCAAATTCTTTTGGGGAACCCCGATTACGTCGAGCCCGCGGTCGAGGAATACCTGAAAAATCAGTCTGGTCCACTGGCTGGTATCGGAGCTGGCGAGTTTACAGGTACAGATTCCCGTCCCACTACACCCCAATCAGAAGAGGAAATCGGATCTGACATCATTTGATACATCATATAGGATGGGAGAAAATCCCTAAGGCCAACCGCAAGAATCTCAGCAACGCCACGCTGGAATGGCTCGACTCGTTCCCGTCAGACTGGCCGGACATCGAGTATCAGGACATCGGGTTTGCAGCAGTCCCCGATAACATCACCGCGGACGGCAATTACATGACTCTTGGGGCGGCTTTGTTGACGCCCAAATCCCGCGGAAACGTCACCATCAAGAGCGCCGATATGAACGATTACCCTGTCATCACGATGAACTACTTGCTCGACCCGGTGGACCAAGAGGTCGCGGTGGAAGCGTTCAAGCGTAATCGCGAATGGGGCCGCGGCTCGGGCATTTTGGTGGATGAGTTCATCCCTCCTGCCTCGATCAAGACGGACGAGGAAATCCTCGAGTGGATCAAGCAGGAAGCAACATTTATCTATCACGTCAGTTCGAGCTGTAAGTGGCGTCCTCACTAAGCCCTGACATGCAGAGCGCAAGGAATATCGAGCTGACGTGAGGCTGTCAGGCGCAATGGGACGAGATGATAACCCGGCCGCCGTGCTGGATACCGAGGCCCGTGTCCGTGGAGTTTCCGGGCTCCGAGTTGTGGATGCGAGTTCCATGCCTGCTCTAGGTCCTGGCCATCCTATGGCAACAATTTGTAAGTACCTTCGCTCGATTATCACGAGCTCACTGCCGCACGATCGCCGTCTGACTGCTTCGATAGACATGCTGGCGGAGAAGATTGCAAATGCGATCATCAAAGGAAAGTTGGAGTAATCTGCGAGCGGAGGGGGGTGGAATGTCATCTAATGACAATCGTGGCAATAGATAGCGACAGGTGATAGCGAGAAGAAGGGAAGTAGAAAGATAAGAGCACCTGTAGACTTGCCTGTCTGACAAGAACCCAGCTTTGAAGAATTATTGTATTTTGAGTTGAAGGAGACCATACCTGCTATTCTTATGATAACATCCTGAGTCCCTCACGTATAGGTACTTTGTACATGAAATTACTGGCACAGCCTCGGCTGTAGTCAGGAAATCCAATATATCATTACCTCATCGGGTGTAAAATGAAGGCATATCTGCCATTCACTTGACCGTAAGTGCGGAGGTCACTGATCCGCCACAAATGATCCATAATCTGCAGGAAGCACATGCTTTCCTGTTCAGGAGAGAGATGAAGTATCCAACATGTCTGCGGTCGTCGTAAGCGGCCGGGATGTGTTCCTTCCGTTAAGAGAGGTCCAAATCCCTTCGTTTCAAGTGTGGTGAGATTTTAGTCTCCGGGCTGCTCGCGTGGGAAACTAATTTCTGACCACCGTTGATACTGGACGCCTAATCTTTTCATATCCCCCTCTATCTCACCGGCCGAGAAAGCCACTCCGTATCCTGCGTTTGGTGGCTTGAACATAAGGCCTGATCCTGATGCTTTTAGGAACCCGAACCCCTCAAGGTCCTTGGCAGGCAATTGAGCTCAGTCCGTGCTGAGCTAAGGCAGGTTGTAGGAACCCATTCCTTAAGATATGAGATGAGACGGAAATTCGCAATAGAGCATGCTATGGAGCAGTCAATTAACCTTTCTGGGACCCGTGGTGAGCATGAAAATGGTGGTAAGAACAATGATAATCCTTCGGCACTGGCAATGCCCCGGCAGAATGGCCCTGGTTCCTCCGTTGTATGGCCTAATATCCTGAGCCTTTTGTTAAGTTCCATCATTTCATTCATTCGGAGGCATTTCTACCTCCGATGCCGACCCCTGCCAATGGATTTCTGACCTCGTATGCCTCGCTAGGCAGGCTTCGGCCGGAAAGACAAATTCAGCCGAGCAAAAGGGTTTTCACTTGAGGGAACAAGCTAAACACATGAAGACCGCTGGTCTTGCCTTCTGGATTACCGGACGAGCGGGATATGAGCGCCGATCTCTCTTGGCCCACTGATGTGTGAAGACCCTTCATTCTTCATGTCAGACGACAATTGCCTTTTTGGTTAGGTATCTTCTGTCGATTCTTCACGGAATATACATGTCTGCACTCTAGCACGGCAACTCCGGATCAATCCTCAAGGGTTTGGATGTAAAGATGCGCCGATATGGAGCAAAATAGATCTGGTCTTGTCCGCTCATATATTGGCTGGGACAGGGGACCCCAGCTAGGGCAAAGGAAGATACCGCGACGGGTACCGAATCAGGAAGAAACGTATGCAACGCTACTAATCGAGCGAACGGTCTCTGGACGGTTCAACGTCGGCAACTCCGCAGCAGAGACCCCGAATCATGCAGTGGACGCGAGTACGACCTTAGCCATGAGACGAGACTAGCATTTCTCCCGTCTAAAACGGCCAGTCTGCGCGCAGCGAGCACACCACCTTCCAGAATTCTCTTCTTTCATTTGTCACGGTCTAGATTCAGGGCACACGAGGGGGAGAATGGACTTGGAGATCCACCGAGAAATAGGTGGATGCCCCGAAGGATGCCAGAAAGGATCCTCCCGTGCCGGTCCATTTGGTGCCAAAGTTGTGGTTAAAATTAGTACCAAGTCCAGCTCTAGCGCGCCCCAGGAATTCACGTGTATATGTCGTAGAAACCCCCGAACTGACCTCGTAATGACTTATTCTCCCTTGGATCCTGGAATGAGGGCCCAAAGATTAGTTTCGCAAACGAAACCACGAAAGTAACTCGGTCTCGTAGGTAGAAGGGTTTCCGATCGAAGGAATGGTTGCAGGATTAGACCACCAAGGTGCGAACGAGCGGCGATGATCGCGATAACCCGTACATATCTAGGCCCCCTGCCTATAGCACAAAACTGACGTGAGACAGTCCGGTCTATTCCGGCGCTCTGATTGCACGCTGGCTAGTCGCATCCTGGCGACATCTGCAGGCGCGATGGCGCCACTTTGGCCGTCGATCCAGTCAAGAGCCGCCGCCGGCCACTTTCGCCGCGGGTGGCGGCGAAGTGAGGAATCCCAGACGCATCTTGTCCTGTCCGCTTCTGCACATACTGAGCGACCGTACAGCAGCGCTAATCCGCAGTTGGAAGTTGACTTTGGTATCTTCGATGGCCCCTGCTTGAAGGAGGGTTCCAGACATGCACTGCAATCCTTCAATGCCGAAAGCATGAGGGCATATGGCAAGTCTCAGACATACCCAAGGCCGCCTATCGGAGGCGCATAAGCGGAGACAGCATGAAGAGGCAATATTGAAACGAGGAACGGCTTTACAATTGATCCTGTCTTACGACAATGGGGGCAGCGCTTGCGCGTAATTGGTGCGTGGTGGTCTCAAGAGGCTGAGATAGCTCTGTATGACAAGCCGTATAGGTAACACCAAATGCCCCGGGGCAGGACCTTGCGCTTTTACCTCTCACGACTTAAATTGGCCGACCAGCATAATAGATCTCACATCCCTAGGCAAATTTTAACGCATCGAAACCTGGCACCATGCGGACCTCTGCCAGACACACCGCCTGCACCTCCTGCCGCCAGCGCAAGGTTCGCTGCGACGGCGGCCAACCTCGTTGCAATCGATGCACCGTACGAGGGGACGAATGTGTGTATTCCCGACATTCCTCGCAGGACCAGCAGGAGCTGCTAGTCATGCTTAATGACCTCAATGAGCGTTTGTGTAAGTGCATGGTCTTTGATTGCCCATGACGCGCTCAACATAACTCACATGTTCCGGGTTGGCTGGTTGTCTGGGTGTAGTACAAACTGAGAGTGCCCTTGCTCTTCAACGAGATAGTTATGGTCCAACTCCACTGGAAAGCTCCTCCGATGACAGCAGGACTACCGGTCAAAGTCCCGTGGCAACTCGACCGACATCTCCGCCGGTCTTTGCGCTGCCCGATGAAATCCGGTGGGACGATGAACTCGAGTCAATGCTCTCACTCGGCGGACATACTCAGTCAGAAGAGGCGTCGTGGTTCAGCATTGCTCCTGGTATGCCCGGGGTCGATGTCTCCTGGAGTCCCGAGGACATCAAGCTCGACGACATGACCTTCCTCCCGCCTATGGCAGATATATCCCCAATGACCTCGCCGTGGATCGACGACGCTGTCCCGGAGCATGTCCAAATTGAGCTGTACGTGCCCCCTTTAAATCTATTTCGTTCTCCGCTTTCTCCTTGTGGTACTGTGAGTTGAAAATCTTCAACTATTAGACTTCCGCTATACTTTGACAATGCACACACGGGTTGTTTCCTCATCGATCAAGATACCTTCCACATGCGCTTGCGGACCTCGGAAACACAGCCGGAGGTTGCCGGCCTTCGGTATATTGTTCTGGCACACGGAGCCTGTTTCTCTCGATCTTACGGGGACTTTAAAGAAAAGTTCTATCGAAAGGCGTGCGATCTGGTCGAGCAAGTGGATATCGCCGAGCAGTTTGTCAGCATCGCAGCTTTGCAAACCTGGGTCCTCCTTGCTCTGTACGAATTCAAACAGGCCAACTTCGTGCGGGCCTGTAACCGAGTTCGTCAGGCGATCCTCATGTCGGAGATGCTCGGACTACACAAGTTAGACCAACCGGGGCTGTCAGGGTTGAAACAAAATCCGTTCGCCGACGGACGATACCTAGAGGAACAACGACGTGCCTTCTGGTCCGTCTTTAACCTCAGCTGTTTTGCCAGTATTGCGACGGGGTGGAACACTGGAATGCCGGACGATCCAAACGAGGTAAGATAAAAAAGGGTCCTTCGGCACTCTCTTCCCTCTGGCCCCATCAATATGCCCAGCTAACTCGGATGCCGCGCAGATCACCACGTTTCTTCCCGCCGACGGCTCGTTGAGTATGTACACCGTGGCGTCCGGAATCACGCTGCGAGATGCCTTCCATCTGGCCGGGTCTCAGGATCTCGGCGTCACTCACGGCCATATTGTCACCTCGACGCTCTACCGACAGGGCTTCATGCACGTCAATCGCGCCTCACTCAGTCAGCAAGCCTTGCCAGACGTCTGGAACTACGACTTCTGGATGCACCACTACCACCTGTACGAGCGACTGAGCCATTTGGCTGCCACCGAGTCGAAACTGATCACGGCCACGATGAGCGCCGACACGCTCTGCAAGAACATGATCCTGCAGGCCACCCTTATCGCCCTCTATTATGCCGCCGGGATGCGTGCCCCCAAGACCGACAGCCCTATTCGACCTCCCATCCCCAACAACGCCGATGGCAGATGCCTCACAGCCGCAATGAAAGTCAAGGAGATTGCCGAGCTGATTACACACATGGACGTTGCTCGGGTATGCATTCTCTTTCCCGTCCTCCATTGCCGGTCACTAACTTGTCGTTCGTTAGATGAGTCCCTTCATTCCCTGGTCGATCTTCGTGGCGGCCCAGATTTTCGTGCGTCATCTCCACAGCAGCTCCTCCGCAGGTGAGAGCCAGAAGAACGCTCGTCTTCGGTACTTGGATGCCCTTCGCTCGCTTCTTTCGGCCCTGTCGATCCTAGAGTCGACGAACCCCATCGCAGGGGTCCTGGCCACCCAGATCCGCATGGAACTCAACGGTGGCAAAGCCGTGAGTGATGCGCGCTCCATCGGTCGACTGGACTGCGGACTGGAGCTGTAATTGCACGATCTTACGACGATACGGCCTTAAGGTAGGGTTGAGTTCCTGCCGTCCGCAGTCTCATACATAGGAAACCCATCTATTCATGATCATATTAGGGGTAATCATGCCATGTTTCCATAAGCAGATAGAAATGACATCTTACTGTTCTACCAATGAAGACACCATGGGCCCTTGGCAGAGATCGGACACTTGGATGGGTTTAGTTTGGCAGGTGGGGCCGCATCCATTCCTTAGTCCTCGGTCGATGCTTATCAGGGGTCCTCTGGGCAAATGAAGCTTTGCGCACGATCCTCTGGCCCGAGAACCGGGTGGATTCCATTGAACGAATGAACGAATGAACGAATGAATGAATGAATGAATGAACGAAGGAATGAATGAGTGAATGAACGAAGGAATGGAAGGAAGGAAGGAAGGGGGGCACTAGGCCGTTTTGGGTGGCCGACACCACGGCTGACTCATCTCCGGATTCCTTCTTTGGGACGCCGACGAGGTCGAGAGATCTATAAAGTCGGCCTGATGGCTGGACAGCACGGAGAGAATTCCCTTGGGAGCATCCTCAACTTCCAATACGCCTCTTATTATATCCCAACATGAATCCCGTCAACCTCGAACCCTACCAGCTGCCCGATGATGCCGTCTGGCTGAGTGAGTGCCTACCTATCTTCAAAGTAAACTCTAGCACTGGCTGATCCCGGTAGTCACTGGATGTTCGTCAGGGATTGGACGGGAAATTGCCACCTTGGTCGCCAGCAAGCCGAACCAGCGCCTGATTGCCACGGCGCGCGACCCGTCCAGTCTCTCGTATCTTCCCACCACCGATAACGTTCTCCGACTCCCGTTGGACGTCACTTCCCCTGATTCGGTGAACAAGGCGTTTGACACGGCCGCAAAGCACTTCGGGAAGGACTTCCATCTCGACGTCGTCGTTAACAATGCCGGGTATTCCCTGTCCGGCGATACGGAATCCGCCACGGAAGAGGAAAGTCATCAAGAGATCGAGACCTTATTTTTCGGAACGGCGCGTGTGACCATGCGCAGCGTCGAAGTCATGCGCCAAAGCAAGCACCCCGAAACCGGAAACTTCCGCGGCGGCGTCATATTCAACATCTCCTCGTTGGCGGGGCTTTGCGCCTTCCCCGGGCATGCCTATTACCATGCGGGCAAGTTTGCCGTGGAGGGGTGGACGGAGTCAGTGGCCAGGGAAATGCATCCCGACTGGAAAAGTAGGCCCCTTCATTCGCGGATCAGATATACCACCGCACTAACCGTCCCGGCCAGTTAACTTCTGCATCGTGGAGCCTAGCGGCGTCAAGACCAATTTCGAAGGACACAGCAAAGCCAACACGAAACCTCATCCGGATTACACCGACGACATGCCGGCTCGGAAACTCGCAGCGTGGGTGAGTAAAGGCATCCAGGCCGGCATGGGACTCGAACCGTCGGCCGTAGCAGAGACGCTGTTCACGGTCGCGAGACGGGGCGAGCGCGTCCCCTTGCGTCTTCCTCTGGGCGCGACGTGCTGGAAGATGGCCAAGTCCAGGTACGAGAGTTCCTTGGCGGAGCTTGAGGCCATTAAGGGGATTAGTGGGATGGGCGAGGAGATTTGAATTGCCGTGTCTGCACACCAATAATAGCGATGTACATACAGGGCGCATGATCCCAGAATGACAGTACATTCCGTACGATGCCGAACCATCACGAAGCACAAAGTACCATTTTGCTCCTTGGGGCCGGGGGTCGATTAAACCCCTTCCATTCTAGCACAGCCGGTCCGGAAGGATGCTTCAGCGGGCTTCGCTGCGGGGAAGACCGGCTAGAGGACAGGATAACGCCGTTGCGACGTATCGATCTCGGGTAATAGCATCCTGACAGGGGTTCGTCGGGTCTAGACGCGTCTCTTAGCAATCACATCGTGGATCGGGACTCGGTAATCAGGGGACGAGACATTCCTGGATTGTCCTGGCGCAGCAGATCACGGCTCCAGCTGCAGAGCGAGCGCTAGGTTGAAGAAGGCAATCTGCACGCGGGAGAAATCGCGAAGATATTCCGAAGTAGTTGATAGTCCGGAGGGCAAAGTACTGCGTAGGACGCCACTGGATTGCCCGATGCAAACCACCCCCGGCCAAACAGGACAAACAGGACAAACAACCCTCCGGCCGTCGATCGCCCGAGATTTCGGCGATCTTTGATGGTACAGATGGAGCACCCGGAGTTTGGTCTATTTGGCCATAGCCTCTCATTATTATTGCTGTTATTAATCTTATTGTCCTTATTATTATTTTGCTTTTATTATGGAGGTACGTCACGCAAGGTGGTAGACCTACTAGCAGCGGACTTCCATCCATAGTAAACCGGGCTACCACTATATATATTTGTTTTGCCCACATGGAGAGCTACTGAAGAAATCCCAACTGAGCAACAACCAAAACCAAGAATGATAATTGTGTTACTGGAAACTAGAGGATCAGCCAAGCCGAGCACATCTACATGGCATTGACCAAGTCAAGTAAATCGCAGACAGACTGGGATCTCATGCTTATCGTCCGTGTTAAAAGTACCGTCCACGCCTGGAAACCCGATCCGCGTGGTCCAGGATCGGCGAGAATTAGGCCTCTAAGGTGCACACAGCATTGCATAGGTATACTATGGGAAGGCTGGGCCCGATATCGACCAAGATCCCTGTTTATACTGTCTTATAGCCCGCTGCACTGGAATGCGCCCTCCTGCCAGAGACATACCTCAATGCAAAACTCCGGCAAAGCGACTGCGGCCCGGCTCGGAAGATCCTCGGCTACTTCATGAAGTAGATTATAGATACAGAAGACTATTGGCTGGTTTCTCCGGCGAGGCCGAGGCCTACAGGTTGTATGCAGTAGTAGAGATGCATTCGATTTCTGTAGTCTAGAAGAAAGGCCCGGCGGACGGGAGGCGGGATCTAGCCCCTTCTGGAAGGTGGCAGCCCAAGGCGGCCAGGCGGACGGTCGCCGTCAGCTGACTGTCAAGGGGTAATCTGATATTCCGTCCTCCGTTGATGGCCTGAGACTGCAGGCGTGAACGGGACGGCATGCAAACATGACAAACCCATGGACTGTCCCTTCTGGGATTATTGCGTAGTCTCTCCACCATCCCCCTTCGCCCATCCAACCATCAACAGAGGGAACCATCGGCCATCCATGCAAGAGTTGAACCAGGTCATATTGCATCTCAATCTATTTCCGAATACTAACACCAGCAACGAAGAACCCAAACATGCATTCTAGAAAAAAGAAACCATCATCATATCCCGTCTACTCCAGCAATCCCATGCTCTCTGCAATGGCAGTCGACAGCGCCTTCACGGTCATTGTCGATGCCAACAAGAGCTGGAACGAGAGATCCAACCCAAACTGCTTGAACAGCCAGTTGCGCAACTCCGCTCCGATCATACTGTCGATGCCGTAGCTGGCCACCGATCCGCCGTCAAACTCGAACTGCTCAAGGCTCACCAGCAGCATCCGCGACAGCTTGTCCATGACCGCCGTTCCGATCGCCTGCAGCACCGCATCCACCCCTTCCGCGCGTGCCGCCTTCAATGTGCTGGCCAAATCGCTATCACCGCCATTACTGCCGGCCAGAGAATCCTCAGCCACCGACTCGACGGCCGCGCGGACACCGCGCAGACGCGCGTCGGGAAGCCAGTAGGCCTCGTCGCTCGAGTCGGACGCGGCGATGGCGGCGGCCAGATACGCGGGTTCCAGACCCAGGATGATTTGGGAGTTTCCGATCGTGGCGGGCTTGGTACTGGACGGCGCGGGAACGGACATGGCGGTCTCGAAGCCGCGAAGCATCTCCTGCTCGTCGATACCGTACATCGCTTTACGCGTCAGGGCGAGCTCGATGTTCTCGTTATCCGCGACCACACCCACGTCGAGGATCATGGGCAGGATGAGCGAGGTGGCCGGGAGATGGTGGCGGTTGCGCTGCCAGGCAATGCCGTCCAGGTAGCTGTTACCAGCGCTGTAGTTGGCCTGGCCCGGGTTACCCAGAGTGGCGGAGATGGAGCTGGTCATGACGAAAAAGTCCAGCTCCAGCTGAGCCGACTGGATCACTCGGTGCAAGGTCTCAGCGCCGTTCTTCTTCGGGATGATCGCGGCCTGGAACTGCTGGAAGCTCATGCCGTCGAAGATACCATCCTGGAAGACAGTCAGCACATACTCACGTAGAAGATATATTGGTCGCTCTTACCTGGAGAACCATGGCTGCGTGCACGACACCGCGGATGGGACGGCGGGCTGTGACACTCTCGACGACGCGAGCAACGTCCTGTTCGTTGGATGCGTCGGCACGGAACACGTCGGCGACTGCGCCCGCGGCTTGGATTGATTCCACAAGCTACGGAGAACTGTTAGCGGATATATCAAGAAAGAAATGCAGTTCGCCACGTACGGCGGCAGCCTCGGCCTTGTCTGTGCCAGATCGAGACAGGAAGACAAAGTCTCGAGCTCCACGGTCCATCATCCAGCTGGTCAAGCTGCGTCCCAGACCACCCAGACATCCCACCAGGAGGTATGTCGCATCGGCTGAGAACTGGAACTTCTCCGCTTCGGGTTGGATCTAGAGAAGGCAAGTTAGTATCCGGATTGAGCAATGGAAGTATACGGCATTCACCTTTACAACCACTTCCTCTCCATACCTGTATTGTAGAACTGTAGCTGTAGGAGAGGCCAATTTCTCCTGGACGCTGGGAATGTCGCTCAGCGCGGTCACATCGACAACCTTGGCCTTCTGCACGAGATCCGGGTACTGGCGGAGAAGATCAAGGGTCTGATTCAGAAGATCGCCCAGTCTTTTCTGGTCCTTCTTGTACAGCGTGTCGACGCTGACGGGCAAGAAAGTCGCGCCGCGGCTGAACGGAAGGACGTCCGGAGTATCTTCCACAGTGCCAGAGGCAATCATAAGTCGTCCCAGTGGGGCAATGAGTCGCCAGGCCTCTTGGGTCTGAGTGGAGAAGTCGTTCGCAATAATCACGGTCGGTTTCGAGCCACTTTCCGGGTGCAGGCGGTGCAATGGCTGAGCACCAGACACGAGGATGTTCACATTCGCGGACGACGGAATCTCGTGCAGAATCTGCTCTCTCTCCTTGTCGCTGGCGGCGAGAATGTCCAACTGGAAGCCGAAAGCAATCTGCAGACCGACAATGCTCTGGACAAATGGAAGAGGACTGGGAAGCAATAGGACGTGGTCGTGGGCTTGCACGCGTCCCGTCTGCAGAACGGCCAGGACGGCTGGCAGCAAACTGGGAAGCGTTGCAGCTAGCTCGGCACCGTCAAAGTCAGCATAAATGGCGGCTTGATTAATGGGAACGGTCGCAAGAGTCGACAATGAACTGGTCGCATATGCCACAGCCTTCTGGTTCACGAGACCCGCGTCTAGATCCTGACCCGCTGCGGCAATGGTGCCTGTGACGATGCGAGGACCGGCAGGAGCAGTGGATTGGATGTCACTCTTCTCTAATTCCGAGGTCTCGACCTGCAGTTGCACCTCATTTGCTTTAGGACCAACCAGGCCCTTGGAGTGGAAGACCAAGGAGCCCTCGACAATGGACCCATCCAACGCCCGGAGAGGCTGCAGCGGTTGCTCTTGCACGGGCTGCTGAGAGGCCGCGAAACGGTCGTTGAGAGGGCCGTTGGGAACGACGCGAGGTACGTGGAAGGTGTTATTGTGCAGCCAATATTCGGTGTCTTCACCCGAGTCTTTGGTCTCAATGTGCTCGAGACCTTGTTCAACCGCAATCTTGAGCACAGTCGCACTGGTGGCCACGTCGGTATCCAGCAGGCAAATTTTGGCCGTGGCTTGCTCTGATCGAACGGCACGCAAGAAGCCCTGGGCCATGGCGGCAGAAGGCGAGGTACCCTCTCCAATACCCGCAGTCAGCCAGAGGACGGGTTTACCAGAGGTAAGGATGGTCTTGAGAGCATTGAAACTATCTTCATTCAGCGCCGACAAGAGTAGACCGTCGGCGTCGTAGATGATGAATTTGGCAGTCTCCTCTGTGCGAGCGGTGACTTCAGACAAAATTTCAGCTTCAAAAGCACCGCGACCCTCAGCCAACAAGTTCTTGAGGACGGTCGCTTGCGTATCGGTTTCGACGCCACGGTGGAATATGGCCACTGGCGCATCGGAAGGTGCGTGGCCGTTCTGATAAGGCTTGGGGTTGGTAGTATACAAGACCGTGCTGTTACCAACCGGCACGAGAATGGGGTTAGTGAAACCGGCAAGTGACAGCTCTCTTCTGAGTTCAGACGCCTTTGCGCTGTCCACGGCGAGAAGGGCTTTTCCGTCTTCGGCCACGAAGGACTTCCATGCAGCAAGGTCAGTGCCAGGTCCAAGAATGAGGAGCTCTGCTGGAGCCAGCACCTCAGTTGTGGCCAGCCACGACGCCGTACTCGGCAGGCCCAGATTGCTCTTGATCGACTCAAAATATTCCTCCGAGGAGTCAACGACAGTGATGGAGTCGGCAAAGGGAACCTGAGATTGCACAGCGTGAATCACTTCCGCACTCGGGCGACCAGCGAATGTGACACTCTTAACCGGCTTCTTGTGGTCGGCCAGTTCGACGAAGAAGGCAGTGGCCTCTGCTTCAGACTGCGGAGAGGGCAAAAGCCATGAAAGCTCCTCGCTTGTGGTCAGCGTCGACAAGTCGGGCTTCCACACGGTCTGCATGTATGGCTCGCGGGCTCGCGGCTCGCCGACCTGGGGAGGTACCGCCGCCTCGTAGGCAACGCATCGGAGGCTCTTGACGTCTAAGATGGGCTTACCACTGGGAGTCGACAGCTTGGTGTGCGTGTTGAAATAACGACCGCTGACCTCGTCGGTCCAAGCCACAGCGCTTCCAACTGTTTCTCCCTCTCCCTCGGGGGACCAGATCGTCAACTCCTCAATGTTGATGGGCACAACACCATGTGGCATTTCCTGGTGACGACCGCGGTTGATGGAAATGATGATGAGCTGCAAACACCCGTCAATGGTCGAGGGGTGCAGTAGATATCGAGATTCACCGACAATCAGTCCGCTCTCCTGCTTGATGTCTACTTGCGCGGCGGCTTGGTGGAGGTTTGGGTTCGTACGGATGGCATTCAACGGCTGGAAACTGGGGCCATATTCAAAACCGACACGGTGGAATGCCTCGTACCAACGAGGCCCGGGAACACGACGGGTCAGCTCAGAGACGTCAACAGGGTGCTGGCTGTGCTCAGCGGTCGAAGGTTGGGGGTTATAATTGGCAGCGACCTTGCCCTCACAATGAACGTTCCACTGATCGTTGGAGAAAGAGCGTACGGCGAACGAGTACCACTGTCCGGTCTCGTTTCCAGGCTGCAAAGCTGTGAGTTGCACCAGAATCTCAATGCCGTCGTCTGTCTCGGGCACCACCAGGGCAACCTTGATCGCGACGTCGCGGAAAGTGACGCTCGACAGCGTCAAACCTTCCTGGTCCCAAATTTGGTGAATGGCCTCGTAGGCAAGGGACAGATGTCCTGCCGCAGGGAAGACATCGGACCCGCCAAGCTAATTATCGTTAAAATGACATTTACATCGAGTGACCAGGAGCAAACCTACTCTGTGATGCGCCAGCCAGGGCACATCGCGTCCCCGCAAAACATTCCGCCAGACCAAAGAACGGTCTGAAAGTCCTGGCACTTTCCGTCCCAGCAAATCATGACGAAGATGGGTCAGACTGCGCAGTTCGTTGCTGGGTCGGGGCTCGGCCCAGAAAGTCTGATCGTAGTTCCACTGGTAAGGAGGGAGATCGGTGAGCACCAAAGGCCGCTGGGGCTTAAGTAGGCTGAGCCCTTGTGCAACTTCGACGCGGTTGACACGGTCAATGTCGACGGCGTAATTCTGGGCCCACAGAGCACCGGCCGTCTTCAAGAGCTGCACAGCGCTGTCCTGACCACGGAGTAACGAGGGCACGTACGTGAAACGATCGAACTGGTTCTCCTTGCAGATCTGCTTGAAGGGTCCGCTGAGAGCGGAATGGGGACCGACTTCAATCATCACCGTCACGTCCTTCAAAGCATCGAGCTTTCCAAGGGTGGCAACAGCAGAGTCGAAGAGCACGCGGCTACGAAGGTTTTGGCTCCAGTAGGTGAACGGCACGGTATCTTCCTCGATCTCCTCTCCAGTCACCGATGAAACCCAGCTGGCCCGGGGGCGGCGTTCCTCCAGGAGATCGGGGGACAGCGAGTGGTAGGCGTCTTGCAGCAAGACGTCGTAGACCTTGGACACTGGATCCATCTGCCACGAGTGATAGGCTTTTCCGGTCTTCAGTTCGCGCGCGAAGATGCCCTCAGCCTGCAGGCGGGCGACCAGCGCTTGAACACCGCTGATGGTGCCACTCAGAGTCACGCTGACGGGGGAGTTCTCACAGGCGATGACAACGTCCCCTTCAGTCTGTCTTAGGTAGTCAGTGACGGCTTCGCGTCCCAGACCAACAGCCAGCATGGCACCGATGGGCGCATGGTGCGTTACGGCAAACCCACGAAGGTATGCTGCGACGATAGCCTCAGCAGAGGAAATACGACCTGCAGCGTAGGCCGCGGCAATTTCACCGGATGAGTGGCCCACGGTGACGGAGGGATTGATGTTCCACTCGGCCAAGAGGTCAATGATGGCGATCTGGACTGCCGTGCAGACAGGCTGGGAGATCTCGGCGTCATTTACTCGAGAAGTCTCTTTAGGCTCCAACAGCGCGCCTTCAAGAGTCCAAGCGGGAGCTGACGGGAGCTGCTGCAAGACCAGATCGAGACTGCGGATGGTAGCCAAGAACGAAGGGAATGTCTTCATTGCCTCAGCCCCCATTCCAGCCCATTGCGCACCCTGTCCCGTGAAGATGAAACCCAGCTGCGGCGCATTCTTGGGTGCAACGCCGAGCTGAAATGAAGACAGAGCAAAGTCAGACTCGATGGTTTGTTCGGATGCAATGGTGTATGCCCGGTGGGGGAATTTCGTGCGTCGCTGCAACAGCGTGTAGGCCAGATCGGCCAGGTAGAACTTATCGGCTACCTTGGCATGGGCGACGATGTTGCGCGACAGCGTGGCCTTGTCATGGGCGGAGAGACCAACAAGGAAGGGTCGCGAGGCCGAGTGGTTGTAAGTAGCCTCGTCCTTCGGCTTGCCGTGCTGGTAGTGAGGGTAAAGGGACTCGATGCTTTCGACGATAACGTGGCCATTCGTACCTCCGTAACCGAAGGATGACACACTGGCACGGCGCTCTGGGAAGTCCTCCGGCCAGGCAATGGTGTCTCGGTTGACTCGGATGTTCCAGTCCTTCTCTTGAATCGCCGGGTTGAGGTTCTTCAACCCGCACACTCCGGGAATGACAGCAGCCTCGGTCATCATGGCGGCTTTCATGACGGCGAAAATACCGCTGGCTGCCTCGCTGTGCCCGATGTTAGCCTTGATGGCACCGATCAGAAGCGGTCGGTCCTTGCTCCGAGTATCGTTCATGGCCATGGATACGGCGTGACTGGATGGGGAGTTAGTACGGGAATTTTCTGCAGAAGGAACCGGGACTCACCTCTCGATGGGGTCTCCTACAGGAGTACCAGTACCGTGACATTCTAGGTAAGCAGTTCTCGACGGGTCCAAGCGAGCCTTCTCGTACGTGGTTCGAACCACTCGCTCCTGGCCCTTCTTGCTGGGATGCGTGATTCCCATACCGGGGACCTTACCGTTAGTGTTGACGGCCGAGGAGCGGATGACACCGCGGATGGGATCGCCGTCACGAATAGCATCGGACAAACGCTTGAGAAACAGGGCGCCCGCACCCTCAGCACGACCATACCCATCGGCCGTCTCGTCGAAGGTATGGCAGGTCGAGGTTGGCGAGAGAATGCCCAGCTTCGCAGTGTTCATGTGCTGGTCAACAGTAAGAATCAGGTTGACACCACCAACCAGCGCCGCAGAGCAGTCCCGACCACGGAGTGCATGGCACGCGTTGTGAATGGCATAGATCGAGGATGAACAGGCCGTGTTGATAGTGAAGCTGGGACCGTTCAGGTCGAACACGTTTCCAATACGGTTGCTGATCAGCCCGGGGTCAACACCTGTGGCCGCATAGTTATGGCGGAAGTCAGGCTCGCGGGTGGACATCTGCTGGTAGTCACTGGTAAAGCTGCCGACGAACACAGCCGTGTTAGACCCAGCCACCTTGTCCATGGTCAGACCAGCCGACTCCAGACACTCATAGGTGACTTCGAGCATCTTTCGCTGCTGAGGGTCCAACCACCGCGCCTCGATAGGAGTCATGTTAAAGAAAGTCGGATCGAAACTCTCTACAGGTTTGTCCAAGAAGTATCCACCAGCGACGTTGAAGCTTCCAGGTCGTTCCAGGTTGGGATGCAGATAAGCATCGATGTTGAACCGTGACTCGGGGACGCGAGGGGTCTGGACAGAGCTCTTGTTGACAAGGAGGTCCCATAGTGAGGATGATGAGTCGACACCGCCGGGAAGACGACATGCTGTGTGAACCGCTTGATTAGAGAATCATGACGAGAAGCCACCGAGAAGAGGGACTTACACATTCCCACGATGGCGATGGGCTCGAGGACGGTGTCCTCCACGGACTTGGTCTCTTCGAAGTGAGGCATGTTGATTAGCCGCGGGGTTTAAGGAGTCGTGTAGGCGAAACTCGAAGCACTAGACTGGATGAGTAGAGACAGGAGTGACTGAGTGCACTGGAACAAAAGATCAGGCCATCGTCTGTCTTGAACGGTTATATCAAGATGCGCTCGCCCTTGTGCTGCTCCCCTATACGGAGCCAGGATTCGATTCGTTATCTGCCCCGAAATGCCTGACTAGAACGGTTTCGGCAGCGCGCCGCTGCTCGGACGGAGAGGTCAGATTCAATGGGCGTGCAGTCGGTCCGAAGAAGTCAGACTGGCGAAACCTTGACAGCGTCCAAGATTTGTTAGGCGCGCCACCGTTGCAAACCTGCTTCCGAGACGCTGCATCATGCTCGGTCAAAACGGCGAGACCGGCGGGGCTCGCCGCGTAGTTAACTGAAACGTTCTGGTCGTGTTCTATGGCGGTGGTCTGTATCGTTTCTCATATCTCGTTGAATCCCCCTTGCGCCGTCGCCAGTGACCCCCTCTTGCCCTTTCAGTCTTTCTGCTGCCCGGCTTACGTGCTTTTCTCATCCCCCATGGCCTCTGTCAGCGGGGTTTGGTTTCTGTTTCTCGGCGTTGTTGCCACTGCTCTTCTCTGGGGAGCCAGTCTCTGGAATGGGACTGTGAAGGAGCTCATTCTGACAGCCTACTACGGCAAGTTCCAAGATGGCACCCCGTTTCACACTAATTATACTGGCTTTCTCCCGCTCGACTTCCCTATTGCCGTCTTGGTTGCATTCTTCTACTATGGAACCAACGGGTCACACCCGGGCTACCAGCACTTCCTCGTGGATGCGTATTCCACATTGCAGCTGGCCTTTGTCTGGTTGTATGTGGAAGGACTCCGACTTGAGGATAAGCCATATTCGGTTGCAAAGTAAGGTTCCTTGAATGGTCGGGAATTTTGGTCAAGAAAACAAGGGATCAGCTAACCCCGAGTCTCGCGTTAAGACCTGTTCTTTGGGGTCTGCTTTGGCAAGCTATCGGCGGTGCTATTGCATGGCCCATTTACTTCTTCTACCATATCCGTTGGTTCAACACACGACAAGGACCGCTTCGTCCGGTATCCCTTCCGTCCGCAAAGGCACTTCCTTTCAGCTTTCTTCTGGGCGCGGTTCTTCCGGCAGTCATAGGCATGCTGCCGACCTGGTTGCCTCGACTACCTCACACGCATCAGTCCATTCTGGCAGCATGGCAACCAGATCCTGTCTGGGTAGCAGTGATCCAAGCAGGTTTCACAAAACTCTTCTCGTCACCGGAAGACGCAAGCAAGGCTGTATGGTGGACGAAAGCCTCCCTTTTACTCTCAGCGGTGGCGTGCACAATCGGACATACCTACACCATGTGGACGGTTCTCACATCGTCCGATGAGCGACTGAGCTTTGCACGGATGTATATTCCCCATCTGGTCGATGGACCACGGGACGCTGCAGCTCTCCTGGCGAGCGGCCCGTGGCTGTTCCTGCAATATGACCTGATCATATACTCATTGGCAAGTGTGTCTTGGGCATATCTTCTGGTCGCACGGTTGGTGACACCAGGAGCTCTGCCGCGCCTGGTGGTGCTACCGGCGCTGTTTGTATTGGGGTCGGTGATCCTGGGACCTGGAGCGGCTGTCTCACTGGCGTTGTTCTGGAGAGAGGGGACCGTTATAGTAAACAGGAAGGATGCGAAGTTGTCAAAGAGATCATTGAATAAGTTTAAACAGTGACGTGGGTGGTTATTCTTAAGTGCGGAAGGTTGAGATTTTATTGTCCTGATAACTTGTTTAAGGTCTCACTTCTATTGTTTCATAGGGTAAAAGCAGTTATAAATCGATGGTAGATTCAGATTTACATTAAAATAGACGTAACCGTAGTCTATTGTCTATCAGTGCGTATTCTACGAAGTCTCGTTGCAACTAAATGAAACGGTCCAACACAGTGGGAGGCCCGCGGTCCCGAGTTGAGTCTTTCAACAACCCTCAAGAAGAAGAATGCCTTTTTGGAACCTAGAGACCCTTCATCTCTTCATCTGGAGTCCTCCCCGATGCTGCATTCCTATCCATGGGTCCAGTCTAACGCGCGAGAGCTAGAAGCCAAGAACATACACGAACAGATCGACATCCTCTCGTCTCATCTCAGCAGCCACGGCGCTCGGAGTCAACCCCGGGCTTATCTCGGTATGCAGTGGCCGCTGGAATCTCTCGGACCGGCGAAGAGATCTGACAGGGCCTCGGATCCTTCATGCAGAGATAGTCGGGGCCCATCCCGAGGATTAGGTCGGATTGAAACCCAGTTCTCATCTCACATGCAAAGGTGAGCGATATACGTTAGAACTCTCTTTTCTTCCACATTTTGAGTTGAGAGCCATTGAGTACTAGCACTCCCCCTTGAGTCTACTCTATATTTCGCCCAAGCCTTCGGCAAAATCATTGTATTTCTCACCTGCTGGTCCTCTCTCATCTGAGTCTGAGACGAGCTGGTCTTTTATCTTCCCATGGGAAGGTTGACTTGAGGGCTCTTCTATCGTAAACAACACATCGCAGAATGGGAGCAGTCGGAGTCCAGAAAGTTGATGTCGCGATCATCGGGGCAGGTGAGTCATTCTCTTCTGGATCTAACTGCATAGCCTCTTAATCATGTTTGTTGGTAATCATTAGGATGGTATGGTCTCGTTGCAGCCAGGACATACCTCCGTCTCTGTCCCAACGCAAACCTTCTCGTCATCGACTCCGACTCCACTGTCGGCGGCGTATGGAGTGAAGACAGACTATACCCGAATCTCGTCGCCCAGGTCAACCTCGGTCTGTTCAACTACACTGACACGCCCATGCCGGCCGAAGGCGTGACCAAAGAGCGACAAGTGACCGGACGTATGATCCATAACTATCTCCAGCGCTATGCTGAAGACCATGACCTTCTCCGTTATATCCGGTTCAACACATTTGTCAGCCGGGCGGAACGGATATCTGGCGGATGGCGACTACACTTTCGAGACTCCGGCGATATCGTCGAGACCGCGAAGCTAATGGTCGCGTCGGGCGTGACGTCTATCCCGAACATGCCGTCTCTTGACGAAACGGATGTCTCTGTGCCAGTCGTCCACTCGATGAACCTGGGCGCATCGTTCGAGGATATCAAGAGGCCCGAAATCAAGGAAGTCGTCGTCGTCGGAGCAGCCAAGTCGGCATACGATGCTGTCTATCTTCTCCTGACGATGGGGAAGAAAGTGACTTGGGTGATTCGACCTGGAGGCGCTGGTCCTCTGGCCATTCTCCCGTCTAAATTGCTGGGTTTTTGGACAAGCATTGGCGTAGCGTCCACGCGACTGATGACGGGTCTAAGTCCCTCGATCTTCAATACCGATGGCCTGTTATACTCTGTCTTCCAGAAGAGCCCGGTGGGGAGATGGGTGACTGGACGATTCTGGGACACTGTGGCATTTCTCAGCGACTTGCATGCAGGATACTACAAAGGCGATCATGTTTCCAAGCTACGACCGGAGATTGACGGCAAGGGGTAGGTACATCCAATCCGATTATCACGACACTTGTTTCTGATTCGGTCATAGCATTTTCTGGGCCAACTCCGGCCTTGGTGTAGTCACCCTGGACGACTTCTGGTCCACTATCCACGATGGCGACGTCACCGTGCTCCGCGATGATCTGCATAAAATCAAGGGCAATACGCTGCATCTCCAATCCGGCCAGAGTGTAAGATCTGACTACATCCTCATGTGCACCGGATGGGGCGACCACTTCGCGATGTTCGACAATGCCACAAAGCACGAAGTGGGCCTGCCGGTGCTGACGGCGAAAGGAGCCGTGGATCCTGCGTGGGTGAAGTCCGACGCGGAGGCCGAAGATGCGGTCAATCGCAAGCTGCCTTTTCTAGCGAAGTCGGCGGTGGTGCGAAACCCCAAGAATCTCATGCAGCCGCAGAGAAAGTGGAGATTGTATCGTCGCGTAGTCCCTATCAAGCTGGCCGAGAAGGGGGATCGATCGCTCGCCATTCTTGGCCAGATCCACACGGTGCAGACACCTCTTGTCGCCGAGGTTCAGTCTTTCTGGGCCATCCTCTACTTGCTGGGCAAGATTGAACTGCCTGATCATGACACCATGGTCAAGGAGATCGCCGAGTGGAATATCTGGACGAAGAAGCGTTACTTGGGCCAGGGACAGAAGTTTCCTTACTCGCTTTATGACTTTCTTCCGGCATGCTTACCCTTCATATCTAGACCATGAAATGCGATCTGCTAACTCTACTGGATTATAGTACGTCGACACGCTATGTAAAGACCTCGGTATCAACTCGCGCCGCAAACCCAATGTTCTGGCTGAGATATTCTCGCCCTACCGACCGGATGACTTTAACGGCTTCATCGATGAGTACATGCTAAAGAGACTGAACGACTCAGTCAGCAAGCCCAAGAAGATCCAGTCTCGTTTCGTTAGTCGGTTGTTGGGGGTGGGCTTGAGCCTTATTGTTTCTCTGATTGCTTTAACCAAGGTCATTATTGCGTAATAGATGGGTTTATTATTTGTGATATTTATTTATCTTAGGACCACAATCTGTTGTCGTTGATTATAGCCCGCAGTTGGGCTGGCTCGGGCTTATACATTTGGGTAACGGAATTGAGTTGGTCTACTGATCTGTTTCACTTGTGTCTTGAAGTCTGTAAGAGCGTTTAGGCCAGGCCTCCGATAGCGGGACCCCACTTCCAATTCCTCGAAACTACCGAGATACTTGGCAGATCCAGCATCTGAGATCTCCAGAGGCTCGTAGGCGCTGACGGGGATTGAGTCCTGCGGCCTCGGTCCGAGCGTTAGCAAGGCCAAGGCTGCTGAAGCATGTCAGATTAATCGTTGAAATACGAGATTCGGGGCTCGGACCGGATCTGACTAGTACACGATTTTGTTTTCTATTTTTGATTTACGGCCCTCGCTTAAATTTTCCTTGTAAGTGAAGGAAATGGAATGGGAAAGAAAGTGCGTATGTTGTTCCTATACTAGACAGAAGGATGTATTGAACACGTCTAGTGGAATTTCTTGTATCCTTTCCCAGCCACGAAAGTATCCATCCACTCGTGCTGCGTGCGATCCTGACTTAATTCCCAGTATCGCTCGGCGTGCGCGGGCCCACTGATCGCACCGCTAGCGTAGTCACCATTGTCGAGACGCTCATCCCCGTAGTAAAATCTAACCCTTGCATCAGTAACCCCAAGTCAAAAACAAGAATTTGCTTGCTCACGTATATCCCTTGCCTTTAAAGGCCAGCACAGCATTCTCAATGACATGGCCCATGGCAATTTTACCGACTCCCAAACTGACTAACCGCGGCTGAGGCATCAAGTTCAACCCATTGGCTGTGTAGATGAACGACTTGGGGACATCGTCCGGAAGACTAGCAAATCCCTTCACAGCCTCCTGAGCAGTCAAGTAAGCCGACGTGAAATTGACCGCCAGATCATGCTCCAATTCATGCTGGCTCAGAGTCAAAGGGTTTCCGGGGGCAGCAGGAAAGACGTGATAAGCTGAAACTCTACGTTAGCAGGGCATTACTGTGAGCGCAGCTGGAATCATAGACTGGGGGCCTTATCGATGCACCATTGTGGATGACGACATTAGGCGGGTTGCCGAACTTGGCCTTCACTTCCTCAAACGCCGTGTGGACGGTTCCCGGCACTGTCAGATCGGCTTTGATGTGGGTGTAGGAAGAGTCAAAGGAGGCGGAGAATCCACGGCTCACGAGGGCAATCTTGTAGCCTTGAGCTGCGAACAGTGCCGCCGTGGAACTGGCAACGTTGGGTCCGGCGCCCAGGATGAGGAGGATGGGGCTAAAAGTCATGATGTGTGTGGATTTGAAAGCGAGTTGCGATAAAGAATGAGTGGCCAGGAAGAGTGGTTAAAGGCAAGAACGGACGGTATAATATATAGATCGTCTCGAATTGCAACCGTGAGGGGTGGAGTGATTTAGCTGCTTGTCCTCGGAGGGCCCATGGCAGGGGTCGGCGAATTTCGCCGATGGGGATCATCAGGATTTCTGGTCAGCTATTGGACAGATTGCTCATTCTGTGACCAAAGCAGACCATCTTATGAACGGACCTAATAGAAGTTCATCTGCCAATGAGTGATGTATATCTTAAGCCCCGAATGTGGTTTGTACAGCTGGTCAACAACGGCCAGACATACGATATCCATGTCCATGTAGCGCACGGGCCTCGATGTCTAATGATTTCTGGCATATTATCCAGCCTTACGCAACGGTTGCTTTACGGTTCTCTTACGATTCGCTTTAGGGTAATAGACTCTCAAAAGCCCAGTAACTTCATTCTGCTAGGTCTCGGTGCATCACGTGATGGCATTGTATATTCGCTCTACGAAGAATAATCATCAAAGCAGACAGCATTCACCTGTCTAATCAAAGCCAGTAGCCGGAACCACCTTCGAAAGACGAGACTCGACCGTAATACCCCGGGTTTGCTCGTCGACCAGCATCCGACCGTTGCCAATCAGCGTAAAGTTCTGCAACTCCTGGAGTTCAGGGTCGCCGCTGTGGAAGGTATGTGCTCCAGCTTTCCAGTAGGAATAAATTATTAGTGACATAAATTCTTATAGATAGACAGAGGGAAACATACTGCTGAATCCGAATGGCACACTAACAGAGTCGGGTTGCTGGTGGAAGATCTTGAGCACGGCCTCGTTCGTGTCAATGATGCCAGTGTAACCAAAGCTGATTTCCTTGCCATCGTCGGTTCTACAGCTCATGGTTAGAAGGACAGTCGTGGTATAGATAAACATCATAGTGTAATACCTGGCGATCGCCTTCATGTTAATGCGGGCATGCTTCTGGTCTGGGTCGAATTCAAGCCAGTCGGCGCCAAAGACAACGTTGGCTTTGAACTTGGGCTCGAACCCTTCAACGGTCTCGACTGTTCCAGTGGGTGTTTCCTGTTATGAGGTCTGGTTAGATGCCCAATTACGTATTGTGCTGGACCTTGAAAGACGAGCTTACAAAATGGATGAGAGTTGCACCGCTCTGACGGGGCCCTAACAAGATATTAAACACGGGCCGTACATTTATGAATTGCCAACGAAAACAGTGAAAGCTTACCAATAGGGTGGCCAGCACCCACGTTGACCTTCCACACGATGGCGGGCTGGAGGGTTGGGAAATTGATGATTGGGGGACTCATTTTGATAGAATAATCTGATGGGTCTCAGAGAAAGGGAATGGCTGCAAAGGCAAGGAGGCAAACTTCTTATCTTTTCGCCTATACTGTCATATGTCACAGGTAAGGCAAGCTTAACGATCCAAATGACCTGGTCGGTCCGGGCATCGGACAAGTTTGTATGAGTCGGACCGGAAGCCGAGCGTCAGATGCAGAGTAAGCCTCAGCCCGGAGTCGTTCGCCGACGACTGCCCCGTGCTTTCTCAACACTAATCCATGTCGATTGTCAAGGGCTTTACAATGCGAGTGGGAGGCCTTTCCACTCATTCAAATGATACGTCGTTGCCGCTATTAGAGGACAAGCTCGCAAGGTGTCAACTCTCCCAGTTGTTCTACCCTCTTCAATTTCCTTCTTGACATCATCAGCTCTCGACAGAGCTTTGACTATGGGTTCTGCCGAGCGACCCTTCCGCGTCATCGTCGTTGGCGGTGGTGTGGGAGGTCTTACAGCCGCCCATACTCTCCACCGGGCCGGCATTGACTATGTGGTGTTGGAAAAGGGCCTTGTCGCTCCACCCATGGGGGCTAGTATTGGCATTTACCCCCATGGCTCTCGGATTCTAGAGCAGATTGGCTGTCTAGCCGACGTGGAGGCAGAGTGTGTTTCGCTGGGCAAAAGTCAGAACCTCCTGCCGGACGGGAGAACCATCTTCAGCAGTGACTTCTTCCATTACTCGAGGACATAGTACAATTATGCTGCTCCACTGATCACCGAAACCTTTAACTAACTTCTGGATAGTCATGGCTACCCTATTCCCGTCCTCGAACGACGCCGGTTCTTGGAAATCCTCTACGAGAATACCCCCGATAAGACCAAGATTCGGTCTGAAACTGCCGTGGTCGATGTCATTGACCACGACAAGGGAGTCAAGGTCGTCTTGGCCGATGGTAGTGTCGAGGAGGGAGACTTGGTTTTGGGCTGCGATGGCGTGCACAGCAACATCCGGAACATAATGTGGCGCAATGCCAATGCTGCTGTCCCTGGCTTGATCACCACTGCGGAAAAGAAGTGTACGTTCTGTATCCGTTTATTCATGGCCACCAATAGCCCGCACACTGAGATATCAAATGTTTAGCTTTGATTTGTGACTGGACGGCCCTTGCAGGCTTCAGTCCTACGGTCCCAGGAATGAGTAACTGCAACATGACCTGCACTCACTACCCCGGCAAGTCCTTCCTGGTGATCGGTCAGAAGAAGTACACCTTCTGGTTTGTCTTCTTCAAGAACGAAGAGACTCGCTACTGGCCGAGCTCGCCCCGATGGACCGCGCAGGACGCCGAAAAGCGAGCTGCGGAGTGTGCTGATTGCCCGATCTCCGACACGCAGGTCTTTGGTGAGCTGTGGCGGTCTCGCGTTCGAGGCGACCTGGTCAACGTCGAGGAGGGACTGTTCAAGCATATGTACTTCGGTCGGATTGTGCTTGCAGGAGATGCCGTCCACAAGGTAATCGCACACCGGTCATCTTCGAATTGGACTTGACTAACAAGAAAACTTCTAGATGACACCGAACATTGGACTCGGCGGCAACGCCAGCATGGAGAGCGTCGTCGTTCTCTCGAACCTCTTGCATCGCGCCGTCCAGGCCCATTCCAGCGGCAAACCGGACAAGAAGATGCTTGGGGCGATCCTCGAGGAGTACCAAACGCTGCGATATGATCGCATGCAGAAGGTCATCCACTTCTCCGGGGAGGCCACCCGGCTCCAAGCCTGGGACAGCTTGTACTATAAGGCAATGTCGCGTGTTATTCCGTACCTTCCAGACACGACGTCAGCAAAGAAGACCGGAGAGCTGATCAAAGCAGCAGCCAAGTTGGATTACGTTCCGACATCTCCAGCTCGTAAGGGAACGGTGGCGTGGGAGGACGAAGGACAGCGGGTTTTGGGGGCACACCAAGCGGTGGTGAGCAGCTTCAGACGCTTGATTCAGATCCCGGTTGTTCTGCTGTCATTTGGGTTGTCGTTCTTCTATCTTTCTGGTATCAAGTTGTGATCGCATTTGTGCAGTCATCCTGTTTGTCTGGGGGACATGGTGTATTTCGTCCTTGAATCAATTAGATTGGATTGAATACGAGAAGGAAGATCATGATTTTCTTTGTCAAGAGGATTGGGCTAGAGCCAACAGGCGGATTCTTCACTGTTCGCCATTGGCAGAGACCGTCTTGGCCGACGTTCCACAGCGGAATTACAGGGCGAAAATTAGCAATCAGTGTCAGCACAGCTGGCTATATCTGGTTATATCTTACGACGTAGACAAAGAAAGATCGATTCCTCCGACGGTGATCAGACGCTCCATGCCAATCGAGTGACCGAAACCACCAAATGCCCGCCATCAAATTCTTCTTCGCGTCGGGCGCCTGCTCGCTGTGCCCCCACATTCTTCTCCATGAAGTCGCAGCCGAATTCCAACCCTTGCAGGTCATCAACCATGGCCCCGAGGTGCGATTCTCCGAGGATTTCCACCGCATCAATCCCAAGATGCGCGTGCCCGTGATCGCCGTCGACGAGGAGGTCATCACGGAGCTCCCCGCCGTGGCCACGATTATCGCCAGTCTCGCGCCCGAAAGACACCTAATGGGCAAGAATCCACTCGACACCGCCCGGGTTTACGAGTGGATGAATTATCTCTCGGGGACTCTGCATGCCGGGGGATTTGGACACTTGTTTCGACCCGAGCGCTGGACGACTGCGACCGATGGGGCGAGTCTGGAGGGAGTGAAGACGAAGGCGCGGGAGCGGGTGGTGGAGTGTTTCGAGTTCATCGAGGGGAGATTGCAGGGGATCCACGCAGTCGGCGGTTACTTCACGGCGGTGGATCCCTTTCTCTACGTGTTCTATCGGTGGGGGACGATGATCGGTGAGGACATGTCGGCGTATCCCAAGTATTCGGCGGTGGTGAGGAATCTGGAGACGCGTCCTGCGGTTCAAACTACAATAAAAAAGGAAAAGTTGTCGCTGATATTCGAATGAAGGTGGGAAGAGAAGAGAAAGGGATGTGGCTTTGTATAAAAACCTCGTGTTTCAGTTTCCATTTTACAGGTTTAGACGCTCATGAGGCATTATTTTCACATCAAAGTAGCATAAGATAGCCAAAACGAAACTAATTACAGAGGCTAAAACGCTGGGAAACATAGAAAAGTCACACATTCCTAGGCTTTTGACCATAGACGTGAAACCACTTCGCATAAGTATGAATGCTCCGATCTAAAAGCTCTGCGCGGGCGGCATCAAGCAGCACATGAACGTCCTCGACAGGCCAATTCAGCACTCGCGTTAAAAGTGCCAGGCTGTACGCATCGAGTGACTCCAACATGTTGACCTGATAATACTTGCCGAGCTCCTTCAATTTCGGATCTTTGGGCCATGGCGACCAAGGCATCTAGGTCGTGCATGGTCAGCATTTGATTGATCGGGGTTACAAGAGTGGTAGGCTCACCTTATAAATATCTTCCCTGATGTTGACGAAGCCTGCGTTTGCGAGACGCCGTCTGTGCTCTGTCGCCGTGCCCATAACTCTGCCCATTTTGGCACTGGCCTCCTTCACAAGTCGAGTTGTCTCCTGCAGGGCCTTCGCTCGGTGGATGGTGTCGTCGTCACCGCACACAATCAGGTCGACCTCGGCAAACTCAAACCATCCACCGGGATTCAGATGATCGTATGCCTGGTTGACGAGCCGATCGTAATTCGACACGGAGCCTTGAAGATCGCGGGCGTGAATAAAGTCAAACTGGATTTCGTGGGTCCAGTCGGATTCGAAATCATCAATCTCGAAGCTCAGGTTGGGAGGAACCCTATGGACCGTGGTCAGTCAGCGGCTCTAGGATGTGATTATTTCCATCAATCTCACCAGGGAGACTGGATTGGACTGAGGTCATTCCCTATTTGTCATTAGGTTGGTAGCTGGACTCGATCTGGTGGGATTGTCGCTCGTACCTATCACTTGGGCTTCTGGAAACATACTGGGTTTGTTAGTCTGCTGTTCAACAGAGCCATGTCACAACCTACTCTGCCACTTCAACTGCCCAAGTCCCGGTGCCAGTTCCCAGGTCCAAGATTGAGGAGACACCTCGGCGTATGGGCGAGCGATACAAATGACCGTCAAGTTTCAATCGATGGATGTGGTGATGCTGAGCAGAGTCAGAGTCAATGGCCCTCCGTCAGCAGTTCGAGACTTACGAGCTCGAGACGAGATTGTTCTTGCTCATCGTTTGGCTGGATTGAGTCAGACCTTTTTGTCTTCCGAGGGCGTATTTTGGCCATACCATGGTGTAGATGCCCTCTTTAAATCCGTGATACCGACGACCGTTCTATTGAGGCTTGGTCAAACGTGACGCCGAAACTCGTCTGGGAGAGATGCTGACTTCATATCTGGGTATCGTTAGCTATGTGAAAAATGCTAAGAGACAGCAGAACACACTGATAATTCTTAATACTGGAGGCTAGCGAGGTCGTGGAACTGAGCCCGGAACTGCCGAATGCTGGTTAAGGCCGAACCCCTGAATCGCGGTATATCACCAACCTGTTGATGAACGAACTCCCGCCATCGTCGTACAGGAGATCGTCATCCTGCATATTATCAGCAAAACACCATGCGAACCACTGCAGTGAACTCACCTCCACCTCCACACCGCTGTCATGTCCATCACCAAGACCTATCGCCAGAGGCATTCTTGCAGCGCGACAAAAGTACGACGGGAGAGAAAAAGCCAACAACAAGAGAAAAGGCCTCACGCGGTCAAAAGGCAAGGCCGTTTGCCGAGCGCCACTTTTTTTTAAATGCCCAAATCCCTGCAGAGGACGGCCACGGACAAGGATGGGGGGAGCTGCAAGAGGCTAGAAGGAGGTCGTGGAGCAAAGAACGGTCGCAGGCGTGGCGGTGATTGGCAGCGCTGCCAACGGTCGTGCTAGTCGTGCATTAGCGAGAATTGGCGCTGACGTTCCCCTCGCTTTGTCTCGAGTTTCCCGCATCAGATCAATGTGTCACTTTTGCTTGACTGCAGGAATTGAGTTTGGCAGCTCGTGGAGTGTCCATCTGCCGACGTACGATCGTCGGACCCTTACAACATCGTCGCTGTTGCTTCTGCGATATGCAGGAACTGAAAGGGCAGGGAGTGGTATTTTCTCTCTAAAATAACATAATGAAATCGCTATAAAAAGCAAACACCGACCTTGGAATATAGAAGGAACTAATTCTCCACAAAGAACGGTCGCTAGACGCTTCAAACAGCCACTTGAACTGCAAATATCTAACCCAACGTTGGTCACTTATGGAACAGGAAAATTCCCTCACAATCCCCAAACGAACGCCTTTAACCAGGGATCCTGTAAATTAGGATCGTGGACATTCAGCACCCCGGCAGCCCGGAAAGGACCAAGGAGATCGCCTTCTGAGGTATCAATAGGAAACCCGCGATCATTCTGGCAGCAAAGACACGCCGATGTACAGTGTCCAATCCCTTTCACAGCAACTCCCCGTCGTGGAGCCTGACAGCATCCACATTGACGAGCACAGCATCCGCCCCTCTCAGCACATTGCGCACGAACCCATTCGGAATTATCCCACTGGGTGTTTCGTCGCAGAGACCGAATTGCCCGCTTCACGGGTCCATTCGGGAAACTGTCCAGCTCGATTTGAAGCACTCGCTGCATGACAGAAGCACAGTGTCGGTAGGCGGCAATCTTATACTCCAAGGAAACTAAATCGCCGTCGGAGGATAGCTCGCTCGTGAGGCTGGCGGACTCGTCAGGGGGGTATTCTTGCTTCCATTGGTATTGAACGAGGCGTTGGACAGTCAAATCGAGATCGAGATGTGCTTGAATCCAGGCTTTTAGCTTCTCACATTGCCGGGGTTCGAGAGGAATGTAGCGGCTTAGTTTTCGACGGATTCGCTGGGCGACTCGCCATAGACCAATGGTCTCAAGAACTTTCTCCAGCACTCTGGCATGGGCGTCGACAATTCTTGTCATCCGCGATGCGTTCTCCATTGCGACCCTGTTACTCGTGCGGCGCTTTGGCAATATTGTGAATGATAGAATATCGGATGTAGAATTGTGATATGCAAGCAATCGCGGAAGACTGCACGACTGAACCTCTTGCAGGATGAAGTTTGGTTGGTGTATGTCATCCGGTGTCATAACAAAGTCTGTATGAGGTTATTATTTATGGTTTTGATGCTCGTCACGATGACCGGGAAGACAACCAGTGGAACCTTTCTTGGCCCTGGGAAGCTTGCAGTCTTAGGCGTACGCTTCAACTGAATAGGTTGAGCAAAATTGGGAGATGGAATGGCAGGATAGGGGGAGATGAGCTCTCAACCTTTCGGAAGTTCTCGTCAAGAATACATATCCTATCCCGATTAAATCTTCGCCGAGAAGAATCATAGAAGAACCATCACAGACTTTAAAGCTATCCAGTATTTATTATTCCTCATGAGTGAGCCTCCTCAGGCAATTCCACATACCAAGACAGATCATTTCTCTCGTCCATCTCCCAAGCTGTGAACCCATTCCCCATGAACCGGAACGGATTGGAACTTTGATACTCAATCTCGAAGTCCTCTGCACGAATATCCTGCAGCATGCGATTGAACAAAACTGCACTTCCTCCGAACAACGCCGTTACTCGCCCATCGACTCGATTCCGTTTATACCAGCTCTTACAGCCTCCCGTCCAGACCAGCGTCTTGTGTATTTCGTCGCCATAACGTACGAACGCTTCCTCGCTGGACCGTTTTGGTACCACAGACTTGATCTCTTCAGTGGCTATCTTCTTGATCCATTTCACAAAGTAGTCGCCAGTCCAATTGAGTGACTCAATGAGAGAGCCGTGACCGCCCAGGCAGTTTGGACCCATCATGATGAAGTAATTAGGGAATCCAGCAGTCGCCACGGATAGATACGATTCAGGCTCGTCAGCCCATTTGTCAGACAGCTCTACTGAATTCTGCCCGACGATTGGATACCGCGGACAATGCGAGACGTCAAATCCAGTGGCACAAATGACTGCTTGGTCAGAACGGTGGACATGATGCCGCAGCCAACGGTGCGGGGGACGAACTTACCAACATCGCACTCAAACGACTTGCCATCCGCAGTGTGTACTGCATACTCACTGATATGCGTGATTCGACTGTCGGACAGATGGCAGTTTGGCCTGGAGAACGCCTCCAGATATCCTGGTCCGGGGGTTATGCGTCGACAGCCCACTTCCCAGTTGGGGATGAGCTTCTCGCATAGTTCGGCGTCATGGTTCAGCTTTTCTGCCATTTGGTTGGCGCCAAAACGCATGGCTGCTTTGTTATTCTCTCCTTTAATGAACTATCTCCACTTTTAGTGACTTGTGCACATTTGGCATCAGAGAGGGACGTACCAGACGAAAGTTCTTGTTCGTTCGCGCAATGATTCCCTTGCGGTATTTCCGATGCTCTTCTGGATCGCGAAAAACCTCCTTCTGCTCCTCGCTATAGTCCGGATTGGGATTGTCATCGTCGTTGCCATGGTGCTTAGATGGTGGCACCCGATAGTACACCCAGGCCGGACTGCGCATGAAATTGACGACTTCTGTCCCTGGCAGTTTGGCCATTGCCGGAGTAATCTGGATTCCGGAGGAGCCGTTTCCAATAACCGCGATGCGCTTGTTGGTATAGTCATAGTCGTGGTCCCAGTGGGCGGAATGCGAGATCTTGCCTTTGAACTCATTCAAGCCGGGAATGTCCGGCCACGCAGCATGACTGAGCCATTAGCTGTAATCATCATAACTGGGAGGAAGTGGAACATACACAAGAACACCTTGAGCAGATATAAGAATGTCGCAGTATTCATCCCTCTGTATTCCTTCATGCTCCACGGTTAGCCTCCATCGACCCTCGTCTTCCTGCCACCACGCCCCTGCGACTTTGGTGTTCAGTTGAATATCGCGATCCAGGTTCCACTTCTTCACCGTCCGCTTGATGTAATCCTGAATTTCCTGACCACTTGCGTAGAACTTGCTCCACTCTGGATTCGGATCAAACGGAAACGCGTAGATATGCGCAGGCACATCGCACTGCACGCCAGGGTAGGTATTGATCAACCATGTTCCACCCACATCATTTCGCGCCTCGAAGATCGTATGCTCGACGTACTCCTGTAGCTCGGGGAAGCGATGTTGCATCTTGTGCGCCATCAGGAGGCCAGAGAATCCGGCGCCAATCGTCACAACGCGCAGTTTGCGGGGGGTGTAGGCGTAGTCGCTGCTCATGGGGATGGTGAAGGGATTCGCAAAAGAGGCACCGTTTGAATGTGCGTTTCCATTCAGCGTGTTTGCTCCATTGGTGGGCTTTGGTTTGTGCACTCCATTTACTCCGTTGGAATGGGCATTGCCGTTTGTATGAGGGCCATTAAGGACCTCGCCGTCTGCAGGAGTCGGGATTGCGACTGTCATTGTGCTTGAGTTCTGTGCTGTATGCCTTTCAAGTTGAGATTCCTGGAGATGATGTCGCTTTTATCAAAGTCTTTCTACGATTGCCCTACAACGTCAAGGGATGGTCTGACTTCTCATCGCACGATGGATTCGGCTGAATTACTGACAACCGAGCTCCATGGATACTCGGCATTACGATCGGGTTTCACCAAAACAGAAGACCAAGCAGTCAATATGGCTTCTGATGCGGGGTTTCACCCGTCCGGACATCTCGAGGGATTCTGTCGGTTCGGCTCTCGGCTTGCCCGATTAGGAAATAGTGAGTCTATCCCGAGATGGCCAGTAGCGGCTTGGCACCCCTCAACTTGGATGCCGATCCCGAGAAAGAGTGACGTATTGCTCTGTTTTGTTTAAGTCACCACGGTATGTGAGATTCATGCAGCAGGATTGTCGTAATGAGAAAGATTCAAAACGTTAACCATATTAATTATTGCAAGACAGTCAAGATAAGACGCTACTAAGCCAAACTGGACTGAACTATGACAAAACCAAGTCTTGATACTCCCTCGCAGCTACAGCATCAGCCCTCTTCCTATACCCCGGAGCAGGCCCATTGTAGCGGGCCACAATACGCTTCTGCTTATGAGCCAAATTCTTATTCACACCACTCATCCAGGAATCCACCTCATTAGACAACAATCCCTCGGCACATTCATGAACATGCTCAGTCCACGCTGCAACACCCTCGTGGGTACACTCGGCGCAGGTAATCCGGTTATCGCGAGCATAGCGAATGAAGCTTGCCACCCACCTCGACGAATACTCAATGCTGCGCGGGAAATTGCCGAACATTTGATGAGGACCCATCACCATCATCATATTGGGGAAGTGCTCTGCAAACATTCCTAAGAAAGTCCGGGGCCCGTCGCGCCACTGATCGGCCAGTTTGACTTGATTGCGCCCTTGGAAGTCAATGGCTGTGAACGAGCCTGTGACAGCGTCGAAGCCGGTAGCGTAGATAATCATATCGAATGTGAAGTCCTCGTCTTGCGTCTGGATGCCCTCCGCGGTGATCCGTTGAATAGGATTGGTTTTGGAATCGACGAGCCGCACATTTGGCTGGTTGTATACCTCAAAGTAGCCACTTTCCAGAGGGACTCGCTTCGTGCCAAATCCGTGGCATTTGGGGATCAGCAGTTCGGCCGTCTTTGGATCATGCACACGCTGTCGAATTTTGTTCGCCATGAACTCGCTGAATAGCGCATTGGCCTTGCGATTCGTGTTGATATCGCCAAAGTTGCCGAGCCATTTCCCAAATCCTCGTGTCTCGTAAAGGTCATTCCAGAGTGCCTCTCGGGTTTCGGGGTCAACATCCAGCGTACGTCGCTTGTCGCTCACGTGTATAAAGCCAGAATACGATTCCCTGCATTTCTGGAATATCTCGGGATACTTCGTACGGATTTGTGCCATTTCTTCGGATGATATTCTGCTGTTATTTAGAGGCGCACTCCAGTTCGGAGTTCGCTGGAACACGGTAAGATGGCCGACTGTTTTCGCGATTTCTTGAATTGCCTGAATGCCAGTCGCGCCGGTGCCGATGACAGCAACACGCTTCCCTCGGAAGTCAATAGACTCATGTGGCCATCGTGCGGTATGATAGGCAGGGCCTCGGAAGTCGCGTACTCCGGGAATATTCGGCAGGGTGAAGTTATTGAGAATGCCCATCGCCGTGACCAAGAATCGGCTGGTATATGTCTTTCCCGCTTCATCAGTCAGCAACCAGGATCGACTGTCTTCTTGAAAGTGCGCCGCGGTGATTTGCGTATTAAACTGCATGTCTTTGCGAAGGTCAAACTTGTCGCAGACGAATTCACAATATCGCAGGGTCTCTGGCTGTGCGGCGAAATGCTCCGACCAGTCCCACTCTTCTAGGATCTCCTGCGAGAACGAAAAGCCATACGAGTAGCTCTCCGAATCGAATCGAGCGCCGGGATATCGATTCCAATACCAGGTGCCACCGACATCTCCACCAGCTTCAAGGACTTTGGCGCGAAGGCCTAGCTGGCGCATCTGGTAGATGGAATATATGCCGGAGAGGCCTGCGCCGATGATGAGAACATCGCACTCCAGGTCTCTGTTGAGATCGTCAAAGGCTGGGGTCTCTATGCTGCCCATGTTGAGGTGGTTGTATGTCGTTCAAATGCTGTCGCAGTGGCCTCCAAGCCCAGTGGCTTTATCTCGGTCTCTTATTATCCCCTCGGACTCGTTCTTGGCCGTGAAGCGCTAGACCCGCGAAGGTTAACCGGTTGTTTCCCCGCAATCGGCAAATCCGGAGAGATCGACGGATCTTCGTCCTCCGTGTTTGTTGTGTAACCTTTACTTGTCATTTTCTCCTGGTGTCTGTTTACTCCGGCACAGGAATTTTTACTGCCAAGATTGGAATGTCCGACAATGCTTTAAGGCAGTCGAGTGCGCCATCTGGGTTGTCTTCCCTCTCCTTCCGCGGTTCTGCTATCCGTGCAATATGTCTGACACTCAGCCTTCACAGGACTCTCTGACCGAGGAGGGCAAGGTGTCTTCCAGCCATGTGGAGAATAGCAATAGGACTGAGAAGGTCAAAACAGTGGATACAGTCCATCAAGATGAAGCCCTGAAGGTTCTTCAGAACTATACAGGCGACGAGACCTGGACCCCTGCCGAGGAGAAGAAGCTTGTGCGGAAGATAGACAGAAAGCTCCTTCCACTTCTCTGCCTGACCTACGGGCTCCAGTATTATGATAAGGCGATGCTTTCGCAAGCAGTAGGCCTGCCTCTACCTCAGCATATCACGGCTACTGATGGAATATATAGGCTTTATTTGGACTACGAACCGACCTGGACATGATGGAAGGTAGCCGCTATTCCTTTTCGGCGTCGATCTTCTACTTGGGATTTATTGTGGGCGCCTATCCCGCCATGACTCTGGCGCAGCTGTTTCCAATTGAGAGAGTAGCGTCTTTGATCACGACTCTCTGGGGGATTTGCCTCATCCTCACGCCTGCGTGCTTCAACTATCAAGGATTGTGGGCTCAGCGCTTCTTCCTCGGGATGCTGGAGGCGGGAATCAGTCCTATGTTTATGCTCATCGTGGTATGTGCCCCAGTGCAAGCTTCAGGCTGGTACAGTAACCATGAATAGGGTAGTTGGTACACGAAAGACGAACAGGCCCTCCGGATGGGGTGAGTGAACCCAGATGGTTATCAAATAGAAAAGAGCCTGATCCGATTCCAGTGCCTGGTACTGCTGGACTGGATACGTCTCCATCTTCTCGCCCGTGATCAACTATGGCCTCGGTCACATCCGAGGCACCCTCTCTCCATGGAAATACATGTATCTCTTGTCCGGCGCGATCACAATTATCTGGGGCATCATCGTCCTGTTCCTTCTCCCACCAGACCCCATCCGAGCGAAAGGATTCGACGATCGACAACGATATATCTCGGTCGCACGTTTGCGTGTCAACAACTCCGGCGTTCGCAACACACACTATAAAAAAGGCCAGGTCTTCGAGCTCCTCATGGACGTCAAGTTCTGGCTCATGTTCCTGATCGCATTCCTAAGCATGATTGCGAACGGACCCATCTCGACATTCATGCCGATCATTGTGAACTCGATGGGGTTCGACACTTTGAATTCCTTGTTACTCACGATGCCGGCTGGCTTCTATGCCGGGACGCTGCAGCTGCTCGCGCCGTATTTGGCTTATCGATATGCCAAGACTGGAATCCGGTCCTGGCTGGTGTTTGGTTGTCAGGTTCTCACGACGCTGGCTGCCCTACTGTTGCTTTGTCTGCCGTTCTCAGCTACAGGGGGGCTATTGTTCGCATGCTACATTCTCCCGTCTGTCGGGGGAGGATACTCGGTGCTCATGGGGCTCCAGATTGCTAATATAGCTGGGTATACGAAACGCGCGATGGCGTCTTCTGGTTTATATATTGGGTACTGTCTAGGTATGTCTGTTTTTCAAAAGACACCGTGGTTCTCTGACAAGAATAGGAAACTTTGTCGGTCCGCTTGTGTTCGAAGACAAAGATGCCCCTCGCTATGTCCCTGGGTTTATTGTGGTCATTGTGACTTCGATTACGGCTGGTCTTTTGGTCCTTATTTACCGATATATTTGTGTTTGGGATAATCGACGGCGTGATAAGCAGGGGGCCGAGGGATTCGGGAATGCATATCAGGACGATTTGACGGATTTGACGGTGAGCTATCCACCATGTGCTAGATGTTGCTTTTGCTGACCTGATTAGAACCCTGAATTCCGTTATATCCTTTAGTTCGTGTTACTCTTCTATTTGAGTTGTCACTTTGCTGGGAGGTTGATTTGTTGTGAAATTTCTACTTCATATCACTGTAGTGAGATAATGATATATTTACCTCATGTACCACTTATTATTTGGACCTCAATATAACAATCATTTCATATTTGGTGATCGGAACTAAAAAGAAAGAACGTATAATAGTACTCGAACATCACGAAGATTCTGCTGACTTAAACCAGAGAAATTCAATGCTCTATTATCCATCAGCCACACCCTTCTCTCTCCAATACCCCCCCAACACCTTTAAGAACGCCCATTTCAAAGCACTCCCCCATCCTTCGTCCTTCCATCTGTTCAAACTCTTGGGAAAATGCGGCACTCCATCCTTGACCTGAGCGTCATGCGCAATAATCACAAAGACATTAGCACTAGCGTCTGCTTCTTGCAACTTTTCAATCGTCCGTTTCGCCAGTGGAATATCATGCCCGAATGTCGGATCATACAGCGACTGCGTTGACTCCCGACCGCGAGATTTCTGCAATTCCTCCCATGCACCCCCCGGACAGAATCCGACCCCATCTCCTGATATCGGATGGGGAATGATACGATCCGGTAAAGGAAGATGCGTTGACGGACGGAAGATCCCTGCAAAGTGGCACACATCCCCACCCAGCAGGATGAATGTATCCGCGCTCGTGGTTGTTCGAGCAAGACCGCATAGGTGACCGACTGCGTGGCCGGGACTATCGAGAATATGAAAAGATCCGTCGCCGAAGTAGTCGAATGCGTTGAATTTGCCGATCTTGAGGGCGTTGGCTCCGTTGAAGCTGATTTCTCGGAGGTTACGGCTGCTGATAGATGTTGGTCAGTAACAACACAATCCTCATATCTATGAATGTGTAAAGCTTACGTATAGTCACTTTCAAGGATCGGGGAGTCAGGGTTCGCAGGTGCACCTGGCAGTAGAGCTTCCTTGAAGCCGGGTCCAACGATCAGGTCCGTTGAGGCGGGAAAGGTCGATGGATCGCCGATGTGGTCCCAGTGCCAATGGCTGGGTGTTATTAGTCTCGATTATATGGGAAAATGAGATAATCCTGGAAATACCTCCATATCACAGCTTCAATATCTTCCCCTTTGACATCATGATCCTCCAAAATATCCGCGACGTTCTTCTCTACCTCGATGTGATACTTGGTGGTCGGAATATACTCTGCGATTTTTGGCGCATAATTCCAGTAATCCTTTCGGATCCCTAGGTCCCACACAAGCTTCCTTCCAGAGGGATGTTCAAGCAAGAAGCATAACGAAGGGAACGACTCGAACGTGTCCAGTCCGGGAACCTGGGGTTCCATGAACCGGTTCAGGATGGCTGGACCCGCATTAACGGGGTTAATGAGTTTGACTGTGATTGGCGTATCGCCTGGGGGTACTGGAAAGATTTCTTTGTCTGCCATCCTGCGTGTTTGGTCGGTATGTAAATTGATAGCGGTATGAAGCCCAAGTTGGCGCTCCAGTCAAGATATGCGTGTCATCGTGAGCAAAGGAGTAGCTTCGAGCCGAGAGCCGGAATTGCCGACCAATTGACTGTTCGAATTCCCCGCATTCAATGACGAGGAAAGATGCGTTGATCAACTAGCTGCATGTTCAACCAACATGTGGCGTAGACCAACTGATTCTACTGCGGAGAGTCTCCGAGATATCCTCCGAAGAACGTGAAGCCGATCCAATAAGATACGATAGGAATTTCACTAGACCTTCCAGAGCCACTGTATCTAGTAAACTATCCTCCAAAAGCAGCCATGTCCAAAAACCCATCAAAGTGCCGAAACAAATCATTCACCTCGAACGTGCTCAGCTCGAGGCCTACCTCGTCAAGAGGCAACTCCATCTGCCGATTGCTCAGCAAGATATGCGCCAGACCACTCGTCCGCGTCGTCACAAAAGGGAAATAGCTAGTCCACTCAATCCCGTGAATCAAACTGATGTCTTCTAGGTCAAAGGCCTCATCTGCGGAGGGTGAATCAGCCGCCGTACTGCGCAACCTCTCGAAGCCCTGCAGGAAGATATCGGCGGTCGGCCACATGATCTTGAGCTGCTTCAGAGCCAACAGTACGATTTGCACATCTTCCTCTGCGTATCTCGACAGATGGGGGATACGCCGAGCATGCAGGAGAGCGAGCATCGCCATGCCGCAATACCAGCACGAGATGCCCATTAGGTAGCGAATGCGACCGCGGGCAAGGCAGTCTTTCAAGATTCGTGCTATACATGATGCCGCGAGAATTGCTGCCGGATATGCTCGGGGCAGCGGTCTTGCAGACTGGCTCAGATGTAGGACAATAATAGTTGCTAAATATGGCAGATGCAGCTGGTGCACGTCGCGATTGAAAGATACCGTACGGTCGGATCCAATGGGCAAAGACAGGTGACTGGGAAGAGAATGTGCCCATGCGATTAAGTCCTGGGCGTGGTTCACAGGGAAATGCAGTGTCATGTTGTTGCTCGTGCGCATCAGATGTTTGGCGATGTTTCCGATGACGCCGCAGAGCTTCACCCACTGAATGAATATCTCGGCCTTGATGTCCTGGACAGGGAAATCGTTCAACGTGGGCTCTGAAATATTGCAATCCTCCGGGTCGATCACACACGGTCGGCATTGACACAATGCCGTTAATCGTTCTCGTGCCTGCCTATTAATAGACGTCTTCTCTGCCATGACAGTGACAACTTACGAAAAACGTCCACCACAGTCTCCGTCGCAGACCGCTGTCAAACTGCGATCGGTCCAGCTGACCTGATCTCGGTTCCCTGTGGAAGCCTCCATGTTGAGCATGTCGGATAGCGACCGTCGTCCACCACCAGGACGAGTCGCGATGAACTCTAGAGGGAGGACGTGGACTCCACCAGTACACGAGAGCTATTGCTTTCAAGCACATGACGAGATTTGGCTCTTGATCGCCGTAGAACAGCGCTTTGACGCGACCGTAATAAGTGGCCGGTTCTGCGTGGAGAATCACCGGGGGCTGGACATGGCTTGCGGCCAGGGAGAGTGCGTTCACAACTAGTGGTGATGCCCCTAGATCATCTTCTATGATGTCTTTATCTAATACCGGGCACCAGGTAGAGCAATACTCAAAGTACGTCTCCTCGAAGCCTTGCAGGAGCTCTGGTGGGGGTAAATCAACGAAGGCTGGTGGCACCTGGGCTTGTCTCCGTTGATCGTCGGCATTGAGTCGAATCTCTGAGCCATAGACTTCTCCATACCCCGGATCCCCGAGATAGCTGTCGGCAGCGTCTGCCTGGCGAGCGATCGTGTCATTTTGCCCCGGGGTAAGTGCTGTCCCATGAGGACTTTGGTGAGCTGGGTAAGGGTTCCTCGCCAACGACGCAGCATTGCAGAGCTCGTGGAGTCCGAAGAACGACATGCCATCGTTGACACCAGACGGTGTCTCATCGCTGGGAAAGCCATGACTGGAGTTTATCGATGCTGGAGGGGTCGTCGGTCGCAAAGCTTCATGTTCATTGTCGGCGGTTGCATTGGACGTCTTGCTATTTTGACGCTTACGCTTCGACGGTCGGGTCCTGGATAGAACGAGCTTAATATCCTATTTCTCTCAGATCTCTAGATTAACCTACCTGCAGGTTACACCCGCCGCTGCGCAGTTGCTGCATTTGCTGCATCCACGCCCGCTTGTCTCTTGCAGGTCGCATTTCACCTGCGATGCATCAGTATTGCCACTCTAGTTCGTATGGTCGGCCAGACCTTTCTCTCATGACAGCCAATACAGACAATAGCCGCTCTCCGCCGCCTTGCCTTATGGGCAGCAAATTGCTGGAAGCGATAACCGTCGGTCATGATGGGTGACAGGAGAGAAGAACCGGAGAGTTCCCGGGGAAGAGCAGCTTAGGGCTCAGCGATCATGCGGGGATGTGGGGGAACCATCGTGCCTAGACAGACAGACGGATTTCTCCGAGCCAGAGATGGGGATTCCCTGGAACGTAGCAGAGGCTGTTGTAATCATTTCATGGGCATAAAAAGCCGAGAACCGAGCGCTGATCGCCTCGGCAGTCCATGCGGGGACAAAGCATTCGCAATCAATTCCACTCTACTTCCTCTCGGCTCATTTCACCAAATCACCTTCCACTATTGTCTCATCCTTGAAACACTAACTGCCATGGCTGATTTCTCGCTATATACTGGACCCAGTGAGGAGTGGCTGGCTTTGAAGGCCACTTTGCCGGCGCCTCCCGACTTTGTCTCTCTGGATGTCCTCAAGGCTGAGGCCAATGCTGGGCGCGAAGCCATTGCGGCGAAGGCCTTAGTTACGGAAGGTAGGAGACTTTCTTTCTGTTTTGAATCAAATTAGCTCACCCGTACTAGGTCTCCAATCGCAGGTCGCCTTTCAAGACTATTCCATCCCTGCCCGCGACGGGGTCACCTTGCAGGCCAGGACCTATCGTCCGGCCTCGCTGCCTCCCACCCAGCCTCTGCCGGTATACATCCACTTCCACGGCGGTGGATACTTCCTCGGAACTCTCGCTTCGGAAGATGCAATCTGTTCGCGCATCGTTGTTGGGTTGACCGCCGAATCAACTCCCGTGGTCGTGGTCAACGTGAACTATCGCCACACGCCGGAGCACAAGTACCCGATTGCTTGGAACGACGCTGAAGATGCATTCCACTGGGTCCACGACCATCTGACCGAAATTGGCGGCGACGCAGACCAGGTGATAGTCGGTGGAATATCAGCCGGGGCTCATTTAACCGCCTCATTGGTGCTGGCACAGCATCTGGGCACGGACGAGGCTTTGCTCAAAAGACCAAAGGTGAAGGGTCAGGTGTTGATGATTCCTTCCCTGGTCTCGCGAGGTTGCTATGCAGGACAGCTTGCGAAGCTCAAAGATCCGCGGGTGTCGAGCTACGTGCAGAACGAACATGCTCCGATCTTGCCCGCCAGCCGCGTCGATTTCTTCATCGGACTTCTGGAGCCCTTTGGGGTCGATAAGGATCTGCGATTGAATCCTGGAAATGCGACGCCGGATCAGGTCAAGGGAATGCCCCCGACGACCTTTGGAGTTGCAGGTCGAGATCCATTGAGAGACGAGGGTCTTTTGTATGCCATGTTGCTGGCTGAGAATGGGTAAGTTGTCTTCCCTGCGATCAAAGACATCGAGCTAACCTGGCTCTAGTGTTCCTACAGATGTGAATGTCTTCACCGGTCTTCCGCATGGGTTCAGAAGGCACGGAGCCCTGTCTGAAAGTAAACGCTGGGATGCAGTGATGAACCAGGGCATCAAATGGGCCTTGGGTGATCCGGTGGCTACAGGAGCCTTTGATATCAAGGATAAATGACAGCTTTTATCTTTGCTCGATTAATAGTTGTTATTGCCTAGAAGCAATAAAATACAGACAAAAGTATCTCAGAAGTTTAATGAGCACCATTAACCCTAGTCGCTCCCTCGGGAGTTCGGCTCTTGCTCCATCCTTCTACCCATCTATCCTCAATGATCTTCAGCTGCACATCTTGTGTGCGTTTGAAGTAGCCCTCGTCGATGTGATCGTCTTTTTCAACATCCTTGTAGCCCTCATTCGCCACAGACTTGGGCGTCACCATCAAGGAGTGTCCTAGGATTGTCAGAGAGCAATTTATATTGTCTCCATAGGAAAGACAAACCGCTTATTGTCCGATCTGTGGCTAGCTTCATCATGCATTCTGCCACATCTTCTTGTGGTGTAAACTCCACCCCCTTTTTCGTTAACTCTGCTTCGTACTCGGGGGACCGTATTGCGCTTTTGATATAACTAGTCAAGTCAGCTGCTGCAGTATATTTGATATAAAGAGTGCTAAATTAGGTTACCATGGGGCCACGTAGTTGATTCGAATTCCTTGTTCCCATGAGTTCCGTCGAGCAACTCGCATTAAGCCCCGGAGGCCGTATTTACTGCAGGTATATTGCCAATTGGCCTTCAAGGATCAGCATTCCCTTCCTCCTACCCTAGTGCAGTTTCATAGAACTTACAGGCGAATCAATCCACGCCACCATGCTCCCTGTGATAATAAAGCATCGGTCTCGATCCGGGGTATCCGGCTGTTTCCGAAAGTAGTGCACCGCCAACTTCCAGGTATACAGTGTTCCCGTCATATTCACATCCATAATGCGTAGCTCAGGTTTGACGGGGGGCTTGTTCGGATCTACCACGGTCAGTTCCATACCAGAGAAATGCTAAAAGAACACACCATCCAGGGGCCATAGATCGTCTCCGCTGGCGCGACTAATGCCCGCATTTGCGATCACAATATCACAGCTCTTGCTTGGAGAGTGGGCAATGGCCGCTTCGAAGACCCCCACCTGTTCCTCCCATGACGAGATATTGCATTTGACGAATTGCGCGTTTCTAAAATTCTCAATTTCTGCTCTGACTGTGGGGGAATCGGCACTCACGGACTCAGCTCTCCTGATAAAGCTCGTCCACGCTCTTCGTTCACGTCGGCAATTGTCACAAAGGCTCTGGCCAAGTCAGAATCCCATTCAAATTTAAGACGCATAGCATACCCTTCCGCCGCAAATGCGCGAACGGTTGCCTCTCCCATGCCATTCGCCCCTACATCTGTTAGTATGTAATCATTTATTGCATTTTCCAACTTACCCCCAGTAACAATCACACTCTTTCCCTTCAGCTGCGCTCGATCGGGTGGGATGGTGCAGTCCACTGGACCGGTGTACTCGTAGGGTGGTAGCTGAGGCATTTTGACTACTTGTCTGAGTTTGATGACAATGAGTAGAAGTACGACCCAAGTGACAGGAACACACTGTGCATCCATGCACCGTAGAGAATAGATATAGCGCGTCTGCTTCTCCGCATCTCCGGCCTTCAAATTGCGGGGATGCTTGGTGGCTCGGCATTCCTCTTTGGGTTTACCGAGATGACTGGAGAGCAATCTATGGATATTGTTCCATATTAACATCCGGCAAATCAAAACCTCAAGGATCACAGCCCCACCAAGGCAACTCGACCCCGGATCCTGCCCGAGCTCAAATCCTCAAGCACTGCCGGCAGATCACGGAGTCCCCTTGTCTCAACCTGAGGTTGAATAATCCCCGTTGCAATCATATTCAGAACCTCAACAATATCGCGATACTGCCCACCGTAGGAGAAAATGATGCTCAAACGCTTCCTAATCCCGACTTTCATGTCGACTTCATTTTGGCGGTCGCCCGTTCCTACACAAAGGATCTTTCCACCGGGGCGAACTGTAAGATCTAACTTAGTACCGGCTAGAGATCAACCCAGCAAGTATCGGCTGAGTGTACTTACCGATAGCCTGTGCGTCCCTGAATGTTTGATTCGAGCCGACAAAATCCAATACCGTATCAATCCTGCCTCCCAGGTCATTGTCCTTCACGAATTCCTGTATAGATGTCCCCGCAGGAATAATATCGTGGAGTGGGATCCCCAGTTGCACTGCGGCCTCTAACTTCTCTGCTCGGATATCCGATGCAATCACCCTCGCTCCTATTGCCTTCACAATCTGCAAAGCATTAAATCCAAGTCCACCGAGGCCAAACAGAAACACTGTCTCGGATTGCTTGACTTCAGCTCGACGAGTGATGCCGTGGTATGCGGTAGTGACAGCATCGGTTGCAACGGCTGCGACTTCGGATGACACGGCTATAGATATGGTCAGCTTATTGCAGGCATTCGGTGACAGTTTCTATTAGGAACCTACCGTCCGGTACGGGAATAGCAGCGCGCGCATCAACGGCCACGTACTCCGCATAGAACCCATCTTGGCCAATTCCATGATGATGTCCCGTTGGACAGAGCTGTTCCAAATTCCGAGAGCACTCGCCGCAGCTGTCTTGGCCGCATCCCGGGACAGCAAGGAGAGCTACACGTTCGCCCTGTAACTTGTCAGGCTTGTCGGTCCTTTTTCTTTTGATCTTGTATGAGAGAGTGAAGCTGGATAATACCAGTTGAAGCAACTTATCCTGGACTTCATGTCCAATTTCGACGATTTCGCCGCATCCTTCGTGTCCCTAATTTGAAGTTAATTTATACATCTACCAACATGGCTTTTATACTTACTAGAATATACTTCTCCTCAAACTGTGGACGATCCTCGACATCCAGTAAAGCCTGGTCACTGTGGCAGACTTTTCGCGGTCCGTCAGTTGGGTATAGCGTCAAAGGCGATCACGTAAATACCTCCCGCTGCTAAGAGCTTGACTAATAGCCCTGTAGGGGGCGCTCGTGGTACGGGGACGACCTCCCAGACCTTCGAAGTCAATGATGGGTTTCTCGATGTTCAAATTAGAGATCAGCGACTTACAGGCTTTGGGTTGCCCTTGTGCTTTCTCCACGCGTGCATGGTTTGTGGAATCGCAGGAGGCATTTTTTCACAGATTTGGTTAAAGTAGTATCCAATGAACAGTAGAAAGAGCATAAAAGCTAAGCGTCGAGGGGCATGGTTATTTTGAACGCTTCCTGGCTTACTTCTAAGGAGGGATAACCGAGACTCGGTTATTCCAACCCAAGTCTCGAACCGACATCATGCATGGAAAGGACAAGAGCTTCCCTCGTCAAAATTGATTGAGGAGTGTGTCCAATTACTGAACGTTCTTGTAAGGCTCAAAGATCAAAAAGCATAAGCAACTCAAGTATATCTACACATGTTGTATCGCGCACCTCCAGATTCCAAACTAACAAACAATAGCCCCTTACCACGCCAAGCTACCTCCTGCGCCGTTCTGCTTGCAATAGTAATTCAACTCGTCTCCTCCAATGTGCTGTCCCTCAGACTGGCAGTAGTACAGGAGGTCCTGGTCACTCAACAAGGTGCAGTCAGGGCACTGGTCCCACTGCTTGTCTCCGGTGTTTCGTTTCTTGTATGCAGTGCATGCCTTGTCCGTGGCGTCTTTGTTGTACACTTGCTGTAGGGTATCAGCACACTGTCGCCATATGTTAAGAGCTCAAGGAACTGACCACATCGTCTCCTGGGGAGTCGTAACAGATGCCTGTGTTGTGAAGGTCGGCGAAGACGCTTTGAGATGTCAGCATAAACTCGACGCATGGAGTCAAAGGATCCTACCCGATGGCAAGAGTTGAGGCGAGCAGCGAGAGTGAGAGCTTCATGGTGATGGTTGATGGGATGCGTGGATGTCTAGGTCTGAGTGATGGGATATGGCAGGTCTATATCCGACTCCTGGAACCCTCTGTCGGCCACATTTAAGACAGACGACATGTCATCGGCTCTTCGGAACCATCTCGTTCCATCCCCTGGCTTGATGGTGCATCCTGCCACGACGTGAAAATCCGAAGATTCTCCAGGCAGATCCCGCCAGCAAACCCCAAACGACAATGTCTACGAGGTATTCGTCTTCAGCTCGAGTCGGCGATGTTTCATGGTGGCACCTTGGTTGCATTCACACAATGGACCTGATCCTTCGTAACCTTGAGGCCCTGGATGTCTCAGTTGCAGCCCAATTGGGATCTCGTCATGGTACGGGGCGCCGTGAAAGCGGCAGCGATCATCGGCACTAGGAGATGGAGTTCCGGATGCAGGCCTGCAGATCCTTATTCTGCGAGTCGGTCACTCCAGATACCCCAAAAAAGAACCCCTTTGGGGCAGCTTTAATTTACTTTAATCTATAAGGGTTGGCATTGTCGTCATGGCGTGGCAGGCCCCACGGGTGATAACGTCTTCCCGACACTGCCGGTGTCTCTTCGCCATGGATTGGTCCACTCAGGATGATTGACAGGCACATGTGGCCTAAGAATAACGTTTCTGCAGGAGTCGGAGTCTTCTCATCCGCCGCGGTCCGATCCTGACTCCGTTCTGCGCACCTGGGGATCTGCGCTGAAATGCCTCATGGATTGTCTTGCGTCCGGGCTTTCTTCGGGAGTTTCATCACGGAAGGATTCTATCCTTCTATCCGCCAGGGACCGGAGCTACGTTGACTTCAGTTCACCGCATGATGGAGTATCGCGTGTCTGCGGGTCCGGTTGCGAGTTGAACGATGATCTCGCTCTTCTGTTGTATATAGACCCTCCTTCCCGTAATCATCCCAACCCTTCCTCTCTGCCTGTCGACATCATCTCACCCCAACTCCTTGTACATACCCAAACACCAACATCATGAAGGCCGCCTTCACTCTCTTCGCCTCTCTCTGCGCGGTCACCACCGCCCTGCCTCACGATCAGGCCACGAACCCGCAGGACTCGGGACTCGACAAGGCCACCCTCCTCCTCCACGATGGCAGCACCGTGTCCATCGACAAGAAAGACCTCTCCGCCCACCTGAACGGCGCCGCACTGTCTCCTCCGGTCAACGACTTGCCCAGACGCCTCACCAGCAGCCCCACCACCCACCTCACCAAGCGTGGCTCCGACGCCCAACTCATCATCCCCCTGCCCGACCAGGAATTCCTCGGCTGGGACATCCCCATGTCGACCATCACGCACGCCAACGAAGCCGATGCCACCGTCGCCATGTCCGCCGGTAACACGATCGCCAACAGTATCACGGTGGGCAGCTCGTTCGCCGCGTCTGTCGAGAGCTTCCTCACCGTCACCACGCACATCGACTACGGCTACACCGAGACCAGCGCCCTGACCGGCACCGTGACCATGACGATTCCCAAGAACAAATGGGGCGCCATCGTCAGTAACCCCTTGACGCAGCGAAAGCGCGGATACGTCTTCAACGGACAGCCCGGCAGTGGCTCGTTTGAGTACTTCCAGGCGGACTCGTTCAACTCGGAGACTTATACTTATGGTCAGAACTCGTTGTCGTGGGTTAAGGGTGTCATGACTACTTGTCTGGGCGATTCCTACCCCCTGAAGATGTGCAATGGGGATGGTGAGCTGAAATAGGTTCTTTTTGCGAGGCCGTTGGGGGGTGGCAGTTGTGGTAGGGGTGGTATACCGGATTGATGTATGCATATTGTGGTTGGCTTCACTTGTTATCATTGTACGTACTCGATTCTGAGTGTAGGAATTTGTGCTGTCGTCTATTGTCAGGGTAATGTTGAAATATGCATCTGGCGTTCAATCATTCAAATTCCCTTTCCTGTTTAGCATGATCATGGCCGTGATCAGGCATCTATTCGAGAGCATACTCTAGCTCTCATTCGGTCATGACGAAATGTAACATACGCTTCACCCGGCGAAGACATTCATCAAATCTAGCAGTTCTGTCCAACGAGCGTCTTTCTGCACTTCTATGTTTCCCTCCGGTGTAATCACTTTGTAGTCATCCTCCTTGCTCGTACCATACTCGTATCCTTGCTCATTTCCAACAAACGCGGACAGATCACGGATCCAATCTGTCATAAGCTGTCTCTCCATTGAAGTCGGGCCATGCATGATCGAATAACTGTGAATAATTTAGCAGAGTCCACATAATGTGAGGTTCCATGCAATTCACTCACTTCCAGAAAGGCCGGTCCATGGCATGACTAACGCCAAACGACTCAGGTGCCACCTGGGGTGTAATAAATGATAGACGATAGGCGATAAGATACCGCCACACGTCTCTTATTTCCACACCGTGGGACAGCAGATTGTCGACAAGAAATCGAGAAGGTGCTCGGACCTGACCGTCCGACACGATGCGCCCAAACACGGCCTCCCAGTCTTTTTTCTCAGTCGACGTAGGGAGTGAATAATGGTGTAACAGACGCGACGTAGTCGACGGAGAGTAATAATTGGAAACCTGCAGCTCGAGAGACTCGCGACTAGCCTCCGGTCCATTCGTCACAGCATACAGCGTCTCTTCATTCAACACCTCTCCGATGAAGATCCGCAATCCTCTGCGCTTGAACTCCCGGGCGAACGACCCGTCTCGATAATATTCGAAGATATCAGGATGGATGAAGACCCCGTCAGTGACCGGACGGAAAGTATGATGCTTCAATTTCATGATGGTATCGCAGAGGTCCTGAGCACTGATCTGACGCAGAGCCTTCAGCTTGTCGGACCCAGAGAGCGAGGGCGCAATTTGGAAATGCTCGCACAGCTCGTCGAACTGCGGTTGGCAGTCCTCTGGCGTCTTTGGTTGCGTCGGAATTGCATTGGAGTACATGACCAGCCGACGAAAACGATCTCTCGAACCTTCCGACAGATCTCCTCGGAAATCATACAAAGTCTGCGCCTGTACGGCGTAGGCACCAGCACTTCGACCCGAGAGCGTAATATTCAACGGATCTCCACCGAACGCAGCGATATTCTCGTAGACCCAGTCCATCGCGAGCCTCTGGTCCCAGAGTCCGTAGTTTCCCACTTCCCCTGCCTGGCTCTCCTCTCGCAGCGCATCGCCAGCCAGGAATCCAAACACGTTGAGACGGTATCCCACGGCAATGAACACGGCATTTAGATTGCCGGTCGAGATCAACTCTGTCGGATTCATCGCCTCTTCCTGACTGGGGTCCCCGATTTGGAACCATCCTCCGTGGAACCAAATCATCACCGGCCATTTGGGGTTGGTTTCTCCTTCTCTCTGAACGGGAGTCCAGATGTTCAGTCGCAGGCAATCTTCCCCGAACTCGTGCTGAGGGAGTTTCTTCTTCACCGAGGCGGAATAGTTTGGTTGAGGACAGACCTGGCCGAATGAGGTCGCATCGAACGGTCCTCCTTCTGTAGAGTAGGAGTAAGACTCGGGTAGGGGTTCTGGCTTTCTCCATCGTCGTTCACCGGTCGGTGGAAGGGCATATGGGACGTTGGCGAAACGGCGTGATTTCTTGTCATACTGTTGACCCTTAATACTTCCTTTTAGTCCAGGAAGTTTGACCTGGCACTCTGAGGTTTGGTAAGAAATGTTGTTTCCCATGATGATAATGTCGAAGAGGAATGGAGATCCGCAGAAATATATTCGGGAGGGACGATGTCAATTTAAACCCCCTGACACCGTTGGACGCAACAGAAGACGCAATCCACTGCTGCTGTCACGACAAACACCAATAGAAAGCTGAAGGATTATTTATTCGCCCGACAATCCCCTCTTTTCCCTTCAAAATCCTCCAATTTTTCCCTTTTCTCCATCTCCAACTGCCCGGCGCTGTTGATTGGTCGGTTTAATCGATGGGTGTGCTGAGTCATCCAGCCGATCTGCGGCCTCAGGCTGCCATCTCCTCTCGTCGATTGTTTTCTCCATCTTTCGTCTTCTTTGAACTCCATCCTATCTGCATCCCACCTGCATCCAATCTGTATCTCTTCTCTATCTCCATTTGATACGGAATCATGGACACTCGATAGATATTCATACCTAGAGATAGCACCGACCTGTCCTCAGTCGATAAGACTCTTGGAGATACCGGAGAATGGTCCAGGCTCCAAGAGCCCTCGCGGTCTGCATCCATGGGAGCCGATAAAGACCCTGCTGACAGACCGCGTCGGGCGCGAGTAGAGCGTGCCAGGCGATCTAAGAATGGTGAGCTCTTTTCCAAGCTATATTGCATCAAGACTAAATGAAGAATAGGTTGCGCTACCTGCCTCAGCAAGAGAGTCAAATGCGACGAGCAGCGCCCCTACTGTGGTCGTTGCATTCGATTGCACTTGCCATGTGAATGGCCCCGACCCAAAGCTTCACTGGCTGAGAGGCGCAGAGGATTTGGTCCCCTCAAGCGTCGTGATCGCGATCTCTGGTCGCCTTGCTCCATCGTCCCGAAGGGTGAATTGACTCCGTCGTTGCAACCGGATGAGTCTGCGCGACAACCCATGGTCACCAAGGCCAATGAGCAAGAATCTAATGATGCAGCCTCGGGCATCGTTTCTCAATCGTCCGGAAACCCTCCAGACTTGATAGACGAATGCGAAGCGTCTGGACTACTGGTACCCGATGGCTACGAGCATGATGCGGCACCGTCACCAAGCTATGGAACACCGGTTTCCCTATCAAGCAGCGTGCTCGATAGTATACACGACACGCTTCCGCTGCTACAAATGCCGCTTGCGCTCCCTATGTCAATGTCGCCCGATACGTCCTTCATCCACGTCGCAGACACAGCTCCTGCTCTAGGCACCAACGACAAACAAGCTCTAAGCTTCCATCGCGCGGTTTTCGCCCCGTTGAAATCAACTCGACACTGGACTTGCTCCGCACAAGCCTTGTTTGTCGACAGAGCATTTGAGAAACGCATGGCTTTTCATTTCCTTCTCGCCCTGTCCTACAGCGAGCTGGCGATTTACTATGGCCACGGTTCCCGACCACCGCAGGAGTCCAAGAGGCATTTTGAGCGGGGTTCCCACTTATTCTTGCAAGCACAGAATCCATTTGCTGCTACAGACCACGTCAGCACAATGCTCTCATTTCTGTATCTCTATATGTTTTGGATGCGGCGGGATCGGCTAGATGTGACGAAACTCGAGGATCTGAGCAGGACAATTATGCTCTACGTTAGAGCACATGGGCTGGACGATCTTTGTGCCAGCGAGGATTTGGCTTCGCTCACTGGGAACAGTTGCACAAGCTTGGAGTCTCCGCCCGACCAGGCTCTCCTTGCCAGGATACTGGTATATTTGTACGATCGCGACGGGTTTTGCGGCTTTTTCGGCTGTGGGGGATCATTCGCCCGGCATATGAGTCAAGATCCAGAGAAGCGACGGAAGGTTTGGATACGATCGCGTACTGCCTTCTTGCTTCCTCAAACCCCTTGCATGCGCGCATCTGCCATATTTGACATGGAGGACGCGGCAACCCTTGACGCTTACTTCGACCTCATCGGTTTGCACCAGGAAATAAATGAATACAGCCAGAGCTCGCAGCAGGAAGCCGCAGAAATCGAACCCCGACTGCGACGTCGAATAGACACGGTGCAGCAGGTACGAAGAACGCAGCTGGACTGACGATCGCTTTCTAACAAAGTTTAGGACCACTTATTTCTTCCATTTTCCTTCCCGGAAAGCGACTCTCGCCTATCGCTAATGTCGTATGTCACGATTACCTTCTTTCACGCACTCCAGTTGTATTTCTACCGAAGTCGCGAGTCTGCCTTCGGACAGCGACCGGTTTCAAAGCACCTGCAGAAAACTCTTAACACGCTAGTCTCGACTGCATATCACACCGTCAGCACTGGGCCAGTCCAGCTCCTCGAACGATTTCAGTGGTCGCTATTTATTGGTGCCCTGGAAACTCACGATCCAGTTCACCGGCAGTGGCTCGTGGACCACATTTCTGATCCCGGCCTCAAGGCAGGGACCCAGTTGATCCAGACGATCAAACATCGATCTGCCAATGGAATCACGATGCAAAATCTCAGATGGTTGATCAGCGGAACTAATTCGGCGGGCTTGGCTGGTGCGAGTCGGTAAAATCTTGAACACGCTTCTTCGTATATGGCGTGTTCTGCCCGTGTGTTGTTGTCGATTCCAATCTCGCCAATATGAACAGTGCCTCACGACCCTTGCATAAGCATCTAGCGTCAATTGCTTTGCGAGTCGCACTGCATGCAGCACCAACACAAACCGGGTAAGTCATGTTAGCATATCCAAACTACCGAGTAGCGTCTCGGTTTATCTGGTGGCGAGTGGGCCCTCGCACCGAGATCGGCGTCGTCGCGTCGATTAATCCGACCAATAAAGCGGACTATCGTCAGTTGCACCAATTCCTCGAACTCAATTTCGCCCTGCACAGGTTAGTGGACAGAAAGCCATTATCTGGACGTACAAAACATGGACCCAAGCCCTGACCCCGATTTCTCCACTTGTTATCTTCTTCGGCTGCATCCCCGCATCCTCCTTTTCTCCTAGCGCTGCACAACCTGGAATCATATATCAGTCGGTGCCCACCGACCATGGTTTCGTCCTTCCTGGTCTGAGTTTGTGATCTTCTAGCCCATCACAGATCGGCAAAAGAGGGAAATTTTCCTTCTTTCTTCCTTCGCCATGTTGGGTAATGAACCTCCCATGGAAATCGAGCCCAAAGAGCCCGTGCAGAGCGACATGCCAGTCGAGAAGGAATCTGGCGCTGCGGACACCTTGGGCCCGGAAGAGGAGAAGATGCTAGTCCGAAAGATTGATATGAAGTATGTTACACTGGTCAGACAACGCGATGCTGAAGCTAACTGGGTCAGTTTGATGCCGTTGCTGATTATCAGTTACGGCCTGCAATACCTCGACAGTAGGCGCTTTGGCACGATGACAGCCCTGTTCATGACTCATCGCTTCGATAGAAACCAGCTTGTCCTATAGTGCTATTTTGGGCATACGGGAGGATCTCGTACGTCTGTTTCCAATTTGCACGAAGCGTCGCTAACCGTGATAGAATCTCGTTGGACAAGAATTCAACTGGGCGTCGAGTATTTTCTATATCGGCTATCTGGTTGCCTCTTATCCCATCTCCCTTGGCTTTGTCCGTTTTCCTCTAGGCCGATACCTCAGTCTCTTGATGTATGACTTGTCTATCAAATCTCCTCGGCAAAGCTAACTGTTGTAGCCTGCTATGGGGCATAATCCTCACTCTACACGCTGTGGCCGAGAACTACGCCGGCCTGATGGTCCTAAGAACGTTCTTGGGTATCTTCGAAAGTGCCATCAGCCCTGGGTTCTCTCTGATCACCGGAATGTGGTACACTCCGAAGGAACACATGTCTCGCCACTCGTTCTGGTTTGCAGGCAATGCCGTGGCTAGCATCATTGGATCAATGATTGCCTACGGTATTTTGCACTACACGGGAGGATTCTCGCAATGGAAAGTCAGTATTCCTCTCCATCTGTACCACCCAACAACTCTCTTACCCGATACAGCTGCTCTTCTTAATCTTCGGCCTGATCACCATCGCCTGGTCGGTTGTGCTGTGGTTCTACCTCCCGAACTCGCCATCCAATGCTCATTTCCTCACGCCGACAGAGCGAGAATTCGCGTCTCTGCGACCGAAGAAATTCCAGCGCACCACACAAACCAAGCAATGGGACAAGAAGCAATTCATCGAGACCTTCCAAGACCCTAAGACCTGGTGGTTCTTGGTCTTCTCGTTTGTCATTTGCGTGCCTAACGGCGGTATCACCAGCGTATGCCACCCGCCCTTCTTCCTCCTGTCCCCTCTACAATCCCCTCAACTAATCAACACCCCCAGTTCAACTCCATCATCATCAACAGCTTCGGCTACGACAAATTTCAAACCATCCTGATGGGTCTCCCCGCCGCAGCATTCCAACTCACCACGGTAATCCTCGCCGCCGTATTCACCACGCTCTTCCGCAAATCGCGCCTCTGGGCCGTCATCGGCACCTTCCTCCTCGCCATGGCCGGCGTCCTAATGATCAAGCTGCTGCCGACAGAGAAAAAGCTCTCCCGACTAGCAGGCTACTGGCTCGTGACGGCAGTGTCGCCTGCGTTTCCACTCATGATGTCTCTCTTCGCGAGCAACACAGCCGGGTTCACGAAGAAGTCGACGCTCGTGGCGCTGATCTTTGTCGGTTATTGCGTGGGTAATTTCGTGGGGCCGCAGTTCTTTAAGAATAACGAGGCTCCGGCGTATGGGGTAAGTGAATACATCCATCCGTTCCTGACTCCATCATCGTTTCATTCCTCCCGTTCACTCAGCCTGGCAACCCACGTTCAATACACTAACACACAAACCAGACCGCATACACCACCATCCTCACCTGCTTCGCCATCACCATCGTCATGGCCCTGATCTTCCGCATCTACCTTTCATGGACCAATTCGCGCCGAGACCGCGAACAAGGCGTGCACATCGACCCCGAAGACAGCCGGGAGATTGATCTCCATGCGGACGAGGAGCTAGAGGGCGTGGATGAGACGGATATGCAGAATCGGGGGTTTAGGTATATTCTCTGATTCCGTCGCTTGTGGTCCGATGAGAGGATTGAGTTTTGTATTGCTGTTCGTGTTTATGAGCGCGAGTGCGGTTATTTTAATTACTTGCGAGAGAGCATAGGTTCAGATCATAATTATTTCTTAATGTATTTAGCAAGCATGTGACATGGCTTGAGGTGACTGAAAAAAGCGATGATATCTGAAACTTGTGAAGTTTCAGCCAGAATGAGAACATGTTAAAAAAGCGCGCACTTAAGGGACTAGGGAAAAAAAGAGCCTGAAAAAAATAATCAATGTTGAATAGTAAAAATAGAACAGAATAAAACAGAAGGACAATCTGAAACAAGGGAGGGGAGGGCGAAGTGTATTAGATTAAATCCAGTATTCGAGGAAAGATCTTGTGGGGAATGTCCGACCGGGTGCGAATAGCTTCAACTTCGCCCAAAATGGAAAGAACGATAAGTATTTGAGATCTATTTAAATTCGATTTTCAGGATCATTTGATTCCACCAAAAAGGTTTGCCATTCAGAAACTAGGCTAATGACTGCTGTATGAGGTCTAATGAAGTACAGACAAATCTGAGCTCAGGCACAATAATTCTTCAACAAATTAAGGCCATGCCTTACGGCTATTATTATCTAATATGTCGTGCTATCGACAAAGCCGGTATAAAGAGAGACAGCCCATGTGTTGAATCTGTATGTACACCGAGCGCGAGGGCGGGATACCATTGATGTAATTATGCAGGGGTATCTATGCAAACAGCCATAACCAGCATCTACCAGTCATGATTCATTCAGATCTCAAACAAAAGCCGAGAAGCAGGAGTTTTTCGCATCCTCCTCCTTCCAGCCGATACACTTCCAGCAGTTGAGCAGACCCTTAGGGTCGTACTTAGTCTTGATTTCGGCGAGCTTGTTGTAGTTGTCGCCCCACCAGGCCTCCTGCCAGTCCTCGGTAAAGGGGTTGGCTTCGTTGCTGTAGGCACCGCTGCCCGGGGTGATGCGCTCGAGGGTGGCGGTCATGTTCTGGATGCTGGCGATCTTCTGCTCGCGGGTCTCGAGGGTGCTGTTCCAGGCCCAGGCGGCGCCGGAGCCGAGCTCCCAGACGGCCGAGCGCCAGGCGGGCGTGGCGCTGGTGGAGCCTTCGGTGTAGTTGTACAGGACGGGGCCGACGACCGGGATGTAAGGGGACTGGCCGACGGAGAGGATAAGGGAGAAGAAGTCCATCAGGTTCTGGCGGCCCTCGGCGGTCTCGAAGACATTCTGGGGGATCAGACGGCTGCCGGCGAAATGCGTGACGCCGACGCTGACAGAGCTGGACGTGACGTACTTCTCGTAGAAGTTATACCACGTAGAGAACTCCTCGATGGTGGCAGAACCGCCCTGAGCCTTTGCGTAAGAGATCACTTCGGCAAGAGACTCCTTGGCTTCATCGATAGACAGCAGGGGAGAGACGTTGACCAGGGTGTTGCCGGTGATGTGACCACCCCAGCCCTCCTTAGCCCACTTGAGGGTGTTGTTGACGACAATATCCATGAAGGGCAGGACATTGCTGTCGGTCTTGGGGAACTTGATGTTGGCAGACACGAAGCTGATCTCGGGCTCGACCTCGTGGGTGGTCTCGATCACAACACCGAAAGTACCACCGCCACCACCACGCAGAGCCCAGAACAGATCGGAGTTCTGGCACTCGTTGGCAATGCGATACTCGCCGTCGGGGGTCACCACCTTGAACTGAAGCACACGATCAACACCGAGACCGTAGACGGGGGACAGAATCGAGTGACCACCGTTCTGCACCCACCCACCGGACAGTCCGACGGTCGAGGAGTAGCCACCCAGGATGGTGACCTTGTGCTGGTTGGCGAAGATGTACGCCTCGTCGAAGTTGACACCAGCACCGGCGGTGATGGCCTTGTAGCTGGTCGAGCATCCCTCAGGCTTGAAGGCCTCGACGTAAGACAGGTCGCGCAGGTTGCGAGTCCACAGCGCCAGGGTGTTCTTGCCGCTGCTGCGGGTCAAGTAGTCATGGCCGGTGTTCTTGATCACCAGGCGCTGACCGGAGCAGCTCGAGTACTTGAATGCCGCGATGGCGTCCTTCTCGTCTTTGACCTCCAGGTAGTAGGAGGGCATGTTGCCCTGGCGGCAGTTGGCATTATTGTCAAAGGCCAGACCGTCGGTGGGATCGCTGCTGTCGAGCAGACACTGATCTTCGGGATCCGACGAGCACATCTCCACCTGGTTGTTCATGTAGCCATTGGCGCTATTGGTGCGCATCCAGGGGCTGGTGTAGTTGGCCTGGACGGAGGCACAGGCCGCATCGTCAGGAGTCACGGCCTTGCCGTTGTACTCGGAGAAGCAGGGCAGGGAGAAAGGCGTAAGGGGCTGCACGCGGCCCTGAACGGTGGCATTGAAGCTATCCAGGGTGCACTCCGACCGGGGAACCTGACAGACTCCGACTCCATCCGCCACAGTCAAGCCCAAAAATTGGACCGCCAGCACGGCCAGCGAAGACTTGAATCCCGGGACTGCGGTAGACGCCATCTTGCCACGCGAGAATGAGACAATTCAGGAATGAAATTAGGAACAGGCGAAGATCTCGTCCACAATTTGAGATGAGCCGCCGGCTCCAATTAAAAACAGTCGAAGCGCTGAGCTGGGACGAGGCTAGGGGGAGGAATTTTCCGGAACCCGGCACTTATGGAGTGCGTACTCTCGCGACTCGTAGTATGATTGCCAACCCTGAATCGGGTGAATCTAGGGCGTCAATAGCGGATGGATGCCTCGGAGAACGGACATGGAAAACCCCTTGGAGTCAGTCGTGCTAAGTTGCTAACGCTGGACTAGGAGTACTCCGAGTATCCCATACGGCGATAAGAGCGTTAAGCGATGGTGCCTGGGGAGATGCAGCGTCGTTAGAGTTAAGACGAAGGACGACCGACTCCACCACCAACTCCGAACCAACCGCAGCTGGACTGCAGCGAGGCAAAGTGACCATTCAGCTGGGTCTGATCGACGTGGCTGCATTCCTAAAGTGACAAGTCGGGCCGAACTCGCCTTAAGCTTTTCCGCCAGGGCTTCGGTCGACTTCCGAGCGTCGTGGACTTGCCTTGGTTTTTCTTGTATCGTGCGGTGGATAGGTGGATGTTCAGCACCGCGCAGGGACCGTATATCGCCATTCGGCCGGCAGATCGACAAACGTTGACCAGCAAGATCCATTACGACCGTCAAGAAAGTTGCGTTGACGGTTAGACATCGGGAAACAGGAGTCAAGGGCGCCCATCGTCGCCTCAGATTGAGGCATCAATCAGTCCGTAGAAAGACTTCACTGCCTTGCACGGATTATATGGGTGGAGAACAACATGATACAAAACTCCACCGGTCTCCATCTTAGATTGTGCATCGGATAGTATGCCACGTTGTGCGATGGAACAGGGCAAATCAGGCCACCATTGCAATCTAAAGTGGGCGCCTCTTTTCAACACCATCTGAGACCATTGTCTTGCGTAGACACCATGGAAGAGATTTCTGATCCAAACCAGTCCACATCGGTCGCTCAGGCCGATTAGTCCAGGTGCTAAGATAGTCTCGTCCGGGACTACGGCCTGCTGGAGATTCCTCGGGTATCCTCAAACAGGAACGGACGGGGGCGGCAGACAATCGTTGCCCCTTGCATAAGGATTCAGGCCGCACGAACTCTCCCTTCCTGTGGTCGACGATCCTCCTGCGTCGTCACCCCGGACTGGACAGGGACAGAACTTGGGTCGGGGCGTCTCAGGAATCTCAGGGAATCGTCCAACACAGAGACCAACGATAGCTGTATATACTAGCACAGTACTCCGTATGCCGAGTATAACAACCATCGGGTCCTCCTGGCTCCGTAGAGTAATGATCGCGGAGAATTTGCCATCTTGAATCAATCCTTGGCGGCCACAAAGTTTGACATGACATCAAACCGTCCAAAAACCTCTCGTCGGATGGGGGCCTTGCCAAAGTTTATCGCAGACTGTCCTGTGGTTATGCTTGATCAATAACTCCTGGTCTAGCCAATTAAGCCGTTAGACTGCTGCCCATTTCTGCATTCAGAGCACCCCGACTTGTGCGCAATATCAAATCAAAATTAAAGACGGAGGGAGAAAAAAAAAAAAAAAAAGGGACCGTCTCAAATAAAACCCAGCCGTCTCCCTAACTGACCCTTCGATGGAATTCCGATCCGCCTTGTCGATCGTCAGTGCGCAACCGCTGCCTGAGTCGGTGCTGGTGGTGCAGGATGACCTACGAAGAGAATCGATATTGGAAGAACGTGCTGACGGTCGTGCCCATCGTGGGTGCGGCGCTGGCCACTCTTTCCTATGCTCTGCGTGTGTTTTCGCGGAGATTCACCACGACAGGTCTCAAGGTGGAGGACCTGTTGATGGGCATTGGCTTGCTGATCTCCTACTGTGCCACTGCCTTTGTTGTCTACAGTGAGTGTTTCTTTGGACGGGATGCAGCGCTTCAGTGACTGACATATCCCTCTGTTCTTAGCGGCCTTCAATGGAGTCGGTATTTCGGTCAAGGAGCTTCCCCCGGATGAACGACAACGAATTCAGTTTGTACGAACTCCGTCTAGTCGAAGACAAGATTCAGACGTGCTAACCGCATGGCTTCGTATAGGGATCATGGATGATTCAGAAATTCTGGGCGCCGTCGATGGCCTTCATCAAAATTTCGATTATTGTGTTCCTAAAACGTCTGCTGGGCACCCTCCGAACGTATTCGATTATTTCCAACTGCCTGATGGTGTTCATCGCAATCTGGGCCATCGTGGCCTTGCTGGTGAACATCTTCCAGTGCACTCCGCCTCAATACTACTATGATAAAACGCTGAACGGACACTGTATGGGCGGACAGCGCGCGTTCTTCCAGTCCATGGGATCGATCGCGCTGATCGAGGATGTCATTGTCCTCTGCTTGCCCATCCCGGTGGTTTGGAACCTACAGATCACCTTCCGACAGAAGATCGCCATTACCATTGTGTTCTCGCTTGGTGGATTGTATGCCTTTCCTCCCGATGGATTATGGTAACCAGTGCTAACCAGGAAACAGGGTATGTATCTTCAGTCTGATGCGTCTCATCGAATTCCGCAATTTCGTCGTCACCGATCTGGCCTGTGAGTTACCATCACTTAGTCCTGCACTTTTCCGCGCGATCTAACTATCCAAAGCCTCGAGTGCCAAAGAGTCCGTCTGGACATGTCTGGAAATCGACGTCGCCATCATCTGCGGTTGTCTACCGCTCATGAAACCGCTGGTGCAAGGATTCCTGGGGAAAGTCAAGAGCGGCGTGTCCAAGGGCCGATCTCATCCGTCGTCGGGCACGAAACTATACGGATTCCATTCCACTGTCAACACGCACAACGACGGGTTCCAGAAAATCCACGACCCGCACGGGCTGTCGCAGGCGTCCAAATCTCCGAACATCCAGGCCAGCTCGGGTCGCAGGAGCTCGGACTTGGAGATGCAGGCCATCGCCGTGCACACGACCATCCAACAGGACACGGACAGTCGGTCGGACCTGAACAATGCGGACGCGGTGTCCAGCCATGTTTGGCCGAGATAAACGCATAAAATTTGTACAGAGTTAGTAATGATTAATAGAGGTAATTAGACGGTTCAGCGCATGGTTTCAAACTCCTGCAGGGCCATCGCCCTTCATTTCCCTCGTTTTCCGGCCAATGAGCCCGACAGCTTCGAGCCGGAACGTGGCCGGAAGGGCATTTGGCAATTTCCCAGATATCCATCGAGAGTAGTCGATGGCCAGACTGTCTTGGCGCCGAGTCCGGGTGTGGCAGAGAGACAAGGCTTCATCGGTAGTTGATGATAAATTAATTACGGAGAAGGATTCGGCTTGGGGGCGGAGGAAAAGAAAAGAAAAGAGAAACAAGCGGTCGTGGACGCTGCCCGATCGGGAAGCTACAGCCTACGTCACGTGAGTCCCACTCCGCACGGGATCTGGCTTATGTAAGGTCCTCGTTGGGGTGATGACGATAGCCTCATTCTGACTCGAATCTTAAATCTACCAACCGACCAGTAAACTCGGTCATTTTAACTTCCACCACCCCCGGGACGGATTCCCCGCGCATTTGACTTCGCCCGGTTCTGAACCTTCGCGGACCGCTATCGCCGTCTTCCCCCGTCCCACCTGCGGCCGTTCGTTTGCAACCTAGTTTGCCACGAATTCGAAATATTGGCACGATGACGAGTCCTCTAATGACCTACTACTGTTTTCTCACTGTACGTAGACTAGAGTTCTTGATCATCTGCTATATGCATTGGTGCGCTTGATTGGGCAATGTAGTTGCCTCCTAGGAGCGTTCGCTACCTACGGCTCGGATATATATTTATTACCTCGAGAATGACATCATCACCAGCATGTTATCGGCGCATGAGTAGAAGAACTTGAATTCATTACATTGAAAGACATCAAAATTCATCATTCGTTATATGTAGTAGAAGCCAAGTGGCTAATAACACTGAGTTGGCCATGTGGTGAAAACATCATTAGCGCTGTGCACATAATCAAGTCTCGAGTCAACAACACGATCGCGAATCTCGGTCCCGCCGACTCGTCTATAGTCAGGCAGATGATAATAACGTGCCGGGAAGGTCATGTCTTGGTAGGATGTGAGTTGAGAGAATGTCGAAGGAAGGCAAATATCGCCCGTCACGAAGACTAGGAATCGTCTTAGGCCGCACAGCAGCTGTAGTTTGATCACTCTGGGACTGACCGTGGCATGGCCGACTAGATTCACATAGACGGGAGGTGTAATGTAAAACCCGGTCGGAAACACCCAGGGGAGGTAGTATATAGCTGGCTCTAATATAGCCTAGGGTCGAACATCTCCTGCCTCGCTGTCTATGGAGGAAAACCTTGCTATTGCGGCAAATCCGACAAGATAGACGAGAGTCCAGGGGCAGCCAACATATATGTCGACAAGGGGAATGGAAACGGTTGTTCTCATAGTCACACTCAGTTGCCAAAGGTCTAGGTTTGTGAAGTTGGCTGTAGATGAGCACGGGATGAATGTAAAACAGCAGGGAACAAACTTGTAGGACCAAACAATAATATATAGGCATTCAGTTTGAGATGTTTATCGCCTCTCTGTCTTTGGTACTGGTCTATGAAAAGAAAGGCTAGTTTCTGGCTCAATAGCAACACTACTGGGCCTGCATGTTTAGCCTTTACGGCGGCGACTCATAGCCCCGTTCGGATGCCTACATTCAACAGAGTATCGTCTCCCACTTTCTTGAAGAATATGGAAACGAGACCGTCAAGCTAGTTCGACACCTCTTCAATCTCCCCAGCCGCAATCCAAAACAACACCGTATTTACCAAAGCCTGAGCAATATACCCGACGACAGGCGACCAGAAAGAAAGCCCCCCATTCCACGCAAAAGGACCCCGTTGAAAACAATGCGTAACCCAAATCCCAATACAGCCGACAGGTGTTGACCAATGAGCCCATGCGAGCCAAACCGGCAGAATAGGCCTTTGTCGACAGTCTGAGTGAATCAGGATGCCAACCAAAATATTCTGAACAATCAGCATGGCACTCAACAGGGTGAAGTATAACCAGGCGAGGTCACTGATAAGTTGAATTAGTGGCGGATCTCGGTCGAGTCGGAACGTAATTGTGCCGAACAGAACGCCCAAGGTCATGAATGTAACCCCGATCGCGATGCCTGCGGCTGCTTGAGCCATGACAAGGACGGGATTGACATTTGGAATGTGTGATAGGACCGTGCTGACGGCGATGGCATAAAACGGGTAGAAGACGGCGGATAGATGGACGAAGGCGACGCCGGCTCGGAATCCTTGATAGTGATCTCGGTAATGCTGGGCCACGGCTCTGGGTCCTAAGACAGGATTGACCGGGGGGAGATTAACCGAGGCAGGGAGAATTGCGAGGAGAAACAGAGTCGATACAGGCCAACATAGTAGCTGAGCTCGGGTGGCAGTTATTTTTGACAAGGGGTGTCTTTGGGTGCTTGAGCTAATTTCGGACTCCCGAAGGAGAACCTGCTTTAAATTGAGCATCATAGACGAAGAGAATATAACTAGACAAACGAGGAGCTGTGTTAGGAAAGGTGCCCATTGATGCCGATACAACCAGCCAAAAAGTTCAGTTATGTGGGATGTCGGAGAATATCATAATGTCGTCAATACCACCCGCCCTCAACATAAACCTCGGAGAAGAGGGCGCCACGTCATGTGTCTGGAGGATATATTTTGACGGTCACACACATATCGGCCAGTAGGCAAGTTTAGCTCACTCTTGACCCTCTGGAGTTGCACGGGTGGAAGGTGTTGTCTTCTGATGCACATGACAGACTCGTACAACCCCATGGATCAGGAGAATTTCAGGACAGTCTCAATATCAAACGAATGATAGATTGTCCCTGTGGCATCATAAATTAACCGACGATCGCACCGAAGATCCTTAGATAGAACCCAAGAGACCATGACCGGAGAATCTTCTGCTCGGCGATTTCAGCAACCGCCGATGTTGCGGAAAACACCCGACCGGAATGGGCATTTAGGTGCTATGCTGGATATACACGCCGATTTTCACTCTCGATCGGTATGCAGATGAAAGCTAGAGCAAAGTCTGAGCCGACAGAGCAAACGTAGAATGTCCCTTAGCACACTACAAGATCCGGAGGCATCGACTAGCTGGCACCGGTGGAAGCTTCGAGCTAGGCTAGCTGCCCAAGGTCGAAAAGGAGAGAGAGCTAGCAGATTTTCTGTCTGCTTTGAGATGGACACTTCTCGTTGATAAGTGATCATTGAGAAAATAAGTGCGTAGATCAGCACTCACTGGAATGATCAGCGTTGAAGCTAGGTGCCCAAAGTGCTATTTCTCTGGAGACTGGAGAGATATCCACCGGTGGAGACACGAGCCGTGTTGTTACCACGCCCATCGAGTTCTCCACTCGGAAGTCTTGAGAATGCCACAGTGCGAAAAACAAATATTCGATGTTTGAAAAGACTGGAAATTGTTGAAATCACCACCAGGTTACAATTGTGAAACAACGAGGCCGAGGTCCAGCACTGAAATAATCTAAGAACAAGATCGTGCGAGATCTGGGCCAGGGGGTCTGAGGCATAACGCCCAATGTTTGAGCTAGAAAAAGAAACTGACCAATTCTGCCACAGGATTCGATGGCCACGGAGCACGGAGTAGGAGAAGAACACCCCCGTGTTTCTTCGGCCGGTCGATAAATGCAACTACTCCGTAGGAAAAGTTCCGCTGCATAAGCAGTGCGAATCTAGATTCCAAGTCTAGCGCATGCAACCCCTGCAAACGTATGATCGCCACGGCACAAAAGTCCCATGAAAGCCGGCAGGATCCGGAACATGGGATGCTATTTTAATGCAGTGAACACACTGGCTCCTGCAGGGGAATCTGATGCTCCCTCATGGAGAACTGAGTTCGTGCGTCGATACCCGCATCTGCTTGCATGTGTCTTTGAAAGTCCGAACGCCAGAGATTTTGCATGTGTACTTGAGAGGCTGGGAGTAGATGTGGGCCCAGAATTAGGTGCTGGACATTGAAAAGTGAAAACTGAATGGTGAATCATGGAATAGGGGTTCATCCAGGTCCCCACTCCGTACGGGCGACTCCGTACGTCCGCCGCGTCGCAGAGATCCGACTTCCCCTTTAACAGTCCGATAACCAGGGACAAAAGATCAAAGTGCAAATACTAAATCCGGAAACCTTTAACGCTCAGGGGTCCATGGAAGGAGAATCTTGTACGTAGTGGGCAGTGACAGCAGGGGCGACAGACGGGAGGCGTCCATAGTAGCCTCCACTTGGCATTAGAAATAGAATGAGCGTCACGAACAAATAAAGGGGTCCGGCCGGGTGGACAAAGGCCATGTTCCGTATCTCTCCAATGCAGCAGCCCGTCGCAATTAGTTTCCGGCTAGAGTCAGCGTGAAGCGGCCAAGAGGCGACGGGGTGAAGCTTAATAGATCGACCAAACCCTAAACATCATGAATTGCCGCACGAAAGTTGGTTGAGTTTTCGCTACCACCGACTCCCCTTCCCCCCCACGCAATCGAGGTTCGACCTCTGGATGGAGGTTTGTGCCCAAGAATGGGTCCTGCCGAGCGCAACGGCTCTTCCGGCGGCGCGCCGTGACGTGCTGCTCATGTCGATCTCTCTGGAAGACGCTGCGCCGCCCCCCAATTTGCTCGAAAATACGAGAATCGAGATCTGCCAATGCTGGGTGGGAAACAGATCGACGGCCCCTGCAGGCGGACTAGTCCAACATATTATCGCACTGTTTGTCCTGGCAGCTCTGATTTTTTCCTCCCTGACACTCGACTCCTCTCTGGAGATCTGCCGATGATGCCCTTGAGCCCTTCCCCACGATATCGCAAATGACCTCGATCGCTCTGTGAGCAGTTCATCTTGTCTCTCTTCTCTTTCTCCTCTATCTCCTCAATCATTATCCAATGGCGGGCGAAACTGGGCCTGTGGCCCTCTCGCGGGCCATGTCGATGCTCATTACAGCCTTCTTCGCCATCTCCTCCTATAACGTGCTCGAAATCACCATCACGATTTTCACGACCTTTAAGCGTCGGAAAGGGCTCTACTTCTGGAGCATGCTTATCGCCAACTGGGGAATCCTGCTCCATGCCATCGTTGTCTTCCTGCGCTTTTTCGGTCTTGCACCCAACCTCCCCATGTGCGTGCTCACCGTGCTGGGTTGGTATGCCATGGTGACTGGGCAGTCCGTAGTGCTCTACTCGCGACTCTACCTCGTCACCGGCGACACAAGACGCTATCGCTGGGTTCTCTATATGATCATCGTCAATTTCTGTATCCTGCATGTCCCCGTGAGCATTCTCTTCCTCGGTAGCAACGCCGGCGACGACCGTTTCGCCAAACCATTCAACGTCTACGAAAAAATCCAGCTGGCTGGATTCTGCGCCCAGGAGATCACCATCAGCGCCGTTTACATTTGGGAAGCGACGACAGCTCTCCGCCCCGTGCTTGCAGTCAAAGGCCGAGCGGGCCATTATGTCTGGCTGCATCTCATCGTCGTCAACTGCCTCATCATCCTCCTAGACGCGTCGCTCCTGGCAACCGAATATACCAACAACTTCGACGTGCAAACCACCTACAAAACCGTCGTCTACAGTATCAAGTTGAAAATGGAATTCAGTGTGCTGAATCGTTTGATTGGCGTCGTGCGGACAGGCACCACCATCGACGACTGCGTTGTCGACTCGCAGCAGAACCGCGACTCATATTCCCGAAGAATGAACACACCTGACGGCGGTGCTGCCATCAACGATAACTTGCAACTTCTTCCGCACGGTGGGGATTACGGGGGACAACGGAGCGATTTAGTGATGGAGGCGTCGTATCAGCGGACGGCGCCGCTTCCTCCGGTCGAGGATGATAATAAGGTGGTAGCATATCCTATCACCTTGCATCAAAAGGTTTAGCGTTTTTACGGTCAATTGGGTTGGATAATCTGAATTTTTTGGTTAAGCGACTTCTTCAACATTTAGCACGTTATATACCCCTTGTAATTTATGATTTGCTAGACTTGCTTATTTGTACATTCTATGCGGATGAACGTTTATGTCTGCATAAAATGGTCCCCATTGAAAGAGGTCATATTGACGAGAATCGCTTTCTTAGATCTAAATAATTTGCAATGTACTAAAGATTGAACGAGAGACACCGGCTCTTAACCATAGGTCAAATGACAGCCACGCTTTCTGAGAACGAAGACAATGTGTGTGGTCCCTCATTCCACCGACACCTTCAAAAGACGCTGCACTCCTTCCATCAGCATTTCATACACGAGTGGCAGCTGAGGGACGACGTCCTCGCGAATAACAATTCGAAGAACATCCATGTTCTGCCCTTGATCGCCCCATTTGGGCAAAGTATAGTCTAGGAGGCATCAATTAGAATATAATCCCATTATTGTGTTCAGAATGAAACAGGTCGCTGAAACGAGATTGAGTCTTACGCGGAATGGAAAATCCTTTCTCAAACATCCAGTTGCTGAGGTCTGAAAGTTGAGTCGGGTGGATATTTCCTTGGGCACTTTTTGAGGCTGTGAAAACAACCACAGGAAGACCAGGGTGGCATTGGTCCTTTTGTTTGGTTTCGAATGAGTAATCCGTGTATTTACAGAGAGACAGGTGCTGTTGAATGTTATCAAGGTGAGAGGTCGGCTGATGGCCTGGACTTATACACTTGAAGATTCGAGAGGTATTGAGTTGATGGCTGAAACTACGCGACGCTGACAGCAGGGCAGTTATCTTCTGCTGATATCCGTCCACGCCTAGATGAAGAAAGTTGAAGTATTGGACGACAACTGGGGCTTGAGACCGCGAGAAGCTCAGTGTATATGCCGACTGGGTCCCTCTCAAGTAGCTTGACTCCACCAACAGGTTATCAGGAACACAAGACACATCTCGCCACACAAGCCATCCGACGGTGCACGCGGAAAAGCCAAACTTGTGTCCGGAGGCATTGATCGATTGCACCTGACGGATGCGAAAGTCCCTGTTGCTATGGTTAATAGGTTTCAGTGGAAGTGGGATCAAAGGCTCTCACTAGATAAGACCTTCGCATGCTGGATCGAATGGCGCCACAAAGCCGCCACTGGCCGCATCGATATGGATGGGAATGAAGTGGCCCGTTCTTCGCTCAAATATCTCTAACTCGCTAGCCACGTCCATGATGGGGTCAAAATGCCCTGTATACGTGCTGCCAAGGGTAAGGAAGACACCGACTGCGACGGTTAGAATTTGACATTTGCGTTTGAGTCGCAGGCCATGTACCTGTATCTTGATCCAACACCTCCGCCACTTGGTTTTTACCTACCACAAACTGACTGGCGGCATTGACGGAGATGACTCGTGCCTCGACATCAAAGTAGGCTGCAAACTTGAACACGCATGCATGCGCGTTGGAGCCAACGACTACATTCGGCTTTTTGCCATCAGTCGGAGCCTTTTGCTGCCAGGCTCGTTTCATCGCCAATCCTGCCAGAAGAATAGCCTCGGATGATCCTGTAGTCGCAGCCCCAACGGGAGACTCGTTCTCGGCCTTATTCCACAAATCAGCGAGGATCGAGATACACTTGTTCCGATATCTATCACGCATTATTATCAGCTTGGTCCTGAGATAGAAGATATCGTGCCTACTCCGAAATAGACCCGTATTCTTCCACACAAGCTTGATTTTTATGGAGGTTGGTCGAGGCGAGCTCGGCTGGAATGTCGGAATGGTTTGTTGAAATTCATGAAGCTGGACGAAAAGGTTAGAAAGACCCGCATGGTTAAGGAGGAAATGCTGAGAAAGCTTACCTCCCGAGATTACGGTGTGGGAGAATATCCCGGCCCATTTCCTTCTTCATTGACTGTAGAATCAGCGACGCAGAGTCGCTTGTCTCCGACGGCAATTTGATCTGATTCATACTGAGGGTCGGACTGGCGTGATTATGATATATCAGGGCTCTGCCATTTCAACGTTAATGAAGCAATTATATCTATGTTGAGCTCTCGGTCTTGATGAACATATATGAACGTACATAAGGCGACGAACATGCTATCATAGTTATGTAATCGAATGCTGTATGTTGTCTCATTTGAGGTGCGCAAGCAAGTATACTGTTGGGGTACAAAGTTCAGCAAGGGGTGTCTTCGCAGCATACCTGAAGAACTAAGATCAGCCAATAATACTAAATCTAACTCGATGCATCGTGACAAATTAAAATCGCTGCATTTTAAAATAGGTGGTGATTAAATCAGCAGGTACATGCAATGCACGTCACTAGAAGTAGCATTTAAACTGGCATGAATCAGGCTACCAACATGACGCTAGACTTTCCACCTTTCCAATGCAACAAGCCCAAAGCAGTAATAGCAAGGCAAGCATACCAACTCACGTCCCATACTAGTACGCAAGCATACGCAAGCGTAAATAGTCGGCACGGAAAAGTTTCCTTATCCAGAGATGTAAGGTGTCAAAACGTCTCCAATAGAGCATACAACGGTGGCTGAATCTTAAGTAAAGCAAGTTCTAGAGCTTAGGTCTACGAGATAATTTGATCGATCAATGTGCTTTTCTCTTGGCATACATACTGAAGGAGTACCTCGTGAGCTTGATCTAATGGGCCATGAGTTAAATCCCTGTCAATGATGGGTAGGCCTTACCTTGCATTTACCTTTGCCCTTCCTCATCCTGGTCCATTATTACAAAAATCCAGTCTCAAATACTATCAAGGAATTTTGTAACTTTCATACGCGGAGTTTTATCACAATTCTTGCCTCATAATGTGGGTTGATTTATCCCTCACAGGAATGGCTATCCAATACCCGGGAATACATTAAGCTGGACGACAGATCAAAAAGCAAATTTGCAGTTCCAGGGCATGAAAAACGTATGCCATGCTCATGTGGATGTTGTGTAACCATATGTGCACCACCAAGGAGATTGTATGAGCATGGCTCGCGCTAGAGGAAAGGCATCGGGCTTGCTCGGACAAGCTTGCTTATGTTACCAAATCAAGGGATTGACAACGCGTTGTCTGGGATTGAGTATTGGTGGTACTACGCTGAGATCGAGATCCATGGGTCTGACACGCTATAATCGCGATCTCCCGCTTTGTGCTACATCAGCTACATGACTGGGCCGTAGACAGATCCACCAGCAGAGGGCAATGCGTCGTATGACCAAACATTCGAGAATAGCGACAAATTATGGAAATTACCTTCATATTAGAAGGATTCTCGGCATTAGGATACGCGTCGTTGATGCAGAGGTGAAGACTCGATGAACGGATATGATCGTCGGACTTGCTTGAACCTTTCAAAGGTAATTCCTAAATCACGAATCGTTCGCCACTAATTGGAGTCTGTCCTTTTACCGAATCCGGCTAATGAACTGACCCTCAGGGCTTGATTTCAATCGGAAGGAGGTCTGGTTGATCACATGCCGATTCCACCATAAGGTTGCTTTTCGTGTACTTGCATGACAGCCTACTCATACTTTTTAAGGAGCATGACTTTCCATGAAGGGGGTCTTTCCAAATACAGACAGACAATGCGATGATTCGCCACTAGCTGTTGCAAACAGCCTTAATAGCATCATGGTACCATAATCACCGGAATCCGTGATACTAAGAGAATGCCGATCGATGCAACAGACCCATATTGCAAGAGCACCTGGGGCTCAACGATGATTTGCTAATCAAGGTAACGAGCTTACGAAAGGTATAGTATAAATTCAAAGGTATACTGGCACAGACTTGAGCAAACAAGACATTCCTAAATTAGTTTGAAAACACGGCTTCATCAAAATGATCAACGACAGAAACGTACCCAACTGCCAAGCTAGCCACGAGAGCGTCAAGCAGTCCCAAGGGCACAGCTCTCAGCCAGAAGGGGCGTTAATAGCTTCTCCAACCGCCGTGAGCGTCCGATTGTCCTTCGTGAAAAAAGGCACCGTGATGGCCGCGTGGGCCGTTGTGCTCCACGAGTACTTCAATCAGCCAGAGGTCTCCTTTTTGAGGTTTGATGGATATCAGCCTCGCGAAAACAGGGTTTCAGGTGACGATGAACCAGAAATCGTCTCACTAGAAGTTCATCCAGATTGGACAGTCAAAAACCTTCAGGACCACTGCGTTAGCAATGTGCAGCACAGGCCAGCCGATTCAGCTCTCAACAATAATCCCAGAGTACCAGTTATCTTAGTCCTGAACGACCCAAGCTTCAAGGAGCATTCTGATTGTTTCGAATATCTGCCGTGGAGCTACAGAGATAGGGTAAGTTGGATATTGTCACCAAAAGCAACATCAACTGATCCTATATTAACACGCACCAGGTCTCTTTGCTTCTTGCCGTCAAAGAAACCAGCCATGGTTTGCTGGTCAACATCTACTCTCCAGCAGAAAACATCCCTATCCTCGAGCTCCCCGCGTTGTTGGATAGTACCTGCAAAGTGCTCAATGATGTCGACGGAAATCCTAAGAAGAGGATCTCAGATATCGAAGTGATCAGCAATTATGATCTAGATCGTCTGGAACGATGGACTATTGGTGGTGCACCTACACCACAGACTACAATTCATGGGTTGATCAGTCGTTACTATCTTGAAAGACCATCCGATGTTGCCATATCGAGCACTTCCGGGAATATCACGTACGCAGAGCTCGGAATGAAATCTGCGGTGATTACACAAAAGCTCCGCAACCATGGAATTCGGCCGGGTTCCCTCGTTGGAATTTGTCTGCCTAAGTCAACACTGTCGGTGACCATTCTCATTGCAATCTTACGAGCAGGGGCAGGATATGTGCCCATTCCTACATCCTGTCCCGAGGAGCGCTTCGCATATATCCTTCGGAAAACTCGAGTCCAAGTCTTGATCACAGATTCAGATGTTCGCGGCGGGCTTAAAGACCAGCCACTTGGCAAGATCGAGATCATAAAACCACTGTCCCTTACACAAGGGAGGACTCCTCTGGATTGGGCGCAAGAGGTGCACACGGACCCATCTCAGGTCGCATATGTTTTGTTCACGTCCGGGAGCACCGGAAATCCGAAAGGTGTTGTTCAAGAACAAGGGGCTGTATCTGGAAGTCTGACAGCCCTTGTCGAGGCTTTCGGACTGGATTCATCAACAAAGTTCCTCCAGTTTGCTTCATTCTCTTTTGATGCCAGCATATGTGAGCTCTTTGCGCCATTGGTATGCGGGGGGCGAGTATGTGTGCCATCCGAGGAGGAGCGCTTGGAAGACCTCGAGGGAGTCATGAAGACACTCGAAGTCACCGATGCATCCCTGACACCTGTTATTGTTGCACAGTTGAACTCTGATCAGCTACCCGCATTGAAGCATCTCTACATTGGAGGAGAAGCTCCCTCACAGGTCATTTTGAATAATTGGTCCGACAAGGTCCGCCTGAGCAATATCTACGGGCTGACCGAAGCCGGAGCCTGGGATACTGTGGAGTTGGATCTCAGACTCAATGACAACCCAAAGACTATCGGCAAAGGAATTGGAACCAACTGCTGGATTGTCGATCCGGACAACATCAACCGACTCAGGCCGATTGGGGTGGAGGGCGAACTACTTCTTCAGAGCCCCTACCTGGCCAGAGGATACTTAGACGACCCCGAAAAAGATAACGAGACGTTTTTGTCTCTCCCAGACCCTATCCTGGACATAACAGGTCCATCCATGAGTCGATGCTACCGCACGGGAGACCTTGCACGCTTCCAACCTGACGGCAGGCTTAACTTCAGCAGCCGACGGGCGGGATTTGTGAAAATCCGTGGACTGCGCGTGGAGCTGGGAGAGATCGAAGCTGCCATATCGGGCTGGCCAGGAAATGGCAAAGGTGCCGTAATTCTGGTTGATAACGAGACTCACAACGCACCGGAGCTTGTTGCCTTTGTGCAGGTCGAGAGAGATGCAGACGAGTCTCTTGCAGACATGGTGCACAAGCATCTGCAGAAAAGCCTGCCATCATATATGATTCCGACTGTTTTTGTGCCTATCGAGTCGATGCCATTGACCGATTCCAAGAAAATTGACAGACAGCATTTACGATCACTCTTTGCGCAATTGACTCATGAGGAGAAGATTGCTATGCGACCAGGAGGGTCCAGGGCAAACTGGTCGAAGATTGAGTCTCATCAATGGTTGGCAATCGAGCTTAGCAACGTCATTGCCGATTTGGTTCAACAAAGAAAGCCACAGGAAAATGAGGACATTCGAGGATGGAACTTTCCTCTGTCCGCGGTCGGACTGAACTCTGTGCAGATGGCCTATCTTTCGGGTACGATTCGACGACATTGGGGAGGCAATGTCAGTTTGGAATATCTTCAACAGCCAGGTATTACTGTGAGCCAGCTTGAAGAACGTCTATGCGCAACGGAAACGATCGAGACGGATCAGTCGTCTCAGAAATGCAACAAGCGAGACCTTCTCACCGACCTGGCTTCAATAGACATACGCTTGCCAGAGGGTCGCAACACACAAAAAGCCGTGTTTCTTACGTCTATCACGGGGTTCCTAGGTAGTCAGGTTCTGCGCGCCCTGTTGGAGCATCCAAGTGTGGAACGCATTATTGGTCTTGTTCGAGCGGAGAATGAATCTGAAGCCCGAAAGAAGATACAGAGCCATGCCAAGGTGGGACGGTGGTGGCAAGATGAATTCAACTCGAAAATCGAGGTTTGGCTCGGAGATCTCAGCCAGCTGCAGTTAGGGCTGACTGACGAACATTGGGCATGTCTAACTGGCTACCGACGTATCGACGGAGTGATTCATAATGGAGCCAGTGTCAACTGGCTCGATGATTTCGCAAGCTTGAAGGCAACAAACGTCTACAGTACTCGGGACATCCTATCGGCCTGGTCAGCAATGCCGATCCCGTGTCCATTCACATACGTCGGGGGCGGGTATCTCCCTGGGCCAGAGGAGACCAGAGAGCAGAGTGTCGAAAGGCTGGCAAATGCTAGCGGATACGACCAGACGAAGTTTCTCTCCCGTATGATGGTGCAAGATTACAACCATCACCTGAATCACGGAGAGCACGGTAGTCCAAGGCCGGTGGTGATTCAACCTGGATTCCTGGTTGGCACCAGGTGGGAAGGTATCGCTCATCCGGATGACTTTCTGTGGCGTCTTGCCTACAGTATTCTCTCGATTAAAGCTGTCAGCGAAGATATGCAACTGGCGCATCTCGCAGTGACTGGGGTAGATCAAATGGCGGCCTTGGTGGCGAACAGCGTTCTGAAGGAGCAATGTGCACTGACTGTGGACTGTCACGATGGTGTTTCCTTGGAGCAGATATGCGCAATTTTGAGCTCACGCACAGGCTTGGCGATAGACACATTCAGTCACCAGGACTGGCTGGCGGCTTTAAAGAAAGACGTCGAAGCCAAGGGGCTTGACCATCCCTTTCTCCCCGTGCTGGAATGGTTCGAGGCCGATAGCTGGCAGCTTCTAGGTTCCCAATCGCCCCCAACTGGCATCTCCCCGGTTGGCAGAAGAGATTCCATAGTAGCACTAGAACGGAGCACAGACTACCTAGTCGATATTCAGTATTTACCGGCAAAGGGTGGTTCGCGAGGCAGTGGTCATAATATTGAGCAATTCAAGAGATGCAAGTGATTGACTTTCAGAATAGTCCTAAATACTATCTTCCCATTTGAGAATGAAATTTATCTTTGACATTTGTAATGGCACATATGTTGTTTTAGTGCCGATGCATTTACTGTTGCTGGACGCGAAGGTGAAGTATGGCATAATTTGCCTGCTACATCCAACGTGATTCAAATATAAACCCAAGAGCCCTCCCTTCATCCCGATCACCGCCATACGTATATACCCCCTAGTTGTATCGACTGCCACTCGACGAGCCATATGAATCATTGTTCAAAGACCCATAAGTGTTCCCGGAGCCGCTGCCGCCAAAAGATCCGTGGGAGTCATTATCACGACGGTTCGAGCCAGAGGTCGATGAGCCATATGTATCGTTCCTCAGAGTGCCGGACGAGCCATATGAGTCTCCTCCAGAGCTGTAGGCATTGCCCGAAGAAGAGCTATAGTTATCACGGGAGCGGTCGCTAGACCCGTAGCTATCGTTCTTAGACCCGTAGGAGTCTCCACCAGAGCCGTAGGTATTACCCGACGACGACCCGTAGGTGTCATTGCGCGAGTTGCCGGAGGAGCCGTACGAGCCTCTGTTGTCGTTGTCGTTGTCACGCCGGCTAGAACCATATGAATCATTTCCGGATCCATATGTGTTGCTCGACGATGATCCGTAGGTGTCGTTGCGAGAACTGCCAGAAGAACCGTACGACTTATCATTGTCGTTATCACGGCGGCTAGAACCGTACGAATCATTGCCAGATCCATACGTATTGCTCGAAGATCCGTAGCTGTCGTTCTTCGAGCCATAGTTGTTGCCAGAAGAGCCGTATGAGTTGTCACCATCGCCATCTCGGCGACTAGAGCCATAGGATCCACCAGATGACCCGTAGGAATCTTCATTCTTCTGCCCGGACGAGATTCCCGATGAGCCGTACGAGTTGCTTTGGTCGTTTTCGCGACGGCTCGAACCATAGGAGTTGTTGGAAGATCCAACCGTGTTACCAGATGACCCGTAGGAATCTTCATTCTTCCGTCCATACGAGTTACCCGAGGAGCCATACGAGTTGCCGTTGTCATTGTCGCGACGGTTTGAACCGTAGGAGTCGGACGATCCGTACGTGTTGCCGGATGATCCAGCATTATCGTTCTCGCGGCGACTGGACCCGTAATTGTCCGACGAGCCGTAGCTGTCATTCTTGGATCCGTAAGAGTTGCCAGAGGATCCGTAGGAGGTCTCGTTGTCGTTACTACGGCCGCTGGATGTGTAGTTGCCACCAGATGAGCCGTAGGTATTGCCACTTCCACTTCCACTTCCAGAGCCGTAGCTGTCGTTGTTACGACCGGAACCGTAGGAATCGGAACCTCCAGACCGGTTAGACGACTATGATAAATTAATTAGCAACCAGCCATATGTAATGGAGGGAGTCTGGAGGTCTTACGCCGTAGCTGTCGTTTCCGCCGTATCCGCCGGACCCCTGGAACACGGTTAGAAACAATCAATTAGGAGTCACAATCGACAAGAAAGCGTACAGTTTCTCTGTTGTAAGACATGATTATGACGGCACAGAGTAGCTTGGATGGAGAAGCCTTTGAAATATGGGGATTTGGAGCAGAGATGGAGAGAAAGTTAGGGGAAGAGAACTCGAAGAATGAGGGGAAAGGCAATTTATGGGCCAGGCAGCATCTCCAGGACCCTTCAGCTGGGTTCAGCTCCCTCCAGCTGCCGAGGGGCAATCCATCGCGCCATTCTGGCTTGGCAGGCTTGGAAAAGACCTCCGAAGACCCAACCGCGGCGCCGAACGGCGTCACGATCCACCCTGAGGACGATTGCGCAATGGTTCAGATCTCGACCCAGCTAGCCCTGTGGGGACTGGATCTTGTTGCTAGTGTCGGGCAATCCTCAGAACCGATCCGAGAACTAATACGAGGAAGAGACTCAATTTATACACCAGCGTTCATTGCATATCGAGATTTGAAGGGAATCGTATATTCTGTGCATATTTGGAGAGCGAAATAATGCATCGCTGACTAATAGGTCAATGCACAATGCCCACGTGACTCATCCCCATCTCGGCGCGTCAACAACCGCGAGCACTTCGTCTTTCTTCCATCCCACCAGCCTGGTCTCGAGCCACTTTCACGACAGAAACCACTTTTTCCATCTATTCAATGCCCTAAAATGCATTGGTCTCGAGTCAGGCGGGGCGACCATGTCACTTGACCGCGTGCAGCAGTGGCTGGACCACGTTGAGTCCGTCCGCGCTTCTCGCAGCGATAGTCGGGATGATGATAGGTCCAAGCACATCGAGATGCCGACCCCGCCATCGACGTCGTTTCTCCCTGCTCATTCTGTCGCCAAAAGAAAGTATGATTCGCAATCACCGACAATGGAAGCCCCTAAAAGACAACGACGCGCTGCAAAGGACTCAGAGACCAACTCCGTAACCTCAACATCTATTCTTCCTCTCCGTGATGACCTCACTCTATCGCCATCTGCATCTGCGACTAGTCAGTCTCAGTCGCGTCAGAGGTCACCCAGTCCAGCCCGACACAAGAGGCTTCTGGAATATGCAACCCCGAGAGTCCGCTATCTCTCCGAGTGGGATAACCCCGAGGATAGCGCTGCACAGGAGTTGAGAGATTTTCTATCGGAAGGCACTCATGATTGGGAGCCGGATGCCACCAAGATCCAAGAGATTGTATCCGGGGCTCGGAAATGTGTGACCCAACAACGCAGTGAAAGTTCGTGGGTGACCGAAGTTACCCGGCCTGTGCTTCGGGCAGCAATTAGCGACCTCCCTCTCGAATCTTGGGGCGTGTATGTTCCAATCTCTTTCTCTGGTCTTGAGCATAATTTACTGACAAATTGCTTTCAAGCCAAGCCGAAACGGTGGGTGCAGAATACCAACCGCGCTACACAGCGCGAGATCGCTGCAACCGCAAAATAGACTGGGTCGTCGGGTTCCCTAAAGAACGATGGGAGGCTTTGTATGCCAAGACCGCTGCCAAATTTGTCGGCCGGTATATTAATCACGTCGATCATCCCCACACCGGATCTCAAGTATTGGGCTGTGGTTGTGAGATTAAACCCCCAAATGGGGACTTGATCGAAGCCCAGGTTCAACTCGGGGCCTGGATGGCCGGGTTCTTCTCCTGGGCTTTTCAGCATCAGTCCGGGACTCAGGCTCCACCGCCAATGGTAGGCTTCATTCCCGTGGGTGAGATCTGGGGTTTCTACATCATATATGGTGTTCAAGAGGGGACAAACGGTGGCGGGTTGCCAAAGTTAGGCGAAGTTCGTGTCTGGGGACCTCTGCCGGAGCTCGATGGTCGACCTACTAATGAAAAGGCGTGTTCCGCACTGGTCAAGACGCTGCGCCGCGTCATGCACTACCTATGCGGTCGATACATTGACCAGTTTCAAAATTCCGTGCTCAGATGATCTACTCATGCTGTCATCTTGACAGAATACATTCAACGTTGGGGTCATTATGACTTTGACGAAGCTTCTTGCGGCACAATCACACTGCACGCTGTATGGACGACCCAACCCACTAATATCCCAAGAAATTGAAAGAAGATAAATTGGCCTAATCTGGCTTGAAACTATGTATAAGAAAGAAAGGAACAAAGCAACCGAGCAGTAAGATGCTAATATTACAGTCTACTGAATCGAAAGAAATGACCACCCCTAGCCGGTACAATCCCAAGGACGGTACCGGACCACACCCCAGACATTACATGTCTTATTTTCCATGTCTAAGCCTGAACGAAGACGGCAGCAACAGCCAGACCAGCGAACAGGTACGAGTCCATACCCACGCGCACGGCAGCACCGGTTGTGGCGGTCGCGGAGGCGGAGGCCGTGCCGGAGGCGGAATCGCCGCTGGTGGCGCTGGCGCTGCTGCCCGTGGCCTTGGCCGCGTCGGTGGACTGGGCCGTCACGACGTGGTCCGAAGAGCCGGCGGTCCAGGTGAAGGTGGCGCCGCTGACGGGGGAGGTGATGGAGCTGCTGCCGGTGTTGGAGAGAGTGGCGGTGCCGTTGGGCAGCTTGCCGGGCTTGTAGTAGGTGTCGAGCTTGGGGTAGCTGAACTTCTTGGCACAGTCGACCTTCTCGAGGGTGGAGGCACAGTCCTTCCAGCCGGCCTGCTCAATGGCCGCCTCGAGGTCGTCAATGCTTAGCTCGGAGAGCTTGGTGTTGGGGCAGGTGTCGGGCAAACTGAGACGGTCAGTCTTGAGACGCAGGAAATAACAGACCCGGGTAGAGGACTGACCTGGAGAGGATGGCACTGTAACCACAGCACATACACTCCTCAATCTCGGAGTCGGACGCGGAGGACTTGAGATCGCACTGGTTGCCCTGGATCTTGGTGGCTTCGAGCATGGCCTTGTTGACCTTTCCGACGGCGCAAGAACAGCCACCGGGGGCATTGTCGGGGGCCGGGTAGAATGGAATGTTATCCAGATCCGGCTTGTCGCAGGTTTCGGCCAAGTCGCTGACGGTCAATTGGTACTCGCAGCTGTAGACCTATGGCGCGGGAGGGTTAGCATCCAGACAAGACATGGCAGCTTCGACCATCGCCAAACACATACTTGGTTCCAGCAAGAGCTCGCCGCGCAGTCGATCCGAGCACGGTCTCTGGTGCAGGCGCACTTGTCCAGGCAGTCCGGGTCGTCGACGGTCTTGCCGTTCTCCTCCTTGTCGCAGTTCTTCTTGACGCAGTCGTTGTAGGTGGACTTGGCCTTGTCGTAGCAGGTCTTGAGACCGGAGGGATCGGCGCACTTATCGGCGTCGAACTTGCCCACCTTGGCGGCGATGGAGACATTGGCGGCCAGCAGGCCGAGCAGAACACTCGTGGAGAAACGCATGATGGATATTGGGAGGGGTCGACACGAAGGAAGGGTTTGAGGGAAAGAGAAAGGGAAGGGAGGATCAACGGAGGAGTGTGGTGCTGGTCAGGCCGGTTATAAGCAGCCCCGATGCTTTGTCTCGTCCAGCTTTACCGGGAAACCCCAGCAGGCGCCTTCTGAGGCTGAGAGGCGGTGCCTGACCAATCCCGAGCGGCCGTCGGGCCTAGTCGAGACTTGGCGCCGGCGCTAAGCTCGTATGGCCCCTGGCGCTAGGCCGCCTTGGGGGTCGACCGCAGTCAACGGTGCGCCCGGTGCTGATTTCTCTGCCTGCCTTGGGGGCCATTCGCGTAGTGTCGGGGGCGAAACCCCCTGGGAGTTTGGGATTGGGGCTCTGTGCCCTTCCGTTCGGCTTCCTGTTCCCCCCCTGAATTCCAGACGGTTCCCCAATTTCATGTTGGTCGACTAAGCTCACTCACATCCCTGCGTCGATGAAACTCGAACCGGACTCGCCAGAATTCTACGGCTGACAGAGTCGCTGCAGTGTGGATGGGGCCCTCGCACAGTGGTCATCGCATGATCCAGGATCTCACGCATCGGCCACCGCCACTTCCATCAGCCCAATACCCGCTCGTGCCTCGCATCGCACTTGGGCGGCGATGCCTGACTGCGGTTCTTTGTTTGTTGGCACACAAAGACCGCGATGAACGGCACTTCCGGGATCCTCTCGACCCACAAACCCTTCCAACAGACCCACCGATGATCGCACGGCAAGATATGGCTGGCGGTGGACGATCTATCTCTGGTAGACACTACGGAAGTATCTAACAGTCTAACCCTGCTGCTGACAGGGGTACGGTGGTGAGAAGTGAGCCGGCTGCGGTCGCTGACTCGCAGTGCTAAGCGCCCCTTACGGTGCGCTGGCAATGCCCCCAACCCTGGCAACTGTCCTCTCAGCCTGTCATCTGTGTCCAAGAATCTCCGCGCCGACCGTGGCGGATTTCAATGCGGTTGTTCAGTAGGCATCCGGATTTCACGATGCAGCGCATGCAACCAGGGCAGGTTCGAGTTCAACCTCGCACGAATAGAATTCAAACGCTCAACGCCGAGAAATTAAGGGCCGGCGTGGAAGCCACAGCCCTACGCGCCGTGACCGCCAAGGTTCCAGGATATCTCGGATGCAAGGGACACCACCCAATCGCTGAGGCCCTTGGCGTCTGGTCTTTCTCTCGCTTTGTCCCAAACCCCGAGATATGACCGCATGGCCGTATTTTTAGACCGCACCGCCTTCGATGTCATCGAATCCGGGGGTGGCATGCCCGCACATGGCGCTGGCATTGGTTGCGACCTTGGCAGCCCAGCAGGGCTATCGTTCCGACGAGACCAGGATGAAAGAGCGCAATGTGATACGTCGGCTGCCCTTCATGACAAGAAAACCAGAGCCAAAACGCGGCGGAGGTGCTCCGTAATGGAGCCATTTAAATAATGACCATCAACATGACACACATCAAAGACGTCTCTGGTAAGCTCAATTTTTGCGGTTTCAGCGACCAGCCTCGTTCATTTTCACTCTCCAACTCGCCCTATACGTACGTTGAATCCTTTCTCCTCAGCAGTGAACACCTCGGAACCACGCGAAGGAGCGAAGAATTTTCTGCCAAGATGTTGGGCCATGAACCCCTGGCTTGGACAGCCCCTGTTTTGTTTGGGGGCTATGCGAGTTGCACAAGGCTGGATGATGGAATTAATCATCGCCCAGTGCGGACCCACACGACGAGGCTGTGTCGGAGAATAGGCGGTTTCTCGGGTGATTTGCGTAGCTTATCGTGAGAGACTTGTTCTTCCTGGCGTCTCTGGATAGATTAAGTCTGGGGATGAATGCCCTCGCCTGTTCTCAATGTAACTCAAGACTGGCGCTTCAGCTCCACACCTGCGAGCCACCTCAACGTGCGATGGCTTGGATCGATTAAGCGGGGACATGAGCGATCCGTATTTTTAGATTGCGGCGAAGCGACAGACGGATCATTCTAGCTAAATGCAACGCTGCATGGACTCTGTTTATCGCTTCTGAACCATCTCTTTCAGGGTATCCCCAAACCCGACCATGCAGACTGTAGCCCACGCTGCAACGCCGATTCGAGGCACAACGCCTCGGAAGAGACCTTTCACACCAGATGTCCGAACAATATGTTGCAACGTCGAAATCATAGTTGCAGATTTCGGACGCGTAGGATCATTCTTCATCGACTGCATTTCAACGCGCAGGACCTGTGGCCGTCAACATCCACTCCCTTCTCCAACAATAGAAGCCAAACTCACCTCAAACGGCTGATTCCAGCAACTCAACGCCCCCCCAATCGTCGACGCCAATATCTTCTCTCCCACCTTCAACCTCTCTTCCCTCCTCCCCGTAACAGAACGAATCCCCTCCTCCGCAAACCGCGCGATCCCAATCCTCGACGACCACCCGGTCACCTGCCTCAGCGCAACCGCATTAACCCCCTTATTAACCCCCCGGATGCCCTTCTCGCGAAGTATGTTAAAGAACGTCTCCATAGCCCCCGGCACCTTCGCCGCTTGGCCGCTTAGTTTCGAGCGCGTCACTTCAACGGTTTTCATGCACGTCGTCATTCCCATCGTCAGGTACGATTGGGCGATCCCGCCGCCGATCCCGCCCAGGATGCCGCACGTGGTAGGCGAGGCGTTGAGGTTTGTGCGCGCGTGGTATTCGATCTCGCTGGAGGTGAGGATGAGGATGGCGCCTTTGGTGGAGGCTTCGAGCCAGGCCTGGTTTATGTTTACTGTTGCTTAGTTGGGGGGTTGTGGTTGTAATGCGGTGTATATATGTTGGCTCGCGTGGAACTCACCCACGGAATCAGTCCCTGGTAATATGCGGATATCCCACCACGAGCCCATGTTTTCGAAAAAGCATCTTTTAGAGTATCGTGTCTATTCGCTGCGAGCTGAAAATCCCAAACATATTAATTCATCTGCCTGGAAACAGGATGTTGTGATGCATACATGGGTCTTGAGAACTTCCATGGGTTGACCCAGAGAAGTGACTAATTTCAATTAGAGCATGTCCCGGAGATCGCGATCGGAATGCGAACCTTGAAATAAGTTCATAAAAGCCCCGACAGCTAGATTCCGGAATGGAATTGAACGTCGTTCCTGTGCATCAGTAGCGGTGGCGCGGGTAGACTGCGCAGCGGAGGTGGCCTGGAGCGCCATTGGAAGGGTTGCGACCGGGGTATTTTCTAAATGACCGGGATAGGAAGGGTGTTTTGTGTCGCCGAGGAGGAAATGTATATTGATCAGTACAATGGATTGACTGGAAAGCTGTTATTGTTAATGGCGAGTTGTCTCCACCGGAAGCATCCGAAGCATGTGGCATCCTTGTACATCGGACCCATCCGATCAGGAGCGCCGAGTCACCATAACAATGCTTGGGTTGTCCTACCAGATAATTGTGCATATAAAACATTATGAAGGATACGGGGGTATAAATTACCCCAGTCCTATGAGAAATATCCTGGTAACCTCTTCTGTACAGTGGCATACAAGTAGATGCCTTAGATCGAAGGCAGCAGCATGACAAATGTATACTTCAGCCACAGCCAATCAACGGCTCGCAATCTGAATCAGTCAGCATTGTCACGTGCCATCTCCATCCCACGCTCGTTGCCTCTGTCTATTCCCGTCCTTCTATTCACTCCATAGACATTCGAATTCGTAAAAATGAGCGAGAATTCTCCCAGGTCAGTCGCCCGACGACATCGGCGTGGATTGACGCGAAGCGCTGCAGCCTGCCAACGGTGTAGAAAGCGGAAGCAAAAGGCATGTAAAAACCGCCCGATCAGGCATCGGCATGGGTTCCTCGCTAATCAACGGACAGTGCGATGGCAAGGCTCCAAGATGTGGCACCTGCGTGTCGGCAGATGCTCTCTGTATTCCATCCGATCGCTTAGTGATTCAGCAGGTCGGCACGACTGCATGCGAATGTGACGCGCTGCGGACGCGCTTGGACACGCTCGAGCGCCGCAATCATGATCTTCTCCAAGAGCTCGAGCGAACGCGCATGCAACAGAGCACGAACGATGAAGCTAATGGTCGTTTGGAGATGTCTATTGTTAGCTCTGCCAGCTTGGACTCTCGATCTGCAAGCCGGATTCTGCGGCCTACTTTCTCCCAGCGGCCTCAAGCAGGCATGAATAGAAGTGCTCTTAGTAGTGCATGGGAGCTATGGGGTGATGACGCCATGCCGGTGAATGCTGCATCGCAATCGATAAACTTGACGGAGCTCCACCGGGGTACATATGAGGAGCTTGTGGATGTCTTTTTCACTTATAGGTGGCCTTACCTGCCGGTGCTGCATCGACAAAGCTTCGTCAGTAAGCACCTCTCCTCGCTGCTTGAGAATGAAAACGTTAGCCCAGTTTCTACATTCATGGTGAACATTGTCTGCGCCATTGCAGCCGCGGAAAAGCCTGCCGTTCAACCAGGACATGATCAGATGCATCGACAGTTCTTCGAAGAGGCCCTGAAACATCTTTCCGCCGTCATGGAGACTAGCGATTTTGAGTGCATCCAGTGCCTACTCCTTCTCTGTATGTATGGTCATAACGAACCCCAGTACGTCAACATCTGGCACACCATCGGAATGGCACTTCACTTGGCCATAGGGATGGATCTTCATCGAAAAGAGAGTTTGTCTGGTCTGGATATCATGCAGGCAGAAATGTCCAAGCGAGTATTCTGGAGCGTATATGTGATGAGCTGCAGTATGGCTGTTAACATGGGTCGGCCATTGGGCATACAAGAATCGGACATCACAATTCCGTTGCCGCTTCAACTAACAGACGAACACTTGACACATCCCCAGACGACTTCTGAATCCCTGATACCACAGGCAACAGACACGTCCACGTTCATTCATATTATCAAATTGCGCCGACTTAATGCAGCCATTTACCAGGCCTTCCATTCGATCGGTTCTACTGTCACCCAGCAGGAGGACCTTCGTAAGCGCCGGGACTCATACTTCTCAGAATTGAACCACTGGTTGATCACGGCACCAAGGTACATCGGCACTCCGTGCACTTTCCAGTCCATGGAATGGTTCCAAATCGCTTTCCACCACGCCGTTCTGTCTCTTTACCGACCATCTCGAGCCGGGCCGATGCCGTCTTCCAGTGACCTCCGCGTTTGTACCGAGTCCGCAATCGGCCTGATCAGCTCTTATAGCTCACTCTACGCGAGAAATAAAATCAAGTACACCTTCGTTGCTATCCACTCGCTCTTCATGGCAGCCGTGACGATGCTCTACGCCCTACGAGCCTCGCCGGCACTCCGACAGGAATTGACGAAACCAGTTGTGCAAACCAACGTTCATACATTCCTAACCCTCTTTCGCGGAATATCTAACGGTCGCGTGGTGGGCGAGAAATGCTCTATTATTGTCGAACGGCTGGGAAACTCGATTCTGAGTCTCTTTGAAGACGCGTCTTTTTCGGATGGTGCAGTGAGTGCTGAGGTCGACATTGAGTTTCAGTCATGGTTTGGCCTTCAGACTCACACAGTGGAGGCGCCTCTGGTACCTGGAGAAGATCCCCAGGGATTCTCACCGCACTTCCCTGACGCCAGGGTCGATATTCCATGGTCTGATTTGCTTGTCGAGGGGATTGACATTGGTTCTACGGACTTTTGGAATATTTTGTCTTAGGAAGGAGGCAGGCAGATTACTTTGTTTGAGACTTGGGGTAACACTTTTTGAAGACTGTGCGCAGTCAGGGCTCGGATTCTGGAGAACCCGCTATCCGAACAGCTGTCAGAGACCAATGCTAGTTAATCAAGCAGGTATCCCGGGGCTGTTTGGGGTTAGGGGAAGGATTCAGCAATCCCTGTGGAGACAGCATCGGATGCATCCGACGGGATAGAAACGTCCGACAATCGGCACCGGCAGACCTCGGCTTTTAATCTCGACATTCCTGGACCCGGACGAACTGCTCCACCTCAACTCACCACCACCGATACTATGTTCAGAACACTGCAAACAGTCCCTACTTCGGTTTCACGGCCCTTGTGTCGGGCATACGTTCGCTCAGAGAGTCGGCCCCTTTCGACCAGCCGGAAGCAACGTTCTCTTCCTGCAGCATATTATCGCGGAGGCACCTCGCGCGCTGTTTTCTTCAAAGAACAAGATCTACCCCCGAGTCGTACTCAATGGGACCCGATCTTCCGCAGTGTCATCGGGAGTCCTGATCCTCACGGCCGCCAGCTGGACGGCATGGGAGGCGGGATATCCAGCCTATCCAAAGTCTGCGTGGTCGGAAAGTCCACGCGCCCTGACGCAGACGTCGACTACACCTTTGTATCTCTTGGCGTCAAAAACACCGATGTCGACTACTCCAGCAACTGCGGCAACATGATCAGTGCAGTCGGTCCGTTTGCCATCGATGCACAGCTGGTTGCCCCTGACACGACCGACTCCGCCTCAGTTCGCATCCACAACACCAACACCGGGAAGATCATAAATTCTTCCTTCCCCGTCGTCGACGGAGAGGCAGCATCGAGCGGCGACTTCTCCATCGACGGTGTCTCTGGGACAGCAGCACGCATCCAACTCGACTTCATCGACCCAGCCGGGTCAGTCACCGGCAAATTACTTCCCACAGGAAGCGCCAGGGACGTCTTCGACGGGGTGACAGCGACATGCATTGATGTCGGCAACCCCTGCGTTTTCGTACAGGCCAGCGACCTAGGCGTCAAAGGAAACCTGACGCCAGATGAAATCACCACCAACGCTGACCTCCTACAACAACTCGACTCCATCCGCCGCCAAGCAGGCGTGAAAATGGGCATCGCCGAAACTCCCGCCTCAGTCCCTGGAAGCATCCCGAAAATCTGCCTCGTCTCGTCACCAACATCGAGCGAAGTGGACCTAGTCGCGCGCGCGATGTCGGTAGGCCAGCCACACAAGGCTGTGCCCATTACGGTGGCGTTGGCGTTGGCGGCGGCCGCTCGCGTACCGGAGAGTACGGTTGCAGAGGTGTCGAATAAGGATCTTGTGGATTCGGCAGGGATCACGATCAACCATGCGAGTGGGAATCTTCTGGTCGGGGCGGATATTGATGAAACGGGGCGGTTGAAGTTTGCCACAGTTTTTCGCACCGCGAGGAGGCTGTTTGAGGGTCGAATCTTTTGGAAAGATGAGGTTGCCGAGTGAGGGTACTATAGCTTAGATGCGTAAGGGATATGTAGAATGTTATTATCGTAACCTGAATACCAGGGGGGGCCATTTATGGAAGATCTATCCATTCTTACTTAAACAAGAAAACCACCATCTACTATACAACTACCTTCAAGCCTCACCATCGTTCATACCAGAAATCAAGTTCAACGCACTCCCCGCCTTGAAGTACTTTACCTGCTCCTCCGTAAACGAATGCCTCACCTCCGTCTCCCACATCTCCCCCTCCACCGGACAGACCCTCAACATCAAATTCCTCCCCGGCTCCAACCCTCCCAACCCCAGAATACTGACCCGATCAGAAGCCCCGATCCTATCATAATCGCTCTCATCCACAAAAGTCAACGCCAACAACCCCTGCTTCTTCAAATTCGCCTCATGAATCCTCGCAAAGCTCTTCGCAATAATCGCCACCCCACCAAGATACCGCGGCTGCAGAGCAGCATGCTCGCGCGACGACCCCTCCCCGTAATTATGATCAGCGATGATAACCCAGGGAACGGATTGGGATTGATAGTATCGTGCCGTTGCTGGGACGTCTCCGTCTCGACCCGTGAGTTGATTCCGGACGGTATTAACCTTCTGAGTTTCGGCGTTCACGGCGCCAATGAGCGTGTTATTCGAGATGTTCTCCAGATGGCCACGGTAGCGAAACCAGGGCCCTGCCGGGGTGATGTGATCCGTGGTACATTTCCCGACTGTTTTGATCAGGATGAGGCAGTTTTCGAAATCCTGTCCGGACCAGGGAGGGAAGGGGACGAGCTTTTGCAGACGCTGCGAGGACGGGTTGATTTGCACTTCCAGATTGCTGCGGCCTCCTGATGGTGGGGGTAGGTAGGCTGAGTCGGAGGTTTGATGGGTTGCTGAGGAGAAGGAATCTACTGTTGGTGGGGAGAAGCGAAATTCCTCGTCGGAAGGAGTGAGCAAAGAGTCGAGGGTCGGGTTGAATGAGAGGTCGGAGGAGAAGACTTTGCTCATGACGATCTCAGGCGAGGCGAGGAAGACGCTGGTCGCCGGGTTGGAGTCTAGACGGCCGGAAAAATTGCGATTGTAGGAGGTGATTATGGAGTTCTTGGTTCCCTGGATTCTTATGTTAGCTGGCTGGTTTGTATACTAGGCGGAGGGAGCATGGATATACCTTCGGCATGTCAGTCCTGTCCCAAGATCCGCAGCAAGGACCACAGGCATTCGGCAGCATTGTGGCTCCGAGATCTTCAAACACCTGCAGAATACCCGCTTCTTGGAGGGTCTTGCGGGTTTGCAGGCTACCTGGCGAGATGAGCAAGGGCATGGTCGGTTTCAGCCCTGCGTCCAAGGCCTGTTGCGCGAGATTCGCCGCTTTGCTCATGTCTTCGAACGATGAGTTTGTGCAGGATCCGATCAAGCCAGCGGTCAATTGGCCCGGCCACTGTTCTCTTTCCACGGCTGCGCTAAAACCAGACATCGGAGTGGACAGATCAGGGGTGAAAGGTCCATTAATGCATGGCTCCAACGTCGACAAGTCAATGTGAATGACCTGGTCGTATTCCACCCCTGGGTCGGCAATCAGCTCAAACGACACACTTTCCACCGCTGCTGCCATATCATCGCGGTTATTCACCCGCAAATACTGCGACATGGCCGGCGCATACGGGAAAATAGACGTAGTCGCGCCCGTCTCGGCTCCCATATTGCATACCGTCGCCATGCCGGTAGCCGACAGGGTCTGAGTCCCAGGACCAAAGTACTCGATGACATATCCTGTGCCGCCTTTCACAGTGATCATTCCAGCCACAGTGTTAATGATATCCTTCGGCGAAGCCCAGCCATTCAGCTCGCCTGTCAACCGCACGCCCAACAGCTTCGGGGCCGTCATCTCCAACGGCAGACCAGCCATAACATCGACCGCATCAGCACCACCAACACCGATAGCCAGCATGCCCAAGCCACCTGCATTCGGCGTATGAGAGTCCGTACCCACCATCATTCCGCCAGGGAAGGCATAATTTTCCAGGACGATTTGATGAATGATACCCGCGCCAGGCCTCCAGAACCCCATGTTATATTTCTGACACGCGCTTTCCATGAACTCGTATACCTCGCGATGAGCGTCTAAGGCACGAGGGAGGTCATGTTCCTCGCCATCCCGACTGACGATGAGATGATCGCAGTGCACGGTTGTCGGGACGGCGGAGGATTCCAGCCCAGCGGACATGAACTGGATCAGAGCCATCTGGGCCGTGGCATCTTGGCAGGCGATTCGCCGAGGGCGTAGTTTGAGCTGGGAAGAGCCGCGGGTGATAGGACCGTCGAACTCAGGGTCCAAGTGACTGTAGAGGACTTTTTCGGCGTAGGAGAGCGGGCGGTTTAGTCTGTGAATGGGGTTAGTGGTGTTTTATAGGATGAGTAGGCGAAGCTACCTATCTCGCACACGTCTGACATTGTTGGTAAATTGAGTCAAGTCCACGCGTTGCTGTGGTTCCAGCCGACTTAATGATGCCGTGGCAGGTGTTTTAGAGGATATCAGGCGTCTGGAAACCGAGGGCACAGAGAGTCTCCATCGCTGCGAACAGCGTGAGGTGAGATATTTGAAAAGCATGACAGTGAGATTGACTGTGCCATTGTAGAGAGTAGCCAGATGTCTTGAGCAGCTTTATTTCAAGCTCACATCGACGTCGATGTAGCCGAGGCCAGGTGTCGGATGCATCCGGCGTCGGAACGATCCGAAGCGAATGCCGATTATGCTAGTGCTGATGTTAGAGTCTATTGGGCTGCTGGAAACGACTATAAGGGTTAGAAGGAACGTATAAACAGTGTGCGGAGGGATTTCGCTGGTTACGAGGTATATATTGTGTAGGATTTGGACTTCCGGTTAACGTATTGATTTTAAAACCCTCTCCCAGTCCCCCAATTGGCCGTAACAACTCGCAGCATCTTTAACCAGCATATCCCACGCCGTCCGACCACCGATGACAATCGACCAATCTGCGCCCTTATGAATCAGGAACCGGAAGAATTCCCTTTGCGCTTTCACAGCATCTGTCGAAATACTTTCCCACGCCTCGATGCGAGTACGGTACGTCTGACACAGACGATGCAGCGCGGTGCAGCCATCCTCTGCGACCGGTGCATTGATATTGCCCCCTTCGGTGAGGAGGTACTCAATCACAGTGTATGTGGTCTCCTCTTCTCGGTCAATGAGCTCCCCTCTAGCGAGAATGTACTGTGTGAGGAGAGTTGTGGGAGAATTCCCGAGATCCTTGATCAAGTAGTCAAGTAGATGAACACGCAGAGTTGAACGCACTTCGTCCGGGTCACGACCTTCGGATGGCCATTTTTTCCACTCTCTCAACAGGTCGTTGCTCCGAAGGGTATACGCTCCTACCCAGCGGGTATAAGCGGTTTCGCAACGGGCGAGGACTTCACCCGAGTATCCGCGGGAATGCAGGGCCTCCTCGTAACATCTGAAGGGCCTGGATATGTAGGTGCGCATTGTAAAAGAGACGCAGGATCTCCCAGTCACCATCGACTGGCCGTGTTATGGCGTCTACGAGCCGGCGGACACCGTTCCGTTCAAGACCTGGGATGTCGATGCGAGCGCCGAGATCAAGGAGAACCCGGAAGACGTCCACTTGCGTGCGGGAAGCTGCCAGGCCGAGGGTGAGCACTTTGGCAGACCTGCGAATGCAGATCCAATTTTTGTATCGTCGGCTATATTTCCGGGCAGGCCACTGAATATTGACTGCACTGACTGGGGCGCCATAGTGGGACACCAGCCGACGGATCGCGGAAACGTAGCCTCGTGTACAGGCCCAAATCATGGCCTGATCACGGGCACCTTCACGCATGTACAGAGCAGGCTCGAAGCGCCAGTGTATCGATTTGCTGCATAATAGTAATCGAGTCAGTGAAGCGAGCGACAGATGCTGGACAATCTCATCAATAAGTTCCTGCGGCAGGAGACCTAGTGAAGCCGGGCCGGGCATGGTGATAGGAAGCGTTTATCTGAAAAAGAAAGGGGACTGTGGAAAGAACATGACTGAAGAAGTGAACTGCAAATTGATTTCGATTTTCCCTAATACTATTTTGCCACGCAAGCCAACTGTTGGAAGTTAGTGGCCCCGCCCCTAGTATGCAAGTAAGACCGCTACTAAGAAGGGTCTCGGATTCCCAACGAAATCAGTCATCTGGGGGTTTGAACCTATTGCAAGCCACAATTCCATAAATCCAAAGCAGTAGAGAGTTTGTTCTTGTTCCACATTCTTGGCTTTATTGCAACGTAGGGTTATTGCTAGGGAACTGCCTCAACAATAACAGACGTTCTTTGTTAGCTTTACGCGGCAGATTTTGAGAAATAGAGACTGGCTATCACTGGTTCGACCATGATCAACCAATTTCATTGTGTTATGAGACTGTCATGGCACAGAGATCATACAAAGTCATCTGCGCCTAAGCCACAATGGATATGATGCCTGAGGCAGGAGTGTGGCATGTAAAGTGGCGGTGCGAGATGTCGTGTTTGCCGTGTTTGCATTGTTTGCCCTGTTTGCGGCTGTCAGCTGTTGATGTTTGTCCGTTCAGTCTTCAACACATCGCTGGAAGTCAGCATAAATATCGGTCACAGCCCCACCCAGGATGCTGTGCAAAGTCTTCTCCACAATAGTAACATAGATTGCCTTGTATAGAATCATCTCCGCGATCATTGGCCCAGTCATGTTATGAACAACCGCCCGATACCCTGAGTCAACACATCCAAGATGCCTCGCAGAATCTCTCAAGCTGAGCTTGGTAAGACCTCTGCCATATCCAGGAAATTCACTCTTTTGACACGTCTACACAGGGACTCTGCTCCGCCACTGGAGACGACAAGATCTGTCTCGCCTACGGGCATGGCAGGCTCATGAATCTCAGCGCTTGGGCGCCAGTCCCAGGCAGAAGCCCCGCAGGCCTTGGCAACGAGACGAAGAGAATCACGAGAGCATGCCTCGGAAATTCCTCGAGACGTCAGTGACGACATTTGGATCTCTGTTGATTCTTGCCCTGGGTGGCTACTCATACCACATTTACTACAAAAGCCTGGTCCTGGATAAGATCAACAACGCGTTTTCCAGTGGGTTCTCCACGCTGGAGCTAGCCGCACTGTCTCAGCACGGAGTACCGCCAGAGCCAGGGGAGGAGCCGGTGCAAGATGAATTGCGGTTCAAGGTCTTGCGACCGGAGCAGACGACGATTGATTCTATCGTGACGGGCAAAATTCGAGGAAGTTACTACCTACTCTTCGGCGAAAAGGGGACCGGGAAGACGACGATGCTGCTTGACGCCATGCGAAAGGTCCAGGGGAGCGGAGTGGCTATGTTAGAGGCGCATAGCGATCTTGAAGTCTTTCGACTACGCCTAGGTAAAGCATTGGACTATGAATACCACGAAGACTACATCGGAGGGTTGTTTAATATACGTGGACCCCGCGAGGCGACACCCCTTTTGGATATCGAGCGAGCGTTGAATAAACTTGAAAAGGTTGCGCTGAAACGAAAGTCCAAGCTGAACAAACCGCTCACACTCATTATCAACAATATCCACTTTCTCCCTGACAGCGCCGAAGGTCAGCATCTACTCACCCTCCTACAGCAGCGCGCGGAGCTATGGGCAGCTAGCGAGCTCGTCACTCTTGTTTTCACGAGCGACGAGTACCGCACGACAGAGACCTTTCGCCCACATGCAACGCGCATGCAGGTGCTCAATGTCCGCGACGTCCCAAAAGAAATGGCCATCCCGGCGTTGCAGACATACCGACAGGCTAAATTCCAGGAGACCGTGTCGGAGGATATCCTATCGCAAGCCTATGACCGCGTAGGCGGAAGGCTAATATTTCTAGAGCAAGTAGCTCGATCCAGGGATATCCTTCGAATGTGCGAGTCGATCTGCGAAAAGGAAAAGCGCTGGCTTCTCTCCCAATGTTGGATTCTAGGTGCGGAAATGGATGACAAGGCTGAAGAACAGCAGGATTACTGCGTAGGTTATCCCATCCATGCCGTGGCTCTTAATTTTCAACTGATGCTGATTATATTCCAGCATGCTGCTATGCTCCTAGCGAAAGCGCTCGTTGAGTTAGAAAACAAGGCCGTCCAACCCACAGGCGGGGCCAACATACCGGGAATGCCGATACACAAAGTACAGGAGCTCATGACGCGATCTGATTTTCTCCACAAGCTGGACCAAATGAATATATTCGCCATCGATGCAAATGGCGTAGTCAAGGCTGACTCGGTTCCGATGCAAAACGCCTTCCGGGCAGTAACTAGCGACCCGGCATTTGAAGAACATCTGGAGGCCACGACTGAGCGGCTCGATGAGCTGGAGGGGCTTGGACGAACCACAGAATTGACCATGAAGGACTTGGTTAGCGGTCAATATGCTGTTGTGACGAAGGGGGTAAGAGGCCAAGAAGACACCACTTTTGTGGTTAAGAGAATGTAGGCGAGGCTGCGAACCCAGAATCGAAATCCAACGAGCGACAGAAGTTAGTTCATTTGAAAAAGAGAAATTTATAATACACTCGAGACGAATACAAATGAATGCAACAGCACCCCACGAAAGTATGAACAAGCCAACTAGCCATTGCCGGAGTATGTCCAAGGAATCAAGCGCGACAAAGCTTTCCATCCTCCTTCTCACTCCAGAGCTCACTACCAACACATTGATGGCAGTAGAGAAGTCCATTCGGATCATACTTCTGCTTGATGGCTTGCAGCTTTGGATAGTGAGGTCCGAAGAAAGATCGTTGCCAATCAGGCTCGTTGTCACTGGCCTTAATTTGGATAGAAAGTTAGCAACCACTCCCTGAGAGCCAGCAGGACTATCGAATACTCGAGATTCTCACCTCGTTGAAATAGGCCCCAGTTTCCGGTGCCAACCGACGCAATACAGCACCTCTCTGATGTGCCATGTTGTGCTTGACCTTGTCCGCAACCGCCGAAGGCACGGATTGATCCCAGTTCTGGGAAACAATCAAATGCATGACGCTATCGCGCCAAGCAGGATTCAAAGCGTTGTCGACAGGAACCCTGCTTCCTGTCATGGTGCCTGACACAGATGGGTTTGATACACCCTTAGTAATGTGTAGGCAATGGGCATAAGAGGAGACTCACAAATGGCGGATCCTGAGGAGAAAGAATATCCTCCAATGTCTTTGCGAATAGACTGCTGTCTTCGTATACAGCCCGGCGCGGAATGAATCGTGACGCAGTAGTTTTCTCTGACGTACCGACCGACTCGATTGCCGGAATAGTCTTCACAAGATCGAACCAGGGTACTGTGGTTGCCGCTTCGAAAGTAGTTGGTGCAGTGACGTTCGAACTATCAGCGAATCTCTGAATTGGCGACAGCAGCTTATTGATCGTCTCATTTTTGGTGTCGTAGATCAGCAAAGACCCGGTCACACCAAGCTTTTCTCCATCCATAGTGTAATAGCCATGGACTCCGGCATCTTGAAGATGGGCGAAGTACTTGTGAACCTCAGCAACAAAGCGATACCACTCCGAGATCGAAGCGCCCTTCTTGGCAGACAGTTCCAATCCTACTAGCGAGAGCATTGACATCGGATATGCCTTTACAGCGACCCTTAGGATGACACCGAAGCCGCTGCCACCACCGCGGATAGCCCAGAGTAGGTCCTCGTTCTGGCAGCTGTTGGCAGTCACGACCTTGCCCGCTGGGGTCACGACAACCGCCTCGATGATGTTGTCGGCACCCATGCCGTACTTGCCAGTGGCTAGGCCGTGACCACCACCGGTAGCCCAGCCGACAACGCCGACATCCTATCAATGCAGATTAGCACACTTTCAGGGAACTTGAGAAGGGAGAAGGCAAAGTACAGGGTTAGTTCCGCCGACGGCAATCGCGTTGTGTTTCGCCAGGGCTTTGAACATCTCCATGTCTTGTACACCAGCACCGAGCGTGGCGGCCATATGAGTTCCGTTGCCAGTGGAGTTGAGCTTGCACGCATGCGGATGAAAGGCTTCGTGGAATTTGATATCCTTCAGGTTATGCGTCCAGATTCTTCGGGTGGTCAACTGATGGCCATGCAACCCGGAGGAATTAACTTACGACAAACTGCCGTGTCCAATGCTAAAGAACAGTCAGGTCGGAGCACAAGAAAGATAACAGTGCCCTCAATCAATAAATAAAATGCTCGAACATACCTTCGGATTGATCCATGTCCGGTATTCTTAATGTTAACACGCAAGTTCCGATCCGCCGCAAATTTCAGCGCTGTCTGAACATGGCTCAGCTCCGTGACGTTGACCACGTAAGGAAAATAATTTCCAAGTGAGCAGCCCTCTCGGAGAGCATGTTTGTTACCTGTGATGCTGGTTCCGTTCGAGTACAGAGGATTGCAGCTGTTGTTTGCGGTCGCCGGGTCGTCGACACTAGCCGGGTCGGCAGCGTGGAAGGCAGAGGCTGTCCAGTTCGACAGGACTGCCTGACATGCCTTCTGGTCAAATTCCGGCTCGTTGCGATAGCAAACCACGGCAGGGGGGACGGTTCGAATGAGATGTCCGGACAGGGTCTCGTTCAAAGACGCCCAGTCGGAGCTAGCCGGCCAGCATGGGTCTGATGGAGACTAGGACAATCAAGATTAGACCAAAGAGTTGCAGATGATATATAGTGATTTGGACATACACATTTGCAGTCCAGGGCAGCAGTGACGCCACTGGCTGCCAGAGTTAAGACAAGAAACGAGAGCATCTTGGGCGATGGTATTGAGTTGGACCCAGAACCCGTGGTCATTTGACGGACTTTATATTTGTCCCAGAAACAGGCGGCATCATTTCAGTCCTTTTGGCTGATATCATCTATAAAGCCGACTCTGACGATCTATAAAAAGTGGTCCAGAATCCACGGTTGTACAATCCCATGCATTGCCTAAAAGGGCAATCTGGATACGAACACGACAGAAATGATTTCCCAGACGAGTAGGGATCCGCAACCCTAGACCAAGGGGTCTTCACGTTGACCTGCTCGGCGGTTGGAAGCGAAGAAACTATGGAATTCTACATTTGGCCTACGGTTGAGGCGTTTCTCCTTATCCACCGAATCACCCCAACCCCACTTAAACTAAAGAGTCTGCAACTTTATCTGAGGCTGTCAACCTCCTCGTCGGCAGTCCCAAATCGATGGCGCGCCGAGTTCTGCATCCACTAATCCGGGCTCTACTTTAGTCTGTCCAATTATATAGTGTTCCTGACCACAGGTGAACTATGCCATAATCAAATCGGGGGTTGAATACGAGAACGATAGTAGCAAGTGCGATGACATGGCCAATGTCCCAAACTATGAAAACCATAGGAAGGGCTCAACTCAACATCAATATTGACCCAGTCCGCTTAACCTCCATATGCCATCGACTTGTTATCCGGTTGCCCATGACAGCACCGTTTTTCCACACTTGTGTCAACACACTAATCCCTGTCCTGACCGCCGCAATCCCATATACCTCGACTTGCGCATACCACTCCTTGAACCGTTCTTGCAACCGCTCGTCAAAGGCCTCGCTCGCAGCTATGAATGCAGGCCAATATAGAGGAGCAGCAAGACAATGTGAATCGGCCTTGATCTTCTCAATTGATTCAATACACTCTAGCACGGTTTGGATATACGAATGCAGATAGCGGTGCCCCACTAGACGGATGTGTTGTGCAAAGTAGATGATTACAGCGTTGTGAAATGCACGGGCGGTCTTGCGAATGATTTCAGAGCTGCAGCTCGAGTCGTCTATCGAGCGCTTAGCAAGCTCTGAGTCGAGTGGCCAGTCCATTATAGCGTTTTCTAGTTCATCGCATTGCTCGGAGAGCTCGTCCGGGATCATTATATTCCCAGAGTCTTCCCGAGCCTTAGTTACCGAGATGACTAGGTTTGTGGCCCGGTGTAGAAATATGAGTAGAACTTGTGGTACACCGTAGATGCATTCGTATGTGCTCATGCGGCTTTGTGGGTCCAGATCCAGGCATTGCTCTGTTGGATCCTGCTCTGAACTGCATTGTTCATCGACAGTACTAAAATGCCGCAGCTCTGGGATGACTAGATGAGACGTCGTTTGGGACTTTTCCTCCCTTTGTCTTAGTGCCGTGCTTTCGTACATGGTGCGTAAGTAAATATATGTTCGATGGAGGGAGCGTGCCTTCGCAGAATATCTCGCTTTCCATGTGCGTGCCATTTTCATGAAATGTAACGCTCCGTCAAGATGGACACCACAGGTGCTAGTATCACCCGACATGACCTGAAGGACCGAAAGTTGGCAAACAATAGCAAGACAAGGAAAAGGGAAGGGATATCTTACATTGATTGATATCATGGATAGCATCGTAGCCAAGTAATCCTTATACTTGATCTGCGACGAGCACCCAAACCCACGCTCCACCGAGTCCTTAAGAAGCTTAATGGTTTTCCCGCGCAGTACCATGGCTTCACTGACCCATCTAACGGCCTCGTCATCGCGCTCACGCGAGGTATTGTCATTCGATAATACAAACGCACTAATAGATAACAAGGCATTACGCAGAGCATCTTGGATTGGGGATGTTGAGCCCTCCACACTCATCTGGCCCGTGCTTTGAAGAGCCCTCTTGAGGTGGATCTTCTGCCAGGGAGACTTTTTGTTCTCGATGATGCAGAAGAGGCGCACCGCTCTGTGCATGTAGTGATGCATCAGGAACTGCTCGAGGGGTGAGAGATATGACGGAGTTGGACTGCGTATGATAGACCCGCCGGGCTCTACCCATGTGAGGTGTTGTTTATCGGCGCGCAAGACATCACTTTGCTGCAGGTCACTCTCTTCGGGATCATAGAACGTCGGATGGCATGTGTGATCGTTGGAGTGGGGATCCGACGCCTGCACGGGGTTGAGTAAATCGTGTATCGTTGCTTGGTCGTCTTCTGGAAGCAGGAAGGGGGTGACATTGTCCAAGACCACGGGAGAGAAAGAGAAAGTCGGCTCGGCGTGACTCGTATCGGAAATGGATTCAAGATGTTGTCTAGGTGGGGATGAGTCGAAGTTAAAGGTCGGATTGGATGGGAAGGTTCCGTTTGAACACGCTTCCAGTGATGATGACGAGTTGTAGACTGGAATAGTGGCCTCAAACACACCGAAACCGTCCACAAGTAGAGTATCCCTGTTGCTTGGGACACTGCGATCCCACGCGGTTGCCAACTCGTCGATAATATCCAAACTCCGGTCAAGATCCTCCTCCGCCAGACCGCAATGACGCAGCTCTAGAGAGTTTAGTTCAATGCCTCGTTTCAAATAGGAAACATCACGTAACACTCGTACCAAAAGGAATCTGACTCCGCTGTGGCCGACACCGGGACAAATCGGGTGGATCCCGATGATATTTCGAGGCCCCATGCTCCGGAGGCAACCAGTGGAGTCGGACGCCGTATCCCGCACAGTCGAGCCTCTTGATCATACACTGCAGGCAGGTCGGCTTTCGTTCGTCACATTTCACCTTCCTCGCGCGACAGGTCCAGCATCCTGTAAACGTCTTGCTGTGTTTTCGGGATTTGCGGCCCCGGGATGGAGCTATCATGTTGACCGAATGTTGTCCAGACCCAGTAGAGATTTCGCCGTCACTTGCGTTTTTGGACAGATCTTCAACGTAAAGGCGCTGGCCACGGTTTTCAACAGCGACAACAGAGATAACGCCAGGAGTTTGCGTCAGCGGAGAAGCCGGGAAGGCGACGGCGATTTAAGATAAGAAGAGTGGAGACCCGCGCTGATCTTCCGCGCCACGTTGGCAACTCTCCGCGATTGGCTGTCGTTGCTGCGCTGGTGGTTGCCTCTGGATTAGTCGCGTTGCATTTGGATGATGACTCTATACACGGATCCAGGGAACTCTATATCCGGGTTCAGATCCTCTCACCCAGCTGTGGCGTGACACCTTCGACGAGATATATATCTCCACGTTCTGCTAGAGAGTAGGGAATTTTCAAGAAGCTCCTACCTCCGCCACTACTATTATTTTCGGCTATTTTGTGGCGACCATACACTTCAAAGTCTGGTGATAAGTTGCAACAATGTCCTCGACAACTACAACTACTACCCAAATCGCCATCGAAGGTTCCCCGGGCACCAAACAGCCCAAACAAACGACCGAGATAACACACACAAGCAATTCCCCAGCTGGCCTCAGTGCCTGCGGAACAGGAGGATACCCGATTCCCGGGATTCCCAAATTCAACGATCCGTTCAAAAAGCGCCAATGGCAGTTAGAACACATGGCTGGTGCGTTCCGGGTGTTCGCGCGCAAGGGATACACGGAAGGAAGCGCTGGACACATCAGTGTTCGCGACCCCGTGGACCCGAATACCTTCTGGATTAATCCGTAAGTTTACCATTGGCCTCGCTAGAGCAAATTCTAGGATGAGGTCTGACAATCCGAAGCCTAGGAGTACATTTCGGCATGCTCAAAGCCAGCGACATGGTGCATGTGAACGAAGAAGGCCAAGTAATTGGCGGCAACAAAGTAGCCGTTAACGCTGCAGGCTTCATGAGTCGCAGTGCGATCCATAAAGCGCGACCGGATATAAACGCTGCCTGCCATGCGCATTCACCAGCCGGGAAGGCATGGTCTACTTTTGGCCGACCGGTGGAGATCCTGAACCAAGATAGCTGTATCTTCGTTGGTATTCAGCGAGTGTATAACACGTTTGGTGGCGTTGTCCTCGAGAAGGAAGAGGGTGAACGGCTAGCCGAGACTCTGGGCCAGGATGGTCGAGTCGCTATACTCCAAAACCACGGACTGTTGACAGCTGGAAGCACAGTTGACGAGGCTGCCTATTTGCTTACCTCGTTGGAGAGAACATGTGAAGTCCAGCTGATGGTTGAAAGTACCGGAATACCCAAGATTATAGTTGGAGACAAAGAGGCTGAATATACGGCAAAGGTCAACGCAGATCCGGTGAATAAATTCTCTCTCTATAAGATCATCAGGAAGGCTAATGGCAGGTACAGGAGACACTGTATTATGAATTTCAACCAGACTTCGAATATGAGATCTGGAAGTCACGCGGGGAGCTGTCTAAAGGAATTTAGTAGGGTTGATTTTTTTTTTTATGAATCGAAGCGCGAACTTGGCTCTATTTACTTCGATTGATGTGAAATAATCTCTCTTGGAATCATAAATGCAATTCAAGTATTGAGTGAATATAACATACCAAGAAACTCTACTCTAGGCTTCAGGAATGAACTGCTTTAGTCGTAATTCCAGTACAGGGTTGTCAGAGAGCATTTATAAGATCGGCATATCAAACTTGCACTTGGAACGAAATGTGGATTATACCTAGTAGCATGGAACAATAGTTTTTAAAAGAAAAAGTAAAAAGGGCCAGGATCGAAAAGAATCCGCAGCAATACCAGGGTGTTAGGCTTCTAGATATATTGGGGAATCAGCACAAGGGAATGTAGACCAATGAAGCTCAAGAAGTTGGCTTTTTTTACGTCAACTCTATCTATAATCTATATTGATATGAACGTCAAAATCTGAAAATATAAAGACATATAAAAGGAAAATGCAACCGGGTAACCTCTCACTCCTTGACCATGTTCATTCCCTCATCCTGAGCCCGAATTATCGGCGCAGGACCAAGCAGCCGAGCCACCGGACTCATTATAAGACTCAATGATAGCCACGATGGAACCATATGTCCCTGCAATCATCAAGAAGGTCCCGGAAATTATAACAAAAGAGCTCCAACCCATCCCGAACTTCCACGCAGCAGTCCGCGCTGCCTTCCAATGATCATACATCCACATGCATCCAATCGGTTGGAATGTCAGGAACGAACCAAGAAGCGCACCAATAAGTGATACAAGGTTATCGAACACGGGGATTCCACTCGCGATCAAGTATGCTACCAACGTCACCGTGAACGTGGAACTGAGCCAGGTGATCCAGTGAATGGGAGTGTGTGTTGAAAGGTGTACAGATCCGCGAAGGATGCGAATAAAGATATGTTTAGCAGAGAGCTATCTTCCAGTCAGCCTCAAGTATAGGGGAAGAGTGAATGGGTCTCATACGTGAAGGTATATAACCGCCGAAACAATCAAACCCGGCAGCGCAATGCCATACGCCACTTTCTCGATAACCGGGCCAGCCGATCCAAGAGCAGGAGATGCAACGTGGGAGCCACAATAGAAGTACACCACTGTTCCGATAATGATATACACAATAGTGACGGTTCCTTGGCAGATCATCAGGGATTTTGGGTAATCGCGAGGGTCGCGCATTTCAGCGACGATGTTGAAAAATGCCGGAGTACCCGAGTAGGCGAAAACGATGGTACAGACGGCCGAGATGGCACTGCTGAACTCCGGGTTGTTAAAGAGTTTGTAGTCGGATTGAATTATGACTCCTCCCTGCGGCGGAGGATGACCCTGAACACCGACACCGATGGTCACAACGAATACTGCTCATGGTTAGACGGTTCATGTGCCTACTGGATGGAAGCTTACCAGCAACAATGATAGACAAGGCTCCGACCCAAGCCAGCCAGCTAATCCTCCCGAGAGTCTCTATACTGGAGAATATGAATCCGATAACCGCGGCTATTACGACGAAAATTGCCGTGCACACCGCGTGGGTCGAAAGGGCATTGAAGGCGATGGAGATGCTCAATATAGCGGAACCGGCGACGAAAATGACATCTACCCAGTATTAGAGTGTGCCAAGCAGCAAAGAATAGGAGCCACTCACAGAGACAAAAGGCCGCCCCTAGGATCTCGTAACCAATGGTACCAAACATTATTCGTCCGAGGTCGTCAATTCCATAAATCTGTGGGTGGCGGAGTTTGAAGACACCGATCATCCAGTCCGCCCAGGTCGTGATACCAGCAATGGCCAGAATCACAATAATGCCGGGTATTAAGCCCAGCGTGTGGAAGGCTAGAGGTAATGAGAGGACGCCCAGACCGATCTGAGTTTTCATCATTAGGGCTGTCGTTCCGATCCATCCGACCTATATTCAGTTAAGAGTTGACACCCAGCAGCACCGGAGATCCACATACATTGCGATAATTCGGCCCAGCTTCAGTAATCTCTCCAAACACTGCATCGTGCTCGGTTCCTTTCTCTTCGATCACTTGACCTGTCGGTGATAGAGCTGCGGCGACACCTTCAGGGTCGGACTGAAATTTTTTCTTTTCTGACATGATGCGGCAATAAAATTACACGTGCGGAAATGAAATTGGGGCAGGGAAATGTCTAGATGAAAGGAAAGAAAAGGAAAAAGAAAAATCCCCGGGAGACTCCACAGGGGAATAGGATTTCACGTTGGTATTAGTAGTTAGTCCCACGGCATCCGCGGAGCCGGCGGGCATCACGAGGGGGCTGGTATGTTTCACTTGATCCAATGACAACCGGGGCAACAATTAATCCCGGTTGAGAAAGTAAGTCACCCCGCTAATGCGTTAAATCGCGCTGATAAGCCCCGTTGTTGATAACAGTCACTGATTCGGGTGTCGCAGACGATACGGGATTGCCGATCTCTGGCGCTAAAGCATTCTATTGTTTGCGATTGGTTCACGACCGACTCGCTCCACTTGAAACGCGGGGAAGTGAGACACTGGGGTAATTGAGCCTGATCAAGACAGATTGGCTTTGACATCATGCCATTCAGGTCATGGGAATTGTTGGGTATGCTGGCAGATGGGGGGAGACCCTATGCAGGACTCGTTCACAGGCCGTCCGGGCACATCTTGCATAATCTTTCACACATAAAGCTTACGTCCAGTGCCTAGGCTGGTGCATTACTTTGATAGGGAATTGAACACGTGTTATCAAAAAAGGGGTCAGCTAGCAAGCCCGTTGGCGGCTTACTGGGCTACAACTCTGTTCTACACGCTATTTATCTGCGACAGTAGAAGAAAACAAGGCGTTATAGGCTTCGTATCCTCAGCAGCGGCGCCGCAGCCACAAAACCTTAATCCCAGAAAGAACCCATAACGCTATGCCAATGAACGCCCCTAGAAAGGAATATCATAAGCATGTTGATACGGAATATAACTCATGAATTACCGGTCAAAATCCAATTATCTTCAGCGATGATGCAAATTCTTGGAACAAAGGGACATGTTTGTCACTTGGCATTATTAATGCCAATGTCGGGGGATGCTCGTCGGGGATCAACAATTAAACCATGTCTTTAGCACAACTACACAGGCGTATAATGCTCAATCTGCCTATGTGTTTCTGCTGACGCTGCAATCTACCATGTGCCTGCTGAAGTCGCCAGCTACCTATGTGGATACGCAACCAGGAGCGATTGGACCTGGTGCAATGCGGCAAACTCCACTTGGCGTGTTTTCCCATTCTTATCGGCTATCTAGAATTCTAGAATCGAAGCAGATCCGTGACAAATGAGACAACACCAGATGATAAGAAACTCGGGCCCGAAACTGCTCGCCTTTTATTGCCACATTTCACTTGGCTATTGTTTTTTTAAGAAAAAAAATCAGGAAAAAAAAAATGGAAGGATGGTAGTTTAGAGTGATGCGGGCCGAAATTAGCGTTGAATCAACTGTAATCTAGAATCCCGCCCACCAGTATTAGCAGGACAACTTATCCCAAAGGGGAGGTCATAGTATCATGCCGAGAAGTTCAGTTTTTCAAACAATCCTACTTCAAAGCTTGGAGTTGGACTTGCTTAAGAATGGAAGTATACTTCATCGACTGCGAAGCAACGCTTATGTCTCAGTCAATTATAGCTAATGTTATTTCTGAGGCTAAACTTGAACAATCTACTTAGTACGTAAATATTTCGTATGAATTAAAGCCTAGCGATTCCAAACCCATCGGGAGGGACTACTCCTAGTTTGTCCTTTGTGATCTCCTCAACACTCTTGACACCAGCCAATGCCATCGTCCTGCTCAACTCCCGTTCCATAATGTTCATGACAGCCTCCACTCCGTCATGGCCATTATAGGCCAGTCCCCATAGTGCAGGGCGGCCGATCAGCACGAAGTCTGCCCCGAGGGCAAGTGCTTTGAACACGGCTGTTCCAGATCGAACACCACCATCCAGAATGATTGTAGTCTTTTTTCTGAACAGCTGCTGCAATCTCAGGGAGGGCCTCGATAGTCGAGGAAGCAGCATCCAGTTGCCGACCGCCGTGATTCGAAACAATAATCGCGTCCACGCCATGCTCAACCGACAGGGATGCATCCTCGGCCGTCATGATGCCTTTGAGAATAATTTTCATTTTGGTGACAGAGCGAAGGAATCCAATCGTTTGTTCCCAGGTTAAGCTGGAGCTATGCATGGTTGAGCCAGCAGCCGCACGTAGTGATTTTGCTTCGTTTGCGGATTTTGCATTCATCAATAATCTGTTGATGCTCGGTTGGGTCTCAGATGATCGTGGTTTGCGTTCGAGATTCGGTAGTTCCATGCCAGGTGGTAAAGTCACTGCTGTTCGTCGTTCGGCGAGGCGGTTTCCCAGGACTGGCGTGTCGACAGTCAAGACGAGCGCCTGGTATCCGGCGGCTGGAATCCATATAGCCCATGGTTAATTGATGGTGGTCCAATGAGATCAAGATGAGAAGTTTATACCTTCCGCCCGTCGAATCAAATTCACACTTTTATGCACGTCCTCGTATAGGTAGATCTGCATCCAAAATGGCGGTGTCCCGACACCAGCATCCTCAGTCCCTGATCGTATTTGCGCAACATCCTCTAGCGACGTTGTCGATTGCGAAGAAAGCGTTAAGTTCAAGCGCATGTTCACCGCCGCCCGTGCAACATCAAGTTCCCCATCACCCCCTGCTAGCTTCTGCATCGCGCTCGGTGCGATTCCGATGGGCAAAGAAGTCCGATGTCCCAAGATGCTGGTTGACGTGTCGACATCCGAGACATCTCTGAGGACTCGAGGTCTGATGCATAGTCTGCTCGTAAATTCTCGAATGAGCTGGGGAGCGGTTAAAAATGAATTCGGCGTTGAACAACGTACCTGTCGAAAGCCTTTTCATTGCGAGCAAGCGCTTTTTGCTCGTCAGATCCACAGGCATAGAAGTCGTAGATGTTGTTCGGTAGCTTTGCTTTGGCGAGCTGCTCCACTCCATCCAGAGTTAGTGGATTCGGACTTGGAAGAGTTTCCCGAGATTCAATGCCCATGTTGACGGTCAAATGCAGCACAAATCATGGCAATCGACAAACTCTTGAAAGAGGGAACATAGAGACCATTCTTATTAGAAAATTGGGACTGCCTGAACGGTAATTGAAAGAAGGGAGATTAAAAAGCGAACACAAGACAGTTCTCGGCGTGAACTGCCGCCCGCCGAAGTGGATACGAGGACAACCGCGGTAATAATCTTGACGACGAGCTAAACTGGACCACAAATTTGTAAGAACCACGAGGTGATGTTAGCAATGAACTGCCAAGGCTTCGACGATTTGACAGCCAGAACAATTCAGCCTAAGTTCAATCAATCCACTCTGTTTGCCGCTTAAAGTCTTCCCTCTCCTTGCCCGCCATAGTCTTCAAGCGAGTCTCACGAAGCTCGGTAAAGAAAGCAACGGCGTCATCATAGCGGTCATATGGGGTCCATCCATCTCTTGTGACAAGGTTCTCAATAGCGTCCCAGAAATCTTGCACTTCGTTCCACCCATCCCCTTCTGCAGCGTGAGTCCGGAGTTCCTCCTCGCTGAAATGGATAGGACATGGAAACTTGAAGCCTATGCTGTCCCAGTATCTACCTTTCAATCAGCTTCACTTCAATGAGGATACCTTTGGTGAGCAAAATCCAGTATCCTTACCTCTCCACTTTGATCAGGGAATCCCTCAATGGCAAAAGCTCGTCATCCCAAGTGCCACCCACGAACTGTATCGGATCGCATCTTATCCGTCCGCTTTCGAGGCGAAGTATTTTGTTCACGAGCGGAGCTTCTTCAATGAGCTCCTTTTCGTACAGATACAAGATGATAGAGCGACTTATTTGGTCCCAGATTCGCTCCTTCTCCCCAGAATCCAAGTCCTTGAAGTTTTCTGGGGCCTTTAAGATAAATTCCCCGTTATGGTCCACCAGACGTGGATGGCGCGCTCGGAGAATCAAGGGCTCGGTCCAGATGCCTTGCCAATCTATGATGCTGGAGATCTTACCTTGTTCGACAAATATATTCCCACCATGGAGATCTGTGTGCCATATATGAGGTGCGGTTACCGTGGGGTCATCTGGCAGAAGAAATGGAGACACTTTGAGAAACCTCTCGAGCAAGGAGACATGAGTGCTGGGGGAGTTTTGTGACTCTGACGATAGTAACGGATCGTCGTGCGACCGTGGAATTGCATACTGTTGAATCCAGGCCAGCTCTCGACGAACGAGGGACTGGATATAATCTTGCGGTTGTTTCCCTACAACCAATTAGTAAATTAAAAGCTAAAGGGGAATAAAACGTACAAGGACCGCGATCGAGACTCATGGCCGCGCGTTCTTTATTCCAATAGTCTCTTGCTGCAACTGGCCCAATGGAAAAGCGTTGCTTCACGTCCTCCTTGACAGTCGCAGTGACGTTGCCAGTGACTTCGGCTTCAACAGCACCCACAATGCTGTCATTAGTAAAGTAGAGACTCCCGTGTCTGGATGGGTGTTAATATAATCACATTATTCACTTCTGTCCGCGATATTGTACCTGTTCAGGGAAGCAGAAAGCATCTTTTTCTCAATCGACACGACATCTTTCATGATTTTGACCTTCTTCTCCAAGGACATGCCCGGCCATACATCTTCTAGCTTTTCACCAGGAGCCTCCTGCATGATGATGTATTCAGAGCCGACCGGATTTTCACAATCTGCGCTCCACGCATAGACCTCGGGAATTGGGACCCCTAAAACACTACGAGCCTGTAATGCGGTCAGAAACGACAGACGCAAAAACCACGAGGGCGACGCGCACAAACTCCATTGTTGCCACCTCCGAGGCAGTCGTATAGCAATTGGGCCCAGCTATTGGGTGTAGAATCTTTGCGATAACAGTCATGTTGTTGTCCATCGTCAACCGAAAGGCCTTGTTAAAGGACCCTTCGCCCACTTTGACGATTGAAGTGCATTATTTGGCGTCAACGCTGCGCGCGGCGACTCTCTGAAACTCAGGGACATTGAAGGACGTTTATCGATCGCGAAGCTGCTGTTGTTCGTCCCAGAGCCAGCGACCACTAGTATAGTTGAAGAGATCATGGTATGACTGGCAGGCAGGCGCTGAGGCCGTGAAGTGTTTACGTGAAATGATGGAAGCAGGGATGAGGGAATAGCGTGTTCCAGTTCTTGAAAGAAACCAAATCGATAAAAGATGTGATCTTGCTAATTTGGCTGGTCTTGCTATCATTTCAGGGGCAATTTGGGAGTGGTTTGGTATTGAGTTGTTCACGCGTGATGTGTGGATGTTCTGGAGACGCGTCGATGTTCCTGAATCTCCCGAGCTCTGGTCTCAACACAACAAATCAGCTTCGGATGGGGAATTGTCCCATCTGTACATTCTGACTTTCTACCTGAGACAAAAACGTTCTATTGTATAGTCTGACATCATATACTTTGACAATGCTTCTTAATGAACAATCCCAACTCGGCGTCATAAACCGTCGCAGTTCAGCCTCCAAACATGTATATATGCAGTTTGAAAGTGGTGAGAAATTGGCCAACTCTGAACAAAATATCTGACACGAATATTGACAAGATGGCATGTAATCCGAGTAGAAACCATGATCGACCAGGACTTAAAGCATAGAAAGAATGAAGAAAGAAAATAACAGTGATGACTATACGGAAATGTCTCGGGACAGCAAGGCAACAAGGCAACAAGGCAACAAGGCGGTAAGGCAGTAAGGCAGCAGGCGTCGAAGTGATTGTTGGCCCTAGCAGGCATCAATTTTGAGGCCGACATCATCACAACACAACAATGAACATTCCCACATCTTCCGGATCACCCTCGGTTCCACGCACTCGAAAACGGGCCAAGCAGGCCTGCGAGACTTGTAAACAGCGCAAGCGAAAATGCGATGGCCAAAATCCGTGTGGCTTCTGCGTACGCTACGAATATTACTGCGCGTTTGACTCTCAGCCGCGAAAAAGGACGGCTTCGGCCTCTACGCGACCGGCGTCCAGAACGGAGACACCGCGTTCTACAGAAGAGAGACCAAAGGAGACACTAGATGACTATGGGGATGGTCAACAAGAGATGGAAGCTACCTCAGGGACAGCGTTTCCCCATGTTCTTGGGATGAAGTTGAACCCTCGAGACGCGCCCGGTGTTTATGGAGTCAGCTGGAATCTTGGATTGAGAGACAAACCAACGCGTTCATTCACCAATGTGACCACCTTGCTTACCAAGGATGACATGGAGTCTTATGCGAGAGTCTATCTAAATCTGATCCATCCAATTTACGCGATCCTTAACGGAAATGACCTGCTCGCAGCAATCCCCTCGCGTTGGCAAAATGCGGACCAGATCGGCGGCTACGACGCAGTCTTGTGCAGTGTGGCTGCGCTGGGCTCGTTGTACTCCGGTTCTTCTTCAATCCACTCACGAGAGGCTGAACTGGTGGAGTGCGCAAAGGAAATTCTGGAGGCGACCAGCTCCGTGAACAGACCGTCATTGCATCATCTCACGGCCTGGATCCTTCGCACCCTATATTTAAGAACAACCAATTCTCCCCACACATCTTGGATGGCAAGCTCTACAGCTATGCACGTTGCCGAAGCCATCGGGGCTCACCAAGATCCGCAGTCGGGCACTCTACTCTATTCCGACACGCGTGACACGAGCGGCGACGACGAGACTCGGAGGCGCCTGTTCTGGGTTGCCGTTACCCTGAATTCGTGGATTTCCAATGAGTACGGTCGCTCTCGTGTATTAACTCGTGGAGTGTCATGTAAAGTGCCCGCAGACGGGGCTCGCGATTTCACAGCGGAGTTGATACATCTGTACCAAATTTCCGAGAAGCTGGATCTAGAACATGGCAATGATCTTGCGACTCTACTCGACTGTCTAAATCAAGTTCAAATCACCGACGTAGGCCCGGACGCCCTGCAGCTATCTCGTGTCAACTTGACCCTTACCATATACCGTCGCCTCCGGGTTTCTTCACCTAGTATTCCGCATGAGGCACTGACTCGAATTATCCATGCCGCAACCGTGGGCCTTGAATCGGCAGTACGACTTGCGAACGAACACTGTCCATGGTGGCACGTTGCCAACGTTCCATTTCAAGTCGTTTGTACGCTCTTGGCTATAGACTCACGGGAGTCCCTGTCGATAGTAGGGCAGGCAATGCGGTCACTTAGAAAGGTGTCTCAGCAGTTCCAGACGGCGAGTATGCGCCACGCGGTCGATGCTGCCGAGTCACTTGTCCGGTTATCACGACGTAATAAGCAGAGAGATTTGGATGATTTGAAAGATGGACTCGACGATGGCGACCTGGAAGTTAGCGAAGCGAGTCAGTCGATGCACGGAATGACGGACATTCCAGAGCTCGATTGGGATGCTTTTTTGAGCGCCGATATCCCGCTCCTCGACAGTACTTCTCTGACTGGCACATGATATACTTGAAGTAAAATGCCAAATCTTTATTTTTGCGATAATGGGGCAGGAACGAAGATGGCGAGCATGGCGCAAATCGAACCATCCGGGCCTTAGGCGGAACGAGCGGAAAAGGTGGATGGAGCGGAAGATGCGATGCTGGCCAACACCTACGATTGCATCTACAAATATCCCCGTCATTCCGGTGCTATCTTTTGCTGACAGCATCTCATATATCGCCTTCCCAGCTATCCAGCTTGTGTGCAACATGCAATCCATTCTGCAATATCGTCGGCTGCGGCACGATCTACAAAAAACACTTCAACTGAGCTCCCACTACACCACCAGGAGTCCCAAAATATCAGACAGTGACGAGACATCCGACAATACTGCACACCCGAACTCAGGGGAATCAATTGTTCTTGGCACGGGTCACCGAGTAACAGTTCCCGGTATCAGTGTTCAATCCTCACCCGATGGAGTTGACGGCAAAGTTTTGTTTGTTGTCGGATTCAACAACGCTGATGACCCACTTAATCCGAAGAACTGGTCGCTGCGATACAAATGGTCAACCCTGGGTATTGTGGGAACTACAGGGTTCTTAGTCGGATGGGCCTCTGCCATTGACTCCGCTGTCATTCAACAAGGCCAGGATGCATTTGGAGTCAGCAAGATCACCGAATCACTCGCCACCGCTCTCTATCTCTTTGCCTTCGGTTTCGGTTCCCTGGTAGCGGCACCATTCTCGGAGACAGTCGGTCGGAACCCGGTATACCTGGTGACATTGTCGCTGCTCATGATCTTCATTATGGCATCTGGTTTAGCGCCTAATATTGGGGCGCAGCTGGCATTTCGATTTATCGCGGGTATATTTGGGTGTACACCTCTTACAACATTTGGTGGCAGTATGGCCGATATATTCAGTCTGCTTGACCGCACCTATGCCTTCCCGGTATGCTGCACATTGTCCTTTTTGGGTCCGTTTCTGGCCCCAATGGTCGGCGCCTTTATCGGCCAGAGTACAGCCATAAGCTGGCGCTGGGTAGAATGGACATCCTTAATTCTCGCTGGTTTGATTACAGCGGCAATATTTTTCTTCGTCCCGGAGACCTATGGCCCCGTCCTTCTTCAATGGAAAGCGCACCATCTTCGCTCAATCACCGGCGACCAACGCTTTCTAGCTGAGATCGAACTCCGCCAAGCCAGTCTCGCACGTCGTCTACTCACCAGCTGCTCCCGACCCTTCGAGATGTTCTTCCAAGAACTCATGGTCGCGCTGTTCACGATGTATCTTGTGGTCGTGTACATCGTTCTCTTCGGCTTCCTGACAGGCTACGAATTCATATACGGCGACACATACGGGTTCTCGCAAGGGTCCGTCGGACTCGCCTTCATCGGCATGAACATCGGCTTCTTGGTCGCCTTCGCCCTTGTCCCCCACATTTACACGTCCTACAAGAAGCGTCTGCAGATCGCCATCGATAGTGGTGAACACTCTCTCCCACCCGAAGAACGTCTCTGGTTCGCCATGTACGCCGCCCCGTGGCTACCAATCTCGCTCTTCTGGATGGGATGGACCAGTTACCCTGCCATCTCGTATTGGTCGTCACTCGTTGCGTCTGTGGCATTCGGATTCTCGGTCCAGGGTATTTTCATCTCGAGCTACCAGTACCTGATTGATACGTATGAGGTGTATGCTGCTAGTGCCTTAGTTAGTGCCACGTTCATGCGCTATCTGGCTGCCGGAGCTATGGTGATTGTGTCGATCCCGATGTATGGGAATATTGGGGTGCATTGGTCGTTGACGTTGCTGGGCTGTTTGTCGTTGATTATGACACCTGTCCCGTATGTCCTTTATAAGTTTGGGCATGTGTTTCGGAAGAGAAGTCGAATGGCAAGGGAGGAATAGGTCGTGTGAGCACTGTGAATGCCACTCTAAGTTTCGGGATTCTGACATAAATCGGCCTTTCGCAAGGATTATCTATTTGAGGATGATAGGGTTATGTTTAGCTGTGCTCCACAGGTATAAACACATGTCTACGCTTAACTGTTGCAACAGTTTGTTATCAAACAAATATTTATCAAACTTTATATGGCTCATCCTCCATCAAAGTAGCTTCAGAATCACTCGAATACTAATACATCCTAAGCCTCGCAAACATTTAGCAAAGCGACCGTCGGATCATGATCCGACCTCTGGTCATCATACGACACCCAGGTGTTCACATGAATATGCTCCATCTTAGCCCCCTCTGTCAACGCCTCACTGATATACATATGATCGAGCTGTTGACAGTTCGAGTCATACAGATAGGTATATCGCTCTTTGGCAGGGGTATCCACCACATCGTCGATGTCCTTGAGTTTCGACTCCGACGTGAAGGTTGTCAATGGCTGGACGAACGCGAACTCATTGAAGTCGCCCGATGTGATAATCTTGGCCTTGCTGTCCTCGGCCAGAATATCGGTTATGAAATTCTACAGTGTTTGATTAGTATTAATTTCGAAGATGACACGGAAAAGGGTAGAAGCACTCACAGCAACAATCTTCGCCTGCGACTCCCGTTTCGCGACACCCCCGTTGACAGGGGGTCTCGCGTCACCATCAATCGACGAACCACCGCCCTTACTAGTAAAGTGGACATTGATCGTAAAGAACTTATTCTTGCCATTCAGCGTCTCCCATGCCGCAATCAGCGGTTTGCGACTATTATCCCAGGCAGAGTTACTGGGGTCGATCAGGCCGGGGTTATATTTGAGCTCGGCGCCAGAGAGAACCTCGTTGCTCTGAGTGCTTGTGCTGGGGTTAGGGCTGCGGAGTTGCAGAACTTTAGGGTCGTAGAGGTATGCGACGCGGATATTACCGCCGGGTTGGCCGCCGTCTGCACCGTCGACGGGGTCGATGTTGATGAAGTCGTAGGTGATGCCGCCTTGAGTTTTGATGGAGTCCGCGAGGGTGGAGAGGGTTTTGTTGGCGGAGATGACTGGGTATGTTAGTTTGCGGTGGGAGAGGTCAGGCTAGGGAAGGGAATGTACCTCCGTCGTTGGTCGCGCCATCGTCGTCTTGGATCTCCTGCAGAAAAACGAGAGAAGGACTGTTGAGCTCTTTGGCGATGTGGCCGGCGATGCCGGTTAGAGTGGAGGAGTTCGGCGAGAGGTTGTTGACGTTGTAGCTGCCGACGGTCAGGCCGCTGCAGGTTCCGTCGGAGACCAATTCGGTGGCCTTTGCGGAGGTCGAGTTGCTTCCAGTGACAGAAAGCTTGGTCAGTGGCAGGAGGGCGTAGTATCCGTAGGCTTGGGTGATGATGCCGGTGATGTCGTCGATGGTATCGCCGACTTTGGTGTCGGTGGGATTCTTGGTTCCGTCCAACGGGGATCCAACGATGATGGCTTCGGGGTTGGAGTCTACCCCAACGAGTTAGTAGGAGATTGGAATTACTGAGAGGAATGAGATGAATGTACCCTTCGCTTGCATAGTCAATCCACCGCGCTCATTTCTCCCCGTGGCCGTCCAGTTGCCAATGACCCAAGTGTCGCCGTACTGATTGGGCTTTGTGATGGCGTTCAGACCACCGATTGTGACGAGCTCGCCGCTAAGACTCTCCCAGAAGTCCATTCCGTACTTCGTCGGCTGCAAAACTGCATTCTTGCTCGAGATCTGACTCGCGTTGTTGGGGATCCTGAAGATGTTTCCCTCGTCCAAGGCCGAGAATTGTTCAGTCGGAGGGTTGAGATCCTTTGAGCCGATGACCAGCGGAATGATCTCATTATCACTGGAGACGACGGTGATATCCGACGGGGAGGTCAGCTCGGTCAGATAAACGTACGCTTTGTTGGAACGGTACTCGGAGATCTTGCCGCCGAGGGTGATGATATCTCCGACGGAGACTTTGGACACGGCGCTGGATCCGTAGACATAGAGCGACTCCGACGTAAGAGTCGAGTTATCGGGGCTGGTGGAGCGAATATAGAACCCACTGGATCCTTTGGCAGTCACCAGGCCACGGACATTGGAGACTGTTTCGCCATTGTAGGACGAGAGAAAGCGATTGCCATTGATTTCACTAATCGAGACAGCCAGAGCTGCTGGCAGCAGTAGTGCCGAAGCAGAAAGCGAAGCTAGAGATCTCATCGTGAACAATTGTGTCAGATAACTTTCAGGGGAGCACTCTCCTCAAATATCTTCCCCTCACGACGAAATTAAATGACATGTGAGCAAATGCTGTCAAATTACCCCATGATTGGATAAGAGATAAGAAGCCGAGACTAATTACTGGCCGTATCGCAGGGGTGACAGGGCCAGTGAGAGGACGCGATAAAGCCCACGTTTAAGCCAAGTCTGCAGCCAAGACGGCCGATGACAGACGGTGCGGAGGTGAGGTTACATCGTTGGGCTCATTTTGATGAAGAACTGCCCGGAGCTCCGACCAGATCATATCATTGGGCTATCTGGCTGGCGTGCCTGAATATCCCCTCTTCATCGGGAAGATAAGAACTTGGCTTTGTGCAGAGACCATGCCACCAGCGGCTGAATTGCGGAGAACTCCGGCTGGGATGATGCTCGGGAGAGTCCGATTATACTTTCGTTCCCGGTAGACACGTACTCCTCATGATTGGGACGTTCACCATGTGTTCTCTTAGATACCATCCATGAGTCTTTCGCGGATATTTTGACACCGATGTGGAAAACACGGTGTGCGACATAGACTCGGGTGTGATTCTAGAACATGTCCTTATTCATTGGATCCAATTCCTCACTCGTCCATTTGCTCGACAAGAGTGCGCGATTTAGTAAGGAAGGCCTCAATTGCAGACGCCACACATACATGAACCATGCTTACTGTAAGAACCAAGATACCATACATTATCCTGTTCACCAGAGAAAAGGCGACTGGAAAGGGTTCAGTATAGGTTCCATATCAAAAAGCCAAATAGTTCCTTGTTTCGCATTGTCGTAAGTTGCCCACCCGACGTGCCCACGGGCTAGCACCGCTTGGTTTGCCATCCATGCTATTGCTGTGGTTCTCGACATCTCTGTGGTGCGTGTTGAAGGCAGCGGGCTTCGGCTGCATGTCGCTTGTGGGATCAATGGCGACTGAAATCCTGGCAGTAACGCCTCCGTGAGTGCAGTTGCTGAGTGAGGCACATGGTAATTGAATATAGAAATAAAAATAAAGGATCATTATCAACGACAAATCAAGCGGCCGCCAAGCTGTGGTATTGCTTTAATGGGCTTCTTTAATTACACCTGATGTAGCCTTGACAGAGGCTATAATCAACATGAATGACGACTGGTGAGATGGTAGAGGGTAATGGTCCAAAAGGTGCAAGCTCCAAGAGAAGGGTGATATTTTCCGACCTATTATTGCATACACCATTAGCATTTTTTGATTCGAAAACAACGGGCAACTCAGAAATTCTCCCTGGAAAACAGCGTCTGGATAGATAAAGACATCGAATGCGAGCACTTGAATGGTCTACCGGATTTCTGGGAAGCGGTACCTATTCTCTAAAGTGTTGGAAATTTCCACATGCTGTTTAAGGGATGCTAAGAATGCCAAGTATGTTTGGTATGCCATAACCAAACTACGCACCCCCAGGGATAGCCTGTCAGCCCAGGTTGGCTCGGAAAAGAGAACCCTTCTGCTATATGTGAAACGGCTAAACCCATTGAAGCAGCCCAGACCCTCTGTATTAATTTTATCCTCGGTAAGTTGGCAGCTCGGTCTTTTTGGTAGGGGGGATCAGGTTTTGAAATTTCAATTTTTCATAAAACTTTGAAATTGAAAGTTTTTTTCATGAAATAAACAACACGGTAAAAATCCACTAAAATTCTGCGAGTGGCTAGTAAGATAAACTACACATTTTCCTTATTCCTTTTTTTTTTTTTTTTTCTTTTTTTGTTTTTTTCAGTTGCAAGAAGAAAAACTTGACATTTTAAATTCCAGAAAGAAAAAGAGAATTTCAAGAATTTCCACATTCCTACTTTTAGGGCTGGTCGAGATCGCCGAATGTGGAGCCAGGCCAGGGACCTACTCCATAACAATAGCACCAAACAAGGCCATCGGTGAACGGTCGCGAGGATCAGACACCAGAGAATACTGAACATTCCAGGATATTCAGAGAATGGTCACACAGCCAAGTCCTGCGCATTCACGGCGGGTTATCTCTACCGCAGCTTTGGGGGAGAAAAGAAGGCACCCTCTCTACTCAGTTCCCTATATTCTTTGAGCATAGTTAACCGAGTAGGGAGTAGAGAATGCACCATTTCATTTGCTAATATAGACCCATGTAGGCGCTCAAAGTGACCAATCGGGCCAGGCCTTCAACTAGACTCGAAGCCTATCGAATGTCTGACGGTCTGACCGCAGACGGGCCACTCCTAGGATCCACTTGGCTTCAGCTCACATTGCGGTATGCTCCGTACGAAAAGAGAACTTAGAGCCCGGAAGTAGTACTCCGTAAAGAAGATTAGAGTGATAGGATCTGTCACAGTCACGTCTAGGCCCCTCAGAAAACATCTTGAGGGTATTTTACGCGCCCTGAAATATCCCCCGGCGGAATAATGGACTGATGCAGGAAAGTGACTACGTTTGTAGGCAGCTAGCACAGCGACATGAATCCTTCAATAACACTTGCCGCTCTCAATGCCGGGGATGGCTCTATTGCAAGGATCAGCCCCATCAACGTCCCGCCCGTTGATTCCTTGCTGAACTAGGGGCGGTTACGGCCGCCTTCACATCTACCTAGCTCGCAGTCTCGGTCTGCCCAAGAAACGTTGCTAGGTTCGTGGAACCGAATTTGTTTGACATATACATTAAAGGATGCTCCAGGATCGCGACTAAAAGCCCCTGTTATGCTTGCTATTCGACCATGGACGATCCTTCACGATCTGGCTACCCTTGGTGATTCCGGTCTCCAACATACGTTGACGACAATATAGGCTTTTCTATTCTTAGAGCATTCATATAACCTCGGTATCTAAATCAACCACTGTCAGTCATCCTCTTATATAATGCAGCCCGGCCATGTATATTATCTTCTGAATTATTCCGTCGGAACGTGCAAGAGAACCACAGTGCTTCACCTCGACGCCGATTTCAGGCACTAGGGGCTGTGGCTTCGTCTTGGCAGCAGTTACAGAAGTCTTTCTAAGCTCCACCAGGATCAGCAGCGGTAGCGCTGCCTCCTGTTCGTTGTTGCAACGGAAGTTGTTCCGCATTATAGGAATTTGGCAGGTGGATAGGGGTTTTAGCAGGGAGTGCGGACGTCGTCTAGTCTCAGTTCAAAACAGCGACGGGGCATTTTGATCGTAGCCTTATACCAAGAGCAAAATCGCAGCGGGCAAGTGGGTGAGAGGCGAGATAGGTCCGGGAATATCGAGCGAGGTACTCCGTAGGTCGTGGACATTGGATCTAGACCTCAGCTCGGCTTGCCTCAGGTCGATGGACTGTGGCTGTTGAGGGCTGGACGGATGTATAAATTCCCGGACATCTCTTCAGGTGTTTGAGACATTTCTTGTATCGATCGCTCACAGTCCATTCTTTCATTCTTTTCACATTCTCTCCCAGCTCTACCAGGTGTAGGCCTTTGACACATTTTCGCAATCATTTCTTTCTTGAAGTCTAAATAACTATTTCTTTTCAATCCACCAAGATGAAGTACTCTGCCGCTGTTGCCATTACCGCTGCGTTGGCCCAGTCCGCCTCGGCCCACTACATCTTCAGCAAGCTGGTCTTGAATGGCGTGGCGTCCGAAGACTGGCAGTATATTCGTCAGACCACTCGCACCGAGAATTACATGCCCACCAAGTTTTCTAACACCTTCGACAACCTGACCCCCAAGGACAACGATTTTCGCTGCAACTTGGGTTCGTTTAGCAATGCTGCCAAGACCGAGGTCGCCGACGTCGCTGCTGGCGATAAAATTGCCATGAAGCTGTTCTACGATGGCAGCATCGCTCACCCTGGTCCCGGTCAAGTTTGTATGGCCACCCAATATATCGTTCAGACATAAAGCGCAATCATTAACGTGTTCTCTTCCGCATCTAGATATGTCCAAGGCACCCTCCGGTAACGTCAAGGAGTATGAGGGCGATGGCGATTGGTTCAAGATCTGGGAGAAAACCCTGTGCAATGAAAGCGGTGATCTGACCACCGATGCGTGGTGTACCTATGGCAGCTCGGAGTTGGAGTTCCAGATCCCGGAGGATACCCCGGCCGGCGAGTACCTGGTTCGCGCCGAGCACGTTGGCCTGCACGGTGCGCATGAAAACGAGGCGGAGTTTTTCTACAGGTCAGCTTGAACCATGGCACGCCAATCCAATTCCATGTCCATACACGCTAATCTATTCCTGCAGCTGCGCTCAAGTCAAGGTCTCCGGCTCCGGCAACGGCTCGCCTAGTGAGACCTACGAGATCCCGGGCCTCTACAACGATAACATGAAGCTGTTCAACGGTGCCAACCTCTGGATGAACTCCGCCGATGAGCTCAAGGCCTACATTCAGGATACCCCAATCGGCGATGCTGTCTGGGGCAGCTCGAACTAAGCCGACCAGCACTGTTAAGATACCCTCTTGTCTTAGCCACCGACGCCTCGGCAACGTGTCAATTTGAGTTTCCGACGATCTAACGGGACAGAGTGAGGTGTGTGGGAAGAAAGAAAGAGGAGAGACACTGGGGGAATTTGTACTATCCATACTTGAGGGGATGTGAAATATAAATCAAGATGTTTGGTGGTTTTGTGGTCAAGGGAAGCTCAATGCCCCTTTGACTCTCATATCTGGTAGCGATTGTATATTACTCGTGCTGTCTAGTTAAACAATTCATCCATTCATCTGCAATATGGCAATTTGTAGTACACTTCAAAGCATGACGTAGTCTTACTCTTGCACCTTACTTTCTACTAGGTTGAAGGCTTTTCACCTTTGATTTTCTGTGCATACTTTCTGGTCCCTGATTATTACGGGTGGGAAGGACCCAGCAGCGAGGTGAACGATTATCAGCAAATTGAATCTTCACTTGAAGTACATGTACAGCAAATCCGAACTTAAAGTCACGAGGGGACAATAATGGCAAACCCGATCTATTCGAGGCATGCCTCAGAAATGGCATCGTCTATGGAACAATACAACATGGCCTGGGACTAACAAATCCATCGACGCCACAATGAGACTCGATGTGAGAGATGAAGTAGAAGGAAGCATAAACTGTAAATGGCAACTGACCAGTCGGATGACACAGGAAAGGGGGCTCTGCCGGGCGGCACGGATAGAACCTTAACCAGGGGGAAGGATGGAGCCAATGAACGGTAACAAAACGCGAGACGGAGACGGACGGGTCAACACACAACTTTCCACTACCCAAATAGCAAGTCCAATCGGAACTAAATCATGAAATTGAACATAGGGCACTCCTAAACGTATATTTGGGAGGCCACTTTATGGGCAACTCATGCATAGGGCCATGGCGAAAATCACACTCCCTTCTTTCCACTCTCTTAATCCAATGGCCGACCCAAGATGAAATGTTTAATTGAGTGGAGAAAGGCTGGACCCTATAGGGTAGTAAAATTTGATTCCAGGCAGCAACTGGTACACCTAGAAATGAGCATTCGATCTGCTCGGTGGCCTAGATTTCTGGTGGAACTGTCAAGAACTTTTGTGCTGCCTGTGGTCACCATCGCACAAGGCAGCGACCTCTATATTCATCTAGGCAACGAACCCTTTCATCCAATGACCAGTTTGTAGCAGACGAGAACGAAATAACGGGAATTTTCTTGCATATCAACACAACAGGCTCCAAGCTCTTGTTGCCTGCCCAGGAAAACCCCTTGCTTCTGGATCCTTCTACATAGACAGAGTCAATTTCACCACTATGGCACTATAATCATAACGCTGAGCACTTATCAACCCAACTATCAGCATACCTTTCCAACCGGATTCCTCATTCCCATTTCCAACACACTTCATTACCATGTCTTCTCCAGAAAGTGTCGACTTTTTGCGACAGTTCGATACCAAGCTTCGTGTCGCCGGATCAAGAAACGGCCAGATCCAGACCAACTGCGAGGATAAAAACGGCCGTATCGCTCTGGCGGTAGCCTGCCAATTTGGCAACGAAGACGCTGTTCGGGACTTTCTGGAGCACAGAGCTTTTCTGAAGTGTATGACCTATGATAGTGATTTTATGCAGCAAATTCAAGAAACGTTGCATTACCATACTGCTTTCAACTCTGTTGTTCCCGCCGAGGAACCAATTCGATCGAAGATATTGGAGCTAGTGGAGGGACGTACACCCCTGTCGTTGGCCGTGGAAGACGGCAATACGGCGATTGTTCGCATGTTGCTGGAGCACGGCGAAGATGTGAACGAAAAAGACACCGAAAGAGGTGGAATGACCCCGATCCTTTGGGCCGCCTGTGACGGGCATCTGGAGATTGTCGATCTTTTGGGGCAGAGTGAGGCCAATATTGAGGCCGTCAACATTGATGGCCATACCCCATTAGTTTTGGCCGCTCGGAAGTTGCACGCCAAGGTAGTAGATCTTCTACTGCAGAAGTACAACGCCAAAGTCGACATTAGCGATTCTCACGGCAATGGCCCGTTGGTTGTGGTAGCCAAGTCCCCAGCACCTGGAACAGAAGAGAAGTCTGCGCAGAGGAACATCATGAAGCGGCTGCTTGAAGCGGGATGCGACATTGACGCTCGAGATGAACATATGGGTCGCACTGCGCTGGTTATCGCTTCGGCAAACGATAATGTCGGCCTCATGAAGTTGTTGCTAGAGCAGGGAGCTAACGTTGATGCCGAAGGCCCTTATGGCATTGGAGCACTCGCTCATGCCGCGGCACTCCGCAATTTGAATATGGTAAAGCTGCTTCTAGATCACAATGCCAGATTCGACCTTCCTGGCCTCCTCAAGATGACCCCATTGGAACACGCATTGATGCCGAAGCATGAATTGGTCGAAGATCTGCGCCACACTGGGGAGCACAACCTGCTACTTATTTTGGAGATGCTCTTGAAGGCCAAGCCTGATTCACTGATGACCGAAGGATCGAACAGTATGGCGATGGCGTTATCCTCCAGGAACTTGAAAGTCCTAAAGCTGCTCCTCAAATATCCCGGCAGCGACAGGAAAGAAGGCCCAATCAACATGCCGCCTCTATGTTATGCCGCGCATACCGGCAAAGATGCTGCAATCCAGGTCATGATAGAACGAGGCGTATCCGTTAACGAAACTGATGGCCGCTTGGGCGCAATGCGCTCATTTGGGCAATCTATCATGGTCACCGAGCTGTATCTACGCGACTGTTACAGACACCTGGGATTGAATTGGACCATATGGACATACTAGGGAGAACTGCAATCTTCTATACTGCAGTCACCGGGGATGAGGATATTTTTGGGCAGCTGATCTCCCGTGGAAGCGACGTTCATCGCTCGGATCGATTTGGCCTCACCCCCTTGTGTGCCGCGGTTCAGCACGGCCATGAGAACATTGTCCGGAAGATTCTCGCACACCGTCCCCTGAAGGAGGAACCCCGGGATCGTTTTGGACGCAGTCTCTCCTGGTGGATGCAGTCGACGGGAAATACTTCGATGCGAGAACTTCTGATTAGTTCTGGCATGCAATTGAGTAGTAAGGACCAGGTGGCAGAAGGTCAGTCCTATGTCCTTGAGAGATCAAACAAGTCAGTCAACGTCTGTGAGGTCTGCACTCTTCACCTGGCGCGAAACAATGGAGGCATAGAATGTGGTTCTGGTATCCAGAAATACAGAATATGTGCCATCTGCCTACAGTTTGGCGCTAGCTGTGGCGATTTTGCATGTGAATAGGGGTCTCCGGCCTGTCAATCGGACTTGAAGAGTAGATTCAACCAGATCTAGAGATTACTACTTCTTCAGAGTGTAGCAGTCATAAATGAAGCAATTTACCAACCTGATATTTGCAGAGCCATGTATTTAACTAGCCATTCCTTGCCTGGAACCTTGCAAGGTATCTCCAGCTCAGCTTTCTCGCTGCTACTGCTCTCCAAAGCATAGGTTTCACGTGAACAAAAGTATAACGACTACCTTGCGTCTCAGAAACACCCCTAGATTTTCAGTAGTAGCATCGCATTCAGTTCCGGTAGTCCGTGTTGTGCTATGATGCTTCGCTGTTTCAATTGCGAAAGATCTCTAAATATACTACCAAAGCTTAGGTGAAAATGGTCACTGGAGAAAGACTAGCAAACGTGTTTATGTGGTTCCAATCACAACTGAATAAGCATCTAGGCAACAACTTCATGCTGACGGGTTTCCAGTCAACTACCTACCCTCTAAGCCATACCTTGCAGGGCCAAAGTGTCGCTGGTGGAGTCATTAACTTGCGACGTTTGTTGTGTTTGCATGACCCGCAAGCCAAGAAAGAAGGATCCGTGCACATTTGGATTTCCCTCCGCCATCCATCCCTTGCCCCCGTTCCCATGAACTCGAACATGGATTTGGCTCTATTTTACCAAAGTAATCTTCTCTATCATCCCCTCAATCTTGGAGACACATTTGAAAACGGCCGCTACAAGATATATCACAAGTTAGGATGGGGCGGTTTTTCAACCGTATGGCTTGCGAAAGACAATCGGTCCGTCTATTGACTAGGTTTGTTTCTTGCTTACCTGTGACTAAGGGTTACCCAGCCCAAAAAAATGGGTCTCGTTGAAGATCATGACGGCGAATGCGCGGGGATCGAGAGAGCTGCAAAATTTCAAGTACATCGAGAGACATTCGGAAGGAAATCTTTCCTCAAATTATATTGTGCAACTGCTTGATTCGTTTACTCACGAAGGACCTAATGGAGTTCACCTATGCCTTGTATTTAAATTACTAGGCCCTTCTGTTGACAAGGTCCTTGAAGATTATCATGAGGGTAACGACAAGCTCTGCCCGGATACTGTACTGAAGATGTCTACGCAGCTCTTGAGGGCTGTCCAGTTCATTCACAGTTCCGGCATGTGTCATGGGGGTGAGGCATCTTTCCTCTTCCCTTATTTGGTCGCTATACTCACTTCGCGTCAGACATCAGTGGCCGGAACATTGCATTCAGTTGCTCGCATTTGTCAAACGTAACTGAAGAAGAACTTTTTGGTGTTCTTGGGCACCCTGAAATTGAAACGCTAGCTCGCATTGATGGCACACCTTTAGAAAATAGGTTACCGTCGCAGCTGGTCCGGGCAGCAGACTGGGTCGAGTGGATCGACGAAGACGACGAAGAAATTCGGCTGCTTGATATTGGAGAGAGTTTTATTCAAGGAGAGGAGCCTGAAAGGCTGGCTCAGCCGGGTACATTGAAGGTCCCGAAGACAATTTTTACAGACCGGTTTGATTATCGCGTCGATCTCTGGCGCACGGGCTGCATGGTATGTCAGCAAAACACCCTTGTCGCCAGGCGCTAACGGCGAAAATCGCAGATCTACTCTTTTTTACTCACAGCATATCCATTCTGGTACCTTGGCGAGGACGAAGTTCTAGTTTTACAAATGATTGGCTTTGTGGAGAAATTACCATCTGAGTGGGAGTCGAAGTGGCAATCGATGAAGATGAGATCCAGCCGTCATTTAGACACTGGAAACGGTAAGCAAATGGACACACCATTCAGAGCTACTGCTAACCCTTTAAGATGGTGAGATATCGCGACTTGAACAGAAACTCGGAGAACAAGTGCATGATGCAGCCCTCAAACCTCTACTCCAAGTGATCCAAGGATTGATGCGATTTTGCCATCCAGACGGATTACTGCCAACCACGCACTCGAATTAATGTCCCGCTGTCAGGAATGAATCATTAATGTGAATGCTTTTGGAGATGGATTAGCGCCCTTAACATGACAAATATATGCAATGCCATCCCACAAGAACGCCGCAGTCGCTCACAGCGCCATTGTAACTCTTTTTCAACCCCCATAACTTTTATATTGAGTATAGCTCTCTTTGAATCTTGTTTAATATGCTGGCATTCCAGGATAGACTCGTGGATCTGTCAGACAGCTCTACGTCGTGTCTCTTAGTAGCGTGTTAATCGACCTGGGCGCTAGTCAAGACTGCGGTCAAGCCTGCACCCGCTAATGGCTGGAGCCAATCTTGCCAGTAAAAAGGTCGATTTAATTGTAGCCTCGCGATCGTGCAGCTTGGCGTTTCAGCCAGCTTACGGATTTAGACGCTTTCTAGGAGAAGGCCAGCCCAGGTCACGTGTGGGGCTGAGCATTTAGGAGGCAATGTCGGCCTCAATCTTATTCTCCATTACAGACTCTCGTCGGGAGGAATCTTTCAAGTACGCGTCTCAATTGACAGAATTGAGCGGATATGGCAATATGGAAGCCATCACGCAGGAGCCCCTACGGGAAGCAGAGGAAAACCAGTAAGACCTTCTGTCCATTTGAGTTAGGCCTTGGCCTATATATTGACTGTAATGCAGGAGATACTGAAACTGGAACGAGTATCAAGTATTGATAAACGCCGATGAGTTCATAACAAAGTATGAGTTACACCACATTTGCAATGTTTTGCGAAAGGGTACCCTTCTTGCTCACGACCCCAATAAAGCTTCCCACGCCGAAAAATTGCCCTTCGAGGGTGACCCCTTTCTACGTGACACCATCGCTGCCAAGCCGCCTTCGATTAGATCGTTGTTGCGCTGTGTGCTGTTTGTGATCGCTGCACCGACCTAGTATGTTTTAGAACTACTGTAAAATCCTGAAATACTCGATTAGTACACTACTGACACTAGAATTCTGGACTCAAAGTGGATGGACAATTGGGCCGAATGTCCTAGATGATGCTTGGGTGTGTGTCTTCTTGAGCTGGCCTTGTGGCATTCATTTATCCAGGCAGATGGAAAGACGAATATTCCTTGGCCTGAGCTGAATGTCGCAAATGAAATGCAAGACAAGGATAGGCGTCGGGGAGAATTCTTCATCAAGCACCATCTCGTAGCTATGGCTCAAGAGAGACTTCCATGTCTGGTTAGCCTGCGTTATACAGCAATCACTGTGGCGTGTTTCTGGTGTCTGGATGATGGAGAGGATAATGTTTTTGGTGGGAAGTGGGATCGGGTTGGTCAGGATGGGATTATTGTTGAAGTCAGGTTCATTGAAAAGGTATATCACACAACCCAGTGCATAAATCCATTTGTCGTTCTCGATGAATACACACTGACTTGATGCAGGTCCTACTACAAATCGAAGATCTAGTTGTATGAGATAGTTTAAGCTTGACTGAATAGGGAATTTAGAAAGCCGAACTCCCGAGAATCATGCCCAATCTACCCTGTCCAGGTGACTCGATCCCTAGAAGCATAGGGGGCGCAGTTAGAAGTAAAGCCCGAAATTCAATATCTCCGTCCTATGACAAGACAAATAATTCTTATGAGATGTGCATGATGGCCAGGCTGACTATGTATTCATCTTTCTTTACACTTCCAAGTCACCGTCTCCTTGAAAAATGGCCCAGTTGAAATGTTTCAAATAGAAAGGGGGTCATCATGAGCCATATCGCTTATGGGTTGTTCACTGGTAGGACACCGCAGAATTATTACGCCGAGTTCGGTAAATTCCCTCAAGCGGTGAGATAGACGACGAGAACATCGATCTCTGTCTGTATAACTTCATAGGAAAGTAAAATCGAAAAATCGCTCCACGTCCAATCCCGCAACATCTTCGCCGCTGTACCCAGAGACTAACAGGCTGTATATCCTTTGTACTGCGGCAACAACCGTGCTCTTGTCTTCCGAACGAATCGGGTGAGCCATTGGATTATATTCCGTCATGGTATGTTCCGCAACGATCTGACTAACCTCATCTGCAGTATCGTAGGGCTCATAAAACCCCCAGAGCTGGGCCCACCACAGTGGTAGGTGGTTGGAGAAATCGGCCATGTTGGCATCAGCTTTTCCACGTCCAATCAGCTCTTTGGTTATAGCCAATGTATTACCAGGTTCTCGCCTGCCATATCGAGAATGGGAGCCTCTTAACAACGTGCCAGAAGAGTACGGAAAACCAGGGCACACAGCCCATGACAAGGGCGTTCGGCCGTTGATATCTTGAGAGTTAACATCCGCTTTGCCGCTTCGCAACAGCATACGTAAGATATCCATCTTTCCTAACTCGGCAGCAAATGCGAGGGGTGTTCGACCATTCGAATCCCTGCAGTTGACATCGGTGTCTGAGAATATGAGGAGCCACTCGACCACTGATATCTCGTTCCGAAAGATTGCCCTGAGCAGTGGTGTGTATTGATCATTGTCTCTGGAATTCATATCAATCTGACCTGTATTTCGTAGTAAATACATCACAGCCGTCTGGTTTTGAGTCAGATGCGGTTCAATTAAATGGGGATCTGCAGCCCACGCGAAAGGGGTTCGTCCCAAGTAATCCTTTCTGTCGATGTCCACCACACCGCTGTCGATCAAAATTCGCACCATTTCGACGCTCCCTTTCTCAGAGGCGTATGATAAGGCGTCCCGTCCACAGTCATCTTTTACCACAGTGTCCACTATACCGTGGCTAACCAAAATTTGCAAGCTTTCGGGTCTGTTGTTCTTGACTGCGTACAATAAGGCTTTTCCGTCCATGGCTCTTTTCCCCATTGAAATCAACCAACATCCGATCGATCAAAATCCGCACTATTCCAACTTGACCATTCTCGATTGCGTAGGATAACGGATCTCGCCCGAAGTGGTCCAAATGAGAAATATCACACCCCAGTCCAATTAGTCTTTTTAGTGAAGCTTCATTATTTCCGCTCACTGCCCAATGAATGGACGACTTCCCATTCAAAGGATCCACCCAATGAGGGCTCACATCATGGTCAAGTAGAGCAATGGCGGTATCCTCTTTGCCTTTCATAAATGCTGTTTTCAAGGCTGAAAGACTTCCATGATAATCATTTTCGACGTTGACCCGACCAGACTTCAGAAGCGCCTGAACAGCATTTTTCTTCCCACGTTCGACCGCCCAGAGTAATGGCACCCATCCATTATTCAGGGGTTTTCCGAGATCCACTTGACCAGTCTTACAAAGAAGAGCAAGCACGGATTCATGGTTCCCCTCGATCGCATATGTCACGAGGGATGAGAGCTTTGAATTCGGTGGAGGTCGGCTTAGCCGGCTAGTATCCATCAAGTATTGCTGCATACGACTGATCATTTCTGGTTTGAACAAGGCATCATCGCTAGAGACAGCCCTGTCAATATCGCAACCTAACAAAGCCCGAATCGTTCCCATGTTGCCGAGATAAAGGGCGACACCAATTGGACTGCCATATTTTCCGGTTTCTCGCCAGTCAAATGGAGCGCGAAGGAGTTCTCGCCTAACGAGGTATTTCAGGCCCTTCTCTGCCAAAAAGTACAGAAAACTGGCATTCCAACCATATTGACGACTCTTGTAGGGCTCAACAGCGTTGTGTATCTTCTTGAAATGATCAAAGGAAGCACAAAGCTCTTGAAGAAGGTCAGCTTGCGAAGCACCGCTAGCTTCAGCGACATTGCTATGATAGAGCAGACTGCGGATCGCGTAATCAAGAAATGGGAAGTTAGCCCTTATGAATTCTTTCTTTGACGCGCGTGGTAGGTTGCTCAAAGTTTCCAGGGTGGCTTCACTTCCCCCTTCATCAGTCTCGCCTTCGTCAATCTGGGCTATATACTGAAAGCAGACTTGTGCGATTCTGTCATGGGAGTTACCGACTGTATTTTCTTGGAGTCCCATCTGCAATTTATTGAAACCATCTCCCCGGAGCAAAAAGTCTCGCACAGATTCGTGGATGAAGTGAACCGTTCGTGCTTTAGACCTGGTGATCTCCACAAGACCTTTAGATATATTCAGGATGAAACTCCCTACAAAGTCGTCGAGGGGCCAGTCGATGTCTCTTTGGCCTATCTCGGCAGTCGCAAACATGACCGCAAAGTACAGCTCTTCTCGAGATAAGGGACGCTGGGCAAAGAGAACCAGCTGCAAACAGATAATCAACTCACAGACATCGTTGGTGTCTCGTGTTAGAATATCAGTAAATAGCTCGTCAAGTCCGTCGGGAATCTCGTTCAGCCGCTGACGCACTGCATGAACTTTGCCGCTATGAAAGGCCTCGTTCAGCGAACGCACCACAAGCGCGACCCATAGGAAAACGCCCGCTGCTCGTCGGCAAATCTCTTCTCTGATTTCATCAACCTTCTTCGATCTTCCTCCCATCAACTTCTTCCCGACATACTTTCTCATGTCACATTGATGTTCCTCTTGGTACTCCAGTATGAACTCGGTACCCTGCTCGATCCTGATTTGTGGATAATGTCGGCTTGCCAAACAGATACTCAATTTCACACCAGCGGCGTTAGCAGAGAGTGCCATCTTTTGAACAAATGATATCATGTCACCTATCTCCGTTTGGTTACACTCGTCAAGGGCATCAATCAACAAGATAATGCGGTGGCCAACCAGAGATTTTATCGTTGACAGAAGGATGTTCTTGAGGTCTCTTAGTCTCCATTTCACACTCACCCCTTCAGTTTGCATCCCAGCTACAAAGCTAAGATAGGCATTCTTCGCACTGGACGGAACGGATTTGGATGTAAGCAGCTGATGCAAGAGCGAGCGATACATGCCTATCGTCGACCTCTCCAGGCCAACCCCTTGAGCATGAAAGAAGTAAGACAAGCTCAAAGTATCGGTTTGTTGTTTGTTGATGTTCGACAAGATATACTTCATCATCGTGGATTTCCCGGCTCCGGGCTTTGCCTTCATCCAGAAAAAGCCGCCGTGGGTTGCCAAATCAACCCCATTCATCCAGGCTTGATACTCCTCTCGCTCCAATATCCATTTACACGTCTCCTGGTGTGCTTCTGCTATCTCTTCCAAGCGGTACTGGGCCTGTGGAAATGATAAAATGTCGATAGAGGCCCTTTCTTCTATTTGATCCGCAATCTCTGTGTCCTCTGCTGGCCTCTTCCGTAGATTCGCACGGTCGGAAGCATCGGCATCTGTAGTTACAAACTCATTATTCAGTAATCTGACATAACGACCAGTGGCTATAGAGAGCATGTAAAAGAAACTATCAAGATGATCTCACCTGAAACCGTCAATGGTGACACAGTTGAAATTGGAGTCTCATCAATCAGGGCGCGCATACAAGCCGCTGCACTCGCCGCCGCATAATATTGCCATTGGTCATTCTTATGGCTGTCGGCATAATCACTTACACCTTTGACCAAGAGACACTGGAGATTTTCCCATATTCCTGCCCCTTCCATTTCAAATCCAATGATCCTGTGTCGCCGGATGCAAGTAGTCCGAAGTGTACGAACGGTGTCGAGATCCGAGATTCCTGCCGACGAGCAATAATTCCTTGGTCAGTGCAGACATCTACCTGACATTCGCAGTTTCTGTCTTTGTGCTCGTAGTCCGCTGTAAACAATACATCCCTTTCCCCACCCGGACAGGGTACCTCCATCAGCCTTCGAATATCTGCGAAGTATCGAGCCTGTCTATCGCTCACGCAATCGTGCCATGCTTTTATCTGGGAGAGGAATGACCTAATTTCTTGACTCGGCCTAGCCAGATTGGCCTCGAGTGTATCTTTGCGAACGAATCCGTGGGGCAGACGCTTTCCTAGGTCGTACTGGACGATCCCATTGCTGACGATCACATCGCCGAGGAATACATCTGTTCTTCCCCGAGTTGACTCGGAATCACCCACAAAGGGCACACCCCCACAGATACCGATCAAAAAGGCTAGCTCGATCGCCGGGTAGCTGAGTTTGATATGGCTCGCCACACTGGAAGCAATTGCCTTCCCGGCATCAGCCATATGTACCAAGACGATGTCGTAGTGCCCGAGCCTCCCCAGTGTGTAGCGGTTTGGGTCCCCCGGCATGTTCCCATAATGGCTGCCCAAGCTTGCATCGTACACACGGTCAAATAGGGGCTTGACGACTTCGGCTTCCAAGGAAAGGAGGCAAAGAATAGCAATCCGAAAGGCCGTCCGGGTTGAAGGAGGGGGCAAGTTTGCCATTTTTCAGAGAGGCCGCAAGGTGCTGTTGGAAGTGAGGACAGCGCTAGACTTTGGCAAATGAATGCTCTCCGCTTGACACGACAACAGTCAGGTGATCCGCCTCGCCTCGCCTCACCTACAGGGACGCAGGGTGGCGCAGCCGTCCAGGTCAACATTGTCTAGGTGTCATTCAAGATAAATGAATCATTACAGCATGTAAGCACTAAGCCATTTTTCCTCGAGCGTCTGTCCCTATCTGCTGTGCTGATTGAATGGCGGGTCAGTATCTCTCGTGGTCCTCTGGAAACCAAATCACCAGATGACACAAATTGCATGATGGGCATGCAGGAATGCGGACGGGTTTCTGCAGTGACTAAGGCAGTTGCAGACTTAACTTGCAACAGTACGTGTAAACGGAGTTGTTGGATAATTTGAATTTTGATTATCTGGTAGGCGTTTATGTACAGAGAAAGGTCCAAGTGGGGGAAGCGGACACAAAATACTTGGCAGTTGGCAGTGATACCTCAGGCACCGGCAAGACCCACAGTCCATCCACACATCCAACTACGAGTTTGAGCTACCAGTATGTTTGCTCTTTCAGCTCGTAGGCATACGAACTATGGCCTTTTCTATGTATTCGCTTCCGTTTTTCAATTTTTCCCCATCTTTTTTTTTTTTTTTTCTTTACGGTGTTCGAGGTGTTTTTCGCCTCTTGCTTCACTCTTGTTGAGCTGGTTCAATGGAAATATATAATGCGAGGTTGCGGGTAATGCTGAACAGCTTTAACTACTCTATCGAAGCCTGTGCAGGAGCATAGGTAACCTAATAGCTAGTAAAGTGCCTAAAGCGGTTGCACTACTGAAATTCTCGATTTGGTATTACTTCAACAAACACAAATCCAAAATGAAGATATCTGTGTATCCAGCGCCGGGAGAACAAGAACTCACGTGATCACGGCCCCGTGATCGGCCGCGTCCCACAACAACCACCGACACGAACCGAAGAACTCCATCTTTCCTGCAACTAGCTCATCGTTTCTGGTGGGAAACTTCATCTCTGAACACCAAATCACTTAGATGTCATAATAGCTTCAGTCGCGTCGTCCCCATAGGATGAGTCTATACCCGCTAGGTCCTAACATGACAAGAACATTCATTCCGACAATGACGGGAACACTCCGCGGCCAAGATCCGTGATAGCTGCGCAGTATCGATTCGACAAGTTCTTCATATCTTCCATAGACCCCAACCGACCTGAAATACTCAGATGTACAATTAGCTGATCCTGCAAAGGGAGCGTCACGACATGGAACGCGGGTTTACCGCCCATTACGCGAGAATTGAACGTGCAGTCGTGACCCTGGATTTTGAAACTCAGGGAGGAGGCGCCGTTCTGATGGGTCAGGAAGTGGCTAAAAGCCGTATTCGCGGGCCACGAAGTCGAGTGCTGACGGATGGCCTGGAAGTCAATCCCGGCATATGGCAAGGAGCGCGTGTATTGAGCCTGAACGTGCCGTAGGAGGTCGAGCACGTGGTCTGACGACGGGATCGTGATGCGGATAGGAGAGACAGTGACGCAGGGGCCTGAAATAGCGTGGACGCCGGCCACAGGTGTGTCACGACCGTTTAGGACGTGACTGACGACGACGTCTCGTTGGCCTGTGACCTGTGCTAAGACCACAGCCCAGGCAGCCTTGACAAGGGAAGACAGAGTGATTCCGCGAGGTGGCGTTGGAAGGGGAATATATTGACGGAAAGTGAACTTCTCATCGCTGTCCGAGCCGGATAGAGGGAGGGAGGTCAGTGCAGCTCCCTGGAGATACTGCTGCCAGAATTTGAACGTCTGCGGATTGGCATGCGACTGGCGATGTCGCAAGTACAGCCCAAATGATGGTGGCGCCTTTTCGAGCGCCGTTCCCTCATACACCGAAATGAGGTCCTGGACTATCAGGGGCATGGATTCTCCATCGAATTGGGCATGACTGGCACGCAGCAGCAGAACTGACTCGGACTGAGATCGCGAGATGAGAGAAGCTTGGAAGTATGGAACCCCTTTGGCGACCCCCCTCGCGGCATTTTCCACAGAGAGACGCTCGACAACGGATGCAAGATCATCATCGCAAGGGAATTGGGTGAGTCGAAAGTGGATACGGCGGAATTGAATTTGCAAATAGCTGTGGTCATGGGGGACGAAAACAGAGCGGAGCATGGGATGCCGTTCTATTATGGCATGGCAAGCCTGCTCTAGGCGCGCCACGTTGATTTCCATCGGAAGGTGAAGCTGCAGGTAGTAGATTTCCTGGTGCTCCAAGAACCCACGCTGGAAATCGGTGGTAGGGAGGATGTCTTCGATCTCCAACCCCGGGAAGGAACAGTCCAACTCACGGATAGCAAAGCTTTGAAGATCATCAATCCCGAGCAACGACCCCGGATGGTACGATTCCACATACGCTTGATCCGTGCATTCCTTCGCACCAGAAGCCTGCTCAGCAAGCACCGGCCAGGCAAAGATATCAGACACATTCAGGGTGAGTCCCTGTTGTCGCAGGTGACTAGTTAATTTCATGGCCATGATGGAGTCCCCGCCCAGTTCGAAAAAGTCATCTCGGGCCCCGATGCTATCTACGGGGATGTCAAGGACTGCTCCCCAGAGCTGCTGAAACAAGCGTTCCCGCGCGGTTTGCGGTGGATGCGACATCGCAGATGAGCTTCCAGACTGCGTTGAGAGGTCCTGAATTTGTTCGCTCGACAGACTGGCGGCCTGGTCTCGGAGACGTCGTCGATCCAATTTATCACTGCTTGTTCGAGGCACCCGAGCAAGATGCAAGAATAGTCCAGGAACCAGATACACGGGCAACAATGTTTTTAGGCGCGTAACAGCTGACTGAACCTGGGCCCGGAACGATGTACTGGGTTTAAGAAACAACTTGTTCTTGCCATCGTTGGCGCCCTCAGAGCCGTCGGGCTCTTCGTCGTCAGGTGCCATTTGAGCGATGAACGCGACCAAGGTCGGATTTCCCTTGCGCATGACAACTTCTGCGACGATTTCGGCCGCCTGTAGGAAGCACAGTCTCACCTGGTGTTCGACATGGGATAGCTCAACGCGCTGGCCGCGCAACTTGATCTGGGTGTCTTTTCGGCCAACAAATCTGATTCCTCCGTCATCTGTGTACTGGACTAGGTCACCGGTGCGATACAGCCGACCGGCTTGGTTATCTCCCCGGATCTGGCTCAGCCAACCAGGGGGACTGATATAGGCATCAGCCGTGCGTTCGGCATCGTTTAGATAGCCTCGAGTGACGACAGGGCCCTCAATCACCAGCTCACCCACAGCACCTACTGGGGCGAGACGAGAGACATCCGAAGGCATGGTGACCCATCCAAGACCTCCGGTAACGGGCCCTATCGTGCCGGCAGTCCACGATCCCACATCAATAGGGCCAGCGGCGCAAATCGTTGCTTCTGCGGGCCCATATCCATTGATCAACGTCACATGGGGCGCCCAGGTGTCAACGACATCCTGAGTCACCGCCTCACCCCCGAAAGTAACGGTCCGAAGACTAGGCACCAGCTCTGGTCGGAGCAGCCGGTTCAAGATCGACGGAGTAAAGATGGCGTAATTAACCTTTGCGTCGCGGATGAAGGCCGCCAGATTACTGAGGCGGTCCGAATCCGAGGGAATGCAAACGCAAGCGCCGTTACATAGCATTGAGAACAGCTCATAGATGCTGGCGTCAAAGGCGTACGAAGCAAAATGAAGCGCACGGGTCGATGGGCTGATCAACATCGGTGGGCTATGGTCTCGGATACTCGTGCAGAGGTTCACGTGCTCCATCAGGATTCCTTTAGGCTCACCTGTGCTGCCAGACGTGAAGATAACGAATGAAGCATCGTTGGGAGAGGGCTGCGGCCAAGGTTCTGCGGTCGCGTGGGCTGCTAGCCCCTGCAGAGGAATCGCTGTGACTGTGGCACCACAATCTGCAGGGATTCGCAGGCGGGTCTCTGGGGACGTCAAAACAACCTTAGCATTCGCACGGCGAATAATCTTCTCAATATGGTCGGCGGGATGACCGGGATCCAAGGGAACGCATGCACCGCCGGCTCGGAGAACCGCCAGCATGGTGATCGCCGCCCATTTGGATTTCTCGAAGCAAACCGGGACCAGACTGCCACGCTGCACCCCGAACAGGCGTAATTGACCCGCCAGCTGTCCCGAGACAGCGATCAATTGTTCGTAGGTGAGATTGCCATCCCATGCGGAGATGGCTGGAGCACCAGGAGCTGCGATGGCACGGGAAATAACCAGATCGTGCAAACAGGCGGACAATGGCGATGGGAGTTTGCGGTTCCAGCTGGATAGCTGATGCCGGTCGTCGGGGCTAAGGGCGTCAATCTGGTTCAGCGGGGTTTCCAAGTTCCTAGGCAGCTCCTGAAGCAGGTGGGAGAACTGTCCTAGGATTCTGCTCGCTGTCATAGATGAAACTACCTGGGGGTCGTAATTCACGACCACCTGGATGGAGGATGTGTCGGTGTCGTCCAAATGGCAGATTATTACGAAAGCGTACTCGGCAAACGCGGCGTAATCGCCATGCTCACTGTGGAGCTCCTCGACGAGACCGCCGGCTTTCTGCGACGCAGTTGACGCGGGCTGGATGCCCAGTTGAGATTGAAACTGACATGCCTGGCCGGCCTCGGAGCTTAGATTTCGGATGTTTTGGAGCCCGAATTGCTGGTAGGGTATCCGCTTTGCACCCTGTTGTTGGATTGCAGATAATGCGTCTTCTACTGTGTCAGAGTCGAGGCCCAACCGGACACGCAACGGGAAACTGGCAATGGTGGGTCCGGCCATTTCCTCGATGCCCACCAGCGGTGCGCTGCGGCCATTCAAAGTGACTCCGTATACCACGTCGTCAGAGTCGGTCTGGCAGGACATCACCATGGCCCAGGCCAGTTGGATAAGAGTTGTGGCAGTATATCCCGAGCCACCGTCGAGCTGGAGGCCAGTGATTGTGTGGTGTAGGGAGGCATTAGCCATTGGCGTATGGCGGGCCGAGGGTAGAGCAGGCCAAATTGAGGCGGAAAGTTCGGAGAATTCACTACGCCAATACTCAGCCGCAGATTCTGACTGACGCTGGACATAATCGATGAATCGATTGAATGGGCACGGCAGCTGCGGCATATGGGAAACGCTGTAGTAGGTATGGACTTGGTCCCAGAGAGACGGAATTGTCCATCCATCATACAGGGAGTGATGTAAGGTCAAACAGAACTGCACGCGGCCAGTATATGCCGACTTTATCAGGGAGAAGTCTGCTAATTGCCGTCCAAGTACCATCTCACAGTCCTGGATGTGTTCCTCGTACGCCCCTGGGTTGTCAAACTGGTAGAAATGGGGCGATTCGACCAGAACTACCTGAAACGTGCCAGGATGGTAGTCTGATTGTATCATGCGGGTACGAAGGATCGGGTTGAGCGCAGCAATGGCGATCCAGGCGGACTGGAACTGCTCGAGGTTGACTTGGGAATCAAGTTGGTACCGGAAAGTGACCTTGTAGCGGTCGGCAGACTTGGTTGATAAGGCCATGAGACCTTCCTGCAAGGGCGTGCATGGGTAAATATCCTCGATCTGACCCGGAGATGCACCGCAACGTTGTGCCGCGATGTCAATCAGATCCGTGGAATCTGCAATGAGTGCGAATGGCTCCAGCGGGGCCGTTGTTTCGCCAGCGACTTGTCGCGCAATTTTGGCCAAGTCACTGAGTCTGGGATTGTTGAACACGTCCGCCATGGTGATAGTATAGCCCGCTTCTCGAGCGCCGGGGATTAGAGTCATGGCGCGAAGCGAGTCCCCACCGAGGCGGAAGAAATTGTCTTCTACCCCAATCGTTTCCGCAGGGCGCACCAATACCTCCGACCAGATTTTCTGTAGCTGTCGTTCCGCCGGGGTGGACGGCTGGGTGCGAGCAGTGACAGGAGCAGAGTAAGCCTGCACGTCATCCAGGGATAGACTGGTCACTGCGTTTCGCAATTGACGGCGGTCCAGCTTGCCATTGTTTGTCAATGGCACCCCCTGCAATGGGAGAAACAGCGTTGGAACCATATATCCCGGCATCTTTGTGCGCAGCTGCGCCTCGGCGGCTTCAGTGGCCGTGCGAAATTCTCTGGTGGGTGCCCCAAGCAGGCCCTCTTTGTCGGACTCGGCAGAGTGGGATGCCGATGATGCATAAACAAATGCCACCAGGAGCTTTGTGTTGTTGGATGTGGTAGTCACCTCGGCAAAGGTGTCATGGGTGTCGTCAAATACCTGTCGAAGATTATGTTCTACGTCCGCCAACTCGAATCGCTGCCCACGAAGCTTGACCTGGAGGTCCTTGCGGGCGACGAACTGCAGTGTACCATCTGCTTTATATCGTGCCAAATCCCCTGTTCTGTATATACGGCCACTCTGTGTTTCACCCCATGCTCGGGGACCGTCTAGAAAAGCGGCATTGGTGGTGACCGGGTCGTTCAGATATCCTCGTCCGATGATGGGACCATCAATCACCAGCTCACCCGCGGCACCGAGGGGAACGAGAACGTCTGGGTCGTCCTGGTCTACGATCCAGATGCGGCAGCCAAACCAGCGACCCAAGCTGCGTTCATCTGTCTCGGGATGGCATTTGTCGACAGTCCCAGAACACCAGACGGCGCATTCCGATGGACCATAACCAAGGATCAAGTGCAATCTGGGGGACCACATCTGTATCTCCTTGTTCCCTACCGCTTCGCCTGCTAAGACCAAACAACGCAGCGTTGGGAAATCGGTAGGACGCAAGACGCGTGCCACAGATGGAGTGAAGAAGGCCCAGTTCGCCTGCAACTCGTATGCGGCACGGGGCAATGCCTGTTGCCGCTGTTCCTCCGAGGGGATACACAAGCAGCCGCCCTGAATCAAGGTTGTAAGTATTTCGCCCACCGCAACATCAAACGCGAATGATGCAAATTGCAGCACACGCGACTGTGGTCCGATGCGCAAAGTCCCCGCTTGTGTGACGGCACTCGTGGCGAAGGCACGATGCTGGATGATCACCCCCTTTGGCTGTCCTGTTGAGCCGGACGTGAAGATACCGTACAGCGTGTTATCTGGGGTTAACTGGACCGCATTCGCTCGACAACCATCGACCTCTTTGGTGCCTTCCGTGTCGGGCTTCTCTTCCCCGTAAGTAACCACGCGGTCCATCAGTTTAGCGGCTATCTCCTTCTCCTGAGGCCGAGATAGTACCAAGGTTGCCCGACTATTTGTGCAAATGGTACGTAAGCGTTCCAAGGGGTGACTGGGATCTAGCAGAATGAAGGCGCCACCTGATCGGATCACCGCCGTGATTGCTACAGCAACCCAACGAGACTTGACCGCGTATATCGGAACAAAGGTCTCCGGGACCACTCCATGCAATGTCTGGAGTCGATTGCTCAAATTCGCTGAGTGGGCTGCTAGTTCTGCGTAGGTGAAATTGCCATCCCAGGCGCAGACGGCTGGGGTCTCTGGTTTTATGCGAGAATGATCAAGAATCATATCGCCCACGCATCGCTCCACCGGGTTGGGATACTCCCGGTTCCATTCCCACACAGCCTTGCGGGAGTCGCCTCCCAGGAGACACACCGACTTGACCGGTTCCTTGCTCTGAGTGATGAGCCCCTGCACTGCCTGTTCAAATGCATCGAGGACGAACGACGCCTGGGATTCGGTAAGCAGCATCTGGCTATAATCCAAAACCACGTCGACATGATCTTTCCCTGTTTCGATATGCAAGGCCAGATCATACTATGCAACAATCGCGATGATTGAGATTAGTGACAACGAACAAACAACTCGCGTGTTAGATACCAACAGCAAAGGAAGGGAAACACAAAAAGGAACGAAAAGAAGAGGAAGAAAAATACTTACCTCTGTTGCATTATGCCCTCCCTGCTCGTGGAAGATCAAGGAAGAATCTGGAACGAGATGGTGTGGCATGCCACTGTGAACCGACATGACGGAATTGAAGAGCAGACTGCCATGACGATGGGTAATTGCAGCTAGCGGCCAGTACTGGTACGGCAGACACTGTGTGAAGTCCTCCTGTGATTGTCGTAACGTTGCGATGGCACTTTGGCTCTCATGAAAGTTCACCCGCCGTACCAGCAAGTTAATGAACGGCCCCACAGCGTCCTCGATGCCCTGAATTGGAGTGTCTCGACCAGAAGTCATATATCCATAGCACACGTCGTCAGATTTGGTATACGCCCGAAGCACTAATCCCCAGGCGATTTGGAAGACCGTGGCCATGGTGAGCTCGTGAAGCTGGCAGAAAGCATGAAGGGCCGGAGCCCCAGCCAGAGAGCGAGTAAAATGGGCGGGGTGAGTATCCAGGCCGTGCTCATCATCAATATCCAGTTTCGGGAAGAAGCATGGATGGAGGTTTTCCGTGTATTCGTCCCAGTACTGCTGACATGGGGTAGGTGACTGTCGTTGTAGGTGAGCCATATAGTCTCTGTACACCCGGTCCGAGTCAGGAGACCAGAAGCCATCATATGCCTGCAGAAGGTCGCGAAACACCACAGCAGAGGAGATGCCATCCACCAGCGCATGGTGTACCTCCCAGCAGCAGGCAACAGTACCTGTGGCCGACTGACAAACTGTCAGTCGATGTGGTGGGCAAAGGACGGGGAAAGGGGCACTCTGGTGGTGACATAATTCTTGTAGTGGATCATCTGTCTTCGCTGAAACATGGCTGATGACATCAAGTTGAACGCTGTCGAGAACAACCTGGTCCACGGTACCATCACCGCGAGGGCTGTCTACGAAGATCGTCCGCAGAATTGGGTGTTTTTGGACAACCTTCTGCCACGCGTCCGCGAGTCGATTAACGTCGACTGGTTCTCCCTGCCGACTCTGGACGGTGAAGACGGCGCGGTTTACATAATCGTTCGCTTTTTTGGCCTGGCTGACCAACATGCCGTGTTGAATGGGTGAGCAGGGATACGCATCCACCACGACATGTCCTGTCCGGGCGAGAGGGTCTATGGTTTGCGTTCGGAACCGTTCAAATTGTTCGTCTTTCAGGTGCAGCAGCGGGAGGTCAGACCGCGTAATCTGACGAGTCAGAGTCGGCAATTGGCGTGCGAGGCTGGAGAGTACCGCGAGTGACTGATCTGCCCATCCGAGTATCGCCGGTGCCTTCTTCATGGACCGGCTATATTTAAAATGAACCCGCAATTGAGCGTTCACCACTTCGGCAAGGATCTCAATTGGGGCAAAGCGAACCAACTTAGGACCCTTGTTCAGCAGTGCTGAAGAGGGCATATGAGCACGCCCGAACAGAGAGCCAGGTTTTTCCATATGCGGGTGATTGTCACGGTAGTTGAAAACAACCTCCATGTTGATTATTTGATGATGCTGCGCAGATAAAAAGAACCGCCCATTGAGCTGAACGTCGCGTCGAGTGTCCTTCGTGCAGCGCACGACGTCTGTCAAGCTGTGATTGCTGTCGACCTGGACGTCGCAAGGGTAAATACTATCCAGGACCCCAACGGTTCCAGTCACGTCAAGGTCTTCAGCCCAGGGGTCCCGATCATGGTCTTGAACGAAGAAAACCGGTGTAGATCTGTCTGGAAAAGATTTGGCAAACGCAAATATTAGTGCCGCGTGGATAATCTCGCCCGGCCGTGTTTGAAAACTCTCATTAGCCTGCCCGAGCAAACGCATGGTATCCTCCTCGTTAAAGAAGATCCCATATTCATCGGCGTCTGCGTTCACATTGCCCGCGTTGGTCAGTTCCCAATAGTCCATCTGAGCCTCGGGAGCTTCCTGGCCCATGACTTCTGGATTGGCAGCAGTATACTGGTCTAGAAATTGGCACCACGTTGGGTATTGTATACTGGGGGGCGGGGAGACAGGCAGGGACGTTAGTAGCTGCTCCAATTGGTGCATAATAACCTGTGACGATCTCATATCGGCCACCAGGCGATGGGCGATCAATGATAGCCATTGCTTGCCCCCGTTCATGTTTATCAGGTCAACGGCGATCAGGGGACCATGTTGAATCTGAAGGGTTTCCTGGCTGTTCTTGAAAATGACTTCAGCCTCTGCGCATGATGTTTTCTGGTGCGTCCTATATCGGTAGGACGTGTCCACGTCCGTGGTAATCGTTTGGTGCCATGTTCCTGTATCATCACTGGAAAAGCGTGCCCGGAGCATACCGTGAATCTTTACGATCCATCTGACGGCCTCATTTACCTGATCTGATGAAACGGTTTTCTGTAGCTCAAACATGAAACCGTGGTCGAAATGGTTAACCTGCGTCCGGGTACGATCAAAGAATAGCTGTTGGATAGGGGAAAGGCGGAAAGACATGTTCAAAGTGGCATCACCCGAGGAATGGGAGGGAGCATTACTATTGTCGCTAACCGTCGGAGCTAGTTTGCCGATTGTGCCCTGTTTGAAAATGTCCTCCACGGTGGTGGTGATGCCGACGCGTCTTAACTGTGATATCATCCGCATGGCGGTGATGGAGTCCCCTCCAAGATGGAAGAAACTGTCATCCATTCCGATCACATCTGGATCTTTATTCAAGACGCGCGCCAGAACACACCGAATAGCCTCTTCTCGTGCGTTGGATGGTGGTCGGTGCTCGTGGCGCGATCCCGCCTTGTACATTTGAAGGTCTGCAGGTGACAGGCCTGCGACAGCGTCACGAAGGCAACGACGATCTACCTTGCCCCCGGCAGTTCGGGGAATATTGGCAACAGGCAGAAAGACCGCAGGGACCATATACGCTGGAACGGACCCACGCACCGCTGCCTCAGCGGCCTGAACAGTATTCAGGAACCCTTGCGTTGGGGGGAGCAATAACCCGGTTGCCACGGACTTTTGTTCTGAAAGACGATCAACCATGCAGGCGAACAATATCGATGATCCGTCTACTGCCGCAATGTCGACAATCACATCTTCGCTTGCCGTCCAGCGGTTCACATGGTATTCGACTTCTGCCAGCTCAATACGCTGCCCGCGTAGTTTCACTTGGGTATCTTTGCGGCCAACGAAGCGAATGGCTCCTTCGGTATTCAGCTCAACCAGATCGCCTGATCTATACACACGGCCGGGCTTGCCATTTCGCCACCGAACCAGCCACTCTGGGGCGTCGATATATCCCTCCCTAGTCAAGTCGGGACGGTTCAGGTACCCTCTAGTCACCACAGGGCCTTCGATAATTAGTTCCCCTATCGCACCCAGTGGGGCTAATCGCTGCGGATCTGTTGGCACAGTCACCCATGCCACGCCCCCCAACATGGGCCCAATGGTCCCGGGTTTCCAGCTGGCTTCAACTCGGCCAGCCGCACAGATGGTGGTTTCGGCTGGTCCGTAACCGTTTATCAGTGTCACTCGTGACGCCCAGTGGCCGGCAACGTGCCGTGTGAGCGCTTCGCCTCCGACTGTGACTGTTCTCACGCTGGGCACCTGATCGGGGTCTAGCGTCGCTAGTACCGAGGGGGCTAGGATAGCCACGTCGACCTGTTTATCCTTGATGAATTCCTCAATGGCATTCATTCTATCCGACTCAGACGGAATGCACAGGCATCCTCCAGTTGCCAAAGTGGTGAAAACCTCGTAGATGCTGGCATCAAAGGCGTAAGACGCAAAATGAAGTACACGACTGTCCCGCGATACACCGAGCGAGGCGGAGTGAGCTTGGATGCTTGTCGAGAGGTTTCGATGCTCCATCACTATCCCCTTCGGCTGCCCAGTCGACCCCGATGTGAAAACAATGAATGCAGGGGTGCTAGGGTCTATGACCGGCTCTGGATCGGATGCCAAGTCCGGGATCGCGCTTTGATCCGCAGACGGGAAAGTGACCACCGTGACAGGACTTCCATCAAACTTGTACTTCGTGTCGTGGGAGGCAATGACAATCTGTGGCTGAGTTTGATCCAAAATATTCTGCAGCCGCTCCGCCGGTAGCGTAGGATCCATGCAGACGAGGGTCGCCCCAGAACGGAGAACAGCCATCATGCTCAAAATACACCATCTGGACCTGGTCATACACAAGGGAACGATTGTGCCCTGCTGAAGACCTTTGCTTCTAAGGGCTAACGCAAACTCCTGGGACAAAGAGCCCAGCTCTCGGAAGGTTAGTTCCCCGTCCCAAGCTGAGATTGCTGGTGTGTCCGGGCGCGAGAGGCTGTGATCCAAGACTAAGTCATGCAGACACTGCTCAGATGATGGTGGAAGCTTGGCATTCCAGCGCTCCAGTTGACGCCAATCCTCTCCACTGACTGGTGAGATATCGCCAATCCGCATGTCGGGACAGGACAGGATCTGAACAAGAACATGTTCAAATTGCACCACGATTCGATTGGCCTGGGACGGGTCTAACATGTTCGGGTCGTACTGGGCGATGACATCTAGCGGCTGTTCCTTCTCTGCAGCCAGGTGGCATACCATGACAATGCCATAGCTCGTGAAGTCTCCATATCCTTCGGCATTCCCTTCCACTTCGGTAGCTAAGGTGCCGCTCCTGGATAGGCCAGGTGGTTGAATCCCCAACTGGCTCTGAAATTCACTGGCTTTGACAGCATCCTCGCTGACAGACCGAATATCACGCAGACCCGTTTGTTCATAAGGCATCATGGCAGTCAGCCTGTTCTTGATTTCACGTAGCACTTGCTGAATGGGCCGGTCCAGATGCAATTTGGTGCGGAATGGTACTGCAGTAAGCGTCGGCCCCGTGAATTCATCAATACCGACAACAGGTGCGTTTCGTCCACTGAGCGTGAGGCCAAATACAACGTCGTTGGAGTCCGTGTAGTAGGACATGATGACTGCCCATGCGAGCTGGATTGCGGTCGTCATCATTACATCCGTGTGGATGTATGGTGGCATTGGGAGAAGTCGATGGATTGCATGACTTGGCTTAGGTTGGTAGGTTGAGGATGGAAGAGGCGGGAAAACGCCCGCATCCAGCCCTTCAAATTGGGATTGCCAGAACGAGGTCGCGTCACTTTCTCGCTGCAGAAAGCGGATGAAGGGTGAAAATGGCCGGGGCTGTAGAGCATGTCCACGGTATGCTGCTTCGATCTGATCCCAGAGAAGAGGAAGAGACCAGCCATCATACAGCGCATGGTGAATGGTGACCACGAGCTGTGGACGGTCAGTTATCAAGTCCAGACGCAGTAGCTGTTTGTTTGGACCCATAACGGGGATTTGCGCGCGGGCCTCATCGCACTCCTGTTGCGTGGCGTGGATCATCCACCGAGCAGCTTCTCGGATCACGACCTGGAAGGTACCCTCGGGGGTCTGAGTGAGTCGTGTACGCAAAATGGGATTCGCTGAGACAGTGCTGTTAACGGCTTCTCTCAACTGGTTCAGATTGATTCCTTCCTCCAGGTCATACACGAATGTTGCCACGTATTTCCCAGGTGATTTCAAACTTAGTGCCATCAGGCCTTCTTGCATCGGCGTGGTCGGATACACATCTTCGATCTGATCTCGGGTGAGATCGCTCTGGGCCAGCAGGGATGATACAACCTGTTCCTGCACTTCCAGCGATGGCACAAGACTGAGTGGTACAATGTCATCGGAGGGTGCCCCATTAACGATGCTCATCCCCGCCACCAGATCGACTATTCGGGGCCTGGTAAAAACATCAGCCACGGTAAAAGCATAGCCCAATTTCTGAGCACCAGCGACCAATTTTATGGCCGATAGTGAATCGCCTCCCCGTCGAAAGAAGTCGTCCTCAATCCCAATCTTGTCCTCGGGGATCGACAGAACATCTGCATAAAGCCGCCGTAATTCGCACTGTGTGTGGGTCTCTGGGTCTCGGATGTCGGTCTTCCCTTCCATTATGAGTTGCTCAAGCTGTTCACGGGATAATAACGCCGCCTGCGAGCACAGTTCGCGCCGATTAACTTTCCCCGTTGGTGACAGGGGCAGGCGGTTTAGAGGTATCAAAACGGCCGGAACCATATATGGCGGAAGAGCCTGGCTCATTGCAGAAAGCGCAAGGCCGGCTTCTTTGCGGAAATTGGCATCGCTGTCCGCAATAAGGTTGGTGTGACCTAGGATCGGGGTGCGCAAGACGAACCCAGCCAGGAGAGCAGCTCGCCCGTCGTGTGGGTAAAGGAGGTCTGTAACTACGCCTTGGGCATCCGGAAAAGATCGGCGTAGGTGATACTCAACCTCTCCCATCTCTACTCGCTGTCCACGTAGCTTCACCTGTGTGTCTTTGCGTCCGACAATTACTAACTCTCCGTCGGCTGTGTACTGCACGAGATCTCCGGTCTTGTATAAACGACATGCTTCGTCCCGGAATTCGTGCATCCACGGAGGATTCTCCAGAAATGCCTCAGCTGTTCTTTGTGGGTTGTCCAGGTATTCTCGCGCAATACTCGGACCCTCTATCAGCAGCTCTCCCACAGCACCGATGGGGCGCAGGCGTCCCGCATTTTGTGGGTCAACAACCCATCCGACAGCACCGTGAAACGTACCAATGTTTGTCGATTGGCTGGGATCTAACAGGTTCTCCTTCAAAGATACCTGCATCGCACATTCGGCGGGGCCATATGAGTTCATGAGGTGCAGGTACGGTGACCATTTCTGGACATCAGCTGCCGTCATGGGCTCCCCACCTAGAGCGAGATGCTTTAGAGTGGGGGAGGTCTGTGGGCTTAGGATGCGTGCGATTGACGGCGTGATCGTGGCCCAATTGGCCCTGAGTGCAGCAATAGCGCCTGTGAGGTTTGACAGGCGGTCTTGGTCGGATGGCACGCATACGCAGCCACCTGCTACTAGCGTCACGAGATTGTCCCACACACTCATGTCAAAGGCATATGCAGCGAACTGCAAAACCCGGGACCCTTGTCCAAGGCCTGCTTTGGGGTAGTTTGCCTGCACAATAGTGCACCAGCCACCATGTGTGATAACGGCCCCTTTAGGTTTGCCCGTTGATCCCGACGTAAACACCACATACATCGCATTGCTCGGCATGACGTTACAGGGTTCCATGGCAGGTCCCCTTTCCAGAAACTGAACTTGATTAGGGCCGAGAATGACAATCTCAGATAGGCCCAGTTCGCTCGCAAAAGAGGCTTTGGCCTCCGAGCAAATCACAAGGGACCCTCTTGTATCGCGACAGATATTTTGCAGTCGGTCCAACGGATGAGACGCATCGAGTAAGACGAACGCACCACCAGCTTTCAGCACCGCTAACATCGCGACGGTGGTCCATCGCGATTTCTCGAAATACAATGGAACAAATACCTCCGCACCTACACCACGGGCCGATAGGTGCCTGGCTAGATTCGAAGCATGGTCTTCAAGTTCTTGATATGAGAACCCCCCATCCCATGCACACACAGCCGATGCTTCAGGCTGGATTAGTGTCCGCTGATAGATAAGCTCATGTGCGCACTCCTCGACTTGTCTAGGAGCTCGACCATTCCATTTCCGCAACTCCGCCATGTCGGATGCACTGACGCTTCCAATCTCTTGCAATCGAACGGTGGGGGCCCGCTGAATTTGGTGGTGGATATGCTCGAATTGATGTGTAAGTCGCGTCATCTGCACGTCGGTGATCATCAGCGGGTCATAGGTGATGCTCAGCTCCACCGAAGTTGACGATGGCTTAGCGACTACTGTGACACCATGGGAGCAGTTTTCCGCTTGCTGGGTAATTTCGCAACATTTGGCAAACATGGGCGGCCTCTCGTTGTCGCTTTCATCCGGCTGGATGACTAGGAGACTTTGGAACTGGCAGGCTGCGGCAGGCTCGGCGCCTAAGCGGCTGATGCGCTGAAGCCCGGCTTGCTCCACGGACATAGTCTGAAGCGAGTGTGTGTGGATTTTCTCCAAGGTCTCGATAACTGTTGCCTGCGGCTCGAGCAGTAGCCTCAGGGGAATGGTGGCAATAGTGGGCCCAGTCATGGATTCTATTCCTTCTACTGGCGCACCACGGCCAGCAACAGTTACCCCAAATAGTACATCCCAGCTATCAGTATAATGGGAGAGGAGAATACCCCATGCCAACTTGAGTCGAGCAGCCAGTGTAATATATCCCATGTCTGTGCCGGATTGCATCGGTATAGTACACGTCGTTGTCGTCGTCGGCTTCGGAGTGTAGCCGGGCGACGGCAATTTGGGAAAGATGGCCGCGTTCAAATTCACTAAGTTCTCTTTCCAGTGTCGATCCAAATCTGCTTGGTCTCCACGTGTCAAGTATTGGACAAAGGGACTGAACGGTCTTGAAGTCAAGCTCTGGCCTTTGTAGGCAGCTTCCACCTGCTGCAGCACCAAGGGGAGGCCCCAGCCGTCGGTCAAGGCGTGGTGAATCACGAGCGTGAATAGGTGAGGAGCACCTGAGTTTGTGGAGTTACTCAAGGCCAGTCGGATCAACCTTTGCCCTAGGTGCCAATTCTTCCAATGTGTTGGGATTTCATCGGCCGGGTCTCGGGAGTCCCATGGAATGATATCCCGAATGACAGCCTGCCAAAGAGTTGCAGCATTTCCGGGCACAATTCGCGTGCGCAGGATTGGGTTGGCCTCGACTGTCGTTTCCCAAGCCCGACGGAATCGATCGATATTGATGTTGCCCGGGAGCTCAAATTCCATTGACATGGTATACGCCCCGAATGATTTGGCTGTCAACGAAAAAAGGCCTTCCTGCAGCCGGGTACAAGGATAAATGTCCTCGATGTCGTCCTGCTTAATCCCATACTCGCTTAAGGTATTCATCAGCTCCATCCGTTCGTTTTGATTCTCGCAGAGGGCAAAGACAGGCACTTCCTTTGCTGACACATCCTTGGTACTCGCATTTGCCGCCATTTCCTCCAGCGTGCCGGCACCCCAGATGTCTTCAACCATCAGTTTCAGTCCGCGCTGGCGAGCGACCCCGGCCAGCTTCATTGCGCGGATAGAGCTTCCTCCCAGGCTCCAGAAACTATCTTCAACACCGATAGATTCCACGGGCAAGTGGAGAACCTCAGCCCACAGCCCTTGGATTGATTCCTCCATGCGATCTCTCGGTGGCGCCTTGATCGTCGCCGCAAAGCTCAACTTCTGCAGCTCTCTGCGGGATCGCGAACCTCCGAGTTCGCGCAGGCTCCGGCGGTCTAATTTTCCACTTGTACTCAAAGGCATGCGGGACAGCGTTAAAACGGCTGTGGGGACCATGTATGAAGGCAGGGCCTGTCGCAATTTACCCTTCACTGTATGCGCTAGTACACCAAAATCCTCATTCTGCATGGTGAGGTGAGCCTCGAGGTTGGACTTTTGAGTATCGCCGAGGGCTTTGGGCTCCTGAACAACAAAGGCGGCTAGAATTGGCGATTCAGCGTCATCTCTCGGTTTGACCACCTCCACAGCGACGTCCATATTACCCAGATGTCGACGCAGGTGGTATTCGATCTCGGCGGCCTCCATTCGTTGTCCATGTACCTTCAACTGACTGTCCTTGCGGCCTAAGCATTCGATAGTTCCATCCGGGAAGCAGCGGGCTAGATCGCCGGTCTTGTATACTTTACCATGGGCGTCCGGCCATATCTTCCTCAGCCATTCGGGGCGGTCGACGAAGGCGGCAGCAGTCTTGCTCGGGTCTCCTATATATCCTCGGCCGACAATCGGCCCTTCAATCAGGAGCTCGCCTGCTTGACCAACTGCACGAACGCGCTCGATATCATTCTCGTCCACAATCCAGCAGCTACCGCCCACTGCGTGTCCAATCTTGATCGGAAGATCCTCCGCCTCTGACATGGCATGAGTGCAGGCTAAAATGGTGCACTCGGTTGGGCCATAGCCATTGAATAACTGCACGTGTGAGGCCCATTGCTTGATATCCTCCTTGCTCATTGCTTCACCTATCAAAACAAGTGTTTCGAGTGATGGCAGTGTCTCTGGCTCCATCGAGTGAGCCATGGACGGCGTAATCGAAGCCCAATTGACTCGCAGACGGGCTATCGCGCCGGTCAGGTCGCTTCGTCGCTCCGTCTCCGATGGAATACAAACACATCCTCCGTGTACCAGCACAGTCAGGCTCTCCAGCAGGCAGGCATCGAAGGCGTAAGAAGCAAATTGCAATGCTCTCGACGCAGAGGTAATATTTACTCTGGGACCATGTGCGACACTCGATGATGAAATCGACCGATGTTCTATCACTGCGCCTTTGGGAGTCCCGGTGCTTCCGGACGTAAATATCACGTATGCGGCGTTGTTCGATTTTACACGACTCGCTGTCTCAGGTGACACCTTGGTATAGTCTGGTTGTTGTTTGTCATCCAGCACTACCACCCTAGGGGCGAGACTGCTGGCCTTTGTCGCATTGTGCGATGAGGCTACCACCAAATGCGCATTCACTGTTCGGCACATCCACTCAAGCCGTTCCATTGGATGTGACGGGTCCAGCAGCACGAATGCGCCTCCGGCCTGCAAAACACCTAATATCGCAACAATCGTCCAACGCGACTTTTCGAAGTAAATAGGCACGAACACCTCCGGCCCAACACCTCCGGCAGCTAGTAACGCACCAAACAGCCTGGCTAAGGTGCCGAGTTGCCCATAGGTAAAATCGCCATTCCAGGCGCACACTGCGGGCGCATCGGGCCGGTCTTCACAGCGCCTGTCAATCAAGTGGTGCAGGCAGGACTCAACCGCAGCCGGTGGCTCTGCACTGGCTAGTTGCAATTGCGACTCGGGTGGTGCTAGGCCGCCAGTCGCAAAGTGGTTTTCCGCAGGCATGGTTAATTCCTTCTATAGATAGCTGCTTCTGTTGTTGTCGATTTGAATAATGCTGTTTCTGATGCTGCGTTTGTTAGGGCGGTGGGTGTTACCTACCGAAATCTCTCTCGCGCACAGTTCAAAGTGCACACGCTTTGTCGTATCCAGTGGCTAACTGAACAGCGAACTCAAGTATCCAATAATCAGAGATCTGCTTTACCAGCCACGTTCCTCCGGCTTATAAATAATCACTCTTATTATCCGACTTTCCTTCTGATCCTCACAGGCTGTTTACTTTTTTCTCTATTTTTCTTCTTCACACCGCACGTTCCTGACCATGCATCACAGACGATCCCTACATTCTTGCCAGTAAGGGGGGCCGAAGGTTCACCGATCGAAATTTGCTGTCTGTGAGGAGTGGCGGGTACTGATGCATGCCTACAGGAGAATACTCTCTGGTATCAACTTCAGGCAAGGGCGAGAGTAATAATGAAGACGTGTGGAATCTGGTCACGATTTTGTCCCGAGAGCAACAGCAAGCTGTCAGCCTTGTTCACCTCGCCTCAGAGCGATGGGATAAGGCGTGCCACATGCGTTTGACTCGGCTTTGGTGGCTAGCTGAACGCTAACGGAGGGGCATCACATATCCCTTGGCTTCTCTTTCATGTCTCACCCCATACTCTCTCAGAGTCTTCCCCGGGCCAATATGATCCAGACATTAGTCTACTCCACAGAACAGCAGCCCTTTTGATTCCCAGATTTAGTAATACTTCTTGAAGCAAGACTTGGGAACCATCCTCATCCTTTACAGCCACTAAGAAGGCCCAGTAAGTGACCCGGGAAGGCCATTTGAGCCGATTCTGCAGTCCGATTGCCAACTCCATCCGTGATATATGGTGTTTTTCAGAAGTGATTTGCAATTAAGAGTTTTCAGTCTCATTTCTACCCGGTTCTATGATAGACGCAATCTAACAAAATAATGTCGCCTCAGCACATTTCTCCATCTCGAGATTACCGTTGCAACATGTAGCAACCTAGTATAGTTAGCTTTGGTTGTTTACTTTTTTCTTTTCCCGCGAAGGGCAAATTGAGCAATTCCACGCACCAAAATTATCAAATGGGTCAATCCATGTGGATTTGACGACCACGCCAGCAGCAGCACATAATTGATCGACTTCAACAGCGGTCCACTTGGCGCTCGTAATCGCATGTATCTTTTCACCCTTCGCAATGGAGAGAAAATTTCCATCTACCTTCAATGAAAGGTCCCGCTTCGCCACATGGTATAGGCGTTGTTCCTTGGCAACCGCATCAAACTTGCTCTCAAAGTCCCAATCGCTCTCGCTGAAAACGTCTTCCCCTAGCAGTCTATTGGCATGGTTGAGCCCGTTGCGCACAAACCGTCGAATTTTTCCATCAGGCAGATCGTACGCAAGCTGAATGGCTTCGGTATTTTCGTTTCCATCAATAGATGCTAGTAGCTGGCTCTTGGGGTACTGTAGCAGTCGGCGGAGACTGTTCACGGATGTCTCCCAGGCCATATTGGTGATACTGTTTCCCAGCCAAAGAAACAAAGGTCTGTGGTTTCGGAACAGTCGCTGCTCTTCCTCCTCAAGAAGTGACATACAGTCTTCATAGCTGCCGAGTAATCCTTGGCATGAGATATACTTGGAATTCCCCAGCATTCGTGTCATCTGGGAAAGGCTGTGATTCAACGAATCGGCAGCTACATCCAGCGCGAAGTAGGCGATTGACTTCTTCTGCCGATGCAATGCCTGGAGCAAGACGCCGCTTTTCTTGCAATTGCTTTTTTCACAACGTGGTCAGCGTGATAGAATCTATGCACCGCTCAAGAGATACTTACCCGGCTCCGAGTTCAATAATAACCGTTCCCGATTCCACTGTCTCGACAATAGTCTCGCTCTCTTTGTTTAGCAAATCCAGCTCTGCTCGATATGGGTAATAATCATGAGACGAGGTTATAGCCTCGAAATGTCCCTGGCCCTTCTCGTCCCATAGTAGTAACGACGGGATATACTTCGCTGAGTTCGTCTCTAAAAGACCTGAGACCAACTCCGATCGTAAATCCGCCGGATCACAGCCGTGGCGCCGGATATCGTGTATAATGACCTCCTGATGCATGACTGAACCGTGAAGAAATTATTGATATGCAGAGATTGGACCCTCCGAAAGGGCGGACAGAGAAGAGACAGCAGTCAGGTAAACAGTTAATATCTAATGCACTCTCATTCTGTGTGTGGTCGTGCCTACCTACTTTATCTTTATTGGACAGGCCATGAGTATATGTCCCTCGGCATGTAGGTGGGTACGCAACTAGCCAAGTCAAAGCATATGTCCACAGGAATGCGGTCTACCCGAACTAGTAGGATACGTGCTACCACTTCCCTCTGACGATCAGGTACACAGTCGCCAACATCGGCATGGTTGGTCACCTAACGTGGATACGTAACAGCCCCTTTCACTCCCTTTCGCGACCACGATCGACAGATGCTCTCAAATCTGACACCGTTTTTCTCTGACAAGTCTTTAATCACTCTCCGTGTCTGGCGGTCTGTCGTCCCCTGCAGCCATCCGATAATCTCGTGGTCTGGCATTCTCACCAGCACCACGGTCTTGCCATGTTCGACTTCCCTTATCCCTTGTATAGTGCAAGGGGTCAAGTTCTTCCGTGACCGGCAAGGGGCAGGAGAAAGCGGGTTCGGCCGATCAGCCGGCGTACCGGAGCAAGTTGCACGGGTCAAAAATTCACGGATATCCAGATTTCAGCCGCTGATTCCGTGACGTTTCTTGTTTGAATTGATTAGAATTATTCAAAACGTCGTGATCTCATGCAGCTCGTAGATCCCAGGCACTCCGTTCTTCCTCTTGTATACCGTTACGACTAGGCATAGTAGTATCTGTCATGGTCTAAAAATAACCTACAGCTCCCAAGTTCCTGATATGTCGATTTAGTTGTTGTCAATCAATTCCTTAGCCCTTTTTGCTCGGAGATGCAAATCCAATTGTGAATCAAACATTTTGCATACTACCACGGTCAAGGAATGCGATCGACATCAACACCCCTACTAGGGATATGTATATGCAAGGACATTTGGCCGAGGATTCCCGATCCCACTTGTGCCATCATTGCAGATCATCGCAAATTCTCACAACCCGCTGCTACGTCCAAGACACTACCTCCAACAGAACCTGGAAGAGCTTCCGTGTTAGACCATATTGGTCTTGAGCAAACGCTGCCTTACCCGCCCTTGCCTCGAAACATTCCTCTACTTCCTGTGTTTACTCGGTACGTTGCCAGGGACATTGAAGGCCGTCCTTTGTTCTAAATTGGTATCCTGTCGGCGATTCTTCGCAAATTCATGGGGAATGCCAATGAGATTGCAGCATGCACAATCGGGAATCCAGGCACTGAGACAGGATCCAACAGACTACGGAGTCCTCCGCAGAACAAGCATGACTCCACTATGTAGGTAAGAAGTTATTATTGGCTTTTCCCAGGAAGATGGACCCGCTGTCGGTAAGAAATGCCGAGGCTCCGACGCCGAGCTTCCGGCTGTGGGGCACCCGCAGCCTCGGCATCTTTTCCGGCCAATGGGCGACGGGTTTCGCTCGGCTCAACTCGGCAGCCACCGGATTCATCCAATCCATTCAACCGTCTAGGTGGCTACTCAGTTACTCAAGCAAAGCAGAGGCGGCCATAACATCAACTATATTTGTAGGTGTCCTGCCTTTTGCCACCTATGTTATAGCCAGAAATTAAATCATCGGTCGTCTTACCGCCCTGCCCCGATTTCGAGTGCTTAGTTCCTAGCTCCTAGTCACCACGATGATATATATAATCAAAAGACATAGTGGCAGCAATATATTCGGGCTAACGTTCAGAGCGTGGGGAGTGGCAATGCGTTATAGATTGCTTCTCGCGGAGACAACAGAACGGCTGTTGCAGCAATTCTTAGAGAGAATGATCTTATTACACAACAGAGGCAATATGGTGGTGCTCTGTGGACAGGATCTGCTCCTGCCCATAAAGAAATTGTACAAGTACGGTGTGAGAAGGTGCCAGATGCTGATAAACAAGGTGGGTATTATGACACTCCTATCTATGCTGAATCGGCCCATAGCGATAAGTGAATTGTGCAGCACTTGTAGGAGAATGGTGTGATGCTTCTATAAAACGCAGAATTATGGGCTCCATCTCTCAGCCACTTGTCTCCCTATCTGCAAGGAAGAAGGCCCACTCTTCTAGAGATCGAAAGAAGTCTTATCGAAGCTCCATCTTCCCCAGCATGTTGCTACGTACTAAAAGTGGTAGATGTTAGAAGTTTAGCCTTTTGACACTAGGCCGTAGGTATATCCAGGCACTGGGCGAACTATGACGTCAGAGGCTCTCCAGGCGGCTGCCACCATGTGGATCCAGACATAGATCAGGTACGATATGACGTTATTATCCCGCGGGTCTTGCGTCCAAGAAGAAAACGAAAGGGGTTGCCATTCATGGCATGGCCTTGGTCATGGCCACTGCGGTGTTCGTGCTACCGTTTGCAACACTGTCACTTTCTTCATTATTTCTCCATTCGCATCGCTGTTGATCTGTACAACCTCCCCCCGAGAGAGCCTTCCATGGCTTCTTCCACATCAAGCAATGGGCCGGATACGGGGCCACGAAAATATGCCTACAACATTGAAGCTGCCCGCGAGCGGGAGATGCACCTGTATGGATGCTGCAATTCCTGTGAAAACAGCAATCACTAACATCCAAGCAGTTACCTACCGTACTGGGGTTTCTCACAATCCGAGAAATACGCGCAGCAATCAACTGGGTACTCGCCGAACGTCTCACGCGACAACGTCCTAACCGTTTTCGCCCAACTAGCGAGCCTCCGACTAGACACGAAACGAGTCCTCATCTCCCTCTTCGACCGCACAACGCAATACGTCGTCGCCGAATCGACACGCAAACTCGGCCTCCGGAGTCAAAAGAGTGGCGAGAGTTCAGATGCGCTCTGGCGTGGAGTCCAGCAGCTCCCTCGGGACGAAATACCAATGTGCAAATTAGCGATGGATAGCTTTACAAGTCAACGTAAAGATAGCTTCATAGTACCCGACCTCTGGGAGGATGATCGATTCAAATCGGCCCCTATTGTGGCTGGCTCGCCCTCTCACCGATTTTACATCTCGGTCCCAATCAGGTCGCCTGAGAACTATGTGATTGGAAGCGTTGTGGTATTGGATGATAAACCACGTTATAGGGTCTCCGACGAGTCGATAGATCTATTGCATGAAGTGAGTGTTACAATTATGGAGTACCTCATTTCGCGGCGTGCAATGCGCGAGGAACATCGCGAAGAAAAGATGGTACGAGCGCTGGGTCTCTTTGTGCGTGGCAAAGCAGACTTGAGCGAGGGCATTGACGGTGCCACTGCGTCAGACAGAAAGCAAGACGACCTCGATCAAGTCAGCGAAAAGCTGGAACAGGTTCAGATCGCTGATGAGGCGGGAGAAGACCGAAACTCGGATGACCGAGGAAGACTCCCTAAAGCATCTGGTGATAAACATAGAGCTACGGAAAGAACGAAAAAGGTTGACGCAAGCGAGAGTCGATCCCCTATAAGAAAATTCAAATCGCAGGACGACGACGAGAAAGAACCAGAAGCCACAACTGAAGACGATGAACAGCCCCCTGCACTTACACCGACTACCAAGCAACTGAAAAGGAAGCTTGCGCCATCCAATGTCCAATCGGCACTCAATCGGGCCTCATGCCTGATGAATCAAGCATTGGATGTGGAAGGTGCTCTGTTCCTCGATGCCAGCGTATACACTAGACGACTGATGATTGGCTCAATCACTGATAACGACAATAGTCAGACTCAAGTATCTACTGGAAAGGTGTCCAGCGGTGATGATCACGTTAATGGCCAAAAAGATAACGGCTTCGAGGAAGAGGGCAAGGATTCGAGAACACTGGTACTAGGGTACGCGACCTCCTCGGACTCCAGCAAAACAAAAGGCCAAGGCGAAAGCCATTATATATCGATCCCTGGTAGCTTTGTGAATCATCTGATTGATCGCTACCCGAGAGGAAAGATATTCCACATTGAAAGAGACGGTTCGATCGCGGTCAGCTTCGAAGGGCTGGCAGACGATGTCAGTCAAGCGTACGACGCCAAGGACCGGGTTGTCAAGGCTGTATCACCAAAAGAGCAAAACCTCGAGATCGAAATGATGGAAATCAAGTACTTGCATAAGGTTCTGCCTGATGCACGATGCATTGCCATCTACCCGGTCTGGGATTTCCAACGCGGTCGGTGGTTTACAGTCAACTTGGTATGGGCCAACGATCCCGGCCGGATATTGTCTGAGCCGAAGGATTTAACGTATATGGCTGCGTTCAGTAATAGCGTCATGGCTGAAGTATCCCGTATGGATGTGGAGGCCGCTGACCGGGCCAAAGGTGACTTCATCTCGTCAATCTCCCACGAGCTGCGGTCCCCACTTCACGGTATTTTAGGAACCGTCGAGTTACTACAAGAGACAGTCTCTACTTATGCACAAAAGGGTCTTGTGGACACTGTTTATAGCTGTGGACGGACTTTGCTGGATACACTCAATCACTTACTTGACTACGCCAAGATCAACACCCTCACTACACCGGCTGCGTCAGCTCTAGCAGAGAAGGGTGACGGTGGAAACACCAGCATCTCTCAGCCAAAAATAGCGGTTCCAGGAATCCTCCAGGGTGAGGACCTAGCTTCGCTAGCGCAGGAAGTTATAGAAGGACTCCTGGCAGGTGCCGAGTTCCACAGTCGTGAGGTCAACTCTGCACCCGAGACCGCCAGGGACACTGGTCGCCGGGGATCTGCATTACTCGAGACAGGAAAGGGAGATGGTCGTATGATTACCATTGTGGACATCGAATGGCAGGATAGCTGGCATTATCCGGTTTATGCTGGCGCCTGGCGCCGAGTGATCATGAATCTTTTCGGCAATGCCTTGAAATACACCGCAAGCGGCTATATCCGATTATTAATGAAGAGGGATACCATGAACGTGAACACACATGAAACAGTTCCCGCAGTACGACTTATTGTTAGTGACTCGGGACGGGGTATGTCTCGAGACTTTCTTGTCAATCACCTCTGCATGGCCTTTGTCCAAGAAGATACCGAATCGCCTGGCCTCGGTGTGGGTCTTCACTTGGTCCACCAGATTGTCAAGTCTCTTGGGGGAAAGATCGAATTTAGAAGTGAGGTTGATAAGGGAACTGACGTGGACGTTATCATACCGGTGGATGTTTCGTCCCCTCGATCTGCCATTGACTCTCCATATCAGCCTCTGAGGCAGAGGTTGAATGGCAAGACAGTTTCATTCTTCACTCGCAGCCTCCAACGCGGGGACTTGCATATAGGATCAGACACGTTCAACGACATTCTGTCCAGTCTCAACCACATGGTGAGTGAATGGTTCGGCTTGAAGGTTCTCGATATGAAAGCGCTTGAATCGGGACCAGCGGACTTCATCATCGTGACGGATCATGAGTACCGAACAATGGCCCAAGACTCCGTGGAGTCAGATGTCCGGAGGCCCATTGAGTCAAGGAGCACATACCCTCTAATTGTTCTCAGTGCACAGGCCAGCAGCTGGAAAGTGGTCAAAGAGAATGACGAGGATCGTGCAGTCTTTTTGGCTCAACCGTGAGTCTCCCCTCCGCAGGTATAGACGTTTCTCGATGTCTGCTTACTGACAATTATACAGTGTGAGCCCAAGGTCACTGGCAACTGCTTTCGAGCATTGCTTGAACCAAGGAGGAAAGGGAAACGAAAACCAAGCCAAAAAGATATCCCTCTTGGCTAATCATCTGGGGACAGAGATTGATTTCCCGAGCAAGCAGCAAAGTGAATTTAAATCCCCGGATCAAGGGGATGAGTGCAAACCGGAAGAGTCTTCTGAAGTGCTTCTTGTAGAGGATAATCCTGTCAATCTGAAGGTACGTGTATGGAGTGCTGCCCAAGACGTATGTTAATCAAATCTGCAGATTATCGAGACATGCGTGAAAAACGCGAATTTTAGATATCAAACCGCTAAAAATGGGAAGGAGGCACTCGAAAAGTTCGAAAAGAATGCCTTCAAAGTAGTTGTTATGGGTAAGCCTTCTTCCCAGTCATACATGTGGATTCACCGTACTAATTGGGCATAGATATCTCCATGCCTGTCATGGATGGCCTGTCCGCTAGCCGGGCCATGCGACACTTCGAAAGAAAAAGCGGGCGCCCACCTGCTTCGATAGTAATTCTTACATCAGTTTTATCTTCTGAAAAGCAACAAGAGGCAAATGATAGCGGGGTTAATGTGTTTCTAACCAAGCCCGTGCCATTGAAGCAGCTTAGAGAGATGCTTCATAAATTTGCACATTCTACGGATGACGAACGTGAATAAACGAAGTGATGTTATTTATGCCCGAAATTATGAATTTATTTTGAATTATTCTCGAACTAACGATATACGGTGCAACACTTTACTGTGTGGATTAATCTTATTACCTTTTTCTTCTTCCCTTTGCGATCAGCCGTGGCGCAAGGCAAGGTCTCAGCCATTTCTTGTCGCGAAAATCCAAATATAATAGACAATGAATTACGTCAATTACTGATTATATGAAAATGAAGTAAAAGAGTAATATATTGATTACTCATTGCAATAAGAGATAGTTAACTAGTTCTGGTGGTGAACAAAGTGATCCAAAATTGAAAGATAGGTGCCAACATCAGGTTCCTGATTTATATATATATAAAATAGAAAGGGAGTTACTAGTAGAATAATATTTTAATTTTTGCGAGGGTTGAATGTTTAGCTCAAAGCCAGCATCACTCCACAACCAAGCCATCCTTTAGGATAATGCTGATGCCCACAGCATTAGAAATTATTTCCTTACGAAGTAAGTCTATTCATAACTCACTTGCACACTTGCTTTCACTGTCATGAATACACGGACTAGTTACGCAGTGCTGCGAAAATGTGGTGATGTTGGCAGCAGACCTAATAGGAGCCACAAGTGTGAGCAATACAATAAATAGTATCCAAGGTTATATAAGAGAGGATGAAGATAGTTTCGTCCATTCCCTACTTCATTCAGCATAAGTATTCATTTGTCTACATGACATTCCCGCTACACAGGCATCAAATATGCACTATCGAAGCCGATCTTACACAGATATAGCTTCTGTATTGGACCTCTGCATTGCTCATTTGTCGCCTACGTTTACGAAACTTTACCGCCATTTTTCTCCCTGAAAACATTCACCCTGGTCTGTTTCACACCGCCATTTCTGCGCTGATGCACCTCAAAGACTAAACATTCCCTCCTCTTGCGCTTAACTTTTCGAAGTCTTCAGTGGCTGGATTTCAATACCTTCGTCATATCTCAGGCTCCAGGGCTGTAGTAAGTATCAACCAGAAGAGAAGCCAAAACTGACTGTAGAATTTTGATTAGTGTGTTTATATCTTTTGTGGTCTATCGATCATTTTGATTCATCGTAGTAATAGTAGTGATTGATTCATTGAACCCTCTAAAGAAAGTTAGAGTAAGTAATAAAAGCAGTTATACTACATATGCAGGGATAAGTATTCTCCAGGCTAAGCTGAAATAGCGGTATGTGTATGATATCCCAGTTTGATCGATCTTATCTGACCGGACATAAGTTTCGTACAAGAGGGCCTATTAGATACTGTGTCCAACATCGATTCATGAAATATCCCAATATATTGGGCCATGGATATGAGCATTACTACTCCTCTCCCTTCGCTATCCTTGCAAGGGGCTTGTACCTCCGAGTACGCGTCCATACAACCCTTGGAAACAGAAGGAAAGGGGTTCAGCTCCCGAGAAAGTTTAAAGTTCTGCACTGAAGAAAAGTGCAGAAATATCATACCCCTTGCATAGTAACGAGATTAATGGCAATGGCCCGCGCAGTCACGTATGGGTATGCATTACTCTGGGCGATATTAGTACTACATCGTCGTCTATAATCCACCTGTCACAGAAATCTAACCATGAAAGTGTGCCGATAAATCTTCATCACAGCGCTGGCCTTAACGCAGGGTGCCACTGCAGTTCAAACAACCCACAGGTCTATCAAGGCGCTCGAGAGAGCACCCCAAGGGATCATCTATGAATCGGGAAATACGACATATTTCGCTGATTCCAAACATTCTCGCAGAGTTCTACACTACTCAGACCAGAAGGAGGATGATAAATTGATTCCAGTAACAGCCATCGTCGCCAACCAAACCCATATCACTGGCGAGCTCCTTGAAGCCACTATTGGCAGCTACCTTGAAGGTGACGATGTTATCTCCCACGGCTTTTTGGCAAACATTTACCTGTCATCCTCCTTTCCTCATAGCAGTCTGGACCAGACGGCCATAGAATACCTCGCCAATCGTGCAGTCGACACAGTATTTATTGATTCAATTATCTTTGACCCTGTTCCGTCGGGCTTTGTCTCTATTTGTGACACTTCGGATAGACCTCTACCATCTGGCCCCTATACAGCCATTATCTCCGACGACAGCATCACCCTTCTCACTACCTATCGGTTATATATCGATAGCTTTCGCAGCTTCATCACTGGCATGTACCCATCCAATGATGGAGTGGGAACTTTCTTTCCGCTCCAGTCCATGAGCTCGAGATTATGGGGCCCGATAATCCCCGTCCCTAGTCGCATCTACTCCTGGGCAGACCAGCGTCCACTGGCTGGAGTCCGAGTAGCTGTTAAAGATCTCTTCGATGTCCGCGGGCTACAGACGCCAGTCGGTAGTCAGGCCTGGGTCTCTATTACTCCAATTGCCAACGCCACAGCACCATCTATCCAGAGATTGGTTGATTTCGGCGCCGTCCTTGTCGGAAAGTACAAGCTCGCGCAATTCGCCTCCGGCGCAGACCCGTGGGAATGGATGGACGAGCACCATCCCTTTAACTCGCGCGGCGATGGGTACCTGACTTGCTCTGCATCCTCTTCCGGGGGCGGCTGCTCGGTAGCAGCATACGACTGGCTGGATGCAGCTATAGGTAGCGATACAGGTGCGTCGATGCGTCTGCCTGCAGCGGTATCGGGCACGTATGGAAATCGGCCCAGCCAAGGGATGATTTCTTTCGATGGTGCTGTTCCCCTAAACCGGGCGCAAGACACGGCGGGCGTGTTCTCGCGTAATCCGGTCGCATGGGCGCGATTCGCAAAGACGTGGTATACCCAAGAGATGCATCAGAATTCGGCTGTCACTGGCCTTTCGCCGCTGAATGTCCCCGACACTATGAAGTTCCCGTCGCGCGTTTTATATCCCGACGAGCATTTCCCGATGAAGAATCCCGCTGCGCAGGTGATCCTGGATACGTTCATTTCTAAGATGTCGGCGTTGTTCAGCCTGGATGTTCACCATTTTAATTTGACCAGGATGGTCGACAACGCATCTATCTACTCGAACACGACAAGCCCCTGGGAATCGATCATGAATGCCTCTATCATGCTAGGTTCCTGGTCTCAGCATGTTGATGTCGCTGGTCCACTCATCTCGGAATGGGAAGCCCGATATGACGGACGATTCCCACCCGTCGAGGCGCAGTGGCGCGCCTTATGGTCGCAGTTCAATGCTAGCCTCGTCACACAAGAGGCATACAACAAGGCTTTGGTGAGTAAAGCGACAGCGGTAGATTGGTTCGAGAAGAATGTGCTGTACGAGACGCCGGAGTCATGTTCGGAGTCGCTGTTACTGTGCGACATTGGCACAGGAGGTGTCCCCAGCTTTCGCGAGAAGGAACTAAACGACGGGCCGAATGCGACATATGTAACTCTGACTGGACAGGGGGCCCTGCCGTGTGCCAGCATTTGTCCGATGTTTGGGTAGGTTGTTCATTTCGTCGGGTTCGGACGTTTACTGATGGCATGCAGATGCGCCGATTATACCATCCCGATAGGCCAGGTTGACTACCAGTCTCCTATCACAATGGTTACAGAGCAGTTGCCTGTCAGTGTTAATATGATTGCTCGACGAGGCTGTGATCTCATGTTGTTTAATATGGTGGAGAAAATGGCCGAGGCAGGGATTCTGCAGACGGTGAAAACGGGACGGACGGCATTTGAGGTTTAGACAGGCTATACTCTAAGATAATCAAGGAGGATCTATTCCAAATCCCCAGACTTTTCGGACAACAAAAACAGCTCAACAGTCTTTCCATGCACAGCATTGCCCGGCTCGTATATCCACATACGTCCGCAGTCAACTGCGATTGCGCGGTAATTCCTGGCGTGAACGCTCGACACAGTAGATGATAAGGGTCTCGTTCACAGGATTGATTTTGTTTCAATTCAGACTGAATGGAACTCTATTTGCGCTTGACCCGATGTATATAAATTATCTTCTTTTCAGATGATACGCAAACCAACCAGTCTTCCTCTAAATCACAACTTCCACCCAGAGCCGAGGGGAAAAACAGTAAACACCCAGATGAATCATCGCTTTATGCGTCCGGAAAAAAGAAAGTCTTGGCAAATTCTGGTGCTTCAGGGTCTGTCAGGTCACACCAATGTTAATCTTCTAGATCCCGTATAGGTAAAAGAATGAGGGGGGAAATTAAACTTAGAGGTTATCAATCCTTAATTCAAATATGCTAGTAATCCTTAGTATAATAGCTTAAGTACCGAGTCTTGTGAGCCAATTGACTTGTCTTTCGACTTCTCTTCTATCCTCTGAAAAGTAATGAATGAGTTTGATTTTCCTTGTTTGTTTTTTCTTTTGCTGTTGTCGCTGTTGTGTATGTGCTATGAGGATACGCTCTATATTTCCTTACCTGCTTGCTGTTCACCCGAGATCAATGGCTGAGTACTGAGGTGGTTTGAATCCCAGTCTTTGCATTGTCAGCCGAAGAAACCCCTGAGAGCGTGACAGTAAAGGGAGCGCTACAAGAGCACCGCCACCCGCCAGTATAGTAAAGTGATTATATGAACAGTCCCCTCCCGCGATGAATTCGAGCAATTTGTTGTGCTCTGTAGAGAGTACTATGTACATGATCAAATTGCGGGCAGAAGACAAGTGGATGCACATGATTACTAAAAGTCCATAGACAGTGGAAAGCCTGTAATCTATCTCTTCATTCCGTCTGATTTCTGTCAAAGCCTATATGGGCTCGGAGAGTTCTATCGCATGCCGCCCTTGTGTACAACTTCTGTTTCAATGAGAGGGTTCCTGTAGCTTCTAACTGACTCCATTAAAAGCTGGCCGGTCTGCCCTTAATCATGTTACTGGGATGAGGCTTATTATTCGCAGTAAGGCAAGCCCGAAACAATACCCCCGAGCCAGGAAGATAGGAAGGCAAAACTGAACCTAAGCTAAATGATAGAATTCATATAATTGAGAGGATAGATGCACAAAGAAAGGGCACCGACGAGACTTAACAACAAACCCATCCCCCTAATAATGCTGAGCATTTATGCTGATAGCTAGAAGAATAGGACCCAGTTCGGCCATGGCAGTGGCACTGTTAGTGCTCCAGGGACCAAATTGGCGTATCACCACGAAAGGACTGTTGCGGATATCTCCTGTCTGGAGATAGTTGATGTAATCAGCATTGTGCTCAGCGACAGAGATATAGATCTCCTGCCTATCTTGTGATATAATAAGACGACTGCCAGGTACTGAGTCAGCTTTGCAGAGAACGCGCCTCAGGGTTGAGGGGTTGATGATAGTGAAATTTTCACTTACGGCTTGCTTCGACATGTAGGGAAAGACGATTTGAAGTCTGTCAGTAAGCTGGCAACAATCCGGTGGCTCTCTTGTATACGAATCTGCGGCTCCTTCGTCTGTCTGAGTACCGGCTTGACCTCTATTATATCACCGCTGCGAGTGGCTCCGAACCCGTCGCGGGGCAACGCCAGGAGATTTCCGTCGTCGACGATCATCCATCCAGAGCGTTAGCCACACCCCTTCAAGCGACACCATCGGGCTGGTTACAAGCATTTAAGACTGCAGGCTTTCTCATGATCCTATCCAGGGCGGAAAGCCAGTCCATACATCAACCGTGACAATGGAATCCGTCACCGAGTCTCGTGATCGGTATAATCTCCGCAAAGCGCTCACCGTCATGGAAAGGGACATCAACGCCCTTGAAAAGACGGATATGCATACCCTGGACCAAGGCGTGCTGAAGCGGTGCAGAGTCCGGACTCTACCCTTGAGCCTTGAGGGCGATGACTCGCTCGCACCAACGTTTTTCATGGCCTTGGCTCCCGAGAACATGCCAGAGCCAACGGAAGAATATGTCGACCGAGAATACAGCACCGACAGTCTAACCCTGTCCAGCGAACGCGGGCGACTGATTTACCTTTACCTTTCGTCATACGTTCGCAAGCTGATGATCGACCTCCCGGAGGTTCAACGAACGTGGTCAAGCAACCAGTAAGCCTTTGGTGCCACCACCCCTTGTTCAAACGTTCGCTACTTATCGGTTCCCCAGGATCGGCGATTACAATTTTGGGGATCTCTACCGGACCTTTCCGCCTGAATTTGGCACGTTATCGATCATTCATGTTGCTAAGGCTTCGAAGCCACATATTAAATGCATCATGCACAACGACCTTGACGCAGATGATAGTCATCTACTCCGTGGGGAAATACTGACTGTCATCCGGATCATGCTGGGTCAACTGAAGCAGAAGGTGTTTGTCAATCATATGGTAGCGCCGGTAATTGTACCTCATTCGAAGCATTCTCAACCAAACAGAAAAAATAAAATAAAAAAGGCTAATCATGATGCCAGGTTCTACTGTTTTCTATGAATCGACGGCATCCGCGTGTCATTGAGGCATACTTTGATGGCCAGGAGCTGTTGATGCGGCGCACTAGTTCCTATGACTTTACGTTTTTGAATGCAGATGGGTTCAAGACCTTTGCACAGTGGTTCCTGGGCGGTCCGATTGGTGATACGTCTAGAGGGCTGGCCCGGACTTAATGTTTGGATCATGGATTGGCGGTGCTTGCGTTAAGGTGTTTTCAGGGTTCTATAACATCCTCATGGGTCAATGGGTCTTGGAACGGTTTAATATGTGCTCGTTCCTTCGTTTCTATTCTTTGTAAATCCATCATACCGAGTGAGTCTTTCATATGCTCGCCCCGTTAAGGGTTTTGTTTCATAAAGCCGAACATTGAATATAGGTCTAGAGCTTTCTACATTGTCTCATACTATTGGTAAGTCTATGGACAAGCTACTTTGTTGCGTTGGCACACCAAAAGGATGTATGGAATGAGGATGGCATGCAGAGGCCAGGGCTGGCTAATACAATCCAACGGCTTTCCCGTAGAATGTATGAAACAAGTCTCTAACGTCTAGACTCAGTGTAATCAATATATCCCGGTCTGCTCCGATATTCAGCAATGAGGGGTCCCCACCTGCGGACGGGTCTACAGACGGATCACTGAACGAATGAAGCTCTGTCGGGATATCCGAGTAATCAAATCCCTCAACAACGCCACCATTTGAAGTTTGCTGGCAGAAGTCGATCTCACCCGCGGCATCCGTAAATCCTTGGATGTCCGTCGGCTGGGGAATCTCAAGAGGTGTGTCTGAATAGAATGGCACGCCAGAGTATGTATCCGGGCCTGTCCACAACGAAAGCTGTGGGCCTGTTCGAGATGTAATATTAACAGTTGGTGAGGCTGTAGAGCCAGTTTCCGCTGTTGGGTCACCACTTCTAGCGTTGCTGGGTTGATCTGAGATCCTTTGAGATCCTTCACTCCCAAGTGCTGACTGGCCCGGGCTCTTAGCTTATTGCGACGACGGCCCCTCAAGAGGCTTAAAACGCTCGATGAGACTGTTTAAAACAAGACCAGCCTTTTCGGCCATTGGGTAAGAGTCAGCCATCTCAGACAAAGCCTTCACACAGTCCCAAAAGAGCTGACCATGTGAATCGTGACTTGTAAGCCGGAAGTTGATGAGATGGATAGTTGCGGCGATGAAGGTCATATGGACCCCATTGGGAGTTATTTGCCTGATATCATACAGCTCACGGTAGTCACGAACCAGCTTCGCGATATTGGCAGCAGATATGGCGCAGGTAATTGTAGAAGTTGTCAGAGAGGAATCAGGCGCCTGGGAAAGCTCTTCTCGGGCTTTCGAGAATCCAAGTAGAGGGCGATGGACAAGGATGAGATTGTAGTAGAATTGCATGCTGGAACCAGTCAGAAGGTCGGTCTTGTTATGCAGTTCCGTATTTTTCGGCACTCACTGTAAGACCAACACCGATGGTGGAGTTAGTGTCGAGCTATCTGCTGTGGACCAAATTAGATCGTCTGGCAGGCTTTGTTGCCAATTCCATAGCTGTCCGTGAATTTCGAAGGCGATCTTCTTAAGTCCGTCTTTGGCGCTGTGGAGATGTCGCTGGGCATAGAGACCAAGCAAAGTCCTCCCGCATATTTGACTCAAAGACACGGTGTGTGGAAGAAGATGACAGGATATATACGGCGCGTTCAAAGGCTGGGATTGAGGGGGACCGATTGTGATGTCCCAGTCCATCAGCATCATCGGTCGTTGGCAGTAGGCGCTGTAGAGTCTGCGGTAGAGTGGACGTTAGCTTGGGGAAAGAACGAAACCACGGTCTCCAATAGCAGTGAGGGTTAATGACAGACCTGTCCTCGATGTAGGAACCCCAAAAAGCGACCGATCGATATCTAGCCTCCTCCTCAGTGATCCTTTTGCTCGCCACCATCCTGGAACAATCGAGATGCAGACCAAGCTTGGTCACAACTCGGAGTGCAATTCCTTGACAGAATCAGCAGATGACGAAGTTGACAATCTGAACAGAGCACGTACCGCTGAAGGTCCACCCAAGCGAGCTGTCGACAAAGGTGCCATATCGTGATTCAATCAGAATGGCAGCTTGAGCAGTTGTCACGGTTGGACATTCCATTTCCAGATCGAACAAGGCCCTCGCCCGTGCATTAAAAAGATCGCCCGGAGTCCCTCCAGCTGAGGCGTACCGCTTCACGCCTCTGTCAGTGCTTATAAGAGAGGCTAGCGCTAACATCGAATAGAGCAGACATGGGGTGTAGTAATTTCGGTCACCGATTCCGTTACCGCTTCGAGCAAGTTCGCGATGTCGTAGAAAGATGTCGCGGTCTATGATCAAAAGGTGCGATGCTTGGTACGTCCAGAAAAGCTCCGGAAGGTGAGAAACAATGGGTTCTGGCTCTATAAAGTCCTCAAGGGAGGAGGGCGAGATGTCTTCTTTCTGTGCAAGGTGACGCTTGACATCGCTAAGATGCTTGGGCGATGAAGACTGCCTATCGCCATATGGCAACATGCTTGACGCTCCGAAATAGTGTTCATTTCCATATTTATCTTGGTCTAGATCTCCCGACGGAGGGGTCACTTCGTCCATGCCAATCGGAAATTCTGGGGGGTCTTTCGAGTTCTCCACATGTTCTCTCGAGCTTACTGAGCTCCCCGAAGCTCCGAAAGAACCGAAACAGCCATCTATACCAGGAATTTCGAGGACTCCCGAACTGGAGTGAGATGGCTGCTTAGGATCAAAGCTGAATGTTGATGCTTCGGGTGGTAAGTCCGCATCCGAGCCAGCACGCGAGCTTAGACAAGAATATCTCATCTGCAAGGGGGCTCCATCAGAGCCCGAGGCTTGCTGAGCTGACAGGATTGCAAGCTCGCGCTCAAGCATTGCGACGCTAGCCTGGAGCGGCTTGACTCCCTGGCGCTGTTTTCGCTTGTCGTCCCCATGTGAGCGCAAGTCACATTTTTCGTTTCTCTCACGACAGGTGCTGCAGGATTTCGTCGACCCGAAGACTTGTTTCGAAATGTCGCATCGTCTCTTTGACTTCTTGCATTGATGACATGCGAAGCTGGCGCGGCTGGTGTGCCGGTCTCGTTTTTGGGGTTCCAGTTTGCTTGTCATCCGGAACGAGCGCTCTCGGTCGAGGAAATCGGTCGAAAGCAGCCTGCGACTGGAGATCAGGGCAACGAGAGCAACAGATTGTCTCTAGATGCGAACGACCCCGCCATCGCCCAGTGTCGTGGTGTTCGCGGGGTGCAGGGCGATTGAGCAGAGGTGGCGAGCGGGTCATCGGAAGTTATTATCCGCTCCAATATATCGAGCATACTAATTGGCTCTGTGACTTATTAGTTGGCGACCCACTATCGGCCAGAATTTCCTCGTTCACAATCACCTCGGCGCAAAAGGGCGCGAAGGGGGTTGATGGCTTTAGCATGACGGGGGACGTCCACGGCTTTTTTCAAGGGAAAGATGGAGGAGCCACTAGAGCATGTAAGAGCTGTTGCGGAATATCTTTTTCCGGTTGCAGATCACCCCAAAATAAGGCTTGCTAGGACTGAATGCTCGCGTCGTTTTCGTATTCATTTCACTCTTTCGTTGTGGTGTAGATTACTGGTCGCCACTAACATGATCCTACGTGTTAAGATTGTCACCCAACAGAACAACATATCATAGACTGGAACACAATCTCAACCAAACATCCACTGTAATTAATCAAGGTACGGCTTAGGCGCAATACCCTTCAGGATCCCCTTGATCCGGAGAGACAACTTCTTAGAATGGTACCGACTGTGTTGCAGGGAGCCCACCATGAACCAGAGGTTATCAACGCCACTCAGCTTCCAGGCACCATTGAACTCCCCCTCCTCATCTATACCCCAGATTGGCTTGCACTGGCCAGCAATCTCATCGCCGAAGATCTGACGAACAGACTCAACTGTGCTAGAGAACCCCGTAGCCAAGATGACCAGGTCATATCTTTGGGCCCGCTCGCCATTCAACACAACGTGGTCTTCAGTGAGGCGAATAGGGTATCCCTGCTCAATCTTAATTTTGCCGTCTATAATAGCACCACAAGCACTAGCTTCGAAGTAGAAGCCACCGTTTCGCGTATTGGCAAGGGTGTGAGGACCTGTGTCTCGCTGGCCTCTCCACACCTTGAAGCCGGCTTTTTCCATCTTTGAAATTAATTCGGCATCTGCGTCCCAGATGTCCTTCGCCGTTCGACGGAACAGCTCCTCAGCGGGGCCAGTAGGAAGAGCGTAGGCAACTCTATCGGAGGTGTCAATGTCCGCCCGTTTCTTGCCTTCGGGGTTGTATACAGGCGCGATCATCTGCGCAGGTCTTAGCCTTTTGTGAAACTGGTCACTGGTTAGAGAACATACTCTTGGGACGGACTCATCCAATGACATAAGATATGTGGGAGACCTCTGGAGAAGAGTGACGTCGATACCCCTCCGAGCGAAGTCGTACGCAGTATCAAATCCCGATGAGGATGTCCCAACTACCAAGGCCTTCTTGCCAACCCACTCACGGGAAGAGTGGCGATGCGTCGAATGTTTCACCGAGCCCCGGAAGCTATTAATACCGGGAATATCCGGAACAAATGGCACACCAGCAAGCGAAATGGCCAGGACAACGTGTTTGGGGTGGAAGATGCGTGTGTACTTTCCACCGCCAGTACCCCGTTGTACGGTGACGTACCAACCTCCGTTGGTGTTCTTCTCGGTGGAAATGACATTGGAGTTCGTCCAGCATGTCAGTTCAAGCGCACTCGCATACCACTCGTGCCAGTCGGCCATCTTACCAGCCGGAGTGTAGGTGGGCCAGTGCTCAGGGAAGGGAAAGTAGGGGAAATGGTCACCCCAGTGAGGAAGATGAAGAGAGAGATATTCATATCGATTCCGCCAGTTGTCACCAATACGTTGGTTGCGCTCAACCACCAGGGCAGTGACGTCCAACGCCTTGAGGCGCGCAGCAATGGCAAGGCCACTGGTACAATATTAGCATAATTGCGACCAGTTAAGTCATACACCTGCAACAGCTCGCTCACCATTGACCGCCGCCGATGACAATAACATCAGGCTCAACCCCTTCCAAGTTGTCGTCCTCGGCTCGTTGGCTATACCACGACTTGTCGCCAGTCATATGGTCGTCCCCAGCTGGGACCTCAGGGTGACCGTTGAGGCCTTCGATGACGGTGTGGAGAGACCAAATCCTGTAGCCCGACTTGGTATTGACGAGGTTCAGGGCGCCACTGGCACTAACAAGGTCGGTATGGAAAGAGAACATGACCTGAAGCCAGGAAAGGTCTGGATAAGGTCTCTCAACCGAAGGCATGGGGTCAATGAGCTCGAAATTGCGGACAGGTGTACGCGGAAACAGGTCGGAAGCCGCTCGCTGGATACGGCCTGGAGTATTGAATGATCGATAATCCCAACTGAACACCAGCTTGTCTCTCCAGACCCCTTCTTAGGTCAGCTCCGTTGTTCACATATGCAAAAAAAAAACTTCTAACTCACCGTTGTCTAAGAACAGTTCGGCAAAGGCCTTGGAGTCATGTCTCTCGATAATTCGCTCCAAGTCCTTCAGAAATTGCTCAGCAGTAGCGTTCTTGTGCTTCTCATCCTCGGCGCTAAAGTCCAAGATATCTGCGCTTCCGATGGTTGGAAGAGGAAAATCGTACTTAAAGTCATACATGAAATCGTCGGAAAGCGGCGGCTTTGTAAAAGCATTTTTGTAAGTAAACGGCGCATTCTTCACGTTGTCGATGTCGCTCTGGGTCGTAGCCCCTGTGCCGTTCACAACAGTCATATTATAGGGCTTGTTTGGTGTAGAAACCAGATTGATTGTTATAATGGCTCTCTACTGCTTGTGCGAACGCATATAAAACAATCAGGAGGCGGAAAATTGGAAAATGAGCTACCAAAAGTCCGATCAGACAGCAGTACTAAGTACCGATTTTCCGGGCCCAGATGACACAAACAACACCTGACACAGTGTATGACATGTTAGCTTCCCATGTTCTAGCTTCCATTTGAGCCGATCAGAGCGCGTTATTGGCAAACGAAACACATGCGGAGTGTCGACGATTCTTGGCAAATCTACATGTTTCTATCCACGCTTGACAGCCCAATTTCTGCCATCTGGGGAAGATACGGAATTCTTGAAAAAGCCCAGATGAAGAGACTGCCAGGGACAAGTTTCGAATCATGGTTTTGACAAAAGAGAATGAACTTCATGAGAGCCTACGGCTCTACAAGCGTACATGACTTCGGAATTCAGGTATTGATTGGATTGACAGTACTCCTTGGAAAAGCATCCCCGCGAATTGACATTTGTCGCTAGACACAGGAAACAATATCGCTTCGGAATCTAAGAACAAGGATGCAGTCGGGAAAAATTGCCCCTCTCGCAGCAGGGGGGATCGAAAGAAACAACTCCAGTCCAAACCACAGTTGCTAATCCCACTAAGGGGCTCCACACTCTCGCCCTGTTGTCTATGACGTCACACATTGGGATTTCGAAGTCAACTAGGGGCGATTGTATGTAGAAAACTACGTGAAATATCACACTACGTTTCAGAAGCCCCCGGTGTTCAGCAGAGAACGCATCGCTAAGGAAAAGAAGACTAAATCCATTGATAATGAAAGTTCAATCGCGTAGCACTATTCAATTCTTCTACGTCAAAATGCCGACGATGAAGTCCTCTTCCCGCTGGGACCAGGTCGTCTTGAGTCTGCCTATGTTTGAGTCTCGTATGACGAGGCCATCGTGGATAGACTCACGGAAGAGGCTGCGACTTGTCGACTCGGATGAGAATCTTGACATGCCTTTCCTTGTTCTTGATGAGCTCATGGATACCGTTCTCTTCAAGATCCTCCAGCTCAATGCGAGAGGTAATCATTTACTCAATGTCCTTTCCCGTAATAGCACCCCGGTAAATGGCGTCCAGCACAGACTCGAAGTCTCCCTGAGAGAAGGAGAGGTCCGATTTGATGGTTTTGCCGTAATAGAGAAGCTCATGCATGTCGACAATAGCTTGGGGACTCGTGAGACCTTAATGTGTATACTAGAATCTTGAATAACTCACAGGCTTGCTCCATAGGGCAATATTGTAGTACATGCCATATTTCCGAATGGCCTTCACGCCTTCGGTAATTGTGGCTTGAACTCCGGAGGCGTCAAAGGCAAAGTCAGGACCGACGCTAACAAAGATTATTACCAGCGGATAGGAAAGAGCGGGGATCAACTAACCCTTGGCAAACCTCCTTAGCACGAGCAACGACATCGTGGTGGGTGGGATCGAAGGTATGAGTGGCACCAAACATAGCCGCTTGTTTATGTCGCGCCTGGGATGGCTCCGAGGCCAGAGTCTGTGTGATGCCTTTCGCCTTCAGGCAGATCATCACAGCAAGACCAATGGGACCAGCACCAAAGACGATCGCTGACTGACCCGCTCGGATACCCGAGTTTGTCACCGCATGCCAGGCAACAGAGAGTGGCTCAATCAAGGCACCAGCTTCGAGGAACACACCAGGTGGGAGGACATGGCAGACGGATTCGGGGATCACGATACTCTCACAGAGTCCGCCAGGGTTGGCTGACAATCCCAGAAACGCGGGCTGGTCACAAATATTACGCTTCTTGATAGAGCAAGCATAACACTTTTCGTCCGTAAGCAGGCCTTCGACAGCGACTGTACTGCCAACCTTCAACCGGGTAACGGATGGATGAATTTCTGTAACTGTGCCAGAAAATTCATGGCCAAGGGTAATAGGCATCTTGTCACCTGTTAAAGGATGGGGATTTTGCTCGGTTGGTGGGACCACCGGTCCATGGAGATATTCATGAACGTCAGTGCCACAAATACCGCACCACGCTGGGGCAAGACGGATCTCTCCCTCCTTTAGAGCACCTTCTTGTGGAATGCTCTCCAGCCTGATATCCTTGTTTCCATAATAGCGGAATGCCTTGACAGTGCTTTCGAGCTTCGCCATACTGGCGGTGTGAAGAAAGTAGGGTAGCTTGGTGGGTTTGGCGTGTTACTCTCCCTTGGGGGTGCAATGATACAGCTCAAATAACCAAGACCGAAAGCGTTGTGCCCAGTGGAAGTCTAAGAATGATTTGAATCAGCAAATGTACCCATCTAAGCGGAAAGCCGGCGGTCATAACCTGCGAGCTTGAGAATATGACCTTGGTCGGATGATTATTTTCCAAAAGCGTAGTACTTTGTACCCCGATGTAATGCTGTATCTCACATCATTACTCTCGAGACTTCCGTCATGCTTCAATGATTCCAGAGGGAATCCTTCCAAGGCAGACTCAGCATGGAAACTTGACTTTACTATAAATGAATAAAGGCTCTTTTTGGAAAGTCAAAACTAAGATATCGCATATGAACATGTCTCTTCACTAAAAGATGACGACAGAAGTAAAGCCATCGAAGAACAATTTTATATATTCAATACATGCTCAGACACATGAGGGTTGGTTATTGTGTTCAAGTGTACATCGACAAGGCTACCTGTCTACTAATCTACATGCACAACGCAGTCCCTGCCCAGACGGATAGTCTTGGGAGGACAAAAATGCCATCGTACATGTGGGTGGCTATCGATTTTCCACTTTTCCGCCTGCGCTAAGCGTAGAAGACATTCATTTGCTAAAACAAGTAACTTCGTTTCACATACCTGACCGAGCCTTTCAGAGTTATTATACAGGTATTTCCTCGCTGGAAAACGCTCAACCAATGCCCATGCTTTCGTTTTTCGTGCAATTTCTTCCCTGTGGGTGATCGAGCGCCAAGGTGAGACAGATCGAATGCAAGGACTAGCATTCCTTAGCGTGGCAGCCTAAGCCTGAGCCTGAGCCCACTCGCCCTGTCTTCCACATTCTCCAAAAAAAAAAAAAAAAAAAAAAAAAAAAAAAAAAACAAAAAAAACAATCAATCTCCACCATGGCTTCGTCCAAGCCATTCCCCACTCCTCTGATCATTCCGCCCAGGAGCAACCAACACACCCATACGTTTATTCTCCTGCACGGCCGCGGCAGCAACGCTGAACAGTTCGGTTCGGTCTTTCTTGAATCCACCGACATTGCGCGGCGTCTTCCAACCGTCAAGTTTATCTTCCCTACGGCTAAAAAGCGTCGCTCCACGGTGCTTAAACGAATTCCAATACGTCAGTGGTTCGATAACTATTCTCTCAAGAATCCCAACACTCGAACTGAGCTACAGGTTGATGGGTTAGAGGAAACTAACCGCTTCCTGAGAACATTGGTTGATGATGAGGCACGGTTATTCAAAGAATCGAACTCCACCACTGAAGATGTATACAGTCGTATTGTGATCGGTGGCCTGAGTCAAGGTTGTGCGGCATCCATCTTTGGTCTCCTGGGAGGCTTTTCCGGACGACTTGGGGGTTTCGTGGGCATGAGTGGGTGGCTGCCTTTTGAGAGCGAGATTGTTGAGTCGTGGAACTTGGACGTCGAAGATGATGGCCAGGATGATAATGACCCCTTTGCTCATGATGATGAGGATGACGGCGAAATTCCTGCTTTTATCAGGGCCCTGAATCATGTTCGGGATGTCCTCGATTTACCACCCTTGCAACACGAAGGAGGCACTAGCTTGGAGGATGTGGTCCATTTGCAAACCCCGATATTCCTAGGTCATGGATCTGCAGACCCAAAAGTATCAGTCAATCTCGGACACCGAATGGGATGTGTCCTGTCTGATTATTTTGGGATGGATGTGACGTGGAAGTCATATGAGGACTTCGGACACTGGTACAAGGTACCAGATGAGATTGATGACGTGGTGAACTTCTTGAAGGAGAAGGTCGAAGTTCCATCTGTCGATTAACTCAGGGTTACTCTCTTTACAATCTCAGGACGGAACCTGGTCGATGCCTTGCCTCCTATGAATCATGTCCAAACCCCGCCGGGGTCCTTATCCACTAGGAAATACGAGAGAGCCTATCCCAGATATTCCCTTTGTCGTCGACGATTATGCTCCAGATTATGATATCATGGTCCCATATTCTCTCTCAAATACTTACCACTGTTGATGAAAGTGCACTCCGAACAGGGTTTGGCTGGCACAGGTTATTCTTCTAGACTATTTCCTTTTTCGGCATTTTGATAACTCTCGCTGTGTGTTTGATAGAAAGTAAGGAAAAGCTCCCGCACCCGGCGCTCCCGAGCGGTTGTAATGCTTGTATTAAGGTTTGAAGATCGCTAGACGAGCCAGGCAGTGTTTCAAGTTCCAGACGAAACGTGTTGTCTGCATTTCAGAGCCATCTGTCTAGCGTAAATGGCTTGGGTCTCCTTGCAGCGGGTAAACTTTGTTCGGTGCAGAGTAATGAGTACACCGCTTGTCATGAAGACGGTGATCATTTTGTGATAGGACACTTCTAACACGTTGATGAACAAATCATGTCTTGAATGAGAAGATTCCATTGATTCCTAGCTATTTATACATTGACTTCTACCTTCCTGGCTTCGACCCTCTTTCGGTTGACTGGCAGTATGCACTCCCAAGTATCATTTTCAATCTATTTCATTTGATTTCTCCTACAATTTGATCTCTCTCCTCCTCGTTCCTTTCTTCTCTTCTCCTCATTTTCATTTTCCTTTTCCATTGTTCCTTTTCATTTTTCCCCCTCCTTTTTCGCCCCGAGATTCGTCACGTCCGATGATGCATGACAAACCAGTGAGCATCGTTGCTATTCTCTCGGCTGCAATTGCCCAGGACAAGTACTGGGAAAATGCCTTTAAAAAGGCCGTGGCAAACGCCCAGATTGAGGCCCCAATTGCAACCAAGAGACACGGCATCACCTCTCTCAACGGGTTTTACACATTCCTAAGCAACCTCTTAACATGGGTGCCTGTGGAAAACAGCACCTCAGGCGAGGTCCTCGAGAGGCTAATGCTCATTCACTTCATTTTCAACCAAAAGCCCATATACAAACTGCAAAGTCCAATCCACCCCTCCACGGCAAGAGCGCCTTTGTCCTGGCTCTCTCAGTGGATGATAGTCTACGCAAAATGCCTAGGTCTCTTTCTCGACACACCAGACTCCCTCACCGAACAGTCGTTGCAAACGTTCAGAGGATCACCACACTATCGACTTGAAGACTACATCGAGCCCGAAGGCGGCTGGAAGAGCTTCAACGAGTTCTTCGCGCGACAAATCAAACCTGATCGTCGCCCGATAGCCGAAAAAGAAACCCCGCCCACCATCGTGAGCCCTGTGGACTGCGGATTTGCGGGCTCCTGGCCAGTGGACGATACTGGACGCGTTACCTTCAAAGGAATCCCCTGGGAGATGACCGAGCTCCTCCAGGACAGCCAATACGCGGACGAATTCAAAGGGGGAACATTCATGCACTTCTTCTTAACGACTACCAATTATCACAGACAGCATGCGCCGGTATCCGGGCAGGTCCTAGAGGCGAAGACAATCCAAGGACAGGTCTTTCTGGAGGTCACTCCAGCGGAGGGATCATTGGAATCACGAAGGAAGAGCAAGCCTACGGGAAGCTCGTTGATCGCTGTCGATGGAGAAGGCTTCCAATGGTGTCAGACGCGCGGCCTCGTTGTGCTTGATACCCCGGTGGGCCTGGTCGCAGTTCTACCTGTTGGGATGAGCCAGGTGTCTTCTGTGAGGTTTACAGTTCGTGAGGGCGATGAGCTACGCAAAGGAGATGAGATGTCGTTTTTTCAGTTCGGTGGGTCTGATGTCGTGCTGGTCTTTCAGCAGTCGAGTCATGTGGAAACTTTTGTTGATCCTGATCAACCGCTCAAAATGGGCGAGAGGATCGGAAGGTCTATGGCATATTAAGATAATGGTCCGTTGAAAAGCCTTGACGGCCTCCGTTGTTGTCTTTTCCTTTCTTTTCCTTTTCTTTCATGTGCAATGTTTTATAGGAGCACGAGCGGCGAGACCACAGGGTCAGGGACCAGACCGGCCCAGTCTCCGTAGATGTAAGCACTCAACTATATGTTTAGGGATGATGCATAAAGTAAATATTTGAAAAGGTTCTAACAATTAATTCTCTAAACTCCTGCTACTATCAACAAATAACATGTAACTTTATATCACAGGCTCCTGGTTATAATCCTCATAAGATGTTTTCTGTTTAAAGAAAAGCCCGGAACTCACCACTTTTCACCCTTCAGCTTACTCTTACTAGTCGCCAATTGTCCAACCGAAGAGATCGTCGAGCTCCCCAAGATATCGAAAACGGCGATATCTGCCTGCACCTCCTTGGTAAACCAGCTCCGCAGTTCCACCGCCACCAACGAGTCCACACCATATTGGTGCAGAGGCTTGTTAGCATCGAGCTCAGGCATAGCGATCGAAAGCGCCTTAGAAAGCTTGGCCGTAAGTGCTTGAATAACCGCCGCGCTGGCCTCTGCAAGTGACTGCGCCTCTCCCAACATAGCAGCGACATTGGCACTTTCCGCTGAAGAGCCGGTGTTGCTACCCGCTCCGTTCCGCGGAACTAGCCGTTGGAAGAGCGGCTTGTCAATCCAGTAATCGACGTCATAGTTGATCTTCTCCACCCGGGGTGCCAGTCGGAGAGCAGTCTGACAGGTGGATGCTGTGTAGGGCCCCGCGTGTGGGTCACAGTAAATATCCAGCACGCCATGCATCTCCGGCTCAGTGATGACGACGAAGGGCGAATTGTTCAAGAACTTATCCGCTAGTTTTGCGTCTTCGACAATGGCACCAGTGAAACCAACGGCACCCAGATCCAAGGATGTCGCTTTTTCTCCGAGCCCGACACGATGGCGCGCCAGGGCGTCTTGGAAACTGTTGCCCGCAGCATAGTTGGCCTGGCCTTTGCTTCCGACAAGGCCGGTGATGGACGACAACATAACGAAGAAGTCCATGCCGGGGGGAAGCTGCTGGTGAAGGTTCCACGTGCCCTGGATTTTGGGGGATGCTGCTTCCTGCCAAGCCTGGTGGGTCATCGACCCGAAACTGGAATCCCGCAACACCATCGCGGCTTGGATGCATCCCTTGAACGGGGGCATGCGTTCCTGGCACTCGGATAAGACTCTGGCCAGGGATTTCTCATCTGCCACGTCGCAGCGCGGTATCATGACATTTGCGCCCTTGGCGGAAAGCTCTTGCAATAGCTCAGCGGATTTGGGACTGCGGGCCCCGGAGCGTGAGAGGAGCAGCAAATTGCGCGCACCCCGGTCAACCAGCCAGGTGGAAATTGTACGTCCGAGGCCTCCGAGCCCACCCGAGATGATATACGTGCCATTGAAATCTAGGGACGTGCTGGGGTGAGTGTTCAAGACGGTCTAAGAAGGTTAGTGCCGTTTCAGAGAGGATAGAGCAAATAGAATGGGGTGTCCTACCTTGACTTGATCCTTTCGCATCTCAATAACTATTTTGCCAATATGCTTTCCACTCTGCATTGAACGGAAGGCCGACTCCATGTCGCCAATACCGTAAAGCTGCACTTCTCGTGCTGGCTGAAGCTTGCCTTCTGCCATCATCTTGAACACAGAATCCAGCGCCGTCGCACATTTGTCTGGTCGGTCATTCATCATCGAAGCCAGATTCACCGCACTGAACGAGACATTGTGGAGGAATTGGCCCATTGGAAGGCAGTCGTTGGCTAGAATATCTTTGATCCCAATTTCTATGAAGCGACCATACGACGCGACGCACTCCCAGGAAGCCTTCAGGCTTTCGCCTGCTAAGGAGTTGAAAATCACATCGATACCCCTACCATGGGTGCGCTGCTTGATAGCGGGAGCAAATAGTGTAGAGCGGCTTGAGAAAATGTGCGACTCTGGAAGGCCGTACGTGTCCATGAGAAATTGTTTCTTCTTTTGAGACCCCACCGTTGCAAAAACCTCTGCACCAAGGTTCTGTGCGAGTTGGATTGCGGCCTGCCCAGTGCCACCTGCGCCGGCATGAACTAAGATCGACTCGTTGGGGCGCATACGAGCGACGTCGTGGATCGCAATGAAGGCAGTGGCAAAGTTGACAGGAACAGCAGCAGCGTCGCCGAACGCAACAGGCCCGGTCTTGACCACAGCCTCAGCTTCTTTGACGCGGATAAAAGTCGAAAAGCAGCCCGTGTAGAGTAACGCAACGGCGTCGCCGACCTGGAAACGCTTGCATGCATCTCCTATGCGAGAAACGACACCAGAGCATTCAAATCCAGTGTGGGGTGACTTCAGTTGTCCGACTGCAATGAGCACGTCGCGGAAGTTAACACCAGTACACTGAACCTTGACTTCGATCTCATCCGGTCCCAAAGGCTGACTTGCAAGCTCATCTTCTATGAATTGGAACCCACCAAGTAGGTTGGAGTTGGCACTGTCGAGCTTAAGGGGGACACCGCAATCGAAGCTCTGTACCTTGCTGTGCGTCGAACTTGTTCGAGAGGACATTTCCTCATTCAATGAAGGCGGAGCCACCAATCGGGGAATATGAAGCACGCCGTGATCCTCGAGATACTCCGTATCGATGTCTTTGTTGTTTGCCGAGGCCTGGAGTAGCAAATTGATCACTTTGGTTGTTTGGTGGACCAGATTCTGTACCTCACCAACTTGGTCCAGTGACAGTACATAGCAATGCTTATCATTCTCAGCGGAGACCGCTCGCAACAACCCATCCACCACTCTATGCTGAGGACTCGACGTCAACAAACCACCACCAGAGTTGATCCACAACACATCAGCGCTTGAGCACAGTAAATGCTGCAACGTGAAGAATAGTTGAGTCTCCATTTCAGGCAGTGTCGGGCGTTCCAGGTCAACCAGGAAGATCCGCAAGGATGGTGTTCCCGAGGCTTCCGCCGGAACGTCCTCAATAGGCAAACAGCTGACTGATGTCTTGGTGAGCGGCTGACAATGAGCTGCCAGAATCTCAGCTGAACTGGTCTGTCTGGGCGAGGCTTTGCTGTAATAAATCTCGATATCAGAATTGCACTTCACTGGCTTCGTCTCCTCGACAGCAGTTGCAACCAAAACGCTGCATTCCCAACAACGCGAGTCATCGTAGTCCCGGAGAGCTACATCCAGTCCGGAGAATCCTGTTTCCCGAAGCAAGTCATTCCAACGAGCGTCGTTCACACATGGACCGAACTTGCGGTAAGATTCGGAACCTGTAACCATTAGTAAAAAGCCGGCGTAGATTGGGCTAATCCAAAAGGCACATACTCAACCACCACCCTTCGAGCAGTCCAAAGATAAATGATGTTCGAAGAATGTCATGGGCCGTAAGCTCATTCAGGACAAGCTTTCCACCTCTGCGAAGGAAGTCATTAATTAACATATCTTGAGCTTTGGAGGAGCAAGAGGAGATAATAGATACTTACGGCTTCAATAGCCTGCGAGCATTGATCAACGTCTTCTTGAGATCATGCGTGGCGTGGAGTACCTAAATTATTCGTCAGTTGTTATCTCATGTCTCAAGCAACGCGGAATCTCCTGGCATACCAGCGATGCGACAACCATATCGTATGTCCCACACTCAAAACCTTGATTGCCAGGGTCCTGCTCAATGTCAAGTGAGTTGAATTGAACACGATCTCCTTCAGCCCGGAACAGGTCCTGGGCTTCACTGAAGAACGAGCGGGAGATGTCAGTGAAGTCCCAGCGGGCATATCTCCGCTCGCTGGATTCATCATCGGTGCGACCAAGAAATCGCATGATGATGTCAGTGAAGGATCCAGTGCCGGCGCCAACCTCAATCACCCGCAGGGAGTTGTTCTGATTAGATAGAATGTCCAGGTATGCGCCAAGTCGGTGGACCCCGACCGTGTCATAAAGCTGGCGGGGCAGAGGTTAGCAAAAGCTAAAGAAATTGGGATGACGCAACGTACAGATTCAAAGTAAAAGTCCTTCAGCTGGTTTCCCTCGAACAGGAAAGTCAACGGATTTATCTCGCCGCTAAGAAGTTGTGGAAGATGTCGCGACACATTAGCAATGACATATCCTCGGGAATTCGCCTTGGATGTACGCTCTTCTGCCTGTTCAATGAACACAGGGTCCTTGAACCGACTTATCCAGGGCTCCCGGGCGAACACGACTTCGCCATCGTTAAATCGCCTCTCTTGCTCGATCATCCAGTCAACGTACTTCCTCAGATGTGGTTGCGAGGGAGTGTATTCTTGGTTGCGCAATTCTGATAGTGTTTTGAAAACTCGCACAAAGATTGTAAATGCAAACTCTTCGGATACATCACCCAGGTTATAGTTGTCTTGCACTGAATTGGTGCAGAGATCGACCACCTCATTGTTGGTAAGCAGCTGCGGATCCGGCTTCCATTCGAGCTGGTGACATCTGTAGTCTTGCAAGGTGTCTTCTTTGACATCCTCAGTAATTGTGTCACTGACCACATTCATTTGAAGTCCAATGACATCTACTAGAACTTCTTGTAGCTTGTCATTGAATGCACGGATGTCACCAATAATACCGTGGTGAGGGTCATCAAAGCGGGTGGCGTGTGCTCGGAGAAGCTCCGATCTGGGGGTCTGAGCAAGCCGTTCGTGCGAGATCCACATCTTTTTCAGTCTCCTAGGAACGACCGTGGGAAACATCTCTGTTCCAGATTTCGACAGCGTCCAGAGAGCCTGCTGAATGATTGCGTCCAGGGTTGTCGGATGGATTGTTTCATTGCCCTTCTCGCCGCGGCGGATTTGGCCAACAACCTGGTAATCATCGTCGCGGTGGAACGACAAGTTGCTAATCAACTGGAAGGATTCGCCATAGCCGAGTCCACACTTGCATGCAAATTCGTATATCCCGGCATTGTCCATTCCAGAGATGGCCCTGTGTTGAAGATCAGAGTAGCCTTTAGCTTGATAATTGAGCAATTCTCGAGAGATCCGTTCGTCGTCGCTCTGAGGCGAGGACTGATCGGCCGTGCTATACACGATCTGAATAGACCCAGCACAGCATTCTATCCAGTTCTCATCTTCATAACTGCAAAGTCGGAAGTTGAACGAACTCGGGCTTTTCGAAGCGGCATCCTGGATGGGCCGCATATAAAAGCTTGTCTCAACGGCATCTTTATTGGGTGGGATTCGAACTGCGGCACTGAAACTGGTTTCTGTGATATTGAAACCGCTGATGGCCTTGTCCGGCTCGGCCATTTGCTTTGCGCCTTCGATAGCCATAACTAGCATTCCCGTTCCAGGGTACAAAATCGTACCATTAACCTGTCAAAATAGTTAGAGAACCTGTCTTCCAAGTTAGATCGGAGAGCTTAATGGGGCGTACCTTATGGTCTGAAACCCACGGGATTTCAGACGGTCGGATGATGTTTCGCCATTGCGCCTCCAATGGATTCCAGAGTGGCACGGGAGTTCCAAGCAAGTCATTTCGACCGAACCGACGATGACGGACTCCTCTGCTTATCAGGTTGTGATGCCAGTAAGACCTGGAGTGGTCAAATGGATACTGAGGAAGATTTCCCAATGTCTGCGGACGTCTGACGGGGTCCATGTTGACGGAAGTGAGGTCGACCGGATACCCAGCACACCAGAGTTTACCAACTGCAGAGAGCGCTGTCTCAGAGGCTGAAACGTTGCGCACCAATACAGAAACGTAGGCAACTGATTTTTCCTTCTCCACAGACTTGAGAATGTCTTTGCAGGCGCCCTGGAGTACGGCATGAGGGCCCACCTCAATCAAGTGGTGGATCGGCTTCCGCCTGCGATGACTGTAATCCAGTTTCTTGGTCGGGTCGGTCGATGAACCAGAGCAGATCGTTGATAAGGCGTCAGAGAATAGGACAGGTGAGACCATATTTCGTACCCAATAACGCGGAATACGAAGTGCCTTGGAATCTATCCAGGTGCCAGTAACAGACGAGACCATCTGGGGCACATGCTTCTCCGTCGCAGAAGGCTTTTCTAAGACACCAAGGGCCTCTTCATACTCTTCCGCAATTTCTTGCATCTGCGCTGAATGATAACCAACGCCTACCTTTAACTTTCGAGCAAACACGTTTGCCTCATCGAACTGCTCTTTAAGAGCATCTATCAGGATCTCGTATCCAGAGATCGTGACGCTCGTCGGACTATTGACGCAGGCAATATTCAAGTTTGCCTCCTTCTCTTGGAGTTTCACCGCATCCAAGTAAGGTGTTACATCTTTGGCAGAAAGAGCAACTGCCAACATTGAACCCTGTCTCGGGCTGCTGGTCTCAAGTCTGCCGCTCAATCTTCCTCGTTGATAAGCTATCTTCCAAGCCGACTCTCGAGTGATCGCGTTGGCAGAATAACTAAACAAAGTCAGTGGGCTATATTGAGAATGATAGCGATAACTTACGCAGCAGCAATTTCCCCAGAGGAATGGCCCACCACCGCGTGAGGAACAATATTCCACGCAGTCAGACAATCAACCAGGGCGACCTGAAGGGCAGTACACATGGTTTGACTAAACTCGGGCTTGTTGACACGCGATTCGGCCTGTGACTTTTGGAACTCATCTATAAAGGTTGTTTAGAAGTTATTTCAATCATTATAAAGCACGATACTTACCAAGAAGATCCCATTCACAGCCCAGGGAAGTCAAATATGCCGATGCTGCTTGAATGCTCTGTAGAAATAGGGGAGTGGAGTGGAGCAGCTCCCGGCCCATGGCAAACCACTGTGCTCCTTGCTATATTTCATCCTCGTTAGCGTGCAACGCGAAGAGAAGGCATAGGGTGCTCGCCTACCCCCGAAAATACCAACGCCATATTTGGCGAGGTAAGCGACCGTTCTGCAGGGGCAAATTTATCTGCAATCGTGGTGAAATCATCCGATGAACCGGCGATGGCGAAGGTCTTCCAAGGGTGGTGAGTTCGTCGACTGGCCAGAGTGTGCGCTAGGTCATGCAGAAATGAAGCACGGTTATCGGATTGGATTTCGGATAGAAATGGTTTCCATGTGTCCTGCAGACGTTGAATGCCCTTTTCATCCCATGAGGACCACACTAGAAGCTTTGATACAGCATTTGCGGGCTTTGTAATACTGGAATCACGGGCCTCGACCCCCTGCGGGAAGCCAGGCTTGCGAACGGTATTGTGGCTTCCTGTGAGATTACGGGATTGAAGGTAGTTATAAGCGTCGTCAAGCACAATGTGTGCGTTGGTCCCCCCAAAGCCGAATGAGCTGACTGACGCCCTGCGAAGACCGTCAGTAGGCCATGGCACTGGACGCTTCGCTATCTGGATGGGCATTAGTACTTGCAAGTAAATACTTTCAGTGTCTTCCATACCTTGATGTTCAGAAAGTCGTCATCGATGCGGGGATTCAGACTTTCATAGTTCTCGCTATTGGGTGGGATGAATCCCTTCTCCAAAGCAAGGATTGCTTTCAAAACCCCTGCTATTCCACTACCCCCTTCAAGATGACCGATATTGGATTTCACAGATCCCCTGGTGCAACGTTAAAACAATGAAGGGATCAGGAAATATTAATGAGTCCTTACAGATACAAGGGATCGTCCGCCGAGCGAACGGATCGAAAGACAGAGCCAATGGCCTTGCTCTCAATTGGGTCGCCCACCGCCGTTCCTTTGATCTGAGTCAGCATGGAGACATTCGACGTAGAGCACGCACATACCCGTTCCATGCGCTTCAAAATAGCGAGTAGAGTCCAAATCAAGACCAGCCTTATGATAGGTTTCACGAATGAGCTGTTCTTGCATTTCAATGCTCGGCAACGTGATACCCGGGGTCTTTCCATCCTGATTCATCGCAGTAGACCGTATGACAGATCTAATACAATCACCGTCTCGGATGGCATCCCCCAGAGGTCGGATCACAATGGCGCCGATGCCCTCACCACGAGCGAAGCCATTTCCACGGCTATCGAAGCTGAAGCACCGACTGTCTTTAGACAGAAGACCTAGGTTACTTAGACTGAGGGTGGTTTCAAGGCTGAGAATTGCGTTCACCCCGAGGGCGATTCCCATAGATGCATCACCGCTCCAAATCGATTTGCATGCCAGGTCAATGGCCGCCAGGCCACTCGAGCAGGCAGTGTCAACGGTGACGCTGGGGCCGGCGAGGTTAAAGAACCAGCTCACACGACCTGAAAGCATATTCGGGGAGGTTCCCGTAGCAGTAAACTTGGGGACGTTCAGCGGGTCGTGGGTAAGCATCGCCTGATAATCATTGGTGGACGCCCCGGTGAAGACCGATGTTCTTGAGCGGGCCACCCGTTCCATGGTGAGTCCCGCATCTTCGAGAGCGCGGTATGATGTTTCAAGGGCCAGTCGTTGCTGCGGATCCATCGCACTGGCCTCAGCCGCAGTTATGGAGAAAAAAGGGGCATCAAAAAGGCTGGGATCTTCGGTGAGAAAGTGACCCCCGCGGTTAGACACCGAGTCTAAGCGGTTTGGGTCCGGGTTGTAATGGGCGTCAATGTTGAAACGGTCTGGCGGAAACTCCTTGGATGCGCACCTCCCTTCGATGATCATATTCCAGAATGCATCAGGAGACACCGCTTCCTCTGGGAACTTGAGTGACAGACCTACAACGGCCAGTGCCGGGAGAGGGTCTTGCTGAAATTCAGACATAGTGTGGTGTTAGGGAAATAACTGTCAGAAAAAGATTGTTGAAATTCTTTCTGCTCCAAGAGACTCCGTGGCCGGCCGGCAGAAGAGCCCTTTCTATATGGTCTTCTCTCCGGCTGCACACGACCTCGGTGATAAGCGCGCTTTCATCATCATGCCTTTGAGAATTCAAAGTCGTTGGATCTAAACCCGAGCTTCATTGACCGATGGCTGATCGCTGCTGCAACGGGCCAGATTCCACCAATCCGTTCGGTCCATTGCAGATAGTGCTGCAGTCTCCGAGTCCGATCCGTGTCCATTCCTTTACAAGCTCCCGATCAGACCCATTTGTGGACACAAACGCGCCAAATGATCGTCGCATTCTCGACCAAGCTCCTGGAACGGCGCGTTGCGCCACTGTCCAGACGCTGTCAACAACGCCGATCGCTAGATACATGTGGATGTGGAGGCAAACCCGGCAAAACAGAGCCCATTCAGATGGATGAAATAACCTCCACGATGGTGGAGTAGGGAATGGGAGCTTGGTGTCGAGTCAAGTGCGATCAAGCTCGTGTTGTGGAGGTGAAGAGGAGTTGAAGAGTGGAAAAGTGGGAAAGTGGAGAAAAGCTGGGTGGTTATGTCAGCAGGGCGACGAGGGGTCTTTTGTTCCATCTTTTTTTGGCGGTCATCATACTTTGCGTCTGCCTCGGATGGGCTTAGGATACTTTTTGGCGAGATCCGATCCCAGAGAATGTATACGCCTTCACTTCACAAAGTGTCGAAGAAGCTTTTCCAATTTTGGCTTTCAACCGTGGTTGGCACCGGCCCTTCTCAAAATATACTTCACGCCATGTCGCTAGGATTACAGTCTAAACCCTTCTACTATGCTGACAACACATTAGTAGCTGCGCTTTCTACAGAGTTCAGACTGCGAGGAATTTGTCCCTGTAAGTTCAATCAGATATCACGGAAATATAGTCCTTTTCTATCGCTTTTAAACCTCGACCATGCGCAAATACCCAATTTAGGAAGATGGTCTCGACGCCACTTCCATGCCCTTTGAACAACGAAAATTTACTATTTAATTTCATTCCGAGTGAATGGGCTCTAAACCGAGTGGGATGATAGAGGTGCTAAGCCCTATCGGATTATGTGGTGGCGGGACTATCGGTCATACAATAGTCATGATCTCTAGGTACGGAAACTTCCGATAGGACGAGTCCATTATATGGAAGGTTTGTTATCTCGCCATCGTTTTACTGACCCATAAAGATAAGTTCTATGTTCCTAGCATCCGCAATCATTGAAGGACCACGATATTCCTGGTCTGTGAGGGAAATGATCTGCATAGATTCGGTCTTCAATGAGCACTTGACCATTGACCGTGGAGGCAACGACACGATGTGTATGGGATAGATCATCCATAGCAACGGAACTGTTGTGACCCTCGGACTCCGATCCAGAAGGCAAGCCTTCGATATGTGAATGTCACTTGACGATCTGAGGGACCGAGCTCTGTCAATGACGTGCAAACCACCAATACCATAGATTACGACAGTGCGTTATTTTCTGCCCTTGAAGCTTGTCGATCTCTGAGCTCACGGACTGTTTATCTTGGTCTAGATTAAATTACATCACTGAGAATAGCTATCAGAAGACCTTCCCTAGTGGTGGCCGTTTCTCCAGTGCAAAGGCCCACACTGTCAAGGCTCGGATTCATAAGTTGCTCAGTGCTCGTACTTCTTTTCATCTGAATCCATCGGTTTCAAATCTGCTATTCATTGTTAATCTCACGTCCCTACATCGAACTTTGACCATTCCAACATGCGGTTCTTCTGGTTAGTACACCCTGCACATCTGAAATTTCCCTATAGACTGACAACCGAGAATAGTCTACACGGTACTGGAAGCAATTCCCGGGTGAGCTTTTATGGATCCAACCCACAGACGAAAAGAGGCAATATGGGCTAACTCCCTGAGTTCCACAGCTTCTGCAACAGCAGATTGGTAAGCCACAGCCATCTATCATGACTGTCACTGTTATCTGACGAAGAGACTTAGCTGCTGTCCGATACGAGCTCGGAGGCCGACATACCTACGACTTTGTCGAAGGTTGTTTCCCATGCGAGGCTCATCCCGGTATGTAGAAATTTCGGTTGAGCCTGAATTTTCTTTAACATCGTCCAGCGCTCAAGGGCAGTCTGTCCGCGGACGAGCAAGCATTTTCCTACTCTGAGCCATCGGATGCCGCGTCATGGAGACACGCCGTGGAAGGGCTGGATGATTACGTTGCCAACGAAGGCCCTTTCGACGGTGTGATCGGGTTCAGCGCGGGGGCCAGTCTTGCTATATTGTGGCTGCTTTGGCGTCAACAGCAGCAAGACGTGCCTGTCAAAATGGGAGTTTTCTTCTCCAACGCCATTGGCCCTGACCAGCTAAAGTCTCTTGGGCTGGGCGAGACGGCAGAACTTCAGCTCTCCGCCGAAGATTTGAAGATTCCTACGGCGCATATCTGGGGAAGCTGTGATGACTGCGAGGGCCGGGCTAATGCAGAATGTGGTTTGGGAATCTGCAACCCGGATAGAAGATCCATGTATGTCCATGGTAAGGGCCATGAAATTCCCACCTCGGCAGATGATACTATCGGCATGGTGAAAGCCATTGATCGGGCAATTCTACGTGCCGGTGTTGTTTAACGTTGGCCGGTGACGGGATGGGGCGAGCCGAGAGGACATAGGGCAAGGGGGGATAAGATTCTACAGTCAGTGGAAATTGTCAATTATCTATGATGAGTTTTATCAGTGTCAGATGAAATGCTAACCCGGGCTCATAACTGTCAGATGGGGTAGGTAGGTCACGTGGGTTGAATAGAAATTTCAAATGGCTTGATAGAATAAAGGAAATCGATCAGTCAGATGAAGTAAACAGTTCACCTGGACCACCTAGATCTGAAATAGATAGACCAGAGGTCCTACCATTCGCTATGCATGTAGATAGATGAAATTGATTGAATGAATAAATGAAATTCAATTAAATGAATTAAGTGGGTAAATTAACTTGATAAAAAGAATGAATTAATGCAGGTCATTGACTGCATATTTATAGACAATTGAATCAGGGCTAATTTAATCTGGCCCTAAGTAAATATCGCAAATATGAAATTATCAGATCTTTCTAGGCCTTCACCTGTGAGTCATATTATTAATCTAGGCCTTTAAGATTAACCTCATAGATCATTATTAAATTAATATTTAATTATTTAAATAATTAAATGATTAAGATTTCATGATCAGAATAATCAGAACAATCGAGATTCAACACATAAATTATAATAAAATCATTTAAATAATATCAGAATAACCAGGGTAGCAATATTTACTTTATGGCTTATAAAATGAATAGGCGAGACATTCTAGACCCTTTATATTAATCATCTAAACAAAGCTATTGATCGCAGTGGTTAAAATAAACTTTTAATTTCCTTAATAGGAAATTCATCGAATTATGTTTTCTGACTTCTATAGGATTTTAGCGACCGGTAATTTTCTAATTAGGAAGATAAGCTAGTCCAAAATAGGAAATTCTTCAGAGATTTTTCTTTTTCATTTTCCGCTCACATTGAGCTCAGTTTCACCTCACTTTTCTCATACAATTTGGTGGTGGAAGTGAGAGTTCAATAAAGTGAAAGTAAAGTTGTAGTGAATTTTGAATAATTTTGGTTGTGGGGCTAAATCAGGTGATTCTGATGAATCAGGTGATGTCAGGTGACCCCATTTGATAATCAGCAATATGAAGCACAGGTTTCAACAGTCCTGAGAAGTTCTATCGCTTTCGTTCACCTTGTGTAGCTAGACACGCCATCATATCATCCACTAAAACATTTGCTGCTATTTCCGCTTGAGCTTCTAAACTTTTACAGTTCGTTCTATGTCAATGGCTTGTCGTGCTCTAGAGCCCCGCCTTTCATTGTGACCGCCACTATCTATCCATGTTCAGCTGCCACCACGGCCTTTGCCGCAGAGTAATGACAGTGTAACTCTAACACAATCAATCACGAAAGGAGCGTGTCTGCAAGGTATCATGTATAGCAGCTCCACCACCGTATATCCTTTGCGCGGAAGATTACCATGGACCCTTCTCACGCGATCGAAGTTAATTGTCCTAATCATAGCTAGTGTAGTGGCCATCGCCATCATACCCCCCGGCGGTGGGAGTGGCGAAATTGCAGAAGCACCCGGACCTCAAAGGTTACACAAACAATAGCAGCCACAGCTATCGGAGGCAAAGCTTTATTTGTTGATCTAGGAAGCTAAAGTATATGAAAGCAGAAAGCATATCGCTTGCCCCACATGATCGACAATAGGCAAAGTCAGATTTGCTGGCAGTTCGGATAGAATGGCGGCGGGTTTCCACTCGGAGCCGTTACATGGTCGACCGCGGGTCGAGCAGACTTGGTAGATGCTATTTTGGCTTTGGCTGAAGCTTTTGCATGCGCGATTTTGTCTGAGTTCGTAGCCGTGTCGATCCCAGGGTTCTAGGCTGCCGAGGTACCTCTACAGCTCGACACACGTCAATAGAGCTGGGAAGCTTGGATTCGATCGTCCTGAATGGGTCACGTTACGAAGGATCACCGTCAGTGTTGCTTGCTACGATCCTTGAAGAATCGAATCGATCCGTGTTCTATTTGACTGAGATAGACAAGGTAGACCCGTTGCACCTTTCCTCAACTAAGAAGTTCAAACGCCTCTTTGCCACGGTAAATAAGCTACGATGAACGGCTTCACGGAGCTCGAAGAGAAGGAGTCAACATGCTCCACAGAGAAACAGCCTGAGTTCTTCCTTCACGGTGTGCGATTATGGGTTGCCGGTGCTGGGTGAGCTGCCTTTTGCCTGTCAATTCTTACGCACATCCCAGCTGACAAGATCACTTTATCTCATTCAAGTCTGGCTATCTGCATTTTTCTGCCCACGCTCGAGATCAGCATTGTCAGCACCTCATTGATCACCCTCGGAAACGAACTGCATGGATTTGACCAGACTCCTTGGATCCCCAACGCGTATATACTCACCTACTCGGGTACGTTTCACGCATTCCGCCTGTAGAGCGATACTGACTTTCGGTCAGGCTTCCTCATGATCTGGTCGAGATGCGGAGATATTTTCGGCGTGCGCGCATCTTTACTCACTTCTTTGGCATTCTTTGTCGCGTTCTCGGGCGGATGCGGAGCAGTCCAAAACCTGAATGAACTGTTTGTCTTGCGCCCATCACCATAGCCATGAGACCAGACTGATTGGCAATACAGAATAATATGTCGCGCCTTTCAAGGCATCGGTGCGGCTGGTGTCTTTGCCTTAAGTACCTTTGGCTTTTTGCGCTTGATGCACCCGTCGAGATATGGGACCATCGCCGCCTTAGCGGGTGTTATGATATCACTCGGGTTGGTGCTGGGCCCGATTTGCGGTGGTGCAATCAATAACGCGGGCGGCTGGCGCTGGATCTTTCTATTGAAGTAGGCCAATCTCACAGGATAACCAGCGTCGCATCATGCACATGCATACTGACACCCCTATTTAACCTCACAGCGTTCCAGCCGGCGCCGTCGCATGGTTATGCATCCTTATCGCAATGCCGTACCACTACCCTCACCCTCCACCGCTAAGAAGTGCTACCAACCCGGCAGGGACATGGATGAAATCATTCCTGAAGAATCAGGGGATATTCCTTCGGCAGGTGGACTTCCTAGGCGCATTCCTCATTTTAGCAGCATCGATGCTTCTGGTGGCTGCACTCCAAGAGGGCACCGTCGATTTCACATGGTCATCAGGCGTAATCATTAGCTTTTTTGTCGTTTCAGGCGCGCTCTGGGTTGCGTTTCTGGCATGGATATGGTTCCTCAGTCGACGGTCCTGGGCGATTCATCCTATCCTGCCCTGGCGACTTACCAAGAGTCGGGTATTTATGGGATGTGTCTTGTGAGTCTCGCATCTCTGCCATGACGCTGAAAGTCAAGACACCGAAAAACTCGTACTAATGCATATACGGCTCCGCTCAGAGGATGGTTCTTAACAGGTCCAGCTCTCGTGGTATCCGTCATTGAGCTTCCCCAACGGTACCAAACAGTCAACAAAAGCTCTCCACTCGGGGCCGGCGTAAAGTTGCTCGCATACTCACTCAGCAATCCTGTCGGAGGAATAATAAGCTCAACCTTGATGACCAAATTCAAGGTCCCATTTGTCTATACGCTCGGGGCTGGGTGGGTTCTCCAGAGCGTCGGGTTCTTCCTGATGTCCGAGATTCCCACCACCGTGGATCTTTGGCTCGGCCAGTTCGGGTACTTCGCGATGTTTGGGTTAGGGATTGGAATCACCGGGTCAGCACTGTACATGCTTGTCCCTGAGTCCGTCGACGAACCAGACCAACTAATTGCGATGGGGACGGCAACTCAGGGTCGGCAGGTCGGTGGTGCATTGGGAGTCGCCATCGCCACGACGATGCTGAACACTCATCTCACCGATGGCCTCGCTTCTTTTCTAGCCCCCGAACAGATCGATGCGGTGAAGGACACGGCACAAGCTATTGATAAGTTTCCGGAGGCGGTGCAGATCGACGTCCGTCGGACCTTCGCGGAGGCGTATAACCTGCAGATGAAAATGGTGGGAGGCTTTGCTCTAGCGCAAGTATTGGTTATCGCGATGATATGGAAAAAGCATCAGATTCGCATTGTGAAACCAAGATCGGCGGGTTAGAAATGGCCCGGGGCCAGATGAATTGGCAAATTTTTCATCTAACAATTCGGTTATACGTAGTAGGATAGAGCAATATAAAGTGGTCCCTCCGAAGGATCGTCCTTTGGGTCGCAAGGGTTAACAGCTGTTCGAGGCGGATCCGTACGGGGATTAGTCCAGGTAGCTAAACATCTTAACTCGACTCAAGCTAGCCTGAGCTGGAATGCACTTCGTTCTTATAATGGGGCCAAATCTTTCGACTCGAATATGGGCTGTCAGATTTGGCCCCCGCGTGGATCATTGCACTGCCTCGACCGGGTCGGAGATATTTTTATGGGTCTGATATGGATCTCCTGTCGGGTCGGAGATGTAGAAGCGGTATTAAGCCTTTGCACAGTTGAGGCTGAGAAGCTTTCTCTTGCTAAGCAGTTTGATTTTGTCGAACACCACCGTCTCTCTTTTTTCTTTCTCTTGTTTTTCATTTCGTTCTGCTTTCTTGGATTTTGCTGCGATATAGCGTATCGAAGACTTCTCGGGTCGGTCTATATTCAATCGTTCCAATAGTTTCATGTTCCCGTCTTGGGTTTCTTGGCACTTGGATTTGGTCTCGCTGCAGTTCATCAAAGGTTGTTTCCAGCCTGTCCCAGGCGAAAGTTTTGCAAGGAAATGATGGGAGGTGCAACTGTGGACGCCAAATATCTGGGAGTGTCTCAACACCCTCGCTCATCTAGCTTGAATCGTGAGCAGATGCGCTCAAGGTCAATATGGCAACGGCTCAAGGTCCACATCGCTCCAACTTCATCCAAATCAACACATTCATTACACCACGAGCTCGATGAATTCAGCGGTGATGAGCGAGCGAATGTATCGACGAGCTATCATGGCCCTGAGCTAGCGATGGCAAAAGAGATCAATGAACCTGTCTCTCCCCAGTCTCCTGGGGATACATATACAACAACCAATCCGTTAAATGCAGGGATGCCAGATTGGAAACCGTTTTCTGTGCGGCCATTCTACATTATCCTCTTGGCCATCTTGTCGGCGGCACTGGCTACCGCCCAAGAACTACTCCTCCAAAAGTCCCGGATTAATGAGAAAAAAGGCAATGGCCTGATTCATTATAATACGGAGGCTGAGATTCCAATCGGCCTGTTCATTTGCTGGAAATATGTTCCCACGATTGTCACTGTCGCATATGGCGTTATGTGGCAGGTAGCCGACTATGGAGTCCAACGCATGGAGCCTTATTACCAACTTTCGGGACCCACTGGGAATACGGGTGAACGAACCATTAACCTCGACTATATCACCATGTTCGCCTACTTTGTTCCGTATCAGGCGTTCCGTAATCGCCACTGGGGTGTCCTTATCTCCTCCATGGGGACTATATTTGCCGCAACTGCGGCCCCGGCGCTGCAGAGTACGAGTATCCGGACCGTGGAAAATCCCAAATGCCATCAAGACTACCCAACCTACTGTGATGGCGAGTACAGGTACTTTCTCCGTCTTGAATACGGCTGGTCTCGTGCGGCAACTGTCACTATGGGAGTTGGCGCAATCCTGGCCGTGGTGCTTCTATTCCACCTGCAGCGGAAATCGGGCTTGTATACTGACCCGCGCGGCCTGGCTGGCATTGCGGCCATGGCAGCGCAGTCACCGATTCTGGCAGACTTTGAGACTATGGATAATAACATTCACGATGACATCCATGAGAAACTCAAGGATCGACGATACATTTTGAGAAACTTTCGGCTTGGGCTGCAGGGCGAAGGCGAAATCAAGGAAAAGATCGCCCCGGATTCCTCGAAGCCGCGCGAGCCCGAAAGTCCTCTGCCTATCATCCTGCGACCTATTTGGATGATCTCCTTCATCGTCTTTCTCGGGGGCTGTCTCCCCTGGATCCCCGTCGTGTGCTTCACCTCTCTAAACGTCATCACTACTACATTACCCTGGCTGCCTGTTCTCATCTCTTCCATCATCCGACAGGTGTGGGCCACACTCGACTTCAACCTGAAGTTGATGGAGCCATACTACCGACTCTCCAAAGGAAACGAACGACCGGACAGAACATTGACCCTGGACTACCAAGGCACACCCTACGGCATCCTGCCCTGCAAAGCGCTCTGGAACGGCCACTATCTCGTCGCCATGGTAGGATTTGGGACGATCCTCGGCGACGTGCTCACCGTAACCCTCACATCACTGTCCACGGCGACCGAAACGTACCGGACGTTCTCGATCTCCGCGATTCTTTCTATCATCATCGTTTTTATTCATATTTGCTCTGCTCTGGCGGTCTACTTCCGTCGTAGCAGACGTCCATTTATGCCTCGGCAGCCTGCCACCATCGCGTCGATTCTGGCCTTCATTCACGAATCGCGTCTGCTGGATGACTTTGCGGGTACCGAGATGTACACGAGCAAGCAGATTCGCGAAATGCTGGTTATGAAGAACAAACGATACTCGCTGGGCTGGTTCCAGTGTCGGGATGGGAAGATTCGTTGCGCTGTTGACCAGGAGCCTCGGGTAAGCAAATATATTCATGGGGAGGGTTATACCCCTGATCCTTAGGATGGGTTTTTGGTCCCAGTGGCAGGTTAAAATTTTTGTATGTATATATATGTTACGGGATTTTGGCGTTTGACCTATATATAATTTAATCTCAATTCTGAGAAGACACGAGGAGATGTCCCCTTTTTCACGGTTTGTTGGGTGAAAGGGGTTCAACTCGAACCGCGCCAAGTCCGCAAGGTTCAACTCCCTCGGGGAAAAAAAGCCGAAAGGGTTCAACCCGAAGCCGCGACTGCGGATCCTCGCAACAAGGGATGGGTTGTACGCGCAGCCGATAGTGGTCACTTCACTAATGGAGAATGACAGGCAGACTTTCGACAAGGAAAGAGTTTGTGGTTTTAAAAATTGCATGGTAGTATGCACCAGGTGCTATTCAGAAGCTGTAGTCCAGCTGTTTACTATGTTCCTGGCCAGGTTTCGTTTCATTGGATGAGTAGAGTAATTCATAAGTAGATACTGCTCTTCAATGATACGGATTGGAACTTTATGATTTAGGAATTCTTGTACACAGGAAAAAAAAAAAAACTCCCTACGCCGTGTTCTTTTCGTCATCGAAATCGACATTCTCAGGTGCTAATTAGGACCCATTCTACATAAATGATGTTATAGCATAGAAGCCCTCGATTTGCCATCATTTGCGTGCATAATTCATAAAATATATCTTCAATATAATACTCTATTTTGTATTCACCTAAACCAGTTCTCTCCTCTACCGGAAAGGTGCATGAGTGGGAATTGTGTGGATTGAGCCAAGGTTAGTAACGGGCTGATCGCAGACACCTATCGATCCGTCAGGGAGACGTTGACGCGTGGGAAGAAATCGGCTGTGTTTTGTCGACCTAGGCAGCAGATTATCTAGAATCAATTACAAAGCCCGAATATTAACCGGAATTGATCTAAGTTATATGTTGGTGTGTTAAAACACGACGCTTTCCCCGTGTTTCTGCCCTTGACCTCCACTCCTTGACTCGTTGCAGAACAATACCTTTGAATTCTATTCTCCCTCTTGCGCATAGCAAGGCCAGAGTAAAACTGGCCGAGACTTTCATGATCTGGGTCCATACAAAAATTCAGGCAATTAACATTAGGAGTGAACTACTTTAACTTGTCCCCTGCGGCAGCAGTTGCATCCGGCTCGCGTCCGAACTATGTTAGTTTTTTCTTTCTTTGGGCGATATGGAGAAGTTGTGTCCATTGCAACCACCGCCGCCCACGGAGTAATTGAAGTACACTTCCTGCGCACACGACTTAAGCAGGACACAGCTGGCATGAATGATATCCCGACAGGGTCGTGGCGAGAGGATTCAAGGGCCCGACCGTCGGGAGTTGCCGGGCGACATTCCTTCGCGCAGTCAAATCTCTTAATTCCTCATACAGTACAAAACGCGGGGGGCTATCTCCAGCCGATTGTAAATAGAATCAGCTAATAGAACTAGATGCTATGTTTATTTGTTTCGGTAGTCATTGTTATCATTTTCTTCTTACAGTCCTCCGTCTACGCAGTATTGACGCTGGAACTGAATGTACTTTCCTAAAGCTCTCCCCAAACTCTTCAATAACGCTAGTTATTCCAATACCATATGACAGTCCGGAAAAAAAAAAAAAAAAAAAAAAAAAAAAAAAGAAGAGCCTAACTTTTCCGACTTTTCTCCGAGTCCGGTGCTGGAACAGCGAACTGAGAGGGATCGCACCAGCTTTGGGATAAAGTATTTTGGACTATCGTCTTAAAATCATGGGCCGTCTGAGGGTCTCATACCTGTCGTCCTGGATTCTTTATGCTTTTCTACGGGCCTTTCTAGTTGCACATTTTACTTGTCCCCCCCCCAAACTTGAACTTTCCGCTGGTTTTTTATACATTAGAATTGATTGCTAAATGAAAATTTCTTACTATATTGACTATCAAATCATGTCAGTCTTTACTAAGCAAGCCAACTGAATTAAAGAAAAGCCCAAGCGCCGAATGAACATGCAGGAGTGAAGCGATCTTGTCTGCCCCTTTCTCGGATAGATTTGCAATGGCCTCCATGGTGATAATGAAAGCATGCTACAATGCACCCTCTCAAGGCTTCCGGCAGCTAATCCTGCAAACCGGTCTCGCAAATATCCGCCTTGGGAATCTGTCGTTCCCGCCAGCACCCGATCTCCAATCCCGCGTAGGTTTGTGATTGAATGTGCGACTGAAAGCCTCGTGCATATTGTGATATTAGTGGCGTTTTCCCCATCTGCCCGCTTTCACTCACAGACCCCCGACTGTTGGTGCGCGCCTCGGATACGACATAGCCTTGTTGGCGGCGCAGTTCCAATCTCCCCCCGGCCAATGGTTTGGATAGGGCCGGCTCCACTTGATTCTCAGCCTTGCCCCCGGGTCCCTGGTTCGGGCCTTCGGGCCACCGTCTTTATCCCCACTGCAAGTTTGATTCGATGTTCATGACTCGCGACCTCCCGAATTGCCTGCATGTTAACAGACTAATGACGCTTCGGGTTCTGCCAAGAATGGCTTTTACGCTCTGGACTTTTCGCGCATACTCATGGAGGGTGGTCGTTATTCTTCCAACATGACGAGATTGGAGATGAACAGGTCGCTGGAAGAGAATGGTTCAGGACAATAGACACCGAAAATAGATGCTGATAATTATAAGATGAAGGATTCACAGGTCTGAGCTTGTTATGATGGCGGTATTCAGGGGCCGCGGGGATACGAGGCCCCCACAACCAGTTGCGGTTAATATCTCATTAACAGGGGAATCCCTGCTTGTTTGTCAGGCGTCGGGGTTTGGACGGAGAATCGCCAATGCAGTCATACGGGGGGGCACGCCAGGGTGAAGCCTACCGAGAGCTCAGCCTGCTACTGACTGCTTTCAAATGTTGTTTTGGGATACCGTGACCCGTTAGACACGGAGATTTTATCCCCTTTATTCTACCGAATCAAATCCTCTATAAACATCTATATCAATCGTGAGGATATCTGACCCACCACCAGGTTGACAAAAGCAATCGCAGCCAGCCGCCCACAGGAGAGCCCTGACTGAAACAGCCAAGAATCGACACCAGAAGATAAACACTGCCATTTTCGTCCGTCCAATGAGACCCTCATCCCCTATGCTACGGTGTGATCATGGCTGATCCGTAATCCACTTAGTGTGTCGCCTCGTGCGGATTACTCTGCCGTGACATGTGTAGCTCTGGGCTAACAGGCAGGAGATGTCATGTTTGCCCAGCGCAACCAAAGTAGGAGTCCACCTGAAGCGGCTCTATTCTTTCCGCAGGGAGTATTAGAGGTCAGTCCCCACCCGTCTTGTTGTTCTTCTTTCCTTGAGCTCTGTCAGTCGACATGACCCTTTCCCGTCGCCTTCCTTCATAGAATCCCGCTTCTTTGGGGTCAAGATCTTGGGTCGGCTTCTTAAATATCCGCACCCTATTGAATTTTCAGTTTGCCCCTGCGGATATTCAGCCAGACCTCTTAGAAAGGATCCGCTGTTAGGTGTTGAGCACGATGAGCTGGCCAACGCTTCTCATGCTTTCTTTGCAAGGGCTTTTCGTGTCCCAAGGCATGGCAGCTAATCGCACTTGTTATTTCCCCAACGGGGATGAAAGTAATGATGTGCCTTGTACCTCAGAGATGAATACATCTTGCTGTTCAGAAGACGCGATCTGCCTGGACAATGGATACTGCTTCCATCTTAACGGATCCAATCTGTCGAGAGACAGTTGTACGGACCCGGATTGGGGGGACGATTGCCCGCAGCTGTGTGAAGAGAGCTTTTGTATGTTCTTCCCAGTTTTTCTATTCTTCCAAACTTTATCTGTTTTCATTTCCTTTTTTCGTCCTTTCTTCGTCCCTCATTCCCTCCTTCTCTTTTTCTTCTTCCTCTTTCCCCTACTATTTCCTTCTGTTGCATCAATTAATCATCATTGAGAAGTTATTATCCTTCGGAACTATTTACTGTTTACTGACCGTAGGTTTGCACAATTTACAATTCGACAGATGGCAACACATCTGATTATTATTACACTATTGCGTTCCTCCAGAGCGGAAACAATGGGGACCTCTACTGCTGCGGACAACCAGAATGGGACCTCGACTTAGAACGAAAAACATGTCCCGGGAATAAAGATCCATTTACGGTGCCCATTGGGAAAGCCATAGTCGGGGTAGCGGCGCTTGAGGGCCTCATGCCCACTGGCCCGGACGACTACAATGCTGCCCAAGTCAATGTCTCCCAGGTCTCGATGGAAGAAGAAACATCAACGACAACATACGATTCAACACCGACGTCCACCGGGATTCAGACCTCTCGAACGACGCCCACCTATATCTCTGAAAAGAGTGATAGCTCCGGGAAGGTGACTGCTGTCGGCGCGGGTGTGGGTGTCCCGCTGGGCGTGATTGCACTGGCCTCGCTAGCGTGGGCGCTCTGGCTGTTGAGACAGAACCGAAATCTGAGGAAGGCCTATGCTTTGGGCCCAGACCACCCAAAAGATCAATTTGATAATCAGATGGAACGCGGAGGTCAATCGACCATGATGAAGCCTTTGGGGGAACATACGAGCCGTGTGACTGATCCAAATGGGAGGTATAGCCACCGCGTGGAGTTAATAGAGACGAACTAAAACCCAGATGAATTCCCAAATATACCGAAGCACGACTGCCAGGTCGAACATTGGATGTCGAGATGTTTGCTTAGCCTTTATGGGACTAAGTGATTGCTTCAATTTAATGTGACCTAACTGTCAACACATTTATCATTTGTGCATCGCCCCCTTGGACCAACTCGTGTACAGTATTTAATTTTGTATTTATGTCTTTCATCTTGATAGTGGTAAGCTATTTCAAGCCCGACCCATAGCTTAAGCTGTAGTTATCGCCCTGCCAAGCCTCTCTATGAACGGCAAATGCAGTCTTTTGTAAAGCTCAACTCAAAGGACGAATACAACATAATAATCGTCATTGCTGTATCATGCAACGTTCACTTCAGTGAGGGGGCATTCTACACTAAAGGTCTGTATCTTGTGATATAGAATCTTGAGCCTTTCTGGTCTTGCTCTGACGCCGAACGGGCTTTTGACCCTGACATGTAGTAAGCCGCTATTTTTCCTTTCGCCTTTGAAGCACCTAGTGAGTCATGATTCGCAAGTGATTCTAAAGGAGCGAGCTGCTAATCGGTGTTTGACGAGCCGTTATGAGTCGGTCCAACTCCTTGTGAGTGATCGAGAGAGATAATTTTCTCCCCGGCTTCAGTTAAGCCGGAGAAATGGCAGAGTCCTCGCTCCTACCGGTAATTGTGGTTTTTTCTCGATACTAAGTTGGTATATTGACTATCGGAGGATGTAGATGCTTTCAAATAAATCTTGAATTTATTTTGGCTTTTGAGACTTGCTTGATAACCCAAGCCTTGCTGCATTCTTCCTACCCGATATCTACGAGGCTGGTTAATTGTCAAACAGAAGGCCGTTGAAGCCTTCAGCCTTATACAGAATATACCACGGGTATCGCATTCTCGAATGACCACCCCAGTCAGGAGATGCGGTTCATGAGATAGGTACCCTGCTCTTGTAATGATTTCCTTCTCGGTAGTGAGTCGGAGTGACTTGAAGGCCGTCGCGCCTGCCTTCGGTTGCACGTTCCCCATTGAGAAAATACCTAGGTCACATAGCACCCAGAGCCATTCCGAACCGGAAGGCACGATCATGGGGAGGATGCGGCTGGGCTTTGTAGAAGATGGGCCAGGCGTACGTACATTTTGCCTCTTGGTCGTTGAGTGGGAGTGCGAAGAAAGCAGATATCAGTGTCACTTTGAAAGAACATCCAATGTAAGTAGCCAGACATGTTGTTAGAGACCATATGGGGTCGTATATTCATAATGGTATAGCGTATCTAGCTTCTTCCAAAATGGCGAACACTGCAACCACGCCTGTAAGAGATATTTCTAGTATGCCTGCGTGAGGGAATAGCTCTGATTGAAAGCAAAATAGTACGACATTCTAAATACCTTCCTCGGCGAGTACGGCCGTGTCACTGCTGCGGCGCCTGAAGACCGCGTAGGAGCCATGTGGAGCGTAATTCTCACCTCAACGTTTCCTGTTGCGTCATTCGCAATAGAGCCACAGTCGAAGAACCCAAGTGGCTATACGGACTTTACTGTGAGCGAGTGGACCAGTCGCCGGGGAGGCCGGCTCGTTCGTCGGCCCTTCTTGGTCTCTACGACCAAGAAGGCGCCAAGTCGTGGTGCACCAGGCTGGAAGGGTGCTGAGATACAGCTCAAGAAATACCTTCGCGGGCACGTCCAAGCGGCGGCTAGAGGGGAAATAGGAAGTAGCAAACTGTTCGGGGCGGTGGCTATCGGGACTGAGGTCAAATTCTATACATACAACAAGCTAGAAGGACATATCAGTCCATTGCACAGGCAAAGACAAGGATTTGAGGTGATGAATGACGCTGAGGTAGTGATCAAACGACTTGAACACACCAAAAGGTCTCATTAACGTGTATGATTATTCATGTATTGTTCGAATCATTAACAATGCAGTCGGCAATCTTGTCCAATTTTCCAATGACATAACGGCGACTATCCAAGTCATCGTCCTCCGCAGCCTCCAATTGATTCAGCTCACAGCATAAAAACCCCCAGTCTAGCGTCTCACTGGAAATTTCTCGAACTTCATGGAAAATCTCTGGGACTTTTGACCGCCAATATGAATCACCTAAGTAAAGCCCCACTGCTTTCTGGACAACAGCGGCATCTGCGGGCGAGAGGAAACCGGCGATCAAGAGTAAGACCTCTAGAGGAAGAAGATTCAAGTGAATTGGTTCTTGATGTTTTTGGGTACTCTTAAACCTCCTGCCTGCTCTTTGACGAGCGCGACGAATGATAACCTCCACGCGCTTGCACCGAAAAGGGTCTAAATTGCCACAGAATCTGAGGGTGAGCATGTAGGTCTGCATAACAGATGTTGGAATTCGGGGGCCATAAATCACCTCCATCATCAAAAGTGCAAGGCAAAGAAGAGCACCCCACATTTAAACCATAAACTGAGTATAGACGCGGGTCCCGGGACAGGGGACCTTTCCGAAGGAGAGCTCGCATCAGGACCTTTATGTCGCCCTCAGAGAGAGACCAGGCCCTGTGCGTGCAAAGTAATTGCCAGCAGCGAGCGTGGACAAGAAGACACATGAGTCTGTCTTTCGTGCCCTGAACTTTAGCTTCAAACTGGAGGGCCGTTGCGAGGAGGTCTTGACGTCTGCTTGAGCCACTTTCAGGTCGCACGATCACTGTAGTCTTATCCCAGGGAGCCTGGCGTGTGTGGAAGTCAATGTCATTATCGTTCATGCACGATATTCCGGAAAGACGACAGATACGCTTTCGTGAGTGGAAGAGGACTAATTATTATTACACGTCAGTGAATGATGGTTAGTCTTAAGCATCTTGTTAGGTACGTGCTCGCTCGGCAGGGCAGGGGGAAGGAAAGAAAAAAGTGTACATGCTCAGGCGATAATGGCGATTCCACGCAGTTTTAGCCCAAAGCTGTTTATCAGTGACCACGCTGTCCGCGGGGTAAACTCCTGTGGTTAATCCCGTAGCATCAAAGGAATCGCAAGATTCCTCGCAGATATAACACAACGGAAGAGTATCCTCACCGTCGCTGAAGACCGGAAGCTGGTCTGTCGCGTCCAGATCACCTGTGCTCCCGGTATCTTCAATGTCGTTGAAATCGTCCATGTCTGTGGTTTAGCACGTTCTCATGCAGCGTGTTTGAATTTCTTGCGTTGTTGTCGGACACAAACTCATGTGCTAGATATTAACTGATGGTGCCAATTATGAGCCAACGCAGCGGGAGACAATTCCGATTAAAGCCTCGTCGGCGTCAGCGTGACTCATACTTAAGTTTCGGATTTTTCATCCCGACGAGGTTTATTTTGCTCCGCTGCATTTGAACGCCATGGTTGTGTGAGAATGGTCGCGGCGCAGTATATGACAGAAGCATATAAATGGACTATGGCCTAGAGATGTGTCCTCTGCTGTGAGTTGAAAATAATGCGCATATACTCGTTACGAGAACGATATCAAGTCCATGAAAGAAGGTCTAAGACGATTCAATATCATCAGGATATCTCAATCTATTCTGTTCTCGAACTTGATCCAGAACTTCCATTATCAACACTGTCTCGTCCAGCGGAATAACGTCCGACTCTCTCTCACCACCGGCCAAGGCGCGAGCACAAGCATCTGCCTCCCAGAATAACCCATGCCCGACAGGAATGTCGAAGTCTTTCCTCTCGACTGCCCGGGTATCGGCTGCCGCATAGTCAACAACTGCAATGCTGAGTGGTCGCGCCGCAGGCCCGAATATCTGGATCTGCCCTTTATGGCCGAAAATGCGGACCCCTGGATCGGTAGGGTCCGAAGTAACTCTTAAACTGGCGGTCGCTACACCTTGTGCTTTGCTGTCGGGAAAGGTAACGACAACCGTAGCGGTCTCGTCCACGCCCGTTGCAGCATACTTAATGACAGAGCTGGAGACCAGGGGTCGCGACTTCGTGCCATCACTAGACAAAGAGTCGTGATAGAGGAACTGGAAAATCCAGGTAAGAGGGTATACAGCCACTGTAGTTGATAGAGAAAATTAGCGTTCCGTGATCACAGCTAGTCTCCAGAACCAACGCGTCTTGGAGAAAGCTCGAGGATATTGTAAGATCAAAGAATACTCACAGTCCAACAAAGCACCACCTGCCAGCGCAGGGTTTACCAGCCGATGCTCCGTCCCATACAGCCTCTCAACATCCCTCCCTAAATTGCGATCCGCAACCACCCGCTGCACAGAACCGATCGCTCCATCCCGGACCAGCTGCCTAACATGCTGCATAAGCGGGAAAAAACGCGTCCACATAGCTTCCATGAGAAAGAGGCCCTTCTCTCTTGCGAGCGCGACAAGAGTCTTCGCCTGCGCTGCGTTCACCGTGAACGACTTCTCAAGCAAGACGTGCTTCCCCGCCAACAAGGCCGCGCGGGCATTCTGGAAATGCTCCGAATGCGGAGTGGTTATGTATACAATTCCGACGGAGGGGTCGGCGAAGAGGGAATTGTAGGATCCGTAAGCTGTGGTTGTCGAAGGAGCATTCATTGCTGAAAGAAAGCTACGAGCTTTTTCCAATGAGGTTGAGGATGCGACGGCCGTGAGGGTGTGGGTAATGTCGTGGACTCCTCGGGTGGATGGGTCAATTAGAAGGTCTTTGGCAAATTCTGAATTCCGGGGTCAGTGCCATTGTTCTTCTGGGTTTTGTTGAAACAGGACGGATGGAGAGACAGACTGGTGGCGTTGTTGCCGGTTGCTAATGGAGAACTTAGGGTTAGAGACAAACATGTATCACAGGTGATGCTCCTGACCGGCACTTACAGATAATTCCCCAATTCACCATCTTGAGCATTGGCTTGGCTCATGTTACTGAGAGGTCTCAGATCAACATTTAGGTGGCTTATATTTATAAGGAGGGGTTATTTAATCAATTTTGCTGATGCTAGCGCATCACGTCATTGCTCGCTAGGGCGCTATCATTGGGTTCGCTTGACATTGAATCAAAGGTAGTAGCAATGAGAGATAAGATAAACAACATTCCTTTTGGGATATAAATCGGACTTTTCGATCTTGAAGCATCCAATATCCGGTATTCCTGAATGTCTTGAACGTTAACAAGAACTTCGGATGACTGAGCGAGTCGGTGATTCGGAGCTCACTAACTGCGCTAATAGCGCTCTGCTTGAAGAGATGGCTCTTGACTAAAGACATTTGACATTGGGAGTGAAGTTAACGCATCATGGTGAGCACCATTTGAAGACCTTCCAATATTTTAGACACCATGGAAGCTCCGGCTGTCGCATTTCACAGAACGCAACTGTGAAATGGGCAGGGGATGAGTCTAGAGTGACATTAGGGCATTCGAATAGATATTATTTTTTTCTTGTTCTTGAGGGAGTATATATACTGTTAATCCCAATATGTTTCTTGAAATTAGAAAAGCAAACGTAAAACCACTTTTTTGTATCGAAATGCATGTGATATGTTCTCGGGAGTGTGGTCTAGGATACAGCATCCTTTAACTAGAATATTTCTCTTCTGAATTAAGTAAAAAACGACTGAGCAGAGCTGTACTCTGTATAAAAAGTCGCAGTATAAAATTCTGGGTTTGCAGACGTGAAATCACAGTTTCTTAACTAACGCAAAAGGTAAGCAAGGGAGTGATTTACCACTATGCTCCGTTCTATTAGTGGGTTGGAAGACTGAAAGAATATCTTTTGCCAAAAACCGCATAGGGAAAGCTGCTATGGTCTACCAACCCATGGATCATCCCATCCTTCAGGCCGTTGAGAAGTCCTATCAAGACACGAACAGCCCATGCCTTCCCGCAGTTTCGGATAATCTCCGGACAGCCCTAACTGATAGACAATCCTGCAATCCGTATGGCACGACGCCAAGCCGCGATGGAAGTAGTGCCATGAACTCGCCGGAAGACGTCGGGTTCTGCTTTTATTTGATCGGCAGTTGGTGTGGGTCGTTTCTCCGTACTTTAGTTCGTTGTCAATAGAGGGGAGTGATCGGTTAGGTCGGTTGAGCAAGGTGAGCAGCTTTCAACAAAAGAAGAAGAAGAAAGGGTATCATTTTCTACGCGTCCCACACATCATTCCTGCTGTAGCCAGGGATCCGACAGTAGCTCCTCCACCGTTGCTCGATCCTTTGGCTGCCACTGCAGCAGCCTCGTAATAAATTTCACAAACATTCGCTTCTCTTCGCCATCAATGACAGTGAGCAGTTGGTCAAGTCCTCGCGTTTGAGTAATTAGATCGGGGAATTTGAACTGCCCTGTTCGATAATCAGCAAGCATGTTCTAGAGGAAATCGAAATATCAGCGAATACCATCGTCACTGAAATACCGCGGAGCTCGACGTTCTCGCTTAAGCATATCCGTTGGCGGTGGGCCAATTGAGGAGATAATAGACGCCAGGTGCTTTTTCTCGCTGTACGACGAATCTGAAGACGATGTGGCGTAATCAAAAGGGCCGGACCCACAGAGTAATTCCCAGACCTAGTCGATGTGTTAGAAGTCTGAGGAGGAAACATAAGTCCTGTGGAACCTCACTAAAGCGCCCAAATTCCATATATCAACACTATAGTCCCAACTTGCTCTAAGGATGACCTCTGGGGCTTGGAACCCATTAGGCTGGATAGGATGAGTATAAGGAGCCTTCTCTCCGTAAACGGAAAGCCCAAAGTCTGTAATGACTGGCCTTCCCAGGCTCTGGGTGTGGAAGCCCAAAGTTGTTGCGTGAGAGGTATATGGATCGGTCATCGCATGTCTTTTGCGGCGATGGATGGTCTAGCTCGTCCTGGATCACCGTGTCGAGTAGGGACTGATCTCGAAGGGCCATTATGATGTTATCGGATTTGAGATCTGCCTTGGCTTAGAATTCAAAGATGATAGAGGTTGCTCGGCTATTTGACTAACCTGTATGGATGACGCGAGCCTGCGTGTGAAGATAGTGAAGGCCCATTACAATCATTCGAACAATGGTCCTGAGAGCATCCGGAGGAAAAACGCGTCCTTCGAAGCGCTCTTTTAGCATCCAGAGAGGCTCATAGAAGGGGTCGAACACCATGCAAATATGGTGGCCATGTGGACCTTGTAGGGTAAATGAATCCAGCAAAGTGCGCACAAAATACCTGCCTTGGTCGGCTGGATTTGCTCGGGTGATATGCTCTGTTACTCGCAGCTCCTTTTCGGCACACTCTTGGGACGCGTAATTGTTCGTATTGACCTTGATGGCTACATAACGTGAAGGAAGCCAGCACCACCTGGATAAAATTAGCAGCATTCAGAGGTAGTACATTTGTAGCGACGGGACTTACTGGTGGAGATCCTTAGCCAACCAGACGGTCGAGCTAGTGCCCCACCCAAGTTTAGCAGCCACTTGATAACGGTTGGCCAACGTTGTATGCAGTTGCATGGGATAAAAGTGTTTGGGGTCATAATGTGGTATGCGCTCCTCTTCGATCGGCTGGGAGCGTCGAAGGGCATATGCAGGGACAGGCTTTACTTTGTAAGGGGCTGACCGCATGAACCGTAAAAGGGACATTTTTCACACGTTTGGCGCGAACCACATTTGGTTGTGAATGTCATAGCATAGATGTTTAAAGCAAAGAACAAATAGTTCCTATTTTTGGCCAAAGTTGCAACCATCCTCGATCAGCGCAAGGGTGACACGCGAACCACGTGGCTGGTTACTAGGGAGACGATGACCTGTCAACAAGCTAATGCAATCACACACAGAATCCGGAGGGGTATACAGATTTTTACATGAGTGCCTATATTGTACAGAGTGGGCCGGTTCCATCCTTTTTCAGAAACACCCACCCCTAATCAACCTTGATGAAAGTGTGCGGTCATCCGTCTGCTGCAGTGTCTAATTTGCATTTCAACGAAGGACAGAAAATTGTGAAGCACAAGTCACGCAGCCATTTCAAGAACCCAGACAAAACTCCCATCCTGTAAAAGCTTTATCCTTACTACCTATTACTTTGGTTTGACGACCGAAACGGATTCTCCCTCGGAAAGTACGGATTCGCATGGCTGCTATCCGATCTACTTTCCTGATACACATGGACCTCGGTTGTCTTCTTAATCGTACTGAGATCAATAGCCTCCCCTGGCAGGATATTCTCCTGGCTGGAACTATGTTGATGGGTCGGCTCCTCCTGGAAATTCGTCATATGTGTTTCAAAAAGGGATGCGTCGACCGGTCGTCGAGGCTGCGGGATAGGCTTCTTCTGGTCGGATCTGGCGGAATGCTCGAATTTATTATAGGATGAGGATGCGTGGGTAGAGCGATTGAGGACGGCGAAGTAGGATTGGCGAAGCGTCGGGAGGGTGGCGCATATTATGATGACGTACATCTGACTTTATCAGAATGGGGCGAGGCTTAGAGCTCTGGTGAGGGAAATACCTCTATTCTATAGACATCAAGAGAAGGTTAGATCATGGAGTGACCATTGGGTGGGCTTACTTACGTGTACCATATTGAGATCGGAGCCCAAGACCCTGGTTGAGTGTCAGTCTCTGGTAAACCATTGGGGAAATCAAAACGGACAGGTTATATCTGCGTGAGCCGGAAGGTTCTTCAACAAAATTGCCTTTGTCAACGTCGCAGCTGCAGCACTTCACACCATGTTAGTACCTCGCAATATCGTGTTCCTGTCATACTCACAAGACACCCGCTCCCATTACTGCAATAACGGCCAGTTTCAGACGCAGAGCCAGCTGCACCCTCCAAAAGATGGATGCCGGAAAGATTGCCAGTGCCAAATCAGCCGCGGCATTAAATGCTAGATATCGTCAACACTGGTTGTCGCCTATTATCACATGTGCATAATGCTTACCAGCCTGAGCAGTTCCAGCAACAAGCTGTAATTCCAAACTGAAGCAAGACCCCGGTGTCTCCGGACGCCAAATCTTCTCCGGTGGCCTACAGAACCCCATGATCACAATGATGGCGAGAATGTTCATTCCAATGGAGATGACTGTTAGAATGTAAAGAAACCATCGTCGCCACGCCGAAGCCGTCGGGCCCATCAGACGCAGTAAAAAGATCGCAACCGAAATCTTCCCCGTCGTGGTGCTGACCACAGAGAAGTTGGGAGCGATCACCGTGTACTTGTATGCCTGGATCTGCGACTCTGGGTCAGGGATATCGTTCATATGCATGCCCAATCCGTATGAAACCCCGACTTGCACCAGAGCGGAGCAGACAATTGCGCTGGCCTATTCAATGCTCGCGTTAGAATTGCAACCTAGGAGAGGTCAGGTATCACCTTACCAGCGAAAGCGCAATGAAGAAGTCATCCCATCCCGCTCGACGGGTGTATAGAGTCCTGGTATACACCCTGATGAAAACGACGATGATTGAGACGCTTCCAAATCCCCAAGACACACCAGTCAGACTTATCCTCTGATCCTCCATTCTAGCTTGAACCCCAAGGTCTGGGGCTTGCCTGGTTGTACTCAACTGACTCGTGAGGAATGGAGTCCAGGGAAACCTAAACGTGGAAAAAAAAGAACACCAAAAATTAGTATGAGTGCCGGATGCATCGGTAGACTCTCATCTTGCGTGCAACATCTTCAGGCTGAAATGCAAAAGAAATGGAGGATAAGAATGCCTTCAGACAGTCTAAATCAGTGCAGTGTCTTGGCAGTGGAGTGGTCGCAATAGGATCAGCGCTTAAGAGCCGACAGAGAGCAGTGGTCCGTAAAACAGCGATGGAGGGATCTTGATCCTGGTTCCTGTCGACGAGACTTTTGGTATCCACTATTGGGGCCGAGAGAACGGCGCCCAGACTCGATTCAGGCGACTCATAGTGGTGGAGACTCGCTCTTCTAGCCGATGGAAGCAGAGTGAATACAGGTGACTATTGCTGTCGTAATCCCAGTTGCTCCTGGGCCTTTTACTTTTTCTTTTTCTGTTGTCGTTTTTGATTCTTTTTCTGTCTTCATTCTATCTTCCTCCAAATGGCGTGGAGACATGAGGCTTCAAATATGAGACCCAAGAAATGCCGTCCTACTCGGTAGAAGGGTCAGATGTGCCTACCACAAATGACATCGAAACCAGCACTATGAGGCGGTGGCAGTGACCCCAATCTCCTGTTCTCCTTGACCTGTCATAATCTGAGCTGCATACAGGGTACAGGCCAGCCGTCGCGTAGAAAATTGCATGCCCAGACGCCACCGTCGTCTCTCTTGCGGATGAATTGCCATTCAAGTGTCTCGAAACTGGCACTAAAGCCAGTGGCTCCATTGTTAGTCGCCGCGGAGTAGCCGGGCCGCAGCTAACGGCGGGATCGTCGCCTTTAACCCTGCCATGGATACCACCACTGGCCGTCCGGCTTGCCCATTTTAATTCCACCAGACCCACTCCCATGTCTCTTGCCTGGAACAGTATGTGGATCTAATAGGGAGGAGCTTGGAAGTCAGGGCAGGTCTCATTCAGGATTGTCAAACCATTGGCTCGGGCGTTGGACCATGTGGGAAGCGTTCTTTGTCGCTATCTTTCCCCGCCACGGCCGATTCCAGGGGAAAGTGTTAGGCGAGGTCTGGCCTTTTTACCGGGCTTTGGTCGTTCGGGGTTGTCGTGGTCCTGTCTCCGTGTTCCTTTGTTTTGGCTATCCAATTCTCCCTGAATTAACTCGCCCCTCAAGATGTCGACGAACACCATTGCTGGAACGGAACAGGTCGGTGACCTTATCGGTCAGATCACACAAGCTGCAGATGCGCTGAAGAGCAGCAATCGCGAAGAGGACCGTTTGGCTGCCCTCAAGGCGGCGCAGGGTCTTGTGAGAGCGTTCCAGAAGCCTCAGGACGATGTGTACAACCTTGCATACTCGGTATTCAAGCCGCATATAATTGTTCATCATTTCCTTCTGACCTGTCAACGATAGCCCACTCATGCGCTATGCGTGCGAATCGGAATCGACCTGGGTATCTTCCAGACGCTGACGGACAGAAATGCGCCCATGGCCCTTGAGCAACTGGCTGCAGTCAAAAATGCCAGTCCAATTCTGACGGGTGAGATCATTTGAAGAACTGGGACATGAATGGAACTGACTCCATGTAGAGCGCGTACTGCGCATCCTGGCTGGCATTGGATACGTTGCCGAGCACGAGACTCGGGTATACGCGCCCACGATCATGACCAAGCAAATGACCGACCGACTGAGCATCGGACTGCTCAAATTTATGTATGTATCTCCATACCATAGCCTCGCACTTTGCTAATTATGCTAGCTTCGACGTCGGCATGCCTACACTAGCCAAGATTCCCGAATTCCTCCGCAACACCAACTTCCGCAATCCCGAAGGCGCCACGAACGGCCCGCTGCAATACGCCGAGAAGATGGATGAAGTCATCTGGGACTGGCTGCCGAAGAACCCGGACTACCTGAACAGCTGTAACACATTCATGGAGGGAGATCGAGGAAGTCGGCCGAGCTGGCTGGAATGGTTCCCGGTGCAAGAACGCATCATCGACGGGTTCCAGGGCGACGAGAAGGATGTGCTCTTTGTCGACGTCGCCGGCGGACGAGGCCATGATCTCGTGGCCTTGAAGGAAAAGTTTCCCCAGGCACCTGGACGACTTGTTCTGGAGGACCTTCCGCACGTTCTTGAAGAGAGCACGATCGAGGATCCGATGATCGAACGACAGCCCTTTGATCTGTTCAAGCCGCAACCTGTGCAAGGTATGCCGTTGAATCCCCTCTAGTCAGCTAAACCAAGCTAATTGTCCAATAGGTGCCCGAACATACTACATGAAATTCATCCTGCACGACTGGTCGGACGAAGAAAGCCAACAGATCTTGACCCAGCTCCATGCTGCCATGAAGAAGGGATACTCCAAGCTGATCATCGAAGAGTTCGTTCTGGCGGACAAGGACTGCGCAATGCTGCAGGCCATGTGGGACTGGGAGATGATGATCTTCTGCAACAGTATGGAGCGAACGGCAGATCGGTGGGCGCAGCTCTTGGATAAAGCTGGCTTCAAGGTGGTCAAGTTCTGGTCTCCTCCGGGTGACGGACAGGGGATCATTGAAGCCGAGCCTCAATGATTGACAACCCTGTGGCATTAAATGTTATCTCTATAGGTGCTACTCGCTTGGCGTAATAGGTCATAATTGTTGGGATATTTGAAAGCCAGCATGACAGAGCCCAATCGTCGGTGTCTACTAGAAGTACTGTATCAGAAAGAGGCTGGATTTGCAGATATATATATTCACCATGAAGCCAGTAATAAAGAACATTTTAGAGTGACAGTTTTGTTCAGAAGGGGATGTGAAAGACAATGTCTAGAGACGACTGTTTAGAAAAGCAATGATAAACCTCAAGAGTCGAGAACTGGACGTCCTGGCCGAAGAGCACAAGGAAGGGAGACACCTGAGAGACCCAAAAGGGGTTAGGCTATAGATGCCTCAGGCGGCAAGGTTCTGCCGGATGCTTGGCCACCGCCTTCATCCCCGCCATCGGGTTACCCGATCGGGTAATCCATCATCTTGACTCGAAGACTCCAGCGTTGGCTTCAAGAGAGGAATCAGGGGTGATTATGGGAGGGAGAATGCTCGCAATTGAAGCAATGACAACCAAATGGTCAAGACCCGGTATTAGATGCCTCATAGCTAAGGCTCGACCGGTGTCACGTGGCAGACTGATCGGCCTTATCTCCGAACGCAGGATGATTGGCTGGCGAGTGAGTCACCGCCTTCGCCCCTCCGTCGACGCAGAACGAGAGAAAGAAACATCCCACTTTCTTCATCATTCAGTCGCATTCCCTTTGAACACCCTCAACACCCACAATCGCCCACCATGGCCGACGCGCTGGCCGAGAACACCGCCAAGCTTCAGCTCGACGAGGAGACCGGGGAGATGGTCTCCAAGGGCGAGCTGAAGAAGCGATTGCAGAAGCGTGCCAAAAAGGCCGCCCAGACGAAAGCCGCCGCCGACAAAGCCGCTGCCCCGCCGAAGCCTGCCGCCCCGAAGCCCGCCAAAGCTCCCGAGGAGCAGCTCGACCCTGATGCCATGTTCAAGCAGGGCTGGCTGGCCGGTGTGCACCGTGAACGCCCGGTCAAGCCCGTCGTGACGCGATTCCCCCCCGAGCCGAACGGATATCTGCATTTGGGACACTGCAAGGCCATTGCGATCAACTTTGGATTTGCGCGGTATCACGGAGGACAGACTGTAGGTTAATGGGTCCGAGGATGGAACGGAGCTGACTGTCGCAGATTCTGAGGTATTGATTGCACTGCCAAGAGTCGAACGCGAGCTAATGGTTAGATTCGATGATACGAACCCGGAGGCGGAGGAAGAGAAATACTTCCTGGCGATCGAGGATATCATTCAATGGCTGGGTATGAAACCAGAGCTTCCCCGGGGTGATACATGCTGATGGATCAGGATTCAAACCTCACACGATCACGCACTCCAGCGACAACTTCGACAAGCTGTACGAGCTGGCCGAGAAGCTGATCAACCTCGAAAAGGCCTACGTCTGCCACTGCAGCGATGTCCAGATCAAGGAGCAGCGCGGCGGAGAAAAGAATGGCACGCGATTCCGTTGCGAGCACGCCGCGCAGGACGTTGCGACCAACCTGCAGAAGTTCCGCGACATGCGCGACGGAAAATACGAGCCTCAGACGGCCTTCCTGCGCATGAAGCAGGATATTGAGAATGGTGAGAACCTTGATATTTGGCTAAGACTCGACTGACATTTTAGGCAACCCCCAAATGTGGGATCTGGCGGCATACCGAGTGCTGAAGAAGCCTCACCACCGGACGGGAGATCGGTGGCAGATCTACCCGACCTACGACTTCGCTCACTGTCTCTGCGATAGCTTCGAGGGCATCACGCACAGTCTGTGCACGACGGAATTCATTCTGTCTCGGGAGAGCTACGAGTGGCTGAACACGTCGCTGGGCGTGTATGAGCCTATGCAGCGTGAATATGGTGAGGTTGGAAGCATCTCATAAATGGACAATGGCTAACTGGGCAGGCCGCATGAACGTCAGCGGAACCGTGATGAGCAAGCGAGCCCTCAAGAAGCTGGTAGACGGCAACTATGTGCGCGGCTGGGACGACCCCCGACTATACACCGTCATCGCTCTGCGTCGTCGGGGTATTCCCCCGGAGGCTATTCTGTCCTTCATCAACGAGCTCGGCGTTACGACCGCTCAGACCCTCATCCAGATCTCTCGTTTCGAGCAGTCGGTGCGCTCGTATCTCGAGACGCGCGTTCCTCGTCTGATGCTTGTCCTGGACCCGCTCCCCGTTGTCATTGAAGACCTGGACACCGTCGACCCCAAGGAGCTGGAGTTGGACATTCCTTTTGCCCCCAAGGACCCTGCCATGGGATCCCACAAGCTCCCCTGGACCAAGACGGTTTACATCGAGCGGGGCGACTTCCGTGAAACCGACAGCAAGGACTACTTCCGTCTGGCGCCGGGCAAGACGGTTGGTCTCTTCAAGGCTTCCCTGCCCATCAAGGCGACCACCTTTACCAAGGACGCCAACGGCAAGGTCACCGAGGTGCGTGCGGTGCTCGACCGGGACGGCAAGAAGCCCAAGACCTTCATTCACTGGGTGCCGGAGGGATCGCGCAAGGTGGAAGCTCGCGTGCACGACCCGCTGTTCAAGTCCGACGACCCGACCTCCGTGGAGGGTGGCTTCTTGAACGACATCAACGAGAAGAGCGAGACGGTCTACCCCGAGGCTCTGGTGGAGGCCGGATTCGACGAAGTGCGCCGCCGGGCTCCTTGGCCAGCGGCTGCTGGAGAGAAGGGCAAGAGTGGACCGGAGAGTGTCCGCTTCCAGGCGATGCGTGTTGCCTACTTTGTAAGTCATGTTTTCTTCCTGTGATGATGACATACTAATATTTCTAGGCCGTGGACTCGGACTCGACCGAGGACAAGGTGGTGCTCAACCGCATTGTGTCATTGAAGCAGGATACCGGCAAGGTCGCCAATTAGGACGATATCTACTGAAGTCGACGAGTTTGTCTTGCATGATTGAGCGGCGATCGAAAATTCTACGAGCATGAGTTGTTTACGAGTTACTGAATCGAGGAAGGTTAATAAGAATACATCCATTGCATGCAGCCTACATCCTCGCCTCCAGACCACGACCCGCCTAGATACTCACACTCCAACAGCCCAACCCAACCTGGCCTAAGATAACAAAACTAAATCGCAGCATGCCCATGCGTCTCAAACGGCAGTCCGAAGGATAATACCCCCACCGCCACCCACAGCGCCGCACTCACATAAATCGGCGCCGTCGTGAACCCCGTATGGGACGAGATCAGACTGGCCGCCAACCCACCCAGCCTCAACAGTGACGCCGCCGTCCCGGTGCCCGTCCCTCGATGGGGCGCAGGGAACGACTCGGGCGTGAAGGCGTACATAACGGCATACTCTGTTCTCGTTAGCCTTCTCCTTTCTCCCAGGCACAATTGCTCTTTGCGCACATCCCATCCCCACCCCCAGGAATAAGGTACATAGAAGTGATGGCAAACTCACCAAAGTTCCCCAACAACCCCGTAACACACGTAAACGCCAGACTCGCCGTGGGTGTATTAACGCCCACATAAGCGAACAGAAACACGCCCGTCACAATCGCCGAGATGCCCATCATCCAGCGTCGGCCGAGGAACGTGTTGACCAGAAACGCAGCAGAGATGGGCCCAACAAGCCCGACGGCCGACTGGATACAGTAGTTTCTGTACGTGAGGGAGAGAGACGAGTTATCGGTGAATTTGGTGGCGAGGTAGGAGGGGAGGAAATTGAAGTAGAGGGGGTATGCGATTCCTATCCACCATTGCATTGCATTTGTTAGAAGAGAACAGAGAGAAAAGGAGGAGGGAAGGGCAAGGAACTAACCGATAGTCAACCAAACAGCCCAAATAATCACCGTGTGCAGAGCCAGACTCCTCGTCGCGAACAAGGCGCGGTAATGCTCGCCGTTGAAGTCTTTCATATTCTCGCGCAGGATGTCGCGCGTCGAGAGACCGGCGCCGCCTGACTCTGCAGTCTCACCATCACCACCACTGCTACCACCACCCAAGCGTGCATCAATCTCCCTCAACATGCCAATCGTCAAAGGCTCCTCTTTCCCGTTCTGCCGGGCAACATAGTTGACTGCGTCGACGGCAGCCTGGTCTTTTCCCTGCGAGAGCAGATACCGCGGTGTTTCGGGGAGTGTGAAGACGAATATCCGGATGAAGGTGAAAGCGAGAGCGAGGGCGCCGAGTGTGATGAGTGTGTATCTCCTAAGGCCACATCACGCATTAACGAGGAGGACAGGTACGAAGAGAACAAGGTAAGGAAAGAAACATACCATCCCATATTATCACCCCTCTGACAAGTCTCTGGCGTAGCGTCCGTCGAACAACTATAATTCGCCAGAAACACCCACGCAATCAGCGAGACAACCAACTGGCCGAGATTCCACCATGCCGAGAGAGCAGTGAGGAGCCATTGATGGCTACTATTATTAGCCAACACACTTCTTTCCTACCCAGGATCAAGATGTGGAAAAGGGAAAGAGACTCACCTCCCCGGCACAAACTCCAAAAAGATCATCGAATCAACCGGGACATTTCCACCCGCTGCGGTCCCAATAACAGCCCAAAGGGCACTGAACGCCACGAAATTCATCGTTCCAGCAGCTCCACAAAGAAACACACCCGCAATCAACAACGTGGTCATAAATGCAGGCCGTCTCCCGATCAAGTCACTTGATACGCCCCAGAACGAGGCACCGAAGATCATACCGACATAGTAAGCGACGGAGCTATAGCTGACCTGCGAGATACCGGCGAACTCCTGACGAATGGGCGGCTGGACGCTAGGGAGACCTTGAGATGCGAGCTAAGGATCAAGATGAGTTAGCTGGCACGCCTCACCGACAGATGAGACGAGAGAAGGACAGCATACATTATCAACAATCCACCCGAACCCCGTGACGACAAATAACTTCCATTGGAACCTAACCTGTCAGCATCATCGAGTTGCTGACACGGAGGAAAAGCACGATACCATCCCATGCCGATCTCCTCCATGCATCTGCCGACGAGCTCCGACTTCAGCCGGTACGCGTCGCTGGTTGAGTGCCCGTAAAACTGCTCGACTTCTGCGTCGACGGGAGTCACCTTTCCTAGCTCCTCGGGGAGAGGGCCAGGTTGAGTCTCAGTGTTTGGCTTCTCGTTTGGGTGAATGGCGTCCATATTGGCTACCTTTCGCTGTGCAAGGAGCTGCTTGGGTTCCTGGTCCTGAGGTGTCTGGACTGGCGATGCTCAAATAGCATCCCGAACGGGCCGTTAGGGCTAGTGTTTGGATCGCGGAGTGCAGGGCCAAGTGTCATGGCGAGCCAAGAGTGGGGGAAGCTGATAATGGATGGACGCTGATGGATCCTCCACTTCTGAGTGCTGATCGTTGCATCACTGAGATAGGAGGGTGTTGCTGTCTGGGGTAGGTCATGTTTAGCGGGATTTAAGGGGGTTGATAAAGGGCGGTGTGTTATTCATCAGTGATGAAGATTGAAATTATAGAATGAGTCTGAAGAAAGCGGTGTGTATTAACTAGAGATTAACTACGAGGCCAACAGAAGGATTTGTAAAGGCAGTTTCATAAATCAAAATACATTGCACAATAATCATAACCATACACCCACTTCATCAACTAACTCATCCCAATACAACTAGCTAAGCCCCCACAGCAGCACTCGCCGGCCCCATCTCCAACTTCCTATCCTCCTTCATCTTCATATCTCGCTTATACTGTTCCGCACGGCCATAGCTCTGCTTATACGCTCCCTTGACCATATTCTCGACCGTGATGGGAGGGTACTTCGCCTCCTGGCCCTCCTCGCGACAGTTCGGCAGACACTCACACAGATAGTCAGGGTTCCCACTGAAGAAGAAGGGAATGGAGTAGCGCTCCTTCCCAGACTTGTTGATGACGCGGTGGATGTTCGACTTGTACCTGTCGTTGGCCATGCGCATGAACAGGTCGCCGAGATTGACAACGTAGGCGCCGGGGACAGGTTGCACCTGTTGTATCCATTAGCAACTCCAACCAGACCCAACTACATCCAACTCGAGAGAATGATAGAATAGAAGGGAAAAAAACATACATCCAACCACTCCCCACTCGGAACATCCAAAACCTGCAACCCGTCCACCTCATCCTGCAAGAGCAGCGTCACACACCCAAAGTCCGTATGCGCTCCAATCCCCCGATTCAACTTCTCATCCTGATCCTTCGGCTGCGCCGGATAATGCAGATACCGCATGGTGGCGACCGCGCCGTCTGTCAGGGGCTGGAAGTAGTCGCTGTCCACGTGCAGGGTGAGGGCCAAGATGCCGAGAATATCCTTCGCCAGGTCCATCACCGCGTGGTAGTATTCCATGGAAGTAGCCTGGAACTCCGCGGCGTCGGGGACGCTGGCGGGCCATTGGTTAGGGCCGGAGTTGAGCTTTTGCTGCAGGTAGTAGGGATGGTCGAGGGGGATTTCTTCGCCGATGTACAGGCCTTCTTTGAGTTCGGGGCCGGTGCCGATTTCGAGCATTTGCGAGCGCAGGAGTTCGTAGCCGCGGTTGAAGGAGTTTTTGTCTGGTGGGTTAGTTTGACGTAGGGTTGGGTAGAGAGGGGCGAAGGGGGGAGGAGGTACTCTTGTCAATGGCCATTTTCTCGTCCAAAGGGAGCTCGAAGAAGCGCTGGGCGCATTTCATGACGCGTTTCTGCAGGTCTAGGGGAACGCGGTGGTTCGTGATCTGGAAGAAGCCGTTGTAGAGGCAGCATTCGCGGATCTGGTCGACGAGGTGGGCTTTGGCGGCGGAGTCGTCGCCGTAGAAGGGGGAGAAGTCGAGGATGGGGGGAGCGAAGGCCTTGGACATGGTGATTGTTTGAATGGATACAGTTGCAATCAGAAGATGATGGTGGTTGGTACTGTTGTGTTGGTGTTAGGATATGCGGGATCTTTATCCACGGTATCTACGATCTGGGGTAAGATGTCTCGGAAAGAAGGCCGATGGAGTACTTGGAGTAGACAAGACGAGCTAGGAGGAATCAGGATGAGGAGAGGCAAGAGTGGGGAGGTCAAAGATGGGGGATGGTGAGTAGGCCGTCGACTGATAGCGTGGTATCGATATCAGGATGTATCTGATAAGGACGATCCAACGTGGTTGGCGATAAACCTCCGTGGGCATGGGACAGATCAGACCTGAGCCGTATACACGGCAGAGCAGATAGACCAGTCCAAATGGGAAGCAGGGATATGCAAGGGATACATATAGGGGTACACCATACCGACTTCGAGCCCTCGTCACGTAGCCACCATGACTGAGAAACACCCTGATCAGACGTACGAGCCCGAGGCCAAGATGGGCGAGGTGGTTGAGGATATTGACTTGACTGCCGAGAAGAGCTACGGTATGAATGGAGCGCTGTATGTCGATCGCGCTGACAGCTGCAGTGCGCAAGGTGGACCTCTTCCTGCTGCCGTTGCTGTGCTTGGTATGTCTTGTTTATTCCTGCGATGCTAATGCTGACTGTGTTCTATAGATGTATTTCTTCGACTGCATGGACCGGGTAGGTTTACAACTCACGATATGGAGCAGAACTAACCAGAATAGAGCAACTTGGCCAATGCAAAAACGGACGGAATGGACGACGACCTCAGCTTGAAGGGCAACGAGTATTCGTTGATTGTCTTGCTGTTCTACATTCCCTTTGGCCTGTGCGACCTGCCATGGAATCTGCTACTAAAGCGCTATTCCGGGCGGATCATGCTGTCCTTCAGTGTGTCTATACTACCTAGCATTGCTCCAGTAGACTGACTCTTTAGTGACGGTGATCTGGGGCGTTCTCGCGCTCTGCCAATGCGCTGCCAAAAACTTCGGAGGAATGCTGGCCATTCGCATCATCCTGGGGTGAGCATCTCATCCTCTATCCCAGAACCAACTAACCACAACAGCATCTTCGAGGCCGGATTCTTCGCCGGCGCCACCTTCTACTTCACGCTCTTCTACACCCGCGGCGAAATGGGCTTCCGACTGGCCATCATGCAGTCCTTCGCCGTGCTGGCCTCTGCCTTCAGCGGGCTGATCTCCTTCGGCGTCTTCCAAATCAACTACCCAGCAGTTCACGGCTGGCAGTGGCTCTTCATCATTGAAGGGTCCATGACGCTATTGACAGGAATTATCGGATTCTGGTGGCTCCCCGACCGACCGCAAACCGCGTGGTTCTTGAACGAGCGCGAGCAAAAGGCCGCCACGGCACGTCTTCTGCGCGATACATCCTCCGAGGTCGAGACAGGATTAGACTTGAAGTCGGCATTCCAGACATGGAAGGACTGGAAGTTTCCCATCTGGTGCATCATCACCTTCACGTATCCGGTCGCCTACGCGACCGCGATGAACTTCTTCCCACTGATCGTGCAGCGACTGGGCTTTTCGACGGTGAAGACGAATCTGTGGACGGTTGCGCCGAATCTCGTAGGGGCGGTCATCCTGCTCTGCGTGGCCAAGTCGTCGGACTACTTTCGCGAAAGAGGATTCCACATTGTATTTTCGCTGATATTGTCGCTCGTTGGAATGATCATCCTCGCGACCATCGATGTCCTCGCGAACAAAGGCGTCGCGTATTTCGCCTGCTTCCTGATGGCTGCGGGCGCATATATTCCCTCGTGTCTCGTCCACGCCTGGCACAACAATAACAACGTCCACGAGAACTCACGAGCAGCAAATACCGGATTCTTCGTGGGACTGGGGAATCTGGCAGGGGTCCTAAGCGCCGCGACGTTTCGCACGGAATACGCGCCCAAGTCAGTATGCCCGACACAAACACATCGTAAAATTCTAACAGAATAGATACATTCCCACCCTCCTGGCGACCTGCTGCTGCAACGGCGTCTGCATCGTCTTCGCGACCGGCCTCGCCATCTGGATGCGCCTAGAAAACCGACGACGAGACCACGAGCAGGGAACGCACCGGCGCGGCGAAGACGTCGACACGCGGCAATTATCAGCGGGGGAAGACAGTGCCGATTGGAGATATTTTCTATAGGCTGGCAGATAGCGGTAGTCCGTTGATAGGAACATCCAATAAGAACAGTCAAAGAGTCAGCGATCGTCATCTGGACGAACTAAAGCCACTAAAAGCGAGTTCTCCGCATCGCACGGCGTCTCCAATTCGTGGATGCGTTGCACGGCTTATCGTGGCTGATCGAGTTGGGGTTATAAGAGGATCTCCTGCACTCCTTGTTTTCATGAGGGGTTCGTTAGACCGCTGTATATGAATCATTGCCTCTGCATCTGCTTCGTAATGTCTGCACCATGAAAACCCACGCGTGTCAGTGGCCCAACTGCCAGAAAACATTCACTCGCGCAGAGCATCTGCGTCGCCATGCCTTGAACCACGAACAGGCGAGGAATGGCTATACCTGCGAGCGCTGTTCTGTGCATTTTCACCGTCCGGATCTGCTATGTACGTTTCTGCTATTCCGGGGTAATGACGATCCTAATGGGTACTACTGCAGCACGACACATGATGCGTCACGCCAAACGCGACGAAGAGGCCGGGGGTCCTGGTCTCGGCGTGCTCGAGACTCGCAAGAGAACTCGTCGCGCCGGCGATGGATCCATCGTGACGAGACCGGCGAAGCGACAGGGTCGACGGCCTTCGCATACTACGGCGTCGTTGTCGGACGACACTGAGCATCCGCATGGAGCGCCCGTCTCGCCTCCTGGGTCGGCGAGCGATCCTCCCTCGCTGTCTCTGGACGAGACAGATTCGCTACTGGCGCCGATGATGCCGGGAGGACCGTTCGAGCCGTTTGTCGAGCCTATACCGGGGCAGTTTGATGCGGCAGATGGACCGTGGAGTTTAGGGCTGGAGCCGCAGGGGTTGGGCGATGGGTTTGGTTTGGATACTGGTGAGTCCTGTAGAGAGTGAATATGCGATAGTCATGAATAGTGAGCTGACAGGGAGTCTGAATAGCAACCGACTTCAACATGCCCTTCGCCGCCACGCACAACTACAACTGGCTGTTCGACGTCGCCTCGCTCGACGACGCCTTCCATCAGCTCGATCTCCCTTTGGGGCCTGACATGATGACCTTCGCAGACGCATTAGACACACCCCCAGCAAGTTTGGATGTCCCCGACGCAGACAAACTGCTGGACCTGGACGGATCGTCGGTCCTTCTACAGGCAGCCTCCTACGTCGAGCGCAATCGCGACGTCAATCTGACCCTGAACGCACTGGACATGGACTGGATGGGCCCCAGTATTCTCGATGCCAGTCCAGCACCGCATCTCCCGCGTCTCACAGAGGACGTCCGACAAGGAATACTGGGTCTGGTGAACCACGATGCACTCCTCCTCGCGCAATCCGACACTCTTCTCAGCCTCTCCTCCATTCAAAGCTACAGCGACCTGTTCTTCACGCGCTTCAACACTGTCTACCCACTTATCCACCAACCCACCTTCAGTCCAACAGCCGTGCAACCCGTCTTCATGGCCTCCATCCTCTGCATGGGAGCCACTTACAGCACGCGCGAAGCCCACCAGCTCGCCGTCAGCCTACACGAGCACCTGCGCACACAGCTCTTCTGCAACGAGGCATTCTCGCCGTCGCCCTCTCTCTGGGTCCTGCAGACGATGCTCCTAATCGACTGTTTCGGCAAGATGCGCGCAGGTCCTAAACAACGCGAAATGGCCCAGCTCTTCCACTGCGTCCTTATCAAACTCATCCGACGCAGTGGAGCCTGCAACATCCGACACACCGGGACCAGCGACTTCTCCGCGTCAGGCATCGAGCAAGACTCAGACACCGACGATGTCGCTCAGACCTGGCGATCCGCCATGGAAGCCGAGCAGCGAAAACGCGTCGTCATGCACTGCTTCATGTGGGACACGCAGCACGCGGTCCTCTTCTCGCAGTCGCTATGCATGTCTGCGTTCGAAATCCGGTGCTCCCTGCCCTGCAGCGCCAGTGTCTGGGAAGCCCCTACTGCAGAGGAATGGATGCGCGCCGGCCCCAGAGACCCAGAACATTCATTCCTCTCCGTGCTCAAGGGGTACATAACACCAGGGTCAGCACCTCGCCCTCGAGACCTGAACCCCCTGGCCAGAGTCCTAATCCTGCACGGTCTGATGTCCGTATCTTCGGACCTCAAACGCCGCGATCAAACGACCATCCGCGAGACACCAGAACGCCTGGGCGCCTGGACACGTCGAATGGGTCGATCCTACGATCTATGGAAGATAGACTTCGACGCGGACTGTCTGTCGAGCAAACTCTCGTCTCAGCCGCAAGCATCCACCCCTGGGACAGGTCTGAATACCGACCCTGACCTCCGGCGTCTCCCGGCACTCAAATCCTCGGCCCATGCGCTCTACCGCGCCGCGCACATCGCGCTCAACGTTGAACTACTGGATCTACAGATCGCAGCGGGCGCGACGCATATTCTCAGCCGCGGCGTCACGGACTCCGACCGCGCGAGATCGCTGAGTATCTTGCCTCGCTGGCTGCAGACTTCTGCGTCCGTGACGGCAGCTCGCCATGCGGCTCATTTACTTCAAGACGCGATACTAAGTATCCACGAGTGGGAGGCCCCAGACGCATTCCACTTCCCGTGGTGTTTATACCTGGGGACATTAGCCTGTTGGGCCTTCCACTTCCCGCTCAGCGGCCAGGGCCAGGACCAAGGACAGGGACGAGTAACAACAGACGTATCGTCGCTAATCGTCGCGATGACCAGCTGCGAAGGCGACGAGCTGGGCAGTCTCGGCGGAAAATACGAAACGAGGGGACTGGTGATGGCGATGGCGCAGCAGCTAGCAGTGGTGCGGTGGGGAGTGGTGCACGATGCGATGAAGGTGTTGGTTAATTTAGGGGGTCGGTAGTCGTTAGTGTGTTTCTATGTGTACTCAAACCATGTATCGTATATCGCCACCACGCCTACCTACCTCGGTACTCTGCATGAATGAATTCCCAACTAAGACAAGCGGTTGGTAATACGAGGCCAGCCCGATGAGCGCAAGGCCACCAATGCGCGTCCGTAGAAGCCAGACATAAAGACCCGAGATGCGCTGGACCTATCGGACGCTTTTCAAGAGAATGAAACCGGATCTCCGGCAGACATTCCAATGGTGACTGGGTCGCTAATCAAACACGAATAACATCCAGGTATGACATATCGCCTGCAGGCGAAAAGTGGGATGGAATGCCTGAACCGCAAGGCCGACCCCACTTTTGAGCATGCAGAAAGAAGAGAGGGGAAGGAGTTCGCCACGGGGGATGTTCATTTTTCAAGAGGAATCTGCTCTATTCTTTTCACTGAGTGTGTCAAGTGGAAATTATCGTGAAATGTATCATCCAAAATGAACGCTCTCCTAGAGACTCATCCCTCGACGCTGTCGTTCTACCTCAACGGGACGGCTATAAGCCTGGAGAACGCGAACCCGCACTGGACGCTGCTCGACTTTATACGCTCGCAGCATGGACTGAAAGGCACGAAGCTGGGCTGTGGAGAGGGCGGGTGTGGTGCGTGTACGGTGGTTTTGCAGACAAGGGATGCGGGCAGGGGGATTAGGCATTTGGCTGTGAATGCGTGCTTGTACCCGCTTGTTGGAGGTTGATATCCCGTTCTCCTTTCTGTTCAGTTCCTGATGGGAAATGCTGGGTATTTTTCTGTGGGAAAGAGTGTTAACGGCATGACAGTGGTAGGAAAGCATATCATCACGATCGAAGGACTCGGAAACGTCGACAATCCGCATCCGTTGCAGGAGAGACTGGGCAAGCTGCATGGGTCACAGTATGCTCTACCCATATCCTGTTCATGCATCCTCTGCAGCATTAACAGCTAACTAAAAATCAAGATGTGGCTTCTGCACCCCCGGAATCGTAATGTCGCTCTACGCCGTCATCCGAAACGCCTACGACCCTTCTACCGACACATTCGTGCTCTCGGAAGACGAGATCGAAATGAAAGGGCACCTTGATGGAAACCTGTGTCGATGCACCGGGTATAAGCCGATCCTGCAGGCCGCGAAGACGTTTGTACAAGAGGACTTAGGAGGGAGGGTGAATTACACAGCGAAGAGTGCATCCTCGCAGCTCGACAAAGAAGTGACCGCTGGCCTTGAAGCGGCCACTCTTAAAGAGGAGAGGAAGTCCAGCACCTCATGTGGACGACCAGGGGGGTGTTGTCGCGACTCGCCTTCTTCGCCGTGTTCCAGCAGCTCCGGGACTAAGACAGACGAGAGTCGAGCTGAAGAGACGGATTTCTCCAGTCTAGAGTCTGGTCCGGGGTCGCGGAAATCGTCGATCCCGCAGTTTGAGTTCATCCCATACATGCCAAAGACAGAGCTGATATATCCTCCTGGCCTGTCGAAGTTCACTCCCTCGATGCTGGCCTATGGGACGGAAGAGAAGGTATGGGTGAGGCCGGTGACGATCCAGCAAACACTCCAGATCCTATCCCAGTACCCATCTGCTCGATTAGTCGGCGGAGCAAGTGAGGTGCAAGTGGATATCCGCTTCAAAGGGACTGAGTTCCCTTTGTCGATATTCGTCGGGGACGTCGAGGAGCTGGCAAAGATTTCAACCACGACGAAAGACTCAGTTGTCACGGAGCTGGTTGTCGGTGGCAATGCAAGCCTGAGTGACATCGAGGCGGAATGTCACCGACTTACACCCTCACTTGGGGAACGTGCATCAGTCCTTGAGGCTATCGCTAAGGTGTTGCGCTATTTCGCTGGAAGACAGATCCGCAATGCAGCGAGTCTAGCAGGAAACATTGCTACTGCGTCCCCAATCTCTGACATGAATCCAGTCCTACTGGCCACAAACGCCACCGTCATCGCGCGAACTGTCGACAGCGAACAAGCGCTCCCAATGAAGAACATGTTCCTCGGATACCGCAAGACATCACTCCCAGCCAGCAGCGTCATCACAGAGATCCGAATCCCGCTGCCTCCACCAGGTGTCAAAGAATTAACAAAGTCATACAAGCAAGCCAAGCGTAAGGACGACGACATCGCCATCGTAACAGGCGCATTCCGCGTACGTCTGGACGACAACTTCCACGTCACCGACGCCGCACTGGCATTCGGCGGAATGGCACCGACCACGGTTCTCGCCAACCGCGCAAGTCAGTCTTTGATCGGCAAGAAATGGGGCGACGAGAAGGTTCTGGACCAAGCACTCGACGCTTTATCTGCAGATTTCAACCTCCCCTACAGCGTCCCCGGCGGAATGGCGACCTACCGACGCACCCTAACTCTCAGCCTCTTCTTCCGATTCTGGCACGAAGCCATCTCCGACTTCCATCTTGGCACTCCAGAGAGCATAGACGAGATCCACAGAAAGGTCTCATCGGGGACCCGCGACGACTTTAACCCCTACGAGCAAAGCGTCGTCGGCAAGCAGCTCCCGCATCTATCAGGCCTTAAGCACACAACTGGCGAGGCCGAATACATCGACGACATGCCGCCGCAGAGCCGAGAGATGTTTGGTGCCATGGTGCTATCTCAGCGTGCCCATGCGAAGGTCGTCTCCGTGGACTGGACCCCTGCTATCGGTCCTGGTCTCGCAGCAGGATATATTGACAAACACAGCATTCCCGCGAACAAGAACAGATGGGGCTCTGTGGTTCGCGACGAGCCTTTCTTCGCGGAAGATGAGGTGTTTTCGCATGGTCAGCCTATTGGCATGGTCTATGCCGAGACGGCATTGCAGGCGCAGGCTGCTGCACGGGCTGTCAAGGTGGTGTACGAGGATCTTCCGGCGATATTGACGATTGATGAGGCCATTAAGGCGAAGAGCTTCTTCAAGCATGGGAAGGAGCTGAGGAAGGGAGCTCTGCCGGAGCAGATGGATGGTGTGTTTGCGAAGTGTGATCGTGTATTCACGGGGACGACAAGAATTGGGGGCCAAGAGCATTTCTATCTCGAGACGAATGCGGCGATGGTGATTCCTCATGTCGAGGACGGGTCGATGGAGGTTTGGTCGTCCACGCAGAATACGTATGTCCCCCATATCTCATGAAGACTCCGGTACTAACAAAGCTGTAACAGATTGGAAACCCAAGAATTTGTTTCGCATGTCACCGGCACTCCCTCCCATCGCATCAACGCCCGCGTCAAGCGTATGGGCGGTGCATTCGGCGGCAAAGAATCGCGCAGTGTCCAACTCGCCTGTCTCCTGGCCATCGCAGCCAAAAAAGCCCGTCGACCCATGCGCGCCATGCTAAACCGCGACGAAGACATGATGACATCCGGCCAGCGCCATCCCATCCAATGTCGCTGGAAGGTCGGCGTCACCAACGAGGGCCGCCTCATGGCTCTATCCGCCGACTGCTACAACAACGCAGGCTACTCGCTCGACATGAGCGGCGCGGTAATGGACCGCTGCTGCACACATCTCGACAACTGCTACCATATCCCCAACGTGCACATCCGCGCCTGGGTGTGCAAGACAAACACGCACAGCAACACGGCATTCCGCGGCTTCGGTGGCCCCCAGGCGATGTTCATCGCGGAGAGCTACATGTCCGCCATCGCCGAAGGTCTCTCCATCGACATCGACGATCTACGCCGCATAAACCTCTACCAACCGGGGCAGCGCACGCCCTTCCTCCAAACCATCGACACCGACTGGCACGTCCCCATCCTGCTGGACCAAGTCCGAGCCGAATCGGACTACGACAACCGCAAAGCCTCCATCGCCAAGTTCAACGCCAGCCACAAACACCGCAAGCGTGGAATCAGCCTGATCCCCACGAAATTCGGCATCTCCTTCGCCACAGCCATACATCTCAACCAGGCTACGGCCTCTGTGCGAATCTACACCGACGGCTCGATCCTCCTGCACCACGGTGGCACCGAGATGGGACAGGGCCTCTTCACCAAGGTCGCCCAAGTAGCGGCGCAGGCTCTGCAAGTCCCGTTCGAAACCATCTACACACCGGACACCTCTTCCTATCAATCAGCAAACGCCTCGCCGACCGCCGCCTCCTCGGGCAGCGACCTCAACGGCATGGCAGTGCAGCACGCCTGCGACCAGCTGAACGAGCGTCTGGCGCCGTACAGGGAGAAATTCGGCAAAGACGCAGACATGCACACGCTGGCTCATGCGGCGTACCTGGACCGCGTCAACCTCTCCGCTACGGGGTTCTGGAAAATGCCAACGATCGGATATGAATGGGGGAATTACAATCCCGAGACGGTCAAGCCGATGTATTTCTACTTCACTCAGGTGTGTCTCCTTCCAGTACTCTTCCTATCCCATTTGACCCTCAACATGCTGACGAAGAGATAATATAGGGAGTCGCATGCACCGAAGTCGAACTCGACCTCCTAACAGGCGACCACACGGTCCTGTACACACGCATAAAAATGGACGTCGGCCGCTCCATCAACCCTGCGATCGACTACGGCCAAGTGGAAGGCGCCTTCGTACAAGGCCAGGGGCTCTTCACGATGGAAGAATCCCTCTGGACGGGCGCCGGGCAACTCGCGACCCGAGGACCAGGGAACTACAAAATCCCTGGATTTAGCGACATACCGCAGGAGTTCCACGTGAGCTTTCTGCGGGATGTGGAGTGGAAGAACCTTCGATCGATTCAGTCGAGTAAGGGTATTGGAGAGCCGCCGCTTTTCCTGGGCTCGACAGTGTTGTTTGCGTTGAGGGATGCGTTGAAGGCCGCGAGGGGGATGAATGGGGTGGTTGAGCCGTTGGTGTTGGATAGTCCGGCGACGAGCGAGAGGTTGAGGTTGGCGGTTGGGGATGGGTTGTTGGGGAAGGCGAGGGTCATGAGGAGGGAGGGGGAGAAGGGGTTTTTCGTTACGGTTGCTTAGGTTTGGCTTGGTCTGTCTATTATTTTCTAGGTTGAAATGAGCAAAGATGGTTGATTGAAGTGGTTTGTTGAAGCTAAAGGGTGTGAACGATCGAGATAAGAAATGAATGGCAAACGCTGAACTGCAAACCCCACGAACAAAACATTAATGTGTCCTGAAACTCTTAACCGCAGGCATAAAAGCTCCAGGGATCCGTCAGAAATCCATCAAACACCTTCAAGGTCTTGAACATCGCCAAGGGTTAACGCTTCAATGCCTCTGGATATGGCTGCGAATTGACATTCTTCGCTACAATCTCGATCCGTGCCTTGATGTTGTTCCATAGTATGTTCATCGAGGATTTCTTGAATGGCATCTATAATGAATTAAGTCACTAACATGAATCGTCCTGCTATTTCTCTCCATTCGGGATAAGAGCATACCTCGTAATTCATTGCAATTCAGTCTGCTATCGTCTTTGCATGCTTCAGTTGGATAATCAGATTCCTTCTGCTTGTTTGCAGATTTTATCTGCTGAAGAAGAGATCCAATTTGAGTGTGCGGCAGACGATAAGCAATCAGACCTGACGGCTCGAAGTAGTGCTCCAGAATCATAGTCCGGGCTAGCAACCTTCTAGCCGCATCGTCCATTGTAAGGTGAAGTGTCCTGTATGTGCCACTCTGCTGCACAAGACCATGATGATAAATGCGAGGCCCGTCCATCAGCAAATCCTTAACCGACTCATCAAATTTCCAATTGTTGACACACTGCAGCTTCTCAGCAATCCCACTTTCATCCATGCAATCCCACTTGGTAGTTACGATAGTAACCTTCGGCGTGGACCGCCCACCACGATATGCATATAGACTCCTGAGAACCAACCTTTCGAGGGCTGAGAATTCGTTGCTTTCCATAGATGTCAGGTATAGAATTCCGCGGAAGGTGAAAGCATCCAGAAAATTCAGAATCCGTCTCATAGGCCACCCGTAACCGCTCCTAATCTCCCAGGCGATGTCTGGCATGATGATAAAAAGGCAGTGTTTCTGGCCGATGGCACCTGTCGCAATATTGGAGTATATTCCATCTGTCAATTGTCAGGATTGTATTCAATGTCTAGCGCCCTTTGGGGATCGAATCTACCGGCCCAGACACATTCGTCTTTCCCCGACAGAGACCGGGCCAACGTTCTTTTGCCAGCTCCTCCATTGCCGATGATCATGAAGAATTCTGCTCCTTCACTATAAAAGTCATTGGCGATAGTTCAATAATGCTCAGAATTACATGCATATTTGTCCACTTACTGTTCTTACTTAAATTCTCGCTCGTCCCTTATCTTATTCCAGTCGAACCCCGTGAACGTATTCTCAGGGAACATCGACATCTTAAACAGAGGGGCGTTGTAACTACTTAATGTAGTGCAAAAAAGGACAAGTGAATTCGTTCAGCAGGGATTTTTTTCCCTGTTAACACGGTGCGAGGTTAAATGAACAGTGTTACGATGACTAGAACCAGAAACTGGCGGGGAAGTTGTAGCAGAAGTCTCATCTATGGTAGCGAACGGAATTTCTAAACGCTATGAACATGAGCAATATACTCCTAACTCGGCCCAGCTGTCCCCAATAGGAGCGAGGGCCGTGGTAGAGGATCCCTGGGACCAGGAACAAAGACTAGCTTTCCCAGCGGTCGGGTCTGTTGAGATATTCATGACTTCATTTAGGCTGTTTCCTGAATTTTGGTCTTCTATTTCCTATTTATAACCGTAATTTTATATATTTGATTCAGGTTCGCGGTAAGTAAACTTTGGGGGTAATAATCCAGTTCAGGCGATAAGCCGTGTTTGAAAATCATAGAGGGGCCTGCACATATTAAATCCAGAATACTAAGTTGGTAGCTTTCAGTACACTGTTTTACCTCCCATGAGTTAGATAATCTCGCATGAGCTAGGGGCCCAACCCTGATGTTCCTTCGGAGTGGCATTGAGGATCTTCAGCGCCTATCATATGCAGTATGGTTTGTGAGGCATTAAAAAAATGAGGTTTTATGCCTTCTTAATGGGGGACGAGTTAGTGCATTTGAGCAAACTAACATTGCTGTCTGGGCAATGCCATCGGGCACCGTCTCTGCTTTCCCACTCTTTTTGATTTGTCGCATTTGCGAAGGATATTTTAGCTGATCTTGGCCTTGGTACTAGGCGACTGAACTAAGCGATCATTTCAAAATCCAATGGCTGTACAGATCCCCGCCATTTGTTTGGGAACAGGCATGACAAACGATATAATCCCATTAAACTCGGTACAACAGCAATGTCTATATCCTAATACGCCCATCTCAAATGAGGACCTATGCTCTAATCCTCCTGCTGACTCGCCAACAACATATACAATAGTACGCGATGTATGATCATGTTTGCCTTGTCGTCTTGCAGATTCTGGGCAGGCTTGGACTACCCCACTATTGAAAATCACTAGGCCACGTAGAGATTGCCCCTCTTCTTGCTTTTGCCCCTCTCTGCTTTGTTCTTTTTTCCTTTTTCCTATGCACCTGAGACATTTCCTACATGCTGGTTTGTGTGACCTGAGAGAAGCACCGATGATGCGAACAGAATACCGCCATATAGGCACCCAGATTCCAGCTGCGACTTGAAAATATAAATACCCTACCGTCCCTCGTCATTTTGCCGTATCGATCAGATACTTTAATCTCCCCAGACTTCAAGCACATCGCAACTCAATCTACCTCCTTGTTTTCAGTTGCGTCTGCTGCCCCTATTCCCTCCAAAATGCTTGTTTACCAAGGCAAATTGAACACCAACACCGACTACGCGACCGAGGATGAAGTCATCACCCTTACAATCAGTGGCGCTCTCGAACAAGGATCACCTGCTGTGATAACTGGACAGTGGACTGTGAGCTACGAGGGGGTTTCGAAGGAGAATTACACCCAGGCTGGCACCATTACTACCCTGGAGGATGATCACATTGAGCTTTACGTCGACGAAGACAAGTACTACTGGTGAGTTCGTGACTCTTCCGTCGTACATTATGCGGGTATGCAGCAGCACTAACATAGGCAATTAAATAGGTTTATCGGGACCGTATCAGACGAAAAGATTGTTCTGGACATGAAGAGTCCGGACTTAGAGGACTATGGGCATGCTGAGCTGTCTCTTGTCTATTCCGATCAATAGGACCTCCATGATATTGAAATGGCCAGCACAGCTATGAAGACGGGTTATACTATTTTCGATCTATGGACAGCCCAGAACACCATATAGTCTCCGCTTCGTGGTTTCTTTGCTATACCTCGCTATTGAGATTCTCTATTACACTTTGATTCCCAATACTTCAATACGAATGCACAGGGTAGCTTCAAGTAAGAGGAAATTCCATCTAAGATTACTCAGAACTTCAGCCATGATGGGATACGACAAACAAAGAGTCAAATACGCTTTAGGCCTTTCGTTCAAAACCAAAGGGAACCGTTTGGGGAGCATCTTTATATGTACAGTGCTATGGGTAGGCTTAATACTCCCCGTTCTTTCAGCCCTAAAAAACCCCTCGTAGGAGCAGAACTAAGCCAAATACGTCGCGGTATTTCCAGATTACTCAACATTCCTCCATGATGATCCACCTATGGGGTGCACTTCTTTATTGGCTGCCATTAATACGAAGGATGAAAAAAAGGGTCCTCTAATCTTACTTTCTCTCGGCACAAACACCATTTTCTCGTATAGGAAGTCGGGCCAAAATGTATTACGTTTAGCTAGAGCTTACCTACTACCGGGTCGCTACGGGGTCGTATCCGCAGGTTTGCAGCATATATATACAGCGTCCAGCTAAATACAGCGTGTCAGGATGCCCCTTGACCCGATATTCGTTAATTCCTCTCCTTTGTGCGTTCATTTCGCATTCAAGCATTAGCTGCTGGCCAGCCTACGTGTTATCATTCGTTCGTTCAATTTCTTCAATTTTTTCTGCCATGCCCGAGCGATCCTTTTCCTCGGTCTCGGAGCGGTCGCTAATGCACATGTCGCTGCGTGGGCCAAAGGCATGTACTGCCTAGATGGCACGTCCGGCAGTGAGGACCAAAACACCAATACTGCCGTTGCCCCGCTGTATCAGCTGGAGAAATCAGACTGGTGGTTCCAACACGAACGTGGATGCGACGCGGCTCTTCCAGCAGATGGTGACATGCTGGCGCTCCCAGCGAACGGAAGCTTCACGGTCGAGCTGGCTCATAGTCGAGCACTGACGACCCTCGCCTACGATGGTCAATTTGCAACCGACTGGCCAGATGGTCACGATCATCCAGAAAAATGGAAAGGTGCCGGTGATCCTGCTGAGTGTATCCAGGATGACGGCGCTATGCATACAAACAACCACACTATGGCGGCTGGGACGGCATTCGCGATCAGCTACGAGTCGGACATTTCCAAGGTCACGATGGAGAATCTCGCTGTTTTTTCCGTCCTTGAGCAGTAGGCTTCCTCGTTCCGTTCTTCCTTACCGGGGTCGCTTACCTAGGCTAACTATTCCACCTCTCAAGCTCTCCCTGGAAGCGCCTGGCGACATACGAGGTTCCTGACCTCCCTGCATGCCCGCCCGATGGATGCACTTGTGCGTGGCTTTGGGTAAGCTTTTATATATCAACTCTTCTGTATTGCTTAAGGCACTGACCGATTCCTTTTACCCGCCTAGGTACCCATCGGCTGCGGACAACCAAACATGTACATGCAAGGATTTAAATGCAACGTCACCGGATCAAAATCTTCCAAGAAAGTCGGGTCCGCACAGCCGCCCATATATTGCGCAGACGATGCATCCAAGTGTGCGAAGGGCGCAAAGCAAATGATTGCATGGAACCGTACGTATTCGAGACCAGGTATTTATATTCCGGCACTAACGGTTTGTTGACCTAGAAAAATCGGGTGACAATGTTCAAGCCCCGGATGGATCTACTCCAACTTACAGTGAGAGCTGGGGTTGGCAGGCTGGTAAGTTTACAAATTCTAGAGTCGATATTCGCGTTATTCTGTTTACTAACTGCTGTGAACGACCATATCTAGGCCCTCAGCACGACATTCTTTCTTATAACTAGGAGACTCTGCCATGCCGGAAGAGCTTGCGATGTAGATCTATATCCTGCCATCGCTTTAAATAGTTGGTTATATCTCTTCAATACCCATGTATTGTAACATAGGAATAATAGTGATCTAAGTGAACTCGCCACGTTCGATCCCTCTCGCCTCAAGAAACCTCTAGCAGGAGCATAATTCAAACAAGTTGCGGTAATTTTGCACCGACTGTGCTAAAAGCCTCATAAACCTGAGACTAATAGATAGCGGCTCCAGTTATTGGTAGAATAATAAAATCCAAAGTCTTTTGCCATTATAGTAGCCAGGGGAAAACAGAAATTTGATTTGTGTGGAGCTCATAATATATCTTACCCGTTCCGATGCAGGTGATGATAGTATTTGATGCTCACAGTCCATTGCACAATTATCTACGGGAGAATCGGAAAGCGAGAAAGATGAGTGTATTTGATTAGAAAATGAGCGAAGAAGTTGATTGAAGAAAGAAAGTATCTGAGCGGGACATCTGAGACAAAATCCAACTAGCTGGGTGGTTGATGGTCAACCAACAACAAAACTCTGCAACTATTCACTCAATAATGTAACCTTGAATTCTCTAAATCCAATTCTTGAGATGCTGGATCAACTCATCACGGTGCTCGACATTCTCGAACTTGAATGAACCAGCGAGTTCATCCAATTCCTCGAACGATAGGTCGCGGAAATACTCCGCAAACTCCGATGCCAAATACTCAGACAATAGAATATCCCGAAGAACCCGATCCACCCAATCCCTTGTTCTCCATGTAGGCGGGTAGAGTGATTCTCTGTGTTCTGGAGGAATAGCCGCTTCGAAATGATCCTTGACGGCGGTATAGATCTTTTCAATTTCAGGATCGGCGTTGCGTCCCCATCGATCAAGACCAAGCGACTGCTTCTTGACAAGCCAGGGCTGGAGATGACGATACCATTTCGAGTCTGGGGAGACAAAGGTCAATCCCTGGTACCCAATGTCCTTATAGAGCCAGATCGACCATGAGATTGGAGTATTGTCCCCCGAAGGATCTCCCTTCTTGTAGATTTCCAGCTGGTCGCGCAAAACAAGGTAGCGAGATGCATTGGTCGCCTCAATATCGGTGTCGTGACGCATGGCAGACGAATAAACTGGGCCCCATTCGCCGTTCCACACGGGCACTCCGACCTGTTTCATGTGCGAAATCTTGCGTTCGTACGAGGCAAGAAGCTTGGCTTTCTGTGTCTCGGCGCTGGTGTATCTTTCCTCGCAAGCGGGGAACCCGAATTTCGAATAATCATGGATCGAGTAAACGGAGTTTGGGAAAGGCTTCGCAGGGAAGTGGTTGAAATCAGCAGCATATGTGTTTCCATCGAGGAAGAGAATATGCTTGTCATCAACGGACCGTATCTCCTTTTCAATGCGAGTGTAGAAGTCGATGAGTCGGGTATGCTTCGGGTCTGCTGGCTCATTCAGAGGGTTGTATCCAGCCACCCAGGGGTTTTCCTTGTAGTGGGCTGCGATGTGTTTCCAGAGATTGATGATGGTATCTTGTAAATGCCCATAGTCCCAGAATTGAGCAGCGTGGGTTGCGTTGTCGGAATGCCAATCCTGGTTCTGTCCGCAGGGTGCAGTGTGGAGGTCCAAGACGGTGTAGATACCGAACCGAGCACAGCTGTCCACTACCCGGTCAAGAAGCTTGAAACCATTGGGATTGACTTTGGTCAGGTCGTTGTCATCGAGGAAGTGGCGATGATTGAACGGGATTCGGAGACAGTTGAGATTGCAAGCCGCATAAAACTCCGAGTCCTTGTCGGTCCAGAAATAGTCATAGAATCGGTCCCAGAAAAAGTCATACTTCTCCTGACCCATGAATTTCAGCATGGCTTCCTTATGTTGGGTTTCGTGCCCTGGGTAGCCCGTGATGAAGTTTTCCATGTTAAGGTGACCTCCGGTGGCAGCTCCACGAAGCACAACTGGCTTGCCATCATCTGAGACAATTTTGGTCCCTTCCACACGAAGAAAGCCTGTCATTTTGATGGTGAAAACAAGGATCAATTGAGATGTTTGTACCGGCTTGTTGTTTGTTGAATTCCAGGTGGCCCTTGGAGCCCTTGATATACGTTTAGGAATTCCCCTGTTGAACCATTTTGGGCCAGCTTTGACACGTCTCATATGCGCATGACCGACATTCCGCGACAGCATGTCCGACACTCCCCGCGATGCGGAGAAATGCGACATGGGTTAGTGTGGCATTACCATTTTGGACAATGATCAGGGAGATCGGTTCGTTATGGATAATTTCAGCTACCATCTTCAGACTTTAACCACCTGGGATTCTTCCAGGGTTCAATTTAGCCACCTGGGCGATCGATGCTGTGGAGCTTTGTGTTGTCACGGGTGGTATTTAGGAACGTGGTTGTCATATGCGGTAGATATATTTTCCAAGTTACTATAAAAACTGTATGATAACGGATAGATAAGCGCCATTCATGTCGAACGCAGTGACCCCGGAGGCGAAGTCTTCTATGAGCGTTTACTGATGTGATGGTACGTGCTTCTATGGAACTTTATCCGGGTCTTTTTTAACCGGAAAGAAAACGCGGGGTGGGAAAATGTCGCTATGAATCCCCAACTTACGGGTCGTACTTGGCACTTTGTCCCCGCTCACAGGTTGCACAGGTTGGTGGGGGTAAAATGGCAAGTGTCTATAATTTCGAAAAACAAAGATAAGACTCAGACTAGTCTGAATATTCCGAAAATAAGACTATTAAATTTGTAGGTGGGTCAAGGATATCTGAAGGGGAAAGCGTTGGGGATTGGCGTGGAATGGGATATGAGTCTCTGCATTAGCATATTGCGGAGGAGTCTGTTTTAGAGCACGGTAAGACAGTATATTCATAGTTCCAGGAACATAGTACTCAATGATAACTATGAGGCAATCTTTAATAGTTACTATCTATTAATATAACCTTTTACCTTTGTGAAGCTTACATAGAATAGGTGCACAGATTACTGAGAGCCTAGCGGACAATGAGAGCACCGCCACAATATCTGTGTAGTGTGATTGTGCTTTGGGTCACAATATGGAATTTGTAGACATTGAAGCAACAATACCAATCAATACATTGCTAAGGTTGACACTTTTCTGTGGTCGGCTTTGTATCATTCACATACCCAGCACTCCTATTAGCTAGAGGGCTGTCTTTCGCGTTCGTCCTTTGAAAAAAGGGCTAAAAGTCGACGTCCGGCCGGAAGCATCGTTTCCTTGTTAATCAGACCCCATAACAAACAGATTCCAACAAGCAAAGCTATCATGACCGGCTGGAGGACAAAGACGCCCGCCTTGGAGGCTATTGCCCCAGTTAGGAATGGGAAAGCAGCAGAACCTGCTTGTCCAACACTCGCGGCAAATCCTGGAGGCGCATCAGTAGGAATCATTAGACGCTGTCTGTGGAATGAAGAAGCAACGGGAATTATCATAGCCACGCACCTATTGCGCCGTTTTGCACATTCGCTGGAACAGTCTCAGTAAGGACGTATAGCCCAACAGGGTAGAACGGTCCGATGAAATAGCCTAAAAATATTAGCGACCCCAGTCCATTGCTGCATTGGAATTTTGACAAACCGAGAAGACAGATCACTACGGCATTGGCAATGATATGGGGAATCAGCCAAAACATGATTTGCAAGGCTATTGCCAGTGCAATGTATATGAAGACCATGCGCCGCTCTCCAAATCGATGTGTAACGTCCGCAAGAGTCAGACGTCCCAAGGTGAGTCCCGCCCAGTAGGCTGTGGCAATGTAGCCAACTTTCTCAGGATCACCATTTCTAACCGACACAAGGAACTGAACCAGCCATCCTATGTAGCATATCAGCACAAGCACAGTATGGTAACAGAAGCATGGGACCTTTCAGCAAGATACCTCCAGCAGTAACTTCAGCCCCAACATAGAGAAAGAAGAACAGATTGAAAAGCCACACGGTGCCATTTGACAACGTTGCTTGTAACTCGCTTCCGGCTGTATCTTTGGCGTTGCGCACATTCGGGCGAAACAAGCCTCTGCGAAATGCCCAGGCTAGAAAGAGGATATTTATCACACCGACACCAAGGGCGACGAGGTAGTATCGGTACCAATAGGAGGTGGTTGAGGCCATAGCGTTTGCGACCAACGGTGCAATTACGGTACCAACGCCGTATATGGCATGCAGAATTCCCAGCCACCGATGAGGATTCGGAAGACTGACGGTGAAGATATTCGCCTGAGCATCTTGGAGGCCCACGCCGCAACCGGTAAAAAAGAATGCGATTACAAACAGAGGAAAAGGCGCAAACCAGCACATCAGCGCGTATCCGATGCACTGGACTATAGCCCCTACCACAAGCGTCCCACCGGTTCCAAGGCGTGATGAGACATGGATGTTGATAAACGATGCCGTAATCCACCCGACGAAGTTGACAAGGTAGATCAACGACACCTGGAGAAGGTTGACGTGGTACGCTGGTTGGATATATGGTATCAAAACGCCAACCGCAGCATCTATTTTGTGACCACCATATTGGTTAGCGAGGCTACACTGATCAGGTATTGGAGTAACAGGACGGCCAAGTGCCATTCAGATCCAAGGTGAAGCTTTGTTTTGGGGATGATACCATTTAGCCCTCCCATAAAATATGCGAAATTGGTGCTCAAAATCTTTCCAATGACCTCGTGAGTGATTTTCTCGGTCGGAGGCAAATTTGAAGGAGGCTGCTCTTCCGTTTCCTGTGTTTCCGGATCTTGGATAGAGACATTCTGTTCTGACTTTCCTTCCATCTTCGAAAAACTGATTGGCTTTCCGCGGAGTGCAAAGACACTCCAGGGAGCTCGTCCCTTTATTTAGTCTGGCCGACGATCCGGAGAGAAAGTCCGGCCGATATTCATAATTAGTCTCTGATAGCTCATAGTGCCAGGGCTAGCATAGGTTATGTTAAGTGAAAATCGGTGTGCAAAACGGACTGGTTTTATTGCGAATGCTGCAAGTGTACGTGTACTGTGCATCGCCGACACTCCGCAATAAAGCCCCACTCAGAGCCTTGTAACTATCGGGGAGTGTCGCCCAAGACGGAAAATTATGTATCACCCCCATCGATCCCCAAAAGCCGGATTGCGGAGTTGCATATCGATAGATGGGGGTCTTGAACTGTAAGGGGACTGAAAGTTGACAGCTTTTATAACAAAGCATTCTCCCGCACTCTGGCTACTGTTGGACCCAAACCTGACCCGTGATGAGGTGTAACTCAATCGTAAACAATTACTACCCTGAATTTTACCTCCGGTGATGAAGTTGAATTGAAGGCAAGGAAGTAAATAAGAACTATCCAACGGGTGGTGAAAGGGGGTAGTTGAGTTGAGTGAGGTTCTCGAGGACAGGCAAAACGAGATGACAGATTAAATATAATTCCGAGTTACTCTTCGCATCTGCTCAAATATCGAGGGACTTTTACTGACTTCCCGTACCCTCTCTCATGAACTGAAACTCGAAAGGAGAGCACAGGTTTGCCCGGGGCCTTTGGCTTGGCCGGTGAAAATTGTCTATTCTCTGCCGGAGGGTTTACTAAAGGAAAGCTAACTGTAGTGAATGTGCGATGGGCGAAGCTTGCTGGCCGTTGTATTAATCTTTCTCAGGGCTCTACTGAGATTTAGAATCGCCATCTATTCGGCCTAAAATCTCTGTTGCACAGGCCCGAATAGGAGCGAGATTTCACACTGCGCCAAAAGCTTCTTGCACCCTTCATGGCAGAGTTACCCCACTGTTGGCAAATCACTTAGAAACTGCATAGTGGCAATCTGAAGGTGGTGGGTCCTTGATGATAACTTGATTACCAAAAACCGCCTCTTCGGGGTTAAAATAAGCACCGAGCCCCCTTGCTCTAGCCGCAGGCGGCAGTGTTCACAAATACGAATTCTACCCTGGTCTCGAAGCTTAGGATCCAAATGCACGAATCCAGCTCAGTTCTTGGAGAGGGATAGAAACATAAAAAGGGTGGAGCCGCCCTTCCACCTCCCCAATTCCCTAAACCCGACGGTCTCTCTAAGCTCGCGTTCCCTACGGAGTAGCAATGTCCGCCATCCTTGTTACAGGAGCCACTGGCAAGCAGGGTGGCTCCTTGATCAAAAGTCTCTTGAAAAAGGACGCCCCTTTCCAGATTTTGGCTGTCACCCGCGACACCCAGTCTGCCTCTTCTCAAAAACTATCAAAGGAGTCTTCGAAGATCACGTTGGTGCAAGGCGATCTGGACCACCCAGCAGAGCTCTTCAAAAAGGCCCAAGAGCTAACTTCGGTACCCATTTGGGGTGTCTTCAGTGTTCAAGTACGCATAATCGATCTGACCTATTCCTGGTTGAAATAATGGAAAATGCTAACAGAGGCTATTAATATCCTAGGTTGCGATTGGAAACAGCGCATCCGAGGAGGGCCAAGGCAAATCGCTCGTCGACGCTGCACTCAAAAATGGGGTCAAGCAGTTCGTCTACAGCTCGGTTGACCGCGGCGGCGCAAAATCTATAAACACGCCAACCCAAATCCCGCACTTCGTCCACAAGCATAACATTGAGAAACACCTGATGTCAAGCGCGAAGGATACGAGTATGCAGTGGACCATCTTACGGCCGACTGCTTTCTATGAGAACCTCACGCCGGACTTCTTTGGCAAGGTCTTTGCGACATCTTTTAAGACTAGTCTAAAGGGGAAGCCACTTCAAATGGTCGGTGTCAGTGACATTGGCGCTGTTGCGGCGGAAGGATTCCTGCACGCAGAGTCGTATCAGGGGCATGCCATCTCTTTGGCAGGTGACGAGCTGACATACGACCAATTCGGGAGTATCTTTGAGAAGAAAACAGGCCAAGCACTCCCTACTACATTCAGGCTATTTTCCGCTGGGATTATGGCGATGATCAAGGACATGGGATATATGTTCAAGTGGTTCCATGATGAGGGATATGGAGCCGATGTCGAAGAGGTTCGGAGAATTCACCCTGATGTCAAAGATTTCGGAACCTGGTTGGATACAGAGAGTCAGTTCGTGAAGAGGTGACTATTCAAGACAGGCAGATTATAATATGTATAATGTATAGCACAAATATGCTGTTTGGAGTTCAGGAGATAATCATAATTTCTAGCAATATAATACATTGACTACATCTCGAGCTGCTAGTAAATGAATTCATAACACGAGATGTCTACACTTTCTGGATAAGCACCACTAACAATGACACTGAACCCAAGCCTCCTTTTCAGCGAGGCGGTTAATGCTACCATCAATCGACGCATGGGATATCACTGCCAGCTTCTCTACCAGGCATTGTCGCACAGACTGCTGGCACGATCCTGGTTCAAACTTCGCGTGAAATAATAGGAGACCTCGATGAATATCCGACTTAGAAGAAAAGCACTTTCCCCCGATTCTCAACCGTATTCTGAAGCATCCCTGGCGCAATTCCTGCTTCTTTAAGCTTGGTTTTCAGCCTTTCCGTGATTGCCTCAGGATACTTAGACGACGAATGCGCTGGGCCCTTTCGCTCAGCCGCCAACCGATCCGTCAGCTCATTGCTTGTCCGGAAGAATGAGACTGGCAAGTTCTCCGTCGAGCCACATGCCGTGATACAGCTTTGATACAGCTCCTCGAAAGTTTGGTCACCGTAACCACCACCCGTTATGATGGCGTAGGGCGGGATTGAAAAATCATTGCAGCCCAGTTGCGTGTGGAGAGATGAAGGTGACGGAGGATCTCCGGCGATAATGAGGGGAACCTCTTGTCTGGAACGCGCAATGTTGTATCCTGCGTAGACGACTAGAATGTTCACCCAGTTAGATCGATTGCATAGCTAGACTCGTCATTCGGAGCGCACTTGACGGACCGTTGTACTCTGGTAGCAACTTTTTACTTATAAGGGCAGCTACTTCTTTCATAGCACCACAAAGGATAACGGGTACGGAGGCAGACATCCCAGCTACTTCGTTTCAAGGACAACAAATCCGACTGTATTTCCAAGTTAAGTGGCGATAAGTGAAATTGTGGGATGATCACCAAGGGGTACCGGCTGGTACGTGTAAGAATATAGAATAAGGGACATTGTCATAGAGGTAATGAAGGGTTCGGAAATATAGTACATTGTTTCGAGTAGAGAATTGGTAATTGCATCATGATTAAGCACGAAGGCTTCGGGAACTATTTCAAGGCCGAGCAGATGATGATGACTTGACTTTCTCCGCCCCACTGGGATTTAGAGTTAAACCAATTTTTAGCCTGTTCTCGAGTGGGTTGCTTGCTCCCACCCAGAACAAGTGAGACGTTGCATTCAAGTACGTAGCAACGCGGTGGCCTCATTATGCAGTGTGGCCTCCGGGACACCAAAATTCTCCACGGTCTCAGAGCTTGCGTGCATATACCGCAGTATCAGATATGGCAATAGATTAACGACTCATCTAGCCAGCGAACCACTAATTCGCCTCAATACATCCTCCCTTGCCTAACAGCCCCAGGCCCTAGTATATACCAGGGATCAACGAGTATCGAACGCGAGCTTTGATCTCTCGATACGCATCACCGTACTATTGAAACATTTCTTCGTTAGTTACTATGAATATTGGAGATTGATCCGCGAGACTCACCCTTTGAGACATGTACTCGTCCAAGACGGGCACTCCCCGGGTAGCAAAATCACGGAAGAAGAAACCGAAGGTCGTTGCGCCCCAAAGGATACCTCCACAGATCAGGGCGTAAGCGCCTCGCCAAGTGGTATAGGCTCCGTAATTGATATTGATGGCAAGAGAGAAGAGACCACCGCCATAAGGCTTTCCTTTATTCTTAGGGTCTTGTTTGAACGCCTTGCGTTGGAACTCCGATGTTGCTTCGGCCAAAAGACCGATGGCATAGGCAGTCGATCCGACAGCAATCAATGGAGATGAAAATGTATCAAGCAAGCTTGTCGATTCGAGGCTGGATGCAGCCGGGGAGGCCACTGCCCAGAGAGACAGAAGCGTGTTGATAGTGTTGAAAATGGTATTAAAGAAGCCAATGGTACAACCGGAGCCAACATCCATTGCCTGTTCGGAGACAAGGATAATGTGCACTATTTGCTTGACGCTACTGCCCAGCGATAGAAGAGTTACCAACCCATAATAGGGCTGCAGCCCGGTGACGGTCAGAGGATTGAGGACCAGAGAGGAATGCACAGAATGACCGCCGAGTTTCTCGATCAACCGGATACCCCAACCTCGATAGAGCAAGTTGTACTGCCAGAACACGTCTGCAGCACGAAGACCCACGAAGATGGACTTTCCTGCGGGCGAGGACTGCTTAACCCGGGAGACATTGTCGCGAAGTTGAGGGCCGTTTCCCGGCGCCATGATGAAATATTTCTGTACAGTGCGAATGGAGGAGCGAGAGGGGTTGTAAAAATGATTTTTAAGAGTCCATAGCTCGGGGTTAAAACAGGCCGATGGCAACGTCAACGATAGCGACGGATCCGTCGGCTCCACGGTTAGTCAGGCTGTCGAAGTGACCGTCTCGCGTCCGGTGGCGTCATGATTACTATTATTCTAACTTTATTTGGATTTTTCTTCTTATGGTTTCTTTTTTGCAGCACCGCGGATCGTCCCTCGGGCTTATTTTACCACCCGTGATGATTAATATAGTCGCTTCTCCAGAACAAAATCATATCCGGAGTACTCCATACAGAAACCATTATTAATGCATAAGAAACTGCCACAGTGCGCCTCCTGCGTATTTAAAAATGGTCCTCGTAATTAGGGGCCTTTTATCTCATCTTTGTGGTACAATCCCAGACCTATTTTCATTTTGCTATCTGGATACACTTTGATTACGAACATAATGCCGAATACCAAGGCCAGAATCCCTGAAGGTTCTAGCATCCTCGTCACTGGGGCCAACGGCTTCATCGGTTCGCACGTGGTCGATCAACTATTGAGCTTGGGCTACTTGGTTCGTGGTACTGTTCGAGAGTCTAAACCTTGGCTGAATGCACTCTTCGACGAAAAATATGGCAAAGGGAAGTTCGAGACTTGCATTGTCTCAGACCTTATTAGTCAGGATCAATGGGAGAGAGCAGTCAATGGGATGGCAGGAATTATCCACGTTGTGCGTACAATTTCCGTGAACGACCTAGAGAAACATGCGATCATTAGCTGATATCTCCCAGGCAGCTGATGTATCGCTGAATCCCGACCCAAATGTCTCTATTCCGAACGCAGTCAAGGCGACAGTGAGCATTTTGGAGGCCGCTTCGCAGCAGCCTACAGTTAAGAGGGTTGTGATGACCTCATCTTCAACCGCTGCGTACATGCCAAACCCCAATAAAGAAGGAATTGTGATTACCACGGGTATGCGCTATCCACGACTCTTCCGAATTTCAGTTCTAACAACCTCTCAGATACGTGGAATGATGCTGTCGTTTATGCGGCTTGGGATGAAAATATCCCTCCGCAGGCCAAGGGATACCTTGTATACGGGGCTTCTAAAACGGAAGCCGAGCGCGCGGCGTTTAAGTGGGTTGAAGAGAATGATCGCCCATTTATTTTAAACACGGTGTTGCCGGGCATCACCGTTCGTTACCCCCATATCATCTCTGGGTTGGCAGTTTACTGATGGAATCATGCAGTTCGGCAAGATCCTTGCACCCGAAATACGCGGTTCGACACAATCACTAATCAGGAATGTGGTCAAAGGAGATTGGGCAGTACTTGGATTCATTCCTCCACGTGAGTACAAGATGAACTACAGCAGCGAGGGAGATACCTAATCAAGTTTATAGAGTGGTATGTTGATGTCACGGATGCTGCGAGGCTACACGTCGCCGCCCTTCTCTCGCCTTCGGTAAACTTCGAGCGAATCTTCGCCTTTGCTGCCCCCCAAAACTGGACAGATATCATCAGGGTCCTACGGAAGCTTCGTCCAGATAGTTCCCTGATTCCCCCTGCCCCTGAAAATGAGGCCCAGGATTTGAGCGATGTCGTGCCTTCTAAAAGGGCAGAGGAGCTGCTTAAGACCTTCTTCAATCGGCCAGGCTGGGTTAGTTTGGAGGAAAGTATTGGTGATGGTATTTCCGGTGTTTAGCGATCGGAACCATTCAATTACTGTGGCGAATCTATTCCCTTGCAACAGAATATAAGAGTTTTGTCGATAGAAGAGACTTTCTGCACCACATTATTATCCCTACAATAGAACAAATTTATTCAACTGCGGAAAGCCGTTCGATATCTGCTAGGCAATTTATATCGGATCCACAGTTCCGGAAAAAGAGGAGGTTGCACAGCCTCATACTGAAGCAATTCAATCTCTACTATCACCCTACACATGTATTCAGCTCCACCTGTCTAACTAGTCAACAGTCCTCACGGAGGAACCCACAGTATGGCACGTATGAACAGTCGGTGTATATTTGTGCTTTTTGTCCTAGTAACTAGCATTGCCTAGGTAAATGCTGCTGTGGTGAAATGTCCCCTGCATGTACAGACTTTGGGCGGTTACAGCACCCGGATTGAAAACCTGTCGAAGTTTACATAGGAATACAAATGGTAATGTATTACTCTATGTGCCTATGTTCCTTGAGCATCCACCGTGCCTCGAAGAAAGAAAGATTATATAAGTAATTTCCCATGATACCCAATCGAATCAATGCCACTAAGCAGCAGCGACATCCGCCTTTTTCGCTTTCATGTTCTTCCATTCAACGCCCAGGGCACCAATGATACTCAAACAAGCCAAGATAAGACCGAGTTGAAACACCTCCACGAGTGCATCGTTATATGCCACAAGCACATCCGGGAGATCTGAGTCACTGACGATGGATCTAAGGCTTGTTGCTCCGCCATTAACGACCTCCGAAGGGGAAAAGTCCGGAATATTCAAGGCGGCAAGGTTGGTGATAAGCCGCTTAGTAAAGATGTTCTGTGCAACGGACACAAACACTGACCCACCAAGCATCTGCAAGAACATGACAGTCGAGGTGCCGATTGATACCTTGGACAAGGGGAGGACGGCCTGTGCAGCAACGCCACCCTGTTGGAATCCGAAACCCACCCCCATTCCATACAGGAACAGAAACCCGACCCATCTGGACTGAGACACATCAACTGTCCATGTTGTAATTAGGCCCGCCCCAATGGACATGATTACGCTGCTGGCGATAAAGAATGGGGCGTAGTATCCAAAACGGGTGGTCAATGCGCCGGCTAATAGAATGCCAACGACATTTGCCAGGATCATAGGCAGGGAGTTGATACCGGAATGGACAGCACTGACTCCACGGATAGCTTGGAACTAGGTGTGGGTTAGCAAGCTGTATGAAATAAATAGAACAAAGGTCACGCACCCAGATAGGGATATAATAGATCATAATGAAGAAAGAGCCGCCGATACACAGCCCGAAGAAAGACGCAGATGCAATAGTCCGTTGGCGGGAAATATCAGTGGGCACGGTGGCCTTGTCCCCAAGTACGATTTGAAGCAAGATGAATGCGAGAATGGCGATTCCGAAAACCACGAACAAAGCGATGATGCGGCCGTTCGACCAGTCGTATCTCACTCCTCCCCACTGAAGAGCAAGTAGCAGACAGACAATCGCGGGGACGAAGATTGTCGTCCCCAGTGGATCCAATTTGAGAAAGGTATTCATGGGCGCACTTTGAGTCTTTGTTTTGGTGGGTAGCTTGAGCAAAGTAAGAAGTCCAATTGCTGTGATCCCCCCCAAAGGAAGGTTGATGTAAAAGCACCATCTCCAGGTAGCATGGTCTGTAAACGCACCACCCAACTAGTAGTGTATTAGAAGTGCCGCACTGGAAGGATTCAATGAAGGAGAGAACGCACCAAAGGTCCAGCAACCGAAGCGATGCCATACATGCCACCAAGCACCCCAAAAAACATTGGTCTTTTGGCCAGCTCGACTGTATGCGCTAGAGTGACTAGTGCTCCGGTGAATATGCCAGCGCTTCCCAGCCCAGCAACTGCGCGTCCAACAATTAGAGCAGTCGAGTTTGGCGCAACGCCGCAGATCAAAGAGCCCAGTTCGAAGATAAACAAGGCTGTTAAGTAAACCCATTTGATGCTGAACAATGTGTAGAACTTTCCATAAAGTAATTGAAACGCTGTAGGAATGGTCAATAATGTTGTCGAATTACCTTTAGGACTTCACATACAGCACGTTGTCAATAAATAGGATGAGGCATACCAGCCCACATCGTTAAGTGCGTGGAAGTCATCCGTAATGCGTGGGATCGCGACTGCCATAATCTAGCGCAACAGTATTAATAACTTTTAACGCCGGCAAACGAGCTGTATGCCATACCGTGTTGTCCAGAGCGACACAAAAGACTGCCAGCATCAAACTGACTGTGATTAGAATGAGCCTAGGGCCGATTGGGTAGAAAGCGTGAGTCCCCTCATTGTCGTCCATTTGGTCTTCCTGGATATGTGAATGCTTCTCTTCAACCGCCATGTTGAGTTGTCAAGCCCTTCTGGGATGTCAAACAGTGGGCTAAGACGAGAATAGTATTTTCAAGAATAAGGGCAAAGGAAAGACAAAGGTTGAAGGCCCCTTTTCCAAAAGGCCACACTACGCAGATGGGATATAAGAGCCTTCATCGTATTTACAGGGTCATATAACTTCACTTATAAATTGCACGCGTTTAGAATTACCAAGCTTGTTAGCAGCGATTATCCCGACCGGCATTATTCTCAACTCCGACGACTCAACTATTATTCAGCACACGCAAAGTGATAACTATAGGCGAACCACTCGGGTGAATCCTACGAAAGGCCAACTAATACCGGGACTTATAATAAGCCCGAGTCAGATGCCTGCTGAGTAATTCCAAGACAATGGCCCCGAATTTCGTCTCGACCGGACATGTCGAACAGAGAGGATCCACAGTTAATGTCCTCAGACCCAGCTGGCCAGGAGGTTGTCGGATTTGTACCCCGAACGAGTGCTTCTGGCCATCTGTGTATCTCTACTGTGCAATTGATCTCGAATAACGGATCAAGGAGCTGTTGGCCCTGTCGGAAAGCTTGAGAATAATGTGTCAACATCAGTAATTGATGTACTGGATATACTGAACATTTCCAACAGAATCACATCAGTGATTGAGGCTGTTCGTGTCGGTTGAGCGATCTCAGGGGCTTATATCCACTTAGGCTATTTTGTTGAAATAATCCATGTCCTACCTAAGTTTTGGCTGAAATATTATCTGCCCTGTTTTCTAGCTGAAATACTAACCTTTTTCTGTTTCTATTCATTGCCGATCCAAGGCCTTGGTAGTCCACAGCGCTGTGGAAACTGGTCACATTGAGCATTTGCTAGACTGACAAATGAGCGCTTCCATTTGACGTAAGAAATTGCAAGATCCCATTGGATTATCTGGCGCTCAATATTAATGTTGCTAGGTGATGGTTGGAACTGCTGTTGCGTTCTAGTCATATGTAAGCCAGCGAGCCTCGGTTTCCGAACCCACAACACCACAGATGTGCATGCACAGCTTTTAGCGGGGCGCAAATTCGTGCAGGCGGTATATTGCTCAACTTTTAACTTTGTATTCTTTAATTGAGACTGTATTTAGGTAGCTGAGATCTTCCAAAGAGGCCGAGGCTAAAGAGGCAATAGTAACCCATATCAAAAAGGACCCACAGGGGTTTGGTATTAAGTGTTGGTTGTTTTATAAGCTACTACTCTGAACTGTTGCCACGGTTCAGTGATAGGCAGTCACGATACAAGTACAGAACCATATTTTGCTTTTTCCTTTTTCTTGAAATGTGTTTTGAAGTAGATCACTTCGGCAATATGATTGAGAGTACTTCTATTACCAGAGATTGTTTATCATATGTTACTGGTATTAATAAGAGTATTAGAGGAGTCAGCTTGCTATTCTCAGTGGGGAGATATGTGGCAGAAATCTAGAAAAATTATAGTGTATCAGTCTAGGCTCCCGAATATCTATATTGAAAGATAGTTATCGTCTCCGGAACAGCAGTCATACTTTAAAGATAAGGCTTCTTGACACATGATTGATGAGAGTTTGGATAGTAACCTTTTTCCTCTGCAAGATTCTACGTTTTATTATCCTTGGTTTGATAGGCTTGCAGTACCAGTAAGAGCGGATCGTAATGCGCAAGGTGGTGAAGTCACTAACATGAGCAGTCACTGTTTATCGTAGAGCCATTGACTATCTCTCGAGCCAACTCGATCAGAAAGCATTTCTTGGACTGCATCATGACTAAATTTTAAACATTCAAGGCGATATTCTTTTGAAGACGGCTTGATAAACGTTTCGAATAGGTGACAGATCATATATTCCATTCATTCCTTTCTACACACAGAATTCTAGGTTCTTACGTTTTGACTTTGGTGGGAAAAGCCCCGAGTTGAAAAGTTCGGTTCACTGAGTCGACTGTGAGAGGGGCAGATGGGGTGGCTAGTCGTGTCGGGTGAATATTATTGGGGAAAGAGAAGGCAGCAACAGTTTGTAGGTGGCGTGAGAACATGGTATAATGAACTAAAGGCCAACTAGCTGTTAGTTTGGATGGTGGGAGTGGAGACCCCTTGCTCAACCCCTTGCCCAGGTTCAGCCCTACCGTCTTCAATAACACTCTGATATTATATTCGATCTTGATTTCTAATAGGGATGTCACGTACTCACCGACGGTATATTTAATGTTTGATAGCAAATAAAATATTTCCAAAGGTACTTTCTTCATGGACATATGTGGTTTGCTGGGCTCATAGCTCGGTGTGCTCAGACCTATACTTTGGACAATCTGGACAACGCCGAGCTCTACTAACCTCTTGTTCTCTGACCACACGGACCTTCTTTCTGACCGCGCTGAGGCCCAACCCCTTCCTAAAGAAAGTATCTTGTTAGTTAGCTAGCCCTGTTTACTACGTTCTGTAGTTAACCATTGGTTAGGTGTCCGCGGCAGGGGTATAGAGTTGGCGCGATGTCAGGAATTAGTACAGTGGTGTCGAGGCTATTTGAATCATGAGCCTTAACCAGTATTGCGTTGCCTAAAGGTGGTTTGTGATACTGTACGGCCTTAATTACGTGCCCTGGCAGTGGATTACCCTGAATTATCGAAAGTTTTGTAACATCGTGCTAGGTATTCTAACAATGTCCGGGCTTTTCTGCTACTATATGACTCTAATTATGACAGTGGAGATTTTACTGCTTGACCTCAAAAAAAGGGTCATATAAACGGCCGTCGTAGAAGGGCCTCACATGGTCCATAAAAGAATAATGCTGATATGGTTTCAGAAAGCCTCCGAAGGTATTAGGAGAGCTCTCACAGTTTTTTACAAGGCTGTTACCTGGCATCCGATACTTGGACCAACCTCGCCCAGGGTTCAAACACAAAACTTAGCGCCAGACAGTGTCACACTAAATCATGACGCTGCGCCAACTGCAACCCCCCTCAACAGCAAGAGGAGAGCACGGCCGCGCGCGATGAACATATGGGCCATCTGTCTATCAGCTGCGACTTTTCAGCTAAGCCCAGACTCGGGGCTCACTCATAGAAGATCATAGAAGTCCATTGAACTCTAGCTTTAAATATGGCCACCGAAATACTCCCCGAACCCGAGATTGCACAAGCGGATATCACCGATGCCTTCGAGTTCTTTCGAATGCTGGTTGATCGTGGCTACGACCAGTCCAGTTCCTTATCCGACAGCTCAAACTTAGTCTTCGATCGTGATCTTTGTCTTCTCGATCCAGAGCTTGATTCGGATCGTTGTTCCAATCTCCATCTCCGTGACGGGCTGTGGGAGAAGACACCTAAGGGAAAAGAAAATGTTGAGGACCTTCTGCAATCCCTGATGCAGTTTAGCCTTTTCTGCAAGATACGCTGCTGCTTAAGGAGGCGCTGCCTCGAGATGAAATCACAGATGGAAGATGTCGCACCACCCTGTAACTGGGCGAACTTCCGGGAGTGGGCATTGGTGCTGATGTCTTGTCAGGCATCCTGTTCAGGGCGGGATAAACTCAACAAAGCCCATGCGCAGCTCGCCATGGCTGTTTCTGGCTGTTGCTTCTTCGTCAAATCCTGGGCAGAAACGATGAGACAAAATGAAAGGAAATTTTATGATGAGAAACGGGAAAGGAATGCCCTCCAGGAAAATGATGACACCCAGGAAAGCGACAATGGCCAGGAAGAATGCAGCAACCCGGACAAAGAAATCAAAGCAGACGCCAGAGACAGGATTGAGCTGTACACCGTTTGCGACCTGATATATTGGATGCTCACCGCGCAGACTGATATGGGAATTGGACCCAAGAATTTTGGCAATTGGGATAACGGATTCCTACCCGACGCTAGCATCATACCAGCTATCCAGCATGCCAATGATCAAATCCAGTCCCTAAGAATTTGTAAGCAGAGAATTTGGAATCTGATCGACCTCAGCCCGCGCAAGGATTCGGATATGCCTGAGCTATTACGCACGATCATGAAGCATAGTGACACCCTAGCGCTTCCGGCCTCAGGCCGGGACTCAGACCCGATGAACCATGCACGTTGCACCCCTAATAAGTGCCAGTTGGCACAGATGGATACCAGTCGTCTGCAGCAGATGCATAAGTGCTCTCTCTCGAGATGTGAATTGCGAGAGATCCCCGTCCAGCACCTTGACGATGCACTGGAGCTCGGCAAATGCATGGCGTGGGACTTCCGTGGACCGGAATGGTGTCTGACAGATTGGGATACCAAGTATATGGCCCTATCACACGTCTGGTCAGATGGCACAGGCGCGGGACCAAATGTACCAGGCTTTGTCAACCAGTGTTTACTTGACTTCTTCACGGGCCTTGCCAGGCAACAGGGCTGTGATGCCATCTGGTGGGATGTCATTTCGGTACCCTCAATATACCCGGGGCGTACCAAGGCCCTACAATCCATGCACCGAAACTACACGCGTGCAGCCTGTACAGTGATCCACGACCAGTATCTGGCGAACATCGATTGGAGGGAGGATGGAAGCCCATGCATTGCATTTGTCCTATCCACTTGGTTCTCCCGAGCCTGGACGGCGCTGGAGCTTCGTGCATCGCACAAGACACTGGTCCTCTTCAAAGACGGGGAGACGGGCTTCCCTGTTGCGAAGGACCTCGACACAGAGATTCTAGCTTCACGTCCTGTCACTGCTTCTCGCGCATACTGGCTAGCAACATGCTTGATCAGGCGTATTAGAGAGCCGATCCAGCATATCGGCGATCTAGTCGCAATCCTCCATTCACGAACAACAGCTCTGGTTCGCGACCGAACCAAAATCCATGCTTTGCTCGCCGAGGTTCCCGACTGTGACCTTCGCCGTTCGGAGGCTGCGATCACAGAGGATATCCTATCGCATGTTAGTCGTATCCCACATGCCTGTCTTTTTCATGGGAAACCGACTATGCGCGACAGCGGCCCATATTCATGGTGCCCTGCGACACTCGACGATTTGCATGTTGATGTCGCCGAGGACGTGGAAGGGGACCAACGGAAACGAAATGATTACCATTTGAAGATCAGCGATGATGGTTGTGTGGAAGGCATTTGGCGTTATCGGAAGGTTTCAATCGAGGACATCAGGGAGAACAAACTATCGGCGATCGGCAATGAGCTTGCCCCAAACACGAAGATTAAGATGGCTCTGCAGAATTGGAGGACGTGCCTCATCCTGCGGCACAGGCCGGAGGGCCCTGCCCTGCTAGTCCAGACAGTTAAAATGGATCACAAAATCAGGAAGCTCCCTTGTCGATACGTCGGTGCTGTTAACGAGGCAGGCAGGCAGAGTGCCACAAAGCCGGATGAGTGGGCTACTGAGATTATCGTTATCGGACATGACCGCAAATTGGATATCTCAGCGCCGCTGATCAGGGCAGACAATGCCATTAGCAACATCCAGGATGTTAAGGGCTATGATGAAGCGAACTTTCTCGGGTCGAGGCCGGAATCCAACCTGTCCGATGAGAAGGATTCTCCGGGCATCATATACGACCGCTTTCCGCACCCAGAATCCCCACTCTTTGCTATTAAATGGGGGCACAAAGCGCCATGCGCCATGGTGTAACGCACAATGTGCCTCTTCCGCATTAGCTTGAGGCCTCATTTCTCCTTGCGCCCGTGGACGCTTATCGCGATGGCCCGCGACCACAGCCTGGTTCCGCGAGAGCCCACCCGATGACCATCTTTTGATCGCATGTGTGGAGTTTCACAAAGCCAGGTACTTGATCTCACAGAATGAGCTGGACAAGGCGTATGGGGAGTTGAACAAATCTTTGAAGAAAAGTTAATGGGTAGGGAATCCACGCTTGATCATACCAGAGCTAGGTGTGGATATATATCCTTTGGTACTAGGGATGAACATATGTCTTCGTCATTCGCACTAAACATGTTATTGTATAATATAATCAACTCGCATGATAAATCATGTCAAAGCCTCTATGAAAAGGCCTGAAAGTATTTATCTATCCAATCCTTCGCTTGATCTCCTGCTTCAACATCCCAGGAACCAATTGCACCGGCATAACCATCCGGCCTGACTATCACAACCCCTGCCTTTCCAACACCGAGCTGCCCCATCCATTTATCCGTACAGCCGACCGTGTCTCCATTGTCCAGATATAGAGTCCAGCGACTCTTCTGCAAACTCTCCGGAAGATCAGCTATCTCGAATTGGGTCTTCTCCGACCTCGTCACGAGAGCATATGTTACGAAATCCGAAACGGGAGTGTATCGTTGTGGTTGCAAGAACTCATCGGACGGGGCATATCCTCGGGGCTTTGTTGCATAGGATTGTTGCGCGTTTGCGGCAGCACCACCCAGAGCCGTTCCCATTTGACAAACGTTGTCCAAGAATCTCATTCCTAGTTTCACATCAGGAAGGAAGAGGTACACCCTAAATTGTCCCAGCATCGGTATATCGATCTGGATATCCACTGGGTTTGCGTCGATATATCTGGTCACCTTTGCGGGAATCATCAAAGCACCGGGCTTTAATCTCCCCTTCCCTATTCCTTGCGCCGTTAGCATTCCGGAGTTATACTCCGCCCCAATGCCAGAGATAAATCGGATATTATCGTCGAAGTTCTGAGCGAGTGCTTCATCACCTTGCGCAAAGGCTTCGCAGTGTCCAGCGTCGAAATTGATCAGGTCGTTAGCAATCTTGCGTCGCTCTTCTTCGTAGGTCGAAAGGAGAAACGGTGATGCGAGACCGCGAACCACAAAGTTCAATTTCCAGGCCAGGTTGAAGGAGTCGTGCATGCTTGTGTTAGCGCCCTGGGCTGCCAAGGCCGAGTGGACGTGTCCTGCCTATCCCTTTGTTAGTGCCTATACGCGAAAGGATCAGACACCGGAATGTACTCACATCGCCCGCGATGAAGATCTTCCCATCCGCATCGCTGAACTTTCTCGCGACACGCTGCCCAACGACGTAGTTCCCGAACCATTCAATGGTCTTCCACTTCAGAGAGAACGGATGCATCGCCTCCTCTGCGCGCTTCATGACATATTCTGCCGTTGCCAACTTCCTGTCGACGCGCTCTCCGTCTGTCGAGGATAACTGCACATACAGTCGGGTCATGTTTCGCTCGCGGGGGATCCACAGAATCGACCCTGCAGTATGAGATCGCACAGCAACCTTGCTCCAGAGGTCGGGGAAGTCTGTCTCTATCACTCCTGTTGATTCGTCGACCATCAGATCCTATTCGACAATATGTGGGAATAATGGGGAAGTATACCATCAAGAACACCCCATGAGGCATTCGTCATATCGCCCTCCAACTGGGCATCGGGAATGAATTCCCGAACTTGCGATCGGGCGCCGTCGCATCCAACCAGATAATCTGACAGAATGGTCTTCCTCGATCCATTGGCCGCGTTCTCATATTCCACACGAAGCCTCCCACTTGGTAACCGGTCGCATCTAACAAACGGGCTGCTGCGTCGCACACCCACCCCTCTATCCTCCATGTCCTGAATCAAAATATCCTCGATCATCCCCTGATGCGCCAGAAGAATGTACGGATCCGCAGCGCCGACAAGATGGTCCGGATAATGCGTTTTGCGACCGGTTCGATGGAGGGACGAGTCTGGCGTTGATTCCTAGGGTTTGGCAAGTCACCAGTCAGTCTAGCCCTTGCCCTAACAACGACCAACATCGAGGGACAAGGTGAGATACCCAGAACGCAATATCATAGACCCTCGCTGCATTCTTGAGCAGTGGATCTGCTAGTCGCAATTGACGAAACGTCTCGATGGTCTTCGGTTGCATGCCATCAGCTTTTCCGGTGGAGGTTTTGTCGGGGCGGTCGTCAAGGAGGACAGTGTTGATGCCGTAGCGGACGAGGTTGCATCTTTACTCTCATTAGCCTGGTTTTCATTCTTCGGGAATAGCGAGAAGGCCAGGGAACACTCACGCTAGCATTAACCCCGATGGTCCTGCACCGACGACAACGACAGTTGTAGACTCCTCGTGGAAGCCATTTTCTGAGCTTGGAGACATGTTTGTTTACGATTCAGTGCAACAGACTGCCATTGACAAGAAAAACGACATCAAGAGTCAAGGAAGATTTTATTTAAAACCAGACCTAAAGTCGAACCATAGTTGGAGTAAAACAACCCCGGCTAACCGCTCCTCCGTAACTCAATCATCCGTTGGAGAACCAAAGCTAGCAAGAGATTCCCCTCACCCCCACCTTTGGCCGGCCTTGCGTGCAGAAGTGGATGCACTCTTCACCTCTCAGAAGCTCCCACGCTAACTACCCCACAGATAACCAGCCCTGCAATAGCAACTTGATTGATAATCCACCTGGATAGATAACATGCGATATGACCCCTGTCCGACTAGCCTACCACTTTGTCACCCCCCCATCCACGACAACATCTGCCCCGGTCATGTAGGCGCTGGCGTCGCTGGCCAGAAACACGCACGCCCCCATTATATCGTCGGGTTCGGCGATCCGGCCGTTCATCGCGTCGGCTTTCCATTTCTCGACAAGATGGGGGAACTAACCCGGTCAAAATGGCTCATGACGTCAGTCTGGAAGGGAAACTTACCGACGCGGTCATCTCGGTGCGCACGTATCCTGGGGATATCGAGTTTACGCGGATTCCCTGTCCATCCTCTGTTAACTTGCCATCGATCGCCGGGAAAAGCCTGGGAAAGGTGACAGCTCACATAAGGCGCCATTTCCTTCGCAATAGCCGGACACATCGCCCGGACTGCGCCCTTGGATCCACAGTATGCGCTGCACATCTGATCTCTCACCGCAACGTGGCTCGCCATGCTCGCGACAAGAACAATACTTCCGTGTTTCGTTCCGTTTGCGATCATTTGCTTCGCTGCTAGCTGGGCTGTGAAAAACAACCCCATCACATTTACCGATAGCAGGTCTTGGTGATCTTTGTACGTGAATTCAAGGAAGGTCAGATGCCGGTTGATCCCGGCGCAGGGAACACATATATCGAGCGCGTTGGAGAAGTCGGATTGGAATGTTTTGAAGGCATTTTCGAGGGATTCCTGCGAGGATACGTCGACTCTGCATGATACGTACGTTTCCTTAGCGAGGAACTTAAATGGTAGATCAGATCAATGAGGACCAACTTGTAGAACGCCGTGCGAACACCGTAATCCTTCTCCATAGAAAGAAACCCCTCGGCAGGCTCAATAATATCAAACACCGCTACATCGGCCCCAGCTTCAGCTAGCCCTCTCGCAAACGCCAGGCCGCAGCCTCGAGCACCGCCCGTAACGAGCGCAGTGCGACCGGTCAGAGAGAACTGCTCGGTTAGCCAGCATCCGCGTCATACTCTGCGAGAGCCACTTACTCGAGACATTGTGACAGAGAAGTGTAGCTTGATCTTACGATACTCTGGACATCTCTCCGACTTCTCGTGGTAGATATACGATATGTCCGTATCCCCCATCCTGATAAGCGGCTAACCCCCATTTTTGGCACGCAGGGCAGGGACCAGGTACTTGGAAGATAAATTCAGAGAGACGAGCGTTGTTGAATCGTCGTAGAATCGAATCCAGAGCTGAATCTATTTGCCACAACAGACGACACAATGGCGCCACCCATCCACGTCAAGGAGAAAGAGGTCCGCGACGAGTCCGCTCGATTGCAGGTATGCACTCCATACTCCTCCCCTCCTCTCCCCGCACACACTGCGCCAGCAGCTCAAACTCACATCCGCAGATCGTAATCGTTGGAGCAGGACTTGCCGGCCTAGGCACCGCAATCAGCTGCTGTCTCGCCGGCCACGACGTGCATATCCTCGAATCCGCGCCCGAAATCAAAGAAATCGGCGCTGGCATCCAAGTCCTTCCCAACTCCTCCCGCGTCCTTCAGCATTGGGGTCTCGGCGACACGTTAACCCCCTACATGACTTTCCCGCGGGTCTGCAACTTTGTCGGATGGAAGGGAAATCACATTTCGTCGCTGGACTTCCATGCGTCGGAGAGCCAATACCCGGGGACATGGTATCGAGACTTTCACCGCGCGGACCTCCACCGGTGTCTAGTTGAGCGGGCACTGGAGGTTGGTGCAAAAATGACATGCAATGCGCGCATCGACGATGTGAAGGTGGCTCCAGGCGGAGAGTCGGCTACGGCCATTGCTTCGGACGGGAGGGAATGGACAGCTGATCTGTTGATCGGTGCAGATGGGGTGTTTGGCAAGTTAACAGAAGTCTTGCTGGGGAGAGAAGATCCGCCGATTAAGACGGGGGATTTGGCATACCGATTGCTCCTATCGACAGAGGAGATGCTAAAGGATCCGGAGCTGGAGAGTTTCGTTACGGATCCCCAGGTGAATTATTGGTTGGGGCCTGATGCTCATGCTGGTATGTGTCCCGGTCTGGATGCGCGAGGTAGGCGCTGACGAGCACAGTGAATTATGTTCTCCGGGGTGGTGATCTCTTTAACATGGTGCTTCTCGTACCAGATGATATTCCCGAGGAGTCGCTCGCCACGACAGTTGCAGGCAACGTAGAAGAGATGTGCGCCTTGTTCGAAGGATGGGATCCACGGTAATTCTGCCCAACTGCATCAATCCAGGGCTCATTCACTAATTCAATAGAATCGAAAAACTGCTGAAGCTCTGCCAGTCGGTCCATAAATGGCGCCTTTGCATTCGCTACGGCGACTACGACTGGGCCCATCCCTCCGGAGCCTGGACCATGCTCGGCGACGCCGTCCACGCTACGCTACCCTATTTAGCCTCTGGGTACTACTCCTTCCTCCCTAAATCCTATCCTCGACTAATCTAATCTCCCAACAGAGCCGGCATGGCCTTCGAAGACGGCGCGGTCCTCGGAGAATGTCTCTCACGACTCCCCAACGCCCCGGGGACATCCAAGACCTCTGCCGATTTCCTATCAGCCAAGCGCCACGCTCTATCCGTATTCGAAAAATGCCGCAAGCAGCGCACGAAGATGGTAGTCGAGCGCGGAAACACGCAGCAGTACCTTTACCATCTGCACGACGGGCCGGAGCAGCAGGAACGCGACCGGAAGATGCAGATGGTGCCGACGCCAGAAGGGGAGGCGCTGGCGTGGAGGGATCCGGGCCTAGCGCCGAAGTTGTTGGGGTATGATCACATTGCAGATGTAAGTTCTTTTCATCTTGATTCCTTTCGGTGCTTGAGTTATGGCTGACCTATTGTAAACAGGTGGATGAGAATTGGGGCGATGGGGTCTTGGGTGCTATGGATACAGTAGACAGGACTTCACGGTTGTAAGTGTTTTGTTTGATACGAGAGTTTCTCGATGGGACACGGGGTTGATTGGTTAATTAGCTAAATGTCTCCCTTATTTTCGGTTGAACTATATACCGCTATGGCGAAACAAACATAAAATAAAGTCTATGTAAATATATTCGTGTCGCCGGAGGTAGAAACAAAGATAGGGCAACCTGATTGTCGAGACATCTGGGCATATTCAGTTACATAAGTCGAATGAGTGGAGTTGAGACTGATGTGATGTCGCCAAGGCCTCGTTTATATACTTTAAGATGGTAGAGATAGCCTTGACGCTTTGGCTGACCCTGAGATGCAACGGTCAGAGATCCGCAAATGACATTCCCTCAGAAGAACTCCTCGTGATCCTGAAACGGCCAACCTCGTCTAATCTTCTCCAGTTCATCTGGGCTTCCGCCTTCAGCGAATTCGGCCTTCAACGATTCGTTCCTCTTAACCGCAGAGTCATACTTGTCAGAAGGAAGCCAGCCTTCCTCTGACAGCCCACCAAGCTCATCGCGCCAATGGCTGACAAGTGCATTCAGATTATACCACATTGGCTCGTTTTCCGTCTGGTCATCAGACTCCTGTTCTGAGAATTCGATTGGGCAGGTAGAAGGTTTATCATCAACGGGAAGATGTTGCCAGAAATCACGAATACGCATGAGCGCCCCACGTAGCGAGATGAGGTTACCGGACCACTGGCGCCCTGCGAGATCAACAACATGCTGCCTTTGTAGAATAAGAGGGTTTCGCAAGGCCTCGAGGTGTATTTTGTTCAAGCCACCGTTGAACACGCGGTAAAGATAGAAGAAGCTTTGGCGTCTAATGAGCTCATCAACCTCCGACTTTTCCTCGGGGTTCATCGTGTCGTACCCTGGTGGGTACTTGGGCGGTACTAAACCGGTTGGGGGCTCTGGGTCTGGGTTTTCGAACATTTTGGGATATCCGGAAGCTAGGAGTAATGGAGTGATGACGGTATGTTGCCAATCAATAATACATTTGACGTTCAATGTATCCGGGCAGATGAAGACATTGCTGGGTGTAAGGTCTGTCCGTAGTTAGTTGAACGGATAGCATGATTCAATGGTCAGGATAGTCAATATACCTGGATGGCGTAAGGTGAACCGGCTTAAACTACTCTCCTGGGTTCGCGGAAGAAGGTGCGGCGCGATGGACAAGTACTTCTCGAGAAGCACTAGATAGTCTTGGGGAGACCTGATTCCGGGGAAAACGGTGTTGTGCGGAAAGTCACTCTCGACGGGCTTGCCAAATTTGGTGATCCATTGTATTTCTTTTTCGGCGGTTGCGATAAGATAGTCTTTTGGATCATTCCCTGTGAGAAGGTTCAGTTTAGTTTCGCGTAGAGAGAGAGTAACAAGAAAAGAAGAGATGAGAAATGACGAAGAGGACAAAACATACATGGTCCTCGGTCTAGCTCCATCTCGGCTCGCTGCCCATACCAAAACATGTAGTCCGTGATGGGCCCAATGCAGTAAATCTGCGAATCGCCGGCTTCGTCTGGCGTGCCCGCCCTATATAGTGGACTCTGAAGCTTGGGTGGGAGATCGCTCTTGAAATACAGGCTCCCAACGGCTCCGAATGGGATTTCGAACAGGGTTTTCTCAAAGTTGACAATTCCTGTGACCAACGCATGCTTTTGGTGCTTCGTATTTTTAAACCAACGAGTGTCGGCGCCGACTCCCGACGCATATTCCATGATGATATACTCGACCCCCACAGGGTTCTCAGTCGTAGAGGACCAGGCGTAGACTTCAGGAACAGGTATTCCTTTGGCACGAAGGAACGTTAAAGTTGCCACTTCGCTGGCAGTGGCATACGTATTCGGCACGGATATCCAGAATGGGATCTTCACTATAGCCTGGAAACCATCTTCCATGGTGGCTAATAGGACACGGTTGAAACCCCCTTCGCTGATCTTGACAAGACTTTTGACATTGCCATGACCAACATGCATGGTAATAGCCTCCTCGAGTGCAGAGGCATTGAACTCAACATGTCGTTCTCGAAGACGGGCTGGTTCGTTGTACAAGAATCGTCCAGAGGAATATGAAAAAAGCGGCCGATCCAGGGGAAGCTCTACAGAAAGATGAGTGAGAAATATATTTTTCAAGGCCGATTGCTTACTGTTCAACATTCTTGGAAAACGAGTAGTAAACCGTCTTGGGTTCCTAAGTTGCCAAGACATCAACAACGCGGCCCGCGCGTGGAAGACACATTTTGTTGTTGGTTGGACATGGCTTGAAACAGTCCTAAGAATTGTTCCTTGACTGAACATGGACCGGACGGCAGCCATGTCAGAGTGGAGCCACCAAGAGTAGCTCGTCAGCCCAAGAGCGAGCCTGTCTACAGAGTGGAGTACTGGAGTTGGTCTAGTAAACAAAAGAGAAATCAATCCGGACCGAAGGTTTTCCGATCAACAGGTCATGTGATATGACCAGATGACGTAATCTTCCTATACGTGTCCAAAGATAGGCAGCAAATCTGCGATGCAGCCTCGCTCTCGTGTCACTCTCGCGTCATTCATACTTGAAACCCTCCTCTCTCTTTACCCACACCGTTCCCTTTTTCCTACATGAAGACTCTTCACTACGAAATCTCGGAGTCAGTTATCACCTGATCTGCTTAGGTAACCGGATTCTGCCACCGCCTCCCGGCTAATTGTGTCTTGGCGCCTCGCAGTGGACAACCATCATGAAGACTACTACTAATTATTCCTACCACGAAGAGCAGTGACAATCATGTCCTCCAAGCAGGTTTGACCTCTTTTTATCTAGTCAAACGGATGATCTCAATGAAGACAACGCTCTCTATGCTTCGTAGGCCATCTATCTTTAGCGAAAGGGTCTGAGGACCCGCCATCATTTTTATCACAATGACGAAGAGACTGACCCACAATGATTATTTGGTGGCCTGGATATGTCGAGTTGGAATTGAACTCGATGCAGCTGTGGCCATGCTGGACCATGTCCACCAATCTCTAGAGCAAGGCGCGACCGACCGCAACGTCTATAACCTTGGAGATATCGCTGGACACAACGTGGTCATAGCCGGACTAGCCCAGGTTGGCAATCCACAGTCTGCATCAGCTATCTCCTCGATGAAAGCTACATTCCCGAACCTCGGTTCCGGGCTTCTAGTTGGAACCGCTGGAGGTGTGCCCACAAGGACGGATCAGGGCGATATTCGACTAGGTGACATCATCGTTAGCAAGCCCACTGCCTCACATCCAGGTGTCGTACAATATAGCCAAGGGACAGATGGCCATAATCGAGTCCAACAGACTAGGACTGTTCAACCTCCACCAGGTGGGATTCTGCGTGCTGTCCAGCAAGTGAACGCCAACTGGAATATGCGTGATGGTCCAATCAGCACGAACCGCAGATCAGACAACTTACCTCAGGACTATGCATTTCCTGGACGACATCGTGATCTCCTTTTCGATCCAGGCTATGTCCACCGACAACCCGGTCTATCCTGTTCGGAGGGTGGCTGTGATCTTGAATATCTAACGAATCGAGACCCAAGAACAGGGGAAGGGCAATCTGGGCGAACAGTTGCTCACCTAGGAACAATCCTGTCGGGCGATTCAATAATTCAGAACGCATTGACAAGGGATCATCTAGCTGGGACACTAGGCGGCTGTTGCTTTGACACTGAGACCATTGGTGCTCTCTCTGAGCTACCCTGTCTTGTTGTTCGAGGGATTGCCGACTACTGTGATTCTCACAAACATGACGAATGGCAGAAGTATGCCTCTGCAACTGCGGCCACCTACGCAAAGGAGATGCTTCGCAATGTTTCCCCGCGTGAAATGACGAAGTAAGTATTCCATGAGCGCTTTTTGGCAATAACTAACGAATCTTTAGCGACTATTCTCCAACGAGGAGAGATCATGCCGCTCTCCAGCAAGTTGGTGCCTGGCTTAGCCCAGCCAATTACGGCCCACATCAACGACATCTCAAAGGCACCACTGCGCAAGGATCGGGCAACAGTCTTGCAGACTGCCATGAATTCAACGAATGGGTCCAGAGGTCACAACGAGTTCTTCTTGTGTCAGGGCGCTCAGGCTCCGGTAAAACCACAACAACTTCTTCGATGGTCCACAATGTTCAGGCTCGGTTTTCAGGTAATCCACAAGTAGCGCTCGCCTTCATATACTGTGGATACCAAAGGCAATACGAGCGTACACCGACTCAGATCCTGTCAAGCATTTTGACGCAGTTGGTTCTCAGCCAAAGTCATGTTCCACAGAATGTCATGGAACTATATCAGTCACACAGATCGAGCGGGACTCCAACCGGGTACAGTGAAATCTTCCAGCTCCTGTCCGCAGTTGCCGGCGAAGGCTCGAGAGTGTTCATTGTCATTGACGGACTGTCTGAAACGAATATGCAACAACGTGATCAACACAAGCTCTTAAGATCTCTCTTTACCCTCCAGCATACTACAAACGCAAACATTCTTATTACTGCAGATGTTGATGATGATCTCACCAGCATCTTCGAGAATCCTATTTCACTTCACGTACGGCCCAGAGAAGCCGATATCCATGCCTATTTCGATATGCACCAATTGCGGCTCCCCGATTTCCTACGTCATGATACGCATCTCCAACAACAGATCAAGACACTGGCAGAAGGTTGCAATGAGCAGTTAGTCCTCCCACTGGCTTGATACATGTGATTAGAGAATCTAACTGTAAACAGGTTCCTAATGACATGCCTCTATATGAACCTCTTATCCAAATTCACCTCCGCGCAAGATGTTCAAGATCAGTTGGACATGGACATCTGTCGACCGCGAGAATACGATGATGTTTACAGAGACCTTGTTAACCTTGTACGAGGACAGACTGCCGAGGAGGCTGAGATCGCAAACACCATTCTTCTATGGCTAAGCTTTACCAACATGTCTTTGCCTCTTTCGGACGCTCGGTATCTATTGAAATTACAATCGTCGGAAGCGGGCATCATTGGCCAGCAGCTTACAGCTGCGCAGGTCATTTCACTATGTGCTGGACTCGTTTCAGTCAACGAGGAGGCCGGTTTGATAGATTTCATTCATCCAACGGCGCGAAATTACGTTTCTGAAAGAAGATCAGGGTTATTTCCAGACGGGGAGAGCAAGATAACAACCATCTGTTTGAAATGTCTGGTGAACACTGCGAGATCACAACGTGCACCCACAACACCAATTGACAGGAGTTGTCAGCCCGGTAGTATCTATCAATATGCTACGAGGAAATGGGGATACCACGCCAGTCGATCAACCATTGACCGTACAGACGATATAATCGCCCTTCTGACCTACAATCAAGTGGTTCAACGATCCGGGCAGGCGATTATGTCATCCGCAAAATACCCAGAATACCTAGGACCAGCATCACTTCGCTTTACTGGTCTACATCTTGCCGCCTTTTTCGGCTTGTCGCGAACAGTGGAGCTTTTGCTCCAGAAGCAACAAGCACTCGGAAGATCGGTCTATCAGAGAGTCACCGATGTCATTTTCTGGACTGATTCATTCCTAGACGCACAGGATGCCTTTGGGAGAACACCATTGTCATTTGCCGCCGAGAATGGCCACTTACAGATTGTTTGCACATTATTGGGCGAGGGCGCAAGCGTGGAATCCCAGGATTACAACGGCCGAACCCCACTGATATTCGCCGCCCGAGGGGGGCATAGTGAAACCGTGCAAGAGCTATTGAAAGCCGGGGCTCTCATCAACATGCAAGATCGAGCCGGCCGAAGTGCGCTCTCATGGGCGGCCGCAAATGGACACGAAGATCTGATAACACTACTTTTAGCGCACGGTGCACTTTTGAACATCCCATCCTGGACGCACAATTCATTTTTATCTCCTGTCTTGCGGTTTTTCCAGACCAGCCCCCGAAGGGATGTCATTGACGAGTCGATGAGTGGCACACCACTCGTTCGGGCTTCGTGCCATGGTCACGACCAGATTATCCAAATGTTGATTACTGCGGGCGCAAGTCCAGACGAGAGTGACCGTGAAGGTCGAACGGGTCTGTCATGGGCTGCCTCAAGCGGCCATGAATCCACAGCGAGGCTTTTGCTTGAAACCGGATCCAATCCTAACGGAGTTGATTGTAACGGACGGACTGCGTTGTCATGGGCCGCCGGACATGGCCAAGTCCATATTATCCGTGTATTAATACGGGCCCGCTCGTCGTTGCAGTTGGCAGACACTCAAGGCCGAACAGCAGCACTGTGGGCCGCTGCGAATGGCCAAAAAGGCGTCTTGCAGCTCTTGTCGGACAATGGCGCTGGTTTCACATCTCGAGACAACAAGGGTATGACGTCATTGCTTCTAGCCTCGGTCAACGGACATCGAGCCACCATCCAGTGGCTGCTCTCTGTCCAAGGCCTCTCGTTGGAAGACAGAGACAACAACGGCCGAACGGCGCTCTCATGGGCCGTGAGCAACGGTTCGCAACCCATGGTCGAGTTTCTCCTATCGAAGGGTATCTCATTCAACACAAAGGACAACCAAGGACTGACGATACTTTCCTGGGCGGCCCGAGACGGCCGTCATGAAATGATAAAACTGCTTTTCGAGAAAGGGGGCGAGCGACTTCTTCATGAACGGGATATTCTGAAACAAACAGCGCTACACTGGGCTGCTAAGAACGGACACGCCTATGCCCTAGGACTCTTGATATCGAGGGACCGATTTGGCCTCCTTCAGTCGCAAGATATCAGCGGCAAGACTGCTCTGTCGTGGACGTGTAAAAACGGCCACAGGGCCGCAGCCGAAGTCATCCTTGCCAGCGGTCCAACTGCCCTCGAACGAAGAGATAATTCAAGTCGAACACCACTCATGCTAGCAGTTCACTACCACCATGATGACCTTGCCCTGCTGATGTTAGAGCACGGCGCTGCCGTCGACGCCCGAGACAGCTATGGAAACACACCTCTCAAAGAGGCCGTTGATTATGGATCCATCACAACGGTCGAGTTATTATTAACCCATGGTGCTGACCCGAACGTGAAGTTAGATCGCGGTCGAACACCGTTGATGATGGCTGTGAAGAAATCCTCTCATTCTCTGACCCGCATACTTTTGCGATACGGAGCAAAGGTGAATACGAAAAACAGCAAAGGCCAGTCGGCTCTTTTCGTTGCGGTCCAAGAGAACAGCGAGGACATAGTGGAAATGTTGCTTGAACACGGAGCTGCACTTCATGTGCGGGACACTCAAGGTGCCACGCCGATTTCTCTGGCTAAAGAGCTTGGGGAGAGAGGAGTCAGAGTTCAAAAGCTACTCATGTCGTCTGAAACTGACGATTCTCAATCGTCTGCTGAGTATAACATCATGATGGGCATATGAGAGACGGTGCAATGACCACAAAAATAATTTCTTTCCTCTTTTTTGCTTACGAAGAATAATGTTGGACTTGCTTTCACAGTTGGCTAGACATCCTGGTCAAGTAATCTCCCCTTTCTGGAAACACAAAGACTCATGCATAATTTAAATATTTGGTGCCAAAATATAAAACCACTCTCAGGCATGCGTGAATCATGAAGAATTCGTCATCTTCTCTTCCTATTTTTGACTCCTAATTTCTGACAGTTTTCACTTAACCTAATCTGAACTGCGCGCTTTGCTCGGTCTTTCAATCTCACAGCAGTCACTCTAATCAAGACTTCTTCGACCTCGGCAGTCCCATCCACAGAATCAAAATCCCCACCGACACCGCAAAGATAAACGGCAATAGAGACTTCACCTCTGACCCCTGCGCAATGCCACCCGCCACGAAGGGCAGCACCGCGGCACCGGCACCTCCAAACGCAGCAACGAATCCTATACATGTCACATGCATATGCTTTGGTAGTAGTTTTGTCATAACGACCACGACAGCTGGAAACAAGGGACCTAGAAAGAAGCCCTCGATGGAGACAGCTACGGCGGATGCGTAGAAATTGGGCACCAGCCAAAGAACTAACGAGAAGGCGATAGAGCAAGCGATGTAGATCTACTTAAATTAGCACCTCTCACACCACAGATGCCACCAAGGCAACCAAAAGAACTAGAAGGGCGCCAAACATACCGGAGTAGCCACTCTCTCCCCAATCCTCGCAGTAACAAACCCCAACAACATCCTCCCACACGTAATACCCAACCAAAAGCCCGTGGCCGTCATGCCGCTCGGAAAAGCACCTGCATTTCGCACATCTCTCATGAGGGTGACGATCCACCCACCAATCGAGACCTCGACGCCCACGTAGAGAAGGAGCAGGAAAGAACAGATCCATGATACCCGAGCAGCCGGGCGCTTGAACAACGCGTCTTTCAGGCCTGCGCCGGTTGCGTCGTCCGCTCCGGCATGGGCCTTCCTGAATGCTGCGCCCGTGAACTGCCAGAAGAAAACGGGACAGGCGATTCCTTCTATGACGGAGATTCCAATCTGTGTCATGTTAGCACTTATGGTTGGTCATCGGAATAAGAAGGAGGGAATACCATAAAAAAGTAAAAGTAATACCACGGCGCATCTGCCTTGGTGATCATATTCGTCGCGATCAAGGGACTGATCACTGCCCCGAGTCCGTAGACACCGTGCAGCAGACCCAATATCTCATTTGAATTCTCCATGTTCCCGAGGTATGTATTCCAGGCTGCCTCTGCCAGTCCGTTCGCAACTCCTGCGAAAATATACGCAACCACAAGGACAGGGTACGGCGGATGGACGCAGCTGAGGATATACGCGACGAGTCGGAACGGCGGAGCGATGAGCGAGATACCGCGTTGTCCTACCGTTTCGTGAAGCTTGTTATTGACGAGGGCGGCGATAACGTAGCCCACTAGGGGGGAGAGGAAAACACAAGAGACAACCATATAGCTGATGTTGTAGTATTCTTCGAGCTGTTGCTGTTAGATCGCGTTCGGCTTGGAGAAGGGTGGATTGCTAACGTATGGAATCAGGGCCTATTTTATTAGCTGTCTGTCTTTCCAGGACCGATTGTCAAAAGGCACTTACACCGTAAGCAGCATCGTTTGCTCCCATAACGAGAAAAGACCAGAACGTGGTCCCGACGCGGAAAATGTTTGATCGCGGGTGGTTCCATTTCTGCGATGCAGCTGTAGGGTCAATTCCGCATGGTGTTTCGGGAAGCCTTGTGGCTGACCCAGTGTCAGGGATGTCTTCTTGAGCTTCAATCCCCATGCTCGCAATTTGGTATGTCCTCGTCAAATGAAAGCATTTGACTAGAGGTTTCCGTGGGAGTACTAACAAATATATATCCGACCTGCCGAGGACCCATGTGCACTGGAGCTAGAATTAGCTCGTAAAAAAGATGATTACATCTCAGTCATAGGCCACAAATCTGGACGGACCCATTGCCCAGAATGAACTCCGCAGATACTCTGTGAATTGTGTATCCAGCGATATTCCGCGCGAGTGATGCCACAATGGATGAGAGTGGAGAATCCAATCAGACCCACGAATTGCTTTAACCGGTTATTTAGCCAGCACGCTAAGCCTTAATAACAAATACACTAAACCCCATCAGGCCCGATAAGCAGCCGCGCTGGAACATCCGCATCTCCAGCTTCCCTTCGCGATCCTCCGCCACTCACCAGCAATCATCCCCCGAAAAGTTCTCCCCGCCATGCCGCCACTGCCACGTTTACATTCCGAGTCTTCGGGGCTCCAGCACCGCTCCAAAACAGGCTGCGGCTCATGCCGCCGACGAAAGAAGAAATGCGACGAAACCCACCCCGTGTGCAATGGCTGCCAGCGCAATAATCTCGCCTGCACATGGCCGGGAGGGTCCCCTAGCGACAAAGGCACGGCCCCTCAGACTCGACGGCCCAGACGTCGTCAGAACCTAGCAGACGGGGGATGTCGTCTGCCGCCCGAGTTGGCAGGCATGGTGACTGTGTTCGCAACGCCAAGTGACGATCTCGTGCGCCGCCTGTTGACTCATTTCTCGCATTTCGGACCAACCTGGCTGACGAGTCGCATTGGAACGGGGCGCACGCGGATCCTGGGGCATTTGTTCCCCGAGACGATGGAGAGTCCACTGATTTTGAACTGTGTGTTGATGGTTGCGGCGGGGGACTTGGTCAAGTATGACCCGTTCGATGTGCGGGTTCAGGCGGCGGCGGTGGAGTTTTATGGCAATGCGGTGGAGGGGCTAAGAGACGCCGTTGGAATGCAGGGACCTACGGGTGATGTCTCAGGTGGGTTGTCCCTCGCGTTGTTTGCTGTACCCAGGGGTCTATACGGGATAGGCACGTGCTGACCGTAACCCTGACTCCAGATCACAATTTGTTAGCCGTCTTGCTCTTCTGTTTACACGAGGTATACAGCCATCCTTTTGAATAGCACAACAGTAGGTTAACCTAAACAGACTCAAAACTACACCTCCCAAGAGCGCCTCATCCCACACCTCAACGCCGCCGCCACGCTAATCACCCAGCGTCTACACACGGTCCCTGGAAACTCAGAACTGCGCAAGTTCCTCCTCGAAATGTTCTGCTATCTCTTCTCTCTCACCTCATTTTCCCACTCCTCCCTCCTCTCCCTACACCAAGGGAGCCAGATCTTCGACACCCCAGGCCTAATGGAATACCTGCAAGGGGGCGCCATCCTCGGGACATCCCAAAAGGCCTTATTCGTTGTCTATCGGGTCTCCAAACTCCTCTCTCAACTCTCCTCCACCACTCCGAATAGCCAAAATACAGACGGAGATCTCGACCCCAAAACCCGCTCCAAACTCCTCGCCACCGAAACCCAACTCCAAACAACCCAGCCCCCATTCTCACCCACCCCCGACATGAATACCGAAACCCTCAGCGACGGCATCACATTCGAATTCTACCGCCTCGCATGTCTCATCTACCTCCGGTACACCGTCGCCCCATCCACCCCCATAAAGCACCCGTATATCCAATCTCTCGTCACACAATTCATCACCTACCTGTCTTATCTCCCGGAATCCCCCTCGGATGGATTCATCTGCTGGCCGGTGGTGATTGTGGGACTTTGCGCGGTGCAGAAGGAGCATCGGGGTGCTATTGCGACGAAGTTGAAGAAGACGCATGAGCGGTGGCGCAGCGATATCTTTACGAAGAGTTTGGGGTTTTTAAGGGCGTGGTGGAGGGGGAGGGAGGGTGATGGATCTGGTTCTGAATATGGACGGGAAGGACAGAGCCTACGGTTGGGGATAAGGGGGGTTGAGTTTCCGGTTCTTTTGCTTTGATTGCTAGTTAGGTGGAACCATAAGGATGGGAGGGGAGGCTTTGGAAAGCAATTTGTCTGATTCATATTCAGTGAATAGTTGAAGAGATGAGATGCACATAAGAATAAATAACATAATAATTGCAATATAATATCAAATCCGCTAGTCATAAATATTTAGTTCGCGAGTCTGGTTCTCGACAGTCTGATATAGTATAAAGAAGTAGAATCAAGAATAAGCCATAACATCCATGCTAATGCCGAACAGGACAAATGAAAGACAAAGGAAAGGCTTTGAAAAGAGTGAGAGTGGAGTATTCGATCAACGAACATCCAGATCAGAAGAACGTTAAAAAACCACAAGTTAAACAATCTGAGAACAAAATCCGGAATGCAAAGCCATCAGTCAAAAACCAAAACCATATACAAAGGAAATTGTCAAAGAGTGACTTGGGTGAGACATCAGTCCAACATAAAAAATAGCAAACATAAGAAAGAATCACACATCCACAACGCCATCATCAGTCATGAATCACAAAGCACAAACACAAACACAAGTTCGCGAGAAGTGAGCTAGTTAGTATACACCCTAGACAGGGAACCTGACACCACCTCTCTCGGTAGATCTCGGCTGCGAGAGGATACGCGGCAAGGTCCTAGCCTTCGGATCCTGGTTGAACCGCAAGCGGTCTCTCTTCAGATTAAACAGCCTGATCATGCAGCTCATGGCCTGTTCATCCGTCAAGACCAACTTGACATCGGTCGGAGCAGTGCCGCTCTTCTCATTGTTGTTGTTCTCGAGCGGCACATCCTTGATACACGCGGAGACCATCCAGCGCACCAAGACATCCATGTCCCGCTCATTGCTCCAGCACGGGAACATAGACAGGATCTGGACAGCGCGGGTAAACTCGCGATGGGTTGGATCCTTCGGATCGATCAAGAAGGTCCTCGGGCCTCGCACACCCTGCTCATCGAGCTTTCTGTCCAGGAGACGAAGACACTCGCGAGGCGTGGGGTTCCGGAAGACGATTTCCTCCTGGAAGAGGCTAGCCAGCCGGGGACGGTTGGCGAGGAGATGGTCCATTTCGGCGGCGGGGCCGGCCAGAATGACGACGGTTTGGCCGGCGTGTTTGGGCAGCAGGTACACGAGCTCGTCCATGGCTGCGAGCGTGGACTCGCTGTCGCCGAGGCGGTGGGCGTCTTCGATGAAGAGCACCTTGCCGCGGCTGAGGTCGAGTTGGGAGCGCGCGCGAGGCGATTGGCCGACGAAATGGACGAGGTCGCTGATGGAGCATTCGACGATGTCGCTGGTCTCGAGAACGCCCATCTTGTAGTAGAGGATGGCGAGGTGCTGGGCGACGGTGCGTTTGCCGGTTCCTATGGAGTGGTTAGTGGGTGTTCACTAGGGGACAAGGGGGAAGAGGGGAGGAGAGGAGACTTACCAGGAGCACCCTTGAAGACGAGAGCGTAGGGGATTCTCGCGCTGGGCTCGACGCCCTGGATCCACGCGGCCTTCATCTCGTTGTGATATCTCTTCAACACGGAGATGATATCGTCTGGGACGATGGAGTAGCGCAGCTCATCGCGGAACGCCAATGCGGTATGACCGCCGACCAAGTCAGGCTGGAAGTCCTCAGCCTGGAGGACACGCTCGACTGGCTCGGAGGACCTGGCGCGTCGCTCTTCAAAGTTATGATTAGCGACCGCGACGAGCCTCTCGATGGCACGCGCATTGTCAAAGTCCCGACGCATGCGCGCGTTATCGAGAATATCCATGGCCGCCTGGAAGGCCTCAGGGGTAGAGTCGATATCATTGTCCTCGACCTTGGACTGGAAGAGCTGCTCCATTTGCTCGCGGGTAAGACGGTGGAATTGCACGACTTGGCCTTCGAATTTGCCTACCGTGGATTTGCTGAGCTGCGAGAGGAGCGACTCGACGGCGGAGGTGGAACCGATGAGCACGGTGCAGACGCGAGGCGAAGTCAACTGGGTCGTCAGGGTGTCCAGCACGTCCTGAGAATAGCGAGGGGGGATAGCGACGGTGGTGCCGTCGAGGCTGTCGACTTCGATGATGAGCGTCTCGGAGGGGGAGCTGTCGAGCGCGAAGAGCGATTTGACCGGCACTGTGCTTGTCAGCTTGTGTTCATGGAAGCCAAAGGCGGAGAGAATACCTTCTCCCTCGTTCAGCAGTCCCAGATCAGCCAACACCTGCACATACAGCTTCGCGGCCGTGGACTTGCCAGTGCCCTGGGGGCCCGCGAAGACGCGATTCAACCGCACGGGGAGTCGGCGCTGGTTGCGCAGCTCCCGTGTGTAGTTTTCCTCGAGCGTGTCAAACACTTCTCGCACGGTGGCCTTGACGGCCTCTTGTCCGACGAGGCCCTGCAGTTGCTGCCAGGCGTCGCTCTGCATGCGGATATCCGCAGGACTAGGACCCAGGAGATCCTGTCGAGAGAAGAAGAAGTAGTCGACCTCGTCCATGCCGTCCGTCTGGTCGGTCAGATACTGAGCCTGACGACGGGCGACGTTGGCGACGAGATCGCGAACAGCATGGGCGTTGGTGAAGCCCTTCTTGCCGTGTCCTCGAGCCAGCCGACGAGCGGCAACCTGCATGTAGGGGCCTTCGAGACCCCCCTCGACCTGCATGCGACCCTGGTACTCCTCGGTGATACGACGGCCCAGTAGCTGCAACAGTTCGGGGCGTTCAAAATCGGAGAAGTTTAGCGTGCTGCAGGTGAGACGCTGGATGCGAGGGTGATCGCGCAGGAACGCTGCAATGTGGTCCGGATAGCCGGTGAAGACGACAACGACACGGCTGGTAGGCCGCGCCATGGCCTCGACCATGTAGGAGAGAGTCTGCTCGGCAGACGCATTGTCGGTCGAGGTATCGAGCATTTGGGGGTTGTCGACAATCATGACACCGGCGGTCTGAGCAGAGGGAGCGGCGTCGACGATCTCCTGGATGAGTTTCTGGGTTCCCTCAGGGCCCTTGGAAGCCAGTTCCAAGCCCGAGGTCTCCTTCACGGTTTCTGCATCCGCGATACCGATCGAATAGAGCATCTTGGCGTATATCCGGGCGACGATGCTCTTGCCTGGTCTCGTTAGCAACCGCCCTCAAGGGACTGCTGGGGAAGTTCATAGCCAAAGCATACCTGTACCGGGGTTACCCTGCATGGCGATATTGTACCACTCGCTGCGAGGATCGCGGCCATGTCGACGACAAATCTGCACATAACTCTGCACGCCATTCAATTGGCGCTTCACGTTGTCTAAACCGACGAGCCTCTCGATGCCGTCCGTGACATCCTTTCTGGCGGCATCGCGATTTGACCGCTCACGCTCAGTCGAACGTCTCTGTAACGTCGAGCTGAGCCCCATTTTAGGGACTGCCTGGGCTGCAGGCGTCGGAGTCTGAGTCTGAGTCTGAGTCTGCGTCTGCGTCGACGCCGAGGCGGTCGAATCCGGTTGCGACCGTCGAGACGACCAGATACTGGGAAAGAAGAATGGGAAGCGGGATTGTCTGGCGATGGAGCAATCCATGCTCTGACAGCGGCGACAAGGACAAAATTGCGCAAGGAAATCAAGGAGAACAGAGAGCATAAGGGAGACGGTGAAGTGGCGGGCTGTTCTTGTCTTTCTTTCTCCGAAGGCGGGGGAAGAAAGAGAACAACAGAGAGTCAAGAGCTTTGAGCTTTCAGGTGGATGTTAATGTACGTCCAAGTAAGGGAGAATAATAGATAGGAGAATTTCTATCCTCTCCCAAGTCGAGTTCCGACCATCCATTATTTATCGACGCGTATTCCATCCAGCTGGCAATGACGGACCAAACCACCGATTGAGCCACGGCACTGAGAAGGCCGGCAACAGCATCGTTTCCTCGTGAGGCACGAAATGGGCGACCATCATCAGAGGGGGGAATTTCGCCGGATTGGATTAGGGTAGGCCTATGACGAGGCGACAGGTAGGCGTGATGCTATTTCACCGCTACTTGTGGGCCGCCATATCCGCCTAACCAAGCCGGCTCGCACCGTTGGTGACTAGTGAATTAGGTCGAGGAGCGTAGACCATGATTCGATCATGATCCAGAAATTCACATGATTTTACTTGCCTGATCTGGGCAGCTAGTGAGGCCTCGAGTCTGAAACGCTGCCACGATGGACAGGGCCCCGATGAAACGGGTCTGTGCCAGTCGTTTCAGATCAGGGCAGAGCCGGACCGAGCAGGCTGCTCTGCCAGGGACTCCAGCAGCGTGGATCTATTTTTACCCAGCGCATTAGGCGAAGAGTTAGTCAGGCACGGATGTGCTGTTGTTCATTGTGTGGTTGGGCATGGCTGCCCTATCATCGGCTGCAATGTGTTCTGGTGTCATCCCCGGATTCCATTGGACATGACAGCCAGGGCGTCTGGTGGCCCTGATTATTAACCCCCTGAATGTCATTAATGCCATTAATGAGGCATTAACTAGCTACTAGTTATGATTAGGTTGCACTGGCGCTGCACAATGCATTGTTCGGAAGACGATGACCTCACTCTTCCTCTAAACAGTCGGTGATCAGTCATCGCCTCGCTAGAATCAGTCTCGCCTCGTCGCTTTCCTCGGATCTGCTATTTTCCTATTCCCAGGTAAAAGCAGGCCGATGCCCACTTCTCACCGCAATATGAGTCACAATCTGTTAGCATCACCAGAGAGCGACCAGCCCCTCCTGCCAGCCAAGACGCCCCGGGACTCCTATCCACTTGAGGGAATTCACAGCTTCTGCTGCCTGTCGCTCTCTCTAAATCCGAACAAAAACCCCGCAATCTTCCTCACCTGAATTTCCTCCGACCCCTCCGTAATGCGATACCGTCTGAAATGGCGATAAATGTGTTCGAATGGGTAATGGCGCGAGTAGCCATCTCCCCCGTGGATCTGCCCGCGTTAGCACCGCCTCTCGCCAGCTGCCCCAATGAACAGAGTGAGAAAGACCGGAAAATACCTGAATCGCCCGATCCGCCGCCTGGCAAACCAATCTATTAGCCCAAAAATTACACATCGCGACCTGATGGCTCAGCTGCCTCTCGATCTCCACCCAGGGCCTCTTCCCCTCTCTCTCCGCCTCCCCTGCGACCCGATCCATATCCACTCCCGTCTTGAGAATCAGCAGCCTGAGCATCTCAACCTGCGTCGCCAACTCCACGACCGGGAACTGAATCGCCTGATTTTCCGAGAGACTCTTTCCGCCCCAGATCCGCCTGCTTTTCGCTCGCTCGACGCTGCGATCAAGACAGAACCTGGCCGCACCACACGAGCTAGCCGCCTGTCGCAGTCTATTCTCATGCACGAACGTCTGCGCGATCGCCAGCCCCTCATCCACAGCTCCCAGCACAGCCTCTTCTGCCACGAAAGCCCCATCCAGAACGACCGTCGCATGATCGGTCGGCATATTCATCGTCCACTCGTAACTCACGACCCTCACGCCCTGCGTCTCCCTCGGGACCAAGAACGCCGTGATGCCGCGACCAGAGCCCTCTTTCCCCGAGGTGCGCGCGAAAATAATGAAATGCGTACAAGCATGCGCACCTGTCTGCCACTTCTTCGATCCCGAGATCTCAAACCCGCCCGGGACGCGTCGTGCGACCGTTTCCATGAATGTCGCGTCGCTTCCATGGCCAGGCTCGGTCAGTCCAAAGGTCGCTCGGAACTTTCCTTCCAGACGCAGCGGGATCAGGCGTCGCTGTTCCTCCGATCCGAAATGGTGGATCATCAGGATGTCCGGAAAGTTGCCCACCACGCTGTGTTCGTTCTGTAGGTCGTTTGCTAGTCCCAGTCCGCCGCCGTAGGTCGGGTGAGATGCAAGATAGTAGCGGATGGCTGCCATGCAGAGATTAGTTTGGGGATGGGACTGGCCGCCGTAGATGCTCGGCAGGGCGAAACGATAGAAGCCTGCTTTGTCTGCGAGGGTGCGGGCTTTCGCTGAGAGGAATTAGACACTTGACCTGACGCGACCGATTCGAGAGGATACATACTCAAAAGGTCCTCCCACTCCGGCTTCGGAAGCCCGCCATTTCCCCAGTCCGTCCGCGCGAATTCACGACGATGGTCAAAGAAGCGATCGTTGTCATCTGCATGCTGAAGAGGCAGGATCTCCGCATTGATGAACGAGTCTAAGGACTCGAGAAACCGGGTGACATCTGGTGGCAGGTCGAAGTTCATCGTGGGTCTGCTGTCCTCGATCACAGGTCTTGTGGGGAAGGATGCATTGCGACAGTCGTCGTTTCATGTTGTCGTGATATGCTCCCCCTTGCTCCGTATAGCTTCCCCGCATTTCGGCTTCGGATCTCGGCTGCGTCGATCACGTCTTTATCCGGCGCGGCAGGTAGGCCGACGACTTGGTGTGTATGATGCGGGATGGAGTTTGGTATACTCGTAAGGTGTTAATATGGAGTGTGGAAAGTCAATGGAGGTCCGACTTAAAATCGGGACTTGTTAATGCATGATTATTAAGGCCAAAAGTGCGATCGTGTCAGCTCTCCTTCCTAAATAGGCAATAGAGAGTATAGTCGGTCGGGTCTCGGCGGATGGATGGGATGCCATACTTCTTCATGCGTAAACTAGGAGTAGGTATCGGGGTTTATTTCAAATTTAGAAAGTTCGAGTTCCTCATGACCCCAAGAGCAATGACTGAGTGCAGCGAATTTTGCGAAATATTTCTCGCTTGATAAGCAATCCGAGTTCCAGGAGTCAACAGCAGATATATATATATCATCACATGTCACCAACACTTGTTCAGTGCTCTTTACCTGCTTCGGTGTCCCCGAAGAAACCTTATCAATACAATGGAGAAGTTGGCCCTCAAGCCTAGGAAAACCTTTTAAACACAATAAGGAAATTAAGGCTGAAGGTCGGATCCGCCGAGAGCCTACGTTTTTACCTTTCTTCATCCTACTTGGCCCGGATGAAAGTGTCCTTTGACTCTTGACGCCGATTTGTTAACAAGAATTTGTGATCCAGCCTAGGCCAATCTATTGGCATGCTTTACTACAGGGGTGTTGAATGATGGAAAGATTTAAATTGTTTTGCTCCTCCCTCATCCCCCGCACACTTTAACATAAAGTTCACGATCTAAGAGAAAACGGCTCATAACAACATTGCTCGCCCCTCTTTACCAAGTCACCGCAATGCATCTCCACCTCCTACTCATCGCTGCTCTCTGGATAATTCTCTTTGGCTCAAGTGGAAATACCAACACCTCAAATATGCAAACCACCGGACCTATTTACTGGTCAATACATCGCAGGTATTGATCCCATTCACGATGGTATTTGAACCCTTTCCCATGTCAATGTCCTCGCACCATGAATACTGACTAGACTCTGACCAGAGCCGAGCATAGGGGAGAAGCATGGTGTGCTCATTTGATCATCGGCGGCCTGGTGTTCCGCTTGGTTGATTTGGTGATCCGAGACATCTCCCTGTGACAATATTCTGTTGCGATATTTCATTCTTCTACGATCTAGCCCTCTCGGCTCTCGCGCTTATTCTGTGTTCCCGTCTTTTCCACCATGCGCAAGGCTACTTTCCAATTCGATTTGGCCCTGAACCCCTACATTGTCTTTAATGACGGGTCTCTGCGGAAATCTGTCGGGCATGCTCGGCATTTGGTACTTCCGCCTTTCAAATGGTCTACCGTCAATATTATCTCTCGCAATGCAACATCGTAGCCATCACCTGTCATTTCAAGAATTAACTTCTAGGTCAAAGTGGCCAGACAATCAGGTGTGGTGGAGCGTGCCTCCGCCTCGTGATGTCAGTGGCCAGGAAAGACACGCCGATGGGATATAAAACCTTGAATGACCCCGGAGAACGTGCACACTCCTCCGGCGGAATGTCCTCTTCTACGCAGATATTACGTCAAGAATGGAGTATAGGTCAAAATATATAACTAGGAACTGCTGCCTGCGCAATGGTGCTCGCTACCTTTCCCTCCCCATTGACGGAAACACGCCTGCCTAGACATCCTTTTCTCCAGCCACGATGTTTGTAGTCTCGGAGAAAGTCAAAAGCCCAAATGGCGTCGAGTTCATCGTGCGCGGAACATCTTACGGGGGAGAAAATCATAGTAAGTCAAGTTCCTGTGAATTTCATATCCACAGCCAAGCTAATCAATCTCAGAGGACTACTGCACATCAGTAACCCTACCGTATGAGCTCATCGCCGAATACTCCCTGAAGGGCGCGGGAACCTATTTGTCGTGGGAGGAATACAACGATTTGATGAAATACAAACAAGCGGACAAAGAGGCATCTCCACCTAGCTACGGTACGAGCGATTCTCTTGCCACGCACTGGAGTCGAACACCGTCTGACAGCTACATCTAGATCCCGAATCCTCGTCGCCAAGCAACATTAATGTCGTTTCCAGTGTCACTCTGGTGAAGCCAGACCCGTCGCTCCAGAATCTCGGGAACAACAAGAAGAAGCGTGATGTCGTCCGGCGCATTTTACGAGCCATTCTTTGTGTGGCCTGAAAGCAGCACCTCGGGGTCTGTGGATGTGCATTGTGTCGGCGTTTCGTCTTTTCGATCGCAGTGTTCTTGTTTGTTTTTTTATCTGAGCGTCCTCGCTTCGTTCATTTAACTGCTTGGAGGAAGAAGACAGGTATCAAAAATTGCCAAATTATCAGACCATATCAGGTTGCCCGATGGATATTCCTCATTGAACTAGTGGGTATCCAGCTTTCTCCGAGGACCTCAAACTTGTCACTGTAAACGGGTTTAGCGCCTACCCAGAAAGGACGATCTTTCCTGGCCAGTAAATCCAGTTGCCTCCAGTTATGGTTAAAGAGGGACTAGCCCCGACCGTGGACACCGAAACAAATATAGCACGATGTTTGATTCGTGACTTGGCGATTTAGATCTAGTGGGTCCCAGTGAGGAAAATCGGGGCCAGTGGACCTACTCGGCAGTCTTGCCTCTCACTACATGGGGAATCACCACGAGGCAATGGAGGACCCCTGATCTGAAAGAAGTGTCAGCAGCGTTAGTGAAGAAACAGGTGGCGAGGGTTCTTTATTTCAAATATGGTTTGTTTGCTGGAACGGTTACCTGTTCCCATCTTTTTGTGTAGCCGTTTAATTGGGCTAATAAGCTGCTGGGAAAATTCCCACGGGAACGTAAAATTTTTAATTTCTGGGTTTCTCCTAGGGCCTTCTTAAGGAAAACCTTACATATTGTTCCCAGTAGGAAGTTAGTAAATCAGTTTGGCTGACAACAGAGCTAATATATCTGTAAGGAACAGATAAAGCCAGACGTCTCCAATTTCTAAAATCGGCAAAATGAAATCAATCTATCTCTTGTGGTTCGAATTTGAATCCAATTAAACATTAAACAGAACGCCTGATTTAAAAATGGCATGGCGATGTATCTATATCTAAAAAGGAAAAAGAAGTAAGACAAACATTGAAAAGCCAATTCTAATCGATTGACATCCTCGAATGTGCCGAATGAACAGGCGAAGGCGGATGCTCCGACAGATGCTGCGATACATATGATCCACGAGGTGATAGAGCCTTCGGCTTCAGCACATGTTTCAACCCTCGATCAAAGTTTAGCATGCATCGGATCACAGACACAATAGTGAGAGTTGTGAGGGCCAGCGCAACAGAAGCAAACAGTATCATCATATCCTTGCCAGCCGTTCTTGCGCGAAGGCCATTCCCACATAGGATGATGATTCGGCTTAGAAGATAGGCGATCATTCCGAGGTAGCAGGCCTGTTGTAGGGAGAGGTAGGTTGTTATTAACAATTCAAGAGCCTGCTTGCAGGGAAGTAGTTTACTTACGGTGACACAAAGCATGGGAATCATCCGCTCCGATCGAGCGAAGTATATCCCTGACACCATGACAATCAGGGTGACCGGTATAAGAGCCATGGTGAGAGAGTACTCAGGCTCGTCAAAATGGACATCGATGAGGTTGTACTGCAGAATGAAGCCGACGATGAAGTAGAAATCGACTTTGAGGAGAACAATGTAAATCTGATGACAGTGTTAGCTATCGGGTATTTGCCAACGGAGGAAGAGTGCCCTACTTCGTAGGCTCGAAATCGCTGCTTCATATTCGTGTTCCCATGGATAGATCTGTAGAGCTCCCACGCGAACTGACAATGCAGCTGATATGCCAAAGGCCATAATAAGAGTGTACAAAGTCCGATGATTATCGGTGCCGCGAGCTGGGCCGGCTTTACTGCGGGCCAAATATCCCGATCTAAATCCACAAACGGCTGATTAAGACCGTCAAATGATAGAGGCAGACGATGGATGGTTTGTCGAATGTTTCTATACTGCATGGCCGAGTAGACCAGGCCGCAGGTGTTACTCGCGCAAATCGCCAAAAGAAGTACATCATTTTTATGGTAAATTGCGTCGAGACCGAGGGCGGTTAAATAAACACAAGCAAACATGAGAATGCCCAGGTTGAGGGGCGTGATGTACGAAATGGTTACCTGGATTATGTTGGGATGCACCCATGATGACCATTGCACAAGAGTGAATCTGGGATAGTCAGACAATGTGGTATGGGATATGTTGAACGGTTGGACGTACGTTTCCAAGCTCAAGACAATTACGGCCTGGATTATGAGAACACCGCAGAATAACCACTCTCCTGTTGTTCTGGGTTTAAACATGACGATATGTTTCTATAGACGGCTGCCCGGTGGAAAGTCGACTGCTGAGGAAACGCTCCCTTTTGCGCGAGCTGGTGTGAAGTCGCTCTTGATCAACAGGAGGCCGTTGAATATTTAAACCTGGCACAAAGACGAAGAAAAAGGAAATCCGTTAATCGGTGGGTCTGGAAGCATTGAACCATGGATCGCCGACTTCCTGGCCACAGGGAGAGACATTTTTTTTTTCGGGGTTTCAAAATCGGCTTCTCGGATATTCGAACAAGTTGCAATCTCTAACTTCTATGTAGTATCATTTAAAAAAAAAAAAAAAAAAAAAAAAAAAAGAGTAGGACAGAGCCGGGAATGCGACAACGATAGCCGAAAAGATGCTTCCCCGAGTGTTAGAATTTTCACGCACTAAGCAAGAATGTCAGAAAGGACTAGTTCAGCTGGGATGTCTCAAATTGGTCGCCTTTTCACTGCGAGAGAGTTCAATAGACGTTGTCGATCGTATGGATTAGTCTGAATTCCTGCAGGATTCAAAATATTCTACAATGTTTGGATGCCTCGGCTCGGGTTGCGCATTTATACATTGTTTTCATGGCATTTAAATTCATGTCTCCCAAAATAGTAGGAACAATGTAACGCTACAAATTCCACGACAAAAAAAGGTTGACTGAGCTCTAATAATAGTGATCGAACCCAAGTGTGCCCTGGTAGGGCCCTTACCGTTCTAGCTCGCTCGCAACGTCGGCTTAAACCGTGGACCCGTGGCAAGTAGTGGATCAAGATAGTTGATGGCTGGCTGGTTCAGTGGAGAACGACAAACCACACCCACCAATGAGCCGGCAAATGTGACAAGGGTTCCAGGATGAAACATACCTCGTGGAGCATCATATTCAATGTCACCTCTGCGTCCTTGCCCGGCTCCAAGTCTCAAACGGCGACGGATTGAGAAGGCAAAGTCTATGGGATGGAAATGTCAAGTAATCAAGGCATCGGAGGTCGCTTCCGCGATAATGTCTCCGACGGGCCATCTTCTACGTCACTGATTCTTTTTTGACATAGGAGGTCACCGTGCACACTATATTTAGATCAGGCCCAGTCTACCGGCGCCTATGTAAATTTTACTGCTAGGTACGCCCTACACCCTAGTGGTGCATATCCGAGGATAAAGCTCTGGGATAGTTGTGTTATTGTGCGGTACGGGTTGGTCAGATAGCGCCATGATCATACAGTAAATTCCACAAATGAGGGCTACTATGCCGGATTCGTGGCGAAACAGAAAGGCCTAGTCTTGGGGTGTTGCGCCATAAGACGGGGCATTTCGGTAGTGGTTCAGTAACCAGGATCCGATGCTGGCTGCAACATTTCAATTTTGCGCCGTAGGCCTTGCTTACGATGACCATGTTCCCATTTTTCAAAAGATGGGAAAAGTGAGATGGAATTTGGATCGTCCCCCCATCTGTCTTCCCGAGCGCCATGATAGCGCGTACGGCCATCTAAGCAATACACGTACTAATGTAGTCGATGTTGTCGAAATATTACACCCGTCTAAACTAGGGCAATCTTAAAATATCTGCAATTTAATGCGGAGAGGACATGAACTAAAGGGCCTATGGGCTTCCACGCCGTGCCGTCCACTGGCCACACAGCTAGATAGATAAAGCTACCCTGGGATATATCCCTGCCATATAGAGTGAGACATGATATTGGCGTGGAAGGTCTGACGGTAGGGCTCGGCAATTAGAACGCTTCATACTGAGACATGAGAGCGACTACTCTATGTGAGCATCTATGACAAAGATATTCTCCCCTCTCTCAGCTATACGACTGATATAAATACATCCTACAACTCGAGATAGAATTTTATTCCATCGTGTCCTACTTCCCTTGTCACCAATCCCTAATTCTTTGAAGACAGAAGGCCAACATGGACAAACGGGTAATCAAGCCACGATTTACTGACTGGATTCGCCGATCTGATAGCCAGGAGAGCGCTCAGCTACCAGATGCAGAAGAGCAGGTCAGAGACTTTCTGGGAGCAACCGCTCCAAGTGACAGAGGGAGAGCTAGTCCTGAGCAGCCGCCCGCCTATAGACCAAATGAACTGCCCGTCCTGCACCAGGCTGAGGCTGTCCGAGTAGTTCGTGAGTTTTCATACAGCCTCACCACAGTGCCACTATTGACTTCATCTGCGGGTTATGATGATCATCCTGCAACCCAGTACAGAGCCCTCCCTCCGCCCGTCCGATCCACGTCCCAACCGCTTGCGATGCCCTCACCGACTACCGTCCCCCGACCCCTTTGGATTGAGCCGCGCCCCAAAACTACATCCCCTTTTCGGCCCTCGGAGAGAAGCGCCAATTCGAGTGACACGGCTACCAACACAGCAATCCAAGAGCACTTTAATGCTCTCTTTCAGCCATATGTCGAGACTATTAAAGCAGTTGAAGAAATTACACTGGATGAATGGCTGAGAGCAGCCATCTGGTGGGCAATTCAAGGGAGAGCTGCTCTAATGCGTGCCCAAGCCTCGGGTGGATCAAACTTTGTGCCGGGAGAAGAAGAAGATTTTTTCTCAGCAGATGGAGGGCAAGGGGTGACTGACCTTGGTAAAGCCTGGTGGATCTGCCATGAAATAATCGATCAAGACGATTTCAAAATCATGGCCCACGACCCTCGCGTCAAAACTACTCCCCGAGGTGCTCTGCTCGATCAGTACCGCTGCGTCCTTCGGTATCTGCGCCCGTACAAGCAGCGGTTAGAAGCTGCACTTCTAGGAGGCACGGGCTTGGCTTCTTTACTTGACATTGACAGATCTCTTTGGGTTTCCTACCCACCAGTCACGGCCTACGATGCAGCCATTCTTGACGATCAACGACTGGCAGCATGGAGCATTCCCCTCGCATATGGCGACACTGACGACCTCTTCTGCTACGGCAGCGAGTTCGTCCATGTTACACTTTTTGCACAGGAGGAATACTCACTTGCACATACCTTTCCTTGTATGTTGTCAATTGTCAGAACTCGGTCCAGCTGGCAAACCTTGGGTGTGATCGCTAGCCAAACACCCTTGGTTCACACCACCATTCAATCCGATCGGAAACAAGGGCCAACATGGAAGTCCATCGAATGGGATGTGAGCAGACTGTCGATGCTCGTCAAGCTTCGTCATGGTCTACTTTTGGAAGTCAAATTTGCTGAGGACAACTTCAAACACATCTGGGAAATGGTCAATCATCTTGTCTTAGCTGACAAAGACATGGTTGCTGGGGAGGACGAGGAGATTGTCTTCGACGATGCTATCAAGTCTTGTCATTATATCAACCATGACAAGCCTATCGAGTTTCCAGCAAAGCCAATCGGCCAATGCCGCGTCCGCCTGTTGAAGAAAACAGGCACAGTGACTACAGGACCCAACAGTCGTCGAGCTCACCGTGGACTCCGCCTCTTTATCTCGACACCTCCACACATGAAGAAAATGCACCAGGTATCTCACACTCTCGGAAACAGCACCCCTGTGCTGTATACACTCTTGGACGCAGGGGATGGCTCTCCCGGCCTGTTCCTGCAGATCTTCGAAGACGGTCAAATGCGTTCGGTCTTCCTATACTTTGATCACCCCGAGTCGCGCACTTTATTGCACTCGCTGCTCGTCGACATAGTTCCCAGCCCCGGTGAAACGTCCCCCAAAACATACCCGATCACCTCATACGTAATCCTAGAGCGTCAACCCCGAGAGTCAGGAGGTCAGGGCGCGCGGCATCTTGAGTTCGGAGAGAGTCTGGCGTCAGTGATCGAGCAGGCACACGAGCCGGACACCACGATAAACCCATACGGCAAAACCATCCTGTCAGAGAGCCTGCGAGTTGTGGTTGAATCCGACTGGGGTTCGATTACAGATCGCATCAACATAGGTGAGTCGAAAAAGAGTTAAAAATTCGCAGATCAACCTAACGCTTGTTGAACACAGGACCGGGACAGTTAGCCATCGGACTATCAGTCTTGGACAACACCATCCTCCACCTCCATCGATTACCCCAGGAGGACCTCACTATGACTATCGCTCGAGGGCTTGCCAGCAGCGACCTCGAAGCCAAGGTCTCTGATGTGCTCGAAGCGGTTCAACACAAACCCACGATACGAAGAATCAAATTCGAATCCCTCCCTGGTGAGAAGCATCACCTCCCAGTCCTCTTTCAATAGAACTAACTTTCGTCTTCTTTAGACCTGCAAAAATTCCAAGAATCCATCACAGGCTTCAAAGTCATCTTTGATACGTGCGCATCACCCTCCCTCCACTCTTCATCGCACCTAGACTAACAATCATTATCCCACCTAGTGTCGCAACCCACTTCTACATCTCCCGACGCCGCAAACTCATCTCCACCATGAAACACTGGGACGCCAACATCACACGCATCCAAGTCGTGCAACGCGGCACGAAGATACAAATCGTCGCCTTCTTCCACCAGTTCCGACTGTGGAAGTGCGTCAGCTTCGGGGTGAAAAACATGGACGAGTTCGAAAGGCTGGATCAGAGAGGCGAATGGGGAGTCCGAATAAAAGAAGCAAAGTATGCTGCGCCGGTGGCAGATCCAGAGGTCTCTTGGTATGGGTTTGTCTGTTTGGACGAGATGGAGTATCCGACTGAGCATGATGATATGGTGGTTATGTTTGGGCAGCCGACAGGTTAGTTTTCTCCCATGTTCCGACAACCTTGATTCTTCTCTGGAAGTCTAGGGTGTATTGTTTCTTGGGTTTGAGGTGAAGCTAACATTCTCGTGTTTAGTCCGAGAACAGTTCGTTGAGTGTTTACCCGGGTCTGTTGGCGATGCGCCCAAGGGATTGTTGTGCTGGTAATGGTAATATATCATGATTTTATATTACTACATACAGTGGAATGTTATGCAGTGGTATGTGGCGACAAATCCACACTGTATTGACCATCCGGCAATCTGTCAAACAATCATACATAATTAGTCGTTTATGGGAAGGGTTTACAAGTTTCGCAACAGCCCACAATGACATGGCATGGCAGCGAAACCGTGGCCAACTTGTATCCATTGAGGTAGTTGAGAAGAGATTTGCTTTATATAGTTTTAAATAGTCAAGCATTAATTTGGTCTGGTCAGAAATATGCCCCATAGATCACAGAGCTTCAGGCTACTCCGGAGTAGTAGGACTTCCAACCGCCCTAACCCTTTTTATCGTGGAGTTTTCGAATAGGTGAGCGTTTTCTGAAACCTGTTACTAATGTGCATTCTTTCTGCCTACTGTTGCCTTCCGCTGCCCACTTACTGCCTTCTGCTGGACCCATACCGGCAAAGGCCTATCTTAATTAGTCTGTGAAGACCCTAGATAATCTGAAAGAACCTTCGGTAGTCCTGCACTGCCGTAATAGCTGCCATTAGGACACTGCATTATGTTATAGCTATTATCTACCTGGTAATTAACCGAATTTATGCCAAGCCTGGCATAGATATTTTTTAAAGAAATAAACTAATCTGGAGCTTCACTGATCGACAACGCTCAGCGCAGGCAGATTGAACTAAGAAACCTCGAACTGTGCCAACCTTTTCTACCCACGATAACTACACCCCCACCTAAGAGGCTGATATTAGTGCACGAACCCCATACGTGGGGAAAGTAAGCGCCTGTTCATAGTTAGCACACGAAGTAGCTTAGTCAGCCACATTTAGCCCGAACGCAATTACTATTTATTTCTTTGTTATCCTCGCAACCTTCCATTGGATTTTCCCACTTTACTTTGCCTACTCGCACTCCCACTAACAAGTTCACTTCTACAATTCTCTTGAATTAACTTTGACCCTGGCGCCCAGCCCCCTCGCATAAATATTGCACGGTATTGGAACCACCAGCGATCGACGCAGTTTCACACAGCCAAGCCTAACGGCCGGGCACCACTTTAGATCATGAACTCCGATGAAGACGAGATCGGAAGCTCTGATGAATATGAACTCAGGGAATCTGATGATGACGAGGGAGACGAGGAAAATGAGGATAAAATTCATATCGGGAAGTCGTTTTGTCTTCTGTGCAGACAACAGCCAGAACCTGGGTCGGCTATTCTTGGTACATGGTTCCACCCACCATTATAATTCCATCGAGTATGCATCTAACAGAACCCAGATTTGAACAACCACTTGTTTACAGCTCCCGACTGTGACTCGGACTGTGATGTCTGTTTGGACTGTGACCCGATCCCTGGCGTCTGGTATCACCGCGCCTGCTTCGACATTTTCAAGCCTAGTTATGGGCGCTCTGACGTACCTACCGAAAAAGAGTTTCGCCGGCTTGAGGACGCAACAACAATCTTGGATGATCTGGAGCACCTCGATGAGCCGATTCAAGATGTAGACTCCAGCGAAGTAGCGACGACGATGGAAGGTCTTCTGTCAAGGCATGCGAGGAATCTCTTGCAGGGCACCTTTCGCCAGGACCTACTCAACCGCCTACCCACTGAGCTTACCCTCATGATCGCCGAGCGCATCACACCCTGTTGGTTCTTAATTGTCCTTGGCCAAACCCGTCGATTGATGAGCCTGGTGCGGGCGGGCCCTGGACCCGGCTCTGAACGGCTCAACCTTCAACAAGATCTCTGGGTGTCCAAGGTGAACTATCAAGGCAATTCATACCTGGCAAACCTTAGCACTGAGCCGCTGTCACAATCAACTGAGACTACGCAGTACCGCATCAACTTACCTCATGAGGTGAAGACGGTTGTTCTTTCCGTCGATTCCGTGGGTATTCGAGGGATACAGTTCACAAGCTCCGACTCAGAAGCATCACCGGATGGATCTCGAAGGTACCGGATCCTCGAAGTCAAGGACCCCCATTGTGAGATCAAAGTAAAACGCAATGTATAAGTTCCTTAGGACCGAATTACACACAGACACTGACACATCTTAGGCCATCTTTGTAACTGGAATTAAGCTGCTGCCGAATAACTCATCTTCGGGACTCAGGTTATGGTCCTCTCCCGTTCTTCCGAAGTTTAATCCGTGGAATTTCTACCAAGAGGGCATGAACGGTGTCTTAGAGCATGTACAGTTCGACTCAGAACTTCAAGGCCTGTTAATTTGCTGTGCCGGTGGACGGATGCTCGGCATTCACGGGTTCTCGGGGAAATCGAAGAAGTTCACAGAGTTCATTGATTCGATCATTCCATCGAAATATGATGAAGTGACTGCCTGGATCCACAGCCCCGAAAAATACTGGATCTACTACCCCTTCAGCCGAAACGAAAATATCTTCGGTGCGTGGATTCGGAAGAAGAAGGGGAATGCGGAAGCCCATCCCATTCTCGTTGTATGTACACCTTTGCCCTTCACTTTTTGTATCGCCCTGTATGCTGACCCTCAAAGCTACAATCTTCTCTCGGAAAGACGATTACCTTCGGGCCTCAGATTCCACCTAAAGAGTCCCACCACTACCAATACCACTCCTTAGTCAGGGAAGGCGACGGTGCTGTTACCGGAATAATCCATGACGGGCTCGAACCGGGGTACGAGCAGATTCTAGAGCTTGGTGTGACATGTAATGAATTACATCGCACTCCAGCTCCAGTAGAGCCACTTATGAGTTCCCCTTTGGAACTACCACAAACTCCCTCTCATGCAAGGGGCCCAGTCCCGCAGTGGTATCTGACAAGCGCGCCGTTAGAAGGCGTGGAAAGAGTCCAAGTCTTCAGGAGGTCAGGTAATCTTAGCCGACATTGTTTGGGGCTTTTACTTTCTTATCACGATGGGCGTGTAGAGGCGCTGGGACAGGTCCGTTGGGACCAAAATACCACAGAGGAAGGCCGTATCCGACTGGGTGTTAAACTTGGATGGTCTCCCCGCGGTATTAAGCGCGTTCTGGATATCCGAAGCGGAGTGACTGACTGTGAACTGGTGGACCACAGTGGGGCGGGATCTTGGTCGTTATTGCCTGATCAAGGCATTCTTGTTTGGTGGTTTGGGGAGTATGGTGATATCTTGACTGTGCTTGATCCGTAGGGAATAATAAAGCCCGTGGCTGTTTCGGCAGCTATCTTGATCCTTGTCGCAACAAATAAAGGAAGGCCACTTTACAATGCTCCCATATCCTTGAATCCTTCACCTATGGAAGCTATCTGCGTAAATATCCGCGAGATCTCCCTGCAAGACGCGCTGGCCCGCCTCCGTTATGCACCCCTTGCATCACCGACCTCCCAGTATTCAAACGCGACATCCGACCTAGTTTGCACCTTGGCCATAGCCTTAAGATCTATCTGTCGTCCGATTTCATGCTCCCTCTGCAAACTAGAAACCTCTATACAAACCATAATGGCATCTTCAACAAACCCTCTACTTAACGGCGACATCCAATCAACCGCGCCCAACTCTCCCTCAAAAGCCTCCACGCCCAGGTCCCTCGAAAACAACACTACCCAAGAACTACAACCTCAACCACATGAATCCCCAACTATCTGGCATCTCTTCGACGACGAACACTTCCCCAATCTTCTGAAAACAATCCTCGACCTCTCAGAGCTCCCGAATGGCGCGTTCCCGTCGGATTCCGAAGACGACTCCGAAGACGAAGATTTCGAGCCTTCTTCTGATGAGGGCTCTTCCGAGTTTGATAGCGAGTTTGACTTAGACGACGATGACCTTGACTCAATTCCGTCAAGCTCGGATGACTTGGACATAGATATTTTTGGTATGGATGCTAGGGATGTTGCGGCTGGGATTGGATCTAGGGATAAGGGAGCTGTGGCTGGCTCAGGAGAAACGAGAGTGTAAATTTAATTGATTAATGGATGATAGTGCTGTGATTCTGCATGTCGAAAGGATAGAGCGTCTCGTTTTGTCTTAAAATGTATTAATATTCGCAGCTTGAACCACCATATCGAGGAAGCCTCCTCCTTATAGACTATTCACAACAATGATAAACATAACCCATAGCCGACACCTAGTCCGTAATAGCACCAACCACCTTACCCCAGACGCCACCTCTCTTCGCCCCCTTCGCCTCCAAATCACTATCCGAATAGAACCTCCTCAACCCATCCAGATCAATCGTACTCGCATCAATCCACCAAGCCCCCCGATAATAAATCCTCGCCCCCAAATAAATCACCACAATCGCCACCACACTCACAAAATTAGCAAAGAAGTCCTTCGCATTCGGACTCCCACCCAGCGGCCACAAGCTCAAATAGAACTCCGCAATGATCAGCAAAATACACCATAGCAGACCCCAGTACGCGCCGTACGGATACGTCCACGATTTCCAAGGTAGCTCGTTGACGTCCCGGCCTTGGATTTTCCACGCGTACCGCATCCGGATATGTGAGAGGCAGATCATGCCCCAGCCGAAGAGCGTGAAGAGGGATGTCAGGTTCGAGAACCAGGTGAAGACTTCGGCGCCGCTGTTGTTGACGTTTAGGTAGGCGAGGCCGCCGCCGATGAGGAGTGTAATGCCGAGGCCGGCGAGCGGTCGGCCGCCTTTGTCGGCTTTGCCCAGGATCTAGTCTTTGTTAGTATCTGGAGATGGGGCGGGTAGGAGGTGTTAGAAGGAGGACATACCTTAGGAGCGATGTTCAGATGGGCCATGCCCATGAGCGTACGGGCGCCACCATACCCGGAGATACTGCCCGTCGAGACGACGGAGATGAAGATGACGGCGTTCATGATGTGAGCGAGAGGGGCTAGACCTGCGTTGCGGTAGGCAATGACGAACGGGGAAGCGTTGACACCCGAAGCACCGAAGAGGTCCTGGTTGTTGGGGTCGACAGTGATAGTGATCATGAGCGAACCGAGGACGTAGAACAGCGAGAGACGCAGCCACATGGAGCCGACGGCGCGAGGGACGGACTTGCGCGGGTTGGTAGTTTCGGCGGCAACGAGGGCGCAGTTCTCGGACCCGGACATCGCGAAGATACAAGTGGGCATGACGGAGAGGAAACCCTTGAAGCCGTTGGTGAAGGGCTCGGAGTTCCAGTATCGGAAGCCGATGGGTCCTTCGGCGGGAGCGCCTCCTGCGGATACAACTGGGTGGAGTCAGGGCTAGCCATCTATCTGTGAGCAGGACGGACTTACCGATGAGGGAGATGATGACCACGATGATCCATGAGAACTTGATGGTCGACGAGACAACCTCGATCTCACCGAAGAACTTGACTCCGACCACGTTGATCACGATGATTACCACCCAGAAGATACTGATCCACGCAGCGACATGCACTTTATCGGTCCAGAAGGTCAAGACAGTGTTGACAGCCTGAACAGTTAGCAGAGCCTAGGTGATTCCAACGATAAAACTAACCTGCAGCTCATTGGCAATGACAATAAAATAATTAAACCAGTACGACCATCCCAGCGCGAACGCAGCCGACGGGTCGACAAACATCGACGTCCACTGCACGAACGCCGACGGAAGAGGATACATGACAGCCATTTCTCCAATGGAGTGACTGACCGACCAGATCATAGTACCAGACAGAATATAACCGATGAAGATGGCAGCGGGACCTCCGTTGGCCAGCGACGTACCACTGCCCAACCAGAGACCCATACCAATCGATGAACCCAGCGCGATCATGGTGATATGCCGCGTGGACAGCGTCCGATGCAGCTCCGTTTCAGCGCCATGATCGACATCAGCCACCCAGCCAGAAGTACTCGGCTCGATGGTTTTGTCAGTCGTTTTGTGACTCGAGGAGTCGAAAGCAGCCATGGTGACTGTCTGTCCAGTAGGCAGGTATGGATGGAGTAGGAAGGACGGGGAGGGGGTTAGGGGAGTTCAACGGCGACAGCGAACATTCAGGGGATTAAATCATATACAAGAGCAGCTCGTGGCAAGAAGCCTTCCTTGGCTAGCTTGTCATGCGATAAGAGGTCTTGTCCGCAGCTTAGCGTTGCGGGCTATCAAAGGCTGGAGATAACCGCCATCTTCTAGAAACTCCGCATCTGCCAATTGCGGAGCGTTATTCGTTATCAGCGACTAGCTGAGGGATCTTTGCGCCCCTGACGAGCCAACAAGAATCCTGGAATGTAACTGATGGCGAATCTTGAGATTCTTGAATAGGGGAGGAGGTCTGTGTCCATGTTACATTTGCCTGGCGATAACACGGTTTCTCCGATTGTCCGTAGCTGGTGAATTTTGTTTGCTTCCAATCTCTCTTTTTAATCCTTAATATCTACAAAGTATATTGTGGAATATCTGTTTCAGGAAGCCTTCTTACATGAGTTCCGACGCACAGGGGTCGTCTCTACATCCCGTTCTGACACTCCCCGAGAAGAGCAGATCCAAACCCTAAGTCCAACCCCCAAACCATCAAACGTAAGACTTCAAGAGCCAAGCAAACAGTCCCAAGACTTCAAGTTGCATCATGAGAAATTAATTTCCCCGATCCAACGCAGATGTAACCCAGATAAGAAAGTATCAGCAGCCATCCCCCTTTCAGCCTGTCATCAGCCACATAACTGGTGGCGTCTTTGGACTATCTAATGAGATTCTCATAATTATTCATTCCTTTTATGCGGCCTATATTTCATCGCATATTATCGGGTATGGTCGGATATTTAGCTGATATCTTTGGCTAAGAGCTGGCCATTCTAATGCCCCAATATGCGGCAACGTGCATCTACAACCATTGATACAGCTCGATTTGGCCTACTACGTCTCTTATCGTGCATGGTCACATCGTACCATTCGCCACCTTGTCCTCCATCCATTCTTGTATTTGATTGGGGAACTGGGGTGTTCGTGCTCGAAGGATGAATTCATGGCCCGGTCTACACGTGGAGCATGGGCTCATGGACCCTGCTTTGGAAGGTGATAGCGCGAACATGTGGACAACTCGCTTCGAGATTTATCTCGGTCGGAATATTTTCTTACACTCCTTTCCTCTCCACACCTCCTTGGGTTAATTGGGGTTTGATCGTACGCGCAATTCGGGTCGTCCGATCCCTACATCGGGACTTAACGATATTTCTGTAGAGCGGCTATAACCCATTCTTTTAGAATCTTCTTTAGCTGTGATATAGAGAAGCGGAAGAAAGAATCCCGATCGCAAAGTGCTCTTCTTCCATCCCTGTGGTCATTCGATGTTTGCCTGCCCATGCATGAGCACTCCAGTTGCATTTCCTTAACCTCATTATTTTCAGGGGACGTTCTGCTAGATTGGCCACTATTTCAACCAAGAAGCATGATGTTATGTTTGATATAAGGATCAAATACCGTTCAGAAATGCTGACTAACCTTTTCAAACTTTTTGATAACAACTCCGGTGAAGCGTGGCTTCCAGAATAACCAGACACTAAGGCAACAACGCAGCAAGGCAGTGAGGCAGTAAGGCCGCAACACTGGGCTTGGCAGGCTGGGCAGTATGATGTCGGACTCACCGCCTTTCCATGCTGCCCCTTTTAATGCTTTGGATTGTCCCCGTTTCTCCCAGAGATCACATAACGCCGCATCGCTAAATATCGGTTTTATGCGCATACTGGGTGTTTTCTTCCAGGGACACAGGCACGGCATAGAACCACAAGCGTCATGCCTTCTTATAAAGCCGGCTGCTATACACAAAACATGATCGTCAACACAGCACAATGACATCAACATCAACAAAGCGATTACCTGTCAGATTAACGCAGATAGAGGGAACTAGCATTCACAGAGAGCATTCGAGGAAAAGCAAGGGATCCACACAAATCTGGAATTTTGTCCATCATTTCTGACCGGCCCCCAGAAATAAATGAGACCATCTAACTATGAATCACCGATGACCTTGCCTGTCTCGAGTCTACAGCCTACCAATTCAATTCCTTACTCGACTGATGATCCACACGCATGAGAAACGCAGATTTCAGCGAACATGTTTCTGGACTCGGAAAACGATGAATCAGACGGGAAATCGGATACGCCAAATAACTTCACTTGGCAACACCGATCCAATGAAACGAACGCCTCACTCAAAGATCCCAAAAATACGGCCATGCAGCATCTGCAGCTGTGGAGCTGCAATCGACTGACCGTTAGGATTCCCAAAATAGCCTAGTTATACAGGGTAAGCTGCAGGTGTCTGGTCTGATCTGCAAATGAACAAACCCACAGGCTTGACGAAGCTCTTGCGCCGACAGACGACGAAACTATAAATATCGGCCAACCCAACAAGAAGATACATTCTACTCCCTCAAAATGAACTTGGCCTCCTCCGTATGTGTTCAAGAAAGCCCAATACCAGAACCAAACAAGACCACGTCAAACCCACCGACTAGTCGTCCGACGATCTCCACCGCATCCACAACGGCGACACAAAGCCGCCAAGACTCGACCACGTAGCCCCGACGAACCATTCGTCCACAGACAATCCTTTATTCTACGACTCCGTACACCGTAGCCTGGCTGTTGGCTTTATAACTGACGCGTTTCCTCCTGCCAGGGGAGACATTAATATGGAGGGAACGCGAGGATTTGAGGCGATGAGGTGGCTGGTTTGAGGGCGATATACTCAGACCGCTTTTTCAAGTCGTTCATCCGACTTATTCAAGTCTAGTCGACTATAGCTAGTCTAACGCAAATTGCCTGCTCAGGCTGTTAGTCTCCAGACTGACCCTCTGAGTTAACCACATCCATAACAGAGTGGATCGCCGTCCGTGAGCACTTCCATCAATCAGCTCATCCGATCCACAAACCCACCGCGAACGATTAGAATAGAATAGCTCGTCGCGGACAGACCACCCAGGACACCTTCATCTATCCAGCCCCTCCGTCAACCCCGACATGATGCCCTTCATCCCGTTCCTGCTCGTATTAGCCGGCCTGACGATCTTCTTCTCGCGACGAAAATACAAGGCCATTGAGCAGGACTACAAAGATTCTCCCCGTGTCGTGGTCAAGGGACATACGTATTCCGACAGCGTCGAGGAGATCCAGTTACAGCCGATACCGGTGACCAGGCCGAGTAAGGTTGAGAATGTGCAGTGCGCGTGTGTTATTGGCGCGGGCTATGTAGGTGAGTTCATCCATCCCAATCCTCAAGCTGGCATCAGTGGTGGTAAGATGCGGAAAGCTGATGCATACGCAGGCGCATTGACGGGTCTTGTCCTGGCATCGCAGAACCCGCATGTCCAGTTCTTCATAGTCGACAGCGACGAGCGACTCATCTCCGCGTGGAACTCCGATCGAGTCCCGATTTCCGAGCCAGGGGTGGAAGAGCTCCTGTTCGAAGATGCTGAGATCGCATCGCCGCAGATGCAGGCACAGACACAACTCGAGCCCGAGTCAGAGGAGTTCGGCGAGTTCGTGTCACAGCTCCCCAGGGCTCGGAAGTTACATAATGTGACTTTCTCGACGAATGTGCACGCGGGAGTTACGCCAGCTGATATGGTCTTCTTGTGTCTCGAGACGAGAGTTGGTAGTGATGTATACACCCTTCTGACTGATCCCTCCTACAACTGAACCAGCCACTGACTAAGAACCAGGTCGACGAAACAAAGGTCGACCTCTCGCATCTCGAATCCGCCCTCCTAGCCATCGCCCAAGTCTCAACCGGTCACAAAATCATCGTTCAAAAAACCACCGCCCCATGCGGAATCATCCCGCGAATCAAGAAAGTCGTACGTTCCCCCTCCATCCATCCATATATCCACCCTAACAACCCCCAGCTCAAAGAAACCTCCTCTCCCACCGCCTCCTTCGACGTCCTCTCCAACCCCGACTTCGTCGTCCCCGGCTCCGCCCTCCGCGACCTGCTCTACCCACCACGGATCGTAATCGGCCACATCTACACCTCCGACATGTCACCGGAAGCCCTGACTGCTTTGAAACGCCTCTACACGCCTTTCATCCCTGAAGAACGAATCCTAACGATGGACGCATGGTCGTCGGAGCTGGCGAAGATCGCGGCAAACGCGTTCCTCGCGCAGCAGATCAGCAGCCTGAACTCGCTGAGCGTGCTGTGCGAGTCGACGCACGCAGACATGGACCACGTCATGCGGGTGCTGGGGCTGAGCCAGCGAGCGGGGTTCGGGCTGGGCGTGCTGCAGACGGATGTGATGTGTTTGGTGTATTTGGCGAGGGAGCTGGGGGTTCCTGACGTGGCGGAGTATTGGGGGAGTGTGGTGCGGATGAATGGGTTTCAGAGGGGGTGGGTGGTAGATAGGCTGGTGAGGCGGATTGGGGAGGGAGAGGGAGGGGAGAGGAGGGTGGCGGTGTTGGGAGTCGGAGCGAAGGAGAATGCAGATGATGTGAGTGCGGGAATGGAGTTGGTGAGAGGGTTGACGGCGAAGGGGGTCAGGGTGAATATTTTCGATCCGCGTGTTGAGCAGCGCAGGATCGAGAGTGGGCTTGGGTATGCTGGGGTCAGGAGTGAATTGGTCGGCGTGGCTGACTCCGTGGAGACGGCGTGCTTGGGATGTCATGCTGTGGTGGTGCATACGGACTGGAGCGAGTTCAGCCATGACAGTGTGCGATGGCAGGGGATTGCGCATCAGATGCAGAAGCCGACGGCTCTGCTGGATCTGAGAGGAGGGTTTGATCGGTTCCAGATGCAGCAGTGGGGGTTTGACATGCTCCAGATGGGAGTCAGGGAGATGCATTAGCGAAACGACTTGTATATGTACGATATTCTAATATAGGAGACGATAGATGACAGATATGATACACGAGATTTAGACATTTAGTCCTGGAGACCTGCGACCAGCTTGTCACCCAGCTCCTTGATACTTTCTTCGAAGGCCTCGGTGTCGTCGGTGGTCCAGTCGGCCTCGTCGCCAGGGACAGCGTTCTTGCCTGTAAATCCGATATACAGCACATCGTCCTCGCCATGGCCATTGTCACCGGTAAGACCATCATCAGGATAGCACAGCTGAGCCAGCGAGATGGACGCTTCACCGGTAGAATCCGCGCCGTTGGTATCACCCCAGATACCATAGAACTGCATCTAGTCAGTCTCTTATCTCACACTACACCTAGTCAAGCAGAAAGAACATACCAACTGATCCCCACAAACAACAGCCATCACACTCAGCGGCTCCATACCATACTCCTGGGGATCAAAATCCGAGTTCCCAAACACAACATACGGATGAACATTCGCATCCAGATCGTCGATACCATACTGATTCAAGGAGTCCATGAACGCAGTCTGGCCCTGACCAGAGGGATCATTGGCGCAGTCGCCGCCGGTATTATTTGCTCCGTCGCAATCCACATCCATATTATCGTACTGGCCGCCGTTGCCCGAGCTGTGCAGGAAGATGGCGCCGTCGATGTCGCCGCAGTAGGCGAAGGTGCTTTCACCACTGATGCCGTCGGTGAAGCCGCCGGCGAGTTTGTTGTTGCATTTTCCAGACTGGATCGTTAGTCTTCGTCCATTAAGTGTAGACGCAGATGGGAAAATACCTTATGGTTGTCATAAATCTGCCTCAAGTTGTCAGGCACATCGTAGGCCGAGACCAGCCCGGCGGAGAGCAAAGCAGCAAGAGTAGCGTAGTGCATATTGAAACAGTGAATTCCAATTAAAAACTGAGTCTGAGTACCCCCTTCAACAGCCGAACGACAACCCTATTTATACCTGTCCCTCGAGCCCTTACCCCCAAACAACAAGCCATCCTAAGCATCTGACACTCCATGCCAAATCGGGGATATGGATACCTTCAGGACCACGGCCAATAAGCACTGCGGAGAGCGACCCACCGGGCGATCATAATGCGACTCGATACCCGAATCGGTTTCAGCCCTGAGCTTGACGAACCTTGAAACTGGGGGTTTGGGGGCGATCGCGACGAAAGAAGTAGGGTGGTGCGAGTGTTGGAAAGGGGGGGGGCTGAGTCAGCTCGTATTGGATGGAGGGTTTTAACGGTTCTGGAATATGGTCTTCGCGTGGAGGTTTATTGTTTAGGGGTTTGGGGGTGGTTTGGGAGACTTCGTGTCGGTGGAGAATGTCAGTTCGGGGATCGGGAGTGATATAATTACCGGGCCTGGATGGGACGCGAAATAGACATTCGTGATCCTGAAAGGTATAAAAGACTAAAAATAGACTGCAGGTCGGGTAACTGTCAGTCGTGGACGTTAAAACGGACCGTATGGCGATTCCTTTTAGAAACCATCAGATGATCCTTCCTGAGTCCAAGTTCTCAGAAGCGAGAAATTAGTAGACTCCGGTAGAATAATATGTTTCATCCGACGTCTAGTTAATTGAAAGCTACGGTCATTCTTCCCTTTTATGAGCTAGGTTATCAATATCATTGGCGGGAATTGTGCTCAGTCTCTATCGGAATATAATAGCAGCCGATAGGTCAGTAGCTAGAGTAGAGTACCTAGGGTTAGCTTAGAGTAGCACTTGAGTAACCCGGCAGACTCGGAGTAACTCGGTTAGATCCCTAAGGACTATTGCTTGGTACAGATGCTTCTTGTGTTAGATTTGAGAGATCTGACCATTAGAAAAAATATCTTACCCTATGCCTCTTGCGCCGAAGAAATACAGTCCTGTCACCTCTATCTGTATCAAATACAACCAGGGGAGTATAGAATCATGCCTCGCTTGACCCTGAAAATATATTTAACGCCCTAAATTGTTCCTGGCGATTGATAGGGCATATTTGGGTCCGGTAGTATGACTTGGTTATAGTGTCCTGTTGAAGTTAGCAAGTGGATTTTAAGAATGACTTCCTAAACCAAGATATATATACTCTGGAACAAGAGCGGGATTATGGAGCCATGGACGACTAGAACAAACACCCTAGTTAAGGCGATGGTCAGCCCTCGTGTGTCAACATTATGTGGATCAGGACATAAAACATCATCAAGCAGATGGTCAGGCCTCAGCGCCAAAAGAGGTGTAATCTGCAAGGGCTGTTCGGCTATGGCATCTGACCGGTCTCGATGGTCTCACAGGCCAGTAAAATGCAGCCTCAGGCCCCACTCCCGCAAACTTCCTGAACGGATGCATGGCTGCCTGAGGCGCAAACGCGTGATTCCCCTCGCATCTTTCCAGCTCAACTTCATCTTTCGTCTCCTCTCGCCAGCTTCATCCGACTGCCACCACCCTCATCGAGTCCATAGCACAGTAATCGCTTTTGCGTCTGATTTCACGCTTGATTCAGCGTTGTTGGGTATTTAACTGTGTTCGTGGACGTGTTGGTCCATCGCGATCAATTCGTCGCTTATCATTCGCAGTCAAAAATAATCCAAGCATCGACATATACACCACAGCTATTGGGTGACTTCATATAGCCTAAACCCAAATTCCATCTCTAGAAAAATGATCCTACAACTGCTGGAAGGTCTACTAGATAGACTAACGCCCTCGATCATTCTATACGGCTCCACCGCTCTACTCGTCTTATTGGGCTCCGTCTTGACCATTGCACTCCAATCGAGCAATGCATCTACCATTCGCAAACAGTTGAAACATCTGCGGCTTCAAGGCCTTGACCCGTCGATCAGTAACATGACGGATCAGTACGATGCGCAGTACGCCATCCCAGAGGACACTACCCCGGCGACAAGCCAGCCGGTCCGCATCAAATCCATCTACATCCATCCCATCAAATCATGCGGAGCGATCGAGCTCGATCGCGCTTTTCTCACCAAGACTGGGTTCCTGTACGATCGCTGTTTTGCCCTTGCTACGGAATCTGATGCTCCCGGATCCGATCGCGAATGGCGATTCATCAGCCAGCGCACCAAGCCAACCATGTCTCTGATCCAAACTCAGCTATGGCTTCCGGATGAATCAAGTAACCCAGATGATCCCCTCGTCCAAGCAGGTGGATGTATGGTCGTCACTTTCCCAGACCCAGACGCCGACTCTCATTCCTTGAGCTGGATTGATCGCCTCGACACCTTTCTTCACAAAGGACAAAAGATCCACCCAACTCCAGAAATATCATTCATCGTCCCTCTCAACCCCACCCCAGCACAGGTTTCATCCTACAACCTCACTTTCCAAACATTTGGAATCCACGCGCGCGCCGCCCAAGGCCTCGACATTTCCCGAATCCCCAGCATCGCGACCGCGTTGCCCAAACTGAAAAGCTTCCTTCGCATCCCACCCTCCAAGCCCCTTGCGTTGCTAAAATGCACACCGGACACTCTGGTGCCCACTACCAGAAATCTCGCTCCTCTGGAACATATCGGATCGCGAGCTGTCCACGGCTACACGGACCAACAGCCAATCAACATTAACAGTTTATCTTCCGTGCACGCCGTCTCGGCGCTTCTGCCGCGTGAAAACCAACCACTCAATGCGCTCCGCTTTCGTGCCAATATTTGGGTAACCGGTGCTGCGGCGTACGATGAGGAGGCGTGGAAGAGGTATCGCATTGTCCCTCGTGATAACCAGTGTGCAGAGGACCACCCGATATCTCCAACTCTATCGGTTGTGTGTCGAACCTCGCGATGCACCATGCCAAATGTGAACCCGGACACCGGGGAGTTCGATACCGACACTGCGCCTGCGGGACGGAAGCGCGGGAAGCCTCAGCCCAGCACGACGCTGGTGGCGCATCGGACTGTCGAGACGGGGAATGCCGCTGCGCTGGGGTATCTGGGCATGCATTGCGTGCCGGAAGACGCGGGGCTGAAGGAGGCGGAGAGAAGGGGAACGGGGTTAGTTGTTAGTGTGGGTGATGAGATTGAGGTGTTAGAGAGGGGAGAACACATTTTTGGGTCGACGGGGGAGGATTATTAGATTACTTGCTTGGGGAGATTATCATGATAGCGGAGGGGATTTGAAAGAAATGAATGCCGGTTTCCGACCGTATGTTTTGCTACAGATTTGCTGTTCGACGAACTAATAGAACAGATATACAGCGTCAACACAATCTACAACAGATAGAGAGAAAAGAAATAAAAACAACCCGAACTCCACGATGACTCCCCCCACGGAAGAAACCCTAGTTACTCTTCGTATCAACCCACCAATACACCCCCTTCTCCCCCCCCTCTCCAACCTTCTCCTTCACAAACCAACTATCCCCAAAAGTCCTCACGAAGCCCCTCACATACCCCTCGTCCTTACTACTCACATACCGATCCCCAAGCAGTGGCATCACCGCCTCCGTCGCCTCCTTGACATGATAAAACGGGATCTTCGGGAACAGGTGATGCACAACATGGTAGTCGATGATCTCATGGAAGAAATGATGTCCAATGAGCCCGTAGTGACGATCGACGGTGCACAAGGCGCCGTTCACAAAGGACCATTTGGAGGGACTGTAGTGCGGGATCGAGGGGTGGGTGTGGTGGAGGTAGGTTATTGCGACTGTTTCCTGTCAGCCTTTCTAAAAGATTTACCATGCTTCGGTCGAGAGACCTAGGTAGGAATCGAAGGAAGAAGAACATACCCAGCCAATGATGCACCCACAGATACGGCACCCCATACAACAATCCCAGCCTCGTCCACCCGACCTTCGTCCCCGCGTAGGCCAGGAACGACAGCATCGCGATCAACCCCAGATCAGAAAGGATGACATGCAGCCATTGCGACTTCGCGAAGAGCCCACTGGAGGGATTGAAGTGCGAATGCGATTTCGCCTTCTCTCCACCCTTCCCATCTCCCTCTCCCTTCCCCACCCCATCACCATCACCATCACCAGACGAACGATCCAAACTCTCCCTCCCCCCACTAACGTAAAAAAGCAAATACATCGGCCACGCAACAACCTGATGCGCCACCAAATACCCCACCGCACTAGCCAGAGGCGTCTCCTCGACTAGATGATAAAAATCACTCATCCCCTTGAGTCCATTCCTATCCATGAATTCATCCTCGGTGAGGGGCACAAACGCCGTGTCCCGGGTCATATGCCCCGTGTAGCGATGATGTCTTCCGTGGATGATCTTCCACGAGAAATACGGCACGAGGAGGACAGAGTGCAGGAACCAGCCGACAGCGTCGTTGACGCGCGGGTACGGCGAGAAGGCGTCGTGGCCGCATTCGTGAGCGAGGATCCAGAGGCCGGTGCCGACGAGGCCTTGGATGAAGGTGTAGGCGGTCCAGGAGAGGATGCGGAGGGTGGGGGAGGAGAGGGAGGGGATGTAGGTTGTTAGGTGGAGGAGGGCGAGGGTGTAGATGAGGTCTCGCGCGAGGTAGAGGGTTGAGCGGGGGAGGGAGGATGTGAAGCAGTGGGGAGGGATGGCGGAGCGGAGGGATTTGAGGGAGGGCTGGTTGGGAGGCTTGGGAGGGGGGATTGTAGTGGTGGTGGTGATGGATTCGGTGGAAGACATGGTTGTGATTATGTGAAATGATTTGATGTTCGAGTGTGTTGTGTTAGCCTGATGATTGCAAATCTGCTAGAGTATTTATAACATCTATGAAGCCCAGGTGATACCCGATTAGGAAATAGGGAGATCATAAGGACTATAGATATGAATATGACGTAACTTGTCAAACGGCAAGTTACAAGCATGAACATCCAGGCCATGCGACAGCGGGAACTTGTTCCTTAAACCTAGTTTCTCAAGTCAGTGCTATATTTGCCAGCTTTAATCGCCGATCTATAACCTTGTTGATTAAGGTTCGTGAGTAACAAGACTCGGGATATACACTCCCAGGATCTTCAGCAATGATCTCATTTAGAACAAGAACGCATGAATCATCTAGCAAGAGGATGAAACAATCAATAACCTGATGACAGGAGTCATGCGGTCATCCAGAGATTGAAATCCTTGAAGTTTAGATGATATCATTCCAAACGGCGTATCCGACATGTGTCCATTCATTTCACCCTGAAGGAAATAGACCTTTTTACGGCATCTGGGTATGCAATGAAATAATCTCTTAATTCGTAATTTGTAACATGTCATTGATCTTTACGGCAGCTCAACTTGGACATTTGCCTTCCAATTCTGATATCAGCAGAACTTAAGTAGGTCAAGGCGTGTTGATAATTCCTCAAGCAGAACCTGCCTTGCATATTCAACTGCAAGTTTATCATTTGGAGCCGCCCTCAAATGCAGGATGTTCAGGACAATAGGCGTCGGCCCTTCATTTTGAACGCGTTCTTGAGCCTGCGGTCTCTTCAATTCTACACTTACGCCCTATTATCATTTCCAACACGTAAACTGAGGAACAGAATACCAATATTTCTAAACACTCTTCGCTCATTATGCTAAGCCGATTTCCTTCCGACTAGCGTGTCCACCTTCCAGACTAAGAAGCTCATCCAGCACCGGCACCATCTCCACGGCTTATCGCCCCACTATCATATCGAGCTACAGAAGAGCCTGCCAACATTTATTTAACTTTCCGACCTCTACAACCCTCTGAAATCCACATTCACAAGCCTCTCATTCATTGGAAAATGACCGAGCCCTGGAAAATCTCACCCTGCAACGTCTCCGACGCCGCCGCCCTCGCGCGGAACAACATGGCCGCGTTCTGGGAAGATAGCGCATGGGCCATGCTGTGGCCGACAGAGATTCAACTAGACTTTCTAATCGAGCAGTCCACGCTGCGGCTGCCTCGCAACCTGCTACAAAATCACCAGTGTCTCCGTCACCAAAAGGCCATCGACCCTGTCACCGGTGCGGTCGTGGGATACGCGCGCTGGATACTCCCCGCGGACAGGGCGGTCGCTATAGATAACAGCGTGGTGTGGGCTGAGGCGCAGGTCCCAGGTGTCAGTCCGGACGAAGAAAGGCGGTTCCAAGAGCAGGCGAAATCGGCGTGGTGGAGACCCAGAAGTGATATGGGTGCGATGGACGACGAGATTGATGCGGTAAGGCGCAAAGTCTTTGCGGAGAAGGCATTTATGCGTAGGTGGTGTCTAGCGGCCCTTTTCCTTTCCCTTCTTTTTTTTTTTTTTATCACCTTGTTTGATAAAAGACTAACAACTGCTAGAACTCGACTACTTGGCCGTTCATCCCGAGAGGAAAGGGCAAGGAATCGGTACGGCACTAGTCCAGAGCGGAATCAGACTCGCGGATCAGATCGCACTTCCGGTCACTACCATCGCTTTTGAGGCTGGTCGGGGGATCTATGCAAGGCTTGGATTTAGGGAGGCTGACCGCGTGGTCCAGGATCTGTCCCAGTTTGGCGGTGCCGGCAAGTATGCGACATATTTCATGGTTCGGGATGTTGCTGCTCATTGAGAGTAGTTCGATCGTCGGGTTTCACTACAGCTATTCGACCTACATTCATTATCATGTAATTCCAAATGTCCAGAACAACCAGACCTACGAAAGCAGATCCCACATACAATAAAAATTATAATCATCAACATCATACTAATGTATTACACTATACAAGAGGCAGCCATTCAAACGCCCCTTCACATCATCACTCATCTCGAACATTCAATCGCAAGGCAAATCACGCCATCTCCTGATGCGACGCCTCAGCAGCCTTCTCCTCAGCAACACTCTGCTTCCGATGGCGCTCAATCTCCTCCCCAAACTTATCCTTCACCTCAGAGGACCGCCACGCCTTGACATTCGACTCGAACATCAAGTCAATATCCTCGAGCGAGCGCTGCGATGTCTCCGGATACAGGAAGAACACGTGGAAGGTCATCACGGTGCAGAAGACGCCGAAGATGATGTACGTCTTCCATTTGATGTTGGTGAAGGCGGGCGCGACGAAGTACGCCAGTGCGAAGTTGAAGATCCAGTTTCCGGCGGCGGAGAGACCAACGCCCTTGGCGCGGTATTTCAACGGGAAGACTTCCGAGGCGTAGACCCATGCGGCGGGGGCCTGTGGGAGTTAGTTAGCTTGCGTAGGTTATGTGTGGTAGAAAGGGAGGACATACCCAGGTGAAACCGTAAACACCGGTGAAGATGTAGGACAGCGCGATGACAGCCTTTCCGGGGGCGCCTTGGATCTGCCAGCGCAGGTTCTCGTTGCCGTCAATCGAGTCGACGGGGTTGCCGTACGTGGCCATGGTGCCGGCCGTGGCGAAGTGGAGGGCCATGCAGGCGATGGATCCGGTGAGGAGGAGGGGTCGACGACCCATACGGTCGATGAAGGGGAGGATGACGCCGGTGGTGACCAGGAAGATAACGTATTGGATGATGGAGGAGTAGAGGGCCGTGTCACCGGACTGGATGTGTTAGCTAGGTCTTAATCAGATCGGATCGATGGACTCACCATATTGGCCATCTGGAAAATGTACACGACGTAGTACATGGCGACGTTTCCTCCCAGAAGCTGCTGCCAGACCTGCACGCTGACACCACACAGGGTTCGCTGCCACATCTTCGGCCCGAAGAGAGCCAGGAAGGTAACGTCCTTCGACTCGTGCGCCACGCGGACGGCCTCCTTGACCTCCTCGAACTCGACCTGCACGACGGGGTCGTTGCGGTCGCCGCCACCATGCAGCATGGCAAGGGTATCGTGAGCCTCCTCCCAGCGCTCCTTTCCAGCCAACCAACGCGGCGACTCAGGGAAAAACAGCAACGCAACTAGCAGGACCAGACCCGGGACGGCCTGGATACCCCAAGCAACACGGAACGACGCGGCACCAGAAATGCCCTGTCCACAGCCGTAGGAAATCAAGTACATGATGAGGATACCCCACTCGATAGCCCATTGTTGGATACCAACGATGCGACCGCGAATACGGGCGGGGGCCAACTCGGCGAGGTAGACGCAGACCTGGGACGAGGTGACACCGACTGGGATGGGATAGGGTTAGCGCAAGCCACGTGGACAGGGGGTTGACGCCTCTTCCGTACCGGAAAGACCGCTGATGACACGGCCGGCCACTAGATGCGCCACGCTATGCGCACTACACTGAATAACTGCTCCGATGATCCAGATCAAACAGGCTACCATGAGGGACATGCGCCGACCGAGGTGGTCAGATAGCCAACCGGCACCGATGGCACCGGCGAAGGAGCCGGCAGACATGGATGCGGTAATCTTTTCTTTATTAGAGCGGAAGATACAGAGGGCAGGGAGGAACTTACACCACCCTGCAGATTCGAGTCGGGATGGTTGAAGTATTCGAGGTACTGCGGCGTGCCGATCCAGGCACTCATGGAACTGCGCGGGTTAGCATTTTCCAGCCAGAGGCCATGAACATCAAACGTACCTGACATCGAAACCGAAGAGAGCACCGCCGATGGTGCCAAAGGCGGCGAGAACTGCATTCCATCAGTACAGACAACCATAATAGATCAAAGCGAGCATACCGTAGATATTCGTGATCCGAAACATGGTGGCAGCTCAGCTCAGCTCACACAACTCGGCTGATCGAAAAAGTCGGCGCCAGGAGCTCCAACGGGACGACCTTATATACGATGAACGCTCATGCGGCGTCGCATGGCGCAACTTGGCATGGCGCCGTTTGAGAGCAGCCGGATTCCGGGGTGGTGCAAGACACGCATGGCGTTCGGCCGGCGGCACCACTGGAACGAGCAAGGATCGGCCTGGAGGGAATGTGGAGGTCCGGGGAGACATGGAGAGATGGGGAACGAGCAAATCAAGGACTCTGGGGGAGCAGCGCCAATGCGTCATGAGTGGGGAGGCTGCGGCGAGCGATCCAGTCGGTTGATTTGGGACGGAGATTTTCCCAGTTCGGTGTTGGTCGGGTGAATGTAATTAACCGAGATTTCCATGTGGACTGTTTGAAGTAGAGGAACGGTTTACGGAGCATTGTCAAGTCAGCAATCCTTTGATTGAGCGAGCGTGGTACTCGAGTCGTCAACACAGAAGGAAGTCCTGGAGGCAATGAGGGCTGGCGATGTCAGTGACTGCCGCCTGAGGCATCAGCCGCCTGCTGACAAAGCCGTCTCACTTTTTTCCACCAATCAGCAGCCCTCAATCCATATGTTTTCTCCTTTCCAACGCGCTGAACCAAGGAATGGCCCAGCAAAACATGGCTGAATCATGGACCCTGTCCATCGGGTTAATTCCCCTGGTCGGGATAATTGCATTTAAGCGAGCTCGCCGAGGTGTCTGGACCCTGACATCCCGACGGCCTGCCCGTGCACTTTGGCATCCCCGGACTCCCTCCCGCATTTTGCTCGCTGGGACCAGACCATGACGTGTACGCTATCAGGTCCATTCGAGGACTCCGGAGTACCCAGTTCCTGCGGTCTGTTTCACTTCGATTCTTTTCGCTGGATACTCCGTAGACCGCAGTCGGTCGTCGTCCGCACAATCCTGCCCGATGTCCGATATCGTCGGTAAGCCCTCGGCTCTTCCCTCCCAGCTAGCTAAATTAGCATGACGCCTTCGACGTCGGTGGTGAGAAACCCAGTCTGAGAGTCGACGCCTCAACGCGCTTATCACGCCTCAAAAACGCCATCGTCAGCCGGTCCGAATCCCATCCGATGAACGCCCTCCGATCCCTCGCCGAAAAGCCTCGCCTCGGGCTCCGTATCGGCATTGGCAGTGGCATCGGAGTCAGGCACATACCAAGAGTGATCATCTCTTCCGATCCTGGCGATCGATGTACGCTTGATGTCACTGATGAGCTTGAACTACCCGAGTCCCATTCCGTGGTGGATTCCACTCGGTCGCGTCGACCGGCAGGCGACGATCTGTCTTGGGCGGCCGACTGGATCATCGCCCGGTCGGAAATGTCTTGTCCGGGCTGCATGGGCTCTGCTGGTGGTGTACCGAGTGAAACAGGCCAGATGCCAATTCTCAGCTCTGGTCTTGGAATTGGGCCTGTTGGCTCTGAAGAGGTTGCTTGGCCCGCTGGGGGTGGGATATACCCACTTCGATGCATTTCCTGCGGGGCGATACACGGTCTGAAGACTACATGGCGTCATTCTACAGCCAGTCAGTACTGTAGAGGGTCCTGTTTTCGTCAGGGTTGTCCTGAGAAGGTGATCCTTTGTCTATCCTCCAGGTTGAGCGCATATTTTCAGGTAAAGGATTTCAACTGATTAATCAGTGATTTGCCTTCCCACTATCTCTCATAACGGGACAAAGGTGTGAAGATAAATTCAGAACTGTGTTCGATTTCAGTCCAAGTTAGTCGATTAATTCATCAGAATTCCATTAACCTGTAATATTTCCAGATTCCACGCTGTCTTTTGCTGTCTACGTATCTCCGCTATCATTGAAACCTCTCCTTCTACCTACTTTGCCAGCAAATCCAACCCCTGTCCATTGCTCACCATGCAATCCTACAGATTCAGTCAGTCTCACAAGCAGAACATATCGAAGCCAACTCGGAGGACGGAGAAGAAATGAGAGACGAACCAACAACACCGTGGGACACCACCGAGCGAGAAACCTGACTGTAGCACTGTACGGTCCCCTCCAAACCACCCCGCCAGCGGTGCCCAGTACTTCGTCAACAATCGAGGCAGCGAACTCGTCTGCTGAGCACTTCTCGAGGCCGTCTCGTCCGGTCGCCCTGTTGGAGATTGCTTGTCGGGCGGCCGCGTACCGCGAAGTCGGCGACAAGACCACCCCGGGCTCGTTGGCGTGAAACGCGGAGGTGACGTTGCCTGCCATGATGCAGACCACGGAGACGCCGAAAGGGACCATTTCCAGGCGGAGAGTTTCGGACAGTTGTGTGACGGCTGCTTTAGAGGAGGAATAGACACCTAAGTAATTGTTAGTCGGATTTGAAGACTCTGGTCGAACCAAACATCAAGCAAAACGCACCAAGCCAAGGAGTATTGACAGCAGCCGCCGCACTGCTCACGTTAATGATACGCCCCTTGGAAGTAACGAGCAGATCACTGCATGCTTGCACCAGTCGCAGCAATCCCAATACATGTGTGTCGTACAGGTTCATGGCTTGATCTAGGTCCGATTCCAGGATAGGCATGGTATATCCTGCGCCGGCATTGTTGACCAGAATATCAAGACCACGGCCGTGGTCAGTGACCGCACGCACGGCGTCTGCAATCGTGATTGGGTCTGTAACGTCTAGAGGCAACACCTGCACATTTTCTAGGGAGGTCAGGCTCTCGGGGACTTTTGTGGGAGATCGGGCTGTGGCGAAGATAAAGTGACCTCGTCTGGCGAGGTTCAGGGCCAGAGCTGCTCCGATCCCATGGGCCGAGCAGCCGGTAATGAGGATGGTTCGTGGGTTGGTAGTCATCTTGAGGTGTAAACCCCTGTAGTCCAGTCTGGTGTGGCGAAGAAAAGCCTGTGGATGGATCTATGAAAGGGCGGTCGTGGAGGCGCGAGGAAAGGGGAATTTGTCTCTTTTGTCCTCTCGCAGTTCTCTCCACGCTCTGTCTTTGTTTGGGCTATCAGCAACTTGCCCTCAGCCCACCCAGGGACTGGAAGGCTGGAAATATCCTTGTCATGGGTTCCTGATTATCTGTGCGGCTTGAAACTAGCGAATAATCCCTGGGTACACCCAATCAGATGCTTCAGATAGCCAACAAACCAACCCCCAGACATAGATATGACAAGCTCCAGAGCAAACACCCATTCGCTATAATTTGTGACACAAAGAGCTTGGACGGAAGTGTGCCACCAACATGACTCGTAGGTTACACAACCATTCTAGCGGTCAGATCAGTTAAAATAGGCGAAGGGGGAATGAACTAAAAATATCAGCGTATATAATATCTCATCTACCCGGAAGATCTATCTCACGCTTCCAACACGATACTATCCCACATGAAACCCCTCCACTTCGTCGACTCCGTCACCTCAAAGTCCACCGTATTCCATCCCTCGCGCAGCTTTCCCTCTGGCACGTCAAACTCGAACAACCGCCACTCTCCCGCGGTAGTTGCAGACCGATACAAGCCAGGATCGTTCGGCAGAGTCGTCAAATTCCCGATCGGAATATCCGCGTCTCCATTCAGCAATATTCTGGACTTAGTACCGGACGAATACCCCGCCAAAGACACAGTCAACACCGCAGACGCATTCGCCTGTTTCTTATCCACGGGGAACTTAATACTCCAAGTCCCCTTAGCCGACTGCCCGAAGCACCAGTCTGAGGTCTCACTCTCGCCAACAGTATAGACCAGATCCTCCGGACACTCCGCCACAAGACCATGTTGATACGGTGCCCCACCGTGCTTGAAGCCCAACGACTTGCGATCAAAATCACCCACCTGGAAGATCTTCTTCCGAGGGGACACCTTCCACTCCAACTTGTGCAGCTGCGTCTGCTTATCCTTCTTCACCGTCACATCATTCAGCGAGAACGTCGTCATCACGTCGCGCAGCTTGCCCCCGTCTGACCACGCCTGCAGACCGTAGTCACCCGCACGCACGTTCCTGAATGTGAACCACCCCTTGCTGTCAGTCTGTCCGGTATAGTAATAATCCGAGCCCATGTCCAGCGCTGTCTTGCTGGGGTTGTTGTCGCCCAGGAACACAGACGCTCCAGCGGCAGGTCGTCCGTCAGAGAGAACCAGGCGTCCGGAGATAGAGCCACGGGTGTGATATGCTTCGTCCTTGAACCATTTGTATGGCCAAGCCTGAGCCTCTTTTTTCGCACGGGCTTCAGCGTCGGGTTTGGAGCCGTCGTTCTGTTCATGTCAGCCATCCTCACTCAGTCTCCCGCGGATATCGCAAGCAAGGCCCTGTCAAACACAAGGAAAGGAAGACATACCAAATACCACAACCACGGCCCCCACATCTTCCCATCCGGAAACTCATCCACCGCTGAGACCTGAAAGTGCGTCCCATGAATCATATTCAACTGCACCGCATCCCCCGTCGCGCTCTCTCGATGCACCGTCAGCTCCTGCTTCAGGTGATTCCCATTATAATAATCCTTGCCGGGATTAATATACCACGACCCAAACCTCTCTCCATAGACGCCGTAGAAATCCAACTCCCGCACCCACGCACTAAAGTCATACTTCGTGATAAAGCTCCCGTCAGCACGCTGCCACGTCTCGTCCTGCACTTTCTCAGAGGCCGGATACTCAGCGAGATCCGGGAGCGGCGCATCTTTAATATTTGTGCGGCCGTTCGGGAACGAAGTGTTGTCGAGACGCCAGAGGGAGCGGAATTCACCGAGCGTCGGCAGGTCGTGGTTCACGAAGTACTGGTAGGCGCCGGCCAGCTGGTCGAAGATCACCCAGTGGAAGTCGCCTTCGCGGGCGGTGAATTTTATGTCGAGGTAGTCGGCGCCGCGGCGGTGGATGCTGGCGGAGGTCCAGTTGAGGTCGGATTGTGCGCCATCTTTGCGTCGCAGTTAGTGCTGGGGGTTCTTGGTTCAGAGGTAGGGGAGTGCTGGAGAAGGGGAAGGGGAAGTACTGTAGCTAACGTAATGCCCCCATGCATCACCCACTAGATCCGTATCCTTGTAGAACAGCTTCACACCGTACTGTCGCCCAATCGTCACATTCCAGAGATCATTTCCAATAACATGTGCGGTGTCATTAATGCGCTGAAGGAACGGCTTTGCCTGAGCAACAGCCCCGAAGAGGCCTAGAGCACTCAATGCGGAAATATGCATCGTTAACACCTATCCTGCAATGAACACTGGCAACGATCAACCCCGGAATCCCCGCACTATTTATGTTCGCCAGGATCGGTCGAGACGAACAACAATGGCCCGACTCGGCATGCATTATCGCGAATTTGCGGGGGTGGAGACATGTCAGTGAGATGCCAGTGGTGGAAGAAATTGACGGTTCGTCAGGAACGGGCTTGGCGTGGGGATGGTTCGATCGTGTCATTAACGAATAGCAGCAAGAATTGATTTCCCCGGTCTAGAAATCGAGCTAGTGTACCTCAAAGAAAGTCCAGCTATCCCCCATGACATGCTCCGTCTTCCCACCCCGGCGCTGTACCCAAATATCGACCCAATATTAATTCCCCAACGAATATCCCGCCCAGAACAGCGCAGAAGACGCCCACGTTGAAGGTCATGACGGCGAGCATTCTGGTCCATCGTTAGCCAAATTACTCTAATCAGCATGGAGAGAAATAGAAGAGAAAGCCTCACAGGAAGTACCCAATTCCCGCCTTGACACATTCGAGGACTGAAAAAAGCCCATCTCGCCGAACGCTCCATTTGCGACTCGCTTGCCACCTTTCCACGGCCGGAGTGTATTTCCGAAGTCTACCCAGCAAAGATGCACTCCCATTATCTCCAGTATCATTATCATCATGGCCACAATGGTGATCGGTATGACTTTCCTCATCGATACGCATATATCTCGGCAACGGACTCAACCGCTCCTTCGCGATTCTGGAACCAGTTCGACGAGGGACGGCACTAAGCGTCACGGTCTTAGGCCCCTGGCCTTGTTGATTCAGGTTCCATGATCGTTCAAGTTGAGATTTCCAGGCTGTGAGGAACCGGTTGAGGATGGCGAGGACGAACAAGACGAGTAGGGTGAGGACGTATGATGGGACGGAGTTAGTGGTCCAGCCTGTGAAGAGGATCGTGACTTGCGTAGTGGCGGTGAAGACGGTCGGCATCGACATTTCCATTGACATGGATGATTCATGGTGCGCGTTCGGAGTGGTGGTGGAGCTGGCGTGGGCGGTGGTGGAAGGCTGGTGGTGATGGTGCATGTCCATGTCCATGTTCATGTTCATGTTCGGGTCCATGGTGATTAGCAGTCGAAATCGTTCAGAGGTAAGGAGTAGTTTAAAGCAATTTAAACATGCGCAAAACATCGGGTCTTTACTAACCGCAATCTTTCGCATGATTAAACTGCGATGTCAAAGCACAGGGCAAGTAAGGGATGTGCAGAACGCACATGCGCGGGATTGAGCACATTTGAGGATATTCGCGGCCAACCATACGCGACCATATAATCGAGACCAGAATATCACCATCCCGAATCAGGTCATATTCTCGCTTGTCCGATATTTAATGTATTTTCGTACTTTTATTTATTGCTATCGCACCTCAAAGATGCTTCACCGTCTTCATGTAGATCATATCCCGGTAGTAGCAATTCCCGCAAATCTGCTCGCCACCTGCATGCCTTTTATCACCACAATTTCAATTGATCGAGAAATTCATAAAAGCACAGGCTTAAGTGAGGAATGTCCGTTCAATAGTGCTTCCTTTGGACTTTCCCCATATTATCACGGCTTAAAAAAAACTAAGCTCATGCTGCCATGATTCCCTTCCGATACTCACGAAACAAAATATCTTTTTTCTCGCCAAATCCGGTCCCAACCACTATTTTCTCTTTCATCTCTGTCGGTAGACCTCGATATGATGGACAGAGGTATTGGCGCTCCCTTCTCCCTGACATTTTAGGTCAATTTGCTAACCATGAAGGCGAAGGATAATGTATTTCACTCAGAATTATCAGTTCTGAATCATGACTGTTACGTTTTTATTTCGGCTTCGCATTTTGAATGTCATATACATCTGTCATGTCTTAAGAGAGTAAGTCTACTTGGTCTGTGGTTCGCATTCACATCGCTCATAATTTCACGATATCAGGCTCTGGTGTTCTTCCAGGATGTTACATTTATACCTACTCTCTACTGTTGACTGTTGACTTGATAACACGGCAACTTGGTTTGAAGGCAGTAATTTGATGTCTCTACCTCTTTCTTCAACACTGGTGAGATAGGACTTATGCACCTCAATTCCCTTGTGATATCTTGATATTCCTCGTCTACAGTTTCCATCCATCCTAGATAGGAGCTTGATATGAAATGGTCATCAGTCAATATTTGCAAATCATTCCGTACCTTATATACAAATGAAAACCCGGCATCACCACCCCCACAAGGAAACAACTATATACACACCGAACCCGATATCTACTCCCTCACAAACCTGTCCCGCCACGATACCGCCTGCCTAAACCCCAACAACTCCCTCATCTTCGCATTACTGATCGGCGCCTCCCTCCCCACCAACTCCCTCGTAACCGGGACATTCGGACAATGCTTCCGCAAAAACTCCCCCGTCTCACAATCATTCGTAATCTCATCATTAACCGCATTAAAAACCTGAAACCCCAGCCCATCCGTCCTCAACCCGGCCTCAAACATCCTCCCCATATCCCCGGCATCCGTATACGACCACCCATGCACCTTGAAATCCCCGGGCCGATCCACATACGCGCGAAACTTCCCTTGAAACTCATCCTCCGTAATAATCGCCCCTAGCCTAAACACATAGACATTGTTCTTAAACCGTCTGGCAAAGCTCCTCGCGACATTCTCGCTCGCTACCTTCGACATCCCATACACATCCATCGGATGCGTATCCGTGGTCTCGGTCACCGGGAAACTGGGAAAGTCCACATCTCCATCCGCATACGTAACACCATATGTGCAGATCGACCCCGCGAGCAAGATCTTCTTTACCCCCGCGCGACACGCCGCTTCGAGGATGTTATACGTCGAGAGGACGTTTCCGCGGAAGGTCTCGTTGTCGGGGACCATCATGTTGCGGGCGTAGCCGGCGAGGTGAATCACGGCGTCTGGGACGGCGGTGGTGGGTTCGTGGAAGGGCTCGGAGAAGGTGAAGTGCGAGTGCATGGCGGAGAAGACTTGGCCGGCGTCGGTGAGGTCGATGCGGATGGTGTGGACTTTGGATGAGAGGGGGTCGGGGAGGGGCGCAAGGTCGAGGTTGAGGAGAGAGTGGTTCTGGGAGAGGAGGTGGGTGATGAGACTCTGGCCAGCTTTGCCGGAGCCGCCGGTGATGAGGATTCTCATGTCGGATTTGTATGTTGAGTGGGTGATTTTGGGGAATATCTGGAGAGGGAGGCGGGGTCTTTATATCTCCGGATGGAGACAAGTGGATTCGATTCGGATTGAAGATGTGGGGAAGAGACAGCTCCGTTCCACGGGTCGGCTAGTAGGCCGGTAGAGAATCCCTGCGGAAGAAGCTCTGGGTAAATACTGGATAAATAGCCACTAAATAGGCTGCATCTCGCAGCGATCTCCGAGATACCCTGGGAATGTGAGCTGTACAACCTCATATCCAGTTAGGGCTTATCATCATGTGACCCAGCCAAACGGAGCAAACGCACCAAATCCAGCAAACCCGAACCCCTCATTTTCACTTGACAATCATCACCTCCTTCACGGGACCTCCTCAACCCTAAACCCATCCCTCGACAACATGTCCCGACCACGAATCGCCTGCTTCCACGGCGGCGGGTCCAACTCGACCATCTTCTCGATCCAATCCGCGCAGCTGTCTGAGCTCCTCTCCGAATTCGAGTTCGTCTTCTTCGACGGCCCGTTCGAGCGCGGCCCGGGCCCCGGCGTGCTCCCCGCATTCCGCAACGACGGGCCCTTCCGCTCCTGGTTCACCACCGACCCCTCCGGCCTCGAGGTCTCCGATGGCAGCGGCTTCGGCGACGGCGAGGAGGACGGCATCGAGCGCATCTACCGGCTCATGGACGCCAAGGGGCCCGGGGGCACGTGGGTCGGCGTGATGGGGTTCAGCCAGGGCACGAGGCCGGCGGGGGGCGTGCTGTTGGATGTGCAACGGGGGGAGAGGAAGACGGTGCCGGGACGGGATATACGGTTCGGGGTGCTGTGTATGGGTGGGGGGATGCCGATGGAGTCGGGTATGCTGCCCCTGTCTTACATCCCTTCTTTCCTTTCCTTCTTCTCTCCCAGATGACATGCGTTATACTAACGATGACAGACGGAAAATCAAGCACCTCCGCCCTCGTGACCCTCCCCACGCTTCACGTCCACGGCCTCAAAGACATGTTCCTTCCGCTGGGCCAGCACCAGTTCACAACGTACTACGACCCGTCGAAAGCGCAGCTCTACGAGATCGATTACCACCACGCCATGCCGTGGGTGCGCGCGGAGGTTGAGCATTTCGGAGACTTGATTCGGAAGATGTATCGCCAGACGCGATAGTAGGGCATACCTCGGAGTAATCTTTGTTTGTATGTTGATGGGTTGGTCGTGGGTAGTTCCGGGGGGGGTTGGTTTGGTGGATATTACCCGGGTCTCTTGTTGAAGGAAAAATGGAGGGGACTTATCGGTGGTTAGATTGGTATAGTTAATAGACTTTTTTTCCCTTCGTGTTGGGTTTGAGATACTGCTTTCGATTGCGTTTAAATGCATCCTGTTAAGGTAGGATGGCGCTGGGGTGTAAGTCTAGACACACTGCGTAAAAGGGCCATTTTGCGAGGATTTACTGAACGGTTCTGATGTTACTGGGAAACGAAATTTATTTATTTGGTCAAACGTGCTTCTCTAAAATCTATCTAGTGTGTGCTACTCATGATTCTCAATCCCAAATAATCTGAAGTTGCATAGCTTGATGTATGTACAATTGTGAGGCTGAATGGGTCTTCAGGTTGAATTGGTTGCTAAGCTATATATGCGAAGTTTGTTCCTGGGAATGAATCGTCTACGGCAAGTCTACATTCGAGAATGGTATAAAACGACCAAGTTCTAATCCATCTGAATCCAAACCTTAAAGGTATAAGTTAAGGATAGTTCAAGAAGGTAACATCACTCAACTCAGCAGCCACTAGCGCACACCATCCACCCCATCTGTCCGAAATTACGCAGACCACTCAGTCTGATTAACAGTCGAGTAAGAACCCGTCACACAAGTCCCATTCCCCCAGAACGCCTTTGCCGCCGAGATCCAAGTAGTATCCGGATGCAGAATGTTCTCAGGGGTATAGAACAGCCGACAATCAGCAGGCTCATACAGGAACTGCAGCGGCATCTCATCATCACCCTCACGGTATGAATTCCTCAAGTTAAAGCTGATCTTGCCGTCTGGGTTGAGAGGCATGTCACCGGGGAGGGTAGCGTTGAGGCGGGCATGCTCCTGGCGCGTAAGCACGGGCTTGCCCTCTGCGTCAGCCAGGTTCGCGACCTGGTCGGCGACGTCCCGTAAAGCGTTGATGTTGAAGGAGGTGGCGACCTGGCAGCCCTTGGAGCCGCCGATAGCTTGCATGGGGCCTTGCTGGGGGCGTCCTCCAAAGGTGATGCTCTTGACGCCGGCGGTGTTCTTCATCAGCTCGGCGAAGATAGTGCAGGTGGAGGTGCAGAGGCCGTCGGTTAGCTGTTGATGAGGGGGTTAGCAAGTGGAGTGGATAGGGTAGGGGGAGGGGACGTACAAGAAGAATGTCCTCCGGAGCAAAAGGAGCCTCGGTCTCATTCTGCTTGACGAGTCCGTAACCACGGATAGGGAAATCCCAGTCTGAACCCTCGGTGAAGTTCATGACGGAGACAAGGCTGGTCAGATTCGACCCGAGGAGCTCATGGGGTCCGTAGAGGTTCTTCCAGGACTCGAAACCGTGCTTTTGATCGGGCTTGACAAACGACTGGAGACTAAAGTTGCTCTCTTCGTAAAGGATAGTCCCTCGCTTGAGGTTGCGGAGAGCCTTTCCAATAAGGTTGAATCCTTCGTGTGCACGGAGGCGAGACGCGCTGTAGATGTCCTTCTCCGGGAAGAAGGCCTTGAATAGGTCGAGTCCGCTCACAACGGTGCCTCCGGCGTTGTTGGACAGATCGATGATGATCTTCTTCTTGCCGGCCTTCTTGGCCTCGTGAAGGAACTTGGTCGCGTTGTTTGCAAACGCCAACGGCTCCTCGGGGCTGGTGTCGCCGGTAGCGAAGGATGGGACCAGCAGCACCGCCAGATCGTCCCATTCCTTGTCCTCCGGGAAATAGCCAGAGATCAAGTTATATTCATCCCGCACGATCGCCTTTGGCAGGTACGGCGAAGCAGGCCTGATCGGCGAGGTCGTCGTTTCTTCCTCTTCGTCGTCGTCGGAAGAAGGGGACGGGAGGCAGTAGTCTTTGAAAAGAGTGCGACTGTCGGTGTAGTTGAATCCAAACTTGAGCTGGGGCACAGCAATGACAGGCACCTTTTTCTCGGTTCCATTAGCGAATTTAATCTCATGCACGGCACGACCTTGCCAGAATCCCTGGTTCCCAGTCCAAGCTCCGAGAAATGCATTGGTCGTCGGGACTCGGGTCAGCGAGTCGAAGGCCATGTTCCACCGAGCATCGGGGTCTTGGTAGAGCAGGAGGTGCGACAGCTCCTCGATATACTTCTGAGCATCCTTGTCGTCGATCGATGCAATCGGGGAAACAAGGTCGGAGCGATTGGAAAGCAAATGGATATCCTCTGGGCCGGATATTAATAAGAGACCTGGCAGCAGATGGGGTCAACTCACGGAAGTCGTAAATCTCGGGGATTTCCAATCCATCCGAAGAGACGGACACGATTGGGTTGGCGTTCTCGAAGAGGAAGATCTGCTGAGAACAGGTTTCGAGTCCCAGATGACCGTCGTTAGCTGATGACAACAGGCGCTGGAGCGCCGTGTCAAATTCGAACTGGCTGCTAAACTCTTTCTTTAAGGCCTTCTGGCGGATGAAGTCGAGACCACCCAGCAAATCGACGGCGGGAGACAGATATCCTGAGGGAGGGTCTATTGAGGCGTTGGTTAGTTTGGTTATACCAAGGATGAGAAATGGATCATACTCTTCAGAGTGTCGAGGGTTGAATGCCACTGCAGAACCTTCTTAACCTCAGTAATATAGGCCGCAGCGCGGCGACTGTCAAATGGCATGGACAGAAGACATTGATGAGCCAAGTCCGGTGAGACGCGAGGCAGAGCTTTATTACGGTCAGCTGCTGTACTTATCACCATTCTTCCCTGTACTTACTTGAGTTCTGAGACGCGGCTTTCTTGACTTGTTGCGACACCAAGGCACATGGCTCTTTGGTGGCAGCGCCAGGGGCAGCAATGACTGAAAGCGCCTCAGTGAGGGCTAAAAGAGCGGAAGGTTTCCAGAACATTGCGATGTCCTGCAACGATTGACGAGAAATTTTGGATTGATTGGGAAAAATCTCCCTTGTCAGCGTATCATGGGGGCCTTATATCCCGTTTCCGGTTTCTTCGATCCATTAGCCTCGAGGCTGTGAAGGGTATTGTGGAGACTCATCCTTCGAGAGACGCTGGGCACCTGGATTGGCGGATGTAGATCGATATGGAGTTTACAGTGAAAGCCGCCAAGGGAGTAGAGTGATCGCCGACAGGCAGAGACAATTCAGGTCTAGGGATTGGTGCATTGCCCCATTGACTGTGGAACAACGGCTGGGCAAGCATGAGGGAAGAACGAGAGTCCACATGGTGCAATGGGTCCGATGAAGTCCGCGCCTTGCGTGGGGAGAAAAAGGATCTGAATTTCATCATCAGGAAAAGAGCCAATAACATCTCTAGTTCCCTGTGGATCAAAGCTGTTAATCGCAGACGGACAATTGTTTTCTAGTGGAGATCAAGAGGCTCGGTGACTACTGCGTACTCCGTAGTGACTAGTGAGTCAGTGTTCCCCATAGTTAAATGATGCAAGATTTTTGAGCCAGTCAATCACACTTGGAGGCTCTGGAGAGACCGGTGGTTGCTCGAGGGATTAATTGTAAGGCTGCTGGCATTCTGGATTCATAGCCTAGTCGGCTAGTGGCTTCTAGCACGAATCCTTAGTTGTAGTTCCGCTGCCAGATGCAGTATGTATCGACATGATCCCAATGTCAGGGGCAGTCGTCTTAGCAAAAAGAACAAATCCCTGCCACAAAATAATCAGGCCAGTGCCACCACAACATGCTTTGACTCGGAGTATTTGTTCCGTCATTCAGCTTTCGTTTCCGTTTACGAATGTCAAGTCTATCATGGCTGTCAAGCACTGAAGTTATTCCACTCTGCCGTTGGGGGCCGAAGGCTTGGCTAATCTACCGTAGTGGGGCCGGAAATCCTGCCAGGCGGTGCTGCTTTGCTGGGGACTTGTCGGTGTACCTGAATGGTCCACTCATGACATAGCCTTGTTCGCCTAATTGCATTTGTTCCCTGCTCTACGGAGTATACAACATTGACGATCTTTGCGCTGCCACCAGAATACCCTATATGCCCTGTCTGCACAGGCGATACCCATCGACACCTAGACAAGCTACGGAGTATAGGCCATGCGTCACGATAAAATTAAAATCTAACAATCTTCTCTAATGCATAACCCAGAACATTTCAATTGTACACATGCCAGATCCTCCAATCAGTCGACATAAGCGCCTCGTCCTCTTCTGAAGGAACTGAGAGAGTAAGGGGGATCGTGAACCTTGACAGGTTGATCATCAGTCACCTGCAGCCTATGGCGCAGCTGAATGAGTATGGACATGATTACATCCAGATTCAGGGGATGACATGCTGCTGACCGCAGAAGCCTGCTTCAGGCTGTTTAGTGATCAATCTGAAATTTTTTAACTTCTTTTGGCAACGGACCGAGTATCCCCAATAGCGTTTGTTTGTCTTTCACGGTGAGTCAGTGCTAGGAGGAAGGTTCCCTGGGTTGTATCTCGGGCTCATTGCGATGTCCCTGAACCATCAGGACTTCGTTTTCATACGTCCTTCGGTTATGCCCTTTCCCATAGCACTATATGGCTCACCTCTGTACTGCTCCATGGCTGCCATTTGCTGATACCTTTGCGTGTCTACCATCCCCAAAGCCACCCTACACTCTTGCAGGTCTCAAACACTCGATCCTAGAACGAGCACTCTACCTACCTGGAATACCAATTTACATTACCCCCTATAGGATCGTGATCGTCTCGTCTATCCAGCCTTTTCTCACGCTCTGGTAAAAGCAAGACAGCCATTCTGACATATGGAGCAGCGCTAGTGAAGGACCACAGTTATAACCCAGGGGTGGGATAGGGTTTGGAAGATTTATCCATTGACTCCTGGGCCTCTGGGCCTGTGTCCTTCACTCTAGTGTTTCAAGTTTATATTTCCTCGCCGTTTACGTGTCCAATACCCATTCCTTCGAATTGTATTTATACTGCGACTTGGAAGAATGCCAATCCTTTAATCAAATCCTGAAAAGACAAATACCAGTGGGGTTGAATGTCTCGTGGAATCACTCTGACGCCTCGAACTTCACGCGGATGGACTGTCAGAATGTATCATTTACCAGATAGACGCTCCAAATAAAAGATACCAGCCCAGCCATATCCTCCCTTGTGCCTGTAGATGAATGCCATGTCTCCGTAGTCATCTTTCCTCACGTCGGGACCTTTGACAGCCTTGGCCAATTTTTCCTGTAGCTCTGTAGATTCTATTTATGCTATCAACTAGGCCATTGAGAGCTGGTTATTTAGAATATAAAGTTTGTGTCAATTTGCAGTTGATTCCAGTTTGTGTATACCGCGTGGCGAAATATATAACGGCAAATGGTTGGCAGGGTTGGCCATCCGGCTCACAATTCTCGATTTCTAGCAAAAAAAGCAGAAGCAAAGTAAAAGCTAAGATGGAACGACATGTATGCTATCACAAAACCAAGCCTCCGGCCACCATTACAAAATGAACAGGATAATGACGGGGTTCACCGCGACAAGGAAACTGTGACGAGGGCGTCAACCACATCTATCCGATCGGGAGGATCCAATGAATCAGAGATCTGTCTGTTCTCCAGGGTTGGTCGCCGATTCGTGCATCGGAAAATGATATCAGGGAGGGCATACAAGGAGTGGCGACATCATCTGCCTGCGAGTACGACGTCAACTAGATATCTCGTGGTATCTCCTCACGGCGATTCAGAAAGATCTAGACCATAATTCAGCGCCACCATGGGGCAGATGCCGAATTCCCCAGGCACAGGTCTAGAGAAATAGAGGATAACGCGTTCATCGACACCCGCGTCGCTGGTTCGCGAGGCCCGGGATCTATTCGAAAGCCACATGATTCAACGCAGAGTGGTACAATGGTTCCCAGGAGGGCACCAATCAAACCTGCGAAGTTAAATCCAATCCCGATTGATCCTTGTATTGATGAGATCATCGCGAACACAGGCGCGTCAACTCTAGATCAATGCACAAGCGGCTAACCAAATCACCGAAGGTCTGCAGAGATCGGTGTAAAGCCGCTGACCACATGGCTGGAGTCTGTGTGACCTCGATAGCAAGCAGAAAGTCTCGAAATGACGAATGCTCAGGCCTAGGCTATTCGTCGGAACCTTGTGTCCGCGGGGAGGTGCCCCTTGACGGAGGGAGAGTTCTGGAGCCGTTTGGGAGGTCATTGCCTCAGGTGTCGACATATCTCAACAAATGCCGCTAATCCCAATCCGTCACCGACGTCACTCCTGCCTCAGGCATTTGCTGAAGATCACGTGTCCAGAATGCAAACCTCGAAAACAAGGCAGGGAGAAGTAGGGCTTCTCACCCACGGCCCTACTCTGCCTCTCCACCGAAAAACTATAAATTGCCCGTTCGCAAAACAACCTTCGACCTGCATACACCTCTCGACCTGAAAAATGGCCGTCCGACAATCGCCAATCCGCCTTCTGGTCTGCGTCGACCATTAGCCTCCGGATCCTTGCAATTCGGCCCAGCTGTTCCTGCCGATCCTGAAGACCGAGACGGCCCCGCCTAGCCGACGCCGGTCGGTCGGTCGGTCGCTATAACGAACCCTGCTATTCGTCGGGATGAACCCCCGGCAATAGGCAGGGTTGGCTGGGATGGACCTCGCTGGCTATACTCAAATGCGGAGGTAGTCAATGGGGTCTATCCCGCCATGATAATGGTACGTTTATTGTGTTGTTTTTCTGCTTTGGCTTGCCCAATTTAGTGATGATACCTTTTATCCCTTTTGTTCTCTGAAATTGAAAACATGTGGAAAAAACCATACCTTTTCAAGACGGGTCTCTGAATCTTCTGGGTTTGCTTTTTGTTATCAAGATGAATATCTTGCATGCGATGGTTTTGCTCCGTTGCTAACTGAATGTTAAGAATAGTTACCTTATTCGCTCGCTATATTTGTTTGAAGTTTGCTTGGAAACAGATTTCGATGGAATAATTGGAAATGGTTATTAGGATTTAGCATGGATAGAGTAGATTAGGTACACTTGATTCGATTGACAATGGCTTTTCGGCTTGAACGCACTTCTCCCAGTAGAAGGAGTACCGCTCCATTAAACTCACTCGGAGTTAAAACTGAAACCTTGAAGCTTTACGAAGCTTTCCGTAGCTTTTGGAGGAGAAAAAAAAAAAGCCCCCACAACCGCGTCGGGATGGATTTTTTGGCGCCTCAGGCAGCAACCCAACACGACCAGCTCTAGTCTGTACTAACAAAAGGTAAACTTCATTGCTCTAATTGGCCCCGAAGCTTAGCTATGAGTCGATAACACTCTGAGCCGTGCAAGATCATCCGCAAGACACTTCCGCCCTCAACCATGCCGTCATTAACGCCGATATGTCTGATCCCTCGATATATATACTACGCACGAAGACAACCCCAAGGAGAACAACCCAACAAAACCCAAGCAATTAACCCAAGTTCACCATGAAAATCATTCTCACATTGTCAACACGCTTCATCGGCCGCGAAGCCGTCGACTAATGTCTCCAAAACCCAGCCATCACATTCATCGTGGCGCCATCGCAGCGCGGAATCCCCTCGGGAGACCCGAAGCTCAAAGTCCAGATACGGAATGTAAATAATTGACGATATCTAGGGCGAGGCTGAAACCAACTCTTATCCTACGGGCAAAAGCATGGCAAGATTATTGAAACGTATATCCTGCGTCCGGGGATGGCGCGTTCTCAACAGATGAATTAAAGGACGTTAGTGTTTGGGCTGGGCCCGTCGATTAGGGTCATGGTGGATGTGGCGTTGAATGGGGCTGAGGAGCGGATATTGAAGAATTAGGCGAGGGTGAATTGGAATGTTGTTCGGAAGTGTTAAGTTTGGGGATTGGAAACTAGATATTAAATCGGGGTCAAAGTTACTGGGAAGGTGGCATGATATAGATGGCTTTTTAGTTAATCGGGATTCATTAGTGCTATTGAGCAACTATAGATCGATGTAGAACTGGGTGGTGATCTTAAGGCTGTATATAGCGGTGCTGCTTAAAACTTGGAGGAAACCTAAACGAACATCACGCGACATTTTATTTGTATATTCTTATTATTATCTTCGTCGTACCAGAAGAATCTATCAATAGAATCTTGGTGACCTTGCATGAACTGCGGCCCGAGTCGAGAGAATACAAGCAAGGGATCCCGCAATCACAGCTCTTTCATCATCATCATCATCCTCGAAATCGATGTAGCCTACCAATTCTCAATTCACTCAACTCGCGTGCAGTCCTAATATATTGTTTACATTCCCATGGCTTAGATTGCCCGGCAACGGGACCCTATTCTCCGGCAGATGGTTGGTCAAAACCCTGCATTCCAGATCGGATTGTCATTCCCAGCCGGCGGTTTGGAATCCGATATGGACGACTCGAGCTCGCTACCATGACCAAATGGAATGATCGAGTTTTATTATTAACTCGGTGTCGCCAGAGGGGTGTCGCGAGTTTCTCTTTGACTTTCGCCACTCGACATCGAATCGACTTACGACACAGTGCAGCACGGTCTTGCACTTGCAATACTGACTCTCAAGTAGCTAGCCAGATTTCATCACGTCTTCACTTCTCATTCTCTCTTTTGCTTTCGCATTTTTCTCGGAATTTTACTAGCAAGGCGCGTCGAGTAGCCAGCCACTCCGTCCTTGCTAGACCAAATACACCACCGAGACACCATATCTCATTTCACTGTCTTCGTTTCTTTCATTCCACAAGCAAATGAAGTGACTATTCGAAAAATCAAATATAATCATCAAACATCATCACAAATTTACATCACGTCTTCACAATCCATCCAGAGCATGGCACTCGTTCGGGACCCCGCCTTCTGGCGCCGCTTCTCACGCGCCATCCACCTCGACGAGGAAGCAAAGTCTTCACATAATAAAGATGGAGGTTATATCTCGTATGCCTTCCTTCATCTCTACATGTCCATATATACCCTCTACATCGTCCCATTTACACATGTCCCTCTGCCCCTACCTTTAAAAGCGAACACCCCTTCCACCACCCAAACACATCTCATAACCAACCCCATCCATCTTATACCCTCGATCCCTTGATCTAACAAGTAACAGGGATACATGGATCCTCAGCCAACGCCGAAAAAGCCGCCGTTCGATCATCTGCGGCGTGGTCACTGTCATCTTGATCGTGTTGTTGATCGTCGCTGTGGCCGTCGTTCTGTGGTACTTCATATCCCATGACTGGTTGCGCGATCATAGGGATAAGGATGATGAGGGGGGTGATTCTTAGCATTTCATTACCTTTCGCTACCTGTGATGTTGGTCAGACTTGCGTTGAGTTCGTCACTCTTGGTTTGAACAGGTGGATGGGAACGAAGTCTGGATAGGTGACTGAAGGGATACTGCATACTGCGTACTATCTTGTCCTTTTTAGAAGAGCATGGTGCTGGACGGCATTAAGATCGATGAGCTGGTCTCATTGGCGGCGTTTCGGTTGTTTGGGATGGGATTTATGATGGAAATACCCTGCACGTTCTTGTATATTTGTTTTAGGCTAGCCCATTTCAAATTGGCTGATTTTCTTTTTTGGACTCTTATCGAGGGTAATCTGTAGCTTTAAGTAGAACTGCCCTTTGAAGCCTAATATGACTAGACATCCACGTAGTGACAGCTACATCCCTTTATTGGAAAATAGCTGCCTGAGAGACAAGGTACATTCTTTCTGGGTATCTCCAACTGATACTCTCAGAGAGACTAATGATTTGATATCTGATCAGTCTCACGCAGTCAAGATAAGACGAGCGGACTAAAGTCCGCCGCATGGACCTGCCCAAAGGGGCCCGGCTCCCGGCTCTCGGCAAATGCAGGATCACGTGCCGTACACGTCGACGGTGATACAGCATCCAACCATGTTTTGTTCTGCTTGAACAAGGGGTGAATGAAGTGAAGAGAAACAGTAAACTCGATTAAGCGCCTCAATATTCTTCCTGTCAATCGAGAGACTGTCCAAGGTTCACCAGCAGCAATATATACTCCGCAAGTCCAGAGAGCGCTTATCAGCGGGTCTTATCGCTTTACTCCGCACGGGGCCGTTTGCTTGCTTGGTTCCTTCCCCGCAATAAAAGGGAGCTGCTCGCCTCGACCGGTCTTTGTTCTCACCTTCGCTGCTTGACATCCTGGCTAGGTGGTTGGTCTGGGTTGATCACTGCAATTAAATCATCATGCTTCCGCCATTCGATTACTTTACGTATCGGCGCGTGCGGTCAGTCTCTCTCATCCATCCCTGCATCCATCCACCCAGCCATCTGGCGAGTGCTAATCCCGTCTAGAGCCCTCAAGCAGAACGAGCGCGCCGCTCGCTTCGCCTCCCTTCCTCCTCGCTACCACGACTCCCTCACAAGCCACGATAAATCACTCCTCACCCAATCCATCCAGTCCCTTGTGCAAGAGGTCCAAAATGGGAGCCTCCCTGCGCTCGACGTCCTCGAAACATACGGCAAGGTAGCCGTGCGCGCGCACGAAAGGACGAACTGCATCACGGAGCTGCTCCTCCCGGAGGCAGAGACTTGGGCTGAATCAGAGGTCAACCTGAAGGGCCCGCTGGCTGGCGTGCCCGTCTCCTTGAAGGATTCGATTCAGGTGAAGGGGTTTGATACGACGCTCGGGTATACTAAACTAGCGGGAAAGCCGTATGCCGAGGATGGGGCTATGGTGAGGTTGTTGAAGGATGCGGGTGAGATTCATTGTTTATTCGTGAGAGGGAGGATGGCATGCTGATTTTATTGATGTGACAGGGGCCATACCATACGCCAAGACAGCTCTCCCCGTAACCCTGCTGTCTTTTGAATCCGCCAATGCGCTATGGGGCGCGTGTCGCAACCCCCATGTCCCTGAGTACTCTCCGGGCGGGTCGACAGGCGGAGAAGGCGCGTTGCTGGCGCTAGGAGGTCGCATTGGAATCGGATCGGACGTTGCAGGGTCCGTTCGCGTGCCTGCGGCGTGGAGTGGCATCTACTCGCTGCGGTGCAGCACGGGACGGTGGCCCAAGGCGGGCGTGAACACGAGTATGGCGGGCCAGGAAGGGGTCGCGAGCGTGTTTAGCCCCATGGCGAGGACGTTGAATGATCTGACGTATTTCACGAAGGCGATCGTGGGGATGCAGCCTTGGACGTATGACTATTCGGTGCATCCGATCGCGTGGAGAGAGGAAGAGGAGAGGGAGGCGAAGAGTGGGAAGTTGCGCATTGGCTTGATGAGTACTGATGGTGAGAATGATTCCTGGTTTCAGGCTGGAGATGAGATGCTGATCTTTTAGGGGTGGTCCCTCCGACTCCGGCCATTCAACGCGCCGTGTCCACGACTGTCGCTGCTCTTACTGCCGCCGGACATACCGTCTCGGAGATCACGCCCCCAGCGACTGCGGACCCCTTCACCGGCCTGAACCTGGCGTCGCAGCTCCTCAACTCCGATGGCTGTGTCACCTTCAACTCACACCGGCACAATTTTGAGCCGTCCGATCCCGGAGCCGATCAGCTGACGCGCATTGCCAAACTTCCTCGTTTCCTTCGCTACCTGTACTCCCTCTACGTGCAATACATCCGACGAGACCCGACCTGGGCGGCGCTGATCCGCGCGTTCAGTCCGAAGTCCGCAGCGGACCTGTGGAAGCTGGTGGCCAAACGCGAAGCCTTCCGTGCGACCTGGCATGCATGGTGGGACACCGAGTCCCAGCAGTACGACTTCATCCTGTGTCCGGCCAACGCCACCCCGGCGCTGCCTCATCGGGCGATGCGCGACGCCGTGTCATCATGCGGATACACTTTCCTGTGGAACCTGCTCGATTACTCGGCGGGCGTGCTGCCCGTGTCGCATGTCGACGCCAAGAAAGACGCCCTCCCGGCGCCGTACAAGATGGTGCTGAAGCAGCTTGGCAGCGACCACGCCGTCGCGCGCGGAGCCTGGAAGCACTACGACGCGGCCAAGATGGCGGGACTCCCGACCGCGGTGCAGGTGGTGGGACGACGATGGCAGGAAGAGAAGGTTCTGGGGTATATGGCGGCTGTCGAGGGGGCACTGGAGCAGTATTACGATGCGGAGACCGGGGAGGGAGGAAAGTACCCATTGATCGAGCTGGATTAGTCGCTCGGCATGTCCGATAGGTTCTTGCTGGTAGATGAACAGAAATCAACGATTGGTAGATATTGCGTCGTTTCATAAGACGGTGGGAAGGAAAGCATAAACCGGCGTCACATGCTGCATGTGACGCCATTCCGGGGAAAGTTAGCCGAAAATAAACAAACAAACACTTTTCTGACAGCTCGACTTGGCTGAACCAGGCTTCGTATACTCCGTAATGCCGGCATCATCAGGAGTCCGGAGACGATGGAGTGTTCCTCACCGGCCAGGAAGAGAGAAACACCGGACTGAATGACGCGAAAAGAGAAAAAATAACGGAGAGAAAAGCAAAACCCCGACTTGCCAAACCGGCGAGTCCGCAATCAGGCTTCAGCCACGGCAGCCGATCCATGGCGAAGGATAACATCCGAAGAATCTGGAGCTGTCTTCGCGGTGATAAGCTTCGGCGTCGATCATGCAGACGCGCGGGTCACGGGGAGGCCGGCGCCTCCGACGTCGTTCTCTTTCCTCGTTCGGGTTCCTGCCTGTTCTTGCCCTCCCAACTTTATCAGCCGCATTTCTCTCATCTCGCGTTCGCCCTCCTGCCTCCTTCGTTTACCATCGCTCCCTGGACTCGGCGACCACCGACAATTGGCCTTGCTTTTCCCCCGTCTCCTGCGCTCGGAAGCTTCCCGGTCCCTCTCGCGCGAATCCGTCAATTCTTTCCCTCCGCCACTTCGCTTCCCGGTTCTTCGATCGATCGCGCAAATACCTTCTGAATTCCCTGCCGTTTGACTTCGCTCGCCCGTTCGGACCGCATGATGCTGGTCCAGGCATCGACTCCTTCCGTTGTTCGCTCTCCATACTTAAACGCTTGATGGTGACGGTGATGACCGGATAAGAAACTTGACATGCCGCCGAACAAAGCTGCCGCCGGGCGCAAAAGGGACGTGATTCATTTCGTGAATGCGAGACCCTCCTCCGAGACTGAACGAGTCCGCATCCGCCACCTCGTTCGCGCCCACGTAGGGCAATGGATCTCCGACCAGACCAAGGATCGATCGGATCCCGCCGATACCCAGTTCAATGGACCCCATGAGAAGGCCGTTGATCTCGATGCGGAGGAATCCTTATTTCCCTCTTCTTCGCCATCCAGACGCTCTTCGTCCCACTCGTCCGAATCCAATGCCCCCGTCAGCAACTCGCTCGTCCGATCCGCCGAACGGAAGAATGGGCGACAAACCACCCCGATAGCGCGTGCCTGTCCCGTACACAACGACGTCGTTGTTGGCCAATTCGATCGCAATTATGACCAGAACCAAATGGTCCGCGGATCCATGTCCTTATCCAACAGCCCCAGCCCGCCCCCGCCGGGCGATTACGTGGAGACCCTCGGTGCCAACGTGTTGGATCCGTTCCACACTTCTCCCTCTAAATACGCGCCCGATCTGGTCAATGCATGTGAGCGATATTGTGCGTTCGACCTTGTCAAGCGACAACTCCGCCACCCATCCAATGGTTAACCATTTTGTAGGTCTGAATGTTTTGTGGCCTGGGCTCACGCCTGGCCATGGCAGCGATGACTCCAGCGTACTGGCGAGTTCGAACTGGTTTCCCCTCTCGCTAAATGATCCGACGTTATTCACGGCTTTTCTTTTCGGCTCTCTCTCGCACCAGAGAGTGCAGTGGATCAATGGCTGGATTCCAGAGGGCGCCTTCCGACCTCGAGATCAGCAGCTGCTTCAACTCTGTGAATTCGAGACCATCAAAATGATCAACCACCAAGTTAGCATTCCGGGTCGGGCCGTGTGCGATGCCGTCATCCTCAGCGTTATCTGCATGGCACATAACGTGGCAGACGAAGATGACAAGCGTCGACAGCGGCGGACTCCATTCCACGCGCCGATGCGCCGATTGCAGTGGTTAGATGTCTACGGAAGCCTGCCGCCGAATATTATTCACGTGGCGGGATTGGTTCAAATGGTCAAGCTACGTGGCGGCCTGGAGCAAATCACTCTCCCTGGATTGGCCCCGGTACTATCCTTGTAAGGAACCTGCATTGAGGGCTCGGGAACCTGACTGACACTTTTCAGTTCTGACATTGTGACTGCTACCACCTATCTTGTCCCGCCGACCTTCTCGTACATCCCCCTCTGTGACGACAGAAGGAATGTGCCTTTGCAGACTTTACTCGGCTACGACGCAATGGACGTTGAGCGGCACTATGGTCATTTACGGCAGCTTGGCCTCACGGAAGAATTACTGAACCTATTCTACGCCATGCGGTTGTACATGAACAACGTTGATGCAATCCTGCGAAAGACGATGAAGTGCGACGATGCTTTGATCGCCGACCAACGTAACTTGATCCAATATACCCTCCAGGCTCTCCCTCCGGCCAGCCAGATCGAAGGATACCCGTCATACCCCGATCAAGGAATTGTCTACGAAGCGACTCGCCTTGCTGCCATCGTTTACAGCGTAGGCGTCGTTTTCCCTCTCCCAGCGCAGAGCTCGCCACTGGCCCAATTGTCCCTGTTCCTGAGGGGAACCGTAGGCACTTGGAGGTCGAGTTCCACCTGGGCTAATCCCCAAGCTCTCGCGTTGATCTTATGGGTCTTGACCCTGGGTGGGATTGCCTCGGATAATCGGCCGGAAAGAGAATGGTTTGTGCAAGTCCTCGGGCAAACCTTGCGAGATCACCACATCTCCACTTGGGCCGAGCTCCGCACTATGCTCAAGATGGTTCTGTGGTACGACTCGGCTTGTGACGAAGCCGGTCGGAACCTTTTGTTCGAGATTGAGATGGCATTCATGTCTTTCTGAGGCAACTGACACATCTGGTCATCTCAACAACCCCAGCGAGTGGCGGGTAACATGATGGCAGAATGTTTGCAGTCTCTGACACCCCTCGAAAACCGATTCCTAGCGTTGGGGTAAAGATCTTCTTACTCTGAAGTGGATTAGGTGCATCCAATTCAAGTGCACTAATCAACCCGCCTGTCCTCACCTTTGGAAGAATTTCCAAAGGGCCAGTCTCTGAACCCCAGCACAACGATTGACTACCACTGCCAGCCCCATGCAGTCTTACATGGCATACACGAATAACGAGTCACGATTTACTCAATCAGCCCAAATGAAGATAGTTACAGCCAGGATTAAATTGATGTCCAATAATTATACCCTACTTGGTTGGTACATACTCAAAATCTATGTATTTTCATTTTTCGGCAAGTATTATGGCCTATTTACCTTGATAATATTTTATTCATACATACTTTGTGGTTTTGAATATTGGATCTGGGACTATACTGTGACTCCTGGGACCAAACAAATCAACGATAATTGATCCCCATCAAACAACCAATAAAAAAGCTATCTGCTTTGGCAACAGGATATAACTTAAAAACTAGTAAAAGAAAAGTAAACAAATTGACTAATTAAAACCAAGAAAGTACTAGTGGTCGAAACCCTGACCATGCCGGGTTTCACCATGAAAAGACCTGCAGTCCAACCCTTTTAGCACCTTCAAATAACATTGGTTAGACAATGAACAAAAGCAGAGACTCTGGCACAGAACAAGAGCAGCTTGTTGTACTCGTCACTCCAAGAACACACCAGGAACCGTCGAATTTCTCTGTCCTAGACTCATCTCTTTAAAACCAATCAGTGGAAATAAATACCTGGATTGAGGGACTTTTGTTTCTGGTGCTTTTTTACTTGTCTGATATTGGTATACTTATTGGCTCTTGGTCCAATTAGTGTTTTGTGTTGTTATTGGACTTTTCTATTTTTGCTCTGGCGGCTTTTTATAGGCATAATAATGTACATCCGTTTATTTAGGCTTTTTTGGTTTGGTCACTCTGAGTGAAATGGAGGACACATATCAGATAGGAATCTAAACCACCTTTTCATTTTCAACTTTATATCCTTCTGAAAAGGGGAACAGCAAAATCAAAACTAGAAGCATGGGATTCAAGTTCTACTATCAGTTCCACTGCCTCATGCTGATGTAGGTAGTCGACGATTTGACCTACGAAGGTTGATTTGCTATAAAGATTGGCTCTGTTCGGGACTGTGGGTAGACTGAACTGCCCCGATGGTTGTTATGAAGCAGTTCTTGACGAAAACTACATAAGCAAACCTCCTTCTTGGATATTTGAGAGACAAGATGTTGGGTTGGAGGGTGTGTTAAAACACTTTGTTTCAACATAGCTTGGAACAACCTGTAGACATTTCTACTCTCATCATGCGCGACAGAGAGAGGAGTACGTCCTGCGCATGTCATTGCTTGCGGATCTGCATTTCCTTCGGCCAAAAGCAATCTCGCTACATCAACTTTCCCAAACAAGGCTGCACGGAATAGAGCCGTACGGCCAAGGTGATCCGCAGACCTAGCACTCGCGCCGTGCTTCAGCAAAAGCTTCGTCATATCAAGCCATCCATTTTTAGCTGCCAAGAACAATACATCCTCGCCACTCTGGCTGGTCCGATTGGGATTGGCTCCATGTTGCATCAGAAACCGGGCATCATCGATGTGCTGTACTCGGACTGATTCAGACAGCGAACGATCCAATTCTTGTTGAAAAAGCTTCAGTTGTTGCAAAGCTTCTTGAGCTAGCAGGAATTCGACTGCATGGTAATTACCTGCTGCGGCTGTTTCCAGAAGAAGTATCAAACCATCATCGTGGAGCTCGGCTCCGTGGCGTAGCAAAAGTTCTGCGACTGTCGTATGACTGTTTTTGATTGCGTTGCTTAAAGGTGACTCAATATCATTGAAACGCGACGCAATGTTTGGGTCGGCATTCTTTGATAGCAAGACTTGAACAACTTCATAATGGCCTTCTTGTGCAGCAAAACCTAATGCTGTACCCGAGCAGATTGTTTTGCCTGTTCTCTGGCATCTACTCTCTTTCTCCCTTTCAGATAATGTGGGCACAACATCCTTAAGATGTGTATTCGGATCCATACCTTTTTCCAACAAGCTCTCGACCACATTGGTATAACCTATAAAGGATGCGTGAAACAACAGGGCCTCCCCATGTTCCACGATAAATGAATAATCCCGAAATTTCTTTTGCAAGATAAGGCAGACAATTGTATCACGTTTAGCCTTCACTGCTGCAAGAAGACTGGCATGGCATACATGAGCATTGACGGCACTATCCAGTAACATCTCAACAATGTGGAAGTACCCCCGTTCTGCGGCAACTGATAAGGGGCTGACAGTCTCCTCGGGCAGATGGGATCTTGCCGAGCTGCTAGATATTCCATAGTTCCGCCGAGTGTAGAAACCTGGGTCAGCGCCAATTTGCAGAAGAAAGCTGACACATCTTTCATATCCTCCACGAGCAGCCAAGAACAACGGGCTTTTGGGAGAGCAACGGTTTTCAAAGGGCTTGATGGTTTTTTGCTCTGGTAAACATTTTATTGATTCATTCGGATCTGCGCCGTGCTTGAGTAGTAGCAGAATTGTGACTTCGTTGCCAGCCCAGAAAGCCCTTGAAAGGGGGCTGTATCCTTCCCTATCTTGCAGGCCTAGACCAATGCCGCTATTCAAAAGAACTTCGACCAATTCGGGATGATTGTTTTTGGCTGCGAGAATTAAGGGCGTTCTTCCAAGGCTGTCTTGGCATGAGTGACTGATCTGATGCTCCAGCAAGAATTCAATTACGGGCAAATGTCCGTTGGCTGAAGCCCACAGAAATAAGTCTCCGCCATCACGTTGTGACAAGCTATATCGCGGGTCACGTATAGTAGGCAGAACAATTTTCAATTCTCTGGCGACAACCTTGCAACGATCGTGATTCTCATCATCTTGAAGAATTATGTTGCAGCGAGTCTCCGCAGCTAGAAGAAGAGGGCTGCGGCCGAAGTCATCGCGGCAAGTTAGAAGACCAGGGTCCATCTCGCAGAGTAGTTGGATAATGCTTTCATTGCCCCCTTCGATGGCATAGAAAAGTGATGTCTGGCCGAGATTGTCCCTTGTTCTCGGCATTGCTCCTTTGTTCAGCAAGAGCTTGACTATAGACTCATCTCCTTGTTTGGCTGCTTTCATCAGCGGTGTTCGACCTTGGCAGTCTCGTGTTTCAATATTAGCACCATTTTGTATCAATGATTTAGCCACAGCATGACGTCCTTGGATAGCTTCATCTGAAATAAGGTCGTGGCGCTCCGATTCTGACATTGTAGATGAGATCAATTCCCATCGTTCCACCACAGCATATGAGAGTGGACTTTCGCCATTATCCGAATCCCTTGTATCAATACATGTCCCCTCTTCCAATAGTACCTGGATGAGTAGAATGTTTCCATGGATTGTGGCCCAAAGCAGGGAATCGCCATTGGTAGCGTTGGGATTGATTTGAATGCCATGTCTGATCAAAGCCTTCAAGACATTCCGATCACCTTTTTGAGATGCCTTTTGAAGAAGAAACCCCCGCTGTGGACTAGAATAAGGGTTTGCTCCATGCTTGAGGTAAATCGTCACATAAATTAAAGTACTGGCTCAATCATTAGTATTCACGACTTCAAGTAGTACATATAAGAATCCAAAATCGGATAGACAGAAAGGGAAATACAGTAGAATCTATTTGCACCAGGATCGAGAGGTTGAATATAATATCACATCATATCTATACACATGTATATAGGGAGCGGTGCAGGTGATAACTGCAGCACTATACTTTATGCAGCATAATATTTATTCTGGAATTGGGACTAGCAATGCACCTACAGCGCTTCCTAATACACTTGGTTAGCAAATTAAACATACCGATATTTCATGACTTATTACTTCTACATACAACAATAAATAAAAGCTGACTTCTAGTTCTAGGCTTTTGCTTAGCTTTAGCTTCTTGGATGTCAGAATAGGTCAATTATGCATTATGCTGCTATTTTGTCAATTGCCGCGAATACACACATTTAATGTCAGCAGACCTCCTTTAATCTGAGAATCATAATGATATACACATATCCCATCATACCCACCTCATATCCCAAGAAAAACAACCCCTCACCCAGCCAAACACAGCATATCCACCCCCTGAGCAGGTACGTAACACCGCCATGCCATGGCATGTCACACCAGCCACCCCTCCAGAGAAAAGTCAAGCAACGACAAATCAAATAGAAACAAATCAAGGCCGAAAAGAATCTTAGGCCGAACCAGCACGATTTCGCCGAGTTTCTCCCGCTAGCCTACCAGCTGCAGCGCGTCTTACCAGTCACATCCACTCCAGAGTCGGCAGGTCCTCCGCCCCGCTGCCACAGGCGCTAGTCTTATCCCTAATCATAATTAGAATAACCATACGGAGGCGTCCAGAAAGTAAAGTGGCTGCGGGCCAAGATCCGAGGCAGGATAGATCCATGTAGCGACACACGCTCACTCCTGCTCCCTCAGTACCTGGGTCGGATATATCCGTACACAAGATCCCTTCCGGATGCCTGGGCTGACGCTTGGAACGGCCGAGCAAAGTGGCTGGTTCGGTTTAGTTTGCCACGCCACTCGCTCCACCCGATGGCATCGGAAGCGCTCGCCAGATCGGATCGGGACCTGAACCGCCGTGGATTGATGAATGTCTTGGACCCTTGAAACCGTCGGCGATATTAATCTGGTTCTGGTTCCTCAATCGTCCGTGAAGGAACGGATTATCGCAGCGCAGCTCAGCTCAGTTTAGCTAGACTCTCCGTCCGGTCGCCTTGCTGTGTGGAATCTGGACTGCGAATCTCCAGAGCGGAGCGGAGCACATACCGCTTCTACATATCTCCGGGCATCGGAAGCGAGACGGCGGAGTAGCAGTCGGATGTGCCACCAAGTCATCGACAGCCAGTCCCCACAGCCAACGACCCTGGCAGATGTCCGAGTTGACAGGAAAGGCAAAATCACCAGCAATCGGCCGCAGGGGGACCGACGCAGCGAGCACTAACACTAACAGAGAGAAACAAGCTTATCGGGACGCGTGGTTAGCAGGGCCAGTGTCCACATTGTCCACATTACGGAGTCGAATATCTTGCTGCGGACGGAGGATACCAAGTTGGTATATCTGTCCAGTCTCCAGTCTCCAGTCTACATACTGGAGGCTGGGGCAGCCGTGAAGGATCAGGATGCAGATGTGGTTAGTTTCGGGCCTCCGTAGTGGTTAGGTAGTTCCGGATTGTCTCACTGTCATTTATCGGTGTCTATCAATTAGGATCTCGGGAAGGGTCTTCGGTACTGCGTAGGATGATCTGGCTGTTAGTGTATGCATCGCGTTGCTATTGGCATCGTGGGATCACATCATCGTGGATGCAGAGCATGTCATGGCGTGGCATGTCATGCGCATTCCTGTCTTAGATCTGGGATCTTGATCCTCCTACGTATATTGTATCCTTTGCATGTCAGTCAGACGCCACAAAAACATGTCTCATGCTTCATATTCACACTACACTTACCTGCCACTATCAACCTGCCTTAACAGACAAGTCACTGCGAGGTCTAACAGAGCGGAACAGCATACTCCATACGGACAACCCCGATTCCACAACAAGATCTACCATGATAAGCAGACCTGCAACGACGGATCACAGACATACCCATCCGAACTGCAAATCTGCTCTTTCCGTCCCATGGAACCGGCATTCCATCCCGAGCCTGAAGAACTTTACCGCCATTTACCTAATGATATTCGATGCACATCCATCTAGCTAGAGGACTCTGAAACTGACATGGAGAAGGCAGGACCGGGACCAAAATCAAGTCGACATTAGTATGGAGTGCAGACGGACAGGAGGACGGAAGACCGCCGATGAACTGTCCATCGCTTTGCTGGTCTTTACTCTGTTGGTGTTGCATGGCACTTGCACGAGACGAGGTCGGACTACTCTGTATGGATCAAGCAGACGGAGCAGGCAGGGACTGACTGGGCTGGGAACTGCTGGTATATGCTTTCCTCCGACGGAGTAGATCCGTAGGACTATCTGGATCTAGCATCGGGCAACATCCATGAATTCGTCCTCCATAAAAAAGTACGGATACGAAAGAACTTCCCAACTAAACATAGAACCCAAACTCTCCTCCATAGTAACTACCACTATCCCAGGCTATGGACAAAGTACAACCGGAATCTCTACCGACATTGGGCATCCTGTGGGGGTTTTCCCGTTGCTAATTCTAAAATACCCATTTCCAACCGCGTCCCACCCACTCCCACTAGACAACTAACCCTAACTAACTCACGAACTAAAGTGACAGACCCAGCAGCACACAAGGCCTAAACCTGGATTGGTAAACGGACGGAGGAGAAAACTTGCTGGGGCTGCTATTCTTAGGGATGACATTCAGACTAGAGGGTATAGTTGCATCGAGATGTGTAGGCTACCATGCTCCTTTAATATTAAATACCGAGTGTTTTGTTTTTGGGGTTTTGCCGTTTGGTTGGGTTTGTAATTGAGTTGTTTACTCTGGACTCTGGAGTTAGTTAGTTGGTGGTGGTGATGTGATGCATGCGATGGATGCTGGTTAAATGGATTAGATGACGGGGTTAATTACCATTTTTGAGCCAGGCGATCTTCCTTCCTCGGTGTTCTTCGGTCGTTCTGTCTGGTCTTTAGTAATTAGATTATCGGTGGGATTAGGTTTACAATTAGGTTAGGTTGTACCTTACTGATGTTTATTTGACGCAGATGTAGAGATACAAAGTACTTTTTACATCATATGGTTATTCCGTAGTAAATGCCAGTATGTAGTACTCCCAGTAAACTACGGAGTAAAAGGACTCTGACACCACCGACTGACAACTGCGTTTCAAGTTGGCGCCAAACAAACAGCGAAGGACGTCAGGCTTGTCCAGCCCCACACGACACGAACCGGCCCCATCAGGTCGGAGGTGGGACAGCCCCACATGGCGAACTCGATGTGGGATCTTTTATCATCACTTTTCCTTCCTGACAGAAGGAAAACATTCGTCCGAACTAATGCCAACTCCCAGTCCCGTTGCGACGATCGTCGGCTCTCCCCGCCCTTCGTGGACTCGCTGTTATTTTTATTCCATTTTTTCATTTCGTTGATCTGGCTGCAATTTCTGTCTGAAGCCCTCCGGACGGAGCAGACTAAGGAATCTAGACTATTTAGTGTACCAGCACCAGACCAGACCAGACCGCTAGATTCTAGCCACGATTCATCATGGATCGCTGATGATTTGCTGCGGATCCTCAATCCGCGGAGACTCTAATTGGAGCTGGAGATTTTTCTTTTTTGCCCCGTCCGTCGGTCCCAAACGACCATGTTGACGATGCACTGCCCTCCCCGTCGTTCCCAGGGTTGAGGACATGGCATGTCTGGATGGGGTAAATCTGACGTTGGGCTGATCCTGGTTGAATTCATATTTTTTTTCCAGGTTGATGATTGGACATTGGGTCATGTATTCGCGTTTTTATTTGCTTTTTTCCTATTTTCTTTTTTGCCCGGTTCTCGAACTGCTGATCGATCTGCTCTTCTGGTTGGATCGGGGTAACCTCCATATCGGGTAGGATAGGTCGAGGTATGCTCCAGACTGGGGCTGACGGGGTACGTGGGTTCGTTCATCCTGCCTCTCTGTCTCTGTCTCTGTGTCTCTCCGTGCCACGGTTGCCTTTTTGCCTTTATGCAAGGAAAGTCCCCGACGAAGAAAAAATAACAAATAAATTAAATCAATTGATCTGGTCGTAGATGGGAAGGTAGGGCGGGTAGAGTGAGGCAGGGATCGTCATCGTGGTGTGTGCCAATCCTGACTGAACTTCTGCATGGCAAAACTCCAAGGCCAGCCGTTGTCGGCCTCTGTGCGACGGAGGAGATCGAGTAGGGTGTTTTGTGCCAGAGGATCGCGAATGCAGGAACCACCTATAATTTCGTGACCCGAGAAAAAATTAGCGCTTGCAGTCCGTTGGGGAAGTTAAGCTTTTCTGCTGCTCGGAAAAAATAATAAATGAACCGCAAACTTTATCGTGGAAATTAAAAGCAAAAAGGGGAAAATAAGGTTATTAGCGAGAAAAAGCAGGGGTTCCTTTTGCTTACAGGCACAGAGGGCGTGGCAGGCCATTATGCGCACGGGTGGATCGTCCTCGGCAGATAAAGCAATGCCGAAAATGATGCCTAAGTTTTTTATCACCTCGTCCTGGGATGTCGTCAGCATGCATTCGCTCTTATGGTGTAAGGTCAACGCACCGATATCTGATTCGCTTCGAGGCCGAGTTCTGCCGGTCCCCTCGTTTGTAGTTCATGTTGGTGAATCAATGCTTTAGTCATACAGATGTGCTGTACCGCCGTCGCTGCTCGACGTTAGTATGACTCCCGGGACGGATTCCGAACCAACAACCCAAACTCACCGTGAGCTGAACTCGTAAACCAAACAAGAGGAAACGGCCTGCCGATACTCGGGTTGGCCGGTGAAAAATGCAACGGCTTAAAACCGTCCGGCTTTTCAGCCTCCCAGGCACAAATCTTCCGTTTTAGCGCCTCTCCATCGATCGTGTCCATATGGAGCGGATGTGTGGCTCCGTAGCAGTAGTTTATCGTTTCTGCTAGCAACCAGATCGCTTTATGGGACCAGTCTCGGTCACTCTGCACGGTGGTCTGCTCCCATCGCTGTCGTAGTTTCTCTTCAAACGGACTGATGGTCAATCGAAGCGGATTTCGGTACAGGAGGGCAAATTGGATGTCTTGTTTGACGAAAACCCAGAACGAGGCCTCTGCCAGGCCGCCGGAGATGGCGCAGTCGACGTGTGAACTGATATACACTGAACCTGCAAGTAGGTGTCGTTGGAGATCACTGGATGGAGTATGTGCTGGTCTTTGTTAGAATTGTGCCACCACAGCTATGAAAGGAAAAATGGGGACCCACAAGATAATTGCTCGAAGAATCGAAGTATGACGGTTGAAGCGAGAAGGATCTCGATGCTGATTTTGAAATCACTGTTTTCGAGGACCGGGAGAAGAATTGCGATACAACGTTCGTGGTATCCGTCTGCCGCATTTGATGGGATGGTGTTGGTGGTGTGTGAGAGATGACGAGCGGCGATGGCAAGACAGGCATATAGCAAGAGAGCACACGACGTGGCTCGTTCGACGACCGTGGTAGAAAAATGCCTCTCGTGATCACATACATCCATCTGCTGGAGTCAGCTATCTTTTCCGTTCCTTCTTCTTCCTGCCTTGGATTCCTGGCCAGGGGAAACAAAAGGGAGAGGCCATACCCATGCACCTAGGGTATTCCTGAAATGTCTTAACAGAAAGGCTTCGTTAAAATTATTCAGCTTTTGATTATCACCGAGAATTTCGGATGAATAGAGATGATTTAGCACGGGCAACCGTGATTCAGCTGCTGTCGGTCCCCTCGATGCGCCCGGGTCAACGGGCGAGACAGCCGCTCGCGAGAGAGCGAGCCGGGAATGAGGGGGCATAGAAGCTGACGACTGACTTTCAGACGCTTCTCTCAAATATGAAGGCGATGCTGCGGATGAAACAACGTGGTAGTCGGCAGCTGTCCGATCTGTCTCGTCCTCAAAGGCAACTGTCTAGTATCAGCGGGCCCGCGGAGATGCACAAACCAAGTAAAATCCATCCACGACACAAACCAGGCGGGGGGGAACAAACCTTCTGAAGGCGTATGAACCCAGATTTGATCATCTGGAAAAGACAAGTCGCTCTCCCCGTAACGAGGAGGGCCCTTTTGCCGTAAGGACGGATTCTGGCCGTGTCGAAATGTGACCTCTTCCGGCTTCGCGGGCGCAGGAATGCACTGCCTTCCCGATCGTTGGCAGCGTAAGCATTCAGTTCCAGTTTTGTCACCTAGATCCTAGATGTCAGGGAGGTTAAACGTCAAAAAAAAAAAGAGGATGATGGCGGGGGTAAAAGGGGGGATTCGGGATGGGTGTTGATGGGGATTACATTTCAGATGGCGCTGACGGCAAGTGAGACTAGGACGAGAGGAAAAGAAGGGTATTAGATAAGATGCTGACTATACCGCTTGAACAGACAGCGAAAAGAGTCGTTTACTACTTACCATCCCCTCATCACGGTGTCGTCAAGTACGTCCGCTGCTGTCAATCCTAACAGCCATGGATCATCGATGAGGACATCAACGCCAATGATGGATCGATGCAACGGCTTTTCGAGGTGACGCGGTGATAAACGGGAGGTCCAAGCCCAGAAACAGGATAAGAGGGAAACGTGAAGTAAGAGAAAAGGGAAAAAGGAAGGAAAGGTCAGAGGAGGAGAATCAACCCCGACTAATATGCAGCTAAAAGTGACCGCTTGGGTGACAACAATGGCGAAGGCAATCGAACGAAATAATGTTAAACGGTTAAAATGCCCAACCGGACGGATGGTTCATCCAGGGTGGAGGTTAAGAGGGATTGATCAGTGGCAGACTAGCATCGGAGGAGACTTTCGACTCTAATAAAAAAAGAAAAGAAAAGTGGAAATGGAAATGGAAAAATCAAAAGGAAAATCAAAATAAAAATCCTATTGATCAAGCTAACAGGGAAAAATTAAAAAATCAAAAATCAACAGAACTGAAAACCCAGAAAAAATAAGAAAAAGCACCACTGATAGACATGATGAAGACAGCCAGAAGATCGTAATTCTTGGCGGCAATCCAGACTTTCAGACTCCAGGGGCTAGAGACTGGAGACAAGAGGCAGCTAGAGGAACTGAGGCAGGGCTGTTACATCGGACCACGATAGGATATGGTGGCAGCTTAGAGTCGGAGCCACTCTTGATAATCGCTCATCCCATCCCCATTCTTGAAATAGGATAGCCAATCGACTCAAGCTTCAGGGATACGGAACCCTGGGTGTTATTTCTCTTCGTGTCCGACGAGCGCGTGCGATTGACAGACCCGCCCTCTGATCCCTTCCAGAAGTGGCAAATTTGCATGAGTTAAATGTGAGGCCATGCTAACCTGGGCGTTCTCATTGGATTTGGGCACCGGCATTTCTCATCCCCCCTTCCAGTGTCCATTGTGTGCTTTTCCTTCCTAGGGTGGCATTGAAGGCCTGAATGGACATTCCGGTAAGCCTCCATGAGACGGTCGCCGGGCCGGCTCTTCACGCTTAACTCCCTTGGGCATGTCATAATTGGGTGTGATTTTATTTTTGTTTTTTCATGCATCGTCCGTGACTGATTAGAGCCTGACACTAAAACACCCCCTAGGGGGGGCCTTAGCGGTTCACACGTTTCCTTGTTCGTGTTGAGCTTTTCGGGCAATGGAGGGGAAGACCGGCCCATGAACTTTCCCCTTCTCAATCGATCTCTCGCTCTTATTTTTTTTTTTTATTTTTTATTTTTCTCTTGTCCCATGCACATCCGCTTTTATGCGCGTCGAGGTGGTAAACCCGTGGTTGTCCATTGCGGCCGGCCGGCCCCCCTTGCTAGTCAAAGTTGATCTGTCTTGAAACCTGCTTTATTAATGGCCAAGTCCACCTTCTCATAGGTCATCTTTCACTTCACCCGGACCCGCTAAGGTCCCATGTGATGTACTCGGAGTAGCGTGAGAACCTAGTCTCTTTTCAAGTCTTGAGTGTCCTTGTCGGCGTGCCTTAGCGTTTCTTTTGGCATGCAACATCACTAGGAGGTGAAGTATCTTGGCTTTCTGGCTTGTAGTCATGAACTAGAATATCGATTGTGGGAGTCGAGCAAGAGCCTTGGCAATGTCTGGCAGTCAACTACATTCTGAGGTGATCCCCAAATCCGATTAGGAGTAGAAGCGGAGAGAAGGGAACAAAGAGGCAAAGCGGCGGAGACAGAAAAGAAAAAAAAAAAAAAAAAAAAAAAAAGGCAGGGAGCTTTTGCCAAACCACGAAGCCAAGCCCCAGCGTGTTTCTGATGTCGTGCCGGTGGGAAGATGACATTATTGGCAGCTCTCTTCTAGCCAACGGCGGACAAACACCGACAGAATGGTCATCACTCCACGCGCCGGAGTGAAGACGTCGGACTCGGCTTCGGAGGCTGCAGAACATCGACTCGAGGTCATGAGTGGATCACAATTGTTGAGCATATTAGAGCCTCTGTCCAATGGCACAACAGTCCACGAGTCAGCTATGGGCCGATAAGCTAAAGACGAGTGACCCTGTGCCATTGGTCCAGCATCGGAGAGAGTCCGTTCGGGATGGAGCCAAAGTTGAAGATGGGGATCTTTCCAGCCATTTGTATGGAAGCTTAGTCACGACGGACTCGTCTCTTGTCGTTGTGGCGTTGGACTTTGGAGGGGACGCAAGGGTGGTCGTCATCTCTCTGGAGCTCTGGAGAGCGGATGGGCTGACTGGAGAGGGAGGTGGACGCTGGTGGTCCTTGAATCAAAGGCTCCGAAAGTGAAATAAAAGGAAACAGAAAAAGAAAAGAACAGGACGAAGAATGATCCCCCGGCCCACCGAGTTACCCACCGGCGACGAGGGCATCGCCATCGGTGATTTGATCGCGTCGAGGATGGCGGATTGGCTGCCAAGATTCCCAGGCCGCCAGGGACCGCTGAGTCAAGCGTGACTCTGCTGCGGGGAGAGCTGCAGGGTCACGTGACTCTCCGCGCCGACGATTCGGGCGTTTCGCTACGCTTCGTGGCGCTTTCCTGCAACTCCCAGCCACCCGCTTTTCTGTCAGCCATCAAGCATTCTCTCCATCGAAGAATGGCCGTCCTCCATCGTGTCTGCTGATGCCATGCCATCCCCGTACCTCTACTATCTAGCATTCTTATCCTAGCTCGTGATCGACCCAATTCCATCTACGTCATTATTCCCTTTCATCTATATACTACTCCTGCACCTTCCTTCCCCGCACCAGTACCTTGTAAGAATACCAGGGGACTCCTAGTTGGAGCCTAGGCCTTTCCTTGCCGCGGTTGCAGGCTTCTCTGACCTGCTCGGGGATCCTGTTCGCACGGTATCGCTCCGGCAGGTTCCCTCTTGACATTTCTATTCTGTGATTGAACATTTACCCCCGCTAGCATGTCTCTCAACCGGCTCTCCTACCTGGAGTCGTGGGTGCAGAACCCAGCTTCTTTCCGTCGTCGGCCTCGAGAACAGTCTCCTGGAGATGAGTCTGATGACGATGATCTAGCATACCACGACCTCCCCGATGCCTCCTTGTCGTCGTCCTTCCCCTCGACCTATAGCCATCACTCGTTCCGGCACCGTTTGAATTTCAACCCGTACGCTGGGCCCGGCTGGAACGAGCCCGCGGTAGACGAGGCCAATGCCGACAGAATCTCTGTGCGGAGAGAGGCGCTAGATTTGCCTGCGCAAGACCAAGAGGACCAGCCCCAGAGAGCCCCGCTGGTTCCGGAGGCCAAACCCCAGGAATGGGAAGGCTTGGAAACCACAGGAGCCTTTGAGGTTGGGCGCACCCGACGAATCTGTAAGTCCGCATGGCCTGGGTAATCTGGTCCCGGACTAACTTTCCGACAGTGCAGGTTTGCATTGCGGTACTATACTGCTTTTTCTCGGCGGGGATTGTCTTTGGATTCGCCGCGATCAAGCCGGTGTTTATCAAAGAAGGCGTCTATCGCGATCAGTGCTCTCCCGATGAGCTGGACGAGGGCCAAGCGGTATGCTACGGGCAGGAAATTCGGTTGGTTCCCTTCTCTATCAGGTCGGCCTGCTACTGACCAAACAGTCTGAATCTCATGTTCACGATTGCGGCTGTCGTAACCAACGTTTCTGCCCTGCCCGTAGGCACCATTTTGGACAGCTATGGCCCGCGTGTATGTGGCATATTGGGATGCGCTTTTCTCGTTATTGGATCTCTACTGCTTAGTCTCGCCCCTGCTCTGCCTTTCGATGCCTACATTCCTGGTTATCTCGCGTTGTCCCTGGGCGGTCCATTTATGTTCATTTCCTCGTTTCAGCTATCCAATACGTTTTCTACACGCTCGGGGCTTATACTATCGTCGCTGACGGGTGCCTTTGACGCCTCCAGCGCACTGTTCTTAATCTTCCGTTTGATGAATGAGGCAAGCGATGGGAGTTTCACATCGCAGAAATTCTTCCTGGCATACTTGATCGTGCCACTCTTCATATTAGCTGTGCAATTAACTATCATGCCGGCCACCTCGTACAAGACTGCCGGAGAACTCGTCCAGCAAGCTACGATACACATCTCCGCGGAGCTGAACGACCGGGTGGATGCCGGCATCCAAGACGCCAACGAGGGTGAACGCCAACGCAACGACCGTCGCGTCCGTCGCCGAAGCATCGTCAGCAAGATCCAAGACCTCCTCACTGACGGCGGCGACGACGCCTCGGCCATCCCCGATCCGGTCCTCGGTACTAATCATGATGACGCTAACGGTCTCCCGCCGGCCCGTCAGCAGCAGCAGCAGCAGGGCGAAACGCACACCGCCGGTGGCGTCTGGGGTGCCATGCACGGCCGCTCCGCTTTCGAACAGATCCGGTCCCCTTGGTTCGTGCTGATCACACTCTTCACAGTCCTCCAGATGCTCCGCATCAACTACTTCGTCGCCTCCCTGCGCTCACAGTACGAATACCTGTTTGGCTCGCACGATGCCGCCCGCCGCCTCAATGAATCGTTCGACTTCCTGCTTCCCATCGGTGGTCTCCTCTCCATCCCCTTTATTGGGACCATTATCGATACCGCCAGTACGCCTTTCGTCCTTCTCGTCCTGGCCACCACGGCCACAATCATCGGCATCCTCGGGTGTATCCCAGACAGCCTGCAGGCCGGGTACTCGCACATCGTGCTATTCGTCATCTACCGCCCTTTCTACTACACTCTCGTTTCAGACTACGCGGCCAAAGTATTCGGCTTTCAGACTTTCGGCAAAGTCTACGGGCTTATCATCTGTCTTGCTGGGCTGGGGAACTTTGCCCAGGCAGGGCTCGACGCGCTCACTTTCAAGACGTTCCACAGGAATCCAATCCCTGTTAATACTGTTCTCACGGCGTTGACCTTCTTGATTGGTTCCGCGTTGGTCTTGTTCGTATGGTGGAAGGCTCGCACGATGGCTCTCTCTCCCGGTGGTCCAGTCACAGGGTTAGAGCAACACGCGGATTTGGAAAACGGGGTACTTCCTAATGGTATTACCGCAAGAGATTGGGAACAGGAACCGCTGCTGAATCGGCGTATCTCGCCGGCCAACCATCACGGAGAGATGCCTTCTTATGGGACTACGAATTCGTTATAGATTACAGCCTGCTTGTCTTGGTTGTTCTAGTATAAGTGAGTTGGTTTATTATTTTGTTTACTTAAGCGGTTCCTCTGTATACGTAGCAGTCTGTATCACTTGATTTTAGGGATATCAACGTTCTCATTATTCAATACTCGAGTTCTGAGAGGGTACCTAAACAATCGACGTGAGCCTACTGTTATGAAGACTCGGTCCTTCCTGTGAAATAGACACCGGCATTTGATTCTGTCGTGAGGGGCAGTAGAAGCCGAGCTCTGGTATATTCATGCTCCAACCCATCGATTCGTAACTTCACGCGTGAGTAGGGTTGATTGGGTAAGGACGATGAAGGGAAAGTTTTTCTTTATCCAGAGTTGCTGTACATGGGTACTTCGAGAAGGACTGAGCTGGGTATATTCGTACGGTAGTATTACTTTCTTGTCCGGTGTGGTTTAGATAGGTAGAGATGTTGTGGTTAGATCAAGATACTGACTGGTTTCGGGTTTATCTTCAGAGATGGTTAATGATTATTATATCGTCTTAGGAACTAGGAGTAGGGGTAGGGGTAGAGGTAGGGGCTATGTTCTGGACTACCTATATGTAATTTCAACGGGAATAGATAGAGTAAGTATAAGGTATTTAGGGGTTAGTAGGGTCGGCTTTTATGTGCATTCTCAGCTAATGGGTTTATCATAATGTTTTTTTTTTTTCTTTTTTCTTTTTTTTTTGGTGTTGGTCTGTCTTTTCATTAGGAATAGGTTATATATTTTACTCACTTACTACCTACCTCACCTACTATTTGATCCTCGTTACTGATTGGAATTGACGGTCTATTGAATCAAGAGGTATGTGATTCTAAAGGGTAACATAACTCTTGGATCGAATTGAATTGAAGAAGATAGAAGATGTTCAATTCCTATCCCAGGTATACATATATACTACATCTAATAACTATCTACACCGAATCAACATAACACTCTATATACTCTCCACACCAGAATATACAATTACCGTGACACAGTCCTATCCCCTACTTCACCACATCTCTCCATCTTATATATATACAATCTATTACATCCAAACCAACATCAACAACAGATACAGATACGAAGTATCAAATCAATAAAACCCCATCCCCTCGCCACTACCACCACCAGCAGTCCCATCCCCAAAATCCATCGGAAAGTTCAACACCCCATACCCAAACATATTCTCCAGCGCGAACAAATTATCCGGATCCCCACCGACCTGTAGGCCCAGCTCGGGCAGAAAGAAACCCGGTGTGGGAGCCGACGGACCGGACATGACGAGATTATCGGCGTTGGGGTCCGGGTATGTTGATGAGGAGGGGAGATTTTGGTACGGAGAGGTGAAGGGGGGATAGTATTGTCGAGGTGTGGCGGAGGGATATTGGGGCCAGGGGTCGGAGGAGGGGGTGGTTGTGGCTGCTGGGTCGAGGGGTTGAGATTGGGAGGTGTTGGAGAGGAGGGTGGAGTGAGGGAGGGAGTCAGGGGTTTGAGAGGTTAATGGGGATTGGGTTTGGGTTTGGCCGCGGGCGTAGGAGAGTTGAGAGGGGTTCTTGGGTTCGCCCATGGCGACTTCGCTGAGGAGATGAAGGGGAGTTGGGCCGGGTTTGGGCTGTTTTCGTTAGGATGTGGTTTAGTGTAATGTTAAGATGCACAGGACTTACGGGTTGGCTGGGTTCATGGTCTGGTCCATCTTGAGATAGTACAACGCTGCGTTTCCCGCTCATCGCCTCTTGCAGAGCGGGGATTTGGTCCTTTCGCTTCACAAACCAGCTGCGAAGCATGCGGAGGACCACGGAGAATTTGTTGGGAGTACGGCCGCCTGGAAGGTTGCCTGCGTGGTTGTAGTGTTGAATCACCTTGTCCATGTAGTATTCCACTCTCAAACTAGACGGGTCGATGACCTGTCCAATGCGCGTTTCCGGAGCAGACACCAATGAAAATAACTTAATAAGAGCGACGACGGCAAAAGAAGTTCGAGCCAGAGCAACGACCGGTAAAGAAACTAGGTCCTTGACATCAATTGAGCAGATCGTGTCCAGCGCCTGGTGTATAGAGGTGAGACAAGCACTCAGCGCATTCATGTGAGCAGCACTGGTCGGGCTCGAATAATCCTCAGCCGTATTCTGCTCCTCATTTAGCTCCATGTGCATGGCGCCTTCATGCATGTAGAGATCGACAATACATTCTGCTTGTTTTAGCATGGCTGTACGAGTTAGCACCATCCTCAAAATCAGAGCCAAGAGACATACGGGAATAATAAGGTCGCGCTTCCCTGCGCCACTGCTCAAGTTGCTTTTCGAAAACCTTCAGCGTATACTGGAATTTTGGGTCGACAAAGGCACCGGTGGCCGTTGCGTCATCACCCACAAACTGCATGTTGATCTCCTCTATAATATGGGCCAGTTTGGCCCAGTGGATCATCGATTTATCCGTTGGCGAGGCATCGGGTGATTTCTCGAGAACCTCCACACACTCATCCATGTAGGAGCTCCAACGGACCAGAATGGGCCGCCTTAACGAAGTAGACACCCTAGGACCGTCAGAACCAATCTTTCCCCTAATAAAACACAGGAGAACTTACTGCACCGCAACAAAATAACAACCCAACCAAGCACGTCGCGCCTCCGGGGAATCCAGATCCTGCGACGACGTCTTCTTGGCCATCAGGTCCTTCACCAGACTGAAATGTTTATTCCGCGCCGCGAATTTCCGATACATGCCGATGTCAATGCCCACGGTCAAAGCCAGATGGCTGAGCTGGTAGAACTTCAGCTCTTCGAAGTTATCCGGCGGGGCGTACCAGTTGCAAGTGACGAGCAGAGCCTGCATGATCTCGAGCGACTTTTCACCGCGCACGATGATGCGGTCTGCGATGACTTTGTAGAAGTCGTTGACCAAGGGGAGGTGTAGATCGGGCTGGATTGCACCGATGGCAGCGGCGACAATAGCATGGAGTAGGATGGGTTTCGATCGGCGGACTTCAGTCATTGTGGTTCCGGAAGGGAATACCACCATGGGAATGTTATTGGCCATTCGGTCCACGTAACGATTGAATGCGTCCGAAGCAACTTCAACGCTGACGAGGCCCCGGTCAATCACATCCACGAAGTCACTTGTCTGCGACTTGGGCGCAGGCTTCTCCGGAAATCGCCAGTGTCTCCCGTCCGCATGCTCTGAGCCAGGACTTGTTGTCTCGCGTCCAAGAATCGACTCATTCCGAGAATCCTTGATCTCCCCGCTATACTGCCGTTTCGCCCCGGACAAAACCATCTGCGGATCCTCGGTCGTCGATCCAGCCGCCTGCGCCGTCGGCCCTAACCACCTCCTCCCCGCATGTTCCTCGCGCGGGGGTTCCACCGGCGGCGTCTGGTGCTGGTGCTGGTGCTGCTGCTGCTGCTGCACCAACGGATCCTGACCATGCGACGCCTGCAAACTGGCCGTCAGAGCATCGATCTTCCTCTCCAACTCCGCAACGCGACTATCCGTCTTCTTCTGGCGCTTCCGCGTCGGCACCGTCACAACACACGACCTCCTCGCCTTGGCACAGCGCTTACACGAGCCATTCGGATTATTCATGTCCGGCTCACAGCGCACCTTCAGCTGCCGACACGCCTCGCAGGCGCGCGGGCGCTTCAAATCCGCATAGGGGTCGTTCGGATCCACCACGTCGGCGCTCGAGCCTCCCTGGTACAACGAATGGGCAGACGACGCACCGTAGTAGCTCACATCATTCGTGGTAGCCGAGGCGGCGGCGGAGTGGACATGTTCGCCGCAGAAGTGGGACGGCGGGTCGGGATATTCGCTGGTGGTGCGGGACGAGGAGGCGCTGAGGTCGGGGTGTCTCGTGGCCGGGGAGGAGGCGTAGGAATGGGCTGGCGCATGGGGATGCGAGTGCGAGTGCGACAGGGCGGGCGTTTCAGCGGAGTGGCTGTCGGAGCCGGCGCGCAGGCGCGGATCAATCTCCATCGGCTGCGGGGGGCGGAGATGTCAGCTTGGGCTGGGCTGATCCGGCGTCGTTAACTGTCCCCCGACGCTGCATACCAAGCCAAGAGACAGGCCAGCCAGCCGAGCGGGGGTTAGAGGATAGGAGATCCGATTCCTTCGGCTTACCTGAAGATGGCGCGATGGCCGTGTGGGCAGGAGGGTCACAGGAACAGCAGAAGTGACGTGCCGGTCGGAAAGACGGTCGGTCGGGGACCGATGACCGATCAGACGCGGTGATCCGGAGGTTTGGCCACGCAGCGAAAGGCAGGAAAAGCGGGTTCTGAATCTGACGGGTCCGTAGCGGCCAGTGGAAGCGGAGAATTGGCATCGATTTAGCTCGGGATTCCAGGGAGGCGCATCGTCGGCAATCAACGCAGGCAAAAGAGAGAGAGAGAAAAAGAAAAGAAACGAGGGAGAAAAGCAGGTGACCGCCGGATCCTTCGCGGCCTGACCACCTTCCTGTTTGGGCGTGGCAGCCTTACACATAACTATAGGCCGATACACTTAGTTCTACACTGGACTGTGGTAAACATTTAGTTAATATTGTAGTGCTAGCGGAAATACCGAACAGAGTAGAGAATCTCCTCCCAAATAGCTCGCAGACATATGGGCAGATCCCGCGTCAACGCAGACGCCATGAAAACACCGCTAAGTTGGACCGATTCTAAGCAAAACAGTCTCGCTGTCTGATAGGAAACCAGCGCGGAAGCCTGCCGCGTTCAACGCCATGTACTCAATATCCAGTGAGAGTAGCCAAAAGAGAAAACAGACAGCAGAAAGCAGGGTGAAAGCAGATAGCCATCGCCCAGAGCAAATCATGACACCTTATGCACAGGACACTCCTTCTTCCGCTCAAACCATTCGACGATGCACCGCTTGTGGAACTTGCAGAGGCACTCGAGCCGTACCAGCGCCTGCCCGACCTCGTAGTCCTCCATGCAGATGGTGCATTCCTGCGTGGAACCGTCATGGCCTAGGCAGTCTTTCTCCGTCGCCGTAAAAGCGATCATGCGCACCGGGAGGACGGGCTGCGAGACCGGACTGCCGCTTTGCGAGGGCGAGCCCGGCTGTCGACCGTGACTGTCGATACATTCCCGGATGTGGGCTTCTCGTATATCCTCGTTCCCGTTGGCGCCTAAGGGAGGAAGTTCGTGATCGCAGATCGGACAGAGATCGCGCTCGTGGACGCGGCGACGATCGTGTGCAGCGGATCGTGTGTCAAACGACGACGGTGGCCTAGAGCTTTGCGGAGGGTAAACAACATGTGCAGGTACGCCCATCGACGGAGGGTAACGCCCGGACATGGACCCGTAGTCCACCGGACGCTCCGAGAATCGAGACCCAAGCGAGCCTCCTAAGCTGGCAAGAGTAGACGAATAGTCATTCGACCCGACGGTTCTGCGGCTCGGTCGCGAAGAGAAGTTGTCATGCTGCCTCTGTTAGTTCGAGTTCTATTTCCGGTCTCGCCACCGAAACTGCCACCAAAATCAAGTACTTACAGTTGAACCGTACGACGATCTGCTGGGAATCGACAGCGAATGGTAGGATCGATGTCGAGATTGGTTCGGTTGACCTGGGTAAGGTCGCACGGTGGTATATCCACGTGGGGGGTCCGGGTTAGGATCGGGCACGCACGGGTTGCAAAGGCGCACCTCCTCGCCGCCTCCCAGCGCCGGGTTGATGGCAGCGTTGGCGTTGGCGTTTGTGTCCGGATCAAAGAGCTGAGCTGCGCGAGGGGGGACCAAGGGCGCCACTGATGGGCGACGAGAGTCTGGCGGCCGCACAATGAACTGTCGCGGAATGGTGATCCGATGCGGTGAGCATGACGAGCAAACCACCCGCCCACACTTTCGACAGTGGTGTTTTCGGTACCAGAAACTGAAAGGGATGCCGCAGATGGGACATTCCGTCACCTCCGTGTCAGGCTGCCAGCGCGGGCGTATATACTCCAGATAGTTGCTTCCCGTGCGAGCCCACGAACTCCACCGCTCGCCGGTCGGAGGATGGGGGTGGTGCTGGGGTGGTGAAGACGACGACAGATCGATGGCCGTGGCGTAAGAAGCGCCGGGCATGGCAGGATCTCGCCTGGGATGCGACGATCCGCTCGAAATAGACCTGCTATTCAAATCCGACGGTCTCCTACTGGGTCCGGCCTCCAGGGCATCATCCCCAGATGCCGCACGTCTCAACCAAGCATCTCCGTCTTGCACCAGCCTTCTCTTCCTGTCGGAGCCAGAAAGGGTAGACCGCCTTCTCTCCGCACGTCTGTCCGAAGGGGCAGAAGGGCCGGCCTCGCCGGCCCCTATGCCGCCGTATGAATTCGCATGGGGTCTGGTCGCGGTACGTTCGGGGGCGGAGAAAGCCGAGGCGTGAGTGGCGGCTGGATTGGACGAGGCTGAGGAGACGGAACTCGACAAGGACGACATGAACCCGGAAATTGGATCGGTCGCAGTGAGAGATCTTTTTCCTAGGGCTGTAGAGGAGATCAATCTCCGGCGTTTGGAGGACGGACCGTCATTGACTGGGTGGCGTGGTGGTGCCAGGGCGGATCGGTGAATTGGGTCGAAATCGCCTGGGGGGTCAAACCGGACGGAATTAGGGTATTTAGGGGACTGCGAGATAGGGGGGAGATGGAAAAGAGTAACGATGTAGCAAATCAGAAGAAACGAGGAGATAAAATGGCGCAGTCACTCTGTCGAAAGAGGACAAGACCCGGCCTTATCAAAGGGGCGATGGCAAATCGAAGGAAAGAGAGAGAGAGAGAGAGAGAGAGAGAAAAGGCGCGTCACGATGGATCGATCAACTCGGGTCTCGTGACAGCCAGCCAGAGGCCTCCCTCTCGCACAAACAGTCGACTGTTTTACTTTCGCAACGAGGGGCTGATGCAGCGAGACTAGTGCAATTGGTTTGGTCGTGCGAGCAGCTGGTCTGACCGAGGATTTGCCGCTTGAAAAGGCGGTCCAGCCAGCGCCGGAGATGCCCCGCGTGACTCCGAAGGCTGATCTCCCCTTTCTCGTGAATGGATTATATCTCCTCTGAATGGATGAAGTCTCGCATTCTATTCACACAGAACTCACGAATCCTTCTTAATGACCTCAATCGCTACTCCCACGGCCACTCACGTGTTGGTCTCAGCTCTAGTATACAAGTCTACAAAGTATACCGAGTAAATAAGTCTACATCATCCATCCTCTCTTATCCACCCTCATGCCAGGATGATCGATTATAAACCTATAACTAAGACGAGCCATAAGTCGGCCGTCGGACGGTATGTACAAGTACATATGCAACAAGATCCAAACATATATCACAAACGCCAAGGCGCACATCTTTTCCGATTAGAAAGGAAATTCGTAAGTTTGATATCAGAATACAAAATCGAATGGGAAAGGGAAAGGGAAGCGCAGGAAATCAATCACGCTGTCGGACCAAGAAAGGTTCATCGTGGTCCCTCGGGATGCTGGTGATGCTGGTGTGGTTCGTCGACAAGCTCGGCCGCACTGCCCGTAAAGGAGGGCTCGTCCGGACTGGCCTCGTGGATATAGTCGCGGGTGCGGTGTTGGGCAACGTACCCCATGCTCGACGGGCGTTCAACCCGTCCCTGACCGTGTCCCTCGTGCGCATGGTGCCGGCTCGAAGAGGTGGACGCCGTCGTGGACGCAATCGAGAAGTTGCGGTCTCGGGACGGGGAGCTATTGGCACTGAAGGGCAGCCGGCCGGTGCCCGACGAGGATGGATGGAGTTGGTTCGGAGGGAAGACGGGCTCTCCGTGCTCATTTAGTTCTCGAGAACCTCCCATCGCGACTTCGTTTACCGCCGGGAGGGATTTCTGAGACATATGCTCGTCCCCGAGGTCGATTGAGCGGGCGGACCCGTGTCGCTGTCCGGGATTTCCAGGCGTCTCTAACACCAGCGAAGGGGGTCTGGAGCTACGGCGCGAACCCAAGCGGCTCGGAAGCTCGATAGCACCGCCCGCATCAACCTGCGGTAAACTAAGTGGAGCATCATTTGCCGGTCGGCGGTGCTCTTCCTCCGAATACTCTGAATCATCATCTTCGGAGCTTCGATAGAGCGGCTCACCCTCTGAGGACTGACGCTTATGTCCACCGGCAGCCCCGGCAGCACTAGCCCCGGCACCAGCGGCACCAGCGGCGGCCTGGTCTCTCGGCTCGTCTGAGTACGGTTCATGATACTCTTCTCCCTCGGGGAACGAACCGGGTGGCGGGGCCCTGGAGCTACGGACAACTTCGAATCCTTTGCCTTTCTCCTTGGTCTTGCCGAGGAACAGGTTCCTGAAAAATCCCGTAGCAGACGAGACAGGCCCCGTGGGGTCTGCCGGGCCCGTTTTCAACTTGCGTGTGCCAGACTGGGAGAGCGGAGGGCCGCGCACACGGTAGTAAAAGTCGACCTCGCGGACCGCGTAGTCCTTTTGTGACTGTCGGGGATCATCATAATCCAAATCATCCTTGGGCGCCGGAATATAAGCTGGCACCGGGGTGGCTCTTCCAGAAATCGACGGGCCTTCGATTACATCATCATCGTCGGCATAGCTGGCCACCCGCTGGCCGCGACTACTTTTCTCGCCCATGCTCCCTTCGGTCGCCTTCCGACGAGGCCTGGGAGGCCGATAATAGGGATCCTGCGGATGCATGGCGAATATAGGTCCGCTCTTCGGAGAGTTGCTACCGGTCGTCTGGTAGCCTGCGCCCTGAAATGTCGTGTGGCCGCCGGGCGTCGACGGTGCAAAGATGCCGCTGCTGTTGGCCCGACTGTGCGTTCCGCCATGGGCACTGCCAGACTCGTAAAACGCACTGGCCCTACCGTCGCTGGCAGTGGCCCGATTAAGCAGCAGGGCCGAACTACCCGATAGACTCCTCGGTCGTGATCCGTCGAATTGAGAGGACAATCGATCGTCCGTGTGTGCCAGCATCGCAGCCTCGGAGCCCATACTTTGACGGGTTCCAGCATCCCGCCGGGGCACCCGTCGTGAGAGTTGGCGCATACCAAAGACCTAGCAGAGATCATTAGCCCGGCTCAATATTTGTAGCATCGCTTGGAGGAAAGGGAAAAGCATATCAGGAAAGAAAAGTTACATACCTTTGTAAGACCGCCACGAGTAACGCCACCTTCATTTCCACCAGCGCCAGCCAGTCGCGCGATAACTTCGATCAAGGTTTGTAAGGCATTCAGGAAAAACCCAAAGACGAGGACCAAGGCGTGAAGCAGGAGGATCACGTATCCGATCCACCCGCGCGCAACCTGCGGGACCTGCAAGGAGGGAACAAAAACGACGCTGAGTAGGATGGTGAGGAATCGAACCACGGTGAAGCAAGCATGGTATAGGTTCATGGAGGTGGGTGACGCAAAAGGGCGAAAGGCGAGAAGGGTGAGAAGTGACACGACTTCGCAAATGGCGAGGAGCACAATCTGGGCGATTCCAGACGGTTGCAGGGCACCGATGGCCACGCCGCGGGCGAACGAAATAAAGATCGGAACCACCGCATAGGCAGCTGCATCGTCGCAGAAGGTGTTGTACAAAGGACCATACAGCAGCACGGTAGGCAGATCATCGAAGAGGTAAGACTTGGGGCGCGTGTTCGCAATCAGCCGGATCGTCCAGATTGAAAAGGCAACCATTATCAGGATGACTACAACCGCAAGCGCCACACAATAGGCAGGGGATTTGCCGGCGATGACCAGTTGGTAGAAAGAAAGCGAGATGAGCGGGAGAAACATGTAATTAAAGACGATCCGGATCACATTGCCCACAGTGAACGGCATATTCTTCGCCCGGAGATCTTCCTCGGGGATACTCGCGATCTCCCGGTGGAGCCAGCGAAATGCAAAGGCCAGCTGAATGAGAAGCATGATGATGACCACGATGACGAGCAGCCACACCATCATGCTGGGCCACAGGTCACGCGGCGACGACATGCCAACAAAATGCTCCATTCGGTCCAGGCCGTCGGTAGCATTCACATTGTAGACCCCGTCCGAGACAGGGTTGCGCTCTTTGCCAGGGTCCAAGAAGCTCTGGTTGAACATGAGCGCCGACCAAGCCACTTGGCTCACTACGGGTTGATAATAGCCGGGGTAGTTCAAGGATAGTGCGCCCGTCAGCACCGCAAACTGAAGGTATTGAAGACAATCCCCAAACCCGGGCGTCACCAGTCGCAGCACATCCTCGTCGCGGCCGTAATTGCTGGTCCAGTGGAAAGGGTCCGTCGTGCCCCAAGGGCTGAAGATCGCCGCCGTGACAGTCGCGACCCCAACTAGGATAAGAATCACCAGGGGCACATATGCCAAAGCGCTCTTCAGAGACGATCCCAGGTCGGGGGTGACATCGACCGACACGCATCCCAGTATCGTAGCATCTGCATCGCCGGATTTGATTGTCAGGGTTGACGACAGAGTGGAGAAGTGGTACGACGAAAGCATGTCATGCTGGAAGGAGATAGCTCGCAAGGCACTCAGGTCGCTCCTAACACAATGCACCTATCAGTATCGATCCAGAAGAGGAAGAGGGAAGAGGGAAGAATCACTCACGCGTTCACGTTAAAGGCCGGCGTCATCGGGCACCCGCCTTGAGTGACGGAGTCGCAAAACCGAGACGCATCGTGATAGGGAGAAAAGCTGACGACGTTGACGGACGTCAACAAGGTGGAATATTTGTTGTTCGTGGTATCCAGATCCAGGATCTTGCCCACGGTCTCGTTGGGATTGGTCCATTGGGGATCATCAGCAGATGGGTACGAAGTCCGCCGATCGGCAGTCCCAGAAACGTTGCCGTAGACCGTCACGTTCAGATTATGCAGTGGATTTGTCAGGTCGAAGTGGACTGCCACATCCAGCGGGACGAACTGCAGCTGAAGCGGGCTCGATTCGATGACGGATTTTCCTAGGCAGTTCTCAAAATCCAGCATCACGGCGGAGGTCGGAGCCACCAAAACCATCACCACCAGCATCCACATCCACGCCACTCCATAGCCCAACGATACCGGTCGACGCCGTCGCGATGATCGCAAGCTCCAGCTCCATTTCCGGTCCCCTTCCGAAGCTTCAGTCGACGAGTCCGGAATGCCATGCCATCGCGCGTCGTGAACACCCATCACGGCCGCGCAGTATCGATCGGATGACCTCCGCGGGGAGGTCAGCCCCCTCTTCAAGCGATTCAATCCACGTTGTGCACGGGTCGATTCCAGAAACTGTTCGATCGGACGGTCGAATCGGATGAAGGCCGCCAGGTAGAAGACGCGATCCTCGGGAGGGCGGTCGGGGCGAAGGGAGAAGAGCAAGAGAGAGCGAAGGCCGTCGGGTCGTGAAATGGACCAACGGCAAGGAAAGCGAAAAAGGGAGTAAAACACTCCTCAGCCTACCCCGAAATGGAAACGTAGGGGATGCGAACCATCACTTCGGAGGGAGAGGGATGGCGGGGAGGTGATGGAAGGCGCAGCGGCGGTAAACACGGGGAGGTCGGAAAGGAGAGGGCGAGAAAGCGAGAGAGCGAGGGATTCGGGCTCTTTGGGCCAGAACGGGAGTGGGTTTATTGGTGGATCGGAGGTCAGCCAGACAATAGGAGGAGGAATAACACACACAAAAAAAAGAAAAGGACACGAGAAGAGACGATGCGAGATCGCAGGGAGCTAAGACTGCGCCATGTTTGCTCACTTTGTCCGGCTGCTAAACTTGGAAACGCCAAACACCAACTCGACGGGCGTTGGGGATGTCTCAGCCATGTCACTATTCTTATGCTGTCATCCACCTCGTATGATCCATTCATGTGGCTGGATGAGGTCTATACTCTACGGAGTACACTCTACACTCTACACCGTCGTGATGATTAGGACATTCTATCGCGACCGGCTCTATCGTCGTTGACCCCCAAACGTATGTCTCATCCTCCAGGCAGACGTGATAAAGCGACCCAACGGCAGATCGACTAGCGCTCACACTATAGTTGTTGGTCCGGCAATCATCTTTTCTCTCTCCTAATCAAAACACAAATCCTGCTCCTACGCAGAGAAGAAAACTCTACCTAGATCGACTGCGCTGTGGTATGTACGGAGGGAATCGCCTATAACCATCCCTTTTGGCGTGAAGTACCGACCATGTAAACACCAAAACACCAAAGGGTCGAAGGGCAGCGCAGAAGGATGCATGTAAGTCGGTCCGTCTCGTATCTTCATCCAGTCAGATGCAATACGACCCCAACTCTCGCTAGGAAATCCCTCCGTCGCGACGAGAGTTTGCGCTGTGCGACCAGCGGACTCCCAGAGATATCATGGCAGGTGGGTAAGATGCCATCAACTGGGTCGACGCAAGGCTTGTTTTGATTTGGTTGATGTAGTTGCTGGAGTAGTTTGATCAACAATGGACAGGGTTGTTGGCAAATTCAATATTTGCATCTGTTAATGGTTTCCCCGCGCGGATATATATTTGCGACGCGACAGGCATATCTCGACGGTGCTTGTTTGTTTACTAGTAGGCCGTTTCAGACAGATCGTCAAATCATTGAGTTGATCTTCCAGGAAATCGGAGTGTGGATCGAATGCGATCGAGCGATATCTCCTGAGCTTGGTGGACAGCTGCGAATCTGCATGTCCGTTTGGTTCTAAATCATCATTAGCCTTCCCTTGCAGGTATGGATGAAGCCAAGCAAGCACAATGATTTCATGGATTGGATAACGACCCCCCTTCTTCATTATTTTCAATAATTATACATCCCATTATACATTATCTATATATTCGAAATCACCTTGCCGAGTAGGAGTCCGAGTATTGCAATCGAGTGGCCAACACTACGCTGCAGGGGCGACGATACTATAGTTTCTACCCCCTACTCCTGTAGTTTCCAACTCCTCCCTAGAAGAAGTTAATGAGATCATTTTCTCAGAAATCTTCAGCTTCGGCATTAACCGATCGACCGAATGGTTCGGATAGAGGCGGAGGCCGGAAACCGCACATACTCCAACTCCTATACCTCTACGGAGTAGCTCGGTAGATATTAATACTCGGAACCACGAACTCCTTACCTGGTTGGCCGGCAAACTTGCAGGGAATGACTTGGCTTGGACACTCTATTTCGGATCCCCGAATCTAGACCCCGCGATGACATGCCTTATGCGTGCACCAGCCTGCCCCATGCGCGCCTCCGATGCGCTGCGGATTCTGGCAATGCCGCGGGATCGATGAAAGAGGAAAGCCGGACCAGCCCGGCAGTTTCTTGGCTCGAATTACGCAGTATCATCCTTCCGGAGTAGTTAGTTAGTTAACCCAGGTTCCTCTGACTCAGATATGGTAGGGTCCTAGCGACTGCTGGGAATTTGGCCCGAGAACTGAAGATGCCGGACCATGGCCCAGGGACTGACTCTGGATGGAGTAGAGATCAGCGGTGCATCGCTCCCAGGGATGGGAAATAAAGCTGCCGTCAAGCTTTGGTGTCAGAACTCCAACCATCCAAGATCCAGCGTCCATGTTTCAAGTACGGGGAAATTGGGACACCAGCACCGGCGCAGCGTGGAGCTGCCGACTGCTCGTAGATATCCTGAAACGACGCTCGATTCGACGCCGACTAAAAATTCCCGGTCGTTCCCTTCACATCGGAACGGACCCTTCCCCCCTTTTTGAACTCCCAGCCCGCCAGCACCGATCGAGAAGATCATGGCATCATCGGCTGGTTCACTGGCGCGGGATTCGTCTCCCTACTCCGTCGGGCGGCGGGGGTTGGCCATCCAGCGTCTCCCACGTCACGGGGTTTCACCCGGTGGATTGAATCCTTTTTACTGGTAATTTTGGGGGAGTGAGACAGACATGAAGAGCCGGACAATGGCGGGCCCTTCGACTGCGACCGGTGATCAAGTTATCAATTGTCATTGAGGGAGAGAGAGAGGCAGTTACGTCGGTGGAATGTTTACCACCAGCATTAAGAACCACGTACCTTCTGCTACTGGCAGAGATCCACGGATGCGAGAGTATACCAGCGCCACCAAAGTGTTCTGTAAAGCAGAGACGAAAGGCGAGTCGTCAGCGGCCCACCCTCAATCCGCAGGGTTGGCCCGGACCGGCCTAGCGCCGTTTCACCATGAGGGTTGGAACGCCGCGGGTGGGGCGGGTTTCACCATTCATTGGTTCAGGCACGGATCCGACCGAATAATGGATTCATTGACACTGCGAGCACGGTATTTTGGTTTATATTTAGCAGGTATTCAGTCGCCCGTCAACAATGAACTTCCTCTGTCTTCTCTGGACCGAGTGTAGCGGACGAATCCGATGGTTGGATGTCGCACGAGTCTGTTTCACCCGGCCATCCACTATTCACTACCGTACCTAGGTAGCGAACACTATCTAAGAAGTCCAGACTTCTCAGACTCACTTCCAGTCTGAACCCTCATGATTGCCCTTGGACCGTATCCCGCCATTCTTGCCGGTCGATAAGCGTTAAATGCCTGGCCGGTAGCGCCCTCGCAGTCAGAAGGAGGCGGTGCAAGGTTGGAGGAAACATGCAAACGATCAGGCCGTTGTTTGCGCGGGTGCTATCTATAGATATCGGTCGAGTATGTACTGCGTAGGTAGTCAGACAAGTCAGGTGCTGCAGTAACTGTCTTTCGGGTCTCTGAAACATACCGAGTATATTCACTAGCATTGATTAGAGCAGGCTGATTTGTTAATTTGTTCATTTCTTAATATTATTATTGTCCACGTGCCGGAGACCCTAATTGATCTAGGTAATTTCTGCTATCTCAGTAGAGGCTCACTGTACTCCGTGGACTGTTGATACGGGTGATGAACGGGGGTTAGGAACTTATTATTAAGGACACTCGATTGGCAGTCGACGGAGGAATTCCATTCGCATGATTCGAAATATTATTATTCTCATTACCACCACGGGTACGCAGTAGATTATTTGTCTTATTTGATTGTTGCGGAGAACCACGTCGACCCAAGCCGTCCCTCGGTCGGCGACGTTTAATACGTCGTACCACGTCCACTTCCATCCTCCTTCCTCTCCCTCCCTCCTGCAGCTTTCCTTTGCCTCGTCCTTTTCCTTCGCTTCCGTCCCTTTTCTTTTTTCGTTTTAATTTTCTTTTTTCTTCTCATCCCGAGAATCCAACTGAACCTCCACAGCTGCTGGCCCAGCTTGGCACTCCATTTGTTGCCTGTCGTTCCTGCTCCAGGTATTTTACCTTCGCCCATCCCCACCGGCCCTTCGCCTCCATTGGGGAGTGGGAATTGATTTTAACGATTCTCGCGTGCAGTTGTCTATCCGACCTGCTTTGGTCTTAGGTCTGTTTAGATCCCTACCTAAAATTCCCACTGTTCCCCCTGAAGTCGTTCGCATGCCCCCTTCCTCATAGCCGCCGTCTCTGAATGGTCGTCTAATTGATTGGTCTTGGTAGATCGCTCGTTGCCTGCTCCACCAAACAACCAAAGGGACTCCGATTTCACCTTGGGCAATTTATTTCCTTACGATCATCTAAACTAGTGCCGGCGTCCTATTTCCTCGCCGTCTCTCGCTCTCGCTTCCTCCCCGCTCTCTCCTTTACCTCCAGATAAACCTTCTCTCTGCGCTCATCCTCAACGGCTCCCCCTCCCTCTTCTCCCCCCTCCTTTCTCTTTCTCCTGATTCTCCTTCCGACAAGCTTTCTTCCTGTCCCTTGACTATACTGTTCTGGGCCGGCGTGTCAGTGCTCTCGTCCGACTCGATCAATTTCGCCTCCCCGAACCACCGTGTCGCATCCACTTAGCCCGCCCGAGCGTTCGCGAAGTCACGATAGCGCGGGGGAAAAGTACGGGGGCAATTCTTCCGTCCGGCGCCCAGCATACTGAGCATCCTTGTCGGCCCCGTACTGCAATGCTCTAGAGCAGCGTATCACCCCTTTCTCAGAAATTATTTTCTTTAATAACGGTCAAGATGTCTGCCGACGACCCCTTTTCCTTTATTGATAATAATAATACCGAGCGGAAGCCGCCGAAAAAGGCCCATTGGAGGGAGAAGTTGTTTTCCAAGGACCGACGCAACAAAGGCCCCGATGATCAGCAGATTGAAGCGTTTCTGGCCCCTGCCCGCTCCAAGTCCGTATCTTATGGAGCGCCGCCCGCAGCTGCAGGCTCCCGAGGGCTGCCAACGCCCCGTCTAGACGTGTCCCAACGATTCCCCTCGTCCCAGGAACTCTCGAATACCTCCCCCACCACGCATCCTGCGTCCGCCACCGATGTCTACTCCTCTGTAAACTTCCCTAAACCCCCGAAGAAGCGCAATGGGAAGGCGTTGAGGGTCAAGTTCAGCGACAAGGGGCCGGACTTGATCGGCGAGGGTGGTGATGAATCCGAAGTTCCCACTATGGAGATATCCCTTCATCGTAACAGTCGACACACTCGCGGGCCCAGCGGGGGCTCTACCGACGCGGCGCCTTCATTACCCCAGCTTCAGTTGGACACTTCGTTTGGAGACGGTCATCGCGGAATCACCCGGCAAAAGACGCGGCATCGCAAAGATGTCAACGACGATGCGGATCAGGATACCACGAAGCCCAAGCCATTGCTCATTCAGAATGCCCAGGACTCGGACTTCCTGATGTCGCTGAATCTGGGCGACAAAGGCTCCCGGTTGTCCTTCCGAGCCTCCCCGGAATCCAATTCGTTTGCCCAGCGGGTGCGTGACAAAATGCAGGCCGAAGAAGGCCGTGCTCTACAACAGCATCGATACGATGGACCAACATCGCCCAGTAAGGAGAACCCCGGACAGCGACAGGCCGCCGACGACAGACCGGATAGTCCTAGTTCGGCCTACGATACACCTCCGCTGTCAGAGACCGAGACAACGCCGCCGTCGAATTCTCTGCGAAGCCCCGTGAGCGATGTGCAGGGGAGTCAATTCAGCGCGCTGCCGCCGGGCATCGGCGCAGGAACGAATGCGCAAAACCGCTCTCCTACAAAATCACTCCCCTCCATCCCAAGCGATTCTCCGCTGGATCGCCTAAGCCAACAACTCAGCACCCGGGAAATTCTTGAGTCGTCCCCTAAGAGTAACGCGCAACCGCCCAAGATGTCTCTGCGGGCTGTTGCCAACCAGATTGGCGACACCGCGTTCACTGAACTGAAAGCCTACGTGGCACAGTATGAAGATCTCATCTGGCGGTCTGCCGAGAGCGTCAAACCCTTGATGGAAACGTCTCTGGCCGAGTGGATGCGGGCAGCCGTGTGGTGGTTTTTGCGGGGGAAGAAGAGACTAGAAGTGTACGCACGCGCTTCCCGCCCGTCGAGCTCCAGCGGGAGGCCGGCTCGGCGTACCTCTCCAGACGAGGCCAGACAGGCCGTGGTGGATCTTGGAAAATCATTGTGGATTCTCGAAAACATCGTCAGCAAACACCCGGAAACGACTCGATACGGTGCCATGGGCGTTGAGGCCTTGCTGGCGGTCGCGAGCACGACCGGCGACCGACTACTGGCCGATCTTCTGGCTTTACATCAAGCGCTCTTGAACCATTTGCGCTCGCTGGCCATGTCGATCAAGCGGAACAATATCATCTCTACGATCGGCACCGATGGGGAGGCCGCTAGCCGTGGTGACATGAGCATCTGGGTGCGATACCCCTTCTTCGCGCCAGACGTCTCCGCCGTGCTCTCGGGAACCGCGAGTCGGTCCATGTTGATCGACCAATCTGGAAAATCTCCGGATCTGGTGCATCTGATGCCCCTAGGCGATACGACCCGATTTTTCAGCTACGGGAGTATGTTTGTCGACGTTTACGTGAGCTCGAGCGACGATGATGCCGACCAGCAGTTCTCCATCCCCTGTGTTTTGTCCATCGTCCGCGATCGAGGTGACTGGTACGTCTTTGCTGCCATCACCAGCCAAAGCGAGCTGGTCAACGTCATGATCCAGTCCGATCGCAAAAAGGGACCCACCTGGGAAAGTGTGGATTGGCAGGTTCGATCGCACTCCATGCGGGTCAAGCTGCCCCGTGGCTTTGAATTGGACGTCAGCTTCCAGGAGGAAGATTTCAAGACACTCTGGAACATTGTGCAGTACACCATGAAAACGGAGGATAGTCTCCAGCCGGAAGCCGGGGAATCCGTGGTCTTCGAGAGCACTTTGAAAATGTTTCACTACATGGATCCGGGATCACAGAAGGCCTTCCCCGCCGAGCCCGTGGAGCGCTGTCGCCTTCGTCTGTTCGAGCGTTCGATAACGGTGACCGAAGGCACTGGCCAGCGAAGCATTCACCAGGGTCACCGGATCACCGTGCTGACCAGCCCCAAGATCAAGACGCTTAGCAACATCCGGCACCTCCTCGGCTTCAAAGAACCGATCGTGTTTGGCTTGCTCCGGGGCGAAGACGGGGCCCCTGCGCTTCTGATCAAGGTGAAGGAGGATGGCAGGACACGCTCGATGCTGATGACCTTCCAAGATGACGAAGAGCGCAGTGCGATTCATTCGATTCTTCTGGGAACGATGCCGCAGGAAACGGAGGTGAAGACATCGGACATCCCGATTCGTGCCTATTCCATCGAACAGCCTGCCGACCGACATACTGGCAAACCCACTAAAACGCATCTTCAGTTCCCGGCGGGCAGTGTCTCCGTGATTGATCAGGAGCATCGACTCGTTGATCATGGGTACGGGCCCACGATTCTGTCGGAACACCTGCGAGCGTTCGTAGCGACGGAATGGGGATCTGCTACCGATCGTCTCAACCTTGGTAGGTTCATTCTTCTTTCTTTCTTTCTTTCTTTTTTTCTATCTTACGGTGGCTAATTTCGAAGGTCCTGGCGAGCTGAAACTTGGACTTGACATCAACAACCGAACCGGCCTCAGCCTTTTCCGCCCTGGGCAGCAGGATCTGACCCTTTCGCTGGCGGACAACCTCACGTCCCCTGATATGCCCGACTCGTTAGCCAATTTCATGAAACTCGCCACGACCAAACCCACGGTGCGACGGTTCGACTTTGCGACAGTAAAAGGTAGCTTAATCCGCGGCCATTGATCACATCGGCAACTAATGCAATGACTAGATCTTCATGCCTTCCAAGCGGCTGTCACTGGTTTCAAGGTGCTCTTTGACAGGTAGGACCGTTCTACTCGGCTGAGTGAAATCGCGACTAATTGTAACAGTGTGGCCTCGTCCTTTACGATATCCCGGCGCCGCATGGTGGTTCCCATTACAAAGAAGTGGGAGGCCAACATGGCCCGAATCCAGATTGTGCAGCAGGAGAAGGTCGTACAGCTGCTGGCCTACCTGAACGACTTCCACTACGGCAAGTGCATGAACTTCGTCCTCAAGGGAACCGACATGCTGGAGAATTTCGGTCGGGCCGGAAAATTCGGGGTGAAGATCGTTGATGCCAAATTCGCGCTGCCGAAGAACGACAACGACCCTGCCTCTGATTTCCTGTGTCTGGACATGCCGGAGTATCCAATTGAGCATGATGATATCTCAATTGCCTTTGATTCCGAAGCCGGTATGTTTTCCAGCCCCACATACGCGTCATGCCACTGACGAGATAAGACCGCACCAACTTCCAGGCGGCCGCTCCAGGATCGGTTCGTGAAGCGTCACGAATGAGTTCCCTCCGCCGATAGCCGGGAAGGCCCACCGTCACGTGGGCCTTCCCCGCCCCGATTGCGCGACCTGGAAAGCGGCATCTTCTTGACTCATCCTTCCTTTCTCTTGCTCACTTTTTTTCTTTCTTTCTTCTCGACCTGCCTTTGTATCCGGAATGGCTCCCCTCGATCAAAATGTTGGCGCCTCGACGCGCTCTCTTCACGCCGATGACCCGGTGAATGTGGTCACCGACGTGGCCCCTCCTCTCCACCTTTCCACTACCTTCCGGTATGCCGACAATCCAGACGACCTTGTGCCGGCTAAGGAGCTCACGGGGGTAAGCATCGGGATCTAGTTGGGATCATTCCGAGTGCTAACCTTTCTGGGCATTAGTATGGCCAAGACAAGACAAAGCATATCTACTCCCGAGCGACCGCGCCGAACTATACGCGGTTTGAAACGATCCTGTCGTCCTTGCTGAATGGTGATGCGATCAGCTACTCGTCGGGCCTGTCTGCGTTACATGCAGCTCTTGTTCTGTTGAACCCGCGTCGCATTGCTATCGGCAATGGCTATCACGGATGCCACGGAGTGATTGCGCTGTTCAGCCGGATCACCGGGCTTGAAAAGCTGGATTTGAACTGTCCCGCGGAGGAATTGCTGGCCGGCGATGTCATCCTTCTTGAAACCCCGATCAACCCCGAAGGAACCGCTTTCAACATCGAAGAATACGCGAAGAAGGCCCACTCCCGCGGCGCCTACCTTATCGTCGACAGCACCTTCGCCCCGCCGGGCCTCCAGGATCCTTTCCTGTGGGGCGCGGACCTCGTGATGCATTCCGGAACGAAATACTTGGGTGGACACAGTGACATGCTGTGCGGCGTCCTGGCCACGCAGCGCAAGGACTGGGCACGACAGTTGTCCGCGGACCGGGTATACCTGGGTAGCGTGATGGGGAATATGGAGGGCTGGCTGGGCGTGCGGAGCCTTCGGACCCTCGAGATTCGCGTGCAGCGGCAGAGCCAGAACGCCACGAATCTCGTGTCCTGGCTCGACAGCGCGCTGCGGGCGCCAAATCCCGCAGCCGGCAGTGACGAGGCTGTAACGCAGGCCGCTCTGCAGCAAGTCTTCCACGCCAGCCTGCAGAAAGACGACTTCCCGTGGCTACTCAGGCAGATGCCCAACGGGTTCGGACCGGTCTTCTCGATCATGACCAAGCAAGAGGACTATGCGCGCAAGCTCCCCAGCACGCTGGCCTTCTTCCAACATGCCACCAGCCTGGGCGGCGTCGAGTCCCTCATCGAGTGGCGGACCATGTCGGATCCCTCGGTCGATACGCGTCTGCTGCGCGTCAGCGTGGGGCTGGAGAACTGGGAGGATCTGCGGGCGGATTTGGTGCAGGCATTCCGGGCCTTGGTTGGGGCTCGTACATAATTTGATCTGTTGATATGATATGAATGGATGATATGATTAGAGTTGGTTAGAGCTGATGGCAGCTAGAGCATGTGATAGGCTAAGATATTGACTTTAATGATTGCATCTTAACTTGCGAAAGAAAGTTCAATATAAACAACAAAGCCATTGTCAATGTAAGCCAACTGACTAAATTAACGCCTATCGGGGTTGGTGAAGCGGGAGAACAGTGAATGAATTAGTGGGGGGGTAGTAATTTCTTTTGTATTCACCTGGACCATGTTACCTAGTTTACGGAGGCTCTTCTCTCACTTTTTTTATCTCTATATTTCCTTTTCTCTTCTCTCGTCCGTGGGACCATCATTTCATTACGGCTATTTCGTTTGATTCGTCTTTTCTCATCTGCGATTGACCATTTATTTCCTTGGCCACATTCCGTTCAGCTTGTTTCCTTGTGTTTTTTCTTTACCTCTTACCTGCTCTATCTGTTGCAACATGGAGGGAGCAACGGACTCATCGACTCTCCGGCCAGCAGAAATGATCAATTTAACCGGAGGCGACTCCCCTCCACCTATCAAGACCGAGAAGCCTGAACAGAAGCCAATTCTACCGAGAGACCAATCTCCTCCAGACTGGACATGGACTCACCGTAGAGTCAGGACGGTCAGAACAGACAGGGAGGTTAATACAGAAATACAAACTGAACCCGATCATACAACAGTAGCGACTCAGACCGGAAAAAAAAAAACAAGACTCAACCTAAGATCATATCAGCGGCAGAGCGAAATCTCATATTCGCGAGATGGGTGGCAGCCGCCATAAATAATGAAGAACAGACCCGTCGTCTTCGAATCTAGAGAATGGCTGCTCTAAAGATCCGCCTGCCCCGTACTGACCAAGAGGAAGTACAACGCCATGCTGTGGAGCAACCGTGGTTCCGTGAGCCATCGACGAACAATGGAAATAACGGCCGAGCAAGAACCCCAGATCAATTTATAACTTGTTAGAAGCAAGGATTGTCCGATTCAAACCTCTGGGAGGCAGGATTATCCAATAAAGAGTCAAAAAGGGCCCGGACAGCAACAAGTTCGGCGAGTGATATTTCTCCTCCAGTCAATGACCTACCCCGAAAGAATAAGGATATCGATACCGTTGAACAGCTACATGCAGTTATGGCCTGGACACACAGGAGTTATCAAGCTAATAATTACCCCGATCTTTTCCAATCCAACAGCGATCTACAAGCCGCCTATCATGAGCACGCCTTTAGCCGAAAACCGCGCAAACTTCAGAAATAGATTTTGAAGGATAATATCCCGAATTGGCTCGGGGCTAAAAAGCTTTTCCAGCAGTCTCGCCGTTACAACCGGAGGGGCCAAGACCGCAAAAGAGACCAGATGCTATGGCAACCTCTACGCAGTGAAGATGGGAAGATTCGCAAGCGGGACGAGACTGAGGTCAGAGAACTGCAGAAGGGTACTAGAACTCGGTTGGTATCGAAGTCGTTAGCGGGCGAAATGCTGGAGGGGATGTCCGGGAACAAGAAACTACGGACGGCCTCTATCGGATCAACTACTAAAGACAAGCTCGAACGACGAGACGAAGAGTATCTCCACCTGTCCAGCACAAATGACGATCTCCAACGGGAGTTAGTCCTAGTCCGCAGAAAGGAGCAGAAACTCAAAAAGCAGCTCCGGAGTAAGCGGCTATCTAACATAAAGAGGTTCATCAGTCGCGCCAGTCGCGACGAGGCGTTAAACATCTATACGCAAGCTAATGCCCGACTGAAAGAGATGGAGTCTCCCGAGCCTGATCTCGGTCTCGACAAAGCCCAAGATGACGATAACAATCCACATGACGAAGATGGGGACAACGGAGAGGGGGCTGGTGATGACAGCGGAGGAGAGAATGACAATGGCGAAGGTGAAAATGGGAATGATAATGGCGATGATGGGGCGGAGTGAGTTTGGGATCAAGGGAAAGTCATAGAATGACGGGGATTGTGACGCGGCAAAGGGAAAAACGGATGAACCGGCGGAGGAATGCAGCAGACAAAAGGGCACCTTGATTCCTGTATGTCCTGTATGTATTTGCACATACGAATACTTACCTTTGAACAGTCATTTTTCACCGATTCAAATCGGGTTCCACCTCCCGTAGAGGAATGATAAGCCTTGCGGCGGCTTATCCTCGTGTTTGGTCAATGCCAAGACCCCCACCTCCCCTCCACGTTCATAAATACTTCTTTCTCCAGACATTCCCACCTCACCCAAACCCAGTCCTTCCTCCAACAGCCAACGTAATCCAAAAAGCACAGTTCACAGAAAGAAAGAAAGAGAGACAAGAATGTCCACCTTCCAAATCCACTACTTCTCCACCGCCTCCGCCTACACAGGAAAACCGACCGAACGCCTCCCAGCCCCGCTCCCGCTGTCTCAGCTCTTCGACGTCCTGGAATCAAAGTATCCGGGGATCAAGGAGAAGGTGCTGAGTAGTTGTTCGGTGAGCTTGGGAGATGAGTATGTGGATGTTGATGTTGACGGGGATGGACTGGTGATTCCGACCGGGGGTGAGGTTGCGGTTATTCCGCCTGTTAGTTCGGGATGATTGGTTTGGTTCCATGCCCTTAAGGAGGGTGGTTGAAGATGGGGGCTGGAATTGAGGTATGTGTTTTCTTTTTTGGATGGCTGGCTGTATTGGTGGGAACTGACTGGTGCTTAGGTGTGGGTTGATCGTGTTGATGGAGTTATATATTCCTACGAGAAGAGATGGATATCCATGGAACACCGATTATGCGCTGTGGTATTGGTCTATTACTTATACCATGAACAAAAGCATGCGAGAAGAACAGCAGACAAAAAAACAAAAACATGAGCAGAAAGCCAACACATAAATGGACAACGCAAGACAAAGAAAACGAACCACTTCAGAAATCATTACATCCGTTCCTCTTCAGCTCATCCATGCAACCATCCTGGATTCCACGTCGTTCCCAACCAGAGGGGGAATGATCATACTTCTTCCAGCCTGCCATCACCTTAGACACCAACCACAGTCTATCACACCAGGTGATCAACCATCCAACTTCTCAGCCCCAGCATTCGCCGCCCTCTTCTGCTTCCACAGACAAACGCAGCACACCCCGGAGAAAAAGAACATAATACTAGACAGACAGTCCACAGTCAGCAAAACCCTCCCCCCAAGAAAGAAGGAAAATAGAACATACCACAACCCAATACTCAACCCCCAAATACTCTTCGCCTCGAGACAAACCGCCTTCGACGCGCCAATCAAACTCCCATACTCGACCTTCCCATTCAGACTCTTCAAATAGCTATCCAGATGCGTGGCGAACGCATACGCCGAGGACCCCTCGCTCGCGACCTTCGCGATCTCCTCGCACTGCAGGTACGAGAGCGGCTTTCCGATGATGACGGCTACCACGATCACGGCGATCAGGACGAGGGAGTCGGCGATCGCGGAGGCCAGGAAGGGGAGGATGTCGTCGAGGAAGAGGATTGTTGTGATGATGCAGTAGATGGTTGCGATGCAGGTCTTTTTTTTTGTTGGTCACTTTTAGTTAGCTGTCTTTTCTTTCTTTTCTTGTTTTCTATTGTCTTGTGATATGGGTTGGAATGGAAGGATGAACATACAATGGTAATCGTGCCGATAAATATCCCCGGCGGGGTGGCGTCGTTGTCGACGATCTCGGCGATGAAGTTGGCGGTGAGGCCGATGATGGCGATGAGGCAGCAGGCTTGGACGATGCGGGCGATTTGGAAGGTTGCGCCGAGGGCTCCATATTTGGGCATTCTGGCAGATGTATGGTGGACGCAGGATATAAAAGGGAGTGTGGTTGACTGACAGATTAGTGGATAAAAGGTGTAGTGTATATACTGCCAGATATGATATGATATGATATGATATGATATAAGAAAAGAAACCGGCAAACCAGGCCAAGGAGAGTAAGCAAGTGAGTAAGTGAGAAAGCGAGGATATTAAGAATTATCAATGTCCAGAAAAACCAGAACCTGAACTAAGGAGCGTCAATCGAACAATCAAACAATTGAAAGAGAAAGAAAAGACGACAAAGAGAAATCGAAGTGATTAGTACGAATGAAAGAAAGCAATGCAATGAATGAATCTAATGAGACAATTCTTCAGCACAATCCCCTTTATATACACCACTGACAGACGGACCAGACCAGACCGAGTTCAAAACAAAGAATTGATAAATATAGCATAGCATGGAACGACAGACAGGTCTAGATTGAATGCTCTAGACCAATCCATCATCCATCCATCATACATCCATCCATCCATTCATTCATCCAGTCATGCTAGTCACATACTCATCCTAAAATAGAGCTCAGCAAGAGCAAGCTACTCTATCCACCAAGCAAACCCGTCACCAAATCAAATAGGTCAAAAACGATCTCCCTAAATTAGATATCTGGAGACAGTAACTGGCAGCTCCTACCTTAGCTCTTCAGCTTCTCCAAGCAAATAGTGAGAATCCCTATCATCCAACCATCACCATGCACCGATCGACATAAGCGCCAGGCCCGTCCTTCAAACATAGGGCGTCGATCAGATCCCAGAATAGAGTAGGGTAGGTAGTCTGGACTGGCGATTTTATTTATTAGTCGCTGGACCTTAAACGCACTTAGCATGAGCCTCCTGCCCAGCACACCAGTCATAGCCATAGTCATGGCCGTAGCTATAGTAAGACAGCGGCTACATCCCGCCTCACGCCTCACGCCTCGCCTCCGTGTTTCGTTTCGTCTAATCTAGGCAATCCCAAGGAAGGACTGCAGAGCCAAGCGCCTCCAAATCGCCATAAATAAACAACGGACGAAAGAAAATAGGCGAAAAACGTATTAGCGCGGCGCTTCCACAACAGACTTACTTACGGCACGCTCCTACTGGGATACCCGCCTGCGACGGGAGTTAGGGCTAACCGGGCAAGCCAAGACAGGGTTCGGATGGACTGGACTCCACCGCGGCGGCTGGACGCAGACGCGCTGGCTTCCGCGCTGCAACCTCAGCCAACGGATAGACGAGGGGAGTTGGATCTGATACAAGGGGTAGTAGATTGTTCTCTTGGCGTGGTTTGGGTTGGTTTGGTTTGGTTGGTATTTGTGGGTTGGGTGGTTGTTTGGTTGGGGGCTTGGTTTTTGTCGAGCTGAAGGGCTTTTACGTTTACTTACATTGTGGATCGTGGATCGTGCATCGCAGGGAGTGTGGCTGTGTCTTTCTGTGGGTATTTGGTACTGGGGGTTGAAGGAGAGGAGATGGAAGGTTGTTGGGTTCCTGTTGGAGACGTGGGAGGATGGGTTCTATACGAGATTTTCAGAACCAGAAAATTGATTCAATTTCAGAAGTAGCTAGAATTTAGAGACTGGATGCTTCAGAATCAAAAGTCCAAAGCAAGACATTCCAGCTCAATTCAAAAACAAAGATCAAGATGAATGCTTCACGAAACATCACAAGACAAGTCAACGCAACCAAAGCCAGGATAGGATAAGATCGAAAATCCAGACATTGCGCCCAGATCGACCTAAAACTAAAACCCACCGCTCGCGCGTCGCTGGAAGAAATCATCCGGATCGTACCTCTCTCGCACTGCGTTCGCGTGCTCGGTAGACTTAGACTTCAGTCGGCCCCAGTAATCCTGGTCGCCCCTCGCCTGGCTCAGGAACAACGGCCGATACACGTCGGGAAGGAGCTTGTCGTCAACGAAGTCGTCAATGATCTCCTCGTAGCCGCGAAGGAGGGCCTCATCTGCCTCTTTGATCCTCTTGTCGTCGGTGGCGTTCCAGTATGAGAAGTCAAGGCCCATGATGAAGTAGTCTTGGTCGGTGGGGAAGTTGTAGAGGTCCTTTTCTGCGTTAGTGATGTTTCTCTTTATTATAGATGTTGAGAGAAATTGTGGGATGGGGAAGGCATGGGTATGGTAACGTACACCTCCGCGCTCCTTGGCTTTTTGGGCGACCTTTCGAGACAAGGGCTGAAGGGCCAGAGACCCGATGACGCCCGGCACGTCGATGACAGAGTCAGTGATGTTGAACCAGTGCTTCTGAATCATCGACAGGACCTTTGCGCCGGCGGCGGCGTTGGGCACCGGAAGCGTTTCGGTGGAGATTGTGTAGCGTTGATTCCTGTGTGGGTTAGCAGGGTAAATGAGACGATTGGGGACGGCTAGATAGGAAGTCATGGAGGTTAGGTAGAATGTATTACGTACCTGAGGATTCCAATGTCCATAAATTTCAACTACAAGGATGCACGTCAGCTCTTGATTCTCCCATCGTCCGTGAAGCTTTAACTTACCAGATCGTGATACGAATCCCATGTCTTGGTGCTGTCCTGGGGCTTGAGGGACGTGAAGTTATCAAAAACGCCCTTGGATGGCTGGGGCCCATCGTAGAAGACGAAGAAGGTCCAGGATTTGACCGTAGCCGAATACGCAGTGGTGGGGATCATGGCGGCCTTGTCGTCCGGGTTGTGCTCAGCGAAATCGCGAATGGCTTTGAGAATCTCGGGAGTTTTCTCGTGGCTGGGGAACGTCCATGTTCCGCCCCAGACCTGTGGGATGAATCAGTGAGGTTCTTACTGAGGTGCGGTGAGGAAATACAGACCTTGTGGTTCTGGGGGTGCGTTTGCAGCTTGAAGGAGGTGACGATGCCGTAGTTGCTGCCGCCGCCTTTGAGAGCACCGAAGAGATCTACAGACAGGACATGTTACGCTTGAATTTCGAAATTGAAGATGGGGATGAATGCATACCAGAATTCTTGTCCTTGTTGGCATTCACGATGGTTCCGTTCGCCAGGACCACTTCGAAATTGACCACATTGTTGGCGGCAAAGCCATACTGGTCGCTCAAGAAGCTCCAACCACCTGTTATCATTTGTTAGTCAGTCCATGGAACCCTCAAGTCCTGAACAGAACCAGGTATCAGAAAGATCGACATACCACCAAGCATGCACCCTCCAACTCCCACGCCTCCCATCCTGGCGCCCACAAGAGCTCTGCCCGTCCCCGCGAGTCCCTTCTGCGCGTCTTCCCAAGCAAGACCAGGTCCAATGGTAGCCGTTTTATCATCTGGATTGTAAATCACCTTATTCAGCTTCTTGGTAGAAATCAGAAGCCCATCTTTGATGCTTGAAAAGCCCTCGTTCGCATTGTGACCGCCCGATTTAACAGCAAACAGATCGTCAGTGTCCTGAAGCTCTTTGACGACATGAGACATCTCGAGCGCGCTACCGGGAGTCACCACGCAGAGCGGACGAAGATCACCGCAGGCCGCAGACCAGTAGTTCTTGAGGGTGGAGTCATAGTTAGCCGTGATGCGCTTCTCAACAGTGATATTCAGGGCCTCGAGCTTGGAACAGATATCAGCAGTGGCAAAGGGAGCAAGAAGAACAAAGGAAGCAATGTAGAACAGCAAGTAGAAAGCAATGGGCTTGAGCCCGAAGAGAGTTGGAGCCATGGTGTGAGAAGAAAGGGGAGCAGTTCAGATGAGTGAGGATTGGTGCAGGATGATGGATCAACGAAGAAGAGCTGCATCTGGGAAGAGCCCTTTATAGACGAGGTCAGGTGATTGCAGGTGGTGAATGACGAGGTGGACTAGATGGAACTTCCGGTATTCTACCGGCAAGTTCCATTCATGCATAGGAAGAACAGTGGAACGGTTGTAGCAATCCATGGATGCTTCTGAACTGACAAAAAATACACCGTGAATTCACAAGGCTACAGAACCGAGGGGAGAATGTGGTCCCACCTGTCTAACTGCGCGCCGATATCTATGCACAAACGCGTGGGAAGCATGGCGATACATCAGCAATGAGGGCACTGCACCAAAAAAAAAAAAAAAAAAAAAAAAAAGATGGTCTCAATCTGTAATTACCGATAACTCCGAAGAAGAAAAAACATACTACTAAACAATCTCCCCGAACGCATACTTGGTCATGTCCAGTCCTGTGACCTCGTTACCCTAAGCGGAGGCCGATGCTGGGGTCATTCAGCAACATGCCCTGGGACGATACGTCAAAATGTAAGAGCCCATCATTGTCTCCCAGCGTCATGCGCACTTTGCATTCCACCAGGTGGAATAAGCACCCGTTGACCTCTCGACGAGGGGTCAAGTCCAGGTTGAGTTCCGATAAATTACACAGGACGGGGACCGCTAAGCTCACGCCTGCTGAATATTAGCAAAATCAACATAGTCTGCATCACTTCATTGACAGACCTCTGTGGTTGAGTCCAGCGGGCGCTGCATCCAGGGTGGATGAGTATATGTTGATGGCCTTGGTGGGAAAGTCGCCGTGCTTGTAGACCAGAGTTACGTCATCATAGCCGCACTCGTTGGCCGTGTAGCGGTATCCCTGGAAGAAAGGAAGATAAGCGCTGCTGGGCGTGCCAAAAGTCTGCCACGGCCGATGAGCTCACCTTGTGAACGAGCCAGTTTATGTCGTTCGTGACGGACCTTCCGCTGGAAAATGCGTCCAAGAATGTAAAATTCGCATTTTCGAAATCACAGATTGCCATGCATGGCTCAATGCCAAAATGGCACTCGGTGACTAGGGTTGCAGGTCGGAGAACCCCCGTGCCCCAAAGGACGGAGCCCCGTACGGTAGCCAATTGCCTATGGAATCGCAGATGAGCAAGATTCTCAAGAATGAATGGATTGAAGTCTTACGGGTTCTCCGGTTGGTGAACGATGGTCTTGCCATTGGGAGCTAGAAAACAGTCGGAAATCGTCTCCAAAACGTATGGGCAGAGAGAGAACCCTCCGACGAGAAATATTCTCTGCTACCTGGTTAGTACTCATCACTCGGAATTGGTGAATAGCCAACTCAATCCACTGACTCACATTAATATTCCTAGGTGCGGCCGCCATCTGACGGTTCAACAAGCGGCAAATCGTTTCCAAAGTGGGTTGGTACAACCTTTTCATATCCTCCCTGACACCACCATCAGAATTCAAACTATTTATATGAACGTTGAGACAAGTGACTTACACGGAAAGTAGAGCCCAACCGTTCCTGTACCATACTGAGTTTGTTCGATGAGAACTCATGGGCAGTGGGAGCTTCATATCCGAGCTCTCCTGACCAGTAAATCCGGCCATCTGCTCCTCAAATGAAACCATAAAGCTGCTGCCCGGGGCCCTTGATGACAGTGGCACGTTTAAAAAGGCATTACCGAACCGCTCTATCATGAGTGCGTACAGGGCGCGCTGCACGGTTGTGGCACCGCACAAGACTCCTGGTCAAATGTCAGCTCTGCTGGACACTAGCATGCCTCCCCCAGATATACTGTACTTGAAGCTGCAGTTGTTTCTTCGTAGGAGTACGGCTCGATTCCCGTAATGAGAAAACTTGAGACATCCTGTGATACTGGCGTGTTAGTTCTCCGTTCGCTTTTCATCTGGTGTACTTACCGTAGTCCCGCCACCACAATCACAAATAAGGACTGATTCCTGGGGCTGGCGGGTTGGAGTAAGTAAAAGCATAATAGACGAGACAGCGGAGCGCGATGGCTTACCAAGAGGGGGAAGGTCATTGAGGATGAACAGGAGATCACATAAGCCATGTCAGCCTGGGCCTCGTTCACGAAGCACAGATTTGCAGCTTGACCACGAAGCCCGGTTCCAAACCCCGCCATGATGGCCGCTTGCCTCATCCTTTGCTTTGCTTGCTCGGGCCACAGATTGGGGACCGAAAACCAGAATTCGACAGGAATCGGGGCGCGGTTTCCTCGCGTCATCCTGGTGACATAGGTCTGCAACTCTCTCATCACGTACCGATAAATCTCGGCCAGAAAGTCCGCAGTGACCTGGATGGGGGACTTGTCGTTTGGCAGCCAAAATGCACCGCCGGCCCTTGCCCACGGCCCCGTACGAAGCGGCAGGAGTTCTTCGCTGGCCTCGTCATCGAGCTGGAATTTGGTCCAGGCGGATGCCGTCATTCCCGGTCGGATCTGAAATCCCCAGCGCCGCTCTCGGTTCTGGGGATTGTATGCGGGGTAGGCGATAGCGCTGGGGGCTTTTTCATGTGTTCTAATTCCCCGGTAGGAGGGCCAACGGCGGACAACGCGGATGTCATCGGATTGGAAGGGAACAGATGGGTAGATGAAGGCCGCTCCTATTCGTAGAAATCAGTTAGCCCCCTTCGGATATGTGTGAAAGTTGGATAGAACAGCACCGGTGTAGGTCAAGCCAAAGTCTATTGCTACCACGATGGAAGTGTTCATGTTTGTAAAAGACAAGAAACAACGGAGAGCGTGAGTGAATTGTAGTTGTAAAGAGACAGAGGATATTGGAACAGATCAGTATGAATTTCAGTCTACAGAGACTTGCTGAGGACCGGACTGTGAGCTGGGAACACGACCCCCTTTTATGCTGTTTGGTAGACGTCGGAGCGCGAGAGGAAGAGAGAATGGAGCAGTCCTATAGACTCCGATAGACACTGTCTTCTTCGTACTCTCGCATTGCCGCATGATCCATATTTCCTCCGACGTTGCCACTGACTCAGAAATGCGATCCTGGCGTTTGGACTGTCGATGGAGGAAGCGCCCAACGACCAAGACATGCTACAGCAGCCCCTAATCCATCTCTCCTTTCTTGCTGACAGTCATTATTTTCGGCCTGCTTGCTAGGTGTGCATCGATTCTCGTCTCCCTCTTTCCTCTCTCTCCTCCCCCTACCTTTAGCCAAATCCCTCATGATGGCTCCTGAATTCCTTTCTTTTCACTGTACGGAATCAACGATCTGGGAGATTCAGTCTGCGCCCCTTTTTCACGAGGTATCAGCCAGTCGCAGGCTCTGGAAAAACAGAAGGCACCAGATCAGCTGCGGATCCCGAGACATCCAGAAGGAGGTGTGACGGGGCAGAGCCTCGCGATCCGGCTGCCTTGACTCTGATTTCTCTTCCCTTCTGCTCACTGCCCACCGCTCTTTCTGCCCAATGCAGGAATGGCCTGTTGGTGACCCAAGCCAAGGGTCTATCAACTGCATCCTAGCAAATCGTTGATGGTCGCTGGTGTCGCCACTGGTGGGAAGGGACAAAGAAATGTGGACAGTCGGCGAAACACGGGAGAAGGGTGCCTTGATGAAAACCTTGAAAGAGCGAAGTTGCAGGAATTCAAGACTCTGCACAAAAATAGCACTGCTTTGTTTTGAGGGCGCCTTGCTAGGCGAAGTCGGCAGTCTCCTCGGAGTATTCGCCTACCGTGATGCTATAAAGATTACTCTGTATCTCGACTTTTCTGCATCGCCTACCTCTCCTGCTTTTCTCTTTTCCCTTGACGTTCTGTCTTCTAGTCGATCTGTGACTCCCCATATTGCCTTCGTCCAATCCCCCTGAATCGCCGATCTGACCGTGGTGGTGAAACATGGGAAAACGCAGGGCAAGTGCTGGTGCAACCTCACGAGTCAAGGTAACATCAACCAAAACAAAACATTTCACCGTCTCCCCCATTCAGATGTGGCTTTCAAACCTTCGTTTCTGTTTCTGGCAGACTTTTCATCTCCTCATTCCCTTGACCCAACATCAGCAAAGTTGTATGTACACTCAGTGACAGTTTGGATCTCAGAGAAAGCCCGAGCAATCAACGCCCAAGGCAACGATGGCTCCAAAGTCGGGTGAAGACTATGAAAAACCTTCCCAAGTTGAATCGGTCTGTCCCTAGCTTGTCTGTGTGAATCATCCAGCCTCAGCTAATTTTCTTTTGTTCGCTCGAATGTAGGGCAGACGGCGTTCCTCTCGTTTGAATCCCGACCTCCCTGCTGCCAGTCGTGTCTCGGACCAAAGTCCCCAGACCACGACAGAGAAACACGATCCAGACTGCCATCATGCGAACGACGAGGAGAGCTCAGACGAACAGTTTTCCGCGTATGACTCCGACCCGCCGGGAATGATGCCAAGCGTCGTGGCAGCGGGACGGCAGGAAGAAGAGCCATGCTGTCATTTGGGGATCTGGAATCTCCACAATGATTGCGAGAGGGCTTGCATTCAATATGCAGCTGAGCAATGGGTTTACAATCACTGCGTGGGAGAGAAGGAGGTCGTCGAACGGACAATCTTGGCGAGTGAGAAGCAGGCAATCATGGATGGTCTTGAAGGCTGGTGTCTGTACAAAGACTGGGATGAGCTAGCCAGTGCTCTCCCAGATAATATTCGGGATCTTATGCCGGAATATCTTGCTCGAGCATTGATTTCCAAGGATATCATCGAGACTATCATGAAGAACCCATTTTTCTACATGGATTTAGGTGACGATAGCTCGGGTGAAGCCGATGATCTAGCCCCAACGCTGGGAATAGACCTCTACCATCTGTGGCAGAAGCTCATAAAGGGTAAGTGTGCGATCTCACAAAGACATTGGAAAAGAAAGATGGCGTGCTAATCCAGTGCCATAGTCGACAGACCTCAGGCCCATCACTGGCGAGAACAAACCGTCCACCTTATGAACAAGTTGCGGCCAATCCAGACCAGAGATAGCTCGGTAGGGGTGCGGAGTTTGAGGCTTCGACGGAGAATTGCCAGGCATCTTGCTACCAAGATGCTGAGCAAGTCTAGTCTGTTATATCCCTTGATCAAGAAGGACGTGGACGACCGAAAGAAGGCTGAGCGGTTTAGATGGATGGTGAGAATATATCGTGACGCAGCCAAAAAGTCGGTCATGTTCTGGGTTGACGAGTGCGGCTATGAATTCCATCACGACATCCACCAGGTTGGCCTCTCCGACGAAAACAGCCAATTCTACCAGCTGGAACCGCAAAGCTTCTTCGCTTGTATGGACAACCCGAATGGCCGCCGGGCAGTACTGCTTCTGGCGCCGCTTGTCTGGCAGCTGCAATTTGGGTTCGAGCCCGTGACCCAGGAGATGTTGGACGATGATTGCACGCCCGACCCGGTGGATGAGGATGGCCACCCGAATTCCGTGGTGTGTCGAGGCCAGATCGTAGTCTCGAAGGATGTTGAGCCCAAGCAAGCGGAGTAAGGCTAGCATGATAGATGTCGTCCTTGATAGACCTTTCCCCTTTTCTTTCTGGTTTTATGCCTTTGCTTCGTTTTCTTCTTTCGCTCTTCTGCTACATGCAGTAACTGTCGTTCTGCTGATTCGTTTCGGGTTTATGTTTTTGTCTCGTTGATTGTTATGTGACATCCAATGTCCAGAACTGTCGCTTGTTGGCTGTTTTGAGATATGGTCTTGGAATAAAATCATCACTTCTGGTTCAGTAGCTGTCTTCATGAAACCTCTGTAGATCACCAGGAAATATCCGGCGACTGTTCTATTTCCCTGGGAGCCCTGCTTTCTGCTGTTGATCCCGTGTGCAGCGAGGGACTCACAGGTCCTTGAAATGCCACGATCGAAAAGATATATAAAAACATTAGCTGCGAGCCGTTATAGCCTCAATAATGTCGACTATTCACGCCCATCGCCATGCTCAATGGCCAGGCAACAAGGCAGCAGGGCCATAAGGCGACAAGGCAATAAGGCATGAATTCCCAAAATAGCATGGCCCGCTAGTCCATTTGGGGAAGCCGATCATGTGATAAATCTGCACGGCCAACTGACCGCCAAGGCGGTGATGCAGGGGCTGCCGGCAGAATGGCCAGATTTTACGGTCTCCGCGCGTTGGCGATGTCATCTTCTTGATTTTCCCTGCACTCCACTCTGGGGCATGTACGATGCTCGACAATGTCCTTCAATCTGTTGAGGAGTCGAAACCCTCCTGGAGTGGCTGGGCTTAGTCTCTCAATGCGACATGGCAGCTCCGTCCTTTCGATCCGTCGAGCTAGCCCCTTCTCGTTATGTGCGTGTACGCGGTTGCTTTCATCGAGAGCGACATCTCGGAGGTACCTGAGCAGCGAGGCGACGAATGTGAGTTGGTTCAGAGCTACCGGATAACTTTAATGAATGAACTAGCTGACCGCGGTGCAGAATTCTCCTACAAGTTCGGACAGCCCCAAACCCTTGGCCTCCATCGACGACATCCGCCTGAAAACCGAGTTCGAGGAGAATAAAGACATCCGAGATTATCTGCGCAAATGGCAGGACACACACTCGAATGCGCTGGATCCGGTCCGGGGTCCGCAAACCTCGAATGCCGGCGAGGTGTCCTCTCCTTGGATTGGCAATATGATGAATGATCAAAAGGGATCCGACGATATGGATGGTGATGCGCTGCAAGCAGCCGACGAGGACGCCTTGGAATTCGACAATCTTGCTGATGAGGGAGATGGCGTGGGGGACTTCCTGGAACCGGGAGATTTGGTGGCTTTATCACTGTACGTGGCTCTTTTGAGCTTTGGTTTTCTTTTTTCTACGGAACCTTACTGACCTTGTGTTTTTGATGCAGTCCCGACGGTATGCTGAGTTTCGCCGTCTATGTCCGATCAATGTTCAAGCAGCAGCAGTTTTATACGCTCCGGGGCAAATGGCGCGTTGCTGACGACCGTGATATTGAATATGTGATAAAGGGGTTTGCCCCCCGGGAGTTGGTGACTCCGTTGTATCCGCATTTCCCTGACAACATTGCACAATTGAGTCGACACCTGCAATCCACCATCGAGGGCGGCGTGCCGAGACCCGTTGGGGCACCGCTATTGCGGATGGTCAATGCATTTGATGAGCAGGTTCAGGAAGTCTTCCAGACCTATTCGAATCAGTTGGTCAACATGCATGATACCGTGGCGGATGAGAACGATAAAATGGAGTTCACTCTCGAGGAGCTGGCGTGCAGGGCATTGGGTGTCGAGAAGGACCAGTTGACTGATGCAACACTTTGTGCTGTTCATCGGGTCGCTTGTCGAAATCAATTCATAATCGCGCAGGATCGGAGCTCGCTGTTCTCAGACCATTACTTGGTTCAGCCGAAGCGCGTTGCTCAAACCCTAGAAACTGTGACTGCTTGGGTGCGTGCCCATCAAGAGTACCTTATTAGGCTTAGATCCAACAAGGCTCTTGCGGTTCCGATAGAAGCCCCAATGCTGCAGTTTATTCAGAAGGCCCAGCGTCTCATACGTCTCAGCAGGAAAGTGCGCTCACCAACGATAATGGGCTCCGTTGGTCCAACGGCAACTCGATTCCAGCCTGGCGAGGAGGGGAAACCGATGGCCTTCCGCCAAGTGTCGACCGAGCAGTTCAATTCCAATGATCGTATCATTATTGAATTCCTCCAGTTATGGGCCCTTCCAACAGGACAAATGAACTCTGGAGTTTTGCGATCTACTGGGTCACATATCATGCGTTCCACGGGGATGTATGATGGTCTAGATCTAACGGCAGCAACTGCTCCGCTATTCCTGCAAGAAATAGGAGCGATAGCCCCATGGGAGAACCTTCGACTACTGGATCAAAGTGTAGCTCTGCCCGGCCATGGAATTTCGCCGAGCTCTGATGCGGCTTGGGCAGATGTTCAAGAAGCTTGCAAAAAGTTGAAGTCTGATGGTGTCGAAGACACCATGCAGAATGCGAGAACCGATTGGGGGGACTTGCCAGTGTACTGTATAGATAACCCGGACGCCCAGGAGATCGACGACGGTGTTTCTCTGGAGCGCATTCCGGGTTCTGATGATACCTTCTGGATTCGTACCCATATCGCAAACCCGTCGGCGTTCATTGACTCGAATCACAGCATCATGGAATACGCGGCATCTCGTGTTCAGACCCTTTATACCCCCGAACGAACCTATCCAATGCTGCCCGAGTCACTCACTCGGGCGCACTTTAGTTTGGCTCCTAACCGTCCGGCCCTCACCTTCAGCGCCAAAATGAACCTCAAGGGCGAGGTTCTGGAAACAGATGTTTCCAATGGTACAGTCAGAAATGTCATATATATCACGCACCACAAACTAAGGGACTTGTTCGAGCCTGATGGAAAGGGCCATGTTCGGACATTGGAAGTCGGAGGCGGATTCCAAAACGAGCCCCCCCGCAAGAATATGCGAGAAACTCTTTCCCCCGAGGACGAGGATAATTTCCATACTTTAAGGAACCTGATGCTCGCTTTTCGGGAACACAGGCGCAAGAACGGCGCCATGGAGTGGCCCACCCCGATTGACACCCCGGTCTCAATGACTGCAGGCTTGAAACCGTTGGCACCATATAATATGCGTGTGAATGAGGGTCACTATACCTTGGGTGACCCTGTCATTCGTCTGCATCAACGAGACGTGGATCCCCACGAAGTCCCGGATCTCTCAAAGCGTGACTTGGTCTCTTTGTTAATGAATCTGGCCTGCTGGGTCTCTGCCACATGGTGTGCCGAGCGCAACATCCCGGTCATCTACGATGGGACACACTACCACCCCGAATATCCCCATCTAACGAATAACAACATCAATAAATTTGGTGGACAGAGCTGGTTTCAATTGGCTGCACCCAAGGGAATGTCCTCGTCTTCGCCATCTCACCACGTCCCCCTAGGGCTGGACGCCTATGTCAAATCAACTAGCCCGCTCCGACGATACACCGACTTGTTAGCCCACTATCAGATAGAAGCTGCACTGCGGTTTGAGAATAAGCACGGTCGTCGCTTCGATGCCACGGCAGATGAGTCTATCCTCCCATTTTCCCGGGAATACGTGGATAATTACATCGACCGTTCCCGCTGGAAGCGTAACCGCCTCCGGAACATTGACCGGGGATCCAAGCAGTTCTGGGGCTGCATGCTGCTCTTCCGGGCCTTCTATTTCGTGGAGTGCAAGCTGCCCGAGAGCTTCAAGTGTTTGGTTCACAAGCCTTTCACTGCCAACCCAACTGTAGGACCGCAATCTGGACAGGTGTTCGCGGGCGTAATCACATCTCTCGGGCTCCGCTGTCAGATCCTTGCGCCAGCCGAGCTCGCCGATATCGACATCCTCAGCGTGGTGGAAGCCAAGATTATCCAGGTCGATCTATCCCGTCTGCTCGTGATCATGGAAGCTACGCGGGTGGTCAAACCGTTCGAACGAGTCGGCGAATGGCGCTGAGCGTATATATTTTTTTTCTTTCGATGGACCCGGCATCCCTCACATGCTATGATTGTCAATTCCGGTCGGGCGTTATGGCTGCATCAACCCTTCGCAGCAGGGGCTTGCCAACCTCTCCTTGAGGACACAAAATAAGCATCAACCAGGCGTTAAATACGAACCCTCTCATGTACCATATCCACTCTGGTTAGTTTCATGTACTATAGATTTCTTATTTCCATCGACTCCACAATCTGTCCAGCAACGGTTCCCGGATCTGCAGCGCAAAGGAGGAAATTAAACGCACGCGCGCATCCCAAGCTAGGAGGACTGTCGACTACATGGGGTGAGATACCTTGAAAGAACAGGTGTCTTTATTAATCCTAGCGCAGAGACCTGTGAGTTTTCCCATGCGTCACCAAGTTTAAACATGGGTTATTCCGATCGCTGCAGTCGCATGGCTGCCCCAGCCTTTGATGAACTCGAGCGACTGAACCTGATAATCTACGCCAGGGACGGGCAATAGGACCCAGTCAGAGTCAGTTCAGAGTACATAAAACAGCAAATCCAGACAACCGAGAACCGAAGACGATCGCAAAGCAAGAGGCAACCTCCAACCGCGGCAGAATGTGCGAACAAACGCCACGAAACCCCGAATCATCACCCTGATTAGCCCAACACCATCGATTCCACTTATCCAGGTGCGCGGAATGTTTCATTCGTTTCCAGGCCCTCTCATTCGCCACATTCGCCGGTGGACCTGCGGTCCTCGTATTCGGGACGCAAGGATCGTTTGGTACTACTTGCGTGCTGCATGCAAGGGGGCGGTGCAACATTGGTCGGGACAAACAAAGGAATTGTCTATGCGAGTGAGTCGTACCCTGGAAGCTTGTTTCCACTTGGCTGCTGTGCGCTGGTGTAGGTTTCGTGGCTGGTTTGGGTTGCACAGCCGGATACCTGGAGGTATATTTTAGGGGTTTAGTGGCAGGGATTGGTTTCAACGTCCCCCCTTCATTGATTTGCGATTGCTGTACGGAGGACTGGGATGTGCATGGGATTAAGATCGCAGCAGAAGCATAGGCTGGTCAGAATAAAGAATAGAGAAGATAGTACTAAGAGAATAGAGAACGTGAATACTATGCAAACTTAACCTAGGAACTTTCCCCCGAAATCAACCCCCGAATAATCTCCGCGATTTCCTGACAAGTGCCCAGCTCTCGCGGAACGGCATGACCACCACCATGATCGAAGATGTGCGCCTGGTCGGGGTCCCAGAAATTATACAGCGCCATGGAGGCATCGAGGAAGGGGTCCTGGCCACCCACCACGTGACAGGACGGGATGTCGATGACTTCGTCGAACTGATCCGTCAACATCGTCTGTCCCGTCACCGGGTCCATCGGCGGCCATCCACAGATCAAGACCGCGCATTTAATCATCGGCTGGCGGCCTGAGTCGCGCTGTCGTCGCGCCTCCTCCAGCAACAGCGTCGTCGCCATAACCGCCCCCTCCGAGTACCCGATCACGCCGTCAATGTCGCCCTCCGAGTCCAGGATCCCGATCAGCCGATCCATGACTTCGGGGATGTTCGACGGCCGGGGGTCATTGAGCATGTTGACGACTAGACGCATGGTCTCCTCGGGGGTTTCGCGTTTGGGGAACTCGCGGATGCTGAATGCGGTTGTGCCGAGGTTCACGTCGACGAAGGTGTAGTTGGGTGGGGGACCGAAGAAGCCTTCGAATTCGACGAGGGGTATTTTCACGGCGAGGTCCCCTTGGGTGAAGTGGAAATCGGCCTTTTCGCTAGCGTTCAGGCATTGCGAGAGAGGTCCTGGTTAACGCTCTTCGGTCAGTTATGGATTCACTAATGACTGAAAGACTGACATACCGAGTTGTGCTTCGAAGGTCTGAGCCCGGGACACCAGGTCAGAGATGGTCAATTTAGTAGACTTGAATCCAGACGAACGTACCTTTCTGTTGCAATAGCCTCCAGGTAAGCACAAGAACTTCATGGCGACGAGCTATCGGAAATTCAGTCCACGTTCTGACTCGATCTGAAGTAAATGAAGCGATTCGATCAAAGATTTTGTATAACCTTAGGCTCTGACGGTGTCGGCTCGCCTCATGCCTTTTGAAACACAAGAATCTGGGTTTATCACCAAGCGTTATGATGACCAGTTCAGTCAATCAAACGAAAAGAGTAATCCAGGACTTTGAAGATTCACAACAACCGATTCGTCCCCACCTGGGATCTAGGGATGGGGTTACGTACTTGACGGCCGGTTGAGTTCAAAGCGGCCACGAAGGGATATGCAAGGCACGCCAGGACTTTGCCAGAGCTACAGAATGCACATCGACCGCCTGATCTGCCGAGCGATTAAGATCGGTAGACAATGAAAGGGGGCTAGACCTCGTAATATTTTCATCCTCGTGTGCTTTACATACCACGCCATCGCTGTGCGTCGAGAGGATACATTGCGAATTTTTGCGTCTCGTGGGATCATTCTGCTAGATCTCGCGTACTATATATATCTTTTTCATTCATTCTTTTGTTTTTATTTACCCTTTCTTTCGGCATTGCGATGTTAACGAAAGCAGAATCTCCAGACGGATCTCTCGACCCCTTGACTGAAACCGATCAAAACCAGACGATGCATTCTCAGCATCAATCCGCCTCTAATAATACAGATAATAATGACAATGGGAGTACGAACGTGAATGGAGGCAATCAAAATGCAGGACTGGAGCAATTGGCCATTGTCGGCATGGCCTGTCGCTTGCCCGGCGATGTCTCCAGCCCGGAAGATTTCTGGGAATTGTGCTCTCGTGGTAGAAGCGCGTGGTCACCAATCCCCGAGTCCCGATTCAATGCCTCCGCGTTCTATCACCCCAATCCTGATCGTGCCGGATCAATCAGCACGAAAGGTGGCCACTTTCTGAAAGAGGATGTCGGCCTGTTCGATGCGCCGTTCTTCAACATCACTCTCCAAGAAGCACGATCTCTCGACCCCCAACAACGGCTGGCCCTCGAATGTACATACGAAGCGCTTGAGAATGCAGGCATACCGAACCATTCGATCGCGGGGCGCAAGATTGGCGTTTTTGCGGGCGCCTCGATCCCGGAGTACGATATGAACAATTTTAAGGACACGGAGGCAAGTCCTATGTATGCGGCAACGGGCACCGCTGCTTCGCTGCAGTCGAATCGCATTTCATACTATTTTGATCTTCAGGGGCCTAGTCTCACGATAGATACTGCGTGCTCCTCCAGCTTGACTGCTGTGCATTTGGCCTGTCAAAGTCTTCGCGCGGGAGAATGCTCCACTGCTATTGTAGCCGGATGTCACCTGAACTTGTTCCCGGAAGGTTTCATATCCATGACGCGCGCAAGGTAAGAATTGTCATATTTACAATGCCATTAGATACTGATACCCTTTCTCTACCTAGACTACTCTCCGAAGAAGGACGTACATATGCATTTGACGAACGAGGAAATGGATTCGGACGTGGCGAAGGTGTTGGTTGCATCGTGTTGAAACCACTCGATGTCGCGCAAAAGGCAGGAGACGCTGTGAGAGCTATCATCGTGAACACCGGAACAAATCAAGACGGCCGAACAAGAGGAATCACCATGCCCAACGGCGCAGCGCAAGTATCGCTCATGCGCTCGGCCTACGAAGAGGCGGGCGTCGACCCTGCACTGGCAGGATACGTCGAAGCGCATGGCACAGGAACCCAAGTGGGAGATCCAATCGAAGCGACGGCGCTGCATACAATTTTCGGCAAAGGTCGGACACCTCGCCAGCCGTTGTTCATTGGCTCGGTCAAATCAAATCTCGGCCATCTAGAGGGCGCTAGTGGAGTTGTTTCGATAATTAAAACGGCCATGATGTTAGAAAGGGGATTTGTGCTACCGAACTGCAATTTCGACAAGGCAAACGGGGACATTCCCTTGGCAAAGTGGAATATGAAGGTAAGGAAAGGTGCTCGTTCAGGCAGTAGCAACTTGCAACTAGAGCAGAATCATACTTACTCGTTGAAACAGGTACCCAAGAAGTTGGTCCCGTGGCCTCGAGGCAAGCCCTACGCCAGTGTGAACAACTTCGGTTTCGGAGGATCAAACGCCCATGTCATTCTGCGGGCTGGCTCCCGTAGCAAAGGCGACGGAACCATCAAGTCAGACCCCCTGCCACGAAAGCTATTCGTTCTCACAGGCCATGACAAACAAGCGCTTGCGCAGCGGGCAAGTGATCTTAATGCGTACCTTGTGAAGCACCCGGCAATATTCGACAATCAATTATTGGGTAACATCGCATATACACTCGGCCAAAGACGAAGCTTCTTTCAATGGAGGCTTGCAGTGTCCGCATCGGTAGACAAAGAATTAGTCGGATTCTTAACCAGTAACCCCGAACCACATCGAGCGGCGCAAGATCCTGTCCTGGCGTTTGTCTTCACTGGCCAGGGGGCTCAATGGCTTGGGATGGGCAAGGAGTTGATAGCGAACTATCCAGTGTTCAGACAGACAATGCGAGCTGTGGATGCTTGCCTCGCGGATCTTGGAGCTGCTTTCTCAATGATCGGTATGGCCCAGAAACAATGCCCGTGAGCCACTTTTGAAGTCAATTCTAACATTGGATTACAGATGAGTTAGTTCTCGACGATCCCGCTACTAGCTCGCTCTCCAAAGCCCACATGAGCCAGCCAGCATGCACAGCTGTTCAACTAGCATTGGTCGATTTGCTCCGTTCATGGAGGATCAACCCTAGTGCTGTGACAGGGCATTCTAGCGGCGAGATAGCGGCAGCATACGCAGCCAAGAATCTGACTCTAGAAGAATGCGTTCAGATCGCATACGCTCGTGGCCTTGCCTCCAGCTTTTTAACGCAAAATTCAAAGACCCAAGGAGCTATGTTAGCGGTGGGCGCCAGCGCCACGGAGGTACAGCCATTTATCGATGCGCTTTTGAACAAACATGCCGTCATCGCGTGTGTAAATAGTGGATCCAGCGTCACGGTATCCGGAGATGAGGAGGCCATCGTCGAACTACAGGGTGTTCTGGATAAAGAGCAAATGTTTACCCGCCGGCTGCAGGTAGATGTGGCCTACCATTCTCACCATATGAAGCAGGTTGCTCAGCAATATCGTCTCCTGATGGGCAAGGTAGCTCCAAAAGACTCTGACATTCCCTTTCATTCAGCAGTTCACGGCCGGAAAATGTCTGCACCAAACCTCAATGCGTCATATTGGGTGGATAATCTTGTTTCCCGGGTGGAGTTTGTTCAAGCTCTCCAGAGCCTTCTCACGGAGAATCCTAAAGTCAATACGCTGATTGAAATTGGCCCGCATTGCGCTCTTCAGACGCCAATCAAGCAAATTTCTTCGCATAGCTTCTCAAGCAGGACGATCGAGTATCTACCAACATTGAAGCGCAAGGTTGATGCAGTCGAGGCTGCCCAGCAATTCGTGGGCGCCCTCTTCACGCGCGGCTTTCCAGTTGATCTGGGAGCCGTCAATTTCCCCGATACGGACCGTGCACAAAAGCCAACGCTGTTAACAAATATGCCCAAATACCCATGGAATCATTCAGAGCGATACTTTCACATGTCCCGATTGGCGCATAATCTGTACTATAGGCCATCTCCGCGCAACGACCTCCTCGGCTCCCTCTGCATGGAAAACATTGATCTCGAGCCCCGCTGGAGAAATATTCTTCGATTGGATGACTTCCCATGGATTCGTCAGCACAAGGTCCTGGGGAGCAATGTTTACCCGTTGACGGCATTCCTGTCTATGGCGATTGAAGCAATAGTCAAGCAGGCCGAACTGCATCACATCATATTGGAGAAGATCGAGCTTCGAGACGTGTCGATCTCTCGTGCCTTGACCATCCCTGAGGGAGCATCGGTCGAAACTATGTTTACCTTGAGACGTGTGAATGAATCCTCTAGTAGGTCTCTGGATGGTTGGCATGAGTTTAAAGCCTTCTCGTGGGTTGAAACGCGTGGCTGGGAGCAACATTTCCACGGGTTTGTGAAAGGCCAAGAACATAAGGATGCGAACCCGGTTGACGGAAACCGGCGAGAGGCGGCCATTTCAGAGGAGATATCACGGCAATTATCAGACATACAGACTGCATGCACTGTGCCTGTTGAATCCGAGACTCTATACAGCAATGTTGGGAGCAGCGGTGTTGAGTATGGGTGGCTTTTCCGAGGCCTGTCTGACGTGTTTGTTAGCGACGACTTGAAAGCAAGAGCTACCTTTAGCGTGCCAGACACCAAACCGTGTATGCCGAATGAGTATGAAACGGATTGCATCATTCATCCTGTCACACTCGATCATTGTCTCCAAATATTGTGGACACTCCTTGGATACCAGAACGGACAAATGGATGTAACGTACGTTCCATCCCGGATCTCGCAGTTCACTATATCTCTCGCGCGACCTTTCTCTGCAGGCACCCAGTTTCAGCTCTATGCACGACCTCCTCTACCCTCTTCAACCCACCGACCACGGGGTAACCGAATCTTAGTGATGCAGCCCGAAGACCCTGAAAATGCAGCTATTGAAATCGATGGGGTGGTCATGGTACCTATGACCAACGACGGCGGTAGAACATGGGCAAAGGAGCCCAACGCCATGTGCTATAAGCTTCACTGGGAGCCGTGTCTTGACTTCCTCACTACGAAAGACTACAAGTCCTTGCTCGAGGGAAGCAAAGGAGATCCGCACGGAGTCCAGAGAATGCGACTCTTAGACCGGCTGGCTGAGCACTACCTTCGAAACGCTCTGAACCGTGTTTCGGATGAGGAAGTACGCAACCTCGAAAACCACTACCTGAAATTCTACCGCTGGGTCCAGAAGGCCTGCCGTACAGCCCGTCTCGCGGAGCCATTGTCACAACAGACAATTGAATACGTTAGAAACATGAACGGATCAGGGGCCCTCCTGTATCAAATCGGAGAGTCACTTCCGGGGATTCTGCGCGGAGAAGTGGACCCGTTGACCTGTATGCTCGAAGACGACTTGTTGAACAGATACTATCAAGAGATCGATAACATGCGGCAATCATATTCCCAGGTCTCGGTGTGTATCAACCAGATGGGACATCAGAACCCAAACCTAAACATTGTCGAGATCGGCGCCGGAACCGGCGGTGCCACAGTGCCCATTCTGGAAGCACTCGGGGGAGGGAAATCCGGAACAACACCTCGCTTCAGCCAGTATACCTACACCGACATCTCGCCCGGCTTTTTCGAAAAGGCCAAAGTCAAGTTCGAGGCGTGGGACCATCTCATGACGTACCAAACGCTCGATATATCCTCCGACCCGACGAAGCAGGGTTATCAGGCTCATTCATACGACTTGGTTGTTGCGTGTAACGTGCTCCATGCGACTCCGGAGATCAACAAGACAGTCGAACATGTGAGGATGCTACTGAAGCCTGGGGGTAAGTTGATTCTGATCGAGGAGACATCTTTCAAAGCCAGACTTTTCCCGTTCGCATCGTTGCCTGGGTGGTGGCTGAGTCAAGATCCAACTCGCGTTGACGGACCGCTTCTCGATCTCAATGGATGGAACAGTGTTTTGGCGGCGAATGACTTCTCCGGAATTGACATCCAGCTCGATGACTACCCGGACTCCGATGATAGAAGCAGCAGCATCATGGTATCTACGGCGAAGGGCTTGAAGAACGGCCCGGAGAATGACGGCGACATCGTGATTATCGAGGATGGTTCGCAGAAAGAGTCCAATCTCAAGCGGGACTTGAAACAATCATTAAGAGAGTCTACGGGTGTGTTGCCCGTCGAAACAAAACTCACCCAGGCAAACGTCACTGGAAAATGGTGTGTTTTCATTGGTGATATGGACCAACCCATTCTCTCGCAGTTGGACCCTAGCCACTTCAAGAAAATCCAGAATCTCGTCAGTGGAGCTCGAGGACTGTTGTGGGTCATCCAGCACAACAACAAGGACTCACGATCACTCGCCGAGAACATGGTGATAGGTCTTGCTCGAACAGTGAGATCAGAAACTGGGCTGCCATTCGTCACGCTGGATTTGGGTGAGCAGCTAAACATGTCGAACACGGAAGCCACCAGCCACATCGGCAAAGTGTTTAGCGGCGTATTCTGTCAGAAGTCACAGCTTACAGAGGCCGACATGGAATTCACTGTTCGCCAAGGGCGTATTTGTGTATCGCGACTTGTGGATAACGATATGCTCAATTTGAGCATCCAGCAAGAAACACAGGAGGCGCCACCACAGCTACAACCATTCCAGCAGCCGGAGCGGCCGTTGCGACTCACCACCGGCCATAGCCGGATGTTGGATGAGCTGTATTTCACCGATGATCAGTCTCTCGAAGCCCAATTGCCAGAGGATTATATTGAAGTCCGCGTCTCGCATGTGGGTCTGAACTTTAGAGATGTGCTTGTCGCCATGGGCCAGCTCCAGGAGGGCATGCTGGGTCAGGAGTGCAGTGGAACCATCACCGCTGTTGGGTCGAAGGTCACCGACTTCCAAGTAGGAGATCGAGTGTTTGCTATGTCTCCAGGATGTCTGGCGGCTATCGCACGATGCCCGGCCTACTGCGCATGGACTGTACCAAAGAATGTCTCGCTAGAGGTAGCAGCTTCCGTTTCCACAGTCTTCAGCACAGCATACTACTCACTGATAGAGCTCGGACGGCTAAAGGAATGGGAAAGCATCCTCATCCATGCTGCCGCCGGAGGAGTCGGACAAGCAGCCATCATCATAGCACAGTCCATTGGGGCCAGAATCTTCGCCACCGTCGGCAGCCAGCAGAAGAAGGAATTCCTGATGGAGACGTACAACCTAGCCGATGACCAGATCTACTTCAGCCGAGATACCTCGTTTGCCCGGGGGATTCTTCACGCCACGGACGGCGAGGGTGTCGATGTGGCCTTGAACTCCCTGGACGGGGATGCACTGCAGGCAACCTTCAAATGTGTTGCGCCGTTCGGTCGGTTCATCGAGATGGGGAAGAGGGATATCGTGCAGAACTCCAGACTCGAAATGGCGCCCTTTGATAGGAACGTGTCGTTTGCCTCGGTGGATATGAACGTGGTCCGGGAGAAGCGACCGAAGATGTTCAACAGGCTGTTGCGCAATTCCATGGATCTGTTTGTTCGAAGCAAGGCGCGAGTGCAATGGCCTATTACCACGCTCCCAATCTCGGAGATTGAGTCTGGCTTCCGTGCCTTGCAGGGTGGTCAGGTTATTGGGAAGATGGTTGTTCAGATGGTGGATAACGAAGACGACGCCCCTGCTATGGTGAAGGTATGATATCACCTTAATTACCATTCTGATCTGTCCTAATGCTAACAATATTGCAACAATAGGTCCACCCAGCCAGACGTCCCGGTGCTATCCTCCAGCCAAAAGCCTCGTACATAGTCGTCGGAGGAACAAGCGGAATCGGTCTCGACCTAGCTAGCTGGCTCCCAAGCAAAGGCGCAACGCATCTCATCCTTGTTTCTAGGAGCGGCGCATCAAGTGACAACGCCAAGCAGACATTACAAGATCTGACCGCCAACGGAGTGGCAGTCGAAGTATGTCGCTGCGACATATCCAACCAGACAGACGTCACAGAAAAGCTAGGCCATGTCCTTGGCCAAATGCCGCCTGTTCGAGGCGTCATCTACGGAGCCATGGTTCTCCGCGTACGTCCCCCGTTGATCCCACCTACCTATCTCACGCACTAACTTCCCCAGGACATCCTGTTCGAAAAAATGACCTACGACGACTACATGGCTGTCATCAAACCTCGAGTCCACGGCATCATGAACCTGCAAACCCTCCTCGCCACCTCCACCCTCGACTTCTTCATCAACCTCTCCTCCGGCGCCAGCTTCATCGGCAACATGGGCCAAGCCCAATACGCCGCCAGCGGCGGCTTCATGGCAGCCATGGCGCAGTACCCGCACGCCTCCGGGCTTCCCTGCACAACCCTCGACCTACCCATCGTCCGCGGCGTCGGCTACCTCAGCGAAGACCAGCAGAAGCTGGAACAGGTATCCGCGCAGCTCGGCACGTCCGCCATCACGGCCACCGAGATCCGCTGCATCGTGGCGGCGGCAATCCGGAACGAGATCCGCACGTCCAGCGAAGGACACTGCGTTATCGGCTTCGACTTCATCAAATCGACCCCTGTCGCGGAGCTCCCTCACTGGGTGAAAGACGCGCGGTTCTCGAACCTCACCCGTCTGTCGCGACTCATGGAAACAGCCGCGTCGAATACCGCGTCGAAACATATCGCTGCGGAGGTTTCGCCCGCGGTGGCGGTTCGGGCTGCGAGGGCGCTCGACGGCGCAGAGAGCTTAGTCGTGGATGCGGTGATCAAGAAGTTGTCGAGTATCTTGATGAGGCCGGCGGAGGAGCTGGATCCGTCGGTGCCGATCTCGGTGTATGGGTTGGATTCGTTGGTGGCGATTGAGGTGCGGAATTGGATTACGAGGGAGCTGGAGGCGAGTTTGCAGATCTTGGAGATCTTGGCGAGTGATTCGTTGCCGGTGCTGGCGAGGTTGATTTTGAAGAAGTCGGGCATTTTGTCGGTCAAGGTCAAGGAGGAGTGGGGGTTGATGAATGAGGGTTAGTATATTTCTTTATTTTTTTTTGTTTAATTGGTTTGATTTGTGCATTTGAACGATAGTCAAACTTGATAATTAATGTTGAATTAAATTGTGTTTACCGAAATATCTTATCTAATTATATCTAAAGCCAACTTGGACAGGCTACAACTACCTATACCTCCAATGATAAATTTCCAATATATCTCCTGCTAGCCAACGCCCGAGCCTCAGAACTCAGAGGCGCCCTATACACGTTGAACCGGATCTATACTTATCCAAGCTACCAGCTCAGACACTTCCTGCATCGCCACTTGGGGCATATGCTTCTTCCGTATCCTCCGTTTACATTCGACGATAGAAACCAATTCTTCCCGGTCCTTGCGTTCGAGTTGGCTTCAAGCCACCTCGCCCGGGAGAAACGGCGAGTGTGACGTTGGATGGGAAAGGATGACCGGAGTGGAGAATAGCGAAGGAGACAAGCGTTTGCGAATTAGCTTGATGGGTGGACACCGCTAATTATAGCGTCAATCGCGACCCCAATGTGATCTTGGTAATACACCCGGGATGGACTCCGACCGTCCTCATGGAATTAACGGCGCTAGATGATTAGCACCATGTCAGTGTTTCAAAGACAAGACGGACGGAGTAAGGTAGACCCCTTAGAGGATGCTCCAAGTGGATACCGATAGCATCATCCGTCAGATAGAGTGTTGCCGGTCAATATGAAACCGTCGGTTTCACTTGCTCATCTCCGACTGCCTCTATTTAACCGCTGAAGGCCACCATGGAATTTCTCGCCAGCTGTGCCGGCCATACTGTCTTTCTTTCTGCTTTCTTTCTTTCACACGTTCCCTTCCCTTGAAATGAAGCCATTCGTTCCCCTTCTTTTTCCCACTTCCGCACTGGCTGGTTCGGTGCTGTGGAGTGGAGTCTTCAATTCTTCCGACTCTGTCGCCGACTTGGATGACTGTACGTGGGGTTTCTTCATCAATAACGAGAACATACTGACCGTATAGGGTCCTGGTCCAACCAAGTTGGAGCCTATCAATGGTACATTCACGGCGACGGCAAGACCTCCGAATACTTAGAGCTGTCGAGCGATCTCAAGAACCCTGCTGCCAGCGATGCCAAGGGACTACGGACCAGCATCGTATGTCTCTCCTCCATCTATCATTCGAACTGACTCTAACAATCGTGTCTGTAGGATGGAACCGCCACTTGGAACGGCCAAACCATGGAGCGCACCGAACTGATCCCCCAGACCTCCTCCGACCTGGGCTCCGGTCATCTCTACTACCATTTCTCGTTGTCCACGAAGACCACCAACGCGCCGAGCCCGTCTTTCGAGCACCAGATCGCGTTTTTCGAAAGCCACTTCACCGAGCTGCAGTACGGTAGCTCCGGCGGCAAAGACAACACTCTTCGGTGGAACGCAGGGGGCGAAACGCAGTGGTCGGTCCAGCTCGAGGCCGGCCACTGGTATAACTTTGCATATGACATTGACTTTGACGCCCAAAAGGTCGGGCTCTGGGCCAGCAATGGCTCGGACGCGTTGACCCAGGTCGTCAAGCCCGTTAGTGCAGATGCCTCGTCCAACTCTGCGGACTGGCATGTCGGTGTGTTGAGGCTGCCGGGCAGTAGTTCCAGTGATGAGCAGGAGGACTTCTTCTGGTCGGGGGTGTATGTGGAGGAGGGTCCTATTACTACCAAGATCGGATCTGGTAGGTCCTCTGACTCGAATTCTGATGCTTCTTCCGAAGCTTCGACGACTCAAACATCTGCTGTGTCCGCGACGACACAGGAAGTGGCCGCTGCGGCCACGAGCAGTGTTGGCAGCAGCGCATCTACCACCTTCGAAGCTGTCTCCACCGCTGAGCCGACAGGCACCAGTGCTGCAGCATCGTCCGCCTCGGCTGCTGTGACGACCTCTGCTGTCCCTACACCAGTTCCTACTGAAACTACCCCTGCAAGCACGACTACTTCTTCGGCCTCCCTCCCAAGCCCGACGACTGCATCGGAGCTTCTGGCTGACATCGGATCACTTTTGAAATCTCTCATCTCTCGTTCTGGGGTGCATGCACGAGACTTTACTCGTTAGTAAGTCTTTTCATTACAGAATTTTTCATATCCCAGGGACATTACCTTGGGAGTCTGAGGGCGATGCAAGAGGTTGTAAGAATAGAGGATGGGAGAGGAATGGAAGAAGTATTAAATGTCAACTAGTAGTGTTTCTAGTAGCCCGGCCAAATCGTTTTCTGCCAAGTGGCCCCGCTTTTCCTCCACCTCGGAGAATTCGAGGTTTCCATCATCTCTACTCCACCGTCAGCACCCAAAATGCCATCCAGCGATCGTGCTCGTCGGGCTCTGCTGGCTCTTTGGGACTCAGTAATCCAAACAAAAACCAACTGGGACATCGGCAAAATTACTGCCTCGGACCTTAGTCAAATCAAAGTCAAGTGGGACACTTTCCCTCTGGACCATAAGCCAGGTAGTTATATGTGTGCCAGCCCCCCTGTGCTCTTCTGCCCTCTACCTCAAACCGTGCTTGATACGCATCCAGTCAAAGAGGAACCGGGGTTCATCGAATATGCGCCGTCAACCAGAGGCCAAGGGCCGGCAGGGCTTCCGTGGAGTCCGTTAAATTGTGCCACCAATGTCGAAAGGTATCTTTCCGGCTGGCTGAGCCACTTCTCACGAGTTGGTTTCCCCAAGCCACCTCGTGAGGGAGAAACAATGACCAGGTTGAGCCTTGTTTGTGATGTTGGATGGGAACAGATCACGTATTTCCAACGCCCTTTTAATGGCAGTCAACCTTTCAGAAGGTCTCCAAGTTAACGGGTGATATGCTTAGTTTCCCAGATCCTCTGCTTCTCAAAAACGGACTGGGCGGCAAGATCATCGGTCAGCAGAGACTATACGAGGGATTTGCCTGGCAATGGCCGGAGGAGGAAAACGGCCTTCCCAAGTTTCCTCATATCGTCGCGTCCGTTCGCCTAAATTGCGACGTTCACGAAGACACCATTACCTTGGTCGAGCTGACGTTCCTGATTAATGTCATGAAATCACGCGCCAGCCAGCCAGATATTTCGGAACAGGAAGCGGAACTCTGGCACGAAGGGGTTTTCAGAGAGAAAGACATGCAGAATCGACCGCCGGTATTCCCCCGAGAGACGCGATTCCCCATTCTGGTGGTGTCTCTCGTCGGGCCACAACACGGGCGTATGCTGTACGCATGCATGGACAAAGGAGTTATGTCCATTCGACAGTCTAGACTATACAGCTTTGAGAAGAAAGATACGGAGATTCTGGATCTTTTTACGCGCTGGCTGTTGAGCACCCCGATCGCCGAGGGAGATGGTTGACTGTTGCTTGTACTCCAATGATAATAATGATAATACGAGATAATAAGGGTGCGTCTCCCGTGGGGCCCCGCCCGGAATGGCGTACGCCAACCAACGTTCATCAGGTCCCCTGTCCTTGATATTCCACGACCTATGAACAGGCTCATGAGGGCAAGGATTAAGCTGCGCGGCTACGTGGCACGGTTAGTGTTTCAAAGTACTGTTATTATATTTGATGGTTGGCAAGGAGCTACTGGCGCCTTCTTTCCAGAGCCCATTCCAATGAGAAATCCAAAGGTGACCCCAACCCAGTGAGTTCTTCCAGGCCTTATTTATGTCGGTCTCGGTCAATGCAGTCGCTGATATATCTCCCAAAGGCCTAAACTAGCACATACGACCACAGGGTGAGGAGAACAGGGCTTCCCGTCCGCTCAGCCGTACTTAAGCCTCACGCCGGCCGGTTAGTAGTTGGGTGGGTGACCACCAGCGAATCCCGGCTGTTGTATGTTTTTGATTCTTTTTTTGTTGTAGAAAGAAGTCCAGGACTCTGCTCCCTGCTCCTCTGTCGATAACATGGCCTACAATCTTCGTGAACGACCATTCCAACAACCAGGCAACACATATGCTCCCCACGAGATGCTGAACTTGATCGCGGCGGCAAATTCAGCAACTGAACCACATCTGTTCGCGGCAGCAGACTATGTCACCACGATGCTGGTAGATAATCAAGTCTTTTATGCTGTCATGGGGGGATTTTCTCTCCGTCTGCGCGGGAGCACACGGACTACACAGGACGTCGATATCGCTGTTGGATGTGATATGCAGAGACTTCTTGAAGTCATTCGTCCAGGAAAGGTTTGATAGTTGGATTCTGTCCGGAGAATATTGCTTTGAATTGATTTCTAGGATTCGTTGTCCCGCCGGCCCCGTAGCTGGCGTAATGAGGGTGTTCGTTACTGTGGGTGGTGGCAACGAAAGCCCCCCGCAGCATATTGTGGCAGTTGATCTTATTCTTCAAGGTAAGCACGAAGCAGAAGGGTTCAAATCTCTCAATTATCTCGCTGACAAGTCGAAAGGTTCTCTTGGAGCGCCTGAGGATATTTCAACTGCATCAGAGCCTATCACTGCCAGATCCTCGTCTGGCCAGCGAGAATTTATGGTCCTGAATATTAAGGGCATCCTGATAGCCAAGCTGGGTGCATTCTTTGCCCGGACCGCCGACAGTGACTTCGTGGATCTAGAGTTCCTTGGTAGAAACATGGCCACTCAGGTTCATGCTGTCAGGCAACAGTTGAACGCGGAGCACCGGCAGGCGTTTATCAACGCATATAGTCGGCGTAACCAGTCGGATGCAAATCGTGTTCGGCGCATGAAGCATGCCTTCGGAGTTGCGTGAAAGCCCCCACGAAGGTCAATGTACAAGCCTATTAAACTTGCGGAGGTCGCATTAGGCATATAGACCTGTTTCAACGAAAGCAGGGCTTGAGCACGTATTGGCCACTAGACGTGTGGCCTAGTCGTATCTAACCGAGGATCCCCTTGACCGTAGGCAAAGAATCTCGTTGCAAAATACTCAACCGGAAGTTCCAGCGAAATCCGCTTTTGCTTCCCCCTGTCAATCTCTTGCCATATTTCTCGCAGCGGTCTTGCGTGAGCCGGGACTCCTGGATAATCAAACGGGTCTTCACCAGGCAACATCGATGCTAGGATCTTCGCATTCTTTTGCTTCGCATAGGCCACGTCGGTCATTTTATCCAGGTTTAGATGCTCTTCCCCCCATTCTTCAGTGAGATTCATCCCGTCAATCAGATCAGTAAGATCCACTCTCCTCTGAGTGTCTAGGAGACTCTGGGCATATGATTCCAGTTTAGGATACGGAAGACCAGACGGACTGCGGTCCACATCATAGATATTGAAGGCACAATCATCCGAGGGGAGGATTTGAAAACGCAGAGAAACACCTCGGAGTTTAAACCGCGGAAAGGTATGTGTTAGAGCACCGGGTTGGAAATTCTCCGGCTTCCAGGGCTGATAGACCTTGTCATGGGGGTCTGATTTCAGCAGCTCCACAGCTTGGCTGACTTTCTCCGTAGGAACACATATCTCAAAGTCCTGGAATCAGTCACTCACCGGGATGCTGTTCTTGGATGTGTAATGAGAATGGGACGTCTTACACATCGCACGCGCCAGGCCCCAAACCAGACCAACGCTGAAGCCCCTGCCATACAGCAGGGGATGCCTGCATCTTCGAGAATGCGAGTAACGTCCCTAATCTCCCTCACACCGCATCGTTCGGGGATGGTATCACCCGGCAACCCAAAATCCACCGGTGACTCGGTTACTGCCATAGTGGGTGAGAGAAGAATGGATGGAGACGCCGACGATGGAAAAGATGGGACCCGCCGGGTTAACATCGGTCCGAATGGTCGCCTATAGATCCTAAATGGACCAATCACAACCGTTTCAACTCATAAGTTGTATAGCACCCCAAAGATTCACACCACATCACCTATATTTTCATAATTGCCTCCTATAATCCGTCCTAGGACCAGCTGACATCGGAAATTATCGGACACCACCAATCCCGGATACAACGTCCCCCAAGGTACTGAAATCCTCCCACACCGATTTCTTCCCAATTCTGACCTGTCACTGTAGATCCTGTACAGCTGCATCAAATAGCTGCTTTGACGTCCAAACCCCGCTTCGCCACTTGTACCCAATAGCCCAACTGCCACCAGTCTTCCTGACGCAGTCAAGTCATTCGGTGTGCAGTATGTCGTGTACGTGCTATTTCTCTATTCGATCACCCTTTCGCATCAATCCTTATATAAGGCATCCGAAAGATCACCTCCTCGCATGATGCTTCCAGCATCGCAAACATCCTGTCTTCAGAATGTCTATCCGTGTTGTTCGCGAGCCAGCTAATGCCAAAGCTGAGTGAGACTGTCCCTTGTCCTTACACCCATTCCTATGCTCAGTTCTAACCATGAGTGTCACTGTACTGCAGCATCGTGCTTGTCCACGGCCTCCTAGGCGACCAAGCACCGTGGACTTCCGAGGCCGGTCTCTTCTGGCCTGAGAAGCTCCTTGCCGCAAAGGCGGGTGACGGATGTATTCTCTCCTTTGAGTATGACGCGACCATCAGTTCGTTCTTCGACGAGGATGCCGAAATCAACGATATCTCTGGCGACTTGATTAACGAGGTGATGGATCATCGGCTCGAGAAAGACAAGGTGAGACATAGTCCCAAACCAGCCCTTGTGATCGAATATGCTGAGAATTAAATAGGAAGAACGAGCCCTAATCTTCGTTGCACACGGTCTCGGTGGCACAGTTGTGGAGAACGTACGTACTTTTCCATCCCTACTTCTAATCCTCCAACTGAGAGTATCCAGGCCCTCGTCCGAGCAGCGCAACACCCCAAGAAACGCGAGCTCATCGGCTACGTCCAGGGCATCCTCCTGCTCGGAACACCTCACTTCCAAGATAGCTCTCTATCCGCAGCCACGAAGTACTTCCAGTTCGCCAACATTCCCGACTCAGAAATCCCCGCCGGGTCTGACCTCAAAGAAAAAGCCCACCAGCTAATTTCCATCCCACCCGCCTTCTCCGCCCTCAAGCAAGACGGCGCCGAGTTCGAGATCGAGGGCTTCTACGCCGGCGTGAAAACGAAAGCAGGCGGGAAAGACGTCAAGATCGTCGATGAAGATCTGGCCCGATGTCCTGAGGCTCCTCCGCCTGAGAAGCTGGCCCGGAACCAGCTGCGTTTGAGTCAGTATGATGCCGACGATGATAAGGATTTTAAGAAGGTGGTGCGCGTGATTGTTCAGTGGATGTCGAAGATTGTGATTCCGGAGGAGGAAAAGGGCGCGCAGAACGTGTCGAATGCTACATTTTCTGGGTCCCATAATTCGGGCTTGCAGCTTGGGCAGAACGCGGGGCAGTTGAAGGGATTTAGCTTTAGAAATGGTTGATTTGGGGTGTATGAATCGAGGGACTCTAGGAGAATGATAAGTATAAGTCAAGTGTTGGTGACATATTTGTTAGCATGTTCAATCAAGATGAGATTACAAATGTTTTGAAGGGCATTTTTTTCCCACTCTAGTATTATATACACACCATCCTGTTTGGGAATATTCAAGAACAGAGATGTTTTTTGACCGGAACTATTCCCGCAGATATCCATCTATCCTCCTACCGCACATCACGGAACCGAAGCAGAAAGTCCATGAAGCACAGTAGAAGCGGGGAATTACAATCCACGTAATTGCACAAGCCAAGGCTATGAAATCATAATCCGAAGTGGTTGGGCCACCTGGCTGAGAGGCTGCAGGCTGTCGCCAATCATTTAGACTAAAGGCCATGCATCCTGCAGCAAGACGCAACCCCCGCCCGACACCTCCGAACGCAGATGATAGAGCTGATTCCTCGACTTCAATGTGAGTAAGGTGGACGATTGCATGTTGCAACACCTGTTGGGTCTCTATTGGTTGGAAATTGAGGTTGCGAGGTGAAGGCCCAGAGTTTGCCTTGTCACATATTGCGTTCTCTCAGCTACCAAAGCGAAGGACAAGGCTCGCATCAACTGCAAGCGTTATTTCAGCACTCAACTCATTTTTGTCGCTTCCTATCCATCAAGCTCACTCGAAACTAACAGCAGCCATGGGAATGGCAACTCAGGATTCCGACCTGGCCCAGCTATGGCAGCAGGCGGTCGAGGACTACGAAAAACGGACCAAAAGGAGTCTCCGACTGGCCAAGTCGCACGACATAAACGATATCATGCAAAGTACCGAAGGACTGTCCCTTGAATTCAAGGAATTTCGTCACGATCGGTCAAAAGTTGAAAAAGTGCGCACGGCATTCAAAAACAATATGTGGTTGATCGAGAAGGTGGTTAACACGGTCAATGTGGTTGGGAGTTCGACATCGGTGCGCTGCGTCTTGAATATATGCATTCTTGATGATAATAATTGATGTAATTCAGGCATTTCCTCCCGCGATGCCGGCCTGCTTGATTTTCACGGCCTTTGGGCAAGTCATGGAGGTGCGTACTCGAAAGCCACCCAGTTCAGAGAGCCGTGCCAGCTGATAGCCGTCTAGTCCTTTGCCACCGTGTCCGCGGATTATGACAAAGTCATGGGCTTTTTCGACTTCACGCATCGATTCTTCGACAGACTCTCGATAATCGAGAACAGAACCCCACAGCAACAGCCCTTTCAGCGCTGCGTCTCGCGCGTCTTCTCGGGCATGCTGATAATCTGCTCCGTCGCGCAGGAATATGCGGCGCGGAAGAGATTCAGTAAGTATTGCGTTCTCCCACCGACTCAAAGATATCTATCGGGTCCGTAGCTGACTTCTCCAGAAAAGTGGTTCAGCAGCTTGATCGACGGATCGGATGAAGCCCTTGCGGGCGCTATCTCGAACATGGCAGAAGCCGTGAACGAGCTCGCCCAGGCGGTCGGGCTGTCTACTCTCCGGACCGTGGAAGTTATAGACGAGGTAGTTCAAAACATGAACGGGAACGTCGAGTTCCTGGTGTCTCAGACCAGAGTATTCGACAAGCGAACGGCCGCCATTCAATCCGACACTGGAAGAATCATCAAGCAGAACGATGAGCTAGAGTCGAAGCAAGACGCCATGACAGAAATGCAGAAAGAAACGATGGAGAAGCTTAACGAGCAATCCCAGCTCCTGAATGACGCGGTTCGAAGTTTCGGACATATTCAGTTGGGCGGGAATTTTGGCGCGAGCTTCCAGACCAGCTTGTTGAAACTGGACGTGGTGCGTCTTCGACTGACCCGTTGGGGCCACGCAGTCGGTTTGGCGAACCTAAACGACGTGAAGTCACTGAAGACAGCGGACCTTGCGCCTGAGGATAAAGAGCAGGTGCAAAGTCTTTTAGAGCAGATTATGGAGCTGTTCGAAGACGCCGAGTCAGCTTCGAAGCGGTTTAAGAAACGAGCTGGGAAAACGGCCGCCCCGGCGCTGGATCCAGCTCAAGAGCTAGACAATGTCTCAGCATCTCTTCACCTGAAGATGCAAAATCTGGCCATAAAGCGACAGGGCGAGATCACGCTGGAGCAGAGCGAATGGACTCTGTATGAAGAGAAGAGCTTCATGCGCCTGATCGAGGATATCAGCGAGTTGGTGGACGGGTTGATTGACCTCTTCCCGGAAAGTCAAGAAGAACAGCGTCGAATGTGCGCGAGTGAAGTGTCTGAGCTGAGCACCAATGACGAATCACTCCAGCTGCTGAAAGAGGCTGCTGCGGGTCGGGACAAACTGCTGAGTGATACAGTGGTCAAAGCCATCCATTGTACCTCTACCTACACGAACAGTGTGGTGTTCTCGGGGCCTAACAGCGGCTTCCAGGTGGGAAACAACTCGGGCAAGATACATGATGTCCGCTTCAGTGGGAGGTAATTCTATCGGATTGCAGATAATGGTATCGTCGAGCAAGCTTGATGGGTGGTGAGATGTACCTAGATTATTCCAGCTTCCAGAATGTTCGTCCAAAATAACATCAGACGAACGGTAAACGGAATCTGGATCTTTATAGCATAATTCACTTAGTTATGGCATGATTCACTTCTATCATGAGATTTTACTTCCCGTCGAGACCAGAGAAAATCCATGAATTTGGATCTGCCTCAGGTTTGCATTCTACAGAATGCTTTTTGACAGAATCTCTTGATCTAAGACGGTAGAGTCTGAATTAGTGAAATCAAGAGAAAGCGAGGAAAAGAAATGATGGAATGCTTGAATTGAGGAAAGGTCTCGAAGACTAAAGCCTGCTGTTGGTGGTATAGACTAACTCGATTGGGCAGTTTAAGGCCTCAGGCTCCAACGAGACACCTAAGGCATCTAGCTCCCCGAGTACCGGACTTTTATCCAGCAAAACCACATCCAACTATCCCTTAACAACCTCCGCAATGACATGCGGAACGACACTCCCAAGCTTCTCACACGTCTCCATAAACTCCCTCTCTGGATTCGAATACGCCGTAACCCCAGCCCCAGCCTGCAGCCACTGCCGAGTCTGGTCCTGGAACACAGTCCGAAGGACAAGAGTGGCGTCGAAGAAGCCTGCCTCATGGTCCAGAATGAGAGCAGCACCACAGTAAAGATCGCGAGGCTGATGCTCAAAGCACCGGATGGCATCCATATTACTCTGGCCCGGGAGACCGGGCACCGTGATGTTAGCCACGAGGCCCGGCAGCGCATCCCATCCGTCCTTCCCGGGCGTCAGCTGCCCGCATACATGGGAGAAGAGATGTTGGACGTTCCCGCGGGGCATGACAGTCATGAAGTTCTTCACGGCGATGCTATCGGCCGGGCAGATCAGGCCTAGACGGCGCATCGAGCCTCTGATGGCGATGACGTGCTCGTTCACCTCTTTCGGGTCGTTCAGGAGCTTGTGTCGTGTGGGTTCCATGTCTGCGCCTTCGGCAAGCTGCGTGCCAGCTAGGGCTTCTGTGAAGATGGTGTCACAGTCGATTGAGACTAGGACCTCTGGGCTGAAGCCTGTTGCTTGAATGTTGCGGTGCTTGAAGGAAAATGTTCGCGCGGGAGTGTTGGCCCGTCGGCCGTGGAACAGAGTTGCTGGCATATCGACTCTGTCTGGCAGGTTTACCATCCGAGAGGGGATTGCTTTCGTGTATTTCCCCTGCTTTATCTCCTCTATTGACTGCGCCACGCGGGACTTATAGTTCTCTGCCCCGGTTTGCACATCGACGGTGGAACGAGATTCCGGAATGACGATATCGGGGCTGTTGATATGTCCATGGATCAAGTCGACCAGGGAATCGGCCTCCTCCTCCTTAAATCCAGCAACCATGATCCTGTCCCTGCTAACAGTGACTTGAACGGAAGGAACAACCAGGAGCAGAAGAGGCCATGTGCCCGGGTTGTATGCTTGGCCGGCAATGTGAGCATGATAGTTGAACGCGACCTGACCGAAGATCTTCACCCCGGGCACCGTATACTGCGCAATGAACTTTCTGGCGACGTCGTTCAAGGGCTCGCTGACGTCTTGAGATTCCTCTTTCCCATCTCGATCAATGATGGTGGCTTTCTTACCGACGCAGTCAACCACGAGAGATACCTGGTTGCGGATACCGACGTACCAGGTATCTTTGTGCTCGTACGTCCAGTAATCACTCTCCCGGTGGCGAGCGAGCAAACCGACAACCGTTTCAAGGCAGTCTTTGGGACCTGGCAGGGCAATTGGGCTCTTGAATTGGGCCATAGTAGAGAAGCTGAAGACAGTGCCAGTAAACCGCGAACAGTACTGTTACAGACCAATTGCAAATCTGAACTTTCCTTCTCCCAAGTTATCTCCCGGAAAATGATGACACCCTTTATATCTATCAGCCCCTGAAATTGCTGCTCCCTGTCACCGACGTTTGTTCCTTCGCTGAAAATGCGAGGCCCGAGCACGTTCATCTGCAGAATGATGTCACGTCACTTCTCTGATGCAGAGCCTTTATGGCGTTCCTATCCTGTCAGAACATTGTCCCCTGACAGTCCCCACAACACTCCGGGATGATGCATGAGTGGAAAGGTTTACCGCCCTGCGCGAAACTTAGCGGTGTTCGACGCTGACTTGTTCTCTTTCCAGCTACCGCTCCTAAAGTCCCTCGACTCTTCCAAAGTTGTCTGCCACGTATTCTGCAGATACGTGGTCGTGCGCATGCTTGCATAACATAGCTAAACAAACCCCATATTCATACCTGTACGCAGGGGAGATGCCGTACGTAGACACGTAGGGTACCAGTAAGTACCAGATAACAGAATACATGGAATTCTTCTTTTCCTTTTAATCCCGGTCCGTCACTGATACCTACTGGTAGCTATGGTGACCGTTCCCTGAGGCTCTATAGGCCTTATGGTATATATACCTGTTCCGGGTGATTTCGTGTTGACGGAAGTGTTTGAATTGATAAAGATCTCGAAGACCGCTGACTGGTTAAAACCAATTGTGGGTCATGTAGACTAAACTAGATCAAGCATGCGAAGGCCTGAGGCCCAAACATTTCATTACTGCAGGGAGTATGAAGCACAGGCTGCAAGTGATAAAAAATGCCCCAAGACTTTCGGCTTCGATCTACTTTATTCTTTGGAGCTGTAGTATACCACTTCGACTGTAGAAAAATGCCAGCTAATAATTTTGCAAAACTGCGTTTCAACATGCCGAACTATCCACAATTCTGGATTCACATATAATTCAATCAGTTTATAGAATTCACTAAAAGCATTATATACAGAAAGGGCGGCTTGTCGTCCGCACACATTAGAGGAACAATGAACAACCTCTACATCGGCGAAGAAAGGACGCAGAGACGACATCGACTCATGACAATGGATTATCCGCGAATGAAAGAAACAAGACATGGCCGGACTCACAGCCAACAGCCACATTTGTTCCTGACACGCAGAAACAATCTAAGTCCCTGGGCTGATATTCCCAAGGCAAAAATAGCAGCTTGTCTCCTTTCCAGGTGATCCAGGAATAATCATCTGTTATTCCGTATGGGAGGCATGGCAAAATACGGCACTCCATAGCGCTATCCCTAGCCTGATAGATAGACTCCATATTCAGTATGCCTTGGCTCGTATGAAGATGAGCCTCGTCAATCCTATCAAGCCTAACAACACCAACGGACGGCTCAATGGTCTCTGAGCTGTTGGAATTGATTGAATTCCAGATATCAAAAAGGAATTTGCTCTCAGAAGTCCTTGACAATATTCTTCCAAATATCTCTGGGTACTCCAAGGTTCCAAGATGTACTCCTGTCGTTGAGTCGTGAATGGTAGCATGATCGCAATGTCCTGATGCAACGCGAGTATTGTCATGCGACCATACCAGGAACTGAATCTCTCCCGACCGGTCCCCAATTTTTGGCTGGTCAAACTGAATGTACTGCTCCGTGGCTAGGTCCCAGACTCTAACTGTCTCACTCAACTGGGAGGACGACGCAAGGCGACGACCATCGTTGGACCAGGCAATTACTGTAGTATGGCGAGGGTGTTTAAGCTGCTTAAGACACCGTCCGTTGGCTGGATTCCAAATGTGGATGTCTCGGAAAACATCGTAACTTATACATGCGATTTGGGCCCCGTCCGGCGACCAAGCTATGACTTGAGGCAGAAAGCGAAACAGACTACCCAGTAAATTTTCATACTCAACAAGAGCGTCTCCTGAAACTGTATTCCATATCTGAGCCTTTCCGTGCGAGAGGGTTGCTAGTCTTCCGTCCTGCGACCAGGCAATAAACGTAGGCCACTTAAAAGCCCCGGCAAGGGTGCAAATGTGGCGGCCAGTATTGAAATGCCAGACTCTGATCCTGTCAGAATCAATGCCCTGTGAGTGAAATGATATGAGCCTGCTTCTGTCAGGCGAGCAACAAATTGAAGTGACCCGTCCATGGGGCCTCTGGAGATCGGGATAGGAAGGTTCACGTAGAGATGAATTCCATAGCCGAAGAACTTCGTAGAAAAGGGAGGAGGTCAGACTTCTAACCGGTAACTCCGTAGGAGAAGATGTGCTCCAGATCCTGACAATGTCCCCAGAGCAATATGATGTGAGTCGACCCCCTTGGGGATCCCAAAAGAGGCGCTGGATTGATTTGAAATGGCCATCAAATCGGTCGAGGCACTGCCCAGTTCGGGTGTTCCAGATGAGAATGGAAGCTTCTTCTGATCCTGATGCCAGACGATTCCCATCAGGCGACCAGGAAACTGTCGTGATCGCACCGATGTTCCCTCGCAAACATCGATGGACCTTCCCAGTATCCAGGTTTTCGATGTCAATTTCAGTGGTTCGGTTGGAGCGAACGATGGCGAGTGTGCGTCCATCAGGGGCACAAACAGGTCGGGGGCCAGAGAAATGGAAGGGGGGCCAGCCTCCCGTTGCTGGATCCGGTCGTCGTTCTGTTGCACGGTATTTTCTTGCAGCTCGATCCCAAATTATGTCGAGAAGGTACGACCCCAGGCGGAGACGATTGCCATCGTGAGAAATAAAAAGCATATCAAAATCACGAAGGCCCTCTATATTCTGCATACACGGGTGAGCGGTTCCATCTTGATCCCAAATCCTGATCTCCCTGTTCGACAGCGATGCGAGTTGCCTTCCATCCCCCGACCAGTGAATCTCCAGATGATAGACTTTTGGATACTCCTGAATTGCTCGAACACATTTCCCGGTGGTATAGTCCCAGATGAGAATCTTGTTGTCGACTAAATATCCCCTTGGGGGTTCGTAACATATCGCGGCAACTTGATGGTGGGTCTTGTTAAATAACGCTTTGCTACGTGATCCTTCCGATATTTTCCTATAGCTAGCATGTCTCTCAAGTGCGATAGTTGATATGCAATGTCCAGTTCTGGAGTCCCAATGACTGACAGTCAGATCGGTGCTCATACACAGCACTCGAATTCCATCCGGTGACCAACCAATGCAGGCAATCTCAACTCTAGGCTCGATGGTATGAAGGCATGGACTCCAGGACTCCGATATGACCGGCTCTGTGATAGTCCAGGCTGCTCTTTTGGCCTGGTAACAGACCTTGACCGCGCTTTTGCTCGGACTGAAGATGAGTGCTGAGCTATAAAGCTGAAGTGGACTATTCTCAATCGCAACCCGATGATAGCGAACAAACCGGCAAATGTCTTTAACGAGCTCCGACAATCTTTGCGGACACGGTCTATGCTAATTGTGTTGTCAGAATCCAAGTGAGCACAATTAATTCCCCATGTTGCAGGTACTGACCTCAAGGAACTCCTCAAGTTTTGGCATCCCCAAAAGTGCTGCTGCAAACTGTCGGGAAAGGCTAAGAGCTTCGAGCCAGTAAAGTAATTTCTGCCTTAAAAAGAGCACCGTTGCGCCAGCGTCCATTAAGAACTCTTCGTCATCTGGATAAATTGTTTGCAGCAGATGGTCAATCCAATACACACAGGCATATCGTGCGCGTCGCAATGGATCTGAAGTGGGTGTCGGGACGTCCTCAATCTGGCACCCAGGGTGCTTGATACTGTATATGTTGCGCTGAAGAGTCGAATTCATCACTTCAATTGATCGGCAGAATATCTCGCGATTTTTCGTCTTCACTGCAGATGGCAATCCCGTGTCCGGATTTGTCAAGAAGTCCTTTGCCGAGTGATGCACAAACAAGATGGCGTTCTCGCGAAGTGTCAAGAATGAGCCACAAAGCTTGACAATCCGCGTTATCTGAAAGTCGGCCGAGTTTTGTAAAGGTGGATCTGCAAGCGCCGAGAGTTCTTCTATCGTCAGAGGTCGATATGCGGTGCATGCTATGGCAAGAACCCCGCGACAGAGCTCTGCATTCGTTGAAGCTTGGATGTCACACATCATACGTTGGTATAGTTTACCCAGACTCGGTGGTGATGATTCCAAGATAGATTGCACTTTCGAGTCGTGCGCTTCTTCGAGTTGATCGCATACCAAAGCTGCCCACAGGAAGGTATTGTTTGCGTTTGATACCAAATAGCTTTGTGCAAAGTCTCTGGTGTCTTGGCTGTAGCAGTTACGCTCTGCGAGAAAATTCACCTTGACCTTGATGTATCTTCTCACTGCGTCGGCCACAGCTTTCTCGTTCAGCTCAAGAGACAGCGCTGAGCAGTACGACACTGTCAGATGACTCTCAATGATAGGCCAGTTGCGACTCGAGACCACCCATTTGACACGGGGGTTTGCTGTCAGCCGCTGTACCAACCCAAGAAGCCGTACCAGGTCCGTGGCGCATTCGTCCAAGGCATCGATGATCAGTATGGTGCTCAGCAAACTCGCGTCTTCTAAAATACTTTCAAACATTGCTGCTAGAGCCTGAAAAGCATTCATGTCCTCGAAAAGGTCTTTTCCTTCACGATCATACCGTGGTCGGATATGAGAAACAAGAGTCGGCTGTTGCTCCACCAGCGAAAAGATCAGGCCGCGCAGGACAGCGACGGCATTATTGAGGTGAGGCTCACTCGCTTGACATAAGAAATATGAGATCACGCTCTCTCCAGGACTTGCTGTCAACTCGTCAATGATGCCACAGATGAGCATGGTCTTCCCTTTGCCCGGATCGGCTCGAATCCACAGCAGCCGGTCATTGGGATTACCATGTTGATTGTCTCGCCATTTATTGAACTCTTCGTTGCTCAACACCCAGCAAAACGAATCCTGTAACAGTCCTCCTTTCATACTCTCGATGCGAGTCTTGTCGTCGCGAGGATTGGTTAGTCGCAGATCGCGTAGGCATGCTTCGTTTCGGGTGGCATCAGATGGTCCTAACAAAAGAAAAAAGGCAGTTGTTAGTAAATCCTCACGGTCGCTTGGTATTTGAGCTTACCATGATGATTATGAAATTCCGCACTACCAGTAAGCTGGCCGATCTAAGTCCCATAGTTTTTGGAATGGTCAAACGAGGCTGTGGAGTTCATTGTACTGTCAAACGCAAGTTGCAAACAAAGAATTCCTGAAGCGATCTGGCTGGAAGGCCTCACCCAGTGGCAAGTATCCAGAAATGCAAAACGCAGAATGTAGAATGGTATTCTAGCAGCCATGGCGAGAAAAAGAAAATCCTTTCAGGTGATCAACTGGCATTAGTCTCATGCGGCAATACCCAATGCAATAAGAGGGACATCCTGCCCTCTGAGTTGCACCATGCCCCAGTTGGCCTGAGCATAATAAAACCCTGAACTTGTTTGGTTTTATGTGGCAGGGAACAGAACCAAAGACTTGGTTTATCGACTGAAGTGAGATGGCGACGGTGTGTGCCAGTGTCTTTCAGGCGGATGTCAGGTGCCTCCCTCGTTTCGAAAGAGGAAGCAGCTCAGCAGTCCCGTCTAGAGCAGGGCAATTCATGCTAATTTATCCTATTTTTATGAATTGCTTCATCTTTTTTCGCTTGCTTCGGGTAATTGTTGCGTTTTTAGATTATTCCCTACGTTATTTGCTTACTTTAGGTCCTACCTAATTAAATGAGAAACTGATCATTATCAGAGACCGACTGTTTCGAATTGGAACTTGAACAATATTGATACACCAAGGCAGTAGAAAGCATGAACCCCTTCTACTAAATGGCTGGAGTCTTCATAATATTATTCTTTCTCTTGATACACTCATCTCATCTAGATAAAACCCTCCTCGCCGCCTAAACCCTTCCTCCCAACCCCGTTCTCCCCCCAAATGTAGCTCCAATATCTCCCCACCGCACATTCGCAAAAGTCACCCTCGTATCAGGATACAACTTCTCAATCAACTTGGGATCTCCCTCGGTGGCATTACACGGTCCCGCATCCCCGCCATCCAACCACTGCATGAACGAGCCGGAATCGTTCCAGATACTAAAAGCGAGAGTCATCCCACGGGCCAGGGCCTCGCCCATCTGCTTCATGCCGCCGAGGCGGGTGAACGATGAGGCGGTCTCGGAGCAGAAGGGCTGCGTTAGGGAGTCGATCTCCCGGTCGTTGACGTGGACGACGGCGTTCTGGATGACGCGGCCGGATTGGATGTAGAGGCGACGGATCTCAGACAGCGGGCTGGTCGAGGTGTTTGCTGCGGTGAGGAACTGCGTGACAACGGTGAATGGGCGCGTGGTGTCGACGGTCGTGTCGGGTCCGTAGCCGTAGAAGGATTTAGCGCCAAGTGCGTACGGGTTGAATCCGCAGCCGGGCTTGTCGCAGACGCCGGAGTCGCCGCATTCTGCGCCGGTGCACTCGTATAGACGGGTGGTGTTGCACGAGTGGGGCGTGAAGCCGGTGGCGCGGGCGTTGGCTTCCCAGATGTCCATCTCGTTGCAGCAGGAGCCGCGGTCGGCGGTGTTGGCTTCGCCGTTGATCCACGGGGTGGAGTAGCATTGGGCGTCGCAGTATCCGGTGCCGTAGGTGGCGCCGGCGGGATTGAGGGCGCTACGGCCGCCGGAGGGCAGCATGTCGGAGAAGTAGAGGGCGCCGTTCATGCCGCAGACCAGGGTGGAGACGTCGACCTCGAAGGCGAATTCCTGGTTCAGGAGAGAGGGCGTATGGTAGGACTCGCCGTCCTCGGCGAGGAGGTAGACGCGCGGCGACACCGAGCGGGTTTGGTTGGTGGTGGCATCACGCAGGTACTGGCGCAGGGTCATGCGCGAGCCGCTGGTCTGCACGCCATAGTTGCTGTAGTCGGTGATGCCTTCGACGACGCAGTTCTGGCTGCAGGTCTCTTTATCGGGGCAGATGGAGGGGTCGAGGCCGGAGGCGTTGGTGCAGGAAGTGTTGGTTCCGGCTTTGTGGATGGGGTGTGTGGCGGCGTCAAGCACAAGAGAAGTGTTCTGTTGCACGCAGCCATTGTGACGTGTACAATGGTAGGTGGTCAGCTGAGGATGCACTTCGGGGATGGTGCCGATTTGTTGCGCCGTAATCAAAGGGAGAAGGGCGAGAAGGGCGAAAGTCCGCGCCATGATGCTCATGAAGTGGTTCCTGCCAATTGATAGAGATTGTCCTGTGAGGCAAGACAATGCTTGTATGCATTTCAGGGGGTACCAGTTCTTTATAACCCAACCGAAATTGAGATAACCTGCCATTAGGCTCATGATCTGTCAATCTTCGGAAATTTCGATGTGACATGACAGATTAGTTTAACCGTTGGAAATCAGGGTCAGGCCAATCAACAGCGACATCGCAATATACTACCTCTGACAGCTCGTGGGGATAGCGCAATGCCGGCAAATTACATCGGACCGGCGGTCCGTACTGAAGCATTCTGAGTCTGGAAATGTTTCATCTGCAGGACTATAGATTGAGATCAACAGGGCGGGAAAGCTCGCCACGGGCCAAAGCCGGGGTAGAGTATGAAGAATGTGAATAAATGCCCGGCAGTGTAGGGATCATCATCAGAAGACACCTGCAGACCGGAAAAATGAATGTGGGGTTTTGTTTCGCATTTCTTGGAAGTCTTGGAGAGGATGTCTAGTCCGTGTCCAATTCGGTAGTCGAGGATCTTTTCCCGATGGGCTGTTGGCCGAAGAACACGGAGATCGGCCAGTCTTTAGCTGAAGCACAGTTTGCATCGAATGTTGGAATTGAAAAGATTCGTTCCATGTTTCAGAAGGACGCTCATCTGTCAGTCTGCGGTCTGTCAGATTGTGGTTGAGTGGAGATTCGTTTTGCTATTAGCCTGAGCATCGACCAAGCCTATGATTCCAAAATTTATTCATACAAATATTATAGTACAGATGTTCCAAGGTGTTGTCTATATCTCAAAGACCTCTTTCACGAGTGTCTTTTTATTTACTAGACAGGAGATGTTAGCATTGAACACATCACTGGTGCAATGGACTCACCCTTTCCCATAGCATTTCTCGGGATCGGCGTATCGAGAATCTTCATTTCCTGTGGCATCTTATAAGCTGCTAGTCGGTCTTTCAGTGCTCGGCGCATATCCATCGGACCCCATGGTTTGCCATTGCGACCAGTGGGACCATCAGCCTTCAAGACAACGATGGCAGCGACTCTTTGGCCCCATTGTTCAGACGGAAGGCCAACAACAGCAGCTTCGGCAATTTGCGGGCTAAACACATTAGTACGAGTACGACATGCAAAAGGGTGAAAACATACAGCGAAAGCAACTCCCTCTCGACCTCAAGTGCGCTGACCTTCTCACCACCAACCTTGATGATGTCCACGCTTTGCCGGCCTTGGATGAAGTACATTGGGCCTCGCGCCCACTCTCCGCTTGTTCCCTTACCGGCATCCTCGATAACCCGACGCGTAGCCACATCCCCAGTCTTGAACCATGGACCTTTGCCGTCCTGGCTATCGACGAAGGCCTCTTGCGTGGCTTTCTCGTTGGCCCAGTACTCGCGAAATATGGTCGGGCCGCGCAGCTGGATTTCGCCTTCTCTTTCGCGTCCGTGTTCATCCAAATCCTCGCCAGGCTTGATGATCTGATTCGTGTCCGTGTCTACAAGCCTGGCCTCCACAGACGGTAACGGCCAGCCAACGCTGCCATCTACACGGTCACCGAAGTCGAGACCGCAGCTGATCGCCATTCCCACTTCTGTCATGCCATAACGCTCTAGGAGAACGTTGCCGTTGCTTAGATCTTGCCATGCTTGCTTCGTCGGGGTCGGGAGAGCCGCCGATCCAGAGATGTTGAGGCGGAGGTTTTCGGGGGAAATTCCCTTCCTCGCGGCTTCTTGGAGCTGCGGCGAAAGGCCAGGGAACGAAGCTAGTAAGCGGTTGTAGATGGTCGGGACAGCCGTTAGGAAGGTGATCTTGCTCAATTCATTGCCCGGTAAGAATGGAGCTGCAAGTCTCTTCCACACAGCATCCGTATTGAACGGAAACATGAATTCAATCGACGACCCGGCGAGAACAGGCGCCACGATGGCATTCACGGTTCCGTGGATATGATGTAAGGGAAGAAGATGGAGAAGCCGGTCCTCTGGGGTGTATTTCCACGCCTCGAGTAACGAAGCAGCTTGCGCGGTGAGCGCAGATTGGGGAATCAGCACGCCTTTCTGGTCATTGTCAGCATAGGCCGTGTCTCGCGTAATCACCACCTACCGGTCTATTGGTTGTGCCGGAAGTATACAGCATCATTCCGCCCTGAGGTGCCTGTTTATAATCCTCCAATGTCACGTCTTCCGAGATCTTCGCTCCCGCCGTGATTTTCTCCCGCACGTTCAGGGTAGGCTCGCGATCCAACCCCGCCTTCACAATATTCTGCGCTTTGTCCGCGTACTTCTCAGTCGCAATAAGCACTTTAGCTTGTGAATTATCCATAATATACTTCAATTCACCGATCGGGAAGGCCGGGGAGAGGGGAAGGGCGATGGCATCGTTCGCAAGGATCGAGAGAAGCGTCACTGGAATCATAATCAGCAGGCCATACCAGGCAGACATCTGCAACAGAGAAACAGTACCTACGTAGTCGTAGCTATTCTCCGCAAGAAACGCGACTCTCTCCCCGGACAGGGCATGCTGATCACCGCCGGCGGACTCGCGCAGCTGCTTTTGCGCACGAAGCACATCGGCGACCAAATTCCCGTAGGTGAAGGAACGCGACGACGCGCTGTGCACGACGGCAAGGCTGGATCGGTCGTGGTTCTGGAGGGCGCGAAAGAGGGGAAGATTCGGTAGAGATGATAGCGACCGGTAGAAAGAATGGGTTGCCAATTGCGAGCGATTGAAGCAGAGTTTCGAGGCGAAGATGGTCTGGACGGCGCGACGCGAGAAACCCCGCGAAAGGGCTGAGCTAAGAGTGCGCCCTTGCATGGCTAATGAGGCTATCGTAGTTCATTCAACATGACTTGATCTATGAATTGACTCTGGGGAATGAAGTTGGGAGAGTACACGAGAAGAAGCAGTGGACTATCCAAAGATGAAGATGAAGATTGATGTCATCCGCACTTCGGAGGTTTGCGGCGTCGGCGGATTCTCGGCATTTCTCGGTCTCGCGAGCATGACTGCCAATGCCCTAATCTACGCTACGTTGTCCTAACTCAGTTTCTGTTCCCTCAATATCACAACTGTCACAAAGGCAAACATAATAAATGCCGCAGAAAATACTGCAATCATCAACCACACATCCAACTTCCCAGGGTAGATAACTTACAGGGTGCAAATTGAAAGGCATAGAGATAGCTAGCTCGTACAACCTCTTGCATCGGCTCAGGCAGTCTCTTGGAGAATCGGGAATCATCGAGAATCTTCCCAATGACCTACTTGATGTCAGCTAGACCATAGAGGGCCAATCTCCAGGATCAGCCAAACTAACCAGCTCTTTCCTCGGACTATCCAGCAAGTTATTCTCGAGACTGTGGTCAAAGATAGCTTGCACCAGAGCCAAACCAGCAGCAGGCCCGGTAATAAACCCAAGCTGCTGGCATAAGAAAAACGCTCCAAAGCACGCCGCTTGTCGGTTCTTAGGCAAACTAGCGGACATGCCAATGAACTGCGTCGAGTAGAAAATACCCAATGTGGCGCCCAGAGGGAATAGTATCAGGGCCTCCCAGATGGTACAGCCGTCCCGCCATTGAACGGAGATGGCCAGGTTCACCATTATACAGAATCCCAGTGCTATGAGAGTCATGTTCTTGTATCTTTGTGTTCTAGATTATCATGACTTGTAAGTAATCGTCTAGGGTTACTGAGCCGTTTGATTCTTGACATACCTCTTGATAATATGACCAGAGACTATTCCCCCAACAGACAACCCCAAGAGCCAAAAGACGGTCAGCGATGCCGCCTCGAGGTCCGATGTATTCTCAACGCGAATGAAGTACGGTGCAAGATTGCTCAAAACCTGTCACAACTTAGCGCTTCTCAAACGTGCCGGATGCGATAAACCCACCCCAGAACGGCCCATCACTAGCAATACCTGCCCAAGGCAATAGACGCCAAAGGCCTTTCCCATCAGGTCCATTGGGATTAAAGGTTCTCGTGCCCACAGACACTCTATCGCGATGAATGCGACGAGCGAGACCACGAATACGAGCATAGCGATATGCACCCACTCGGGATGATCGACTGTCTGCGCCCCAGCTGTCTGGAGCAGGAATAAAAGCGACAGAATCGTACAAGCAAGACTAAACAGCCCGGCAAAGTCAATCTGCCAAATTCCATCATCTGATGCTGGTATCTTCTGTGACGAAGCTGCTTTACCCATCGACCTCGGCAGGGTGAGAGCTACAAACAACGTGCAGATCAACGCCAGTGGGATTTGGCCATAAAATGACCTTCCTCGGTCAGATGACGCCCATATTCTGGGTGTGGATCACTCACCATCTCCAACCGACGGTGTCTAGAAGAAACCCGCCGATAGGAGCTCCGAAGCTGCGGCCTACCATGCAGGTCAAGTTCTCATAGCTTCGATAGACTGCCACGTCTTCTGGCGGCATAACATCTGCGCTTAATTAGACGGATATCCAATTAGATCCATGGACTAAAACTTACCGCTGATCACGATCGAGACGAGCAAAACCATTCCTGCACCACTGAGCCCTGCGACCGCTCTTGCTAAAACTAACCAGTAGAATGACGGACTGGCACCGCTATACAAAGTTAATATCAGCCCTGGATAAACATCGTGTACAACCTACCAAGCAAGACTGGCCAGCATGAATAAACCATACGAGAACAAAAGAATGTTCTTACGACTGTACACGCTGCTTAAACGGCCATACTGTCAAGAAATACATCAGAGCTATCCCAACCGGGAGAGTTAAGAATACTCACTACCGGCAAGGCCATGCAATACCCTAAATTATACGCCACCAATAGCCACGAGCCCTCGGACAGCAGATTAAAGCCCGACGCGACAGAGCTAAACGTGGAGAGCATAAGTGATTCATCGGCACTCGCTAGAAAGGCGCCTGCTTGTATGTTAGAGTGCCATCAGCTGCCGGCGGTATTAACACACCGAAAAAGGTTCCGTAGACAATGAGGGTTTTTGATTTCCCTTCGGTCGAGCCTTGCTCGTTTGGCTTTACGGGTTCATCTAGCGGGCCCATCAAGAAAGGTTCCTCTTCTTCCCTTGGTGCCATTTTGGTGGTCTTTCTATTGGATGGTGTCGGAATCAATATTAGAAATTAACCGTGGAGGCGAGCTCCGTAACACAACCAGATACTACAAGACTACGGCAATTATAAGTCCATTTGACCGGCTGAATTTCCTACCAAGTATCTGTCAAGCAAGGGATAGATATGCTGTGTATCTCAGCAGACTCGGAAGCCACACCTACGTAACGCGCCCTTGCATAGAACACGATAAACATACTTGTCCAGGGCGCTTGGTGACCCAATGTGTTACGATATTGAGGAAGTGAACCCATGTAGTGATTTTAATAAGGATATATAGGTATATTCCACCTCGCACTGGATAAAGTCGAATGCGCTGTGTATAGGGCAAGGGGTAGCGATGCGACAAGTTGGAATCCTGCTAATAAGGGACGCGAATTGAGCCATTAGGATGTGAATATCGGTACAACCAAGCCATGTTCAACAAGCCCGAAGGATTATGTATCCAGCAATTTCTTGTCCAACGGCACAGTCCTTAAGATGTTCAGGGAACAAGCATGCCGGTGCATCTTCCGATTGACGCGCGAGGGATGCATTGAACACAGACCTTCAGCAGTTAGCAGAGACGCAACATACAATCTAGACCAGCAGCATAGACCCTTCACCAGCACAACGAATATTGCCATCATAACATCCTACTCTGCCTGCACCAGTCGCGACATCATCAAGAAATCCATAAGAATCCATCCAGATGAGTAACCCCCTTCCTCAGATTGGATTGCCCAACCAAAACACTGACTAAGCCCTGACTCATCGCCCACTCCACCCAGGCACCAAGGCACCCGTAATCCCAAACCGGCAAGTCATTAATTCCCCCGGCCGGCCGGTCAGCTGCAGTAGTTCGTTCGCATCTCCATCAGATATCTCTCCCTTCACCTCTTGAATCTCGAACACCTTTCGTCCTCCCTCCGACCGACCTCCTCAGGTCCCTCCCCCTCCTTCTATAAACCAAATGCTCCTCCGCACCGCAGCAAGCCCAGGCCTGCTCTCTCGCCGCATCCTCTCGACTCCGCTCGTCTCGCAGCTCCAGACCAGAATGGCTTCCACGTCCAACACCCCGATGGAGGATACGATTCGCGAGAAGGTATGTCCCCTACTCCCTACCTACTCCCGGGACCTGACCTGACCTGACCTGACGTGCCCCGCCCTTCCCTGAAATGTCCTAACCAATGAATAATGAATAAATAGTTAACAACCGCGCTCTCGCCCTCCTCCCTCATCATCCGCAACGACTCCCACAAGCACGCGCACCACGAACCAATGATCGGGTCGACGTCGAAGGAGACGCATTTCCAGTTCGTCTTCCTTTACCTACATCCATCTCCTCTTACCTTACCTTGCCTTGCCCTGTCGCATAAATCTCCATTCCCAAACCCCCTCCCCTCCCCCACAAACCCAACCAACCAACCATACTCCCAACTAACTACAACTCTTACAGCGTAACAATAACCTCCCCCTCCTTCCAATCGAAGATGCAACCCGCGCGCCACCGGATCGTGTACGGACTTCTAAAAGAAGAGATGAGTCGCGAGGGAGGGATCCATGCTCTACAGCTACGGACGAGGACGCCGGAGGAGGAAGAGAGGGAGAAGAAGAGGAGTCAGGAGGCGTAGATTTACTTACTTTACTGTATTATATTATATCATATTATATCGTATTATCAAATGGGAGATGGCAGAGCGAAACGGTGGTCTGCATGTGATGTGTACAGGCTCCACTCCACTCCCACTCAAGACAAGCTTCCGTAAAGATCTACATGTAGTGGGATGATGCTTGGCTGACAGTTATTCTTGTCCATATCCCTGTATACGCGATCTATCTGGGACTATTCTCAAGCATTATTATTAAACGATTATTACATAGATCTAGCGCCAAGAAGGAATCGAAGACTCTAATATATACATGTGTAGCATCAGCATCCTAGCCAAGAGCAGCAGAGCAGCAGACCATCACGTAGACAAGATGCAGAACTATACACGACCAATCAGTGAATCGAGAAAGAAACGCGGGCAGAAAGCATTCGAGGACGAGCTTTTTGATTCAAACAGAAAGACGAGGTGGTATAACAAGAACAAGCTAATAAAAGTACAAAGGAAACAATCAACGATAGCGAACGGATATCGAGCGACTCGGCTTACCGTGGTCCAAGAAACAACAGCAGTCAAGCGTAGACCATAAGAGACGCGGGAATCGATAACAAAACATTCATTCCGACCTTGTTGCGGGAGCAAGGCAAAGCAAACGACGAACAATGGGAATCGCAAAAATCGAAGAACGGTGGATCGTAGTCGGGAGTACGTAATTCAACCCCAGGCGAGAGCGCTTTACGAGGACGACTTGTTGGCTTGGGTGACACCGACAGCGACACCAACGACGATGGCGATGATGAGAACTATTGCGATTAGCCGTTGTCTGGTACGAGCTGGAGATGGAATCCGACTTACTGACGATGAGCAGTGCATACCACTTCCACTTTCTGGCGCGGCGGGCACTGTCAATGGCATGGCTGATCTGGGTGTTGGCCTGGCCGACGTTCTCGGCAACGCCTTCGGCGTCGTGGTTGATCTGCTCGATGGCCGGCTCCTGCTGGTGCACAAGCTCCGCCACTTCCTGGTACAACCGACCCAGCTCCGTCATATCCTGCTCAATCTTCCGGATGGCGGCCGATCGCTCCAAGGCGGCCTTGCGGGCGTCGTTGGCCTGTCCAGTTCGGCTTCCAGAAACCTATCGCGGATTAGCATCGACTCAGTCAACTCGAAGGAAAGTGCATACCTGGAACATCTGCTCCTGGCCCATCAACACATTCTCCACACCGGCGTCCAATTCCTCGGGGGTAGCCTCCGGGTTGGCGATCTCGTATCGTCGGCGCACTTGCTCGCGCAAGCGCCTCTGGAATTCCTGCTGGGTCTTCTGGTACTGCTCGATTTCCCGGCGCAGGTTACGGCTGGCGACGTCGATCTGGGTCTGCACGCGGCTATCTCCGGAGCCGGGGGTGCCCTTGATCTTCTTCATCAGATCACGCAGGTAGCGGAAGCCATTGTTGATCTCGTCCTCGATGTAGTCCAGAGTCTGACGGGAAACCTGATCCTCCTTGACGTTGCTCGAGTCGAGCATGCCGTTCTGGGCAGCGACCAGCTGGCCCTCACGCTTGGATCGGATGTCGGCGATACCCTCGTTGATCTCTCGGCACTTGTTCAGCAGGGTGGTGGGATCGGCGGGTTGTTGTTGGCCATAGGAGCCCATCTCTGTTGACAGATGCGTCAGTCCATTCATCTCCCTTCGCTGTGTCCACCGGGAAAAGAGCGCACATACCGTAGGATCCGTTTCCTTGCTCCATCGCACCGGCCTGGCCGTAGCCTTGGTTGCCATACGGATTGGGCTGCTGCTCCTGGCCGTAGGGGTTGTAGGAGCCGTAGCCGCCGCCTTGGCCGCCTTCGAGGTTCTGATACTATGCAAAAGGACTGATTAGTGGGATGCGAAGCTTGCGCGCCCGGCGGGTAAGGAGGGGTGGAGGGAGGAACGGGGAGGGGTCTGGAGCTAGCCAGTGGATGCAAATTGCGTCAAACGTACACTCATGATGATGATTGGATTCGAATTCTCAAATATTCAAGGGTTTGTGTTGGAATTGCGGCGAGTCGCCAGAAGGTCGAGATGGACGATCGTGGTCGGAGTGGACAGGACCGGAGTGGATGGATGACAGGTCGGGTCGTACGGGAAACGAGCCGAGCGGAAGACCAAAGTCGCGCGAGAGAAGGGACGGAAGAAAAAACGGGCGCGACGAAGCGAAACGTGAGGATGAAGAAACCCGGGACGTGAAGGAAAGTAAGAAGCAGGAACGAGGCAAGGTGGAGGGAAAAGAGACGAGCGGCGGGTGAGACACGCGGCTGAGCAGGAAGGCTTGAGCTGCTGGCTGTGGTTGGCCCGCACTTGAAGGGAATGAGTGACTGGAGTGAATTCGTGAGAGTTAGGTTGGGTTATTTTTCTTCGTGTTTTGATTTTTCTGATCCTCTCATTTCAGGGGCGAATCTCACGAAAATTATGATTGCGGACTAGAGATTAGGGGCTGCTGCACAGACCGATCGTCGAGTCCCCTTTTCGCAGCTTTTGAAACGGCCGAACTGTCCTGGCAATAGTTTCAGTCAGTGTCTTACAGACTCTTGAATATCTTAATTCTCAATTCTTCCGGCTATTTGACTTTTCTTAATTCTAGGATATAGATTCCCGTTGCCTGTCAGGCAGGGCAATTCTCGAATATCGCCAGTATGCTAAATGCTAATATCCGCATAGTAACACAACACTTCATCCAAGTGGACGCACTAATCCTCTAGGTAATAGAATCAGGTTGCCTTTTCCGGCCAATTCCTGAGTGGTTCACCAATCATCCGACCGCCGCCGAGTCTGCACGTCATGGCCTGCAGCTCGAATGATCAACTCCATCTATTATGATGAATTGATTCTCTCAGTCCTCTGCAGAATACTCAATCGAATAACATACCGACTGCGTACTGCAGTTCGTGCCCCCACAGCCACGCCCCGACGTAAGACCTAACGACCGGTCGGCTTCCTTCGCCTCCAGACCCAAAGGCTCTCGAAACATTCCAGACCGCAGGAGATCCCGCGCGGTTATTGGCTGCTTCGTACGCTCACCGTCTCGTCAACGTCTTGTCCACCGAACAGCTCCACCAGACCCTGAATGGCGAGAACTGTAATGCAAGATGCTCAGCTGCTCCATTCTCTGTACGGATACGACTGGAGTGCAGTAGATCCATCCGGTAGGGTTAAATTCGAACCCGATTTAAAATTAGCAACGGTTTTCGTAAATGCACGAGAATGAAATTTCTGCCTGCGAGCCTCATTGCACTGCCACAATCTTTGTCAGCTTGAGCCTGAGGCAGACACAATGGAATAACCGTCACCGACACTACGGAGTATGAAGTTATTGTCTCGGTGATAATTCCTCTGCTCAGAGATATAAATATAATATTAATCTCCTGATTCATCGAAATTGCCATTGCAGATGCCAATTAGCCCGAAATGAGCTGGCAGCCCTGGGTGGAGTTAAATATATTTCCCACCCGTTAGGCCCACTCTATTGTCCCTCTGTGTCTCCCGAATATTGAGACCCAAATGACGCATTGGTGAAAATAAAAAATGTCACGCCATCAATATCGAATCCATGATAAGATAGACCCAATATATTGCTTTGAATAGCTTCAAATACATGATGAACCGATCCATTTCTAGAGGTGTAGATCCTTACGGCTGCCTCGGCAAACGGGCATCCACGTGCCACGCCTCAGGCCGTGCATGCGACTACTTAGAAATATACATCTACACAAGTATTTCTATCCATGAATCCAATCTGAATGATAAAATCACTCGTGTCAATAAGACAGGATATGCGATGGAAGCTCTGGTCCCGTGACATGCCCTCACTCCGACTCAAAGTGGGGTTCGGCCTTAGACTTCCTACATCCACGGGACAGATACTCAGACTTCAACATCGCATCCCACACAACAAAGAAACCAAACCCGACGTACCAAATGGACCACCTCTTCCAAAAAGCCCTCCAGCAAGCCGCGGCCCTCAAGAAACAACCCGACTCCGTCCCCTGGAGTCTAGATGTCCCATGGCCTCAGGCATACTATTCCTGGTCCGACGGATCCAAACAATGGCACGCCTCAGAGCCTAGAATCTCCTCTGTCAATTCCAGGGATATTACCAGTCTAGCCCTCTACAGCTGGAACATCGACTTCATGCTCCCGTTTCCAGAACTCAGAATGACCACCGCCTTATCTCATCTGCAGCATCTCACGAACCAGACATCAGACCCAGAAAACACAGCAACCATAATCCAGCTGCAAGAATGTCTAGCCTCCGACCTCCTCACCATCAGCCAGAACCCCTGGATCCGCGAAACATTCCACATGACAGACATCGACACCTCGAACTGGGGATCCGGACTCTACGGGACCCTAACACTCGTCGACAAACGCGTAGCCATCACCTCCTGCTTCCGCGTGCATTACGCCCAGACCAAAATGGAACGCGACGCTCTCTTCGTCGAGATTAACCTCGGCACTGGCTCAGGCAAGAAACTCCGTCTATGTAACACGCATCTAGAATCACTAGCTATGGAGCCGCCGCTGCGACCGGCTCAGATGGGGGTGATTGCGAGGCAGATGCGTGGAGACGGGATCATTGGGGCTGTGGTGATGGGTGATTTTAACGCAATCCAGCCGTCCGATTTGTCTCTGCATGCGGATAATGGTCTTAAAGATGCGTATTTGGAGCTTGGGGGGCAGGAGAATGCAGACGAGGGGTATACGTGGGGACAGCAGGCGTTGCCGGAGCAGAGGCAGAAGTTCGGGTGTTCGCGGATGGATAAGGCGTTTTATTGCGGGGGGTTGAAGGTGCGGAGTTTTGAGAGGGTTGGGGCGGGTGTGGTGGTTCCTGAGGAGGAGAGGGAGGCGAGGGATCGGTTGTTGGGGCTTGGGTTTGAGAGGGCGTGGGTTACGGATCATTTGGGGGTGAAGGTGGTGTTTGATCTGAAGAGTGAGCTTCGTTTGTAGGTGTAGAATAGATGTGAAGTGATCGAGGATTTCTCCGAGTCGAAATGGAGCATGTGTATCATCGGTGATGGTCACAAGTAACAGGAGGTGCAAGGGGAAAGTCTGCCATATAGTTCAGAAAGGAGACCGAGAGTATGATATACTGAAAGATACTACAATAGATGATCCACAAATTCAAACTGGTATACCCAAGCCATCAGCACCACCCAAGTAGTCAAACATCTGCTTTCACAGCGCATATTCGGATCATTTCGCGGACTTATTTCCATCGCTGTTGGATGACTTCTTCTTCCACCCCACCTCTCTTTGAGATTGGATATCTCAAAGATGCTTCGATTGGCTGGACTTTCATGAGCTTTATCATCCGTCTTGCCACCTGCATTTTCTTTCCAAAATCCTCCCTGATCTGGTTCGTGATTCTCTTAAGCAGATTTGCATTGAAAGCGAGAACCACGAATATCATGGACACAACAAAAGAGTCACCTGCAGGTCAGCAGTCGACCATGGATCAATTATTCCGCCTTCTTATTTCCGTTCTGAATCCTTTACAAGATGATATAATACCTCGGATGCTGGATGAAAGCCCTTTCTAGATAGCTTTACCCATGATAGCTTGGATTAGAAAGCAAGGAGCCTGGATTGACATTGACGGCTCTGACGACAACGACAACAACAGTGTCAATTAAGAAGTGACCCGCAGAATGGTGTCCATCGGTTGTCGCTCTAGTGCTTGGATAGTCAGATCAATCATCTCGTCACAGCTGTCATCCTCCTGCTTTGACTTATGCCTTCTTTCGGCTGGCTGCCTTCGCAACAGACGCACAACTCATTTCACGGCCTGCGATGATCCCTATCCAAAAGCTGGAATTCACTTATACTATCAAGGCCTGCGTTGTGGCCCCGCGGAAGGAACGAGCTACCCACTGCATGTAGCCCTTTCGAGGCACATGGCCCTGCGTTGTCACCGACGCTCGATGCATGGCGCGGTGCTGTGACGATCGGGCGCAATGTGGGAATAGAGGCGGCGAGAATAACTAGGTACGCTTCCAGTGTCCACCAGATGGCCAGATTGGCCATGGCGTGTGTCTGATCGTCTGTCACGGCGATTGCTCTGAGCTGGATGGTTTTCACGACGGATGCAATCATCGCACTTGGATGCAATCCATTGATTAGTGAAGAGTTGAGAACCGTTTCGCGAATACTGGCAACTGATCGCACTCACAAGATGCCCAGGCCCATCAGGAACGAGAGCGAGAATTTCTTCTTCCATTCCATGTTCAGCTTCCAGAACATGCTGGCGGGAAAGATCGCGAGAACGAAATCAACAGCACAGCATACAGCTTCGGTTTCGTCAATTCTCCCGCAGTTCAGCTGGGCAGGTCTGTGGATAAATGGATGACTTACAACTCTGGAAGTATCCTGTATTCCGCTGCACGTTAGGCGGCCAGCAGCTGCCCGGCACGCTGTGGTCCCAATACCTCCTCATCGGCGTACATTGTGCGAAACTGACAACCACGGTCCCACAGTCGATCACGAACTGAAGACAGATGATGCTCCAGAGCAGACGAGAGCGCCATGGAATTGGCGGAACAAGGCTCAGCAGCAGGAATGCGTACGCTATGCGACCGATGCACGGCGAGAGAATGGAGAAGAACTCGCAGATGTATACCCATTTGATCGAGTACATGATTTGGTCTGCGTATAGTTCATTCACATGGGATCCCAGACCATGACTAGCGGATATTGTCAAACAAATCGAATTCCCCAGTCCCAGACCCTGGGTGATCCTTGGTCAGCTGGAGGTTAATATCCACCGGGCCTGGCCATGCCTGCACTTACTAGGGCGAACAAAATTAGTCCGTCGTCCACCGTGAGCTTTTTAATGATCTTTGATCGGACGTAATATCTGACTGCAATGACCATCGTGGCGAGTCCATTGAATGTCCAAGCAACAGCCAACACGGCAGTTCCTAGGTTTCTAGAGCTGGCCATGTAGGCGACTGAGCGTTCAACAAGAAAAAAGAACCAGAGTAGACTCAATCGAGAGAAATAAGGGCTCTGGCTTGTTTTGGAGATTATATTCAGCAAATAATGTACAGCGGTAGAGCTTGCGAGGCATCCAGGATCGAGACTGCCATTGAACGGCTTTGGGAGGCCTTGGATATTTGTACCATGAGCCAGAGGTAAAGCGATCACAATGGGCTTATTCGATATTATTTATTATCCTGAGCTGGTCCCGTCTGATGAGGGTGAGAAATGGTGTAACCTCAGCAGCACAAAGGACCTCTAAGGTGTCTCAGGGCCACACCCTCAATCTGGGCCACTTACTTTCTTCCAGTTGCCCCTCTCCCCTTTTCCTTTCCCCTGCAACCCTTCTCACTCTTCAGTATTGCATAGCAAATTGTGCTTATGGAGCAGATCACTTCTGAAACACCAGAGCCCGTGTCTGTCAAACCTGACGAGAATGGCGGAACAGGAACCGAAAAAGCCAACGTTGAATCGCCATCTCCGTCGCCCCCTGTCGAGGATTATTTCGCCTGGCTGCAGGCCTTGGGAGCCTTTTGCCTGAATCTCAACACCTGGTAGCAGCTTCAATCCCCCATCAGGCTGTAACTAACCATCGGCAGGGGACTCATGAATGCCTTCGGAGCGTTCCAAACCTTCTACGAACTCGATCTGCTGAGCGCAAAGTCCCCGTCCGACATATCGTGGATTGGATCGACCCAGGCGTTTCTCATGTTTATCCTGTCCGCCTTCGTGGGGCCCGTCGTCGACGCAGGCTTTCTACGCTCTTTACTCATCCTCGGATCCCTGCTGGCGATCCTCGGGATGTTCATGACCAGTCTCTGCTCTCAGTACTGGCAGGTCTTTCTCGCGCAGGCCCTCACGATGGGTCTGGGCTTTGGTTGCCTTTACGTGCCTGCTCCGGCGGTGGTCTCGCAGTACTTTCACCGGAATACCGCGCTGGCAATGGGCGTGTCCTCAGCGGGGAGTGCGATCGGTATGGCGCAGAGGTCGGCGGTAGCCCTCATCTCAAGATCTCTAACGATCATCCTTTAGGTGGCGTGATATACCCGATTATCTTCGCGCGTCTCCAGCCCCGGATCGGCTTCGGCTGGGCCACTCGAGTGATCGGGTTCATCGTCCTAGCGACCTCCCTCTTCCCCGTGTGTTTGATGAAGTCCAAATCTCCCCCGACCCGGCAATACAATCTGCTCGATCGAACCACGTTCACGGACGCGCCGTACCTACTGTTCAATCTCGGTCTGATATTCGGGTTCATGGGCTTCTACATCATCTTCTACTACATCGAACTCTACGCCCGCCAAGAAACCAGCATCTCGCCGGTCCTAGCGACCTACCTGCTCGTGATCATCAACGCGAGCTCCCTCCTCGGTCGTGTGGTTATTCCCTTCTACGCTGACCGGATCGGGTCGATTAATGTCCAAACCCTCGTCGCGCTGGTGGGCGCGGTTCTCACGTTCTCCCTCCTCGCAATCGAGAACGCCCCCGGCCTCGTGGTCTACTCCGTCATCTATGGAATCTGCGCCGGGGCATTCATGGGCCTCCCAGCTGCAGGTGTGGTGAGTCTCTCAGCGGACAGGAGCAAGATCGGCGCCCGACTGGGAATGACCTTGGCTGTTGTCGGATGCGGCGTGCTAGGAAGCAACCCGATCGCAGGAGCAATCGTGAACGGACGAGGCGGGTGGACGGGGCTGATTACATGGTGTGGAGCGCTACTTACAGCGTCCTTCATTAGCATGACCGCCAGCAGAGTGTGTAAAATCGGGCCTGGGTTCAAGAAAGTGATCTAGCTAGTAGACCAGGTAGCCATAGTCATGCATTGCATCATTGCATACAGAGGTCAATCCGCGTCCCCGCGCGTAGACCAGAGCCCCTCGCCCCCCGGACAGAACTTAAACCGATCAACCAACCTCCCCGGCGTCTCGTCCTCGTGGCGAAAGCACGCGCTTCGTTCCACCGCCCATCGCTCCAGCTGCTCCCAGTCCCTGCATAGTCGCACCTGGCCCGCCCCTGTCCCCGGCGGGCTCTGGAAGCCTGCGTATCGCGGCGTGTCGTCCGCATTACAGAGGACGTCCTGGCGCAGCTGGTCCAGGCAGTGCAGGATGTGGCTGAAGGCGATACGTTGGGGGAGGCGTTGTTCTGAGGTCCAGGCGTATCGGAAGAGGGTTCGCTATGATGGGTCTAGCGTTAACGGGGAGAAAAAGAAAAAGAAAAAGGGAAAAGGCAAAAGGGGGAAACGAACTAAGCAGTGCAGATTGTGAAACCCCTGCAGCAGATACACGCCTTTGTCATGGTCCCATGGGAAACGCATGGCACGCGGCAGATGCGTTTCCGATACGAAGGCCTGCGGGAGAGCAACGACGCCCGGGTCGCCGCTGAGGGACTCCCAGAGGTGGGCGACGGAGCTGAGGTTGTCGGAGACGTACGGGGTGGACTGGTAGATTTGGATCGAGAGGTTGCGTTCAAGATGCGCTGTGGGATGTCAGTGGTGGAGGAGAGAGCGTGGCTGCGCAATGGGCAGATAGTCGTACCATAGGATGACCGACAGCTGCTATTATGTGATCCAGATCTCCGGGAGAAGTAAAGAAAAAGAAGCCCGTTGAGACAGAGCAGCGCGGCAATTATGCTGCACAGGATGATTATGACTCTTGCCCTTGGGTTGTCAGACTGTCTTTGTTGGTTGTCACTCTCGTTCTCAATCTCAGTGGGATCGCGACGGAGGAGACGATAGATTGGCATTATCAAGAAGGACTTTTCTTCTGATCGTTTCTTGCGGATCGAGCTTCTACTTCAATAGTGGTATCCCTGGGACGTTGCTTTATCACGAAGTCGGGTCAGACAGCTGGCATCTACACGATGAAGAGTGGCCTTTATATATGAATTCTCTGAAGGATACTAGTCGAACCAGACAATATTTCATGCTACATATGGCAGACCATTCACTCCGGCGCCTACACCTTCGCATCGACCCAGGATTGATCCACTCTAGCAGGGTAAACAACAGCGTCGTCGGCATCCGGAGGAGACCCTACCACTGTTAGATTCGACATCCCCTGCCAGGTTGAATCCTACTTACGGATTTCAACATCAACCCAAGACTGATCAACTCTGGCCGGATAGACCACGGCCTCGTCGTCATCAACAGGACCGCCTATACCCGAGTCAGTTCAGGCTCTACCCCGACGATATGATACGGTGGCCATACGGGGCAAAGGGACGGCACCCACGATACTGGCAATGACGACCACTGCCAAAGCCATGTAGCCCTTCATCGTTGGATGTGCGCAAGGCTAGTGACCTCTGTATCTGGCAGAGTATCCGGGGATACGACAGGCGTCAAATATCCTCTCGTCGTCGCCGGCTTGAGCTGGAGCAACCACACCATGCGCTCAGCTCTCAATACGGCGCAGCGCAGAAAGACAATGCACGGCACGCCGGGATGATACAAACCATCCGACAGTCAGACGAATGGGCTTGTCAAATGGCCTTCTCCCCGCTTATTGCTTCCTATTCCACTATATTTTCTGGTTGTGCCACAGTAATTCGGGGCAGCCGATGCATCTCCCCGCTTTTTGCTGTACCTCCCGAGCAGATCCGGGGGCTTATAATCTCCAGTCGGGGCCTTGTGAAACCACATGGCGGTCTCTTTGAACTCGAATGGGCCTTTGTGCCAAAAGTACTGAAAGTGGCGGGTCTATCTGAGTCGAGATCGTGGCCAGAGGGGGACAAGGATGACAGGCTATTCTTCTCAGTTGGATCTCACGGGCCGTCCGTTGAATATCGGCGTCACAGGTCAACGTGAGCATGGAACAGAAGGAAGATCCTGCATCTTTGGGGACGGAAGAAGAGCAATCGACCTCCTCCGAGAGCTCGAGGAATCCATTTCTGAAGCGCTTTCAAGCGCGGAATAAACATTCATGGGAGATGCTCACGCCATGGCTGATTCACGGTTCCATCATAATTGCCTATTCTCTTCTTCTTTGGGCAGTTCTGTTCCCCGGAATTCCTTTCAGCGCCTCAGATAAAGATGAGAGGAAAACGAACTCCGCCTCACCCTCAGGTGTGTTGCCTTCTCTGTGCGTATTCTCAAACGCCTGGTTTTGACCTTTGTCAGTACTACCGGCCAGAGAAGGTCTGCAATGGGAGTACCGACGCTTCCCGACGAAGATAGTAGATAATCCGTTCGCCGGGCCACCACGCCCAGAGATGGATGATGCATGGCATGATCTTCTGAAAAGTGAGGCTGCACTACCGTCCTCCCGATATGCTGAATGTAGCGATAGGGTATATTAACCTGCACTGCGCAATTCAGACGACAATATACGCGTACCAGCGGCGTACCTGCGCGAGAAAAACTTGACCTCAATCTACACCGAGGACTACACTGAGGGAATTGCATCTTTGAGTGTCTATCATTCACTGCACTGTCTGGTATGTCGCCCCGTCTTTGCTCTGCAATATACCTCGTCAACTAACCCCCTCCTCGGGAATAGAAAAAGATCAAGCACATGATATACAGAGAGTACTACCACGCAGACCTAGACGAGACCGCCATGGCCCGCGAGTCCAAACACGTCGACCACTGTATCGAGTATATTCGCGAGTCTCTTATGTGTCAGCCGGATCTGTCTCTAGTGACCTTCCGATGGATCAATAACACGGCACAGTATGACGACCCGGCACAGTTCTACCCCACGAATTTCGATCGCGATCTGCACTGTTGCGTCGATTGGGAGCGTCTGGATCGCTGGGCCGGTGAACGAGCGTTTGATCTCTTTCGGGTGGATTTGCTGGATAGGCCGGGGCAGACTGGGGAGGGGTGAAATAGGGGGATTGGACATCTGGGAGGGTCTGGTTGGACTTTAAAGGATTTTCGGAATACTAATGTATGCATGGTGCATGTGGAATGTCAGTTATAGGCAAAGGTATACTCCCAGACTTCATATCATAAGCCTTTACCTGGCCTGATCAAACCCAACCCAGTCATACTCAAACCTTCATTGCCTCGATGATCCCGTCCCCGCCTTCATCGATTGAATCCCAGAACGAAACCACCTGAAGTCCAGCTGCCTCAAGCAGCACACGCCACTGTTGTTTGGTCCGTTCCATTCCTGCATTAAAAGCCATGACGGTCATATCCAAAAGCCCCTCAAACAGAGACGCCCCCTGCTCGGGAACAATCATCTCATGCACCAGAAGTTTCGAATACCCTGGCGTCATGACCGCTGTGACGTTCTCGAGGATCTTGAGACAGTATTCATCGGACCAGTCGTGGAGGATATGGTGGTAGAAGTAGACCCTTGCACCTATATCACGAGACTTTATCAATACCATCACCAACCCATTGAAAACACAAACAAGGGAATACCTTTAACAGGCTGCTCTGTAAAAAAGTCATACGCAACCCTCTCAATCTTCTCATCCAAGTCCTCAACCCCCAGTCCCTCCACAACAGCCGCTAAATCCTCCAACACCAGACGACCTGCACCAGGGAACTTCTCATCAAACGCCACCAAATCGTGGCCCTTTCCAGCGCCGACATCCACAATCAACGCCCCGCTGGGGTCTGCCCCGTCCAGAATCCGAGTCTGCACAGGGTACCAATCAACCCAGTACTTCCGGGCGCCCATCGTGTTGCCCATGAACAGGTTAAAGTCCCGCAGCAGGGACGGGCGGGAGGCCATGTACTCGAAGACGGTGGATCCTTTGGCGTTGTGGGCAACTTGCAGGAGTCCGTCTCGGGGATCGGTTGGGCAGGAATAGCCCTGTTCGGCGAAGAATGCTGGGGCAGTTTGTACGGCGGGGAGGATCATTTGGGAGCTGGGAAGAGTAAGAGACTATCAGACATGGAGAGATCTTGGGAACGAACACCATGCGATGGCCAGCGGCGATTTCCTTCACTGCCATGGCGGCGGTGATACGCGTGGCTTTCCATGTTCGGGGAGCAGCTTCTTCAACGAAGTGCACGGCTGATAGGACGCGCAGGATCCGTACTAGATGCTTGGTATTAGGCGGTGCAGTCGGGATTCAACTTTTCTTGTCTTGTCGGGGAGTAATACTTATCAGAAGCTCGTCGGCACCAGACAGGACCGCTAATCGCGCGGACGTAACAGGCCCTTCTAGAAGGATATGTTCGTAGAGATTCAAATCGATCGCAGTCCGCGCGGTGACAGCAATCATAGGCTCCGTAAGGATCAGTGCTGTTCTTTGTGGAAGGTTGGTAGGAGTGGAATGCGCAGGACATACGGAGAATATCATATCCACCGCTACATTCCCTGGCTGCTCCAACTGAGCCGTGAGTGCTTTGGTTATCTGCAGAGCTTCCTTCTTCGCGTCATAGTCATCTTCATTCTCGAGCCGAGGAGCGAGGTCCTGTAGTCTGGCTATCAAATCAGCCGGCCTGGTATTGTCAATTGTGATTTCCGAAGCCATTGCAAAGGTATGGAGAGGGAGATGCTATTCGGGATTGCAACAATTAGAAGGTGAAGTCGTATGGGATCTCCGAATGCCATGTGAGACTGGCATATATACCTGCTTACTTCAAAGCGGTGTATTCAAACAAAGAAAGATCGCTTTTGGTGCCACACGGAATATTCCATGTCCCACAGGTCAGCTCGACCATACGCTTACCATGTTGAACGGCATCGTGATGATTGCTACCCTGCCCTTGAACGTCCCCAGGGACTCTTTGTCTCCGGGTGGCCTATCATGCTCCGTTTTGATATTGCACTGCCCCAGGTTCCCCTCGTCAAAACTCGGGCATTAGAGTCGTACACCATTCTGTCCTTCCTACTATTCGGCCCAATAGGATCGTCTACGATGATTCCGACGCCCAGTCAACCTGTGCATCAGTCTCCGCATTTGTACAACCCAAGATGGAGGAATTGTCGTCCCAAATAGACATCCCTGCCAATTCTGTCCATCATTCTTCTTTGTTATAGCTGAATGCCGTGATTTCATGATTAGGACCCAAATCATCGAGCAAATCCCCCCGCCATCTCAACTCATGAAGCTCTTCAAGTTTGAAGTCCGATACCAGCCTCTGACTGGGAACCCGGACGACCGGCTATCTCTGGCTTCGTCTCATTCAAGACCATGCGCATGGAGATCCTGGGTCTATCTGCTCTTGCTGGTGCTCGCCATCGCATTATCCGCCAGCATGGGCGCTCTTGCATGAACCCAACCTCTTCCCTGTGACTGTCGCACATCATACTCCAACCGCAAGTGCTGCAATCCCCCATAGCAGAGAGACAATCTACTAACTTGATTCCGACAGCCCTCATCCCACTGCCCACCCACAAGCAGATCTTCCTCTACAACAAGACCTTCGGCGCGGATCCCCAAACCGACAATACCACAGTTGCAGCATGGGACTCGCTACTCCCCGGTACGTTCCTGATTCCCTCCTCCCTGTTATCATACAAACGTTCATAGCCATTAACCCGTATCCCGTGCTCGGAAACAAACAAACAGTCGGCCAGAGCTCGGTGCGCTATCCCCCCGGGAGCCAGAATATCTACACTTTATCTGTGGCGCACCAACTGCATTGTCTGGTACGAATGATACTTATAGATGCGGTCTTGTCGATGAACGGCGACTAACATCTGACACTTGAACTTGACATATGGCAAGTGGTCTATCCATCAGAACTACTACAGCGCTGTACACGGGGCGCCGGACCGCCAGGGTGACCATATAGCTGCGCACATGCGGCATTGCTTCGATTATCTGCGGCAAAGTCTCATCTGCGCATCGGATTCCACGCTCGAGCCTGTTGATACCAAGCTGGGCGGCGTCACTGGATGGGGCAGCGAGCGCGTGTGTCGGGACTATGCCGCTCTATCGGAATGGGCGGAGGGGCGTAGAGTGAGTAATGCTAGGGGGTTTTCGGGCCATGATACGAATCAGGGCGGAGTGGGAGTTGTGTGATTTTAGTTTGGATATGGTGTTGGGACGGATAAGAATCACCTGAGCAAAGATCTTTCATTCAGTTTAGCAAGTGGTGCGGCTGGGTAGAAATCTAATACATTTGCTCAGGCCCCTTTTGTAGTATGATTCCTCCGGCCGTAGGCGAGTAGAAGTAAACTTCCGACCTCCAGACACCCCCGAATTCGTGTGGCATAAACCCTACAAATCCGACCCACGGCAGATGCGATCGTGCCATTGCGAAAACAGCCAGATAATATCATCCTACACGCTCGATTAGCCGCCTAAAAATACGAGATAGGGAGTAACTCGTGCACTCACACCATACGCCACATCCACGAAGATTTCACCGGTCGATACGGGAGAAGAACTTGCCGCAGGTAGAGACTCCACCCGACTCAAAAACTGATATCCGTCTCGCGTCAGATGGAACCGCAGCACATTATCGCGCTGATAGGAGAGGGCTTTTATGTGAGGCTTGGCGTTTGTATCCTCGTACCATTGGTCGAGGACGCTCCTGGTATCATCGTTGTGTACGATCAGCATGCCTGTGCAGCGGGATCCCATGTAGCATGTTTTCAGGCTTGAGATATTCTGCAAAGAGACCCAGGAAGCGAAGCAGCCGGATGGGGAAATTTGTTCGTAGTAATGCGGTGGAGTCCTAGGGGTATGACTATGGGGCACTGTCGGCTCAGGAGGCGACTTGCGCCGGCGACTTACAGCACTCAGGCTAGTGAAGTGATGGCCCGGAACGCTGGGAAGTTTCTCATACCATAAGCCCAAAATTTCACCGTCCGCCGAACTAAACATTGTTTGTATGATCAGACTATTAGGCGAAAAAGGGGGTCCAAGAGCCAATGTTCTCTCCTTGCTTGTGGTGACCTAGGTTTCTAATCAGTATCGGAATACTGCCGTATATAAGACAACATACTGCAAGGTAAGGTCTCGACAATCGATCACTCTGGTGCCAATACACCGAAACCATGCTCAGGGTCTCTGAATGTCCAAATTGAACATGAACAGGACAGCCGGTTTGTCTTCCATACCAATATGACTTGGGTGAATGCGAGCAGGAACGAAAGTGAGCTCCCAAGCCCACAAATCCTCTTTTGGAGCAAAACGCTGTGAGACCGTATAGGCTGAAGTTATTCTCATGGAACGGAATATATGCTATGAATCTCTGAGGGCTTGTTGCGAAGTCGAGACGTCGAGGCCAGTTGTGAAAGGACTTGGCAGAGAAAGGATACAATTGAGTCAACGGCAGCGGAGTTTCCAATAGGAAATCGTGTCCAAAGTTCGATTTGTTGTGACAGGAGACGCGGGAGATTTTGAATGCCTGGTTATGATCAGCTTGAGGTCTCTACTTTCCCGACGAGAGTATCGTACATCCCATTCAAGGGCCACAGAGAGTGGAACTTCCGCCTGAGATTCAATCACTCCGATGAATTCAGGACCTTTCACTCTTGAATTCCCTATGCTCCCGGGATGGGCTTCGCCTTCAGCGAGAAAACTGATCCTTCGAAGCCCGAAAGCTCCAAGTACAAAGATGAAGGCCACGATAGACTGGGGAACCGATATGCTGACAGAAGAGGTGCTTTCATGCCCATAGAGCGTGTTCCCTTGGCGAATGCCGCAAATTTACGTCCCGTCTAGAGCACGGGTGAAATAGACCGACAGATCTCCATGCAGACACAGTGTTGCACTACCGCAACAAGAGGCAGGGTTGACCAGATACTTTTGGCAGACGAAAGCGCAAGCAAGCAGCGAACAGTACAAGGAGGGATCAAGTCCCAGATCATTGCAATAAGCTCAGCCGGGAGCCGTCCACATCTCTCCAGCAGCTCAGATAATGCAGTATTTCCACCATCGCGCCGGTCGACTTCTAACGACAACGGTTCGATTGTGCCGGGCAGAGCGAGCTGGTGGATACTCTGTGGAAGCCCGGTCCAAACCAGTGGCGTCATGGCGAGACCTAGATGGCGTAGCAGATCGATACTCGGTTGATCCGCAAGTGCTTTCCAGCAAATATTGTGGACCGAAGGAGCATTTTCAGATCTTGGTTGTGGATTATCACGAATCACCACATCAAGACGTGGCAGGTAAACTCCCTGACGTTTTTTTTGAAAATGTGCTGGGCCATTGAGGACGGGATCCTGGTGTCGATCTGCCGAGACAACTACACAGCATCAGTAGAAGGAAAGAACCGGTTTGAACCAGGCATACCACAGCGAAAGCTCGTCATCAGACTGAATTGTTCACCGCACAACACACAGTGTGGGAACCTGATGTATTGGCGGGGTGTCTTCCTTGCAGCCTCCATAATTGGCGTAGATTCATAAATGGGGATCAACCGGGTTCGAGTTGAAGATATGGCCTGTTGTTGTTGTAAAGAAACGGTGCTTACCGCGCTTGGGCGACTGAGATACCCCTTGCGCGTTGACCACTCATGTTCATGCAGGATTTTGCATGCTAACTCAGGTAGTTCACTGGCTAGTGAATTCACCTGCCATAGATGAAACAGAAAAGCACATGGGATGAAATCAGTGAATGCATGAATTGTGATGGATGAAGGTGGCTGGCGTGCAGCATCTACTACTGTCACCAGATGCACTAATCCATATTGAGATTAGTGTCATCCTACCAAGAAAGATCCGACTGATCACCGAGCTTCCATCAATCCTAACTGCATGGTTCCCCTCTTCCTATGTGATTTTAGCCTTTTTATAGATAGGGACACTCTCCTAACTTCCGGGGGCTGAATCAATAGAAAATATGAAAGACACAGGGAACGATCACAATTGGTAGTCCTTGTAGCGCTGGCTGTGGGGATTTTTCTCCAAGACCAGTTCTTATTATCTGTGATCTCGAGAATCAAATAAACCAATAGATCCCTAAAGCAATTCTGAGTCTACCCCGGAGTACCTGATCCGACACGTAGTAGTAGTAGTAGTAGTAGTAGTAGTAGTAGGGCTTTTCATACTGCGCGGGTAACTCACGCACATCTGCTAATTTTCGCCCAGAATAGACTCCATGTCAGTCAGATATAAAGATCAGTTCTTTCTCACAGCCGTATAAGATTGCACACCGACTGTTTTATAGTAGCCAACAGCCCACTCGATAAATATTCCAGACACCTTCCCCCGTAGCTTCATGCAAAGAACCAAATCCTTACTCCTCCATCCATTCAATCAATTCTCCCCAGTATAATGTATACCCGGTGAAGCAAATCCATGTGTCATAAAAACACACAAAGTGGATCACCGTTGAACCAGAACCCCAACCCTAGTCGTAGTCAAGCACTCTCCGGAGTTATGCTGCAGGTCCGACAAGTCCTGAATCCACCAAGTCTAATCTAGTCTAGTCCAAACCACTTACCCAGCAAAGCAGGTACTAGCTATCCCACCGGAGGCGAAAAAGACGAGGGCTGGAAAGTGGAAAATGGAAATGGAAATTGGAAATTGGGTTGTGTGGGTTTGAGCCACTAGCCCCGAGCTAATGTAGGTACCGCACTGGATTCTTTTTCTCGCTCCGTCGGACTGCGGAGCCCTCCGTTTTGATTCTGTCTCTGTCGGATTCAGTCCGCGAGGGGGTTTCGGATTGCAGAGGGTTTGTTATTCGGGATTAGGTCGGTGGTTGGTTTCTTTTTTTTTTTTTTTTTTTTTTTTTTTTTTTTTTGTGGTGGTCTCCCAAACAAATAATAGGTGTACTCCGTAGGTTCGTTTGGTATTTTCATTCGAAGTAGACAGTTATGGCATGGAGTAGTCTGAGTCAGTTCTGTTATTTATTCTTTATTTTAGTTTATTTAGTTCCTCTTGTTCGGAGAGAGTTACTCCGTAGTAATTAAAGATTACTGATCAGATATCCACTCCGTACCTCGAAATGAACATGATACTCCGAACCTGGTCTAACTGGAAACTACCTTCCAAATGCTCCGTACGAAGTGCAACCAAGATTATTATCAGTTCTTATTCATATAACGAACGTAATTCATGTATATACATCTATCTCATCACCGCGTCAATCTGCTCAGCAGGTTGCCGTACGCGGATCTCCCCTCATATTCACATCTCTTCCGTCTTCCGTCGCGTAAATCCAAAATTATTGATATTATGATACAACGTAAAAAGAAAAAAACCAGACGAATCAAGCAGGGTATTATTGCTGATCGTCATATTTTTGAAGCAGGTTAGTTCTCCTGCTTCTTATCGTGATGCCAATCTTCCGGAGACTCCGAGTCCTCCGCATCCAGGGCGTTCATCTCGTCTTCCTGGGCGTTGAGGTGGTGGAACACCAGCCAGAAGATGATACCCGCGAGGAACGAAGCACCGGCCAGACCGACGAACATCCACATGATGGCCGGGTCGAAGGCGGCCGGGGTCAGGGCCTCGGCGATGGCAGATCCGAACGCGTTGGTGAGCAGGTACATCGACTGCACAAACGACTTCATCGACGGGGGCGCCTTGGTGTAGGCGTACTCGAGACCGGACACGGAGGCGAAGATCTCGGACACACCGATGAACACGTACGCCGGGGTCTGGATGGCGATGTGGACGTCGTTACCGGTGGTCTGGCCATCAACGATGGAGAGATCGCAGCCAGGCTGTCCGTAGCAAGGACCGGCGACGTAGATGAGATGCTGGACGATGGCGGCGTACATCATGGCCAGAGAGGCGACAACGAAACCCAGGGAGATACGGGTAATGGGACGGAAGCGGATGCGCAAGCGACGCAGCAGGGGATACACGAGGGTCTCGAGCAAGGGGATGAAGACGATGATGGAGATGGGATCGAAGTTCTGCATCAGATCGTTGGGGATGCCGTGGCCGTTCATCTGGCCGGCCTGGGTGACGAAGTTACTCGAGAACTGGCCGTAGACGACCCAGTAGACGGGGTAGAAGGCGAAAACACGGCAGGCAACCAGGGCACGCTTGAGCTCGTCGATGAAGTGGTCGTCCCACGGAACAACGCGCGAGTTGCCGTTCTCGGCCTGCCAGGTGGGCTTGGGGGCGTCCATGTTGCGGTTGATCACCATGATCCACAGCGCCTTGAAGGCATCGGTGATGATAGATCCCTGAGGGGGGCGGACGACGTAGTACTTGCGGCCGACAATGAGCACCGTGGTACCGACCGCGAACATGCACAGGCAGAGCAGATATCCGGACCAGAAGCCGACATCCCGCTCCATGTAGGGGGTGGCCAGAAGCGAGAGCGATCCTAAGTTGATACAGCCGTAGAAGATCATGTAGATACGCTGGATGGTCAGCGAGGGGTCGATGATGACCCGCTCCCCTTTCTTGGTGGTAGACATGGCCATCTTCTTTCGCTTGTATTGATCGGCAATCTAAAATCATGAGCATCATCGCCGGCACATAGATCAACATGGACTGCTTACCAGAGGAGCGACGTTACTCTTGATACCACCAGTTCCCAGACCGATAATCAGGATGGCAACGATGAACCCTCCCAGACCAGCACCGTTGGCCAGCGCAGCGGGAATCGACGTGCAGACCAAGATAAGCAATCCAACCAGGTAGACGATACAGAAGAGAACGATGGTTTTATATTTGCCGAGATACTGATCGGCAACGATGGCACCGATAATGGGGGTAACTGGACGAGTCAGTATATCAGATGGCGCGTGCGGAACACGAGTGGAAGCCTACCATAGCACCAGAATTGGAAAAACGTGGTCAGACCAGTAGCACCCTGGTGACCCATACCGAGCGCACCACGTCCTTGACTACCGTCCAGAGGAAGGTTGATATAGTTCTGGAAGAGACCGGACATTCCGTAGTAGGTGAAACGTTCACTCAATTCGACAATGGCAACCAGCCAGGCCGAGACGGGCAGGTTTTCGGCAACATGGCGCAGAGTCCTGGACTCCTCGTCGGTCGGCTCCTCGCCGTCGGGGGTAGCAGACAGAGCCTTCTCGTTGGCGTCGGCATACTTCTCGTCTGCAACGGGGGCTTGTTGCGGTCTGTCAAAATTAGCGGATGACTCACGGGCGGTATTGAGCCAGAAAGGCAGAAATGATAAAGACAGAAAAGAAAGGATTTCACAAGGGAGGGCAACTCACTGAGAAATCTCAACCTCTTGATCTCTGACAGACATGTTGCTGAGGTGGACAAGCCAGGAAATAACCCCCACGAGAGCGAGAACTTGGACTGGGAAATTCCTCACAGAAGATGCGCACGAGAGAGCCAGAAAGAAACGGACATGGCCCTCACCTTATAACCAGCAGGTATTACTCACGGTGGGAGAGACATGGGCCATGGTAGCCGATGCGGGACCGTCTTATCGCGAGAAACATGGGAAGGGCCCATCCGTTAGACCTAGGCCAGAGACCAAAAGGCCAAAGAACCCAATGGCGTGGCGCGAAGGAGGCCCGTCGTATCCACGGATGTAACCCCGGGGGCGTCGAGGGCCAAAAGCAAAGATATGACAAGCGTTGTTAAGCATCGGCCGAGCAGCAACGTGATTGGGTCCGGGGAGGCATTCTGGAAACGGCCAGTCGGAGGACGCCGGTGAGTCTGGGAGAACTGCCCGATCGGGTTGGGGTCGCGTGGTCGCCAGACCAAAGCCCGGAGTTTGTCCTATCTTTTTTTTTTCTGCTAAATTAGCAGATGGCGACTCCTCGGCAGGCAGAGATTAGTCCGGTGTGCAATCAAATCAAGCGTCGCCACCGGCACCACTGCTTCCGGAAAAAATGGAACCCGTTAGGTAACACTTTTCCATTTAGCTGTTCACGGCTTCAGAGCAGGGCAGATAAGCACCGTCGCTCTTATTCGTACAGAGTGGTCCGTTAGAGTATCGGAGGCGATGCAGCGAATCCTGGAGTCGAATGGCACGGTTCTTCCATCCGCAAGGGTGTCCGTGAACGTCGCCAGCGTCGGTTCTCCCCGCGGATATTCCCCTCGGTTAGGACGGTTGTTTCCACCATCCAAGCTTTCCTGAGATATCCGACCGAATATCACTGTCCATGGAGTAATGATAGTCGAGTCAGACCCAATCCCAAAGGCAAAAATTGCCGTGATTGTCCCGGTCGAGGATACCCACGGCCCAATTCCAATACAACGTCGCTACCCCGGAATGCGGAGAGGGTCAAACCCAATCCCAATCCCAATCAATGGCCCGATATTGGTGACCCCGTAGTATCCAATCATCGTCGGCGAGTTGATAAGTTGACTTCGGTGAACTCCCCGCCAGGGATGAGGCTGGTCGTAGGATCAAAGGCCATTGATTATCGCAAACAAGGGTGGTGGAGTTCCATCGGAATTCCGACCGGTTCAGGCCGCCAGCACCGCATGCGGCTGGAGAGGGAGGGGTCGTAAGGTAGTATCGAGATCATCTGAGAGCCAGGAAGGATCATGTCTCACGGCAATAAGACCGACCCTCCATGTCGCCGGTCACTTGGATCACACGGATCACTTGGAAGGAGGTCAGCAAAAAGACTGAACTCGCATGAGTCAATGGTGAAAGGGTCTTGGCAAAGACACGAAAGAGTCGAGCCGACCGATCGGAGCAGCGGCCGGCCACATTAAGTACGCCGGAGTCTTGACGCCTTATCTCCCAGGCCGCCCAGCTCCGACTTCGCATGCCCCCGACGATTCGTCACCGCCGCCCTCCCAAGGTGCCAAACATGTTGGAGAATTGGAGTCCAGGTCTCTCACCTATGCCTGATAGGGCTATTTGGCCCGATCATTCCGATTGTCCTTTGCTGTCGCCATCTTCTTTTGGCCCGCTCAGCTCCGGATCTGCCGTGTCTTGCCAAGGTGTGTGACGACCTAAGGATCGCGCGAAGCATTCTTTCGCCCAAAGATGGGAGGGGGTATGCCTCTTATCTTATAGACGAGGTCGCCTCCTACCCCGGACGGTCCAAAATGTTATGCCCAGCATTTCGCGTGTACCAAGACGGACGGAATAGGGAGCGCGTGATAGCGTTGGCCAATCTGGGCCCTCTTGACTTTCTTGGCTGGCGTACCGACGAGCTCGGCGTCTTGGAAGAACGCCATCGCCTATCAAACTGCTTGGATAAGTCGTCAAGGACGGCTTGGGATGGAGGGGGCGAGATGCCCTTAATATCTAGTCCGGTGACGATGAATGTCGTGATCGATCTCCAGCCATACGCGGACATCCTCCGAAGCTCCGAAGGAGCTGGACTATACGGGGTACACGTCTCTACTCCGTAGAATGACGGCAATGGCCAATAAGGTTTGTCAGGCGAGCAGGCCATGGCGCCGATTATCTCTCAGCCTTGTCCGGACTACATCCCTCGTCGTCAGGCCAGGTCTAGTCGTTGGGCGGATGCTTCCAAAGGGGACCTTGTGTTACCACCTTCTGGACAATTTTCAGGGCCCTTGACCCCTATCCCTATAGACTGTGCAACCCATGGCAATCATCGAGTTGTCAACCGGCATGGTGAGTCAGTCTCCACAACTCTATTCATCGTGAAGGTGGCGTCTACGAAGGGCGTAAGCAAGTGGAGCATCTGCCTTTAAGGCGGATATATCGGGGGTCTCGGTGTTTGGAATTGTCCTGCATGCGAGTGGATGTCAGCGACTTTCATCTACGCAGTAAATAGAAAGACTCCGTATATTCTTACGGACAGGGGCATAACGTTTGGCAATCATGAATTGCACAAGTCCTTACCAATGCACAACAGTTCAACCAGTTCTGTCAAACGCATGGCGATGGGGCATGGTAGTCCAGAAATAGGGCCAGCGATATCGGACTTGATGCAGTAGCTGAAATGTTAGCTCGTGCTTTGTCCAAGAAATTGAATGGTTTAGTTCTGCCCCTCGTCATGGGAGATATTGATGTTGTCTTCTGCTTGAGGGATCCATGAGTGCGATCTAAGCTTGCAATCAACAAATGGTGGGATGAAACAAGGATTGATGGTCTAGATTGATTGATTTCTCAAAATTGACAGTCCGGTAAATGCAAATGATGCCCCCGGGTTGACGTTCCTGCCCCATAGAAAGACCTTAGATCACCTGCTCGCTGGTCAGGGGACTTCCGGAAAGGCAACCAGTTTCACGTGCTCCTACATTATATTTCAGAACGGAAATTCGAGTATAAGAATTCACTACAACATCCATTAGATTTATGCAGAACTGCAATGCATTCAGACCCATTGCATATGGTTTTCTTCCCCATGTTCTCTCTGCCCAAGCAACTCAATGCCCTGTGGTATCCCTCTGCCATGCTGATCCAATGCAGGAAAACATCTTAGACCCAAGATGAGAATCAGTCATCAGCTGATACAGTTTGACAGAGCATCACTTGCCTATTATTATCGGTCTCGGTCGTTCCTAGCCCAAAGCAATAAATAATTAGCAAAAAGCTTCAAAATAGTTGCAGGAAGCGTGACTGACCCATTACGATAAACCTACGTCACCCCGTCCAAGTTCCTGAACGCATTAGCAAATCAACTCGACACTCTGAGTCATTCAAATGCACTGACCTTTTGTTCATTATGGGAACATTATCCCGGGCCCAATCCAACCACCCGACCATAGGGCCCTAGGGCTGATGCATAACTCTGAGAGTTGTTGCGACAGCCCAGGAAGAAGAGCGGGAAGAGGAGCCAAAGCTATACTGTAGGTTAGTTCAGGGGGTTGTCAGTAGACAAAGTCTTACCCCAGGCCCAACCCAACCACCCTACCATGGGGCCGAAGATAGGTTAGGTTAGTTCTACAGGTTAGTATATGAGCAAAAGACCCAGGCCCTCCCAACCACCCTACCATGGAGCACTGGAAGCTGAGGCGTAACTCCGAGAGTTGTTGCGACAGCTCACTTACCTAGCAAGCTAGGGGAAAGAACAGGAAGCAAGCTATAGTGTTGGTTAGTCAAAGCAGTTGTCAGCAGAAGAAGAGTTACCCCAGGCCCAACCCAACCGCCCAACCATAGGGCCGAAGATAGGATAGGTCAGTTCTACAGGTTAGTATGTAAGCAAAAGTCCCAGGCCCTCCCAACCAACCCGACCATGGAGCCTGTTTCTGCGAAGGTAGATCTGGAGAGTCAGTGCGTAAGGATAGTAGTTCAGGGGAGTCAGTGTGTGGATTGTTCTGCAGATTCAGCTTGTTAGCTAAGTCCCAGGCCCGACCCAGCCACCCAACCATAGGCCTGGTTAGTTCTACAGGTTAGTATGTGAGCAAAAGTCCCAAGGCCCTCCCAACCAACCCGACCATGGAGCCTGTATCTGTGAGGAGAGAGATCTAGAGAGTCAGTTTGTTAGTATTATCCCAGGCCCGACCCAACCACCCAACCATAGGCCTGGTTAGTTCTACAGGTTAGTATGTAAGCAAAGTCCCAAGGCCCTCCCAACCAACCCTACCGTGGAGCCTTGTATCCGTGAAGATGTTTCTGAGAAGTCGGTTTGTTAGTATTGACCCAGGCCCGACCCAACCGCCCGACCATGCGGTCCTGGGAACCAGTTCGTAGAAGATGGGGGGTATAGTCACAGCGTACCGAGCACACACGACGCGATGTCTGTGTGCAAAGTGGGACCATACCCAAAGAAGAGAAGAGACCATGGTCGCAGCAAACCAGATGTCCGCTCGATGCGAAGTCGATTTGAACGTCCGGGGGACCATGGCAGAGGGAGGTATAGTCACAGCGTACCGAGCACATACGACGCGAGATCGATCTGCAAGGTGGGACCATACCAAGAGAGAGAGGAGATCTATGGTCACAGCGAACCAAGCGTTGACAAGACACGAAGTCGAGTCTCACGCTCAGGGGACCATCAGAGGATGAAAGACGAAGCTGAGAAAGACAGAGACGTGGCAGATTGGAAACTGAACAAGTGGGGGGATGAACCATGTAGAGAAAAGCTATGGTCACAGCAAACCAGACGGCCACACGAACGAATCGAGTTACTCGCCCAGGGGACCATAGCAGGATGGAAGATGGGGTTGAAGAAAACAGGACTGTGACAGTGTAGAATATAATTCAAATGAGACATAATCAGGCTGAAACAGGAACCAAAAGATCATGGGCGACCAGAGCGAAAGAGACAAAAAAGTTGCACTTGGGAGGGGAAGGGTAGAGGTTGAAGGCAGATGGAGAAGAGATGGATGGAGAAGAGGAGAAGGTTGAAGAGGAGAAGTTTAAATAAGGAAGAGAAGGAGAGTGGGAAGAGGGTGATGCACTGGGAGCCATCATGAGCAGTGAATGACGATAGCCAGATGCGGTAGTAGAATCATCTACATGGAGGGAATTTCTACTGGGAACTTCCATTTCGTAAGACTAGTATGGGGCCACCCTACGACGAGACATTTTTTAATGGGAACTTCCATTTCATCGAACTATTCACTATGTATAAGTGTATCACATAAAGAAATCAAAAGCAAAAAGATAAGAAAAAAAATAGGAAAGAAGTAGGAAGAAACAGGAAAAAATAAAACCAGTAAAGTCCTAAGCCATAGCATGAATACATATCGTGAAGGTGATCTCATTCTTTTTTTTTCTTTTTTAATTCCTTAAACGAACCCCGGAAAAAGGAAACGGAACGTGAATCGAAATTGGTATAAACCTCGTCAGATAACATATTGAGAGATACATGCCGTCGGTTTCTACGATTGGTCATCGCTGCAGAATATTGGCCAAAGTCATGTCCAGCCCAAATCTGCTTTCCCTCATGTAGTTTTCTCGTTTGTGACTTGCCCATCACAAGATTTCTTATCATCGCATGGTAAGAGAACGGAGTATATCCGCAGTAAATCGTAAATCCAAAGGCGCAGTGCTGATGATGCGCTTTAGACGGTGTACTTGGCCTTGGCCCGTGTGCTGCCGCTGTGGGCACTGTCCGTGTGTCCCGAGAACTCAACGACGTCGCTCTCCTTGAGACGGAGAACCTCCTTGAACCGTCTGCCGATAGACTCAAGGACCTCCTTGCCCTGGGCGGGGGTACGGGTACCGGCCTTGTCGCCAGGAAGGCTCTTGCCGACAGTTCGCGTCCACAGACCGACACGGTAGAAACCCTTACGAACGTTCACCACGACACCCATCACTTCGCTGTCACCGTCGTTCTCGAGAGTCTCGCCGATAGCGGCCAATTGCGCGTGAAGCCACAGCTCATCGATAGGGACGGAGCGCTTGTCCTTGAATGAGTACGACCACTTGCCACCGTGCTTGTTCTGGGGGTCTTCCCACTCGGGTCGGATTCCCTTCTTGAAGAGGTGATAGTCGGCCTTGAGGCCCAATTCGGAGGTTGGCGTGATGTTGTTCTAGAGACCTGGTAAGCCAAATTTGAAATGATCAAAACGGGTAATGCGAAAAACCATACGTAGATTCCCCAGAATTCCTCGACAGAGTTGAAGGTCACAACCTCCTTCAGAAGATCGTTCCAGTTGTCGCCCTAAAAGAAAAGTTAGCAACTCGGTCGATCGCTCGTAACGCGACCAACGACATACCTTGCCACTGGGAGGCTTCGTGAACCAAAGAGTCCAGTCGTGCATCAAGGGATGCTTCACGTTGAAGTTATCGGCATCGTGGAACACCGTGACGGAGTCTCCATTGGGCTTCTCAGTCTGTTCGGTGGCAGGTGTGGGAGCGGTGTTCTCGTTCACCGGTAGAGGAGGGTTTTCTGCGACAGCGGCCATTTTGAATGTGTGTTTCGAGTGAGGTCAAGGTTGATTTCAAGCGATCGAGATAGAGCGGAAGAGACTGCGGTGATAGAAAGTCCGAGTGGATTATCGGAGGGGCGAAGAAAAAAGTCTTGGTGGGAGCGGCAAATTTGTGACAAAATCGACCGTCGGCGAGGAAGGAGCAACCCAAGAGACGAGGGTTGACAAGGAGCGGGTAGAGCGCAAGGTCTTGAGCGAGGCAGGTATCTGCTCCAGGCAGAAATCACGACGAGGTGTGGTGACGGAGACTTCAGGATTCTGCGGCGAGAGACAATCTGAAGTTTTGAAGCGTTCGGGACCGCCGCGAGCTCGATGGGCGACCAAACTTTTCCTGTTCGGGCCGCCGCCTTTGGCCGCCTCAAGCCCTAACAGAATGAAATAACCAGAACAACAGGATTTAGTATTTAAAGTCAGAACTATTATTCAACAATGAAGACAGAATGATCCCTTGTCAAATAAAACATAGTAGGAATAATAAATATAATAATAATTAACAACGGTCTAGGTAACACCTGTGCATCCACTGCAAACAAACCCAGGCAAAATAAATAAATATTGAGTATAGAATTTGAAAAATATAAACGAAATAAAGAGACAACACCAGATCCCCCACTGACTCTATATAGTCCCAAATGTCTATATGTTACCGAAACGTCTAAAGCTGAAGCGCCAGGTGATGTCCAAAAGAACGTAAAAGGAAGCACAGCGGAAGACCTCTATGAACCCAAAGAAATCGAAAACAGATGCCGACATGTGCCAGTTGTACAATCAGGGTATCACTAAATGCAGGTCTTGAACAAACACGAGTAAGCTGGATTATTTTTCTTCGCTGGTGATCATGCTAAGAAGGCAGTTCCAGCCTATTGACTTGTCAGCATACTTCACTAAACCTTGCGCTCAAGATACGTACCCAAGCTGACCAAGTTGACCACCAATACCCGGTACTCCATCGGAACCAGGGCAAAATTGACACCCTGGACCATCGGCCAGACGCACAGGTTTGCCTTATACGTGGGCAGGAAGGCGTTGCGCCACTTCTCGACCGGGTCGGTCCCCTCCATGATAGCCAGAGAAGACAGCAAGCAGGACAGGTTGATGGGCGTGAAGACAGCTTGATCGGCAACGACGCGGGCAACGATGGTGCTCTTGGTGCCTTTGAGAACCACGTGACGCTGGAGAAAGCCGAACCACGTCGTGGCAGCAGGACCGAAGATGGCTGTTACAAGTCAATTGATATTCGGAAGCCATCGAGGACACTTAAAGGATCTTAATTATAGAGGGATGTGCTTACCTCCTCCGTAGATAGCCAATCGGCCCGTCCGTGCTAGATCATGCTTCTCCCAGCCCTTGCGATCGACAGCCTGTTGAGCCAGAACATCTCCGCTTCCGAAAAGAATCTAGACCGAATGAGTATGGAGATCGTCGAGAATGTTGAGGGACGAGAGAGATCGTACGAAACTGGTAACGCTAGCGGTGAGAATGGGCTGCTTTGCCAGTCTAGCCTGGTACCTGGATGGCAGTGACGTTAGCTCGAGCTTCAGACAGGGTATGAGGGCGGATAAGATTGAACATTGACGTACCAACGCAACATCTTGAGCGAAATAAATTATATGAGGGAATCGTCTAAGTCTAATTGATGACAATTGATGGGATTGGCCCAGGCGAGACAATGGCAGCGGAGTGGAGGATGGACGGGATGGAGATGAAGGCCGGTGGTGTACGGAGTACTTCGAGTGATAGAAGACCCCAGACCGCCGATAAGAGCAACGAACCCAAACAAGCCAAGGCGCGCTCGTCATTGGCGGCGGCCGTCACATGACGTGGGTCCGCGGCAGGGCGGCCCAAAACGGGAGGGCGGCCTAGGGCATAGGGTTCAACCTCGCTTAGCGCACCCGCCCGCGAAATTTCGCTCCCCCAAACAGTTGTGGATAGCGAGCGAAAAAGTCAACCTCGACGTCGACAACCCTCAACCCTTCCGTTCAACTCCCCCAATCGCCATACAGATCAACATGGCTGACGCCGCTCCCCGTGGACGTGGAGGATTTGGCTCGCGCGGTGACCGTGGTGGTGACCGTGGCCGTGGCCGTGGACGCCGTGGACGTCGCGGAGGCGCCAAGCAGGAGGAGAAGGAATGGCAGCCCGTCACCAAGCTCGGCCGTCTCGTGAAGGCCGGCAAGATCACCAGCATGGAGCAGATCTACCTGCACTCCCTGCCCGTGAAGGAGTACCAGATTGTGGACTTCTTCCTCCCCAAGCTGAAGGATGAGGTCATGAAGGTACGGAAACGATAGCAGCCTGGAAAGCGACGGATATCTTTGGGAAACAGAATGCGCAATGGACAGGTTGAAGACCAGGACTTGCGCAGGTCTGGGAAGAAAATTCGACATGGAATTGGAGGCTGGAATATATCAGGGTCTGAATGGCAGTGGCTGACGGTTATTATCACCCTACAGATCAAGCCCGTCCAGAAGCAGACCCGTGCCGGTCAGCGTACCCGCTTTAAGGCCGTCGTTGTCATCGGTGACTCCGAGGGTCACATCGGTCTCGGTATCAAGACCTCCAAGGAAGTCGCGACCGCCATCCGTGCCGCCATCACCATCGCCAAGCTGGCCGTTCTCCCCGTCCGTAGAGGTTACTGGGGTTCCAACCTTGGTGAGCCTCACTCTCTGCCCGTCAAGCAGAGCGCCAAGTGTGGTTCCGTCTCCGTCCGTGTATGTTACGAATTCCTGCGACTTCTGAGAAGTTGGCCTTGCGACCAGACACTGACCATGAACAGCTGATCCCCGCTCCCCGTGGTACCGGCCTTGTTGCCTCCCCCGCCGTCAAGCGTCTACTCCAGCTTGCTGGTGTCCAGGACGCCTACACCTCGTCGTCCGGTTCGACCAAGACCCTTGAGAACACCCTCAAGGCCACCTTCGTTGCCGTCGTCAACACCTACGGCTTCCTCACCCCCAACCTGTGGAAGGAGACCAAGCTCATCCGCAGCCCTCTGGAGGAGTTCGGTGACGTTCTGCGTCAGGGCAAGAAGTACTAAAAAAATAGTGCAGTGATGGGAATAAATTTGCATGATTGTTTTTGAATCCAACCATTTTCCTACGGGGTTATCTTCTACTTTTTTCTTTTTCCTTCGGCTGTAGGATCCCAGCGAATTCGACACTTTTCACGCTTTCACGGTAACGATGGTGTCTACGGATGTAATGATCGAGAGAAGCACGGTTTAATTAGCGTCCAGCCAATACACTTCTCGCCAGTCTTTTGCGGAGGGTTCTACAGGCGGTAGATTAGATGTAGAAGTTGGCAATCAGCAAATGTCCCAGAAATCCTTGCCTCTGGCAATATCTCATTGTAACAGCACCAGCACCTTAAGATACTCGCCGTAATTCAGGCAGTCCACTAGTCCCGCTTCCGGCCCGTCAGTCACTCTGCACTGACTCAATTTTCGATCAATGAGAATAAAATACAAAACCAACCAAAGAACAGAATTACAATCACATACATATTCCATCCATAATCAATATTTTATATCAAAAGGTCCGCACGGGGCATGTGGGTCTTCCGACGCACGGAGCACTGCTGATCGGTGGCCAATGAAATGCATCAGTTTCATCAGTTTCGCAGTTTGATTCCAACTCATAGGATATTCTAAAGGGAAGGTAGTTATGAGTGAGGAATGTTTTAATTCGTCTTAGTATCTTTAATACGAATGTGTCCCTTTAATTCAGTTTAACCCTTTTTCAACCCTTTTCTAAAGCTTGGTGCAGTGGCTTTCTGCGCATCTGTGGGACTGTCTTCTAGAATATATATTTTCGTCCGGTAGAAATAAGCTACATACTCCATGCGGTCCCCACAGTCCAGTCCACACAACATAATTGACAGAAATCAAGACTTTTATTTATTTATTGTCATTTTTATGTGAAAAGAATGCTATTGGATCCTTCCGAAGAGAGCAAAAATGCCCAAATGCTACCGAAGCAGTCCATGACCCCGCAAGCAAAATTCTGCAGGCTGACAGCCACTCGGAAGTCGAATGTCTAACCGAGAAAGGATCTCCCCGGATTGGGCGAAGCTCGGCGCCTCCGATCGTCTGGTTGGAAATGGAAAGCCATTCCAAGATTTGACCAGGGTTCCCCATGTAAGGGAGGGGTCGAGCATGTCCTCAGCTCAGCTCTCTCTCTCTCTGCTGCAGATCGGCGTCGGGCCCCATTGAAAGGCAATCGGTCCCGACCACCATGACTTGATTTTGGACTAATCCACAGCTTAAGAACTTGTGCTATTATCGCGACTCTAGATATGATCGTCTATTCGCTCTTTCTGGGCCTATTGGCCTTGTACGTGGTTGGCTACATCCGACGCCTAGTCACGTATACCCGTCTCGTCCGCCCGCTGAAGCTACCCTACGTGGTGGTTCCGTTCTCCGATACCGATCTTTTGATGATTCTGCTGTATGGATTCCGGTCGGTTCGGTATGCCATCAGCCGCTGGCTTCCGGGGTGGTTGGCCGATCGCCTGAACGAGGCGAAACTGATCAGTCGCTGGACGGCCAAGGATCGCATGGCCAGACGGTTAGGAGGCGTCTTTTTGCGAGTCACCCCGAGAGGTGTGGTTTGTAATGTCTCCGATGCGTCGGTTGCTTTTCAGATTTTTAGTAACAGGGGGGAGTTTCCGAAGTCGACGCATCAGTATGGTTAGTTTTTGTTGTTCTCGTGTACTGGATGTGGTTTGGATGCTGATTGCGATGGGAAGGGCTTTTGGAATTGTACGGTCCGAATGTAGTCACGGTAAGCGGTGTTCGTGAAAGTCTAGGATTTAGCTGATGATTTCCAGGTTGAGGGCAGAGAGTGGCAGCATCACCGCCGTCACACGGCGACCACGTTCAATGAAAAGAACAACGCGCTGGTCTGGAAAGAGGCGATCCACCAAACGATTCAGATGCTCGAGCACTGGCAGGAGAAATCGCCAGCGAATACCAAGCAGAGCTTCGTGGTAGAGCGGACCAGAGAAGACGGCCTCAAGCTGACTCTGAATATACTATCGAGAGCTGGCTTCGGGGTCCCGATTCCTTTCAAACCGGTGCAGCACGGTCGAGACCGCGATCCAGAGAACATCTTCGAAGACTCCACTACTCCGCCAGCAGGATTCGACTTCACGTTTAGCACTGCGATAGCATATGTCAGTACGAAGATCGTCACTGTCCTTCTGGCGTATAAGATGATACCCCGGCAGCTGCCGCGACAACTTGTTCCGTCGTTTGTTAGAGAAAAGATAGCGGCGTATCGAGATCTCGACACTTATCTGCATAAGCTGGTTACCAGGGCGAAGGCCGGAGTGGAATATTCGGACGACAGCGCGGGAAATCTAGTCGATGGCATGCTTTTGTCTCAGAAGCGTGGAGACCAGGATGGGGGTGACCAAGGCCTGACTGATCTTGAGATTATGGGAAACATGTTCATCTTCGCGATCGCTGGACACGAAACGACCGCAACGACCTTCCGATATGCGATTCTGCTTTTGGCTCTTCACCCGGATGTGCAGGACTGGCTTTACGCAGATGTTGTCGAAGCTACGCGGGATGAGCCTTCTGAGATCAGCGCCTGGGATTATGAGAGACTGTTTCCCAAACTTGTCACTCCTCTATGCGTGATGGTACGTCGCAGCCCTTCTTGATCTAGTCATGTTCTAATGAGCAACGAACAGCTGGAAACTCTCCGTCTCTACCCACCCGTCGTAACCATTCCAAAATGGACAGGCTACTCGCCTAGCACCATCACCTACCGCGGCGAAGACTACATACTACCCGCCAAAACCAACGTCAATGTCAATGTTAATGTCCTCCACCTATCCGAAGAATACTGGGGCCCCGACGCTAGACAGTTCAACCCCCAACGGTGGGACATAAACAACAAGGAAAGCTTCCTAGCCAAGAACGTCGATACACCGGGTCTCGTTGCTGCCGGGTTAGAGTTCCCAACCATCCATCGACCGGTTCGCGGCGCGTATGCCCCATTCAGCGATGGAGTGAGGGCCTGTCTCGGGAAGAAATTCGCCCAGGTGGAGTTTGTGGCTGCGTTGGCTGTTATCGTCAAGCAGTATCGGATTGAGCTGTCTGACAATAGCGACGAGGGCCGGCGGAATGCAGAGAGGGTTTTGGAAGGGGGGATTTCGGTTCTGACGTTGGGAATGGAAGAGAATGTTCCTTTGCGTCTTTGTAGACGGTGACTTCTTTGTTCGCCTTTCAGATAATGTGTCGTGTAGTTCGTGCCTTTGATGCCTTTGCTTGTCTTCCGTTCATGTCTTCGTTTTCTTTATTTGAAGTCTTCTTTGCTACCCGATGAGGTACAGCACGTCATCATGAGAGCTGTTGGATACAGCGCTATACTTCTCATATCACAGCTATCATTCTAATTGAGTTTATTTGGCGCATGACTGGATTGTAGTTGACTAAGAGACGATAGCTCCTATTACCCCAACTTTATCTTTTCTTGGAGGTCCACTAGAGTTAGCAATGTATGAGAAACTGAAAGCTTTATAACATGTTACCTGTTTGTCTTTTAATGCTTTGTTTACGAAAATGCTGATTTCTCTGCTAGTTACCACAGCTTATAATGTGACTTCATCCTGTGTGCATATATCTTGATTTGTTCTACTGTTCATACTACTGACTCATGCTGAATAGACTCACAGTGCCTGTGTTGGCACTAAGAAACTGCTCCATAGAATAGACCAAAATTGATTGTATGGTATCTACGTCTTGTATAGTTCATGATGTCTTTCTTTCAAAGCCATTCACCTTAGAATTCATTCAAGCTGGTGAATGTAACAACCTGGAAACAGCCTTCACTTCACCTTTCTTTGCCTATTTTATTAAGACCTGCAGACTGCCTCAGGAAAACTTCTCCTCCTCCTTCAATCTGTCGCACTTCCTTGCGCTCTCACTCACTATCTGCCATCCTCTGCGCGATGCCCAAAAACGAACTGAAGATGGAGGACTACCCTGCTCACTGGAGAGCTACTCTCATGGGTGAGGCGTTCTGGAAAGACGCTGAGGAATACAACCAGCCCATCAGTGACAGTATTGATGCGCGTGAGTCTGAATTCCCCATTCCCCTCTTCCCATCTCCCTCCTTCCTGATACTGAATCTATCCTCCACCTCTAGACTCCCATCCCTCCCTCCTCTCCAGATTCCCCTTCAACATCGGCTCTGAACAGCCCAGCATCTCACACCATCATCACCATAACCATCAACCCCAGCTCCAACCCCAATCCTCATCTCCAGACGACAAGCGCCGCCGACGCTTCAGCACCAGCGACGCCCTGAGATCCTTCGCATCAAGAGCATCCAGTCCGTTCCCTCCCCCTAACGCCTTCGACCTCCGCAGAGGCCGTTCGCAATCCCGTGCCCTATCCCCTTCGAAACCCCGTCGCTCAAGCTCCATCCTCCGCTCAACCTTCAACATGCTGAGCGGCAAGATGTCCGAGCCCGCGGACCCAGAGACCAAGCGTGCTCGCATCCCCGCCAACCAGGCAACGCCCACCCACCCGCTGCTGAACTTCCGCGGCGGAGACACCTGGGCATGTCTGGACAAGGGACGGCGGAGTCTCGGCTTGGATGTGTTTCTCCCTGTGGATGTGGAGAAGGAGGCGGCAGCCAGAAATGCAGAAGCAGAAGCGGATGCCGACGCAGACGCAGACGCAGAAAGCGAGGAGATCGTGCAGAGAGCAGAGTTTGATATTCTCCCGGCCAGGGAACTTGAGCCATTGGCCCAGTTCCGTAAGCTGCGGTCGTTGAAAATCACCGGCATGATGCAGTCCTATCAGAAGGAGATCTGGCAGGTTGCGTGGTTGAATGTGGAGCTGGAGGAGCTGGAGCTGGGCATGGCGCTGAAGGCGCGCATTCGTCGTCCCTGGGTCGAACAGTGGCCCTATATCAAGGGTGGGTGGACGATGAGCAAGATGACCTATGGCGAGCCTGTTTACTAGTAAGTCTTCTTCTTCTACCTCACCTCATTCCATTCGAAATCCTCTCCTTTCACTTCCCACCTCCCCATCCAAAGCTAACCAGCCACACCCACAGCGGCACCGCCCTCTCGACCGGCACGCTGCACCGCAAAATCGGCTGCGGCGAATACCTCGACAAGATCGTGATGGAGAAAGCGAAGATCTGCGCCCTCGCCATCGGCCGCTGCCGACAGCGTCTCTCGATCAAGACCCTCAAGCTGACCGGCTTCGTGGTGGACGCCGACCCCTTCCTGCACTGGTTCGACCCCAAGCGTCTCAAGAGCATCCACTTCGTCGATTTCTGCGTCGACGCGGGCTTCTATCTCTCTGCGCCCATGGCGAAGGTGTCGGTGGTGTTTCCGCGCGAGATTCACGAGGCGGCGCTGGCGGGCAGGATGACGAGTATGTATGGTGATTTGAAGGTTGTGAGGTTGGAGGGGGGGAAGAAGGTGGGTGAGATTAGGTACAGGGGGCCGGAGAGTTTGAAGGTGGAGATTCCGAGGAATTTGGTGGAGAGGGTTGAAGACGAAGATGGAGGAGCTGATGCTAAGGTTGGCGATACTGATGTCAACGCTGACGCCGAAGATGAAGCTGAAGGTGATGCTGATACTGATGCCAACACCGAGGCTGAGACTGAAACTGAAGCTACCAAGACCGCAAAGGAAAGAAGAAAGAGCGTGTGAAGGATGACGGTATGACAAGCCAGAGCGACTTTATCCGACTGATTGATTCTGCGACTCGCATGGCTGGCTCTGCTCATAGCACGGGTTCATATCCAAAAGTTGATTTACGGCGTTAGGCATGGCTGGAGTATGGTTAACAACTGCAGTTGCAGACGTTCTGTATTTATCTGGGATCGGATTCATTTGACTTAGGTCAGTAGTTTGAATCTATTACACATTCGGAATTAAATGGCCTCTGTCCTGGGGAGTGTAGAATCTAGGAGAGAATTTCGAGATCGAGGTTCGTCTAATATGAAGAGGGCATGCCTGAGGAATTGAAGTAGTTATAAAGCTTACTCGGGTTCCACCATAGCTGGAAGATCTACTCCTTACCTTATACTTTAGTCGCTCTGATAGCTTGCAGTACAACAAAAAGAAAAAAGAATTCTCATCCATTATTCAAAATCGAAATAAAAGCAAATACCACCTAACTACCGAGTAACCAGGCAAACTGAATAATGTACACCAAACTCAACCAGCATTACTTACTCAACCCACCCACTTTCACTCACCCAACTATCCAACCCAACCAAGTCAATCAAACCTCATGCACAAATCCAACCCCCGGCAAAAGAACCAAACCAGAACCAGCTCAGATCCATTTTCATAACTATTTCATCCCCACCACTTCAATTCTCCGCCTCGCATCCACAGTCCCAGTGGATGATGTCATGACGTCATACTCATACCACACGTCACATCACACCACACCACACCGCATCATCGACCCTTCGTCTCCTCTCCTGTCGTGCTCTCCAGCCAGAACTCCACTCCGCTTCAACTAATCCAATTAGAAATTAAGCCCCCTCTTCATCACCCACACGAATAGTCCCCTCGTTACCAAGACCATTGGACCAGAAGCCGTCGACGTAGAGGGCTCTGCAAGGAAAGTCAGCATCTTCGCAAATAACTAAATTGGAATGGACACTGGGGAGGAAGGCTTACACTCCAGGCGATCTATCATGCGCAATTAAAAGCCAGTAGCCGAGGATACCCTGCTGGATGATATCGTAGACCGCGAAGATGATGCTCTCGGAGTCGACGTTGACTTTGAGCGCGAGGGCGCCGGCAGCAAGGGCACTATCGTACACCGTCAGTACAGTTCATCCAATATCTTTCTCACAGGAACCAGATAGAAAAAAAGGGGGAGACATACATCGGATACAACGCCTTCACCAACAACGCGACGCCCGAAATCGCACCAAAGAACCGCTTCGTCTGCACGTCCTTTCTTCTCGCCGCCTTCCTGCCATTCACACCCACCTGGTACACGACCGTCAGGTAGGCCAGCGCGCTGATCGTGAACCAGACCCATCTGCGCGCGGTATGGCCCGCGTAAGTACCCAGCAGGCCGGAGCCGAGCATGGCGAAGTCGGCGGCGACGGCGACGAGGAGGTGTGCGCCGGGCAGGCCCGACAGCAGCGACAGGTTGATCAGGGTCAGCGGGTCGGTCAGGAACCAGTTCACGTAGCGCAGCCACAGCACCTGGCGGTACCAGTCGGTGGAGGTGTCGGGGACGTGCTTGTGGGTGTGTCGGATGAGGTCGTGTTTCCAGGTGATGCCTTCGCCGGTGGCGAGGGCGAGGTAGATCAGGAAGGAGATGGTGGTGCTGAGGGAGACGAGGGTGTGGAAGACGCGTTTGGGCTGGGTTGGATTGTTAGTGATGATGATGGAGTGGGATGGGGGAAGGATGGATGGAGGACGTACCACGGGGGAGCGGCCAGCGAGGATGTAGAATACGACAGAGGAGAGAGCCATGAGGACGGTGACGACCCTGTGGTTGGTTAGATATGATCTATACAACTGCATGGTAAGGGTAAGACGTGCCATAATGTGCGCTTTCCGGCATCGTGAATCTCCTGCAGGATGGGAGTACCTCCCGGAATGACCGTAGGAATGGGGGATACTGGCGAAGTAGGAGATGGAGCCGGCACGGGCACCGGCTCGGACTGAAGGGCTTCGATCATATCGAGAACAGCCATGAGGATGAAGCTGAAAGAGTGGGATAGGATCAACGGATAGACACAACGATCAGAATATACTCTCAAGGTTGGCAACAGTATTCTGAACAGTTAATAGTTCGAATAAAATGAGCCTGGACAGCCTCCCTATAAAGGAGGACGCAACGTTACGAGAGACAATCGTCATGCTGACCTCGACGGTGTCGTCATCGAAGACCGGGTCCGAGATGCAGCCAATGCGGGCGACGCAACCCGTCCTGATGCCAACGGACAATATTCCTGCCTTTCGTTTGGTCGGAGAGTTTGGGACGTGGCCGGCTTTCGTGGTTCTCGTTACACCGCGCTGCGACTCCAACTGGTTTGTGGGACGTGAGGTTATTGCCACGGAGGATGAGCGATGGGGACGGCCGCAACGATCGGTGGAGTGGCTCTTATTTACTGGATACCTAAATAATTCTATGGATGATACACTATATTACATGATATGCGAACGGGTTTAGGAGGATTTCGCGGCGTCCAGTTGCTGAACGACATCGTCGCAGCGATCACACACCGTCTCTTCCGCCGGTTCGGGGACGACGTAGCGCCAGCATCGGGGACACTTCCCTGCCTGCGGGGTGAAGACATGGACGGTGCCCTTCTGTCCTCCAAGGAGCTGGTACTCCTCGCTGTAGTGCCATTGCGCATCGGCGATGGCCGGTAGTATGGACTCCCCAGGAGCTCCCAGGGTCACGGCTGATACCACGAACTGGTCCGGCAGCTCAGCCTGATTCCGCTGGAACACAGAATCACTGACACCCTCGGGGAGCACGATGTGGACGAATGACTGCAACGAGGATCCCATTTCCTTCTTGGCGCGCGCAGTTTCCTGGGCGGTTTTGATGGCGCCGTGCACCGCGACGAGGTCCTGGTAGTCGGCCTCGAGCGTGGGATTTTGCCATTCCGACTCGGGAGCGGCCACGACGCGCCGCAGAGGATGCTCGCAGTGCGTCTTGATGGCGTCCGGCGTGTGCTCCCAAGTCTCCTCCACAAGCATGGGGGTGATCGGAGCCAGGATCTCTTGGAGGTGGTGGTAGATGTGGAACAGCGTGGTCTGCGCTGCACGTCGGCTGGGGCTGTTTTCGCCGTGGGTGTACAGGCGGTCCTTGATAGCCTCCATGTAGAAAGCGGAGAACTCCTGGTTGGCCCATCGGTTAACGGCATTCACGGCCTTGTAGAATTCGAAATTCTCGCAGGCCTTTTGGCAAGCGAGGACCGTCTGAGACAGATGCATCAGCGCGATGCGGTCGACATGCTGCAGCTGGTCATAGGGAAGACGGTCGTCGAGGCGGAAATCCGAGAGCGCGCCCAGCAGAAGCTTAAACGTCACACGGTACTTGTGCAGGCTGGTGTTGACCGTCTGAAGAACCTGTTTCCCAATAACCACGTCCCGCGTGTAGTCGCTGCTAGCCACCCACATGCGGAGGGCGTCCGGGCCCAGCGCATCGTAGACCGGCCCCTTGCTTTCGGCCTGCTTGTTGCCCTTGCCTTTCTTCGGCTTGAGGGGCGGCAAAAGCGTTCCGTCCATAATTGACTGCGGGTCGATGACATTGCCGATGGATTTACTCATCTTGCGGCCTTCTTCGTCGAGCGTGAATCCGTGAGTAATGAGATGCTTGAACGGTGCACGAGGGGCGTCATCAGACTTCCCGGAAGCAAGTTGGTGCGCGATGAACGTGAGCAGGCCGGATTGAAACCATCCCCGGTGTTGGTCACTGCCTTCCAGGTAGACGTCCGAGGGGTATCCGTTGCTGTAAGGCGTTTCGATCTCCGCCCAGCTGGTACCGCTGTCGAACCAGACATCCATCGTGTCGGTTCCGCGACGATAGCCGGGCCCAGATGCATCTTGCAAGGCCGGGGGGATCCAAGCCAAATCGTCCGCATCGTCGGTCCACCAGGCGTCCACCCCTCGCTGCTCGATCACGGCCATGATATGGGAGACGGTGTCCTTGGTGAGGACCGCCTCGCCCGTGCCTTGATGGTACAGCGCAGGAATAGGCACACCCCAAGCACGCTGACGCGAGATACACCACTCACTCCGGTTTTTGACAAAGTTTTCCAACCGCTGTCGGCCAGAGGAGGGCACGAAGTTGACATCATCCAGGGCCTTGACGGCGCTGCCGCGGATGTCAGCCACATCGGCAAACCACTGTTCGGTAGCCCGGATGATAATGGGGAGTTTCGATCGCCAGTCGTAGGGGTATTTGTGCTCGTATTGGTGCTTAGCAATTAAATGACCTTCGGATTGAACATATTCCAGGGCTGCGGTATTGCCTTCATTCAAGACGCTCTTTCCGCTCAGCCTCTCAGGGTCGCTAGGCATTGCTTGGTCAGTGAATCTGCCCTGGTCGTCCACAGGGGCGAACGCAGGGATGCCACGCGAGACACAGGCTTCGTAATCATCCATTCCATGTCCGGGGGCGCAGTGCACCAGACCCGAACCCGAGTCGGCAGTGACAAAGTCCGCGGTGATGATCGGCTGCGCGTCTGCATCCGGGCCCTTGAACAAAGGTCGGTACGTAGTGCGATCGGCCAGCTCCGAGCCATGAATAGCCGGGACGATGACAGACAGATCCTCTTTCAGAATGTTTTGAAGATATTCGATCCGAGATTGCGCGATGAGAAGATGGCCGTGCGTTTCCGACTGAACAATGGTGTACTCGAGATCCGGATGAACCGCGATGACAGCGTTGGCAGGCAGAGTCCAAGGAGTAGTAGTCCAAATCACAGCGCTGAGGTCCTTGACCTGCAGCAGAGGGTTCTGAGCGAGATGCGGCGGGATGGAAACCAAGGGGAATTTGACCAAAGCAGCAGTAGAGGTATGATCCTCCTTATACTCCAACTCCGCCTCTGCAAGTGCCGTCCCGGTAGACGGCGACCAATACACAGGCTTGAATCGTCGGTAAATCAAGCCTTTCTCAACCATCTCGCGAAAGATTCCCAGTTGTCTCTTCTCAAACGCCTTATCCATCGTCTTCCAATGGTTCTCCCAATCTCCCATGACCGCAAACCCGCGGAACCCTTTCATCTGATCCTTCACAGCCTTGCCCGCCAGCTTCCGCGCCGCCTTTCGAATGACGGCGGCAGTGACCGGTCCACTCTCTTTCCCTGACTCTTTCTGCGCCTCCAGCGCCTTCAATTCGATCGGCAACCCATGACAATCCCACCCGGGAACGTATCGGACTCCCTTGCCCAGGCCCAGCTGCACGCGACAGATGATGTCTTTCAGGATCTTATTGAGGGCATGGCCGACGTGGAGGTCACCATTCGCATAGGGCGGGCCGTCGTGCAGCACGAAGGGACGGTCGGCAGGCCTCTCACGGCGCTGCCAGGCGTAGAGGTCGTCGGTGCATCGGCGCAGGTATTTCGACTGATCGGCCGGCGTCACGCGAGCGGGGAAAGTCGACTTGGGGAGCTTGAGCGTCGACGACCAGGACCGAGTGAGCGACCGCGGCAGTTCCGGCATACTACCGCTGAAGCATATCCTGCCTCCGGGGTTGGGTGGGGTTCAATTGCGTAGGCGGATTCGTAGATGCGGATTTGAAGCTGAAAATGAACGAAACGAAACGAAGGACAAGAGTCGGTCACGTTACACGTTCCGCCGGGGAATTGGCGGTGTCTTGGCACGTGGCCTGGTAAGGGAATACCGCGTAACTTACAGTCAGAGACTGAGGCACGACTTGAGAAGCTGCATTTGATGGTGTTGAATCGTGGTAGAAATATGGAGAATTAGAGTTAGCGTCCTAAATAACAGGTTTTGGTAAGGATTTTGTGGCTGGTAGGTGGTACGTTGCAGCATGATGAAATTGTGCCTGTGGACCTAAATCTATATATTGGAAAATATATCATCAAGCAGAGGTCGGGAGGGAAAAAAAAAAAAAAAAGAATACAGGAAAGAATACGGGAGTGAGTTCTTGACATAAATTAGAAAATTAAACATACGACTTGAGTTAATTCCGCTGGAAATTATAAAGTGGCATTGAGTATAAACATAGCTTCTTCTAGAAGAAATCTCAGCCTAGCACCATCTCATTAATGGCAGTCATACAACCGAATGCTGGTAGAGTATTATTCACATGGCATATACAAACTAAAGCCTAAGAAATTGCTACAAGGATCCCTAACGCCGTCAATCTACCAAGTGTGCGTCAATATATGGTCAAGCAGCTGACGGCCCCGTTCTTCAGAACCTCGAAAAGCAGACCCGGAAACCCAAATAACTCCGTATTACCCAGTCCCCCGTCATGGTTATCGTGGCCGGTTCGCTGACCCTTGCCTGTACTCTCTTCCCACCCGCCCAGAAACTCCACGCTACTCTCAGGACTGTCGCCCCAGCCGCGGTTCAGCACCATGGGCCTTTGCAAAGCTCGCTCCTCCGCAGCGCTGGCATAATAGCCTTTCCAAACACCGCGGAGTCGCTCGGAGATTTCGTCGTAGCGGGTTTCGGAGGTGATGACTTGATTGGAGGGAGTTAAGTCGACCTTCCAGCGACTGCGCCGGTGGCGGTTGAAAGGATACGACCCGGGCACATTGCCGTGCAAGATGATTTTGGTCACGACCAGATTAGATGATGGGGACGGGGGAGATGGATCCGCAAGAGCGGACCCGGGAAACGCAGGCCCGGGAGTAGTAGGATACGAGATAAAAGCATCGAAGCCATGATGGAAGTAGTTGAAAAAACATTCCGTGGGAAGTGATAGAGGGTCCAGGTTGTGGATTTGGGAGAACTCGTCATCGGAGTCGTCAGTACCACTGTTGGAGGAATGATCGGTGTCCGTGACATCGATTCCTCTACCTGCAGAAGGGCTCATGCGCAGAGGATCATCGCCACTGCTACCGCCAGCGGCACGATGGATGGAAATTCGTCGATCATTTTTACGGTATATGGCATCTGGCGGGCCAAACTCCGCAATGAGGTCCTGCGGAGTGGTTTCGGCCAGGCTGATAGAGGTAGACGGCGTCGACCGACGGACGGCTTCCAGTTTGCCCGCACCTAGAATGATGAATTCCTCCACCTCGTCCGGCACCGCATCTCTACTCTTCCCGGCCAATGCAGGAAAGCGAGGATACTGCGGCTGCTGAGTAAACAGCTTGTTCCGAGCTTCAGGCCACGAGGCGCCCTGGAATATAGCCATCGAAGTTGCCGGCAACGCTGCGGACGAGGACAGCAACGCTACAAAGTCGCACTGGTCGGACCAGGCGGAATGCTGGAGAGGGAATGAAACCGAAACCCCGGGGTACGAGAGCACGTATGTGCCATAGGGCGACTGGGTAGTAGGAGGAACGTATTCGCCAGGGTATGAGGGACCGAACAGACGATTGTAGACATGTCGGAAACTGGGTCCTTGCTGCGACACCGGCTGTTCCTGGGGCTTGACCCCTTTCAGCACCTCTTGACTCTTATAGACAAGGGTGATCTTCGAAAAGTCCAGCACTTCGATCAGGCGCAGCCGTTGATCCGGACCGTCAAACCGCAGACGGAGACCGTTGGACGGCAGCTGCAGCGTTACGGGCTTCTGAATGGGATCCGACGGGGAGTACGCTATGTCGATTGCGGGGTAGGTCTGGGGATGGGACTTGACGCGGCTGAGGACATTATGGAGAGATGCACCGAGGGCTGGAAAGCATTAGCAAAGTCCGTGAATGAGCTGGATCAGACAGTGTAGACATGCTTATAAACCCCAGTCCTTTCCCCGGGAAAATCTGGATCTGCGTCGAGGATCTGGTGGCGGTCATGATGCTAACTACGGCCCGTTCTCATCCTGGAGCTGAATGACGGGCAAAGGAAGATGATTACTCCATGAATATGAACAATACCGATCAGGATGTAGCCACAGATATGTGAGAAGAGATGAAGCAGCACTCTGGACGGGATTGATGATGCAGGGAAGTCAGGAGGGACGCAGGCGATGAGCGCATGGGATCATGTGAGCGGCGGGAATGACCTCCTGACGCCCGGACCACATGACGGCACGTGCACCACCGGTTTGTTTACGTTTTCCCTTTTGGGCCTGCCGAGAACAACATCGAACGCCCGTCAACAACTCGACACCCCCTGCCCACCTTGCGTCTTGTCCCGCACCGATTGATGGGTAAATGCGCCTGAACTATTCTCGACCCTGATTTATCGGAACCGTCCGTTGAATCTCATTATCACCATGGCCGGCCCCCAACGGCCTACGTCTGGCCTGCCGACCAGGAGAACCACCACCACCCGCAGCCAGCCCACAACCCGGAGATTCGGCTCTGCGGTCGGAGAGAAGCCGCCTTCCAAGTCACCGGCCATTCCGACCAGGGCGTCGACGGCGACGTCGCGCGCGCTTAAATCTCCTGGCGAACCGACCAGCATTACTGCGAAAAAGAGGGAGAGGGACTACGAGCGCGAGATCAACGAGGATACTAGCATCCATGTGGTCGTGCGATGTCGAGGTCGCAATGACCGCGAACTCAAGGAAAACAGCGGAGTCGTCGTGTCGACAGAAGGAGTGAAGTGCAAGAACGTGGAGCTGTCAATGGGCCCGAATGCCCTGTCGGACAAGACATATACGTTCGACAAGGTTTTTTCCGCGGCTGCCGACCAGGTGACGGTGTATGAGGATATTGTCCTTCCTATTGTCAACGAGGTGAGATTTCTTCAGTCAAGTTGGTATGCTCTTGCTAATGCGCACAGATGCTGGCTGGATACAACTGCACAATTTTCGCATACGGACAAACAGGCACTGGAAAAACGTACACCATGTCCGGAGACATGACCGACACATTAGGCATTCTATCCGATCACGCTGGTATCATCCCGCGCGTGTTTTACTCGTTATTCAACAAGCTCGAAGAAACCGAGAGCACCGTCAAGTGTTCGTTTATCGAATTGTACAACGAAGAGCTCCGCGACCTGCTCTCCGCCGAGGAAAACCCGAAGTTGAAAATCTTTGAAAATGAGACGAAGAAAGGTCAAAACAGCAGCACGCTCGTGCAAGGAATGGAGGAAACATTTATCCACTCGGCGACTTCGGGTATTGAGTTGCTGCAACTAGGTAGTCATAAGCGCCAGGTGGCAGCGACCAAGTGCAATGACTTGAGTTCCCGGAGTCACACGGTATTTACCATCACTGTTCAGACCAAGCGAACGTCGGAATCGGGCGAGGAGTACATCAGCTCAGGAAAGCTCAATTTGGTCGATCTTGCCGGAAGCGAGAACATTCAGCGCAGCGGCGCAGAAAACAAACGGGCAGCGGAAGCTGGATTGATCAACAAGAGTCTGCTCACGCTTGGTCGCGTGATCAACGCCTTGGTCGATAAAAGTCCTCATATCCCATACAGGTATGTTGTACTGCTTTTATGCAATGGATGATTCTGACAAGGCCAGGGAGTCGAAACTCACTCGATTGCTGCAGGATTCTCTTGGAGGACGCACAAAAACGTGTATCATTGCCACTGTCTCCCCATCCCGAAGTAACTTGGAGGAAACGATCTCGACACTCGACTACGCTTTCAGGGCGAAGAATATCCGCAACAAGCCGCAGATCAACTACATGTCGAAAAAGACTCTCTTGCGCGAATTCACGCTGGAAATCGAGAAGCTGAAAGGAGAGCTGATTGCGACAAGACACCGCAACGGAGTGTACATGACCGTCGACGCATACGAGAACCTGACCATGGAAAACGATTCGCGACGCATCGTGAACGAAGAGCAGCGCGCAAAGATTGAATCTATGGAAGCAAACCTTCGCCACAAGGTCCAGGAACTGTTTACCTTGACCAGCAATTTCAACAACCTGAAGAAGGACAACGAGGAGACTCGCGTTTCACTTCAAGAAACGGAGGACGTCCTAGACAAGACCGAGATCGTTCTGAAGGATACCAAAACCCTGCTCGAGGAGGAGGAAATGCTGCGAAAGGCGCACCAGGAAACGGAGGAGCAACTCTACGATGCCGGCACGGGTTTGCTGTCGACATTGGATAGTACCGTCGGGGACGTGGACGGGCTGCATGCAAAGATCCAACGGAAGGCGGACTTGGAAAATGCCAATATGGCAACATGGCAAACCTCAACGTCTGAAGTATCGGATGTTACTCAGAAAGTTGATATGAGTGTCCAGAACTTCCAATCTCAACATTCCGAGCTTCTGAAAACCATGGCAGAGAAGATCAACGGCTTCGTGGCCGACGAGCTGAGCAACATTCAACAAAACCAATCCGAACTGCTGCAGCGCACATCCTCATTCGAAAAGGCGGAAGAAGAGGCAAGGTCTCAGACCCATGGCGCACATGACGAAATGAACGAAGTTTTGGAAGAAATCAAGGACCTGCGAGAAGAGGTCAAGTCGAAGGTCGGCGAGGGTCTGAACGGTCTTTCAGCTGCGGCCGCTCGCATCTCCAAAGAGGTCATCGGCGAATTCACCGACTTCCATGCTCAACTGCATGGGTCCTACAGTACTCTGGGCCAGGAGTTCAAGGCCATGTTCGAGAACATGGTGGGACACCTGAATGGGCAAAAGACGGAAATCAACCGGTTGAGACTTGAGATCCAAGAAGCCAACCTCAGAACGGTCGAGGCGAATCGCCGAGCCTCGTCTCAACTCGCGCACACCTTGGAGGAAGAACAAGCCACTGCGGAGGCGGAGCGAGACGTGTTGCTATCGCAAATCAAGACCCTCATCGAGGATTCGCGGCAACGGCAACAGGGTCGCTTGAAGGGCAAGGTGGAAGATGTACGAAAAGAGATTTCTTCTTCTGGCGACACTTTGGAGCATACGACAGCGCATTACGATCGACAGGTCGACGAGTGGGTGTTCAAATCGGAGCAATTTGCCAAGGACGTGAACGCTTCCCGGGACGAGATCAAGACGAAGATGCAGAATGATTGGGAGGTAAGTATCTCTATCCCACCCCCGTTCTGGCCAGTGCTAATTTCTTAGGTGTTCGACCAACGGAATATTTCCATCCAAAAAGCGACCGAGTCGGTGCACGAGGAAACCGTGCGCATTGTTGATGCTCAGATGAACAACATGGATAAGCAGATGGAAGCCCTGGACGACTTCGTGGACAAGGCCCGGTCTCAGAACGGCCAGTTTCGCGATGCACACATCACCAGTCTGGAGAACATGGCGTCCAACGTCCACGACTCATACTCGTCGATGCACGACCAGATATCCGGCCTTGGTGACCGTGTCAACCAGCTCCAGGAGGATGCGACGCAGCAGCATCTCGACCTTGAAGAATCCACCGCTCCCTTGTCAGAGGAAGTCCGCAGACCCCTGCAGACACTGCGCGCCAACATCCTCCAGCGCCCGCTCGAGGATTACGTCCCTACTGGTGTTACTCCCCAGAAGCGGCAGTACGAATATCCCTCGGTGCTGCCTCGCACCGAGGCACACGATACTCTGAGATCCCGGATGAGAATGGCAACCGACCTGACCGTGCTCCCGTTTAACGGCGAGGAGCCGCTGTCTCCGGACGTCTCCACTGGAATTTCGTCTTCCAAAGGCTTCGTTTACAACGACGCCGCGGACGAGGTAGGGACTCAGCCACCTCCCACAACCGTGACTCCTTCCAACACCGGCCTTAGGGAAGTCGATGCAAACGTCGCCGTGAAACCACGCGTGTCTAGTATCGACGAGAACTCGCCCAGCGACCCGCCGTCCGGGAAACGGAAGTCGTCCTCCATGGCTGACAGCTCGGACATCGACGACCTGGACGACCAGCCGACGAAACGGCGCCGCTCGAGCCATGCCCCCACTGAGGCTAAGCTCCCGCATAAAATGCTTTCTAAGAAAATGGCCGGCATGATGGAGGGGAGAGAGAATGTCCCTCCGGCGGGCATTTCGGGCAGTCGACGCCTCCGAGGCAGCCCGTCTACCTGAGCGTCACCGCTTGTTCTTGTTCGTTATTTCTCTTACATATACCCGATATGTCATTCTCGGCACTTCATGGGCGTTCCATACGAGATCGGAGTTCGAAGCGTTCCAGTCGCTTGAGGTTTTGTTTCATTTCCCTGGCTTGGGTCTGATTCTGATACTGCCGATTGTCTTGGTGCTTGGAGTTTTGTTTGATTTGCTTTTGTCCCGGGACCCATTAAGATACCTGGTTTTGTTTTATCGTTTTAGAATCGTCTACTTTTGGGGTTAAGGAAACTTCGGATTTGTTGGCTTGTTTATTCTTCCATATCCATGTTGAATAGTTTCATTACCGCACCAATTGCAGTACTCCAGTTGGATGATCTGAATAATGGCCAAGTAACCAAGTAAGGACAGCTTCACGACCCCTGCCCTTCATTCTCCATCCCATCAGTATTCCCCGGCGCACCCCCATCCAAGTTCCCCCCGAGAGCCTCCTGATCCGGCACAAACTCCGTCCCCAACGCAGCAGAACCCTTCCGTTCCTCCGCCTCCTCAACCCCGTAATTCCCCTGCCCCCCGGCCTCAATCACCTGCCTCAGCTCCCCCAGCCGCTTCGAGAACTGATCCATCATGTCCTCCAGCCGCTGGCTACTTCGCTCCTTGTCCCGCTCCTTGCCCAGCACGGTCATCGGCAGACCGGCCGTTCCTTGGATCTTGAGCATCAGGCCCCCGTTGACAGGCTCGTTGGATGTGTGGTTTTCGAACGTCGGGGCGGGGATTACGTCCGTGTGCAGGACTTGCCACGCGGGTGTGAGGCTGTGTGCGGATGTTACTGTGAATTGGGAGGGGTGGGAGGTTTTGCGGTCGGGTGGTTGGGTCTGAGGATGGGTTTGGGTTGGGGGGTTTGTATGCTGCTGATGCTGCTGGGATTGGACTCCAGTATGTGTCTGTGTCTGTGTCTGCGTCTGCGTCTGGAACGCAAGACCCAACGAGTCGCGATTCGACGCAGAGGCGGTCACCGCATGATGCGGGTCCTCGGACGCCGCGGTCTCCATGTCCAGAATGATGTAGTTATCGCGCACCCCTGGGATAGGCGGCGGGAGGAGCGGGTCCTTCCTGGGACTGGCGAATTCGTCGTCCTCGTCGTAGACGACCTCATCTTGTCCGTCTCGGGTGGTGCCGGGACGCGCTGGTTTCGATTTCCCCTTGGGTCCGCCGTTAGAGAGCGGATCTTGGTCGGTTTCGAGCGAGCGCAGCGTCGCCTCTGTGACGATGTCTGTGTCGTCGTCGGAGAAGATGTAGTGCACCGTGGGGTGGTAGTATTCGGAGGTGTTGGCGTCTTCGATTACAGTGAAGAACGGCTGGAAGGGGGGTTGCTGCTGCGATGGGGGTGGGAAGTCATGGTGTCCGTCGGCTTGGAAGGGCTGGGGTTCCGTTTGCGAGGGATTATCGGTTGGAGCGCCGTGGGCGAGGTTTGGGTCGAGAGGATGTGTCTGTTGGGCTGTGGGAGGTCGGTCGATGATGCTTTGGGGGCGGGACGGAGCGTCGGAGCGTCGGATGGATTGCCTGGATGGAGAGGAGGATAGGGAGGGAGATGTGATGTGTTTTGGCAGAGACATGTCCAGATGTGTAGCTACATGATTGAGATGAGTGGATGGCGATGTTTGATGCCGGACGATGGAGCGGAGCTGGAGATCACCTGCGCTTATCGATAGGGTCAGGTGACTGCCTGGTATACAGGAATTCATTCAAGAATATATACACAACAGAATTATCAAAGAATAAGCCATGAATAGAAGGGTATCGTGTTCTGGAGCCTTTCAACGCCATTGGTTGCCATTATGTCAGTTTGAAGTCTGCAATGATCATTGTTCCTCGTTTTGTTTCCATTCGAATTCTGCAGACATTAGTAGGATGTTAAATAAATCCAAGAATCTGTCTTACTTTGTCTGCACATCGGACAGAGCCCTTTAGATGACTCCTGTTGAATCCAAGTCATCAGACAGTGCTATTATCAATAATCAGTAATCGTTGATGAGCACATGCAGATCCACTATCGCACCATATGGAAAGAGTGGCCGCATTTGCCAAGGACTGAAGACATAATTGGTTAGTATCCTTAGCTCAATCCTCGCAACGCGACTTACGCAGAGAACAGTCGTCGCCTGGAAATTTGCAGGTCGGACAAGTGCCGTCAAACTGAACGCGACAGATACCGCAGACCTCGTCGTCGGGCATATCCCAGCGCCAGGTTGCGACGGCGTTCCATTCTTTGATGGTGACCTTCATTGTAAATTTGTAATGCTGGATTAGCGGGTGAAATTGGGTCTAGTTCCGGAAGAAGGAGGAGGTTGGCGAGAGGAGTAAAGAGGGAGAGATAAGCGTTGTTTACTGACGAGTCTTCGTTTTCGGCGGAGAACCTCAGGCGACGACCGACTCCGCATTGCCGTCACTCCTTCCCCCCACACACTCTCAACTGCATCTTCCACTCTCCAACCCCCCTTAATCTCCGTCACCGGATGACACAATCTGACGACATTGTTCTTTTCGGAATGTAAATATTGGGTTGTGTCTCTATTCTTCCCAGCACTTCTCCTTTCTGACCATGGCTTTCGCGGCCTTTCGTAACTCTGTCTCATCGCCCTTTCGCCTGGTTCGCCCAACGATGTCGCTCTCCCAGCAAACTCGCCAGGTTTCGTTCTCCTCCTACTTGGTTTCGCCCGGGGAACTGAGCGAGGCTCTGAAGAAGAACCCGCCGACGAAGATCTCGACTTCTCCGCGCGTCGTTCCCGTCTGCGCCGCTTGGTTCATGCCCAATGACCCCGAGGGTCGCAAGGGTATCGACATCTTCCGGAAGCACCGTATCCCCCAGGCTCGCTTCTTTGACCTCGATGCGATCAAGGATCCCGAGTCGCCGTACCCCCACATGCTTCCCACCGCCGAGACGTTCGCCGATGCGATGGGAGAACTGGGCATCCGCCGAGACGACGAGGTGGTGGTTTACGATACGGAAGAGCTGGGAATCTTCAGTGCGCCCCGCGTCGGATGGACCTTGCGGGTCTTTGGACACCCTAAAGTCCACATTCTGAACAACTACAGGCTATGGGTTCGTGAAGGATACCCGACCGAGACCGGCGAGCCTCAGCAGGTTGAACGAACCGCCTATCCTCTACCGACCTACGACTCGAAGCTGGTGATTCCCTACTTGGAATTGAAAGAGATTGCCAAGGAACACAGAAAAGAAGGGGCCAAGGAGGTGGAGATCCTGGACGCACGATCGTACGGCCGCTGGGCGGGAACCGATCCTGAACCGCGCCCGGGACTATCTTCAGGACATATCCCGGGGTCCAAGAGCCTGCCATTTCAGGAATTGCTGGACCCGGAGACGAAGACTTATCGCTCGGGGCCCGAGTTACGCAAGGTCTTTGAAGAACGGGAGGTCGATGCCTCCAAGTCGATTATCAGTTCTTGTGGCACCGGAGTCACGGCCAGCATTATTGAGACCGCACTCAAGGAAGCCGAATACGGTGACCCCAGTCTTCGGAGAGTATACGATGGAAGCTGGACGTAAGTGATTTGCCGAGGCGAAGCGAGTGATATTCAGATTGCTTACTTTTTTCTAGGGAATGGGCACAGCGTGTCAAGCCGTCCGACGGTCTGATTAAGAAGGTAACCTAAGGGTCACCCGGCAGTAAGGAGAGACTGATGAATGACCCGATGTTGTTCGAGCACTTGTATAACCTAGCGTTCGTATTCCTTGCTTCTTGTGGGCCGGTGTGACGGTAACGCACACCTAGAGGGCTGGGCTGGTCGGGGTTCTGTTTGATATAGAATGTAGTACAGACCAATCTCCATAGACAACCCTGTATTCTTGACTGTCCATCAATGCGTGAGTAGAACGTGAGTGGAAGTGAGAAGAACGTGAGCTTTGCGGAGAACCCGTGACGATAGCTTAGTCAGAAAAAGCCCGCGGCGTCGAGTTGATCCGCTGTTGGATCGCTTCACTCTGCCTTTATATCTCCGCTCGTCATTCCTCCACGACGGTCCAGAATTCCGAAGATGCTGCAGATGATTTCTATTTTTGAGCCAGGGTCCCATTGTGAGTCGATCAGATTCCCTTCCTTCGTTTCAGCTCTTTGTCTGCTGGCTGGGTGCCTAATCCGACCTATGCTTCTCATACCACTGGCTTGCCCCCACATCGATCCATCCGCCTCCATCAACCCAAACCTCCTTCGTGGATCTGTTTCCCGCTAACATCGCCGTGCGGCTCGGGCGCAGTCGTCAAATTTAGCTGTTTGGTGTAGGATACCTGCGCCGTTTTCGAATTTCCTATTCTTCGAGTCGCTTGGTCCGCGTCGACCGCTTTTCGAGTCATGTCGACTGGACGCAAGGTCTTCCACTGTGCAGTGGATGAGACGGCGTTGACCACGAATATCAGCGAGATAAAAAAATGGACGACCAATGGCGCCATCACCTTGGTCGTTCCTCTCTACAGTAAGGATACTTTTGGCTGGGAATGTGGGATTCTTTGACGCTGACTAGGATCGCTTGACGCTAGCCCTTGAACGCCTGCACGCCCTGAAGCGAGCGGGATCCCAAGTCGCCATCAATGCCCGCGAGGCCGTCCGCTTTCTCGATCGAGTGACTTCCGGAAAAGATAATGTGATGGCCGAGCGAGTCGCCCTGCAGGGTCCGATGGAACAATACGAAAGTTGGGAGGAGGCCGAGAAGTACTTTCTGCCGGAGTTCGAGGAGGAGCCGGAGGCGCTGGACGGAGTGGCGCCAGCGGGCCAGGCGCTGCCCGCGAAGCGCCCGGAGAAAAGCAAAGACCAGAAGAAGAACGGGGTCAAAAACCAAGACGATCTGTCGCAAATGCTTCTCAGCAAGCTGAATTTCAAAAAGGAGTCCGATGCCGTCTCCATCACGTCCAACGGTACCCACAGTGCCCCTGCATCGCGCCCGTCTTCCAGGAGCTCCCGGACGAGCCCCGAGTGCGCCAATTCCCACATGGTCGAAAACGGAGCCGGATCGAAGGGATCGAAGGATTCCAAGGCCAAGCGTGTCAATGGACATCGCCGGTCTGCGTCCGGATCGACCATCCCGACGGTTCCCCCGGTGCTGCGACCGCTGCTCAGCGCTCTTCTGTGGCGACTTCACAGCGGTCCCGATGCGTCCAATGCGGCCAAGAGCTGCATCCTGGTCACCAACGACCGCCCTACGCAGATCTGGGCGCAGAAGTTTGGCATCGGGGTCAAGAACATCCACCAATTGCGCACGTCCATCCAGTATGAGGAGCGCGAGTACAAGAACCGCTGCAAATACGTCGAGAAAACCCAGTCCACTCAACCTGCCGAACCGAAGTCCTTGTTGTCATACGAGGACGAGAGCGACGAAGACGAACTGGTTTTTGTGCCGCGCGGTGGACGTGGCAAAGGGGCATCGAGAGGTGGACCGTCGCGGTCCGGGAATACTCGCAAAGCCGCAGCGGCGGCAGCAGCTGCATCGACGGCATCTAAGCCGGCCGCGGCACCAGTAGAAGCCACCATGGAGATTCCCACGCAACCCATCGATCCGAATTCCTTCAGTCGATCCCTCAACGGACCCGCCAAGCAGCAGGCCACGGTCGATCTCAGCACGCAGTCTGGAGCAGCCCGCGGCATCGCAGGAGCGTCTCGACACCAGAACGGTCGCCGCGGCGGAGGAGGCGGCGGCGGTCGTGGCTCTCGTGGAGGCCGAGGCCGTGGAAAACTCTGGGTTCCTTGATCGGATTCCGGTGCACGTCGATGCAACACTCGACGGGCGTGACTTGCGAAATCCAACAAACCCCTGCGGTTGCTACTCGAAGCAGAGAAAAGAAAAGGAATTTTTTGCCGTTCCCGGGCTGCCTACTGGTCAGACCACAGCCAAACTGTGCTTAACGGATGAGGTGAATGGGTCTGGACAGAGGTACGGATACGAAGATGAGTGCGAATCGGATATGGCACGGTTTCGGTCCAACACGACGACCTCCGATGAGAACTTAGGTCGGAATGGAGTCGATTTCTGGAGACCGACAGGCTTGTCCATCCGTCGCATGGAGACAGGCTGTTCATTCTCTTTCCTTCACTTCCACTTCTTCCACTTGCCGGTGGACCTCACCAACGTTCGGACCGGCTTGCTTTAAACCAGCTAGCTTTTGATCTTCCGGCGTGCTTGTACCAGAAAACGAAAAACGAAAAAAAACCGACGGCAGTTTTATTGCGTGATTTGTTGGCATATTTGATTGATGCGAGGAAATAGTGGAGGCAAAATAGGATATCACTTATTTGTCGTTTATCTGCGTGAGATCTTTGTATGGTATGCGATATCCGATAGCTTTTTGATACTGAATGCATGACGCCAAGCTTGAGTTTCCATAAATCAGATAATGACAGGTAATGAAGTGCATAAATTCAGATGACTACAACGCCACCGCGGCATGACGTCCACCGTTGCCCCGCTGATGAGGCACCCAGTCCCGTGTCTCCGCACGATCACTTGACCGGCTCTCTGTACATCATGTTATTTATCTCTTATTCACTGTCGTACATTAAGTCCGAGTTTCCTTCCTTCTCAGCTTCACTCTACCACTCTACCACTCTACCCCTACCTACATACTACATACCAACTATATCTACATCCATAGTTCTACTAGCAGAACATACTACTCTACTTTCACTCTAAACCCAAACCAACCATACCTCCTCCTCACACTGAGCAATAACCTCAACCCTCTTGACCTTCCCACAACCAACTCAAAGAAAGAAAAAGAGAAAAAACGAAAAATGGTCACCCCCGCCGTCGACGAAACCTCTCTCCGCGCCTCGCCCACCGAGCGCCGCAACTCCCTCGAGAGACATCTCCAGAACCGTCCCGAGGCCCAGGACCTCAAGGAGAAGCATATTCTGCTGGATACGAATGTTGCGCCGTGCGTTCTTCCTCTCTTCCTGTCTTCTCTCCTCTTGCTTTGGTTTGGTTTGGTGCTGTGGGTCTAGGTCTGGGTCTAGATCTAGATATGGGATGAGGTTGAGCTTGTTGATTTGCTATGCTATGCTATGACATTGATGCTAACAGTGATGATGACGGGGATAGATCGATCCAAGCCGCGCGGCAGGAACTCGCGCGCCAGCGCACGACGGATAGTTTGAAGAAGCATCTCGAGCATCGGCCTGAGAGGGAGGAGTTGGTGGAGCGTTTGTTTCCCTTTCCTTTTCTCTTCTCTTCCCTTACCTTACCCGTTTCAAGGTCTTATGGACCTACTATCTACGTACCTACCTATACCATTACTCTTAACGGAATTAGAACTAATGGTGAATAAATGATTGAATGAAGGAAACATCCTCCCCTCGACGAACGCCGCCCCCGCGCTACAGGCGCACGCCCGCGAGCTCGAAAAGCACATGATCGCCGACCAGCTGGACCATAAGATCCAGAGCCGGCCGCAGCCAGAGGAGCTCATCTCGCAGGGCATCTTGGATGAGGCGGAGGATCCGCGGAAGCCGAGTTTTTAGCTTCACTCTGTCTTGGTCTCAGGCTTGGGCTCGGGATCGGGCTGTAGGGTTGTAGGGTTGTATGATGGGCGTTTTTTGCTTTTGGTTTGGTTGGTTTGTTTTTAGGCTATGCGCGGGTTGGTTGAGGGTTTGCTTTTATTTGGTGGGTATGGTTGTTTTATGCTTGATGCGGTTATTGAGTTTAGCAACAGGACAGAAGACAGACAGACACGGTATATGATGTGATCTGACTTATGGACATGGACATGGACCTTTTTATGAAATTCAAACCCCTGGAAGGAGATCAATAACTCTCCATTTCCACCTGCGCAGACAAATCCGGCATCCACCCCTTCGGCCGCTCGCTCCCTCGCACCAGAATCCCATACGCCGCGCGCTCCACCTTCTCCACACTGTTCTGCATCACGTCCGTCTTCTTCCCCAGATCCTTGAACATGAAATGCCGCCGCGGCACACTCAGCCCTTCAACTAGCGCCCGCAAAGCCCGTAGATCAACCACGATGCCGGCCTGCGAGGCGGTTAGAGCCGGGCCTGCCGTCTCTTCTTCTCCCTTCTCTCCCTCTCCTTGTCCCTGAGATTGAGACCCCGAAGACAACGCCATAACCGCAAACCTCATCATCTCCCCCGTCAAATCAAAAACCCCCATCAGATAATCCTCCTCCGTGACTAGAATCCCCTCCGGAACAGCCCCGCGGACCTCAGCCAGGGTGATCAAGCTCTGGCGTGTCAGGTAGTGGTGGAAAGACAGGGCTTCGATGAACTCCTGCACGCCGGGGGAGATTTGGCGCTGGTAGCGGTGGGCTTTTAGGGCGGTGAGGTCGGGGACGGCGGACGCGAAGAGGTCGTTGATTTGGCTGAAGCGGGGGGTGGTTTCTTTGGAGATTGAGGCGGGGAGAGTGGGAGTTGGGAGGGTGCGGATTCTATTTTGGGTCAGTTTTTCGTGTGAGTTTTGTTAAGTTAGGGGGTGGGTTGTATTATTTGGGCGGTTTGGGTTGAGTTGGAGGGATGGAGAGGGAGGGGGAACGAACCGCTGAAGAGCGAAGATACTATTGATTGCGAGTGCGAGCACGAATTAGCCAGTCGTCTTTAGACCCTGTCGCTAGAACTTAATGGAGGAAGAGACGCACATCTTCTTACTCAACCCCGTGATATCCCTCGATATCTTAATCAGTCGTTCGCGTCGATCATGGTGCTCGTCCAGCTCGTCGCGAAAAGTGCCGAACATGGACAGGATCGGGGTCGCGGGCTCGTCGGCCATGGTGAGAGCGGTTTGGGAGCGGGTGCCGTCGTCGCGGAGTGGTTTGCCTTCCCAGGAGCGTTTGGTGCCGGCCATGGGGGAATTATAGCAAGAGGGGTGATAGAGAGGAGGGAGGGGAGCTGAGAGGGGAGGAAAAGGAAAAAGCGGCGTCATCGAGCGGAGCTAGCTGTTTCGGGGTGATTGTTATCTGATAAGATCGGACAACTAGTACATCCCATACAGATACAGGAAGCTTTATACTTCAAACAATTCAAGTGAAACGGATAGATAAATACGACAGTCAGAACTATCTACCCTCCCCCGCCTTCATCAAAATCGCCTCCCACTCCAACGCCTCCGGCTGAATCTCCCTCAACCCACCCCACCTCTCCTCCAGCGTCTCCAACACCCCCTCAACATCCACCCAGCGCTCCCACTTCACCGCTCTCAAGAACTGACTCAACGCGCGATACGCACTATCCAGGGACCCGGCAATCCACGCATGATGCGCACTGCACGCCTCCCCGACTAGAAACAGCCTCCCGCCAGCCGCAGGGCTCACCAACTCCGGATAATAATTCGCAAACTGACCCGGCCCGTACAGCGCAAAGGCGCCAGACGCGTTCGGGTCCCGGGCCCAGTCGTACGCATGCATGGCCATGAACTCCCGCGCGAGGAGGGCTTTTATCTCGGCGAAGGACAGCCCCGCGGACTGGTAATGCAGGAGGGCGAGGTCGTGCAGGACGAGGGATTTGAGTTGGGATGGGTCCTGGGTTAGCGGGGCGATGCGCTGGGCGTCTCGTGCGAAGGTGTATGAGCAGAGCAGGGTGGCGGGTCGGATGTCCTCGGTCACGTAGGATGGGTAGATGCAGGTGCGCAGGGGCAGGTCGGTGGCTGCGTACCCGCCGCGCGAGATGCCGCAGAGGGAGATCCACCAGGGGGAGGCGAATTCGACGGCGACCTTGGTGGAGGAGTCGTAGTGGATGGCGCGGATGGCGTCGGTCTGGGCGCGGGAGAGGCCGGCGCGCGAGAGATCGATGCGCTGCAGGCAGGGGAGGGTTGGGGTGGCGAAGACGGCGTCGTAGGATTTGGTGTGCAGGTCGGGGTGGTCGGGGTGGTCGGGGTGGTCGGGGGTGGTGAGTTTGAGGGTCATGGGGGAGGCAGAGTGAGGGTTGTGTTCGATGGCTGTGACTCGCGTCTGGAGGAGTGGTTTGTGGCGGATGCGGTCGGTCAGTTTGTCGGTGATGATGGAGGCGCCGCCTTTGATGCAGAACCAGCTGGTGGGACGCGAGTCGGGGAAGTCGAAGACGAAGCTGTCCAGGACGCTTTCGGTGAAGGCTTGCTCGTAGCGGCCGGTGGCGCTGTTGGGTAAGTTAGATTAGGTGGTTTTGATTGCTGGGCTGGACTGACCTGGATGTGGTTTCGAGGTATTGGACGGAGTAGAAGTCGTAATTCCTGCTGAGTTTAGTATAGACGTGGTAGCTGGAGGAGTGCATACATGACTTGGCGGATGTAGTCGCGGGTGGTGAATTGGTCGACTCTCATGAGGGCGTGCAGTCCTTGTTCGAAGTTTCGACGGAGTTGGTGCTTGTAGTAGCCGAACGCATCGTCAAGGATGGTTTCAGTTCCCTCGTTCACGGTTCTGATCGAGTCAGAAAGAACTATACATGGCGGAGACTTACGCATCAGGGACCAAGCCATGGTTCGACACGCTGAAATGGAACGGATCCTTGGGTCCGTCTGGTCGGGGGACGTAGCTGATGCCGTTGTATCTCTGGGGGCAGTTCTGGCCCTGAAGATAATAGGGGATGAGCAGTCCGTTGTCTTCGGTAATATCGAGGTGTCGGAAGAGTCGGAAAACCCTATGGAGTCAGAATGCTGGTTAATCTCAAGAGTAAAGACCAACCGATCCATGACAGGAATCTATAACTGTCAACATATACCATCAAACAAATACAGAAGACATACATCTGGAAACCGCATCGCCCCGACATCATAATACTCCCCCCAAACCCACGCCGAGATGGCGTCCCTCGGAAACCAATACGTGAACGCTCTCCCCCCGATCCTGTCACTCGACTCGACAATCTCATACGTGATCAGCGGATACAACGAGTCAAGCAGCATAGCCAGAAAAAGACCCGAGATCCCTGCCCCCACGATGCCAACGTGCAAGAGAGTCTCGCTGGGCAGATCGGCCAGTGGCTGTCTGGGCTGCGCGACTTTGTCTGGCGGTGGGGGGAGATTCAAGGGAGTGGCATCGTTCAGGGCGGGGATGGGAAGGCCAGTATTGCCGAGGAAGTGCTTGAGCTTCTTGTAGTCTTTGGCGTTTCTGTCTTTGTCGAGAGTGGATTTGAGGGCGTTGAGCACTTTGTGGCCGACAAAGTATTGGGCTGCGCGGTCTCGGGTGAAGCAGCTGTCGGAGGGATCTTGAGACAGAGACATGTCGATTGATTTGAAATATGTTGAATTGTCTGCAGCGAGGAACTTAATTGATAGAACTAAAAATATTCCACTGCTTGGAATAGGATACATTTAAGAAAGTATACCCTCATTTATACTCAACGTGGTAACTCTGCAAGCTCCATCGACAACAACTGATGAGAACCCATGACCCATAGTCTAGCCCAGGCCATATCGTGAAACCGTAATGGTCATCATCCCTTGGAGTATAAAATCTCCGAAAGCATGCCATGTTGCACGAGTCTACTCAAGCACGAGGGAATACAGTCCAGATGTCTGACTCGAGTTTGGATCAATGGTACTACTCTATTGATCCATTAATGATATCCGGAATTTGTACTAGTGCTGGAGCTGCCCAGGTCGCCAGGTCGCCAGGTCGCCAGGTCGCCAATTCGCCAGGTCGTCAGGTCGCCTGGTGTACCACAAGCTCGCCAGGTCGCACTGAGCCTGGTCCTCGGATCTGTAGTCACATTGCATTCACTGTGCGCATTTCTGCAGGAACATGCCGGAGCATGACTTGACTTTGGAATATACCAGTAAAGTACAACCAAACATCCACACTTGCTGAACCAAGCATACCAGAGTCAGACGAACCCTCCTCTTGTCTCCAACCAGACTCATCCATGCTCCCCCGATCTCCGGCGCTGTTCGTCCGACCCTCCGCTCAGCCAAGACTTTATATTAATTTATTCTGGGGCGGACACGCAGGCGCATGAACGATGCAGACTAGTCGCGCGAAGGAGCAGTCATTCGTCAGCTCAGCTCTAGTTGGGTTGAGGATGCGGAGAAAGGGGTATTCTGCACTCATCGTCGGAGAAATGGAGCAACTTGACTCTTCCACGGTGGCCGGGCAGATGCAAGAAACCATGATGCCGATCAATGCCTGAATGAACTTGCAGGCCTGCATGACTAGGCCGTGAGCGTTGGCGAACTCGGACAAGGAGCTCTGGGCAGTAGCTTGAACGGCACGGCAGGATGTCATGTCTGTTGTCAACGCGTGGATGTGCCTGGTATCCAACTATGGCATCTACTACTTCTGGCTGATCGTTTACCGGTTCTGTCATCTGGCCTCGCGCTCGGCGTAAATGTGCACCGAGTCGGAGGATTCGTATGCTTTCACATCTACTTTTGGATAGCTACGATGTAGATCGACAGCTGCGTCCGGACTTCGTTTGGTGTCATGCCACAATCCATCCTCTCGCCCGGGAAATGATGATCATCCTGTTGTGCTCGTTGGATGTCACGGTTCCTGCTCGGACAAGAGGATGTCTATACAAGGAGTCATGGCGTGAGGCATGCAGCGGATGAGTGGCGACGGTACGCAGAGTACAGCAAGGGTGATAGAACACACCTCAACCATAAGACGAGACAGACAGGCTATATAAACCCCCCGTCCACCCCTCCGCTACAACTCAAGTCAGAGCTCACTCGCATTGAGCCAACAGACACGATGAGAGCATCCACCGGTCTCGCGGCCCTCATGGCCCTCACCAACCTCGCCGCCCTCGCCCAAGACACCCGTCCGATGGAGAACCTCGGCCGCGGCGTCGTCGCCGTCCGCTCCAGCGACGACGACGTCCTGATCACCTGGCGGCTCCTCGGCCTGGACCCAGACGACATCGGCTTCAACATCTACCGCTCCACAGACTCCGGCTCCCCAACCCAACTGAACACCGACCCCCTCACCAACGGCACAAACTACCTCGACACCAACGCCACCCTCACCTCCTCCAACACCTACTTCATCCGCCCCGTGGTCTCCGATAAAGAACAATCCCGCAGCGCCTCCTTCACCCTCCCGGCGGACTCCGCAACAGAACCCATCATCCGCATCCCCGTCCGCTCCACCGGCAGCATGAAATACGTCTGGGTCGGCGATCTAGACGGCGACGGGGAGTACGATTTCGTGGTGGACCGACACAACGAGCGGCAGAGCGTGGAGGCGTATTCCAGCAACGGGACCTTTCTCTGGGAAGTCGATCTGGGTCCGAACAGCGAGAATCAGAATAATATCTCGCCTGGGTCCACGGCTATCTCCACCGGGAACTGGGATGGGGTGACGGTGTATGACTTTGATAGTGATGGGTACGCGGAGGTCGCGATTCGGATTGCCAATGGGGTTACTTTTGGCGATGGGGAGACGTTCAGCCACGATGACGACGATGTGCAGTTTGTTGCGATTTTGGATGGCCGCACGGGCAAGCTCAGAGCGAAGAGCCAGATCCCAGACGACTATATCGAGCATGGGCCGCTGGGGGCGCGGTTCGGGGTCGGGTATCTGGACGGGAGGACGCCGCACTTGGTGGCGTTTATGAAGGTGCGGAGGGAGGATAAGAAGTTCATGAGGATGCAGGGGGCGTGGACGTTTGACGGGGAGTCGGTCACTGAGGAATGGATCCTGCGCGACAACGCGACCGACGGGGCAGACGGGCACAACACACGCATTCTGGACGTGAACGGCGACGGGAAAGACGACGTCGCGGAGATCGGCTTCGTGATTAGCGGCGAAGGCAAGATCCTGTACAAGATGCCGGACCAGGTCGTTCACGGGGACCGGTTCCATATCGCGAAGATGGACCCGACTCGGGACGGACTGCAGGGGTATGGCATCCAGCAGGACAACCCCGACGGACTGATGGAGTACTACTACGACGCCGGCACCGGGGAGATGATCTGGGAGCACTACGAGGACGAGACGGGCGACGTGGCGCGCGGCATGGCAGGGGACATTGATCCGACGCATCCGGGGTATGAAGTCTGGTCGTTCTCGGGGGTGTATAACGCGGCGTCGAACGAGCTGACGACGGACGATGCGGCCCTGGCGCCGTGGCCTCATCTGGGAGTGTGGTGGGACGGCGACGAGCTGCTGGAATTGCTGAACGACGGTAAGATCGAGAAATGGGACTGGGAGAACCCCAGCGAGTCGGGGGGTGTGCCGCGACTGGTGACGGCGGGGAGTTTCGGCGCGAAGAGCATGGGTGGGAGGTATCCGGGCTTTGTTGGGGATATTCTGGGCGATTGGCGCGAGGAGGTTATCATGACCAACGATGCGAATGATGAGTTGATCATCTTCACGACGGACCAGCCGAGTGAGATCCGGTTGTATACGTTGGCGCATAACCCGGCCTATCGCAACGCTATGACTTTGAAGGGATATCTGCAGTCTCACCATGTGGATTACTTCCTGGGGAAGGATATGGAGACGCCTGCGCAGCCGAAGATTCACTACGTGGGTGCTTAGAGGCGAGGTCCTGTAGAGGACATGTGGTCGATGGAGGGTAGGCATGTCAATCGATAGTTGTATCTGAGATCAATAATCCCGTGCAGACCATACTATACTTGGTTCTAACCCAACAACTCCTTATTATCCATCAGATACTCTGAAATCAAGATTGCACGATACTCCTCTACAGTTCCCGCCAACTTCCCGAACACGCTTGTCCACGTCTGACCTGGGCGGTAGTGCGAGGTTATAGCCTTCCCAGTCAGCGGACTGATGGGCGGGTTCTGTTTGTCGAAGTTATAGACTCCTGGTTCTGTTTCACTCAGAAGTTTCCCCGTTCCGTGGCCTAACAGCTCGTGGATCGCCGTGGTGAGGAATCGGACGATGTGCGAGGTGCGCTTGAAGTGGTTCAGCTGTGACAGGTCGATCCAGGGTGGTTGGCTGGTGTTATTGTTGGCGCTGAGACGATTCGCCAGGACGATGTTCTTGAAGCCGCAGGCTTCTCGGATGGATTCGTACTGGCTAGTTAGTTGGGCTCCATGGGCTGTCGAGAGGCTTACACTAGGGAGATTAGCGGCTTCGAAGACGACGCTACCGCATACGGCGAGTGCTAAGAGAATCAGCATTAACCATACATGGGGATAGGTGGGAGTTAACCATGAACACTTGTGAATCTGGAGCCTCGAAGAGATCCTTCTCGAATGGTCCTTTCCCATCATTCACGCCCTCAACTGCCCATGGGAGCTGTCGTATAAAAGCAGTTGAATGTTCGACAAACAGCTTCAACCTCGCCGTCTCATTCGGATCAGCGATTCCAACCATAGCTTCCCACTCTGCTCTAATGCCGGCTGGATCACGGTATGCTTCGACGAACCCAATCAAGTGCTCCACTCTTGCAGATTTGTCCGTCACCCATATTTTCTTCGACTCCTGGAATGCTTCTAAGCTGCCCGTGCGAAAGCATTCGACATAACAGTCCAATACCTGACTCTGCTTTTTGTTCACTGCGTACTCTTTTGCTTTTGCTAAAACGGTGCAAACCTTAGACAATTCCTCGGAGTGATCGCCTCGGATGAGAAATACCCCATCCGCGAGTTCGCGTAAGCCAGTTTCCACGGAGGCTTGCAGCACCTGATAGACGGGTTTACCAGCGTCGACCAGTTTCTGAATCCGAGTGTTCTCTGGTCCAATGGAGTGCTTTCTCATAACCTCCGACACCATATCAATCTCTTCTTGAGAAATAGGCTCCGAGCTAGGATAATACCCTGACTGCGTTTTCGGACCAGGATATCCCACGCGGAACAGCTAACAATGGCCCTATAATTCTCTTCAAACCATCCCTAGTCTTCGAGGAAATACTTGCAATCCGCTCAAGCGCCTCGACGCTCAACTCAGGAACAAACTTCTGATCACCCTCTCCCTAGCCAGTAGCCACTGTCAACACTTCACATTAACCCCTTTCTTGCTCAGAAAACTCACATAATAATTCCCCAAATTACATAGAAAAGCCGCAGCATACTCCAAAAAACATACAACCTCTTGAGACGTGACATTACACTGGATTGTCAAAGTATCCCAGTTCCCGTCACACGCATGATACAGGTCCATGATGAAGTCGACGATGTCAGGGCTTTCGGGCGATACTTGGCGCATGATAATTCTGCTTCCGTGCCATGCCATGCTGCGCGCGAGATGGTGTGCGTAGAGCTGTTCGCGTGGTGAGAGGGTGTTGAAGATTGGGTTTATGGTGAGTTGGTGGATTGGAGTGGGGGTGGTCTTGGTGGGAGGCATGGTGTTTGGATGTACGGAGATGGGAAAGGTAGTCAGGTAGTCAGGATAGTTATGGCTTTTAAAAGAAAAAAGAAACACAAAAAGGAATAGAAAAGAAAAAGGTAATTTGACGGAGGACACAGAGCGGTCATGAAGAGGCTGAGAACCGCGGACGGGGTTACACCTGTCGTTCTTTGTTCTCATCCTTATATCTCAAGGGTCTATAGATGCTCAGCGGAGACTACTAAGGTAAGACCACTTGATTCTGGTAAAATGGCAATATAATTGTGTCGTTGTTTAGACCATAGAGCGTACTGCTAGCACGGTCTTTAATAAATCCATTCAATGACCCTGATCTAGTCCATCGATTAGACCGGTATATGCGAGCTCTCACTCAGTGCCTCGACCGTGAGTGTAGATGAGCCCAGATCCTCACTCCCAGCCCGAACAGTAAGGATCCCACTATCACGAGCACGGACCATTGCAAGCGCGTCGCTCCTTAGACGTAAAGGCCGTCATATCAGCTGGATATCCAATCCCCGTGGCGACAATCTCATAATTCCGTACGAGCTGCTGCGCGCCTGCGTGTGGTGATACGGCTCGCCGAGATAGTCCCAGCCCGTCCAGACGAACCCGCCTGCGATGAACGGGTGTGTGTCCTGTGTCGAGAAGATTTATAAGGACTCATTCTGGAATTCAATGCTTTCGCAATCGAAAAAGTAAACCTTTCTCTCGTAGTTCTCCGGGAGTATATAATTGACTGGATGTTTATTGCAGTTATCGAAAAAGCTTGCTGGTACGGTTAGAGGCTTCCAACGTGCACTCTGGTGGATTTATTAGCAGTTGCCAAAGGTTTGCAATATACACATACCAAAGTTTCCGCTGTCACAGCTAGGCTGCGGCAGGTCGTACGACATCAACATTTTTTCAATATCGTAGTCGGCAACTGATACGATATTGGATTTTTTCCAATATCGTTGTTGTATATATGATATCTAACAGACATCGGACGATATTGATAGATATTATATAAATATCCGCACTAGCATAAAACTCGCTAATTTATCCTATCCTGAATAATCGGGTGATAGTTATAAAGCTGACTAATTATTATATTATAACTGAATATTTATATATTTAATTATAATAGTACTTATTTTTTATTTTTCTTACTTATTATTAAAAATAATAAAATATAATATTATATTTAGAAGCTAATATTAGTTATATAATAATTATATATTTTACTTAGATAATAAGTATATTATTATTGCTTGTAATTTTACAATTATTAGTTAATGAGTGGTTATTAGGTAGAAATATATATTTAATATATAAATAATATAGTACGCTTTCCTACGAAGTTTTAATATAATATCTGAATCTATAAATATTATAGTTTTAATAATTAAAATAATACCTATGGATTTATAAGGGCTTTATCTTATCGTAGAGTTATTTTATTTAGTATATTTATATATAAAAGTAAAGTATAATTTATATTTAAAGTTTGTAGCTCGCGGACTTAAATATTTTTTTTTAGTTTAAGTGATCGCGGGATAATTGTCTGATATCTAACATACATCGGATGATATCGGATGATATTATCTGATATTAGTTAGATATTAAATAAATTAATTAATAAATATCTATTTCTGCTTAATTATACCTAATTACTATTAAGTATTATTTTTAGCACATTGAAATCACGCAAATATTTACTTATAATCCTGTTTTATTTTATAACTAAATTCCCTGTAAGGCTCCTATTTATAAATCTAATTATTTTATTATCCTTATCTAGTCTTATATCTATTATGTCTTATTTTTAAGTATTCTCGAGCCAATATATAGTGTTTTAATATACTAATTTATTTATTAATCCAGATATTCTATAATCAGATAGTTTTCTAAATATAATAAGTAATTAGATTATAATATAATTAACTTCTTTTTTTGAATTCCGCCCTCTGTTTTAATATTCTTATGCACCTGATTTACTTATACATGTTATTTATAAATCCTGCTAGCAGACTTATATACTTTATAATAATAATAAAAATAATCGAATAATAGATAAACCACGGAAATACTTTATAGAATAATAATTAATAATTAAGTTTAGCTAGACTTCCGCACAACCCAACATAACCCGGACCCAACCCGGACCCAACCCGGGCTGGGTTGGGTTTTGGGTCGAAGACTCCGACCCAGTGTTGGGTCCGGGTTAAAGTTGGGTAACCCAGCCTGGGTCCGGGGCCCCAACTTGGGTTACAAACAATGCAAACATAAATTATGCAAAAATACATATGTTTTAGAGTCGTTTTTACTATATTATTCATAGTAATATTAGTATCTAAATTGTATTATATAGTTATAATAATATATTAATATATTATATTAGCTAAAATATATAAAATAGTAATATTATTAATATTACTATAATATATAGAAAATGTAGTATATCTATACTAAGAGAAATATATATCTTTAAAATTATTCTGAAAATATACCCCACTTTCCTTATTTAGTATTTATTATAATATTTATATAATATATACTGATAAACAGCTATTATAAATATATATAATTTAATATAAAAGGCTATTATCTATATAAAAAGCTAATATAAACTGTATTAAATAATACCAGTGCATAATTTATAATCATTTTATACTAGTTTTTATGCAAATATTGGGTCGAATTGGGTTATATTGGGTTTTATTGGGGCCCCAATATTGGGTCCGGGTTGGGTCCGGGTTAGAGAAGTTCAACCCGGACCCAGGCTGGGTTGGGTTTTGGGTCGAGACTTTCGACCCAAGTTGGGTTTTGCGGAAGTCTAAGTTTAGCACTAAGAAAGAACTTTAGAAGTCTGTTTACTAAAATAATAACCTTAAAAAGTCTAATATTTAGAAATTATTTAATTAAATTATAAATATCAAGACTAGCAAGCCTAAGATTATATATAAATATTATTAGAATATAATTATTTACCCAGAGGTTAATTATATTAGTTTATCTCTGATAAAGGCCTATCTTACTAGTATAATTTATATTAAGCTATAGAAGACTACAAAGCAAGATATTAATTATTTATTATAAAAGATAGTAAGTCTATTTCTAGATTTAATCTATATTATATATTAATATTCTTTATCTCTATTTAGTTATATTAATTAATAAGCACGGAATTTAGCTAGACTATTCTCCAGAAGAAGATCCTTAAGTTTATTATAATTACTTATTTCTTATTCCGTATTATTAAGCACCCGGAGTTTAAAAAATTACTATAATATATTAGACTTACTAACTCAAAGCTTAATATCCTGTTTATCTATAATATAAAATAGCTTTTAAATAATAAAGTCTAAAAATAGCAGCAGAGTATTCTTAGTAAGCTTTTATTTAAAAACTATCTTTTTATTATATTAAATTATTAGATCTCTCCTTTTAATCAAGTATTTATAATAATTATTAGATATTTTTTTAACCAGGACTAAAATTACTATAAAATTCTTCTTAAATTTAAGCATATATAGGGATTATATACTAGGACTTAATTAAATAAGACTATTATCTAAATTCTCTAGGAGCATAATATTACTGACTAAGTATTATTAATTATAATTAATAATATATTAAATAATAATATAATAATCAAAGATATTCAAGAGATAATTTAATCCTAAACTCTTTATAATACCTCTATCTTCTGGGTATTATATATTATATATATTATACAGCTTAGTCTAAAGAACCTTCTTAGAAAGATTAAAGCAAATCTAAAGAATATAAAGGCCGAATTAAAATAATTAAATAAATATATAAAATCACTATAAGCTGTTCCGTGTTATTCTTCAGGAAATATCATAGCTATATTAAAGAAAATAAGTATATTATATTATATTATAGGGTTATAATTACTAAAATATTCTAGATTTAAAAGCTTATTATATTTATTAATACTAGTCCTTAGCGCTAAGAGATTTTCTGGGCGCTTTAAATAATAAAGTTAAAGCTTTTACCTATCTAAGATATTTACACATGCTAGAATTCTACTTTCCTAATACTAGAATATACTAAGAGGTTATAAGGAGTTTTCAGCCAGTACTATTTAATCTATTAGTATATTTAATTTTAGCTTAATTTAGAGGAATAGCGCCAAGTAAAGTATCTTCTTTTAATCATAAAACCTTTTTTTTATTATATTAAGATTTTATTAAAAATTTAAAATATTATTATTTATTCTATCTTTAATATTTATAATAAGCTCTTTAGCCATCTTAATAATATTAAAGAGTTATTAAAATATAAGACTATTCCTTAAAAAAAAATATTTTAAGTATTACAGGCAGCGAAACAGAAACTCTTAAAGTATTATAAAATAACTAATACCGAATCATTTAGTATAATCTATATAATTATAACTATTTTATATTCTTTAAAAAAACTTTGGTTCTTTAAAGGCAATAATTAAAAAAAAAAATAAAAAAAAATATTTATTAAATATTAATTTATTAAAATAAATTATAAAAAAAATTTAACTAATATTAATAATATATTATCCCCTGAAATAAGCTTTCTTAAGCCTAAATCACTCAAAAACCTAATAAAAAAAAGCTTAATCTTATAATAGACTTGTATACTACTTTATAAGGTAAAGTTGACCAGCCGGAAAATAAAATTATATAATATTTTATAAAAAATTTATATATTCCCCTGCTTTATTATAAAGCTTTTTAATTAAATTATTTAATAAGTCTTATTAAAGATAAGCTAAGAGTATTTTAGAAAAAATATAAGTATAAATATCTAGTGCTTACAGTAATAGCACGGGATATTCTAGTAATACCTACTAGTGATATTAATATTAAGCGGCTCTTTAACTATACTCGTGATGTTTATTACTATTACTAGAGATAACTTAAATCTAAAATAATCTGATCTTTAATACTTTATTTATTTATATTAAAGTTTAAGTTTTAATAAACCGAACTTAAGATAATTAAAGAGTATCTTTCTAGTAATAAGATTATTATATTTGATTAAATATAAAAGCTAACTCTGTTGCTTAATAATATCAAGCTAATTAGTAATAATAAAGAAGAGGGCTACTAAACCAAAGATATATTAGATAATTTATATAATAACTTAAATAATAACTATATAGTTAAGCAGGTAATTCTTATACTTATTATAACCTAGGGCAAGTAACTATGGTATAAGCAGTCTTATAATGTTATTAAGTTTTAAGAAAATAATAATAATAATTTCCTGCTTCTTAAAATACTAACTAAAGAATATATATAAGAGTAACTGGGGAGGATTCAGAAAAAACTAAAATAATTAAACAGATTTAAGTTTAATAACCTGTAATATAATCTTAAATAATTAAATATTTATTATTGTAATAAAGAGTGATAAAGTATATTAATTAATAGAAAAGATTGTAGGACACTAATTCGCGCTAGTAAATATAGAATTAATTATATATTAAATACTCTAAAAATACTATGGAAAATATATAACCTATACTAACTTGTTCGGGTTAGAAGTCTTGGACAGTTTGTAATATTTATTATTAAATAAATATTAGATAATTATCTAACAGCTTAAGTTAAATATTATAGTTATATCAGACAGAAAATCTAAATATTGTAGTTATATTGATGTCGGCTGCGATACGATACAATATGATATTATCGTACGATCTGTCCGATGCTGCCGCAGCCTAGTCACAGCTTGCGTCATGACACGTAGAACATATTCCACAGCCGAGTTTCAGGGATGGTAAGACGAAATGGAAATTTCCTTATCAAAATGTGTACAACTACCAACTTTTCGGGATTAAAGGATACATATGTACTTGATTTTCTAGCCGGGTCAATAGCCTTCCCTTTCTGTTTTAGTGCTCATC